ACCCCAACCCCAACCCCAACCCCAACCCCAACCCCAACCCCAACCCCAACCCCAACCCCAACCCCAACCCCAACCCCAACCCCAACCCCAACCCCAACCCCAACCCCAACCCCAACCCCAACCCCAACCCCAACCCCAACCCCAACCCCAACCCCAACCCCAACCCCAACCCCAACCCCAACCCCAACCCCAACCCCAACCCCAACCCCAACCCCAACCCCAACCCCAACCCCAACCCCAACCCCAACCCCAACCCCAACCCCAACCCCAACCCCAACCCCAACCCCAACCCCAACCCCAACCCCAACCCCAACCCCAACCCCAACCCCAACCCCAAAATGCTTACTTACATATTATTAATTAATATGTTAAAATATATTTTTAAAAAAGATAAAAAGTAATTAATATTATTTTTCATTCCATAATTAAACAAATTTAAAAGTTAGTTAATTTTTTTTAAAGTAGTTAGTAGTAATTAACTATAGTGTGTTGTTTACACATTTTTATTTTTAACAAATTATTAAAATTTATTGATTAATTAAGTATTTAATTTTTGAAATAGAAATATTAAACTATATTTTACAAAAATCTTCATAGTAAAGTGTTTTTATTTTATTTTTAAATTTTTTGAACTAAAAATTTATACTTATTTTGTATATAATTGTTTTAATCCTTTATTTATTCATTCATTTTTAAAAAATAAAATTTAATATATTTTAAGCAAAGTGTAATGTATGTATTATAATGATAAAAGTATATTATTAAAATGTGTTAAATAAATATTGATTTCTATTTATATTGTTTATAAGAAAGAAATTGTGAGAAATTTTGCAAATAAAATGTTGTTTGTTAATATACTTAGTAAATAATAGTCAAAATCTATAATTTAATATAGAAATATAAAAATAGGACATTAAATTATTTCAAATGAAAAGTATTGTATTGTTGATTAATTATTTTTTTTATTAGATAGGGTAGGTTTATAATTTCTGATTAACACTGAATAAAATAGATATTGTTAATTAATCTTATTTCTGTTTTTAGATGATAAAAATTCCTTGGATTTTTAAAAAGTAGATGAATTTATCTAAATGTAAAAAAGAAACTATCTATGCAAAATTTTATTGGATAGTTTCCATAGAAATCAAAGTAATAATTTACTTTTTAAGAGTTTTAGAGTAATTATTAATTTTTCTTTAACAAAATCAAAATAAATTCATGTCAGTGATAATTATATAAATTAAAATTTCAGTAAAGGAAATTAGAAATTGATTAAGACAAAAAAGAGAGAAAAACCATTCTCAATTATGATGAGAAATTATTATAAAAAATATTGATGATCCAGAAATAGTTTATGTTTTGACAAAGAACTTCTTTTAGTAAATAAAATAAATTTATTAAAAATAAAGAAGTGATTTTTTTTATGGATTAGAAAGTAGTATATTTAATAATAATGTTTAAAACTATAAATACAAGCTTACATAGCACTATTTTTTGAAATTTCAAGAAATGTATTTTATTAATAAATATGCAGTAGATCTTATCAAGAATTAGCTGCTCGCTAATTATTTTAAATTGTAAATTAATTAATATAAAAAATAATAAATAATAAAAAAAAAATTAACTGATTTAAATTCATGAGTTCAAATGCTAAATAAGATAAATTATTTGTTTCCTTTTAGGTTTTTAATAAGACAAAGTAGAGTTTGTTTATTACTCCTGAGTGCTTAGAAGGTACAGTGACTGTAATTGATATTAATTAGTAACTCAAAAACTTCATTAATATGTCAAATTAAAAATAAAAAAACATAAAATCCAAGTTTGTTAATAATCATGATTATCATTATGATGATGAAGCTAAAAATACTGCAATTTCTACTAAAAGCTAATAAAAACTCTTCAAAATTTAGACTTCCTTTCAGCGTAGATGCTAAATTAAAGCTATACCTTATAAATCTTAATCAGTTACATCAAATAACATTAACACTATCAAAGTTTTAAGCAAGGTTTATGATTCACATTCTTAAGATTTTGATAAAATATGTACTTACTATGCTCTAGTTAAACCTGATTATAACTAAAACAATAAAAAAGACTCTAAATAATAATAACTTGGTTAGCTATTTTATGATAACCCTAATAAGTAATTACACTCTGACAGCATAAACTCATAAATTTAGTTAAAACCTTCAGCTGCTCATTTAGTCAGCAATAATTTAGCTCCTATAAATTAAGAATTAACTCAGCATAAAAAATCCGAAATTTAGTCAAATTAAAATAAAGCAGATAATAAAATTATTTTTCTTAGTAAAGAATAAGAAACCAATAAAAACTTAGATTACAATTATATTAAATAAGAATAAATTTGTAAGCCCAATAAATTAAAAGCTATAAATTCAAAAACTTAAACATTAATAGAAAAAAGTATTCATAGTAACAATAAGTATCGAGACTAATAAAGTTATCTAGCAAATAGTTAAAAACAAAAAAATTTTAATTAACGTATAAATTAATAAAACCAAGAAAAATAATAAAAGAAAAGAAAATTTTAGTGGCGTGATCCTCTTAATTTAAATAATGATGAAATATAAGATTAAGTTTAGAAGTAATTAAAAAATAAATAAATAGAAGAAAATGAATTGATTTCCATGGATAATTAAAATGAGGAATATGTAAGTCCTTCTCTTTCTGAGTAGTAGAAACACTATTCAATTAATTAATTTGTTGCAAAAAATAATTAGAGCAAATCTAGTTAATGTTATTAACACACAGATTAAAATATACAAAAAAATCAAAATTTTAATTAAAGTTCAACGAAAATAGAATAAAATGTGCGTAAAAAAATCAAATAAAGCAAATAGCCTGAATTAAACTTTTGCACTAATAACAATAATTATAAAAATATTTCAAAACTAAATGAATATTTTTAAGAACTTCAAATGCTTACTTCAGAAAACAATTTTATAGATAACTCACAATCCCTCCTTAATAAATGTATTTATCTTACCGAGAACAGTTACGTTCATTTAATCATTTAGAATTTAATGACTGATTTTTAAACTGTATCAAATATTATTGAACCAAATTATAAAATAAATTTTTAACAAAATGAAGGAATGAATTAAGAAAAAGAAACTATTTAATAGACACCAGATTTAGATAGCTAAAGAAAAGTAAGGACACTTACATGCTTTTCAAGGAGTAGCGCTACTACACAACATATAAATGTATTAGCTCTTGCTTCAGCCCTATCTATAAGTAATGCGCAAGAAAATAGTGCTTCTCAAGAAATAATTAAATTAGAAAACAATTAAATAAATTAAAATACTAATAACAGCTTAACAGAATAAGCAAATTTAAAGACATAATAAGAGATTGATGGCACTATCTAAAATTATTAGCTACTAAATCAAAAAAAATTACATTTGGAAGAAATTCCAGATATTTTTCAGAATACAAACGAAAATCCTACTAAATTAAAATAGCATCAGTAAGAATAGTGCGCTGGTTCATTTAACATAACATAAAAATATGATAAAAATTATATGTATAAATGTAAAAGTTTTTTTAAATTGAAGAACCTTACATAATAATAATAAATGTAATTTAGATTCTCATAATATAAAAAGAGAAGCGCCAGTGTTTCTTCACCAAAACCACTTAATTTAAATTAAAAAGAAAGCCCTCCAGACTAATCATTTAAAAACATATGTGAGAGTTAGGAAAACTAAATGGTTGACAAAAATTTACACAAATTTGGTAAGTACCATAATTTCAACAAGCTATTCATGTACAACATACTAAACATGTTTTAACCTAATAATCTAGCTAATATGAATGTACCAGAATAAATCTCAAAAGAGTTGCAATTGCTTATAAGCAAAATAAAATCCTCAGCAAAAAATAATTATAAAGTAGAAGGAAAATATGCTTTTGACTACTTTTCCCATGCTCACTACAACATATTATTTTTTAAGCTAAATAGTAAAAATATAGTTATTTTAAGCTAAAATGAAGAATATTTAAATTTATACAAAGAGTGTTTTAACATCAATCTTAAGGAAAGTATTTCTAGTATAACAATTACTTATATAAATTTAATTAAACTATATTGCTATCAAATCTTCATGCAATGCATAAGAGAAGAGGAAATTTAAATCGATACTTCTCTTTCTTAAGAAAATTTAAAAAATTAATATACTTTGAAGGTTATTAGAGGTATTAAAAAGCTCTCTAATGGAATAATAATCAAAAGATTTTGAAAAAAAATGTGTAATCAATTATTATATTTATTCTTTTATTCAAGCACTTAAACATAAAATACTTTAAGTCGTATTTATTTCTTATTATCATTCTTAAATTTATAAAATAAATAAACCAATCAACTATACAATTATGTTATAATTTATCCTTTATGTGTATCTCTGCTTAGTATTTTTTAGGAAAATGGCAAAACTAAAGCTATTACATTCAAAATTGTAGTTTTCAAAAAAACTTAAAATTATATTTTCAAATCAAAAAGTAAATTTATCTCAATTATTAAGTAAAAATAGAAAATTGATTGAGAGAAATACCCTTTAAGATTAGAATTTATTTTTTCTTATATGTGATTTAATACTTATTCAATTTAGCTTATTTTATTACAATTGAAAGAAATTTTCCTACACTCTGGCTGGAGTTTTCTATTTATTTCTTATCAATCAATCAATTTAAATGTTAAATAAATAACTCAAAACATACATACATTATTTTACAAAATCTCAAAATAATCATCTATTAATAAAACTAATATTATGATATAAAATATCTTTCAATTTAATACATAACTTTTCATAATATATTTTAAAGAATAATAAATTATATAACAGTAATACTTGATAATTTATTTTGATCGTTAGGATAATAAACCTATGTTAACATATAATTTATTTCTTACTGCCTTGGTTTATTTATTAATAAAGAAAGGTTTACAAAATTACTTTATTTAAAAATAAAGACACTTACTGGGCATTACAGATATAACGTGAAAAGTTGCGTTATGCTGACCATCTTTAGAATATGATAAATTCCATTTTATGTTCTTAAATAAACTTGTGTAACTGCTAGAATTTGAGTAAATTGAGAATGGCTATTACATATCTAAAAAAATATAATCCTCACTTTTACTCAATCATAAGCTTCGCAACATAAAAAACATAAAAGCTAAACAAAGTCAATGTTTATCTTTAACGTCTAGTTTAAACTCTTAAAAATCTTAACAACAGTAGCTTCATGTAGCTAAATCATAGTTTACCTTTATCATTTTTGATAAGAATATGGTAAAATTTTAATTCTTTAATAAGGAAATAAAGATGATCATTATTAAATTTTTTTTTTGTATTGATTAGAATAAGAAGTTTCTTAATTTTATACTTTAAAATATGAAATAAAAAAGATAAACTGTTTTTGAACTTCAAATAAATTATTTTTTTGTGAATATTAAAAATATTTATAAAAAGAAAATAAAAAACTCATTCAATATTATATTTAATATATTAATTTAGTTGAAATATTTTTTGTTTGTTATACCTATTTTAATAAAGAAAAAATTTTTCTTTTCCAACATTAAACAAAGTGAGATATATCTAATTACTAGCTAAAAATAAAAAGAGAAACTATTAAACATAAATCATAAAATTTTATAGTTTTACTCATTTGCGAAATAACTATAATTTTAAAACAAATAATAATTTTATTAATTGCGAAAATTGAATAAAAAATGATTTTTATTGAATATTTTGAATCTGTAAAAAGTTTTATATCATTAATTTTTTATTATTTTGAAGAAAATGTCTTAAATTTTGCTTCTTAAATATCAATATATCTCATTTTTTTATTATTACATTTATTTGTAATATGCTGGTGCTGGTTTATTTTAATTTTAAAATAACGAATAATTGAGTTAGTTTAATTTAGCTTGATAAAACTATCCATTTGTGTTTGGCTTTCAAAAATTGAGTAAAAAATTAAAAGATAAATGTTTGTTTATATGATGGCTAGTTAAATTTTAGCTAGTGATTCTTTAAGCTTAAACGCAAAAATTGAAATAACTATGATTTTCTCAACAAAAGTAATCATTTATCTAAATTGAAAGCTCGAATAAAGTTTAATTTAATTTAAAAAATAAAATAATACTTTTATCTTATGTTTTTTTAACTATTAAATTTGTGTATTAGATTAGATTTTAAATCAAAGTTAAAAAAAGATGATGAATGAATGAATAGCAACTATATAATTGATTAAAATTTTTGATGGAGACAAGTTAAATTGAAATTAGACTTTTTAGATTATTTAGAGTGAATCAATTATATTCAAATTAGACTGTTAACTAATTCAATTTCAAAAAAAAATTGCTAATTTATAAAATAAAAAAAATAGAAGATCTTTTGTTTAGTCATTTATTTTTGAATTTATTATTAAAATCAAATTAGAACAAAGCTAATCATTTCATTTTAAATATTTTTATAATTAGTATTTGATATCACTTATTTTTATAAATATATTGCCAATTAATACTTTTCAAATATTTTTTATTAATTATTTGTGTTAATTTTTTTTCATTTAAAAAGGAAAAAATCAAGTATTTAATTAGAAATGTCAAGCCCTAAGCTTACTGAAAGCCCAGGCTTAAATGAATTTTAAGAAAGTTTACAAGGTGATACATTTATTGTTAGCGATAAACAAAGTAAAAACAATTTATTTTTAATAGCTGTCTTCATCATCGCATATTAGCAATTACAAATCTAGCTAGATATTTTCTTTATTGACATATTTATATTTTCAAATAGTTATAAGTAGAGAAAATATTGATGAACTTAAGCAGAGTGATATTGAAAGCTGTGAATAAAAAATAGAAGATGAATCAATTGATTATATGTAGGAAGAAGAGTTTTTGTGTGATGATCTAGATGATTTTGAAACTGATATGTAGGATATCGATGGAGAGTAATATTTAGAGGAACAAGCTTTAGAATCTTATTTTTACTCATTAAAGAAGAGAGTACTCACTATTTTATATAAAAACTACTAAACTAAGCAGCTGCAAAAGCAATCTCTACACTAAATTTTGTTGAGATTTTAGGCCAAAAATTATTTTCTGCAATGGAATGAGCTTTCGCTTCAAATATCAAAGGAAACTTAATTGCAAGAAAACAATATATAAAATGGATAAGAAATTATGTTAAGCAAAAATAGTTTTGACTAATAAAAAGGCTATATGAGCACAAATATGGAGGAATTTTAAACAGATTGCTATAATCATCAATAAAAAGAAACTGATTGCTTAAGTAATACTTATAAAAATAAATAAGAAGTAGAAAATGTTCAAAAAACAAAGGAAAATAGTGAGTCTTTTAAAATTGAAACTCAAAACGAATCTTAAAGATCATCAAAAATAGATAAAACAGAATATAATTATGAAGATTTTTAAAATTCAAATATGAAATCTTTTGATTAAATAAACGAGAAAATATTTTTTGGAAATTAGTCTGAAGACATCAATGCTCTCAAGGATGAAAATTAAGTGTTTGAATAAAAAGAATTTGAAATTAAAACTCAAAGTGCGAATCAAATAAATCAATTTTATATAGATGATGTTTAATTTATTGATTAAGAGTAATTTGATGAAAGAGTAGATGGATCTTCTAACTACAGCTCAATTAATTGTGGAAGTTCATAAAATAAAGAAAATGGTCAACATAAAACTTAGACTTACTAACATCTAAATGTTTTTTAGTAAAAAAGTGAAAATTAAAAAAATTAAAATACTGAATAAAGCAGTACAGACAGAAGCGAAAGAAATGTAGTCTAAAAATCATATATCTAAAATACTGCTTGCAATTCATAATATCTCAGGAAAGATGATCAATAATCTAAAGTTTTAAATACTGAGCATTAATCCTAATTTGTTTACAAAGATTAAGCTACGTAAAAGGTCATATTAGAATAGGCATAGCCAAACACTACAATTTATTAGCCAAAATAAAATAACTAGAATGAACTTTAAGTCGAGCAAAGTATTTATGATGAAAGATCTTTTGACACACTCTCCACATAAAAGCTAAGTCAATCAGGTATCTAAAATAAATTTAGCAACAACAAGGAGTCTGACAAGACCCATATTTGTTAGCCTTAAAAGAACTAAGACTTTATAGATTCTTATCGCAAATAATCTTCAGTAAAATTGTATAATCTGACTATTGGTAACAATTTTAATACTTTAAATAACACCCAGATTTTAAGAGATAATGAAATCTAAGAGAGGGTTTAGGATCAATAAATTGATTAAAATATAATTTAAATAGCCCAGCCTACTTTTTAAAACTTTATAAACTAGAAAGAAGAAGCTAAAAAATAATTAAATAAAAATCAATCAGCTCATCTTGCATAGTAGCATAGTGTTTCAACCAATGAAATAGAAACTGATATTCTTAATTTTGAGAAATCTTTATTGAATCCTTAAATATTAAAAGATGAAGGCTAAAGTAAATCATAGACTGAATATGAAAATTCTTTAAATTAATAATAAAGCTGTTAAATTTCAGAGAGGAATAAATAGATAAATATAGATTTAAGATAGCTTAAATCGCTGGAAGATGAAGATTAATTAGCTTTTGAGAAAGAAAATTACTTTACCCATAGAAAAAATGACAACGATCATGACAAACGACTGTCTTAGATCGAAGCATTTTCTATTTCTAAAAACATTGAGTTAACTCCAGTTTAGTAATAAATGATACTCTCTTCTCACAGAAATAACATTAAAAGCCATAATACTTAATCTATCTCATAGGAACTTGAAGAAGAACAAGAATAAGCTGTAGATGACTTAGCTCATGAAGTTGCTTTCTACATATTTGGCAAAAAGTTATTTAAAAAGCTTAGACTAGCTTATGTAACACTCTTTTTCTTGAATTTTCTATTTTTTAAAGTTATTTACCTTAATTTTATAATAAAAAAGAAAACAACAAGGACTTTAGATAGACCCCAAAGTTCTCGTTGCGTAAGAGTATATTTAAAATTATTATGTTGTGATTTTCTTTGCTTGAATTATGAATAAACTTTTTTCCGCTTAAATTTCGTTTGATTTAATTTAGTTTATTTCCTGTTTTTTTTTTTTTTTTCCGAGACTCAATCAAAGAAAGATAAAAAAATACTTAATTTTAACAAAAATATTTAAATAAATAGCACTTAACTTAATATAGCAGCAATGAATAGCTAAGGATTTAATAAGTGAAGATAGAGACTATGAGAAAATGCTTTGATATGCTTAAATAGCTAAAAGACATCAATAAAAAAAAGAAAGAAATTTAATAAAGACTTTTTAATTACTATGAAGTGAGGTATATTCGCCGTCCGTTAAAAATTTGGTACCAAAATAATAAAATATGGTTAGCTCAAAAAGTAAGCTTCACAATAATTAGCTAAACTATGCTCAAGCTTTAAATTTGTGAGGCATTTAAAAAAATAAAGAAATACAGCCTGAATAAAAAGAGAGAAGATACAATAAATAATCTTCTGAAATACTATGAAAGGGCTCCTTCTCCTTATCTTTCGAAAAGCACAACTCTTGAAAAAAAAATATAAACAATAAATAAAACTAGCCAGAATTAAAATGAGAAAGGACTCTCTCAAATAGAATAAAATAAATCTTAGCTAAATAGCAAAAAACATTTTCAATCATTTGAAGAATTAGATAAAGAAAATAACTCGATTTTATGTAATATGAACACTCATTCATCATAAGTTGAAGATCCTTTTGTCTATTCGAGAAAAGATTCAAAAAATCTAAGCATGAATAATGTTACCTCAAGCAACAAAAGACTTTATTAGCATTGTTAAAAAAATGAAGAAATATTAAAAAACTAACCTAATTAGAATTCAAACTCTTCCTACCCAATCTAATTGAAGCAAGAGATATAGGCGACAACAGCAGCTACTAATATTTATCAGAAGAAACAAGCTGATGAATCTCAATACTAAAAATAACCTAATTTGAACTTCAGCATTCAGAATAAAAATTAGCAATAGAGTGAATAATTTTCAACAGAAGGAGAGTAAAATTTATAGATTTGTAAAAAAGTTAGGAACTTGAGAAATTATTAATCAATTCAAATTTATGAATATGGAATCAATAATTCTACAGAAGCCAGTGATCATGACTTGAATAACTACAATTCGAAGGTATCATTATTTGAATTAAATACCAAAACAAAGAACTCAATATCTTAGAATACAGATATTTCAGGAATTATTAGTGATAAATCTTCTATGGTTTATAATTGCTCCAGAAATGCTCCATTTAATTCAGGTTAAAGCTGCATTCCTACCTCTGCTAAATCTAATCACCAGAACCTATTAAAAACAAACGAAGAAGTTGTGAATACGCATAAAGAGGGAAATTTAAAAAATTTAGATTATAAATTCGAATAAGAGATTTCAACTTCAAAATTTAATAAATAATATGAAGAACCTCCTGATTAAAATTCTTCATTAAAAAATTCATTCATTTTTGAAAATAAAAATAATTTAAAAAGTACTTTTTCCTAAATTAATCAAATCTACTCAAAAAATGAAATACAGTCTGATAGATAAAAAAGTTAAAACTACCTTTTTGATTAAAATACAAATTGTATGACTTAAAAGCCTACACTTCTCCATAAAGGTTCCTCTAAATAATTTGAAAATAGAGCACTTTCCCAAAGAAATAATTTAAATGATTTAAATATTCAATAAGAAGCAACTGACTTTATTTGTAATTAAAAAAGTAAATTTTAAGAAATATATTAACCTCCTCCCCACTAAAATGAAAGTTATTAGAAAATCAACCTCACCCCAAAGAGGAATTAACAAAATTATAATTTCTCAAATATTTAAAATGTTAATAGCTAAAACCAAAGCAATTCAAATACAATAAAAAATTAAAATGCATTTACGTTTACACATAGTTAAATTAAAAATTCGCTCAGCGTTTCAACTCAGCAAACTAATTACGAAGAAAGAGATAAATTTTAAATTAATTCAAAAGAGTATTAATAATAACTTTTATCAAACATAACAAATAACTCGTCTTACTAATTAAAAGAAGCTGGAAAAATTAAAAAAAATTCATTTAATAAATCCTTTATTGAGGATAAAGAATAATTAGATCAAATTGATTCTTAAGAACTGAATATAAAAATTTAAACTAATCAAAAATAAAACTAAATATCAGCTAATACATTTGATCGTAATACTTTGAGCAATCGAGGTAAACATAGCTACAGCTTTAGTTAAAATCTAAATAGTTTCTCTAACTAGGATAATTACACAATTAGCAATAAACCAAGTAATTTAAATAACGATTCTAATGGATTGATTTCTTTTGTCAATCGTAACAGAAGCAGTAGTAGAATTAATCAATAGCTTGAATAATAAGCAGAGGCGTTTAACTCTAAAAAGTTGAATTCAAGTAGAAATTTATAAAATAATTTAACAGAAAAGCAAAATCAATCTTGCAATGATCAAATGCTATGCAGTAGTAAAATAGATGGCTAGAATTTATTTTTAAAGTACTAGTAAGGTTAAAATAATTAAAATGTACATGAGATCTAGTAATTTAAAATTTAACATGATAGACAAATAAATAACAATCCTCTAAAACCTCCTCTTTAACATTATTAACAAAAAACTGATAGATCTAGCGATAGCATGACTGTAGAAATCAAACCTTAAAACTAATTAAATATTTAGTAACAGGTTAATAAAATGGCAAAGATAGAATAAAATATTCACCACAAATCATAAAATTTCTAGAAAGACTCAAAAAATGGAGATCTAAATACATTAAATTCCTCTTTTAGATCTAATTCAAAAACTAATTACAACCCTCATTTTATTGAAAGTAATTAAATTGTGACTTTAAAATAAAAAGTAGATATTACTCCTTAAAGAAGAGTTTAATAAGATGAAAGCTGCAACTAGATTAATTTATCTCTACATCAAAATAAAGAATCAGAATAATATAAAACTACTATTAAATATTCGGCATATTAGAATTAACCAGATGATTAAGTAAATTAGTAAGAGTTTCAGCACTTAGAGACTATCCATTACAATTTACCTTAGAATTACCTTAGTCATTTAAAAAATAAATAATTTTCACAGAGGATATAAGAGACAGCAAAATAAATTGAAATAGGAAAGCTGCCAATAACTTAGTAAAAGCAAGAAAAAATTAACTAATTATAATAATACCAATATTTTAAATAAATCTAATAATAAAAAAGCCAATAATAATAATAATATTCAAATAAACAACTCAGCAATAGTTCATCAGTTAATAATAGTTTTTCAAGAAATGCATAAAAGCAATAAAATCAGAAAAATAGCAATAAAAATGATTCAATAAATGCATCACAAGAAAGAAGCAAAAAAAAAGATTTAACTGGTGTCGGTTAAAGCATTTAAAATATTTTATACTTCGAAGCCAAGATAAGAAGTAAAAGACTTGCTAGGAGCCAGGAAAGATCTAAAAATGACTCGATCGAGCTTTGCAAAAAACTTGAAAATCTTGAATAGTATATTGAATAAATAAATTTTGAGTTAAAATAAGAAAAAGAAAAAAAATCACTCTTGCTTGAAGAGAATGCTTAGCTTATTAACTAATAAGAATAATATTGAATGAAATAAATTTGAAATTATAAAAATTTTAAATATTTGTTCTTAAATGTATATAAAAACTATTAATATAATTATTATTATTGTTATTTAAGGAGTCTTTCTATTACTATCAATCAATCAAACTTTTGAAGAGTTTGTAATTTTCTCTTAAAATAAATTATTGCATTCAAATTTTTATAATTTTGTTGTTTTTTAAATTAATTAATGTAAATAAAATGAAAAAAATTAGATTATTTAACTTTTTAAATATGAAACAATTTTTTTTTGAGATAATAAAGAAAGAAGATGATATTTTTTGCAAACGTTTTATATTACTTAAATATTTGATATAGCAAATTAATATTTTAAAAGTTTAATTATATTTTATAATATATTCAATAATTACCCTTTAAAGAGCAATAATAATAATAAAAATTTAATTTCTTTCTAAATAACAGATTCTCATAATTAATTATAAATTTTATGTATGAATTCATTGTATTTTAAAAAGTATATATATCATAAATGTAACAAATTTGATAAAAATCCTCTTATAATTTTAATTTTTATGTTTTATTCTCTTTATAGAATCTGCTAATTTTATGGAAAAACTTATTTAATTATTTTATAATAATTTATTTTAAAGATTAAAATAATTTAGGAATTCTTTATTATAATTTCAAAACAAAAATTTAATATGTTTGTAATGTGTGTATATTTGTATGTATGTATTTATATTTATTATTTTCGTTAATGAGAGATAAAATTAAACAGCTACTTTATTATTTCTTCTGGAATTTAAGAATATTTAATATCCACTTTAATAATAATGAGGAATAATCCTACATAAATATTAAATCATTTTTTAGATATTTTAAAAAATTGAAGTATAGATATTTTTAAAGGGAAAATATTAAATTAAGTCTTATTATCAAACAATACCAAAGTAGAAAAGATAACAATTAGAACAAATAAAAACTAAGCAATTTAAAAAAAGATGGAAACTCAAGATAGCATTTTTGAAATAGTAGAGAATTTTAATGGTGAAGGATTAAGGTAAGATAATATAAATATTTTTATGTTTAAAATATCGACTTACTAAAAAATATATTTTATTAATAGCAAATTGAAGGAATAGTAAAGCGAATAGGATTTTAGATCATAGTTAACATCTAAAAATGAACACGGATAGACTGTATTGCACGTAGCTTGTTAACTAGGATATACTAAAATGATTATTTAGATTTTAGAGTATTTAGAAAGCTTGTCTGTAAGCAATTTTTAGCAGATATTTATTGGATTTTCATAAAATTTAGATTTTATAATGAATAATCAAAATTAATTGTAAATAACTATTTATTTATAATAAAGTTAATTAATGAAGTGATTGATTCAGTAGATAGCAATCATTTTACTCCTCTTATTTTAGTTATTAAATCTACTGATGATGGCATTCCTGAAGCAGTAGAAGTACTTTTGAAATTTAATGCAAATCCTAATGTACAAGATAAAGATGGAAATACTGCTTTACATTATGCAGCTTCTATGGGTTAAGAAGAATGCTGTGAAATATTATTGAATAGCAATAAGATAAATATTAATTCATAAAATAGTTTTGGAGGTAAAAAATATTATTTAGTTAACAATTTCTTTAATAATGATGTATTTTGTAATGTAAATTTAATAGAGACTCCTTTGATTCAGAGTATTATTGAAGGCTAATTTAACATTATCAATATGTTACTGAACCATAAAATTGACCTAGAAATACAGGATAAAGTTAATATTTATATTAATTTTTAACATAATTTTTTTTCATTTTTAAATTTTTATAATTTGATAAATTCTTACCATAAAATTAGAAAGGCAGATCAGCTATACATTATGCGGCTATTACAAAAGGAAATAGCCCAGCTTATATTCGCTGTTTGGCAGAAAAATGCGATTTAAATAAGAGAGACTAAGAAGGTAATACACCTTTACTTCTAGCAGCATCATTGTCATTGAAGAAGCACTATAGAGCTATAGAATTACTAATTAATCTTAATGTAGATTTAACTGCTAAAAATAAATAAAATAAATTAGCTCAAAACTATGTCGAATAGCTTGACTTAGAGGATAAAAAGACTGAATATTACTCAATTTTAAGAAGTGCATTTAAAAAAAAAGGAATCATTCTCTTAGAAGAAGGTACTAATGAAAAAAGAGAAGCACATAAAAAATATTAAATGGAATAGGAAATAAATGTATCAAGTGATGAAAAATCAAGCAAAAAAGGTGGATGTTGTAGCACAGGTAGCTGCAGTAGTGCTAGTAACTCTGAAGATAAATAAGTTGATGATTAAAAGAATTTATCAGAAAAATAAAATAAAAAATCTGGCTGTTGTTCTGATTCAAGTAGCTGCTGTGGTGATGGCAACAGTACAAAAAAGGAAAAAAATAGTTGCTGCAGTGATAATGGGAATAGCAGTTGTAATACTTAAAAATAACAAAAATCTGAAGGTAATATTTAAACTGCTGCATCTAAAAAGGGTTACGACTTTTAAGAAAAGCTAATAATTGCTGCTTTAGTTCCTTTGAACATTGTCTTTTTTTATTTATTATTTTAGGTTTTTATGTAATCTAAGTGATATAATGATGAACAGTTAACATTTATAGAATACTGGAATTTATTTTAAAAATATGATAAATTCTATTCTTAAATAACTGACTTTGGCTGTCAGTTTTATATTTAATTAGTTTTTTATTCTAGTATGCAATAAGAATTAAGCCAGCTACTTCATTTACTTTTTTAAATTTATGATTACTTTTGAACCCACCGGTTAAATTAATATATTATTATGGTTAGTTAATTAAGCTTATTGTTCATATAATTTTAAATTCAACACCACCATTTTTAACATTTAGTTTAAAATTTCATAATTTTTATTTCAAAAAAAAGTTAAGTTTAAGTATCAATAGTGATTTTATCAAATAATAGATAAGATTTTATTGATTTTCTGTAAAAAAAAATTAATTTTATCAAAATAATTTACAATTTTTCTAAATTTAAAATTCTAAATTTTTTAAGTTATTTTTAAATTTAAATATTTTGAAGATTTATTTAAAAAAAATAAAAAGACTTTTTATTTAAAAAATTTTAGCTTTAACTAACTAATTCTAATTTAATGATTTAAAAAAGAATTTATTATAAGAAAAAACATTTTTAAAAATAATATTTCGGATATTAATTTTTATTTAAAATTAATTATTTAAATAAATCAATATTATGATCACATAATATCAATAAAATATGCAGCGAACTTTAATTTTGAAATTTTAAAATTATTAATTAAAATATTTCTAGATATGAAATAAGACTATTAAATAATATATTCTAAATATAAATTTATTTTAGATTAAAACAGTAAACATAAATAAGCTTTTAAAAATTTAATTTAAAAAAATAAGATAGTTTTTTAATTCTAAAATTGTTTAAGGATATTAGATTATTCAGATAGAGATATTATAATAATATATATTAAATAAATATAATTCTAAACTATTTTTACCATAAAATTTAACTATTTTTACTGTAACATTTAACTTATAAGTAAATAAAAAACTAAATCATATTTTCATTCTTAAAATTTTTATGTGATTTAATATTTGAACATTTCAGAAAAGCAATGAGCGGATTAAAAAACTTGCAAAAATAATTATAAGTACTATTAAGGATTTCAAAAGCATATTCTTTTCTTTTAATAGATCCTTTGCCTTGTTCTTTTCATATTCTATTAATTAGTTATAATGGGCCTTTAGCTCTTCATTTAATTTAGTATTTTTATAATTTACATTTTCTTATTCTTAAAATTTCATTTTTATTTCTCTGTTTTCCTACTCTAGCTTTAAGCTCTATAAGACATACTACTCTATTTACTACTAAAGTTTTTGAGTAGTGAATAAAAATTTCTATTTTTCAATTTCAAATTAGGTCGAAATATTAGGCAATACATTTAGTCTTTCAGATTACATTTTTAGATTATTTTAATATTTTAATAAAATTTATTCTAATTAATGCAATGTGTCTTGTTCTTATTACTATTACAATTGCTAAGAATTTAAATGAATTTAGGATAATTACTCATTTTAATTTGAATTTAATGCTTCATCTTTAATGTCCTAGTTATTATATTTTATTATTAAGCTATTTAACTTTTCTAAAATACAATCATATTTTTATTTAACTTTTTCTTCTTTGATATCTTTTTTTTAGCTTTCTATGTATTATTATTTGATTATTTCTAACTCGTCATTTTTAAATTTATAATTATTTAAAATCAACTTTGTCTTTTCTAATTCTTCTTTCATAGTCTATAACTAATTTTAATTTTTAGTCAATTCCATTTTCCTAATTAAAGCTATCTTCATTATTTCAAATCCATACCTTTTTTCAAGCAACTTATTTTACTCAAAGGCCTTATTTATTGTTGACTCTGCCCTCTTTAGCTAAGAATTAAATATTTCTTTTTGTTAACTTAAAACTTTGCTGTTATCTTCTAAAATTTTATTCATTTAATTTTGTAGATCCTAAATTGTCTTTTATTAAGTACTTATTTATTTTTTATAATAGTCTATCTCTATTTCTAAATCTGATATCTTCTTTTACATGTCTATTTTTTAGTAAATCCTTTATTCTTTTTAAACTGATAAATCTTATTCTGCTACTCTTGTATCTCTAGGTCCAAAGACCTCCAAATTTTAATCATCTTCATCTTCTTGCTTATTAGAATTAAATCTGCTCTATACTGCATCATAATCATTTTACTGCTTTTAAGCTACAAAGGACCTATTAGGAAAATCAGCCAATCCTTGATCATCATCTTCTTCTTCTTCACTTTTATTATCATTAAAATCTAACTTATCAATAGAATCTGTATCCTATGCATCACTTTTTTAATATCCTTAATCTTTATCCTTCATTTTATTAAAGAAACATAATATTAATTAGAATTAAAAAAACTTATGATATAAATATTACATTTAAAATCTATTAAGTTTATCCAAATTTAGGGGAGCCCAAAGATTTATTTTAAAGCATGTTATCCTATAGCTCTTTGGTCTTATCTACTTTCTAGTCTAAAAAATCTAACTTTTATGGTTGAATTTCCTAAACTAAATTAGAATTATTAATATGTTTTTTATTATTAATCTATAAAAAATGGTCTTATTTAATTTTTAAATACAAATTTTAAGATTTATTAAGTCATGAATTAACTTAATTTTGAATTTCTAACATTTTTTAACCAAATGAGATTAAAATTATTTACTAAAAATAAAATTTTAAAGCAAAAAGCTTTATTTGTTTTTGAAATTTTATTGATGTTTTTTTAATTTAAAAATTAAGTTTGGCTGATTTTGAAAAGAAATCAATGAAAATACATTTTTGGTTTATCAATCAAATAAAAAGATAAAGTTTTGAAAATTATTTTTTAAATTACCTTTCATAAAGAATGTATTGCTTTTAGGAGAAATATTTTTTTATTAATCTTAATTAGCTTAAAAAAGAGATTGTTAATTCCCAATTAAGCTTAAATTTTACTATTAATTTCCTTACTTAAGAAATTATTTTAAAATTTCAATAAGTTTATATATTAATTTTACCTAAAAAAAAGGAGAGGAATTGGTAGAAAATAAATTAGATTAGGCAGGTGATTAATTTTGCTATTATATTGGTGATTGATTTTTCTAAAATAAACTATTATTTATATCATTATTTGTAGGGTTAAAAATATTTGCAGGTTGAGAAAACATATTTTTGGAACTATCTGTTTTCTAAGCGATGCTTTAAAATAAATTTGAATTTGTACTCTAAAATAATGAGCTATTGTTTTTATTTTCTGCTCCAGGCTATGCATAAATCGCATTTTGTTATGTGTTTTAATTGTTTTTTATTGCATTATTTTATCCAAATAAATTATCTATGGTATTCTTCTACTAACTATCTAAATTTGTATAACCTATTTTAAGTTAATAAAACTACCTTAAAAAATGCTAAATAGGCTATATAAAAATATAAGTTACTTCCGAAGATATTGTTGCTTATCTGAAGTGAAGATTCAGAGCTAACATTGCTTATATTTTGCTATTTATTACTCATGGGAGCTAATTAAAAAATTAGTTTTCTAAAAACTAACAAAAAAATTTAAAATGTAATTGTAAAAATTTACCTCCAAAATTATTAGAAAATAAAGCAGATTAAGTGTTGCCTGCTTAGGTTGTGTCTTTTTTATCTTGAATAGGCTATGAAAATATATTTAAAATGTTGTTATTTTAGGCGTTCATACTTTGCCGCTAAATAAATAAGATTTTTAATTTTTAATATTTAACTTTGATCTGCAAAATTTATCAACGGATTTGTTAATTAATTAATTAAACACTTTTTAGCAAGCTAACATATTCTAAAAGATTTTTAGAAAAATATTGATTGCAATTTTAAATAAATTAAGATATAGTAATATTGACCAACATTTATTTACCTTAAAAAATATCAGGCCACATAATTTAATACAATTTATTCAATTTAATTAAATTATAATATATTTATTAATAAATTAAAACTTATCAAACATGAATGTATGTATACAGTTGGGTTTTAAAATTTATATATTTAGAATGATTTATATTTATAATACCATGCATTCTCATTAATAATGATTTCTTAAAGAGGGTAAAATCAACTTTTGAAAAATCTCTATTAATTAAAAATCTTTTTCCTTTTCTAATAAATAAATGGCTTAATTTTTGAGTATCTAGACTATATATAAATAAATTGATGTGTATTACATTAAAGTTTGATTAATAAAAGGATTATATGTAAAAATATATGAGTTTTACATTTTGTTGTATGAAATTAAATCAATATTTGATTCATTCATTGGTTTACAATTTAATTAGAATATTCAAACAAACAATACAAAAAATAAATTTGAGATCATCAATATTTTTTAATTTTTGTTTTAGTTTAATCAGCATCTAAATCATCTAAGACATTAATATTTATGTTTGGACGGAAAATATTAGGTTCTATTTCTTCTATACCTTCCATATTAGTGATAAATGTTAGGTTATAATTCTTTTTTTCAAGTAAATCAACTGCTTTCACAGGGGTTTTAGAAGCAAATTATGGCACTTTCTCTAATAAAATTTAATCAGAATTAAAGAAGTGTCTGAACCATCCTTTAAAAGATGTCTATTCACCAGATATCCCAGAACCTACAAACCTTGGCACACTTGTTTCTTCAAAGATAGTATTCCAGAACTAAACAATATCTGGCTAATTAGGATTTTTCATTTAGCTAATGAAGGTATTAACAATTATTAATACATTAGATAAGTAATTTGTAAAGTATATATTTAAGTAATAATTTTCTTTCAAAGTAGAAATCTTTCCTGCTAAATGCTCAAAATCCTTAATACCGCCAACAAAATGAACATTTTATATGCCGCATCCACCTCTTAATATTGTGTATTCAAAATAATTTTGCATTGAAGACATTAAACATATATTAGAAGAAGCTTTTTCTATCCAATTAGTAGAAGAGAAATCATTTTTAATTAATTAAGCTATATCTCCTTTAGTGTTTTTGGATATTTCAGTGTTAAATAACTCCATCGCTGTGTCCCATCTATTATTTTAGCAAGGAAAGTTTTACCAATCTTAGGATAACCCATTAACTTCAATAGTTAACACTTTCTTTCCTTCATGAAATACAAAAAGATCTCTATATTTTTCAGGATTTGAATTGACTTCTTTTGCGAATTTATGGCAGATAGTAAGCCATATATCATTAGCTGAAATCATTACATCTCCATGCAAGAGGTAGGCAGCATAAAAAGCATCAAAAAAGCTGTTTTTAGATATTTAAAACAATTTACTATTCTATTTCATTAAATTGTTTTAAGTAAAATAAGTTGAGGCTGTAGTTGAAGTAACATATTCTTTTATAATTTTTGATCGTAAGTCTTTATCCTGTAAAGGGGTTTATTAAATCTTAAGTGTGAAAATTTTTAGGTTGGAATTTTAATTTGATTATTAATCCATTTGTAAATATTTTTATTGAATTTTTAATTGTATTGATATAATAAATATTATTAAATTTTGATAGATCTATAATTTTTGATAAGAATTTAATTCTCTTTTTCTCTATGAATTAAAAATTTTCATTATCTTAAATTTTAGATTTCTTATCAAACAGGGTATCTATTACAATTAATAAGATTTGTTTATAATAAAAATAAATATTTAATATAGAAAAATAAAAAGATTAGACTTATTATTAGTATTTATTAGTTCTAATAGATTAATTTTTTCTTCAAAACTATAAGAGAAAATAAACAATATAAATAAGTTTTCTTAAACAAAATATTTTTTTGATCTTTATTTAAATCCTATTCAATAACTCAATCAGGAAATAAAAATTTTATTATATTTAATTTTAAATTTCTAATAGATACGTATTCATTAGAGTTAAAAAGAATTCAATACAATAAAAATAAGGTAAATATTTAATATAGAAAAATAAAGAGATTAGACTTAATTTATCTTAATTATAAGTATTTATTAGGTCTGATAGATTATTTTTTCTTCAAAACTATAAGAGAAAATAAACAATATAAATAAGTTGTTTCTTAAACAAAATATTTTTTTGATCTTTATTTAAATCCTATTCAATCAAGAAATAAAAAATTTTATTATCTTTAATTTTAAGATTCTTATAGATAAGTAATATTTAGAGTTAAAAAGATTTCACTACAATAAAAATAAAATAAATATTTAATAAAGAAAAATAAAAGATTAGGACTTAATTATTAGGATTTATTAGTGCTAATAGATTAATTTTTTCTTCAAAACTATAGGAAAAAATAAACAATATTAGTTGCTCCTTAAACAAAAAATTTAAAACGAGATAACTAACTAATTTATTTGCTCCTGTTTAAATTATTATTTTACTAATCTTATAATTGATGACTACAGAAAATATAATATCAAGGAAATGAATATCTACTCTATTTTTTAAATTTTCGAACCAATATTTATAATTTATTTTCGCCACTGATATTTTATATCAATTAATAATAAAGTTATTCTTTTTTTAAAAAAAATATAATGTTGTTTATTAATAAAATTTTAATTTAATATATAAATTTAGTATTTTTATTTAAAAATGGATCTATTTATTTTTAATGATTGTTTATTTTAAATTTTATATTCAGAATTAATTAAAATATCAATCAATATTTTTTATTAATTTAATTATTTAAATAGGACTTTAAAATAAACATATTATTGATCATTTTTAATACATAACTAAATAAACTAATTAAAAAGTATTTAAACTAATTTAAATTGATTCAGTTTTTAAGCTGGTTCTAAGAAAAAGTATCTTTTATTAATAAAAAAGTTAGTAATTTCTAAAATAATTTATTAATAAAAGTTCTTTATTTTTGCTTATGAAGAAAGAAATTCTTCATTTTTTAATCGAAGAAATCATGATTTCATTTATGATAATTTATTATTTCTTAAATCCTAAATATTTGAATAATAAAAAAAAAATTATTAACCTTAATCATAAAAGCTGATTAATCTTAAATTCTACCTTTTAAATTGAAATAAAAAATACATAAATTAATAAATTATCAATTTGAAATATTTTTTACTTTAATTTTAAAAAATTTTTTAGTAATTAAAATATTATTGGTATTGATTTTTGTAAAATTAAAAAATATAACAATTTATTAATATCCACTAAAGAGTATTATTAATTTTATGTAAAAATAAAGTTAATTAAATTAATACTTTATGTTTTAAAATTAGAATTTTTTTGATAAAAATTTAAATTCGTGATTAAAAATTAGATTTTTTGTCACTGTTATCAAATAGAGAGTATTAATTGTTTTTTCTATTGTAAAAGATAAAAAATATTCAAAATAATTGCAAAATTATTAATTAAGTTCAAACCAAATTCAAATATTTTGTAGTAGAGTTTAGAATGACTGATTCATATACTCATTTATCCTAATAGTTTGATGGGGCATCAAAAAATTTTAGTGAAAAAACAAAATAGTTAAAACTACCAAAGCCTCCTAAGCCATAGCCAGAAAAGATTTCTAAATAAGAGATTGAAAATTAGTCAAAAGGCTAAACAAAACAAAGTAGCAATAAATCATAAAATGAAAACAAAGATCCAAGCAAACCTCAAACAGGTTCAAAGTAGAACTCAAAAAGCTAAGCATAATTGCAAGGATCGTAGTAATCTAAAAATAAATCAGAAGGATAAAATCAATAGTCTAAATAGCAATCTAATGTGCAATCTCAAAAAAGTAAATAGGAATCTCAGTAATAAAGTGCAACAACACCTTATGTAAGCTCTAAACTTACAGAGAGTGAAAAAAAAGCAGTAAGCAATTAATCTAAACAGCAATCACAATAAGTATCTCAGCGTAACCAATCAGATAATATGAAGTCTGTTTTAACAATGTCAGATGATTAAAAATCTTAAGTAAGTAAAGCCAACACATTTTAGAGACCAAAATCTCAATCAAGACTTTGGTCAGAGCACACTATTTATACAGAAGATCAAAAGGTAATATTTTGCAAAAAATCTTAATTTTATAAAATATTTTTTTTAATGAACCAAATGAAATCTTTTGCTAATTCAAAATAATTATTTGAATTTAAAGAAAATAAGTTATTTTATGATTAAAGGCTAAAAAGGATAAAGAAAAGAAAGAAAAAGATGAAGAAAAGTAGAAGTGGCATTATAAAGGAAATTTAAAAGATAAAAAATCATTTGATTATTTTAAAACAACTAGGTAAAATTTGATAATAATTCTTTATTTTCATAATAAATATATTTAACGATATTTAAATCTAAATAAACAAGCAATTAAATATTTTATTCTTTTTTTACTAAAATTTTTTTATGATAGAGTAAGTACATGCTCTTTTATTCAGAAAGTGGGAGATGTATTGTTGGCATAACCCTTTTACAAGGTAAAAAAATTAATTTACATAGAATAAATTTTTATTGGTTTTATTTTATTAGGCACCATAAAGAGAAAAAGAAATAAAATTGTAAAAAGAAAGCTTAAAAGCAAATGATTTTAAAGTTAGACCTTAAACGTGCACAGGTGCTTCAAAAAAACCACTTGAACCTTACAATCCAAATGCTGCAAGAAATACCTTAAAAATACCTGATGTAAAAATGCCTCATAGGAATAAAACAACTTTTGAGTTGAATGATGGCAGTGATCCAAAGTATATGTATAAAACAAAAAATAAAAACATATATGGTAACTTTGCATAAAATTATCATTCTAACAATCCAGCAATAGCATCAGATTTAGCAAAAAGAATGCATTTCTAAAATGAAAAATGATTTAACTAAGTATTTGTTTTTATAAATATTATTTATTATAAAAAGTTGTTTCCTTCAATTATCGTAAAAATTTAACAGGCATTTTTATTTTTATTCTAAATTAAAATAAAAATATTTAAATGAAATTTTTTTGATTTTTAAAAAAAGAATTTTAAATTATAAATAGTAGTTAGTATTTTTATGTTTTTTTGATTTTAACTTTTTTTTTAAGTTTGTTGATTAGTTAAAAAACATATTAAATATTTTTGAAGAAATTATTACTTAGATAATAAATAAATTATTTAATATTTGGCAATTTAAAATAAATAAAAATAAAAACTATTTTTATATCGAAATAAATTTGAATTTACAATTTAATTATTAAATGTTAAATTTAGCTTTTTAAAAAATAAATTAGATTTTATCTTATTATTTGAAACATATATTTAAGCTTTATTTATTATTAGTTGAAAAATATATAGAAGTTTTATGATTTATATGTTTTGGTATGAGTTTAAAATACTTAGCTTAAATAAAATTTATCAAAATAAACTAAATTTTTTTTAATTAAATCTAAAAATCTTATTTAAATTTGTATTTTTAAATTTTGCTTAATAAAAAATAATAAATAAAAAGATTTTGTGAATTGAATTTATCAATTAAAATAAACATTAAAAATAAGGTTTTTCAAACATAAATTAATAATTTAGAATTGTACATATTAAAATATTTATATCATTAATAAATTATGCTATTTTATTTATTTGCTAATCAGTTTCTCTTGGTGGTCATGTTGGGATAAATCCATTCAACACCAGGAGTGTAACCCAAAGTGCTATATAATTACTTTCTTGTTTGCATGCTGATTTTTATTAAAATGTATTAGTTTAATAAAGTTGAATTAATGTAATATTTAATTTAAAGGATTAAATAATTTACTCAGGAACTGATTTTTCTTGAGTACCGTCAGCAGCAAGTTGCTTGAATAAATCATCAACAGCCTTCATAGCTACTCTTAAACTTGAGACAGGATAGATAACAATATTATATCCCCATGATTTGAAGTCGTTAACGTGGATGTAAGGAGTCTTACCAAATTCAGTCATATTGGCAAGTAAGTAGGGACCACCCTTGGGACCATAACCCTTCAAAGCTTAAGCAACAACTCTGAATTCTTCAGCAGTGTTTAAACCTATTATTATTTATGTATGATTAATATTACTTTAAAATATTTATAATATAATACCTTCAGGGAAGATCATGTCTGCACCAGCATCAATGTAAGCCTTAGAACGTTCAATAACGGCATCTAAACCTTCAACAGAACGAGCATCAGTTCTAGCACAGATAACGAATTCTCCATCAGAGCATTTCTTACTGGCATCAACAGCGATTTAAACTTTTTTAGCAAAATCTTCCTTAGGAACTAAAGCTTTTCCATCAAGATGACCACATCTTTTAGGGAAAACTTGATCTTCAATATGTAAACCTTAATTTAAATAAATGGAAAGTTAAATTAATTTTTTAATAAGAAGGATTATTTTTTATGCTTTCTGATTAAAATTTGCATATCAAAAATTTTGTTTAATTAAGGCTGAATGTGATGCAATATTTTCTAGTTATTTAGCTGTAATTTAATCAAAGTAAAGCAATTTTCTAAATTTTTATTGTAAAATCAAAGATTTTTCCTTCTTATTTTCATAAATAATCAATTTATTTTTATCTACACTCCAATTCTGTATTAAATAATTCAAAATTGTTTTTATTTATTTACCTGAAGCACCAGCTTAGAAGTAATCCCAAACAGTTCTAGCGCACATTTCTCCTTCTCCGAAACCGGTATCAGCATCAGCAATAACTGGAAGACCACTGGCCATTGAAACTTCCTTAATGACTTTGCAGAAACCATCCAAAGTGACCAAACTTTTTATTTATTAATTATAATTAATATTTTGGAAATGAAAAATGAGATAATTGTTAAAATCATATCTATAAAAACTGAAAAGCATAATAATTACCCAATATCTGGAACACCAGTGGAAGCAGTAACAGCAGCACCTGAAACATAAAGAGATTTGAAGCCTAATTTATTAAAAATAGTTAGCTTACTAATTTACATTGCTTAAAATCTATGAAATCTTATTATCAGCTATGAAAACTTAATCTATTACCATTTTCAGCAGCGATTCTAGCACTCATACCGTTGAATGCACCAGGAACCATGATGCAGTCGTTGGTCATCAACTTTCTGAAAGTTTTGCAATTGTTAAGGAAAGACATTTTATGATAATTTATTTTGTTTACTACTTTTTATGAGAAGATATTTCCAAAAAGGATATTTTTTGATTTATTATTATTATATTTTCAAGATAAAGCTCTCTCGTATTTATAATTGATTATTTTTTGATATTTATTTTTATTAATTAATTAATGATAGACTCCTACTTGTTATTTATATAAATTAATTACACAGTTAAAATAATATTCATAAGTAGGATCAAGCAAGCACATCTTACTAGTTATAAACTTATATTTTTTGTATAGAAGGATCTGGTAAAAATAAATGTTTATCTATTCTCTTTTTTATTAAAAATTCTATTCCGTATTTACTTTTATTAGATTGATTGGCTTAAGATTAAATAAATCGGAATATATCAATATTCATTTTATATGTACCATCATTTTATGCAGAATAAGTCACTAACATATGCTTTGATTATATTTATCACAGAAAGAAGCAAATTTTTCGTTTTGAATTTATTAATTTTGAAAATAAAAAAGAGTAAGAAGTCAGCTTAATAAATATAGCTTATCATAATAAATATCCAACCACTTAAATCAAAAAAAAAAGCAAAACTTTGCATCAATATATTTACTGAAATAGAAATTCGAGAAATATTTATTAGGCTGATACAATATATATGAGTTAGATTAAAAAAATAGCAGATAAGCAAATCAAAGTATAAAAGCCAGATGCAAATCTCTCCACTTTCGGTTTTCTCTTTAGCTCTATAATTTAATATCATTCATCTAAAAAGCGTAATGTTGAAGATGAATTGAAAAGTATGGGTGAAGGTATTGGAGTAAGATTGCTTGAATTAATTTATTTCAGAAACAATAAACTTAAAAAAGAAACAAAACATTTAGACATGATTTAATTCATTGCAAATACAGTAAAAAAATAATTATTTTTGTTTATTTCAAATCATCTATAAAATATTCATATTATTATAGATGTATTTTTTTTGAATAAATAATATTTCATTTGAAATAGGTATGGAAAACATTATTTGGCAAGAACGCTGATGGTATATTCCCAGAGGATGGTGTTAAATATGGGTATTTAATCAGAGATGATAATCCTACAGTTTTAAGATATATTTCAGAAGTTTAAGGTTAAAATGGAGCTGCTTTTGTTGCTGGAATCATATAAGGAATGCTTAATCATTCAGGATTTGAAGCAGAAGTAGTGCATGATACTATATATTAGGATACTGAAAACAATAGTGAAATTTCCATGTATCCTGCAACGTATTTTAGTATTAAATTTGCACCATACGTAGTTGAAAGAGAAAAGTGAAATAAAAGCAATGAAATACTGCAAAATAAATAATTTTATTCATAAAGAAATAGATTTTTTAATAAATAAATAATTAAATAAATAAATAAATTACTTGAATATAGAAAATGCTAAATATACTAATATCAAATAAATGTAATCAATTAATCAATTAATTATTGTTTTTATTTCTAAAATAATTTTTGTATTTATTTATAAGTATATGGTTGATTGTTATATTTGGTTATCCTGCATTCAATTAACATGTTTCTTGAGGACTCATTATTATTTTAATGAGCTTTTGTATGCTTAAAAGAATGAAAACATAGATTTTTTGATATAAAAAATTTATTATTGATTATTATATTCATCAGATAATTAATTTATATAATTTAAAAAAAATAAAGTAAATAGATATAAAATAATGAATTTGTAGAAATCTTAACTGATAAATTTATTCATATAATAAATTTAGATAAATTAAAGTACAACTATTTAAATAAAATCATTATTAAAATATATATGTAAGATTTTCATTAAATAAATAAGCTTTTATTGATTTTTAAATTTTTAACTTGCAATAGAAATATTTATTTCATAAATTTATAAAAAGTTAATAAAACAATACAATAAAATGAATTTTAAGTCTGGAAAGTTATTTTTCTAGTTAAATATTTGAGATAAAAAGACTTTCAAAGATAAAAAATAGTTAAATTAGAAAAAATTAAATTTTTTTTTTTAATTTAAAGTTTGTGAAAAGTTTTTATTACTACAAAAAAATAAAATTAAAATAAAATAAAAAAATTTATTTAAAATTTAAATAATCTAATAAAGTTACTAATTTTAATTCAAATACTTTCTCTTTTAAATTTAATTACTATAGCGATAGATCATATTTAATAAATTAAGATAAAGTGATGATTGATATGATATGTAAATATTATTTTTGTTAAATTGTAATCAGTTCCAACTATTTGTAATTTAAAGCAAAATAAAATTAATCAATTTAAATATATAATATTATTTAGTTTTTTATTAAGTTATTTAACAATAACTATTTATAATTTATGAATTATTTTATTTTTTATTTCAATTTTTAAAATTAATTTACACAAAATTTTATTATTAATAGGAATTATATTCTAATAAAAATTATTAAAATAAAATTGATACAAAATTTAATACTTAAATTAATTATAATACTCCTATTTTTATTTACAAATAGTAGGATTATTTTAGTTAAAAAAATATTATTATGAAAAACCAATAATGTTTAAAACTCCAATTTTCGTTTAAATAAATTTATTTACAAAAAAGCATGCTTGTCGATATTTAAATAGAAATGATCAGATTTATAATATTAGTATTTAATAAATAAAATTCAGTTCATGAATTGAAATTGGTAATATTTAATTAGTTATTTAATATTCATCCAAAATATTTTCTCAAAAAATAATACTATAAATATTTAAATTAAAGAATTCAATCATAAAAATAAAAAGATATATTGGAAATTGCTACAATTTTTTATTTTTAAATTGTTTTTTTTTTAATGAGTTATAATGATTTATAAAAAATCTATTTTGTTTTTCTATTGTTTTATATATATAACATGTTTTATGCTAACCTGATCATAATTATCATTCAGAATCAAGTTACACATTACAATTATTATTTGTTAATAGAAAAGATAATAGTTATTTATTTTTGTAGTATAAGTATGGAATAAAAAATTGATATTCATTTATTTATTTGATTTGTAAATAAATTATTTATAAAATAATTTTTTTCCAATTTTTTTGATAGGATTTAATCATTTCTCAAACAATATTACAATTAATATTTTTTTATATTTATTGCAAAGAATGTAATATATTTATCAAAAAAAATCGATTAGTAAGTAAAAAAAATATTAATATGATATTCATAAATATTATGAGTTTAACTTGAATAAATTGTTTAAAATTATATAAAATCATGTTTATTATTTTTCTAAAAATATATTTGATTTGTATTTATAAAATATTATTTTAAAAAAAAATAAATATTCCTATTTCGTTCTAATATAAGTTAACTTATAAATAAAAAAATTTAAATAATAAAAAACCAAAGTAAAAAATCAAGAAATACTTAAAATATTTAAAAATTAGATCATTGATATTTTTTTAATAAGTAAAGTAGAATATTTTTGTCAATAGATTTTTTGAAAAAATTACTAGAAAAATTATAAGCTATCTTTATGGAGTAAGTAGAAAAAAAAAAACTAATATTTTAAAGAATAAGAAGTATTTATAATTTTAATGACTTTAGTCAGTAAGTAACCAGTAAATAAATATAAATCACTTTAATGTTGTTGAGAAATATATGACTTAAAATATTGAGATTTACTTTGAGATAGTTATTAAATGGGTGAAAATAAAGTAATTGAAAGATAATAAATTTTAGAAGTCTGCCAAATTAGTTTGATAAATACAGTAAAAATAAATAGCTGGATAGAATCGCTCATATCTTTGATTATTAATTAATTCAATAAATAACTAATAATAAATATCTTCAAAAATACACTTAGTTTTTTTTACTTTTAACATAATAAATACATAGATAAATACACTAATTGATAAACCAATCAAAGATTAAAACTCTATCAAAAATTCATAGCAATTATTTGAAATACTTTATCTTCTATAACCTCCCTTAAATATATAAACTACTCATTTATAGAATTAAGCACAATTTATTTATTTATTTAGACCAATCATAGATTGTATATTCAGTTGATTTGAATCTCTAGGAATGAGAAACTCCTACAGTATTAAAGTACTGCATTTCGAAAGTATACTTTTTCTCTATATTTATCATTTTTTTAATAATATTAAAGGAAGTTGATAAACTACTAAGAAATCAAAACAAAAGCCTTTAAGATGTAGAAAAAATATAACAATTTCTCTACAGTTTGCCTTATTTTTAGAACCTTTTTAATGAAATCCACAAATCTCTAATACCCAAGTTGATCCGTAAATTTTAATTTAGCTAATGTGAGGCTGGAGGAGCAATTATTGAAAGTGGTAAACATGCAATTTATTTTTAACAAAATATTCATCAAAATTTAACTAACAAAAGGAAGCAGAATAAAAGACTTCTTCATTATTCTTGAAGGAACATGTCTTGAAATGAATAAATAAAAACATTAAGAAGCTGATGAGTAATCAAGTGTAGCCGAAGATCTTGAAAAAACCCCTTACTTAAAGATTTTAAAGCAAAGCGAAGAAAGAAAAAAAAGTCTTCTTTTCTAACAAACTCCTATACATTAAAATACCACCAAGAGTTAAACTTCAAGATTTAGAGAAGAAAGTAAATTTTTATAATTTTGAAATACAATTTGGCTTAATTGGCGTTTTTTGATGTTTATTTAAAAAAATTTTTTCCTATAAGATATTTAAACTACATTTTGACTTACAAGATGATAGAATTCATATCATATTTTAAATTTTAGTAAAAACCTAATAAATTAAAGACAAGTTAACTAGCATACAAGAAATTGTTTTTTCTATATTAATTAAATTATTGTAAAACATCATATAAATATCATACTTATATTAATCTAGACTAAACTTAGAAAATAACCAAAGATTGCCTAGCAAAATATTGAAACGTCTTTTAATTTTTCTTAAAAAATACTCATTTTTTTTTTCATTAAATATAGAAGTATTCCTACCAATCAATTACTTTTCTTTATAAAACTATAATACCATGAAACACACAAAAATTTATTTTTAGACTAACTTTGATTTGATTTTCACCTAAAAAAATTATCTAATCGATTAATTAATTAATTCATTTTTATTTAACACTAATTTATAAATTAACTCAATAAGGTTTTATTTGAATTAATGCTTATTTTTTTCATATTTTCCAATGTATTTTTTATCAAAAATCTACTATATCATCTTTAATACTATTTTTTTCTAAAATATTTAGGTTAGCTTTTAAAAATTGAATCTATGGATGAATCTGAATAAACTGTTACAGCTCAAACTCCACTTCCATAAAAATCTTAATTCTTTCAAAATAGTTCTTAAGTGAGATCTGATATAATGGAAGATTATTTTGTATAATAATATAAAAGAAAATATGAGAAAAAGGGGTATAATATTTTAAATACCTTAAAAGAAGGAGATTTTTTTGGTGGTATTACAAAAAAAGGCGCAGAATAGACCTTCTCTGATATTTTATGCTGTACGAAGGTTGAATATGTTTGCCTCTGTTTTGAAGACTACTGGAGTATTTTATCTATGTACTAGTTAAGAATGTGCGAATAAAAAATAGCATTTCTTCGTTCATATAGATTTTTATAAATATATTCTGATCACTACCTTAACAAGAGGTTAAATATGTTTGAAGAAGTCTCGTTCAACAGAAATTAAGTTTTATTTGAAGAAAATGAACTATCCAGCTATATTTACTTCTTTTACGAAGGAGAATTTGTAATGAATAAAAATATTGACTTCAAAAAATATCTAGATTGTATGTTGAATAATAATAGTAACTCGAACAATTAAAATTTATTTGCTAAAAACACTTAAATTTAATAATTGTAGCGTTCTAACTAAAATTCAGAATAAACTACTTCTGAAAGTGATGAAAATCATAATTAAAATATCTGTTGTTCGGGATAATTTAAAAAGAATGTCATAATATCTTACCTTAATCCAGGAAGTTACATTGGTCTTTCTGAATTACTAACAGATTCAAAATATACGTACACAGTATCATGTTTCTCTACTCATGCCAAAGTATACAGACTTTATAAAGAGGTAAAATCAATATTATTCAAAGCTGTTTCATGAAAATTAACAAAACTTAACTACTTTTGATAAAAGCTAACAATTTAGAATTTCATGAGTGAATTTAAATTAAAGAAGCTATTATTTATAAACTTAATAGAAGATTTTTTATATTTGACAAATTCAAGTGCTTCAAATGCCTACAATTATTATTTTGATTTAAGTATTATTTGAAATTAGTAAATAAGGCAAAGATATTTTTCACTGCTTAACCATTTTTATTTGATTAAAAATTCTTAAGTAAACAAATTTATCAAAAACAAGTAAACATACCCAAAAATAAAATTTATCAATACAAATAAAATCACTTTTATTTAATATTTTATCAGAAATTAATATTTGATAAATGATGAATCTGAAATAATTAATTTAATGATTTTCTCATAAAAGAAAATAAATTTAATTTAATTTAAAAATTCTTCTTATTGTTTAATGTAATTTTAATAATGTTTTATTAATAATAGAATTTTGAGAAATTTTTCAAATGTGAGGCAAATATAGAAATAATGGCATAAGACTGTCTTGGAAAAGAAAAGATCTATGAGGAAATTTTATAAAAGCATGCTAATATGATGATAGGTGAATACAGCAAAATGGGAGAAAATCAAACAGAAAAAGAAATGATAAACATTTTTGAAATAAGTAAAAAGAAAAACAATAATAACTCAAATGTGCTTATCCCTCATCAGCACTCAAAAAGTGATGTACCTAAATTTAAAAAAGATGTTTCAGTAATAGATCAAAGAATAGAAGAGTAAAATAAAATTTTTTTTATAATTTTATTATTCAATGAGTATCTTAGAGCTTACTTCGATATATGATTATTGTCAGCCAATTATTTTTATTATTAAAATCCTACCAAAAAAATAAGGAAAAAAATTAATTTTAATTTAATTTACAGTTCTAAAGTGCTGATTTTTACCAAGCAAATTCAAATATCTATCTGTAAATCAAAGTTATTCTTAACTATATTTTTTATAGAAAATTAAATAGTTAATCTGGGAAAATAAGCAGGAAAGATATTCAAAAAGAAAAATCTTAAAATCTTTAAGATACAATCCTGAATTCTATAAATAATGATCCCTATTTTAGGAGAAAACTTTTGAACAATCTTTCAAGCTTAGGCTTCAAAATAAATCACGACAATTGTAATATATACAATCACTTAAAACTATAAACTAATTATGCTACTTCAAGGACTTCTAGTCTTTCAAATTTATAAGAATGCATTTCAAAAACTAAACAAGAGACCTTGGCTCAGAATTAACCATATCAAGGAAAGCTAGAGTAAATTCCAGAAGTACTTGCTTCTAATATGAGTATTTAAGATAATAATAAAACTTCAAATGCCAACAGTAACATCAATGCGAACTAGCAATCTTTTAGAGTAGCCTAAAAATAAAATAACACATTAAACTGTCAAAGTCTGTAGGAATTATAAAGAAAGAGACTTTCTTTTATTTTGGGCTGCTAAGATAAAAAGTAATTTTAGCAAAAATCTTCAACAACACTTTAACGCTAAACAAGCATTGATTAAGAAGATGGTAAAGTAAAATTTGAAAACTCCCCAAGCATCGAAGATTTAAAATGCTTTGAAAATAATATTACATACAGAAAAGAAAATCAAACTGAACCTAACTCCCCATAAGCCTAATATGACTAGCCTAATTTTAATTCAAAAACTAGTATTGTATTCTCAAACAACGATTAAGAATTCCTGACAGCTACAAGCCCTTATGAACTCTCAAACCCATAACAGAATAATTAATAGGGTTTTCAAAATAACTTAAGGATGAAATCTCTCTCACCATAAAGGAAACTAAAAATTTCAGAAAATATTGGCAGTTAGCAATCATCTTGTTAATAAACCAAATATTTATCTCCTTAAACAAACTCAAACCCCAATTTTATTATCAAAAAAGACCAACTTATAAGCAGAAAAGCTAAATTAGAATCTGTACTATCAGCTTAAAATTCTAAAAAACAATATCTTGTAAGCCCTAAAAAAGATGAAGAATATATAAGTCCTATTGTAAGTCCTTTTTAAACATTTAGATAAAAGTTGTACAACAATTTTTGCAACAGCAACAATATTAATTTTTCTGAAGCTGAGTCTCCTATAAAATTTTAGCAAAGTAATACTAATACTTCTCATAACAATTCTTTATAATTAAAATTATTGAATTAAAAACCATAATAAAATTCATAGCTGCATACCTAAGGTTTAAATAAATTAAATTAAGTTTGCTAACCCTAAAGTTCTTCACCAAGTGAAGCTTCTAAAATACAGTTGAAATAAACTTTATTAAATGTCAATCCTCAATAGCAGCAATCTCAAACTAGCTTAGCATAATGCAGTATTAGCTTTAGCAATTAAAACAAAAGATAAAATAGTGTTTCTAACTTCTAGTTCAATTTGCAGGGAGGAAATACAAATAACAAAGATTACAAGAATTATTTGGAACAAATATAATAACAATAATAAAATAATAATAATAACAGTAATATCAATAACAATCTAAATAATAAAAATTAAAATTTAAATATCCATCTGAGGGCAAAATCATAAAAGAGTTTCAGAGATAAGTTGCATATTTTAGTTGATAAGCACATTCAAGATAATTTAAATCATAGAAAATCTTATATTTTTAATAATCATAATACATCAACTAATAAAGTTTCTATTTAAACTGAATATCATAGCTAATAACTTAAACCTGCTCAGATAACTCAAACCTCAAAAATAAATATAAATAATATTCCCACAGAATCTATATCATCTGTAAGGTTTGAACACGTTCTAGATTATGGTAGCTAAGCTAATAATCATAGTAACTCGTAATTAAGTAAAAATGTCGAATAAAAATCTCCTAAAGTATTGAACATTGCAAAGAAAAAATAAAAATCTTTATTACACTTTAACTATCCAAGCTAGACTCATATAATGGAAGACAATACTATAGTAAGTAATTAAGTTAACACTACTTTATAGTCTCCAATTGTAAATAAATAAGCTGCAAAAATGCTTCATAAACGTTGTTCTATACCATTAATGTCACCAACTTCCACTAAGATCACTCAACTTAGTACAGCACACTCCCCTTCTTTCAGCTCATTTCAAACAGTTATAAATAAACATCACTCTAGAATGGCGAGCGATTAATCTTGCTCGTATATAAATTAAAATATAGCTAAAAATTAGTATATATGATATAAAAATATTGTTAATCAAAAATAACAAACTAAAATAAGACATTAAATATCTAATAGTGCATTTGCACTAATAATTTTTAAGTGGATTTATTTTGTTTTATTCTGTCAATTTATAATATTATCAATTAAATTGAATGTAATAACTGTTTAGTTATCTATAAAATATTTTTTGTAAATTCTTAACTCATTCTAAATTATCAATTATATTTTTTATTGCATTTAAAGTGGAAAAGGATTTAAAAAGAAAAATTGTTTTTTGATAAAAAATATTAAATTAATAAATTTAAATATAAAACACAAAATGATAATTTAAAAAAATAACTTAGTTATGGTAAACATTTCAAAAATATGATAAAAAAGATATCCTTGTAAAAATATAACTATAGTTTTAAGCAAATACTTAATTAATTAATTTTTTATTGAAAAATACTTTAAAATATAATCCAAACATTTAATTTTTGAATCAACAATAAATCAAATAAATATGTAGTAATTAAGCATTTATTTATGATGCAGATATTTTCTCAGCAAGTAATATTTATTTATTTCCTATTACAATACTAATTTCGCAAAAAATAAAGCAAACAAATATATTTTGTAAATTTTTTATAGCAAAAAATTAGTGAGTGATTACTATCCATAGAATTAATTAATTAATGAAAATAGAATTTGGACATATTAATGAATGAACAAATGAATAAGATTGAATATGTATGACAAATAATCCTCAATTCTTTTTAAATTTTTTAGTAGGTTTGGGACCTTTGTTAAATTTATTTCCACTATTGTTAAATTTATTTCCACCATTGTTAAATTTATTTCCACCTTATTTTTCGTTTTTATTTTTATTATATTTTTATAATGTTTATTGCAAGTTTTATTTTTCTTTTTTTTCAAATTCAGGATCAACAGCAAGCTTTTAATGGTGTAAAAGTTCTCTAATATATTTTTGTTCACTCATGTCATCGATTCTATCAAGTTTTGCTTTATTTTTTTCAAATTCTTTAATTCTCTTTTTATCTTACTTAGATCTTTGTAATCTTACAAAATTATTTAATTCGTACTTTTATATTTCCTAAAAAAAACAAATTTGTTAGTTAAAATTTTATAATAAAATAAAAAAATAAATACGCTTTCTCTTTTAGCGATCTTGTCTGTTTCTGCAAATCTCTCAACAACTGGTCTATCATTCTTGATTTCGTTGATATCAGCGTTAATATTAGCTTTTAATTATCTCATAAGATAAGCTTCTCTTCTCTTTTTTTCAACTTCTAATCTTCTTTCTGCTTTATCTTGCTGAACAGCCATAGTCTTAGGAGCAACATACTATAATATCATTCATTAAATAATATATAAATAAATAAATAAAATCACTCATTTTATTAAATCTACCTTTGCTACTGGTTTCTTCTTTATCACCTACTTTTTGGCTTTAGTTTCTTCTTCATCAGAAAGATTAGAAACATTTTCAGAAATATCTTCTTGTTCTTAGTCATCTTCTTCTCCTTAACTATCATCTATCAATTCAGGGCGAGGCTTAAAACTAATAGGATCTTGGGAAATACTAGTTGAAGTCTTTGTTCCTTTTCCTTATTCAGATGTTTTAAGAGAAAATTTCATCAACTTAGAGATTTGATATTCCATCTTTTATTCAACTGGTTTAAGTTTAGAAAGGAGTGTTTTATAATAAATGAGTTTTTTGACTACAGGTGAATCTTTAAGAGAAATGCCATTTAACTTGTAGAGCATATAAAAGTGTAAACAAATAAGGTAATTAGAAAATATTTCATTCTTAGAATTAAGTAAACTTATTCCCTATTCTAAATTTAGATTTTTAGATCTGGTCAACTTGGTTATTGGATATAATTTAGACTCTTCATCCTTTGAGTTTTTGCTCATCTCATCAATAAGCTTTTTAAATTCCCCTTAATCATTTTGATATATTTCTTCCTTTTCAAGGTCAATTTTAGAAATATTTTTCTTCTTTAAAATATCTTGAATTAATTCGACATTTTCAATTTAAGATAAATTTTGTTTGCTAATTTTTAATATTTTTTCAAAGTAATTTGAGCTGTTAACATTTTATTAGAACAATTCTTTGTCCTTTTCATCTTCTTCGTCTTCTTCAGAGTATTCAGCTTCAATATTATCTAAATCCTAATCTTACAAATTGCTATCATCACCAGATTCTTCTTCTTCGTCATCATCATTATCATCATCATTCAAATCACCAAGAACAGAATTTGAATCTTCGTTTAAATTAACTTTTAGTTTTCCTTTCTTTGATGCTTTATTGTCATCTTCATCTTCTGTGATACTGAGATTAGGAATTTCATCTGAATTGAGGCTTTCATCTTCATCATAATCGCCTTCTAATTCTTCTTAGTCTTGCTCATCTTCATCACTATCTTCTACATGACCAACTAAATCATCACTATCTTCTAATTATGCTAACTAATCGCTATCTAATTCTATGTCTTCATCTTCCTCTTCTTCTTCAGATGAAGGTTATTTAACCTTTTTAATTGGTTTTTACTTATTGCCAGCCATTTTGAATAAATTAATTTTAATTAATGAAAGCTATTTTATTTCTTCTAGTTTGAAATATAAAATAATATATCTTTTCTACTTTATTAATTAATAAATATTGTTTTGTTTTTAGCTTAATTTGTGATAAAATTAGCTTTATCTTATTTCTTATTAAAAACTGCTACTTTTAACAAACAAACAAATATTATGCAAATCTACATATGCATATCAGTTTAATCTTTTCTAATATAAAATATAAACAGAGATAAAAGCAATATTTCATCCATAAAAGTTAATTTGTAAATTATCATGAAATGTTTTAATTGAAAGTATTATTTTAATTGCAAAAATCAATCAATTGATCAAGCAAATGCATTAAGTTTGTTCAAGATTTAGCAATTATTTATTATACTAATACTTTTTTAATTACAACTTTATAATTCTATTTTTTAAATATTTAGCTAATTTAAGTAAGTAGCAGCAGCAGCAAATTCCTTATCACCCTGTTATGCAAAGCACGATAAGTACTACCGAGCCTGGAAAAATAGCCATGACGAAATTTATAGGGAAAGTGCATAATCCAATAATAATTAGTATAAAAACTTTAAATATTTCAGAACAACAGTTAGTATATAAATAGTAATCCTTTTTGATCATAAAGTAGATTATATTAGGAACAGATATACTCAACAATACCAAAATTAGAGGTAAAAGGGCTAAAGTAATGCCTCCTAATAACAAAAACCCAAAGTATTTAAAAAATATTTTCATGAAAACTAATAACTTGAAGCAAGGGGGAATCCTATGAGAATACATCAAGCCGGGGCATCCTCTAAAATTTAAGCTAGAGTAATGACCCGCTCTATATTATTTGGTGCATAGCCAGCAAAATTCATAATTGCATCTTGTGCATGTCATGTGATTACAGCCATCATTCTTCTGGATCTTTGTTTTGCATTAAGGGCAATATTTAACTTTAAAATTTTTAGCCATTTAATTATACTCTTAATCAATAGCTTGTTCACATGTTTATCCTTCATGCCACTGATTAGTACAAAAGTAGCATATCATCATATTACACTCACTACATTTTAACTTTGGATCATTTTTTTATCCCTTAATGGCATTATTACATCCTGGTCTAATACACCTTAACATTATAATAAATTAAAAAAAAAATTAATTTATAATAAAATCAATAACTAAAACTTTTATTTGGTATAAAAAAAATATTTAAATAAATTACACATTGATAAATTTATTAAAATAAAAATAGTTTTTACTTGAAATAATCCTTAAAAATATAAAAAACTGTGTTTTTAAAAACAAACATTTTTTATTTTGATATTGAGAGTTATGTTTAGTAATATATTTTTTGATTTAAAATAGATTTCTAGTATTTAATTTTATTTACCATCTAATGTCAGGATCAAGCTGTAGCTACTATCTTTGCTTAAACTTTATATATCTCTCTTTTTAATAGTCATCATTTAGAATTTCACCAATTTATTTTTCATTATATTCTTAATCACATCCTTCTTAAGGGCATAAAATATGAAGAACTTAACAACAATTGATTTTATTTAAAATATATTATTTAAGGCAATCTGAGCAGAATTAGTGATCACAGTTTAGTAGAGGTCTTTTTTTAGAAATTGTATATTCTTAACAACAAATTGCACATTCGAGTACTTGCTGCTATGTATTTTCGCTTGATACAATGAGAGAAGATCCAAATAAATCTTTATTTAAGTTAATTTTTACTATTGATTAGTCATTTTCGTAGTTATGATTATGGAGACATGATGATTATGTTCGCCTATCTTTAAACTTTTAAACTCTTTTATTACTGCTACTTAAATCATTTTATGAATATATATAATGCTAATTGCTTTTATGATACCATTCTACTAACTTATCCATTCCAAATTAATATATTTCCTTTGCTTTGTCTATAATGTTTCTTATATCTTACATATTTTCATTTATTTCAAAGATTTACATTTCATCTGGAATATTATTGGCTGCAATTTCTAGTATTTCAAATTTAGATAAATTTTAAATGTTTTCTGTTCGTTCGAGGCAAAATATAATATTATTTTCATCAAATCCCATTTTTTAAAGCTAATTAAATGCCCATTTCTTTTTGAAAATAGTGTCATCTTGATTTTCATGGTAGAAAATATTTTGCTTTATTTCTTCCTCTTCATCTCTCTCAAAAATATTACTTTAAGACAAAATTGTAATATTTTCTTAATTCGACTTTTAATTTTTATCATATATATTTCCTTAGCTCAAAGAGCGAACCTTATCAGTTAAAACTGGCTGCTAGGATTATTATCCAAATTATATTTCTTAGTTTTCTTTATCTTCTTCATTTGGCTAGTCTTCCATTTTAACTTTATCAATTTAATTAATTAATATTTTTGGGTATCTCCTATATAAATAGAGAGCAAATATATCAACAAATATTTTCTGATTTATAAAATTAAAAATAATTAAGTAAAGCTAAAGCTTTAATAGATAAAAAATTGCAAAAATTTTAAATTCTGATATGAATCCAGTTTGACTGTTTTCTTTACCCTTAAAGGAGGTATTAAAAATCACTTGATTTCGAGAAAAACAAACAAAATTATCCTTCAATAATTAATTTAAAAAATATTTAGTTTGCCTTCAAAAATAATGATTATACTTTTTTTACAAAATAATTTTTCTACTAATTCATCAATATCTCATGTTAAGCAAAAATTTATTTTTTTTAATTAATATTAAAATGCATTAGATTTTATTAAGAGCAATAAACAGTGAAAACATAAAAATAAATATAAAAAATGATAGATAAAATTATATTTTGAATCTTACTAAAATTTTATTATTTAATTATATTTTTACAAATATATGATAAATACCATAAGCAAATTTGCCTTTGAAAAAAATATTTTAAATATGTTTTTGTTGTTAAATTTATCTATTTTGTAATTTTATAGATTTTTGGGAGATTAGAACAGCGAAAAATCTAATAATAAAACAGATTAAAATGAGCTATATAAAGGATTTTAATTTTTTAGCCATTTACTTAAATGAATAAAGATATTTTGAGAAATGTGCTTAATTTTAGTGTTTTTATGCTAGTATTTCATACATTTTCATCTAAAATTTGGAAAATTACTAGGTTTTATTATAGCTTAGCGAATTCATGTCTACAAAAATAGATAACAATACTTATTTTTTAACTACTTTTAATACCTATTCATAAGGAATTATATAATATATTAAAAACAGAAGAAAACATTTTATTAAAGCTATAATATTCCAGCCAAGCTATATTTTGAAAAAGCATCTACAAAAATAATTTTTTCTTTTTATTTTATGAGGAGATAAAAACTAACATTTTAATAAATCTTGATGAATATGATGGATAGAGTTTTGAAAGTTTCTTGCCTTATTAATTTTTTAAAAGGACTTTATCGAAATTTAAACAGCAAGTATTTTAGTTAAAAAATTACTAAACTAATATTTTTGAAGGAAATGATAATCGTTTTAAACTTTTTATATTGGTTATATGTATATCTTACTATATTAGCTTTATTTAAGTGTAAGACACATAACTTACTTTTCAAGCTAATCGTTATCTCTCTATCAGAAAAATTGACCTTTAATTCATGTAAAAATGATGTAAATTTCTTAATTAAAAGAAAGGGAAATATAAAATTTGAAATATAATTAGTAATGTTTGTCAAGAATTCAAAAATATTATAATAAAAATTGGGTTGAAAGCAATATGTCAAACAAAATTTATTATTTAACAAATTATTAATTAAAAAAGTCCATACAGTAGTTTTTTTTAAATAAAAGAAGAAGAAGGAAATTCAATTAGTGAATTAAACAAATAGATGGGGAGGAGAAAAAGCATTTAGATTATAAAAAAAATAATGATAAAGTAATAGATCCAGCCCTTGATTAAAGAATACAAAGGTTGCGATATACTTTCGTATATATATAAATCAAATTAAATAATTATATTTTAGAAAGTTAAAAAGAAAGTTAAGAAGAATAGTGGGTAATTAATCTATTTAAAACTCATAAAAAAGATAACATTAATAATTTAAAGGAAACAAGCAAAAGAAGAAAAATAGAAAAAAATTATTAAAAAAAATCAAAACAAAACAAAAATTTGTTTGTCTCGAGGCAAAAAATCAATAAAATCCTCAATTACATACCCTGTGAGCAGAAAATAAAAAGACATTGAATTTATTAATTAATAATTAATTATTTGTCTATAATCATTAAGTGATAACAATCTTGACTATTATTTATTATTACCCAAAAAAATATAATTAATTCACAAAGAAAAAAAAAAATGATCAACTTACCACAGACTGAATAACTCGTTAATGCTCTTGTTAAGCAGAATAACGAACAAAATAACTATGACTCTGTCAAGTCAGGATGGAAGAACTTTTCCTTCTGCCCTGAGAAACTTTCCTACAATGACATAAGAGTCACCATGAGAAAGGATTTCAATCACTAATCGAATTCCTGTTATAAATGGTTCAGAAATCTAATCATTCCAAAGATAAATATTATTTTGAAGAGTAACACAGAATCAATCACAACTGGTTCTCAATACGAAGAAAAGTTTGAAAATATATATGCAATATTTTCATGCTATAAGTACCATGAAAATGCTTCCTTTAATGTTCAACAAGTACCAATGAAGGGTTAAGTAGCTTAGCCTTTTGTCTTAAATCAAAAGCAAAAAGCTAAAAAGAAATTTAACTAACTTAAATTACTATCTGCAAACTCAAAGAATCTCTAATTTTCTCAAAGTCATATTTAGAATAGAGTAATTATTATTATAAATTTTTAAATCCTATAACTTTCAACATTGTTGGTTTAAAAAGTAAATGCAAAAAAGTTAACAGAAACACCTTTATTTCTATTGCTAGGTGTGAATTGACTTTTTTTGCTAATTATTTTTGCAAAAAATTATGCTTGCTTGAAATTTTATTACATTTTTTTTATTAAATTAAATAGAAAATATATTACTGTTTATGTATCACTGTTTGCAAAATGTAAGGTAATTAAGTTACCCAAGAACTAATGACTGCGCTTCTCATGCCCATCCTAGTAGAAAATCGCAAGAAATCACTTTAAAATAGAGTAATTTTTACATTTTTTTACATAAATTAGTTCTTATTTTTTAAATTCGCTGCTTTTGTAAAAGTAAATATGCGCTCTCCATTTTGATTTAAATAGAATAAATCTCAGTAATTTTTATTTATAAAATCAATCACACTGCTTATGAATGAATAATTATTTTTAAAATAAAATTTTAACATTTCAAGTTAATAATCAACCATTATACATATTAATTAATAGACAAACAAATATATGAAATTTATGGAATTCTTACCAATAGAATTCTAAAGACCATTAATTCTTCCTCTATAAGAGAACAAAGATGACAATGTATTTAAGTACTGCATTGAAAACCACTTGAAAAATGAAGCTTAACGTATTTCCTAATATTAAAATGATGAGGTTTCCAAATATTCTTCTGATAGCCTTCCTCTTGAATCTCCATTCAATAAGTAACTATTACCTCTTAGCTATTTATTTATTACACTTAAATTAATGACGTAGTACAAATGTTGCTTTATTAATTTATTTTTTTTTTTGAAGAAAAAGAATCAATAACATTTATTAATAATCAAGCTTCGGAGCATTCTATCTCAAGGAGGGACGTAACTCTTCCGGAGACGAATAAATTGTATTCTCTTCTGAAGAAGAGTCTAAAAATAAAAAGTTCTTACTTAAAGCAATTAACAATGGAGACAGTTAAATGATGGAAGAAGAAGATTTGGAAAAAGATGTCATCCTTTCTGATGATCTAATAAGCGCTCTAATCTATTTATCGTCAAAGACAATTAGACACAAAGTAAAATTAATATATTTTTAATAAAAATATAGTATAAATTTTTTTATTTTTTTTATTAGATTTATCATCCCTTCTTTTTGAGCAATCGTTTTTCATAAGCATTTGATCTGAAAATTAAATCAGATTTGGTTTAAAGTGGTGAAAAATAAGAAGCCTTAGTCAAAATACAAAAAATATTGCTTGATAGTGTTTTTTTCCCTAAATCCCATTTTAGATAATCTGACGATCTAACCTTTAAAAATCAGCCTCTTTGCTTGTTGATTAAGCCTATTTTCAAAAAGTAATCAGTAGATTCTATCTTCTACCACAAAATTACTTCCTAGGTAAATATGAAAATTATCAAAAATATTTTATTAAAATTTTAAACTTTTAATCAAATTAGATTGCTAATTATTTAGAATGCATTTAGACTAATGATGGCTTGTTTGTTGGATTTGAAGAGTAAATCCCTAATATTAATGAATACTAGTCTATCAACTTTGAAGTAATTCTATTAAATATAAAGTGATTGAAAAGATTATCAATAAATAAAATTTAATATAAAAAAGCACATGGAATACAAGTATTGCTATGATGAACTAACCAGAATACCCATGAAAATTTAATAGAATAAGGAAATCGGAAGCATAAAAAATTCCTGCCAACATTATGAAATAAAAATTTCTCCTACTTAAAAAGAAGGATTAAAGGGCTTAGAAGAAAATGGCATAAATATCTATAGAACAATCGTTGACTGTCACATTAATGATGAAGGAAAAAGAAAACATTTGAAAAAAGTGAAATTGTTAGGCTGTTTCTCCTCTGATGATGAAAAGTAAATTTATTTTAAAAATTGTTAAATTGTTTTGAAATTACTCAATGAAAAACTTTTAGATGAAATATACAAATGAATAAACAAACTGCTTTGCGTATTTCGTCGATATTTAACAAATTTTTAGATATAAATTTTTATAATAATTTAAATTAACATACTAATAAAAATAATAGCCTCATAAAAATATAAGAATATAATAATTTTTTAACAAACAACTTCAACTAATCAAATAATATTAATGATAATATTAATAATAACAATAATAGCATCAACTCTAGTTCCACCAACTAAAATAGTATAACTAATAAACCTAAAAAATATAACTAAAAATGTTCAGTCGATTTAGATTTGAATGGTAAAATTTCTTTTACAATTTGATTATTTTATTAAAGATTTATTTGATTTTTTAGTAGTCAAGCTTTTACTTATCTAAATTTATTGGATAATTTAAGAAAACGCCAACAAATTTGATATTATGAGTTTTGACTTTCTTAATTCCCTTAACATCTCCATTTGAACCATGGAAAAAACAAATGATTTTGATGGATATAATAATTATTATTATCAACAATTTTCCATTTATTTTTTTTCAAGAAGTCACTATTTTGATTTATTAAATAAATAAATTTCTTACTAACTTACTTACTTACCTACTTACCTACTTACCTACCTAACTTCCTACTTATAAATTATCTTATTCTTAATTCATTATTTATTTTCGATAACTAAGAGATGATTTTTATTATTTTTAATTGGTTTATTGATTTATTGATCGACAGATTCGTGGTTTATATGGACTTCTAGCCTTCTTAATATCGATTTTTAAGCTAGCTATAGAGCATACAAGCTTTGAAACTTTCCTTAAAAGAAAATAAATAAAGAATCATCTCTAATTATATTAATTAATCTTTAAATTTCTTTCAATTAATAAAGTGTTATTTTTAAAAATAAAATTTGGTACTTGAAACAAAAATAATAATTATGAAAAAATTTTTCTGCAAATACAATTAAATTCAAAAATAAGTTATTTATTCTAAAATTTTCCTATTTTTTAAAAGATTAAGAAATCCCCAACTAAAATTTATTATAAATCAACTAAAAAATATAATTATCAAAAAATCAACTTTAATTTTAACAATCAACTTCATCTTCTAATCAGCAACTTTAACCAAAATCAACTTTGCTTTCAAGCACTTCAAATAGCCCAAACAACAAAAATAAAAATAACTTTGAAACTTTTAACTCACCTCAAATTGAGATAAGCTAAATAGAAAACAACATTGAAATTCCCTCTGAATAAGCTAACAGAGAGGAAAATAAAACACAAAGCAATTAGTAAACCCAAATCGAAGTCCCAAATTAAAATGAATCAAATACTAATTAACCAACCCAGCTATTACAACAATAATAACCTTAATAAGTAAATTAATAGAATCAAGTATTTCCTAATAATTAAATGAATGGAAATGCTACTACTAATAATAATAATCAATAATAAAATTAAAATTACTTTAACTACTAATCTCCCTTTGGTTTCTAATATAACCCCTTTCAATTCATGTAATAATACAATTAAGGTATGTACCCTTACATGCAAAATATGTAAAATGGATTCTTCTAATATCCTCAAATGAATTTTAATCCTTACTAAAATAGTAATATTAATAATAACAATTAGATGGCCGTTTAATAATAATAATAATAATAATAATAATAATAATAATAACAACAACAACAACCTTAATAGACGTAACCTTAAAATCAACAAAACTAACCTGTTGGTTATTTAACTATTCCTGTGTTTTTCAATAATAATAATAGCAGTAACAATAACAATAACAGTAATGATAATACAACCAATGTAGCTTAACAAAATGTCTAACAATAAATTTAAATTTGATGGAGATTAACATAAACAAAATTAATTTAATTATTTATTTATTTTATAAAAATTAATATAAATTATTATAACTAAAATTTGACGCAAATAGTATTATTTATTAACCTATATATATACGTATTATCATTTCTTCTTCTTTTTACTTTTCTCAATACAAAATGAGGAGTTAAACAGTTATTTAAATGTTTATTACTTTTTTTCATATGCGTTTAAATTAAATGAAATAACTATCTAACTATATAAGTTTTTCTAATTTTTTAAAATAACTCCTCAATTTTACAAATTTATCTTAATTTATTTTGGAGAAAACTTAATTTTTAAATACACAAATAATTTTGTTGAAAAATCCTTTTAAAATGCAATTTCTCAGTTAATTGCATAAGTAGGACTATATACTTTTTATTCTTATTAAATTTATTACTTGAAGTTATACAGTAAAAATAAATAGCCATACTAGCTAATAAAACATTTACGAACATATTATTTCTTTTTTACCTTTTAATTCTAAAACAAATAAATTTGAGTTTAAGTTGTATTTGTTTCCATATTTTGTTGTTTTTACTTTGATAAAGTAATCTTTATCATTTTTTTGGAACAAATAATATTTTTTTATTGATAATTTAAAACTATCCCAAAGTATAATACATTTATTTTATACATAAATTACTTATCTAACTGATACATTATTTTAGCAAGTGTTTATTTATTTATTTTATATGTTATATCATAAATATTATAACCGTTTAATCAATATAATTAATTGATTTCATGTTTTTTAATTATTTAAATAAATGATCAAATTTTATATTTTAATGATATTTTTAAACCCAAGTTACTCTTACTATTCCTTGCGTAATTCAATTAATTTCATGTTAGTTTAATTAACAGTTATCGTTTAAAGCTTATTTTTATGTAATATAAGGTACATTTTAAATTTTTATTTCATTTTTTAGCAAAAAAATAAAAATAATGATAACTGAAAATAATTTAAGAAATCTTAGCCACTTTATGTATTGTTAACTATTGAATTAATTAACCAGTACAACCTTGTTTAATTTAAATGTTTAAGATTTAGACAAACTACATTTCATTCAATTTGTAGAAAGTAAAAAATATAATTTAGTAACTTATTTTATTTAAAATTCATTTATTTAATATAAAAAATTGGAATTATAAATATTTCAATCATTTATGAAATTAAAAAATTTTTTTTATTAGATTCTTATTGTATTAAATAAGATTGATTGAGAAAATTAAATAAAAACAAATAAATTTTGAATTTCACAAAAAATGATTTAAATATTTATTACTATTTTGTTTTAAAATAATTTTACTAAACATTTGGTTTTTCTAAGACTTTTATATTTTGAAACTTTTCTTTATTATAACTATAAATATATTTTATTATTTTAATTTTTTAATATTTTTGGAATAAGAATACTGTAGATCCTTGTATTAAAACTTTTTTATTTAATTCCTATTTTATGAAAATTTAAAAATTTAGAAAGGAAAATGGAATATTTTTAGAATTTTAAAAATACCTTATTTTATTAAAACTATGGTATTTTTATAAATAAAGTAAATAAATAAATCAAAATAAAATTTTAAATGATACTTCTATAAATAAAAATAAACCAATATATTTATAAAATTTAATTAATAGTTTATAAAATTTGTTATATGCTTTTGAATAAACTTGTTTATTTATATTCATTAAATAGTTGATGTATATAGTAAATTCCAATCATTTAAGATTGATGATCCAAATTATTCTGATAGAGAAATAAGAATCTTATTCCTAGCCAAGATAGTTTGGATTTGGTTTTTGACTTCTATAAAGTAAAGCATAAATGAAGAATAGCAAGCATTCCATGCCTCACTTTTTACTTTAATATGATGCATATTTATACATGAAGCAACGATTCCATGAGTAATGTAAAATAGACTTGTATTTAAAGCAGACATGTTTTACATAATATTAAGTTTTAAACTACATAAATGATTCATATTTTATAAAGCTTCAGGAAAAGCTTCGAAGGGATTAGCTAAACTATTTACAATTTATGCACTCATAGAATTTCTTTTATACAATTAAGGAGGAAAGCTAATAATTGAAAGAGAAGAGGGGTTGTTTTAATGGCTAATTAAAATCTTATCTTAAGGTTTTTCCAAAGCATTATAGTTTTATGAGATCACTGCACCAGAAGGAGCTTTTAAAATAGCATTAAGCGAAGTGTTTGATGCACCTTTTTAATGACCTGGGACAACTAATACTTAATTAGATTATTCTGTTTCGGGTTGGGGATTTTGTTTTTCATTTTAAATTATTGCATTGTTCGATTATAACAATTATTATTATTAATAATTATTAATTTATTGTTAAGGATTAATTACTTAAGACTATGATTTTTCTAACATATTTTAGCTGAAATCTAATGTAAGGTCAACTATTTTAGTTAGCTTTTTCATTCTTAAGAATAGAGCACTGCACATTTAGGGAGTAATAAAAGTTTTTTTTAGAATTAGTGTTAATTTTTTGAGCTAACATTTTGTTGGTAATATAAGAGAAAAATTTTATGGTTAAATTGATTGTAAAGAATTCTTGCTCAAATCTAATTCTAATAATGTTAATTCAGTCATTTCAGAAATAATATTAAATAGCTTTTAGAAAGCGTTTTCTTCTATTGAATTTGATTCTAAATCCAGGATTAATTACTTTAAGCTACTTGTTAAAGTTTAAAGACTATTTGATAAACTTTGAAGTCCGGGACTTGCTAATTGGTTATTAGAAAGACTAAGGTTTAAAATTTCTAGTTTAGGTTATTAAAAATAATAAGAGGTAGAAATATTAGCTCCTCCAATTAAATCTATGGTACATTTACTTAATTAAAGTGAATATTATTTTAAGTTCAGAATTTTATTAAAGTTTTCTATCCCTTGTAAGGTGTTCAGGTAGACATTCTTAGATAAATCTAGCTTTATCGTTTCTAAATTTTAGCATTTGGATATACTGATAAAAAGATTAAAAAGAGCTTAATCTGAAATTAAGAGCTGTTCGCTTAAAGAAATACTTAGATTTTTAAGAGTTTTGGTTATAAATAATAAATTTGTAGCTATATTTGTAATTCCTAAATCAGCCAAATCACTTTTCTGAAAATTAAGTGTAAGATCTTCCAAATTCACCATGTTTTAAAAATAATTATTGCTTATACTTATAGATTAATTAAGATTAAGATTGTTTTTTAAGTTAAGATTTAATATTTTTAAATTAGAAGCTACTCCATTTAGACTGTTGAGTAAATACGAAAAGTTGTCAGATTTATCAAGCATGCAATTTCTAAAACTCAGACTTAATTTAGTTAAATTTGATTTATTGTTTAAACACTAACTAAATTATTATAAGCCTAGAACTCCAAGTATATTGAAAGATAAACAAATTTTTAAAGTTTATAATTAATTCATTTAAGAGATTGCCTTACTAATAGGAGCTAGCATGTTTTCAGGATGAGAAGCAAATTGATTTATATGTCCATGAGCAGGAGAATGTGCACTTAGTGCAATACTATGCTATTTAATTAATGCGTTTATTTGTTATTATTAATTAATTATTATATTATTATGAGGACTCTATAGCTGTTGTGGGAGTATTGAACCTGTGATGTTTGAGTTTGTAATTGCAGCAGGAATATCCTTGAAATTATTCAAATTTTAATCATTTTCTAGCTCATTATTTTCAATTTCTTTGTCTTGATAGTCTTACTCAATCAGCAATGGAGACTATATATTGCCAATTTGAGGTTATGTTTAGTTTTGAAAAGAAATAGATTATCCTGAATTTGGTAAAATTTTTTTATTTTAAATAGCTGCTAGATTTTAATTGTGAATAAGCATGTTTTCACTTTCTTCAGGATAACTTTGCAAGCCTATTTTATAGCAGAATAATTTGAGATAGACTAATTTCTTTAAATTTTTCAGCGACTCTCCAAGTAACATAATGCCTTGATTTTCAAGCTGATTTTCAAACAAACACAGTTCCAGTTCAGTTAGTTCACTCAGATATTGAATGCTTTGAAACAAGTTCATTATCTATCTTAATTAGAGATATATATAATTAAAATTCAAGGTGAGCTTTCTTAAGCATAGGAGACTACTTAGATTAAAATCAACAAAATCTCTATCAATCAGATCATAATAATTTTTTTCACAGTTGATTTCTAACTCAATACAGTCTTTTAAGTACATGATGGAATCAGAAACTTGTTTAAAATTCTTTAACTCACTATTCGATTGTATATTTAGCCTTAAATATTTAAGCTTTTCTCTCTATTTAGGTATCTTATCAAGGAGCAGTTGAAGTTGCTCTTCAACTAAATTTGTCTTACATAAATTTAAATAAATCGATCCCAACTAAGGATTATTAACGAATAAAAATGGATTATTCTTCTAAGTTTATTTCTTTTTACTTTCAGCCTTTTCTTCTTCTATCCTTTTCATGCTCGATTGTTTACTGGAAAACTTAACAACATTAGTTATTTATTTATTTTGTTTCGGTTAAATCAAAGAAAAAGATGCAGTCTTCTAATAACTCCCAATATTTTAGTCAGATTATTATTACTATTGTAATTCGATTTTCGAATTGCTAAAGCTAGTAACATCTTTTTCTTCAAAGTTGTTAGGTAAGGTATTGGCTGTTCCATATAATCCCTTAATCTTTGTTTGAGTTTCCTTTGATGAGTTTTCCTCCTCCTCTTCTATTAAATGAGGGCCAGGAAGAAGTGCAGGATTTAATAATTTATCCTCATTAGCATTTTTAGGAGATTACAAAGGTTCATTTTGCTGAAATTAATTAAGCTCTCCAATCAAGTTATTAAAAAATTCAGTTTTTCTTTATTCCTAATTGGGTCTATCTTATTTTTTAAAATCTCGAATAGAAATTTAATTAACTTTTTTCTTTAAATTATTCAAACTAATATCAAGTTTAATTTGAGTTAAATTTAGCAGATTAGACAGTAGCTCAGTTACTAGAAATCCTTCATATTCTATATAGCACTTACTGAAATAAAGGCTTAAACTAGACAGATAAGAAAGACATGAAATGCATTCTATTAGGTTGATATAACCATAATTGCTAATATAATTATTTGATAGGTTTAAATAGAGATGTTAGAGCATATACAACCTAGAAAATCCAAACGCTAATTATATTGCTTCTTCTTTTGTAACGAAATTATTTTCTAAATCTAAGTGAAGTGTAATAAGTGAATTTTGTTAATTGACTAGAAGCTATCTTAATTACTTGTAGTTACTGCTTAGATAGTTGCTACTTAATTCTAATTTTAAGTTTACAAATTCGAACTAAGAAAAAAAAGTTGAAAAGTAATGCAAAAAATCTTTATCAAGCAAATTTTCTTTCATCACCAAAGAAAGACTGTCCATCATTTTGCATGTACTTGATATTGCCAGACATATATCATTAGCTTACAAAGAAGTTATCTGGCTTTGATTACTTTTTATTTCTAATTACTTTATCTCAAACATCTTCCTAATTTCCTCATTCACAGTTCTCCAAAGAGTTTCATCTTTGCCCTCTATCTCTAATTTTAGTTCTTGAGGTTTAAACTTTTTTAGCTCTTCTACTAACTCCTTTATTGATTTTAAAATAAATTAAAATACTTTCTTCTAAAAAGTAAGTGAATTAATTTAGTATTTTACAAGCTGATTATTCTTATCTATTTTGATTTTGATTTCTTCAACCATCTTTGTAAACAAATAGTCGTTATCTTATTCTTTAATATTCTCTATCAAAAGGTAAAATTTCTTGTAGAAATCGATACTCAAATTTTATTCTGTGTAAACCTGCATTTACTAAATGAGTTTAAAGCTTTTCTGGTGATTCTATTTCAAAATAGAGGCTAATTTTGAAAGAAAAAATAACATTAAATCAATTTATCAATTATAACAAAAGTAAATATTTTATTTGATATTAAAAATATAATAAATTATTTATTAAATTTTAATTAATTAATTAATTCTTACTTTCATTAGAATGAAAAACTTTTTTTAAAATGAGCATAACCAGTTAAAGTATATTGTAAAGTTCTTGTTGCACTGGTAAAGGATTATCATATAATGCAATACTTTCATACGAAGCCCACTTATAGTCATTTTCTACTTTATAAACATGATCAACATCAATATTAACTTGCAATTTTTTGCCTCTCAAAAACTCTAATCCTTAAATTAAATCTCCAATAAGCTTTATAAACTCGTCATCAGTGTATTGCATGTTTTTAATCTCCATAATTCTTAACTCTTGTCTCAAAGTAGTTTGAATATTTTCAATAATATAAACTTTTTAAAATACGGATTTTGATTCTTCCCAGCTATAAATGTCAAATATTTTGATAATATTCTTGTTTGGTTCAATTGTCAATAATTTTTCATCTCTAGGAAGATATGAGTCAATGAAATTTCCAGGATTCAAAATATAATTCTCAAACTTTACAGCTAAAATTTTCCCATCTATATTTTCTTCTTCTTCTCCTCCCTTTTTAACTTTAGAATTCGGTTGAAAATCGTTTGATTTTCCTCTTTTTCTGATCACCTTTTAATTCTTTTTTATCCTATAAAGCTTGTATTTATCAGAAGACTCAATGAGTTCAGCCTATTCCATATCAAATTCAAGTTCAAATATTTCTTTTGTCTTTGGACCTAACTCATCTATTTTGGTGCAAACAGCTCCTCCCATTTTTAAAATGTAAAAAACTTAAAATGGATCAGTTATATAAAAATTAAATATTTATGTAAATATACACTATTATCAAAACTGTATTTTATTAATTATAACAAGTCTTTTTTACTATCAAACTATAAAATTATCTAAAGCTTTACATAATATTTTAATAAAAATCTAATTCTACTAAATTAATAATGTATATTCCACTTACAATTTTAAAAACCATTTAAAAATAAAAATGCTTTTTATAAAATCTTTTTATTTAAAAATCATTCTTTTCAATTTTTTTCTTCAAAAAAATTAGTTGATAAAATTGAAATTGAAAAATAGTTTTTTTATTCTTATTTTAAATGATGATTTATTTGTTTGTACAATATGAATAAGAGTAAAAAAAAAAAACAAGAATGAAAAAAAAATATTTGTAAGATTCAAAAAAATAAATAAGAAATTAATAAAGAAGGTCTTTTGAAAATATTAAAAATTTCATAATTTAGTCTTTAGTACTCTTTCATAGTAATTGATTAGAAAAAATTCTCAAACTTTTATATAAACTTCATAATCGATCAAAAAAAATTATTAATTATTTTTTATGTTATTTTCAAAACAAAAAAGTTTTTTCTCCTAATTAATTGCTTTTTCAAACTTATCCTTCACTATAATCATCTGACATATATTTCCACATATCGTCTCCAACAACTTTGTTGTTTTGATTTTAGTTATTATATTTATTGTTTTACTAAGGTCTTCTATCAGTACTCCTTCTTCTACTGTAATCTTAAGATATTTCATGACTTTATGATAACTCTCCTTAGCTTAAGGTTGATTTATTAGGAGGATAGTATTCATTTTAAACTTTTATATTGCTAATTGACTTCCTTCCTGGAACAGAAACCTGGCCTTCACTTTTAGAATTATCTTAACTCTAAAATATTGAGTCTGCATAAGATCTATTGCTTTTTGTATCTATTTAGCTCATACTTATACTACTTTAGTTTACTACTGTTTCTGTATCACTTAATTAATATTCTCTGTAGTACTCATTTAAATTTATTTTCTTATCATCTATTTCTTAATCAATTTTTTAGTTATTTCCCATATTATTATTATACTGCATAGCATTTGGCATAGGAGGTGGAGCCATCCAAGTAGCTGGCATCATCATTCCAGGATAAATTGGTTAAGGCATGTTAACACCTCCCATCATCATCATTTATTATTGCTATTATTATAACTAAAATGGATTTAAAGTCATTCCAAAAGGCTATTGCTGCATTTATCTATTAAAGTTTTGGGTAGGAATTTAACCTCCTCCATATTAACTAAACTAATTATTTTATGGATATTATACTGGAGGTTTTTTAGATATATTTTAAACTCCAGCTTCCATGCTATCATCCTCTAGACTACCCTCTGAGACCTCTTCAAAATCAAGGCCTATAAAATTATATGAAAAATTTATTTTTAAAATAATTCATAAAAAATAAATTTACCATGTTTTTTCTTGTTTTAATTAAGATTTTATGCTTTATTTACAGCTTAGTTTACAGAAGCTAGTGTTGAATTTATAACATTTAAAAAATTCATTGCTAAATCTTAAGATTATTATTAAATATTAAAATTTTGTGTATAATCCTAAAAGTTTCCTTGCAAACTTAGTCTTCCTACTTATGATTACTAGTTCTAATTTTACTACTATTGCTGTTACTATTGCTATTATTATTACTGCTAAAATTACTACTGAGAGTTATTTTAGTTTATTTAATTGATAAATGAAGAATTTTTTAAGGGAGACACTTAACCTTGTTTTTTATATTAAAAATATTAATTAAATTAAGAATAAAATGATAAAATTTTTTACTGTCGTTCTTATCTTTTTTGATTATTAAATCACTAAGTTTTCTTCTGGCGTTTTAATCATTTGAATTATTTTAATTAAAGTCATTTTAATTATTTTGAAGAAGATTACCAAAAATTTATTCTTTATTTTCTTAAAGGACTTGTAAAAATATATCTTTTAATGAATCTTTATCAAGTGGTTATTGTAAAAATTAATTTTTAGCTAAGGAAATTTAAATTTATTCATCTTACTCTTCTTATTAATCTTGTGATGGTACCTACTTTTTTTAAAAGGTCAACTAGTTATCTCTGTAAGGGTTAATAAGATTTTGAGTAATCTTTTCGTCCATTTGTATTTTAAGATATCTCTCATAATCTTCTTCTACTTCTTCATATTCTTAAAGCTCTTAATCCATATCTTTGTCAACTAAAGATTTCATTTGTATGCTTTTATTTTTTTAGTGAGATCCTTATAATTTATTTTGAATTCCACCGGATTGTTTACGCTTAATTTCATTCATTGAAGAAACATTAGATTTTGGATAAAAAACTTAGCTTTAAGGCTACTATTATTGTTAAGGAGCAGTGATTTTAGCATAAGGAGCAGGTTTAGAAAACGAAGGAATATCAGCTAATGAGCTCCTTTAATTTTAATGATCCTATTATTGCTATTTATTTACGAGTAAGGTGTCATATTGAACCTTATAAGATTAATTTAGTTTCTCGTATTTTACTTCTCTTGGGCAAGGAACAGGCTCGGATTTTAATGTTTCTAAATTTTTTGGTTTAAGAGTTTGGTTTTTTGCATAATTTGTAATTGGATCAGGATCTTACCTTGCCATATCAATGTAATTTTGCTATTACTCTCTTTATTTAATTCTAAGATTAGGGTTTTTCATAGGCTTAGATGGGTCTAATCCTAGTCTTAATTTAATATCATCTAAAACACTAGGCATCTTATATGAAAGTTCATTTATTTCTGCTTAAGTTAAACTTATTTTTGGGATGTGTACACTGTGAATTGATAACTCTTACTAATACTCTCTCCATAATTATTCATAGTCAGACTAAAGCTCATTCAACGATTCATTATATAATTCATAATCAAATTCTCCTCCAAGCTATTATTTAAAAAAATTCGATTGGCTTATTTCAGTAGAAATAAATAATTAATTACCTTATTATTTACTATTTAGCGAGAAGAAACAAAATCGATATTTTCAACTTGAGCTTAAATATTTTCTTAAATTGGAATAAGTATTTCTTATTACTTAGGTAGTCTGTTAAGTTTTTCCTATCTTTCTTCTAATTCAAATTCAGCTTTCTGAGCATCTCTCTGCAATTCTAAAATTTGGTTTTTTAAATTATTAATTGTTTTAGTGTATAAATCAATGTTGAAATTTGTCATATTTGCAAAAGCGTTCATGTTTTCAGGAAGAAATCCATTTAAATTTTATGATGTTATCTCTAATTTATTTTTCAAAGAAGAATTAGCTTTTTAAAAATCCTATAAATTTTAATTCAGTTGAGGATTTTATTGAAAGTTTCCAGCAGCTGCAGGAGATTTATCCATTTAAAACGATATTTCCTTCTAGCTTTTCTTAGTCTATTCATAAATCATCTTTATCTCTTGAATTTATTCATTAATTGGTGCTAATAACTTCTGCAATTCCTTCTTATTTTACTCTATCAATTCATTTTTTCTTGATAAGCATCAAAGCAAAAAAAAAATTTAAATTTTCAAACTCATAATGATAAAATAAATCTTACTATTTAGACAATTTATCTTCATTCTAAATCTAATGCATAAGCACCTGTAATTACTTTTAATTTTCGTTTAAAATTTCATTTTATTCCTTTAAAATTTGAGCTTGAGAGTTTAGCATTCCTATCGATACTTATTCTAAATTTACATATCAAACAAAATAAATGAAAACAGTCTTTAAAAAATTAGAAAATTACTTTTATTTAAATTGCTTAATTCATTCTCCATTTATTTGAGGAATTAATCAACTTTTTGATCAGGAATTTAATTATAAATTTGCTAAAATTAAGAAGGGTTTGTAGCATTTTATTAGATTTACTGCTAATTCAATTACGCTTACTAAATTTAATTTGTGTTTTATTAATTCTAAGAATTCTACTATGAGGAAGAGCGTGCAGGTTTATTTATGCTAGCTTACTAAATTTATCTTTTTTAAGTTTACCCTGCATTTGCATACAATTTACTTTTAAGCTTCTCTTCTTTTTAGGAAGGCTAAAAAGTTTTAACTACAACTGTTGAATTACTTTGAGACATTGCAACAAATATTATATTTACAAATTAATACTAATTACTTAGTTGAATTTAATTCAAATTTTAGTAATAAGAAACTTCAAAAATCATATATAATCTTCAATTCATTAAGAAAGTAAATCTACCAATAAATAAATTATAGTTATTTATTTTTAGGTATCAAAGATATTTTAAAAACAAAGATTTTGTGAAAAAAAAATTATTTGTATTTATTTAAAATTCAGCTGGTTCAATTTACACTCAAAAAACATTCACAATTGATAGTTATTAAGAATATACAAATATATTATTAAAATTAAATTCTATATAATTATCAGAAATGTTAATTTGTTTTTTATTTAATTAAAATATCTTTATTTAATTTTCAGAATATAAATAGTTTTATTCATAAAAAAACTAAAACCAACTTCTTAAAATAGTGTAAAAATAAATTAAAAAATAATAATAATATAAAATATGTTTGATTTTGCTAAGCTATTCTTTATTTATTTAGTTTTTTATATTTTTTAATCTTTGAAAATTCTTTAAATTTATTATAATAAAATTTTTTCAATTTCAACATTAATTCTTTTTTATATTATACATAAAAAAATATTAGAATGTGATTGAAAAAAATTTATTAAAGATTTTTAAATAGAATAAAGATACTTTTATTTTATCAATTTATTTTATTATATGACAGTAAATCATTTATTTTTTCAATTTTGTATAATTTATTTTCATATTTAAATATGTAAAAAAAGTAAGCATATTTATTACATTAAAACCAATACCTATACCTTTATATTAATAATATATTTAAGGTTTATTATTTGTTCTTTATTATTTTAGCCCTATTATGTGAATATTTGTTGAATTTATTATTTTTTTATTTTCTTATGAAGTTTACTAAACTTAAATAAACTAACTTACACCCAAATTTATCCTTAACCATATTTAAATTACATTTATGCTTTATTTTTTATCATACCAGACTTAAATAAGTTAAACAGTAGTTATTTAATAATTTTCTTTTCTTTATATTTAAAAATTTTAATTAGAATTTCATTAAATATTTTTGTGTATTTTCTGTCTTTTTTTTGATGCACATGCTATAATGCTTGAGTTTTAGTATTAAATTAATGTTTAGTTTTTAATTTTTGTTGAAATAATCTTCAATAAAACTATTTTAGCATTTTTAAGCTCTCAAAATATAAAATTTAAAAAGTTAAATTATTCTGATAAATATTATTTTAAAATAAATTAAAATGTGTTCAATTTTTATTTATTTAAAAGCTAATATATCAGAAATTTATTTTTTCAATAAAAAAGTAATGAATTTTTTATTTGTTTTATTATTTTAATATCAAAAAATTGAAATAAATATATTTAATGTTTTACAATATTGTAGAATTGGGTCAATCGTTTTCAAAAAACTTATAATTTTTTAATAAAAACATGAAAAAAATTTATTAATTTAAAAAAAAAAACTTTAATTAATAGAAAAATTTTTAATGTTTGATATGAATTTAATTAATTTTCAAATACTTTTTTAATTAATAAAACTATATGACAGGTAAATTAATTAATCTTTAGATTTATTTGATGTTTTAGGTTAAATATAAGTTAGTGTTAAAAATTTTTATGAAAATAATCAATATCTAAGATAGAAACATATATATAGATATTGGCGCAAATCACTAATCCGTTTGAAATTTTTAAATTTAAAATGAAGAAAGAATTAAGATAAAAAAAGATGATGAAATTTTTAAATAATAAATATTATTATTTTGTTTAGATTTAAGATGAAACTCAACGAGTAAGATTCTGTGTTTGCGAAATAAAAAGGAAATTAAAGATATTTGATTAAGAGTAGTGAAAAACTTAAGCAGATTCACAAATCAAAACTAAGCCATTCCAAATAACTATCTAAAAATATAAAGAATTAAAAATCTTCCAAGCTAACTCAAAAGTCATCTACATCTTAATGGAATACACCTAGTGACAAATCGAGTCAGTCTTCTGTGATTATATTAACTCCATCACAGAATAGTAACAGACACATTCTTAGAGCATAGTAGGTACCATTTTTAACCTAAGAAAATGAATAATATTGTTCAGCAAATGAAAAAAGTAAAAATATAAAGAATAGCAATCATCAAAAGAGTATCATAAGTAAAAAAGCAATACATCCCACTTAAAACTAATACTGCTCTATTCACAGTTATGAAACTGTCAGTGATGAGGATAAGAGTTGCAGAGATCAAATATATGCTTCGATGGTTTTACTCACTGATAAAAAAAGTCTGGCTCAAAGTAGGGAAAATTTTGAACAGAAAAATTAACAAAATTACATAGATTTACTTTCTTCAGAAAATAAAATAATACCTCATCAATCTTCTTCACCTGAAGTAGAAATTAATAGTAGTATTGATGAATATTAATAGTAAATTATTTACAAGAATGATCGCTCTATTATTTAGTAGAGACAGCCTTAATTTACTAACTACCAGCATCAAAATTAATACTACTAAAGGTCACCTTTGCAGCAATTGGAATCTAACATCATAAAGAATGTCTAAAGCACGCCAATTTAGTAGAAGAATAATAATCAAACAAAAGATAATTTACTTGGACTCAGCCAAACACCATTTAGCTCTATAAAAAAGAGGCTTTTTGATACATAACAAGATTTTATTGGATCCTAACAAGAAAATATTGATATCATGATTAAAGAAATTTAATCAAAATCAGTCTAAGAGAGTGTTTCTAAAAAATTGACATTTAGGTCACCTTAGAACTCCCTTGTAAACCAAAATTTAAATTTTGGAAAAGAAAACCGCTAATAAATCGTTAAAGTTCTTGAAGTGGTAAAAATGAAGAATTCTTCTGCAAAACTAGCTAAAGTTTCTGTTTTTATTGAAAATACACCATAACTTTAAATTAAATACGTTCAAACAGTTGATATTCGCCAATCACACCCAGAATTACTAATTTAATATTACGAAGAAACATTTGATCCATATATCGTTGAAATCTAAGAAATCTTCTGATTCAATTAAATTGATTACAATAACATTTTATTACTGAACGCATGCAATATTTATTACTTCTTAAATAATAATAACAACAATAATAATTAGAACTATCATATTTCAATTATTTTAAATATCCTCAAACGTAATATATATAAATAGTATTAATAATAATTAACTTTGAAATTAAAAAAATAAAAACCATCCCTATGAATAAAACCCACCTATTAATTTACTCAAGTCTTTTTTTACCAAATTTAAAAATAAATATCCATTTTTCCTCTAAAGAGGAGTTTATCTGATTTATCCTATTTACTTAACATAAATAATAATGTTTAAAAACTCTAACATACATTGAATTTAATTGTAATTATATGCACTTAAAATACTTGTTGTCCACTTTAATAATTCTATCATTTATAAAATATTAATTTGTTCGCAAATTATGGTGACTTAAAAAAAATATAATTTTATTTTTCTAATCAAATTGAATTTTCATAAATTTTCTAAAGATAAATTTATTGTTTTAATAATTAATTTTCTATTTTTGAAATAAAATAAATCAAGAAAAACTAAAATTAAAACAAAATATAACATTAAAATTTTCGTTTCATGATAAGTTTTTTACTTCCTAAATAAAATAACATTAACCTAGCTTAAGAAGTTAATTGGCTTATTTAAATAATCTTAAAGTTTTTAATAATATCTTTTAAATAAATTAAAAAAATATTGTTCTCATAAAAATTAAAAACAGTTTAATAAAAAAATAATAATTAAATTAAATTTATTTATATTATTTTATTAAGTATTATATAAAAATATAAAATGGTTTTTAATATTTTTTTTAATTTTCACTTTTTAGCTAAAAAATAACAGTATTTTTTTATACTTATTTTCGAGGTTAACTTTAGTTAGCAAAATGAATTGATAAATTTAATAGTTTTCTTATCTTTATTCACTTGAAAAATTAAAGATAGAATCTTATATTGTGAATATTCTAAAATATCAAAAATATTTTTTTTATATTAAGTTAAATTATTTATTAAAGTAAAACAAAATAATACAAATAATATTAATATTTATTTAGCAATAAAATTCTACTATTTCAATTAATTAAAATATTTCAAAGCTTAGAAAATAAATCAAATATTTTTTGAGTATTATTAAAAATTTTTTTAATTAATTATTTTAAGTAGATTTTATACAAAAAACAATAATCTATTTAATATTTTTTAACTTTAGATTAAATTATATTTCTTAGATTTTAGAGTTCAATATTATGAAATTAAATGTATAAATATTTAAATTCAATGAGTTGAGTAAAAAAATATATTTATTTTGTTATTTTACAATTTTTAAGCAAGTATTTATTTATCATGTTGTTTTAATTGTGGATTTAAAATAATAAAATACTTACTATTTTAAATATCAAGAAAATATCATAATAATTAGTATTAAAATTTTTTAAATATTAAATTTAATATAATAAAATTATTATTATTGAGGATAGGGATGTTATTTAAAAAAATTGTGGTAAAAAAAATTTACTATCTTATAAAAATAAAAAAATTTCATCTTAAGAGTTTCTGTTTAATTTTTTAATGTTTATTATAAATATAGTTATAAAGATGATATGAAATTAATTATCGATAATATAGATGTTTTTCATTATAAATTTAGTAGTGAGTTGAGCAAATTTTTACTTACTTACTTTAAATTCATATTTATAAAAATAAATACAATAAAAAATTTACCATTAATTTTGTTTATTTTCATAAAATTTAAAAAAAAAAGACAAAATTGTCATTATTAAATTATTTTTATTTCTTTCACTTATTTCTTTTATATCTAATTATCTGGAATTCTTTTAGAATTGAGAATTTATTTTTATTTATCATTTTTATAACTACTTCTTCTAGCTATCATAATATTTAAAATAAATAGCTTATAATTTAGAAAAATGAAAAAATATAAGACCTTCACAAATTATTTACTTCTTTCTTAAAGCATTTTAACAGAAAATAATAGTAATAATATTTTGTTTGATAAAATATCTGTTGAGCTTTTAGAAGAAAACACATGTAACTTAACCAAGAGTAATGAATAGAACCCAAAGTCTCAAATTTGAGGCTGTATTTAAGATTGAATCAAGATTCAATAGTTTCTATAACTTAGTTGGCAAATATAAATATGTCAGAAAATCCTTAAGCGTTTAATTGCTTATACGTATGACCATCGCTTATTAGTCAATCCCTTAATTTTATATATCATAGATGAAATTAAACTTATCTTATATCAAATTAAAGTAAAAAACACTAAAATATTAATAAAAATATACTAAGAAGATAAATATTGAATTCATAATAGTAAAATGATTTTATTAATAATATTTAATATTGTATAAATACTTTATTTTTAAGTAAAATTGAAATACCTAATTTAAATTTATTTATTAAAAAATAATTAATTTTTTTCATTGAAATAATTTGGAGAAAAGAGGAAAAATAGATAAAATATCTTATTTATAGATTTCTTATACTTTAATTTTTACTTTTTATAAATAAAAGTAGCTTATTTAATAAAATTAATTTATATTTTCTAACTATATTTAATATTGTATACTAACAATTTATTAAATTATCCTTAAGCTATAGAAATTTGTTTTGAAAGCTTTTTCAAAAGTATTAATTTTTTATGTTTGATTAAATTATCATAAATAAACAGATTAATCAAAACAAAAATAAACTTAAAATAGCTAAAATTTGCAAAGGTTTGAAATTATATTTTTTGATTGAGCATAATTAAATTCACTCTAAGTGGTTTTTTAAAAAAATTATAAATTTTAATTAATTAGCTCGATAACTACCACGTCTTTTTAAATTTACAGAAGCTAAATAACCTAACCAATACTTTAATTGAGAGAAAGTTAAAAATAGTGCAGGTAAAAATCTTGATAAATTACTCTGCCAAAATCAAAGTTGATAGAGATGATTTTTTATCATATTGTAGAAAAGCGAAAAGAATATTTTTTAAAAAGAAAGTAAATTTTTTATTAAAATTTTAAAGAATTCAACTAGAGGTTCAATGAAGGTTAATTTTTAAAATATAAAATATGAAAAAACGAGTAATAAATCAGATATTATTTAGATGTATCATAAGCTTATGAATATGCTTGTAGCTTACATAAGTATTTTAAACCATTTTCATAAATTTTACTTTGTGTAATCTGTAAATGGATATGACTGCTCTGGAGAAATAAGTAGCTTGAAATCAAATTCTAGTAAATTTAAAAAAAAATAAAATGATTTAACTATATAATGAATTTTTACAAAAGATATTATGTGTGCTATGGAATTTTTTAAACTCAAGGATATTACACCACTTAAAGATGATAAAAATTTATCATTACCAGAAAATTGTTACCAAATAACATTAATGAGTGGAATGCCTTTTATTGGAGGTAATAGCTGTGATTTTACAAAGCCTTTATAACTTACATACAATAAGTAATTTTTTAAATGAAATTCTTATCTTTTATATTTTTAGACTAGATTTTTAAAACAATATTTAATGTTAACATCTGCTTATTTAAATTTATTAAAATTTTATAGCTCTACTTATTACGCCAGCAAAGTTAGTATTTAATAAAAATATGTAGTAGTAGCCAAGCCATAATGTCCTTAATAGCTTGAAATTAACATTTCTATTAATTAATTTAGCTTTTTTTATAACTAAACTCCTCCTTACAAAGGTCCTGGCTTTTGTGACTATTATTCAAATAACTTTTTTTAAACTACAGACAGCCTAAACTCTTAGACTTTATCTATTTCTTTATCTGTAAAAAAACCCTCTATATAAAGTTAAATTTATATGTATTATCTAGCTATCTTGGTATTTTAAGTAAATTTTAATAGTATTTCTTTAAACATTTTGATTGAAAAATGAGTGGGATGAATATAAAATATCACAAATAAACAAAAGATAATAAATTGAATTGTTTGTTTGATAGATTGAAAAAACTCTTCTTTACTCTATAAACTTTTTATCCATTTTAAAATAACATTTTTTCCTCCATATTTATTACTTTTTTTACACAGCCAGATTAAAATTATTTGATTACAATTTACTTTATTAATTAATTGAAATTTAAAAAATTAAAAAAAGTGTCCTTAGTACTGTAGCTCTTGTGATAATGATTAGAAAAGTTGCTTTAGCTGTATGGATGGGTATTACTTAGATAATAATGTTTGTTAAAAATGTGACATTAATTGTTAAACTTGCAACGGTCCTTCATCTACTGATTGCTCCACATGTAACTAAGGTAGTTACTTATATAGGAATAACTAATGTGTAAGTTGTAAAAGTGATGGTACTTATATTGAAAATAACCTTTGCTTTGACTGTGACTCTAGTTGCTAAACTTGTAACGGTAAAAGTTAAAACGATTGTTTAAGTTGCTACCAAGGGTTTTAAATAGTGAATAATTATTGTTAATAAGATTTTTTTATGTACAGCTCAAACGCATTTAGTAAATCTGATATTCACTAATTAGAACAATTTTCTCAATAACTTTCTTCCTCGGTTCTTATTAGTAGCGCATTTATGAGTTTATTCTAAAACTTGTTATCATCATCCAACATAGGGTTATTAGTAAATGGTTACATATGCCAAAAGTACAGTTTCCTTCTACTACTAGATATTATGTTGCCAGAATAAATTTATTAGACTCTATATGCTTTAAAAAGTAAATATTTTATAAAAATTATTTTAAAAATAAATGGATAATAATTTTTTGTAAGCAAATATTTAATATTTTTATTTTTATTAAAACTTAGATCAATATCCTACCTAATAATTTTCCTTTTTGAATTTTTTCTAAGGTTCGGCTAATTAAAGCGGCTATTAATACGAAAATTAAAGATATTAAAAAGTTGGTATATCATATGATATCTTATAAACATCCGGCTAACATTTAATAATATTTCTAATATGTCTTATCAGCTTCTTTAGTTTTTATGCAATATTAGAATTTGTATAAAATAAAAAAATCTTCTAAATTTCTAAATTTTTTTATGATAAAATCATTTCAAGCTATTTAATTCAATTCTTTTAAATTTCATTTATGATATTTTTAATTGGATTGAACTAACAATTAAAAGATATTCTCTTACATTTTAATAATAATAAAATAGGAATTAAAATAACATTTCTCATTATTTTTTCTTTGCAAGCCTTTTTTGTCTTTTAAATTCTTTACTTATTTGTAAATAATAAAAAACTTATCTAAAAAAAATCTGCTTTCAATCAAATTGTGAGATTAAAAATATTAAATGGTGCTACGTTTGAAAAAAGACTTGCAAGTAATTTTATGATAATCAATTTAACATTTGAATCCTTCATAGTGCCAACTATATTTATTCAACTAAGCTAACATTGGAAGGTGGCTCTAATACTTTTGATGATAATTGAATTAATTTAATTAGTAATCCTACTTTATATGAGACCATTTTAATCTCGACTAATCACTTCTTATTATTTCTTATACAACATTTTGTGGCTTGGGATGTATATTCAATTCATACTATTAGGTACATATAGCTAAAATCAAGATTATGATATCAGCCAAGCATTAAATAGGCTAAGCTATACTTTTTTGTTTACATTTGTAGCTATCCTATCTTTACATCCACTTTATATGATTGCTTTTTTTTTAGTTTAATTATTTAACTTGATAGCATCTAATAAATAATAATAAAAAACTCAAGATTAACTTGAGCTTGGACCCATTATAAATCAAAGTAATCATGATAAAATTACATATAGTAAACCCTATTAATTATATCGCTTTTCTAAATAATAAGAAATACTTTTAGATCAACGAGTATGGAGATATAAGGTTACAAAAAAAAATAGGTAATATGCATGAGCTCTTTAAAAGGGTTAATTCTCATTAAATATTTTAATAATTATTTAATATATCTTCTATTTTAAACAAATAATATAGTAAAAATAACAGGAATAAATATATAAATATGTTAATAAATTTTAATATTTTTTATGTTTTTTTTTTCATCTACTTCATCTTTAATTACAAACATATTTACAATCAAATGTTCCAAAAAAAAAAACTCAAGTAATAATTTCAAAATTTTAATAACATTTGGAAAAAATTGATAAAAAGTAAATCTTTCATAAAAAAATGATTTTTTTTTAATTAAAACAAAAAATTAATACAAAATTAAAACTTATATAAACCAATTCTTAAAGTATATTGTTTGATTACATAATATTTTCTAATTTTAGTTGATGTAAAACATATTAAAATAAATTTATATAGATAGTTTAACTTTATTTTGATTTAAGTTTTTAAAATTTATATAGATAACACATAAAAATAATAGTTAAGTTAAATTCTATTGGGTGAAGTCGTAAAATGAAATATTTTATGTGAAATGCATTCTATTTATATAAAAAGTACATTATAATATCAATTTTTAAATTTAAAACATAAAAATGTAAATAAATTATTTAAAATTGTAAATATTCACAGTGTAATGTCTAATGTATGTGTGGTATGAATTTAAAAATTTTGTAGAAAAATTTTTGATGTTTACTAGAAAAGTTGATTTGTTTAAAAATAAATTTAATTAGTTTCTTTTTAGGCTTTTTTTTAAATACTAGAAATAAAATAGGATATTTTCATTTCAAAACTTTTTTAAAGTTCTACATTTTAACATTTATGAAAATGAGAATAAGTCTAGATAGATATATTCAACTTTGATTTGTTTAATTTTTGTATTTAAAATATTGCTGTGTTCTATAAAAAATATTTTTCTTTATACTTTAAATTAAACAAAAATGAAAAGAAAATTGTTTTTAAATTCTACAAACAGTTTATGATTAGGAAAATAACATAAATCTAATTAAAGTTACTAGAAATTTTATAGGTAAATATAAAATTGAATTAGCAATTCTAAAAGAATAAAAAAAATGAAATTAAGGAGAATATTTTGATAAAATACTTAAAGAAAAATTAATATACCTATTTATTAGCCTTAACCATTTTCTTGTCCTATAATAAATGACTAATACCGAAAGCTATCATTTTTTTAAAGAAGTTAGAATAATGCATTATTATAAAAATTAAAATAGAAATTTAATGTTTTGTTTAACTTACTAGAAATTTAATAGATTTAATTTTGTAATTTTAAATTGGATAAATATGAAATTCATTTTTAAAGCTCTAAATCATAAAAATAAATGAATAAATTTTATTAGGCAACTAGAAAAATTATAGAAAAGACTAAAATCTCATGAATAATTCAGTTAAATTCTAAAATAAATATTAAATAAATAGAAAAATCAAATTATTGTAGAATTTTTTTTACAAATACTGTTTATAATAATTTTATTTTTTATAATAATTTTTAAAATAAAAAATAAATTTCAGTATTATTTAAACATTTATTTTATATTTAAAAATAGTTGTTGGTTTTAAAATAGAATTCTAAAAATAAATTAATTTGAATATTTACTAGAAGTTTTATAGAAATAATTCTCTTGAAATTAGCAATAAATCTTTTTTTCACAAGGTGCTATTTTTAAAAAATAATTTTTTTCAAAGTAGAGTTTTTAAATACAAAAAAAAATAATTTTTTTTAACGAGTTAAGATAGACATGTTAAGATTTTAATTATTTATTGCTACCTAAGATATTTATTTTCTTAAAAGCTAATTTTTTCCTGAATTTACTAAAGTAATTGTTAAACACAAATTAGAGATTTACTAGAAATTTCATAGAACTTTTATGTCATTATTTGCCAAATTAGATTCAAAAGTTTTATAAATTCAAACTGATTTTGGTAAATCAAAAATTTCATAAATTAGTATGATTACTTTGTTGAACTGTAATTTTATAATAGATGAAATCTCTATAAAAACAAAGGTAAGTATGATTGAAATAAATAAATATTAATTAACTAAATAAATAAATAAATAAAAAAATAAAATAAAATAATAAATTAAAAATGAACTCAAAGATATTTGTTGCTATTACTTTAATCCTACTTGGAATTCAATGTGTCTCTGCATTTGATGAAAGAGCTTTTGGAGAAGAAGCTGCTAAATTAATAACTGTTTAGGGTTTACACAACTTTAACAAATGGGAAAGAAGCTTTAGCTCAGGACGTAGTCGTACCTATCTATCAGAAGAAGAAAGAACTTACCGTCAAATTGTTTTCCTTTAGAATGATTAGAATATCTAAAAACACAACAGTGACAGCAACAATACTTACAAGCTTTAACACAACCAGTTCTCTGACATGACAAAAGATGAATTTGCCCATCGTGTCCTTAATTCCTAACTCAAAACTTCTGCATCTTCTTCTTCTTAACCTGCTTAAACTCCCTAACTAAGAGGAAGTGTAGATGCTAGTTTGAATGCAAGTCAAGGATTTGACTGGAGAAATTACTAAGGTGTTCTTGGTAATGTTAAAAATTAAGGTTAGTGTGGTTCATGCTGGACATTTGCAACTGCAGGTGTTTTAGAATCCTATTATGCTCTTAAGTATCAATAATCTCTTATTTTCTCTGAATAAGATATTGTTGATTGCGCTTCACGTTCTTATGGCTATTAATCTGATGGTTGCAATGGCGGTTTCCCCAGCGAAGGATTACAATATGCATCCACAGTTGGTCTAGTTTAATCTGATTACTATCCTTATGTTGCTGTCTAAGGTACTTGCAGATAAGTCAATGCTCCTCGTTATCAGTTGTTAGATTAATACTACTCAGTATAATAATCTTCCAGTGCACTTTAGTATGCAATTACAAGAGCTCCTACTGCTGTTGGTGTAGATGCTAGTACTTGGTAATTCTACAATAGTGGTGTTTATAACGGTTGTGGTAAAACTTAAAGAAATCAATTAAATCACGCTGTTATTGCAGTTGGTTATGATGCCTACGGAAACTGGATTATTAGAAACTCATGGGGCACAAGCTGGGGACAAAGTGGTTATATTACTCTTGCTAGAGGAAATACTTGTGGTGTTCTCTATGATAACTATGCCATAAATATTTGATTATAAATAATTAAATAAAAATAAATATTAACTTGTCAACTCTATTTTATATATATAGTAATCACTTAAATTTACCGAGTTACTTTCTAATTATTTCTTGCTTTTTATATTTATTAACCTTCTTTTATAGTCATAAATTAACATTTTAATTAAATATGTTAAACATTGTGAAATATATTTTTGGATAAGTTGAAAAAATAGTTATTGTTTATTTATTTTATTTTTAAATTTCTTAGATAACAAAAAAGCTATTAAATATATAAATAATTTTTTTTCAATTCAAAAATAGTTTTCTTATTAGTAAATACACCAAAAACCATATAATATAATATATAGATAATCGAATGCAAACTTTTTCTTATTTTTTTATCAAAAGTAAGTCTAACTTTATTTTTACTCTAAAAATATTATCTGAATAATTATCTTAACCAATTTTGAAAAGCTTTTAAAATTAATTAACCTTTAATAAAATTTGATTATTATTCAAACTTATGGGTTATATTGTTTGTTTAAATAGAGAATAACTTGATTAAGAATTTAATTTTTAATGATATGTCAAAAAACTTTGAAATTCAAAAGTAAAAAAGAATAAAAATTTAAAAATTAACTAAAGTTATCAATCTTATTTTTATATTAAAGTAATATGAAATAAAAAGTTAAATTGAATATGAAATAGAATAATTAACCTAAAATATTTTAAATATAAAATTTACTGTTTTTGTTTAGTAATTAATAATATTTAAAAAATAAAGTCAATAGCAAATGAAATAAAAATTAAAATATTACTAAAGATATCTTATTTTTTTAGAAAGTTATTAGATATAAAAGATTAATTCGAAAATGAAATAGAATAATAAATTATTATCTCTAATAGATAAAAGACAAATTAAAATTTATATATAAAATATATTATTAAGCTTTTAAGTAAGTAAATTAATTATATTTGTATTTCTTTAATGATGTGATCGTTTTTTGTTATTTGCTAATTTATTTTCTTAATTACTTGCTATTTATTATCTAATCCTTGTGTATTTAATAGAATAAAAGGACTGAACTACCACCTTAAATTACTAAATCATTATTAATTAAGCACGATCAACTTATAAAAAGCTCAAATTATTAGTTGAGTTGAGCTTTAATTACTACTATGATTATTATTTGTAAACTATTTAGTCATGTTTAAATTGCTAACACTTCCTTTAAGTTTGAATTTACTTCTTCTTTTCTTTAGTATTTTAAAACATAAATTGTTATTTATTTTTTATCAATCAATAAAATAATAACTAAACTAAATTTTTATTAATTACTTCGTCAAGCTCTTTGAGTTTTTCTTGTTTTATTTTCAATAATTCTTGCTTATTTATCTATTTTTCTTGTTCTTATCTTTTCCTCTTAACTTCTGGAAGGTTTTCATAATTCTTCTTTGTAAGAGCATACATTTCTTTCTCTGATATCTGATTTTTAATATTTTAAATTTAAAACAACCTTTTCAATATTTTTAAGAAATTACCTTAGGTTTGATTCCTTGAGCTAATCTGATCATTAGTTCTTCTCTTTTTTTAGAATAATTAGGAGACTTCATTCTTTAATTTCCATTTATTGATTCTTAATTTAATTATTCTTATTCAGATTAAAATCTCTATTATGCCTTTGCTTTCAATTTTGGGTTTACTCTATTACCATATTCTTTCATCTCTTAGCGAAGTTTAATCATATCTTCTTTACTTCTTTTACCCTTACTCTCCTTTTAACCAGTATGCTAATTCCCTACTGGTAATTCATCAATAACTGCAACAGGATAGCTTTCTTTATTTTCATTGACTACTTTTTCTTCTACTTTTGATGTACTAAAAGCTCTTTTCTATCCATCCATTTTCTATGCCAGTTTTTTTCTTTTCTCCTAAAATATTTCAGCTAAACTCTTTTACTATTCTTTTGGTTGAACTTAAGTAGAAAGATCTATTTCAAGCTTTTCAAATCCATGTTTGTTTGCATTTACTTTATTACTATTATCAAATTACTCTATTTATTCTATATTAGTGTTTCTTATCATTTCATCAAACTAATTTTTAAATAATTAAATATATTATCAGAATTAAATTTTAAAAACACTACATTAGAATTCATTAGGGACTAATTCTTATTTTGTTGCTTATTGTTTCTAAAAGTAAAAGTATCTTTTTCTTAGGTAAAAGATCTAAAATTGCTTCTTTGTGTATCAGAATTTAAATTTCCTCTAGTTTGCATAGAAAGAGGTTTATTGGCATTAGTTTTTTCTTAATCAGTTTTATTATTTTTTGTATCTTGAATTTCATCAAAGTCTTCATCGTTTGCATCAAGAATGTCAAAATCATCATTATCATTTTACTCTTTTTCACAGAAAATAAAAAATTAATTTAACTTTTTGATGAAATAATTTATTTTTTAAATTTAATTTTTCTCTCAATAAATAAATAAAATATTTGCATAATTTATTTTATAAATATTTATTACCATTTTTTATTTCATTGCTAATATTAGAGCTGTTTATATTAAAAGAAAGACTCTGCATATTTTTTAGTTTTTCATCTAATATTTCATGACTTAGAACCATATTCTTACTGCCATTTATCTCAAAATTATTTTTATTTTTATTCTTTATAAATAAATTATCAATAAAATATTTAATTTATTAAAAATAATTTACTTTTTTTGGTGAAACTAAGTTATTATTTATTATGATTGGTTGATTTTAGTTACCTAAACTAGGATGAATTATATATTGTTGCTGTTATTATTATGCTGAAGGATATACTGAGTTTACTGCCTAGTTGAAGGTATTAGTATTATTTTTATCAATATATTAAAAGTCTAAGATTTATTCTTAATGATTAGAATTTATAGGAGTACTTAGTTAATTTTAACAGGCGGATTAAGGCATCATCACCTAAGAATTTTAATAGTATTGACCTAAAATTGGATTTTGTTTATTATCTGCAGGAGTACCAATATGCTAATTTGTGAAGTTGCCTATAATATGTGACTATGCAATATGTTATTACATATAAGGAGAAGCTGTCTAGCCATACAAAATATTGTATGGTGGAGGAATAAGCTACAATGCTTAATGTTGATGTTGTTGTTATTGCTATTGAAACAAAATATTCTAAATTTGAGTTTAATGATTTTACTATGTTTAAACAAGAGCTAATTACTGTTAAAATAATTACTGTTGTATTTATTAAATCTAAGAGGTCAATTAAGTTTATATTTGATTCTATTAGGTAGGAAGGCCATACAATCCGAATTAGTTTTACTAAGGAACTTAAATTCCCATATTTAAGCTGCTGTTGTTCTAGCAAACAGATAAGTTTGATTGGTTACGATTAATAAAGTTATTTCCATCCCTTTTTAAATTAAAATATGGTTTATAACTAAAAAAATTTAATATATTATTTGTTACATTGGAGTGTTAAGTTTATTTTAGCAAGTATGAGTAAATTATTGGAAATTATTTAATCTTGATGAAATAATCTAAGAGCTTGAGCAAGCTTAACAGTTGCTTGGAGAAAGAGGATTATTGTGGTGACAATTATGATTTGAGCATAGGTGCTATTATAAATTGCATTGTTTATTTTAAGAAATTTAAGAGCTTTGTTAATGGGTCGAGTTTCCTGCTGTTGATCTGTTGCTGTTTCTTTCTTCAAGTAAAAATTATTATTGATTTGTGCTAAAATTTTATTATTAATTAGTTAAGTTCGAATTATAATTAGATTGAGGAGCTGTGCAAAAATAGCTATTTTCATCATTTAAAGGAATATTTGATAGCTATTCACTAGCTTTTTTTGAAAGAATATTTTAATTTTTTATATCGGTCTTTTTATTTGACTTATGACTTCCTTTTTTGCTTTATTTTACTTGATTTTTTTACTAAAAATCTCCTTCTTGGTAGGAATCATGTGATGATAGAGATGGGGAAGAAGATGAAGAAGAGGAAGAGCAAGAAGAGGAGTACTTTCTCTTATTTAATTTATTTTTAAGACCTTTAGATTTGCCTCTTTTATTAACCAATTCATCTTCCTTAAAGCACTTTGTAGAAACGTTTCTCTAAGTTAAAATAATTTCATTTCTTTTATTGCTCTTTGAGCGAGTTTTTTAAGAAGCGTTGTTATTTTTAACCAAATTGACAAATTCGTCTTCTTTTATTTCTTTTCTATTAACTTTGAAGGTATTTTTATCTATCTTCTGCTCATTTACTTACTATATAGTCTAGTTTATTGGTAAAGGATTTTTTTTCTCTTCAGCCATCATTAGTGGCTTACTGGCTACTCTTAATTTTTCAAGATTAGTGAGCATTTCTTACCTTTTACTTGATTTTTCATCATTTTTCATTTCAGTTTCAAGAATATTTTCTTTTCCCAAAACATATCTTTTAGATATTTTTTATTCTTCAGTAGGAGTATAATTTGAATTTTTGTAATAATTGGTTTAGTAACTTGTGTTAAATGTCTTAGATTATCCAAAACTAACTTTGACTTATTAATCATAAGCAAGCTAGTTAATTCCACTTTGTAAATATCTAAATCCTATGTCATTGCTATTTCCTAATGAATTGACTGAGGAAAATTGATTTGAATTTCCTGAAATTTATAAAATGATATTTTAGAAAATTGTAAGAGAATAGCTAAAAAAATAAAGTAAATATTTAAATTACTTAATTCATTACTAGATTTCTTATACTAATAACTAATATCATTTAAAACAGAAGCGTCATTGTTAAAGTCAGCTATTTTTAAAAATTAAGAAAGATATATTTCAAATTTTCTGATTGAAAATATTGATGAATTAATTATATTCAAACAATCCTTTCGTTAAATTATTGAGTTAAATAATGTAAAATAATTAAATACCTTGGTTTTTTATATTTTGCTGATAGTTTTTTGATGGAGAAAAATTGAGAGCAATGCTATGTTCATCTTCTTACTCAAGAAGCTTTTCTTTAATTAATATGAACAAAAATAAATTTTCTGTGTTGTAGAAACTGTCATTTTTTATATTTAAGTTTAAAATTTTGTTTTTCTTTGATGTAGAAAATAAATTGAATATTCTACCCTAAACTCTAGTAGAGAGTTTGCAATTAGAAGAAGGACGTTGAATTTATCTATTTGCGCTTTAAGGAACGCTTATTATTTCCTATAGAACTTCTCTTGATTGATTCCTGCTTACAAATATGTGCTCTTTAGATTCGCTATCCTATATTTCATTATGTAAAAAAATTTAAATGAAACCATAGTAATGAATAATAATTCAATTTTAAAATAAATGAATCAATAAGAATATAATTTATAACTTACTTAGTTTCTATTAAAAAATTAAGTAGTAAGGGGATTTATATCATCTGTTTCAATTTTTTTAAATTCGCTTGCTAATGATATTTAAGAGGGCATCCTTGAAATTTCCGATCTAGAATCATAGCCATCTTTATGTATTGAAATCTAGGAAGTATTTAAGGATACAACATTAAATTGATTTGTGGTATTGTATCTTTTATATTCCTAGTACTCCTTTTGTTGGGGTTCAATATACAAGTCTTAATTATTCGTTTGCACTGGATTTTGGTATTGCTATTATTGCTACTATTAATATTGCTAATTCATATCAATAGTAGAGCGCTCATCAGTACAACTTATCCCTTATCCCATATTTATACTTACTAATAATATAATTACTTGTATTATTGTTATTCTTATTTAATTGATATATTTTTTATTTATTTGTTAGTAAATAGTAGATGAAGTTAACACTAATAATATTTTTCTTTTTCAAATTTAAAGTTAAGTAGATTTTGATCTGAATTATAAATTAATTTTTCATTTAATTTAAATTATAACAACGATCTATTTATGAATAAATCATCACTATTATTACTTTATATTCTAAACATTTCATTCATACTACCTTCTTTATTATATAAAGAAATTTTGGATATCAATCAAAGCACTAGTTTATATGTGTTTGCTTATCTATAGATATTGATCACACTAAAAAATCTTTCATTTATTCTTTTTTAAATTAAATTTTGAAACATCATACAATATCCAATCAACAATAATATATAATTCATTCAAATACATATAAATTATTTAAAGATAAAATTTATTCTTTAAAAATGAAATAATTTATTTAAAATATCATAGAATAAAGACACTCACTTAATATTAATTGTTCTTATCATTTTTTTAATTAGAAATAATCAATCCTACTTATTTATACATAAAATAAATAAATAAATTTTTATCATATTGACTTTCCTCTAAAAAGTAAAAAAGGAATAATTTCTATTGAAATCAAAAAATTAATAGTTAATATAAAAAATCTAACTAAATTAGTATGCAAAATATCATGATTGATTAAATTAATTTTATCATAAAATAATAAAATTTTAACTTTTTTTAATATAAATAGATATAAATAAATGATTGAAATTAGTAAAGAGAAAATTATAAAAAAATATTATTTTTCATATTGTATTCAATTAAATTTCAAATTTTGATTGATTGATAAAGCTCAATGATGTAAACTGAGTTCTATTAAGTATAACAGCATACAACAAACAAACATACGATTGAATAAATTTTACAAATAAAATTTTTGACTTTAAAATATTTTTTGGGATTTTAAATTAATCTGAAAAATTAAATATGTAAATAAAATTTAATGTTAAATACTAATTGAAATAATGTATAATGCTTTTATTTGTTAAAGTAAATTATGAAATTTTACTAATATTCACTTCTTAAATAAGTACTAAAATAAAAACAATTTTTTATAATAATTTTAATTTCATTATAATTAATAAGTAAAATTACAATTAAAAAATAATTCTAATTATTCTTTAAAATATTATAATTTGGATATTTTGTCATAATTAATTAAGTTTAATAGGCACAAATTTAATTTTGTGCAAAATATTTCGGAATAGTAAATAAATTAAGATGTTGTATATAACTTTTCAAGATAAAAACAAAAATATTTAGCTTAAGTTAATAAAAATTATTAGTTGGTTTAATAAAAAAAAAATAAGTGTAACTAAATTCATTAATTGTAAAAATCAAAATTTTTTTGGTGAATAAAAAGTCGTCATTTACACACATACATAATAATTTTTAACTTGAATTTCAAAATTATTTTGTGATTCATTCAAAAGAGTTAAAAATAAATTTGAAATAATTCTATCTTAAAGCTCCATCTATTTCTTTCAAAACAAATCAATTAATCTAAAAGCAAGCAAATTATTTATTAAAGATATTTTAAAACAAAAATAAATTTTGATTAGTTGAAATGCATGTTATGTTACATTCGTTGAGTGTCGTACTAATTAAATTAGCGTAATTGGCTTTAAAATATGTTTAAAAACAGTGCATTAAAAATAATATCTATAAATACTAACCAAATACTTAACTAAATTTTTACCTATTTTATAAAACACCATGAAAATGCGTTATAAATATAAGAAATAACTATACTTGCAATATCAAACATTAATAATCATATATATTTTAAGATACTTTCAATATGAAGTTTTACACTAATTGTTTTATTAATTATGAAGATCATTCAATGATTATTTATATTTTTATAACATTAGTTATAATTTTCTGTAACTCTGTAATAGTTATCTATTTCAAATATATAAAATTATATTTTTTCAATTAATTGTTCATTTATTATTTGTATAATTTTGTTAGGAAAGTAGGATATTTGTGATATGTTTGAGCTATTTACAGTAGATTCAGTAATGGTGATATAAAATTAAAATAAAATCAGCTTATTGTCAACAATGACGTAAATTATATTAGTTTTAGTGTGCACTAATTTTACTCTGTATTAATTAACTTTATCTATAAAAAAATTATCAAAAGATTGGTTATACCCAAAAAATATACAAAAAAATTATAAATATGTTGGGGATATTATTTTTCATAGTAAACATATTTTGTTTTTTTAAAATTCTCTATAATAAGATAAATATATTATAAATAATTTATTCAATTAACACTAAAAATTATTAGCTGATTCTTCTGAAAAGAAATCATAAAGCTAGGGTTTTAAAATATGCATATGACATTTGGCATGTGCTGGATATTTACGTCAAGAAAAAGAATGATTGTAGATACGTTATTGCCTTAATGTTTTAAGTTCTATTAAATTTAATGGTTCATTATTTTATTAGTATGCATATTTATTTACTGAAAAAATATAAGCATAGCTAAATTAATTAACTTTGTTTAAATGATGATGCATTTTTGGTATTATTGATTAATTAAGCTTTATAATATTTTTAAATTACAAAATATAAACGCCCTTTTTTTTAAATTTCTCTGGAATATTACGCATTTCTAAATAGAATAAGAGATTCTACTTTAAAAGTAAGAAGAAGATATATATTTTGGTCAACTCTCAATAATTAATTAAATTTATCAAAAAAATTTATCTTAGCTAAATAAATAACCTAATATAATTAAATAAATTAATAAAAGCTTATATCTTAAACAAATGGCTTCTATTCTTTATTCCATGTTCAAAGGAACAAACAACGATAACAAACACATTTACTGCAAACCTTACTCTGAAGCTAAAGATGGTCATAGTGCTGTTTATAGATCCAAGAATCAATTCGACCAATTGAAATTGGTTCCTGATGATGAATGTACTACTATGCAAGACATTTTCTTGAGATCATGCAGATTGTACTCTCATAAGAGTTTCTTAGGAACTATCGATCCTTCTCATAAGCATTACAATTGGAAGAACTTTAAGGAAATTAAGCAATTAGCTGAATACTTGGGTTCCAACGTTAACTAAAAGAAGCTCTTCACTCATGTCAATGACTTTGAAAATATTAACATGGACTTAATTGGTGTTTTCTCCAAAAACAGAGAAGAATGGTTGGTTCTTGAATATTCCAACTTTTTATATCGCAAGACCATGGTTCCCTTGTAAGTTTAGATTATTCATATATATTTACAAATAAAGATTAAAATAAACTAGGATTTTTTGCAAAAATTAGCTTGTTTCTAATAAAATTTGAATTACTTTTTCAACACCTCCATATTTTTGGAAATTTATTTATAAGAGTCTGAAATTTATTAATACTTATTAAAATTAAAATAAAAAGATATGATACCCTTGGACCTGAATCAATTACCTACATTCTTGACTAGACTGGAATAGAAACAGTATTTAGTGCAGTAGAAGGTGTCGATGCTCTCTTGAAAAGCAAGGACATTTGCAAACTCAAGAACATTGTCCTCTTTGACGAAATCCCTGAAGAAAAGAAAGAAAAGCTCACACAAAGAGGTCTCACTTTATATAGTTACAAGGATTTGATTGCCCCCACTTAAGTAGATGAGTACGCAAAATGCTTACCTGAAGACGTTATAACTTTCTCTTATACCTCAGGTACAACTGGCTTCCCCAAAGGTGCTATGATTACTAACAAGAATCTTGTCTCTGTTATTGCTATTGCAAAGGAAGAAGATTTTCAAACTGGAGATATTTATTTATCTTACTTACCTCTTCCTCATATTTTAGAACGTATCGCTGTCAGTTCTATGCTCTACTTGGGTATCCAAATCGGTTTTTACAGAGGTAACTAATTATTTTGACATATTTTAGCAAATTTATAAAAATAGCATTAAAAAGAAAGTGCATTAAAAAGTTAATTGAAATTTTATTTAAGAATAAGGCTTAAGCTTTAAACATTCAAAATAGGACTTATTTAATCAAATTAATAATATAATTAAAGCAATAAACTATTTAAATTTTTTATCAGAAAATTCTGGGTTTAATCTAAAAATAAATAGAAGCGAATAATAAATATTTAATTAGCTTTAGATTAAAAAAAAAAATTAATAATTTTTCTATTTAACTGATTAGGTGATACTAGATAATTGAAAGAAGACTTAGAATTATTAAAGCCTACTATTTTTGCTAGTGTTCCTAGAGTGTATAACAGATTTTATGACATGATCAAAGCTAAATTCAATTAAGCTAAAGGTATCTAAGGCTGGTTATTAGCTAAGGGTTTAGCAGCTAAATTGCAAAATTCCAAAAATGGTTAATACACTCATATGCTCTATGATAAGTTGATTTTCAACAAGGTAAAACAAGCATTAGGTGGTAATGTTAGAGTTGCAGTAGTTGGTGGTGCTCCTATTAGTGGAGAAGTACTCACTTTTATGAGAGCCTGTCTTTGTATTCCTATCCTTGAAGGTTACGGTTAAACTGAAAGTACTGGTGCAGCTTTTAGTACTCATGCTTCTGATGGTACTACTGGACATATTGGTGGATGCAGAGGACACATGGAGTACAAGCTTGTTGATATCCCTGAAATGGGTTATACTGCTAAGGACACAGATAAAGACGGAAAACCTACCCCTAGAGGAGAAATTTGTGTTAGAGGTTATGGTGTTTTTGCTGGCTATTACAAGTAAAAGGATAAAACAGAAGAAATTATAGATGCTGATGGTTGGTTGCATAGTGGTGACGTTGGTAGAATTGACCATGAAAGAGGTTGCTTAACTATCATTGACAGAAAGAAAAATATCTTTAAACTTGCTTAAGGTGAATACATTGCTCCAGATAAAATCGAAAATATCTACTTAAGAGCAGCTGGTGTTGAAGAAGTATTTGTTTATGGTGATTCTTTACAATCCACTTTAGTTTCAATTGTTGTACCTTCAAAGGATTTCTTAAAGAAGTTTGCTGAATCTAAAGGACTTGAAAATAATGTTTAATAGCTTTGCTAAAACAAAGAAGTCATTAAAACTATTTTAGACAACATGACAAAGCTTGGTAAAGCTGAAGGTCTCTTCTCATTTGAATAAGTTAAGAGCTTACACTTATTCCCTGAATCATTCTAAACAATAGATTGTATGACTAACACCCTTAAAATTAAGCGTAAGGAATGTAGAGATTATTTCAGAGATACAATTGATAAATTATATGCTGAATAAGGTCCTGCATAATGAAAAATAAAAAAATATATTCCTCTTTTCAATTATAAAATCCTATCAAGTATTTTCACATATAAATTAAGTATTTTATGTTCACTTTAAAATTTTGCAAAGCTTTATCATTAAAATTCTTTTATAAAAAACTTCATTCACATAAATAAAATATAATATTTATTTTCAAATAAATAAATAACAATTATTTATTGATTTCAAAAAAAAATTATTGCTCTTTAATATTTAAAAAATAAAAACTTTCTTATGTTATTAATTTACAATCAGTTTTTTTCTAAAAAAGTAAAAAAGATATTTTAAAATTTATTTAATTATAATTTAAAACTAAATGAAGAATACATAATAATTAGAATTATTTTATAAAGAAATTTAATAGCCTTTAAATAGCCAATAAGTAAGAATTTATTTATGTCTATCTATTTTTCATTTTATTAAAATTTTTAAATATTTAACTAAAAATTTTTAGAAATCTTTTTCTTCAAATAATTTAAAAAACAGTTCAAAAAAATTAAAAAATGAACATTTTTATAAAAAAAAAATAAATAAAAATTTTTTTACAAATTCTTATTAAATTATATAAAATTTATAAATAACGATTAAGTTGAATAAGCTAATTTATCACATTACAAATATCTTAAAAATTTGAATTAGGGCTAAAAAAATTATATTTTTAATTTAAGATAAAAAAATATTTTGATAAATATATTTGTTTAATAAAATTTTCTTAAAAGAGGATAAAATAAATATCTTAAAAAGAAAATTCAGTTAATTTTGATTATTATACTATTTTATAGAATTTATTATTATTTTGACATTTTATAAAGAATACACTAATAATAATGCCAATTAATTAATTAATTCATTTGTTTGTTAGTTAATTTATATTTTACTTTAAAAATTCAAAGTTTTGATTTTTTGATATATTTTTGGCAAATTAAACAATTTTGTTTTAGATAATAGAATAATGCATTAAGTTGAGGAATTAAATAGTTTTAAAGAAAAGTGCTTAGATGTTTTATAAAATTTAAAAAATATCAAGAAGGTAGACAAAGATATTATAGCTTAGATGAATTATAACATTTGCGCGTTTGGAGAGTAAATAAATGACTTTATTTTGAATAACGAGAAATCTTCTGATTAATATAAAGATCAGATAGACGAAATGATTTAGATCTATGAATAAACAGCTCAATATTTAGATGATATCATTTACAAACATAAGGGAATTTAATCATAGATAAAAAGTGATATCAAAAATTCAAGCGTCAAAGATGAAAATTATGCTTCCAACCATAAATTAAAATAAGACATCTCTTAATTTACTTATTTTAAACTTTTGGATAAGCTTAATGTGTTAGAAAATAATAACATAGAGTTCAAGAATTATAGTTTTAATTCTTTCAGCAATAGAGAGTAAGTCAATAATTCTTAGTAAGCAACTTTAAAATTATTATTTAAACTAAATTAATAGAATGAGGAATATTTGCAAGAAAACTATTGTATCTTTTTTAAATAGAAATGGTGGTTGTATTTACATAGGAATCAGAGATGATAGCACGTAAATAATTTGTTTTATTTTAGTTTTCTATTTAGCAATTTTATGAAATAAAGAGTTGTAGGAATCAAGTTGGATTACTCTTAAATGGACAGTTTAAAAAGGAAGATAATAACTATAAAATCTGGAATATCTCCTCAAATGAATGAAAAAGTTAAAGTTGATTTTGTTCCTATCAAATAAGGATAAAGATGGTATAAAGGACATTGGATAGTTAGAATTATAGTTAAACAAGGTGATTTAGATACCTTGTATTATTATAATAATTAAAATGATCATTATAGTCTTGAAAGTTATTTTAGAGAAGATGGAGCTGTTATTAGGTACAAGATACAAGATTTTATACAAGAATAATTAGATATTGCTCTCTAAAAAAATCCAAAAAGTAGAGTATTATATAAATAGGAATATGCATAAGCTGATTAAGAAGGATTAGAAGCTTCAATTGTTTGGTAAGATAAAGACTAAAGTAGTTTTAAAAGAAATAATTAAAGATCAATTGAGCATTCTTCAAATAAATATAGAGAGTCAAGCAATTAATATTAAATATTTAAAAATGATAATGTGCATAAAAATTATATTGAAAATATCCCGAAAAACAATTTTAATTTAAATCCTTTCGACAATATTTGCATTAATGAGTATGATATTAATTAGATAAACAATTTCAACAAATAAGAAGAAGTTAAAAAATTTTAATAAGATGCTGCTTAAAGAAAGAATCAATTGATATCAAAAAGAGACAACTACCAAAACGACTTATTAGAGTAAAATAAAGAAAAAATTTATCAATAAAATGATTAAAATAAATAATTCAACTAAAATATCAATATTTAAAATGAGTAAGAAAAAGTTAATTGGCCATTTTTTTAAAAAAATTAAGAGTCTGATTAATAAAACTAGCTTTAGTTTAATTAAAAAGTAGGATAAAATTAGAAATAAAACAATGAATAAAACAAAGACTCCTATTCAAACTAATAAAATTAATTTAATTACAATATTCAAAATGATAAAAACTTTTAACAAATTCAAATATAGCCTATTGAAAACCCATCTTAAAATTCTTTTCAACCAAATAATTAAAATCAAAAAAAGAAGCCTAAAAAGTTTGGAGCTATATTTTATTAGGCACTGTGTGGTCAATAATAATAAAACTGAAATTAATACTTAAAATTATGATAAAAATTATATTTATTTATATTTTTAATATTAATTAAACATTTTCTTTGTTAAATTGCAAAGAATTTTTTATAAATTATTAAAAATTGATTTTCAGCTTTTTAATGAAATACATATTATTTTATCAAAAGAAATATTATTACAAAATAAAAAATTAGAGGAATTTTAGGATGAAATGGTTAACTTCAAAAAATAGATGAATAATTTCCTTAATTAGTTTTCTTTATTGATACAAAAAAGTTGTAAAAAATAATTTTTTACAGATATATTTTTTTTATGACAGTAGATTTTTAATTCAAACAATTAAATTTTACTATCTTGATATGTTAAAATTTATGCTTAATTAATAAAATAAAATATTTACAATTTATCAAAATTAGATTTTTATTTCGAAAATTAAATCAATAAACATTTTTTTTTATAATTAATTGGACTTATTAAATGAAAGCATAACTACTAAAATTATCTTTTTTATATTTTTTTTTTCAATTATGATTGAATATTTAAAGTATAGAATTGTTTAATAATATTATTAAGACATCTAAAATTGCTCGCTTCTAATTTGATGTCAAAATCAAATTTTAATAATATTATTAAAGTATCTAAAAAATAACTTTTGAATAATTATCAACATAAAATACCATTTAAATTAATATGAGTTTTATCCCAGAAGAATATTAGTAGCAATATAAAGAAAATAAAAAGGAATTGCTAAACCTATTTTAACTAGATGAAAGTTGGACTCTGTTATAAGAAAAGGAAGGTGTCACTGCTCACTAAAGACATTACAAAGATAACTTAATTGAAATGATAAGAATTGAAGCGTAGTTTGATTCATCATTAAATGAGACAGCAGATTTGCTTTTTAATGATGCTTAAGAATTACTTAACTCCAAACCTTAGCTACAATCAGCTGAAATAATAGAGGAATTAAATGAAAAAGGAAGAGTTATCCTGGTGACAACTAAGCCCATTTTATTCATAAGTCCAAGAGAGATACTGGTTTATACAAATTATGAAAATATTGAAAATGGAATTATTTAAGTTTAGGTTGGTTTATAAACGCATCCTTAAGTTCCATTGGATTCAAAAAAAGTACGTACAACAACTGTATTAGGTGGTCATGTTTTAATCAAAAATCCTGAGGATAACTCAAAAACAAAAGTGGTGTACATCATCTTAAATTTGCTAAATGGAAACATACCTTTAAAATTATAAAGCACTGTAAGATTATTGATAATTTTTTAATTAATTTAATTAATAGTGTTTTTAATAATATTATTAAAAAGGTATATCAATAACATTTAAATAGCTACGTATATTTTAAAAAGCTGATAGAAAAGAAAAATCTCCAAAGATAAAAAATAAATGATTAAATTTGATTTCACACCAATTTATTTTTCAATTAATATATAAAAATTATTCATAACTTTTTGATGTTTTTAATTTCGCTTATTGCAAATAAATTATAAAATAAAATATTAAAATTTTATAATTATTAAATAAGTATTTAGTCATTAATAATATAAAAACTAATATTGATTTATTTTTCAAAAATGAAGGCTAACACTTTTGAAAACAGTTTATGAAAAAATAAATAATTTAATATATAATTTATAGATAAATAAATAGATAGAACACATTATATGTTGATTAAATATTTGTCTAAGTATTTTATTTATAAAATTACCTTAATTTCTAAATTTCTGTGTATAGACTTGAAAAACCCTAGGGTACTATACATACATATATATATTTATTTATTTATTTTTAGGATTTTTTAAATTAATTTAAAGTTAAAATTGATATAATTTGGTTTTGAATTTATTTATTTTTTTTATTCATTTTTATTTGAAACCAAATTTTTATTTTTTAAATTAATATAAATATTCTCTAGTATTTTTCAGTTTTGATCAGCGGGTTAATATTTTTTTTAAATCTATTAAGCATTTACCAGATTTTATTTTTTAATCTAAATCAAGCTCATCAAAAATTGATAAATTAATCTGTAAATATTTTCTAGTTAATAATAAAATATTAAGATATCTAATTTGTTAAATAAGAAAATTATAATCAATATGGAAAAGAATTTAATACTGAGTTTATTAAGTGCTGATTAAAAATGCAGCTTGTAGAAATAAAACGGGTTATTTTATTTAAATCAGAAAGATATCACTAATAATATTGACTACTTTATTAAGATAATAATGAGTACAATAAAATAAATTCAAAAATATCAAAAAGATTCTTAGGATGAGCTAAATAACTTTTTACAAGAATATAAATATGAAAAAAGCGAGTGTGAAATTTAAAAATAAAACGAGATGCTTATAAATAATTTAGATACTATTCAATCTTCACCCATGGATGCCTCTCAAGTAGTCCCTTAAAATTTTTTATCATAAGAAATTTTAATAGATTTAGAAAAATAATCTGTAAATTAAGAAAATGATGATTATTACTAAGTACTAATTTTTTAGTATTAAAAACTGATTATTTTATTAGCTGAAGATGAATTTAAGGAAGAATTTTTATCTCCATTTTGTCTGAAATAATAAATTCCGACAAAATAGATGAATGGGAGAATGATGATTAACAAAGCTTATTATCAAGTTAATTGCAAATAAAAAGACTGTACTGGATACAAACCATAAAATGATATAGCATAATATCTCTTTGATGATTATCAGTAGCAGAGTTTATAAAAAACAAAAATAGTAGTAAACTAAATAAATATTAAAGTTGACGTTTATTTTGAATGCAATCATTATGATCGTTTATATAGCTTTGTACCAGTTGACAACGATTACATATTAAATGTAAAAAGTACTCCTTTTATAAAATTTGAACGTATTTTTTTCAATTTTTACAATTTTTTGCTATGCGAAGGATATAGAAGAGAGATCAATATATTTTAAGATGAATATATTAAAGAAGTCAATTGTTGTCTGCATTTATTTTCTTATATTAATTTTATATAAGAAAATAATTCATATTTATAAAGACTTAATATTAAAACTGGACTATCATATAGTGAATCTCCATTAGTTTTTGAAGAATCAAAGATTAAATAAATCAGATATTCTGAGCTCTTCATAGATTGGTAAGAGACTTTGTGGAATATAAAACCTTAAGTACTCATTAATTTAGACTACTTAGTTTATATAATTGAAAGATAATATTATTAAACTTAAATTTTGGATTATAAATTGCTAATTATAAGGCTCATAAATAAAAAATATGCTGAAAAATTGAGTATAATTTTACTAAATAAACTTTTTGGAGAATATTTTAGCTTGTACAGAATGCTTTATGATTTAAATTAAAGTTAGGATTGATTAGCATTTCAAAGAAATTTACATATTAAAACTTCTCTGCAATATCAAGAGCTAGGTTTGTATAATATGGTGAAATCATCCAATCACAAATTTATAATAAATTCTCAAGTTATTATTTGTTTAAACGATAAAAGGGTTTATTTATATATTACATTGATTTATGAAACCATTAATATTTTTTTTTTTTCAATTGATTATTTTATTCACTCTATTTAGTAATTATTCTCAATAAAATTCTAAATAAAAAGTTTGTAACTAAATTACATAATGTATGGATGGAAATAAATCTAAAATACAACCTTAAAAAAATCAAATAATAGTTAGCAAATTTAGGAGTGATTGTCATATCAAAGACATAAATAATTTCATAAAATATCTTTAACACTTTAGTTTTAATGTTAGTAAAATACATTAAAATCATCCAATCAATTTCAATTATTTTCATAAATTCTCAAACTTTTTATATCTATCTTTAATGATGATAAATATGTTTATTTTAATTTTTGATTAATTTATGAAAACTTTTATTTTAATACTTAAAATTTATGTTATTTAGTGAAAAAGGAATAAATGCTTTCTAACTTTGTACAAAATTAGTAAAATAAATAACATTCAAATATTAAAAAAACATCAAAGCAAATTCAAAATCTAGTTATTTATTTATTTTTTTTTTTGCTTTTGGTTTTTGAATATTATTTAAATATTTAGAAAGTGTAATCTTATTTCTTGCAGAATCTTTAAAAGAGTCTTTTACTCCAACCAAATAATTTTATTCTTTCAATATCAATAAATTGAGTTAGTCACTTTTATTAGTATTGTAAAGTAAGCCAAGATAAAATAAATGAGAATGTTACGTTATGTTTAATATGATTAACAATCCAAAACCATATTAGATTAGAAGATTAGATAAAAAAACTCAAAAAATAAACAAAAAAACTAACAAATAAAAAAAAGTGAAAATGAAATTATATGTAAATTAGATTAAGGTGAATAATTAACTTTAAACAAAGAAATCATCAAAAATTTGATTAAAAATTGATAATTATATCTTGTTTAAGATCTATTAACCTATCGAAAGAATACAACAAAACTACAAATAAATAATTGAAAAAAATCAATAATATTCCTATTAGCAATTAAGTAAATTAAGAAGAAAAATAGGTGTGCGTAAATTAATAAAAGAAGAAGAAGACGCCATTTAAAATAAGATTCAATTTATTTATACAAAAGCACTATTTAGGTCGCCATTTTAATAATAAGCTAGTTATAAAGTAAATAAAGTAATTGCATTTTAGATAGGTTAAAGTTAAAAGTGAGTCCCAAGTTAAGAGGCCATACGTACTGAAAATCTATCCTTATGATTTAAAATAATTCTAAAGGACCTAAAAATCCATTTGATAAACCATTATGCTATTTTCAAAAAACGCGTTAATAGACTCCAATTGAATAGCAGCGTGAAGGTGATACTTCAATGTAAACATAATAAAAGCTCGTTTAAAGAAAAGTTTAAAAATAAACAGATGATATTTAAGTCCACTTTGGTTAATAAAAAACTCCTTCATAAAATATAGATAGTAATCATTTTTTTTCACCTCAAAATTAATAATGTTCTGAAAGAATAATGTTTCGTAATGAATCAAAAGAATTTTAGAATGCAAGGAATATTTCTTAATAGTAACCTTCTCTACAAGGTATGTAACAATAATTATAAACTGGATAAAATATGCAAGAAAGTTAATAAGTAGGTAGCTTATCACCTAACCCATTTAATAAAAATCTCTAAAGCCCATAAACTCAAACTAACTCCAAAGCTGGTTTTTCTATGGTTTCATTTGGATTGCAATTTACATGTTCCAATATTGTTGATACTGAATATAATTAGCCAGAATTCGGATAGTATAAAGCTGATAAAAGTGCTTAATTTAACCCAAATTACAGCTCAGCTGATAAGTAGCAAGATTATAAGTAGTATCCCACAGTTGATTCATAAGTTTTAGAGAGATCCTTAAGTAACCACTAACTAAATTAGTAGAAAAACAATGGAAATAACTAAAATCTATAATCATCTATTTTTTAGATATAGCATCAACAAAAACAGGTTTAGGATTAAAAAAAAGGTTGTTCAAGTAATAATTACAACAACAATTGTTAATCATCTTCTTCAGCATCTCTGATGTCAGATTAACAAGCTCTTCATCTTACTTTCGCTGGAACAATAAAAGAAGAATCAGAATAAAAAACTTGCGCAATCAATAAAAATAACAATAATTTAATCGATCTTAACGATAGTAACGACGAAGAATTTATATTAGATGAAAAAGAATGTAAGATTTTGGAAAGTGGCTAAAAAAATAAATACCCAAACTCTTCAATTTACTCTAAGAATAATGATTATTTTATGTAAGAAAGCTACACTTAGATTTTAAATTAGAAGAGCGATGGTAATGATGATCGCTAAAAAAGAGATAATTATTAACAAAATTAGGAAGATTATGATGAAGACGAGTAACTAGGATAAGAATTTATTAGCAAAAATTTAGATGAAAAATATAAAATGATAGATAGGAGAATAAGCTGCGCATCCAGATAATAAAGCAATTCACATGATTTGCACATAAGCATACCAAATTAGAATGAAAATTTACCTGATGATAACGAAAGTTACAAAAAACATTTAGATAATGTAACAGAAAGAGAAGCAGCGTATTTAAATAAGGCTCCGTCCTTACAAAACTAGAATTTACTGGGATCTTTTTATAAAAATTCTCGCTCTACAAATACTTTTAGTCCGAAATTGCTTTATTAAACAAATTCCTAAGGATAATTTGCTCTAAGTAGTATGTACAGTATTAATTAGTAATATTAACAATAGATAGAAGGGGAGAATTCTTAACAGCATGGTTTTAATTCTCCAAGCATACATTCAACAGCGCAAGCCATGAGCTTCTACCCACTTACTAGGAACCTGAGTACAAACTCCTTTAAAACTTCAATTCTCAAAAAAGATAAAGCTACATTTGAAAGAAGTGATAGCAACAGGACTCTAGTAGATACAAATAACCTAGAATACACTACAAAGAAGAGTGTTAAATTTAATTAAAACCGATATGTCTTAAATTATGACGAGGATGACAAAGAAAAGACAGACTTTTAGTATGATGATTAAATGTTTTTTTCAGATGACTTAGAAGAAGATTCTCAAAGTCTACCTCAAGCTTTAGGATCTAAAAACTAGATGAAAAACCCAAAAATCACAGTTCTTGAAAAGGTCAGTGAAAAAAACAAAGAGCAAAAAATGAATTCATCCTTAATTAACTCTAATATCATTTTTAAAGAGTCAGAATTAATATCCTCTCAAAGTTCTAACTTAATAGCAACAAAAAAAAAGAATCAGCAAATAGGGAGTTTAAGTAGTGCAATTAACTAGTACAGTTAATAAGAAGAAAACTACAATAATTTAAATCACAACAGTAATATTTAAGACATTATTCAAATTAACTAGGATTCTATATTGTTATCATAAACGTACATTCCAAATAACATAAATCACCGCTAAATAAGTACCAGTAAAGAGGATAACTAAAACAACATTCTAAATTTATTAAATTAAAATGAAGCAAAAATCAATTAAAATTAGTAAGGATTATTTTTCAACCAACTTGGAATTGGGATCAACAATACTTAAACAAGCTTTAAATCTGATAATTTTTTAGAAATCAAATAATCTGAAAGTATAAGTGCAAATACAAATAAGGAACCATTAAGTGCAACTAAAATTAAAAATATGAGTCAAAAAACTTAAATGCTAAATGTTCCTACCTCACAAAATGAAAAAGCAATAAAAAAAAATAAATTAAAAAATTCAATAACTCTAGAAAAGAATAAGCATACAACATCAGATAAAAAATCTAATCCTAAAGCAGCCACTGTAGCTCAAAATGAATTTGAAATACCTTAGTAAAATGAAATAACATAGAGGAAACATCAAAGCTCAGAAATCGATCTCAAAACTAATTCAGTTCAAAGTAATTTAGAACTAATAATGGCAAAAATATAAATTACATAATCTACATACTAATAAAAGCAAGCACTTAAAAAGAAAAAAGGAAAAACCTGTTCATCATCTTGTAATATATTTTAATTAATCTGCAACTGAAATACATAGCTAGGACTTGATGTAATTCTTGCATTAATCTGACCTTAATATTTATTAAAAGTTATACCACTTCAAGTAAAGTTAAAAAGGCATATTCAACTCATCTATCTTAAAACTTTCGAGAAATCTTTAATCTTATTAAATCAATAATTATTCAAATACTTACTTCCTTCCTTCCTTCCTCATTAAAGCTCTTTAAGTAATAAATATCTTATTGAGTCTTTATTTTAACTATCTAATAAATCGATATAACCTTAATTACTATTTTAATTTTATTTGATGGTTAGTTTAATCAACCAAATTCACTTAGAAACAAAGAGATAAATACTTAACAAACATATTTATCTATTCCTTAATATCTTATCCATTTATTTATCGATCAAAAATTTAAGAATCTTTCAATCTTAAAATAATTATATTAATACTGACTATGTAAGGAAACTACTAAAAAGAAACAATAATAATAATAACAAAAAAAGTATAAAATTAGAATAAGATTTCGCTGAAAAAAAGATTAAACTACTTAAAAATATTTATTATTCAAATCTTTCCAAAGAAATTAATCTTGGTAAAATATTATTTATTAAATAAAAAATAAACTTTTTAAAAAGATTTTTCCAATAAAACTAACTATAAAATTAACAAAAACTTTCTTCAAAGAAATAATATTAAATTTTAAATATTTCTACAAAAATATTTGCAGATTAAAATTCGAAAGAAGATTTGAATTTGTCTTTTTTATTTTATTTATTGAGGTATAATTTGTGTTTCAAACAACTACCCTTATTCCATTCCATTTTACTTACAATATTCCATATAAATTTTTTTATTGAAACAATTAAAATGGTTTCTCACTCTTAAGAAACTTTTTATTTAATTCTTTATTCACGAAAGAATATCTACTAAAACTTGCAAAATTGAAATTGGTAAATTTGAAAATATCTTCAAAGTAAATTAAATATAAATAACTATTTTCAAAACATTCTTTAAAGAGTAAATTAAAAATTTTGAGAATTTTTAAATAAGATACTTTGTTTCAGAATTGATTGTTTACAACATATTTTTTCTATGAAATTTCTTTAATTAAACAAGCTTATTATTAAATTACGCAAATTATTAGTATTCTGTTGACAGGCTAAATTTATATTTAGCATAATTTTTTATTGAGCAATTAATTTTTAACTTAAAGTGCGTGAAAATTACATTTCAATTCACATGAAATGACATTAATATTAAGTAAGTAGGATATTTGTAAAATCAATTTCTTTTATTAAAAAAATAATGGATAATAATTACCAGCCATAATACATTTATATAATCCTAGCAGTGAATTATACTTGTTTTTCTTAATGATTTATGAAGAAAGCTCATTTAACAAAAATAAGACAAAAAGTATTCCGAATTGAAAAAAAAACTAAACAAATTAAATTATAAATTAAATTGTATTTACATATAAAATTAAGGAAATCTTAGTAAAAAGAGACAAATTATAAATTAATTAATTAATAGTTGTATCTTAAAAGAGGAAATAATGGGCGGTTCTTATTCTTAAAGTCATTGTTATGCAAAGCCAATTTCTAAGAAGAAAGATGGTGAAACAGAAATTTATAGACATCCTGATTTTTTAAAAGAGTTACTTCTTGTACCAGAGCCTGGTGTTTGTACTATGCAAGATGTTTTCTTAAAATCAGCACAAAAATATCCTCATCAAAAATTATTGGGTTCAAGAGATTCTTAGAAATCTGAATATTTTTGGAAAACATACAGCGATTGCAAAATATTTGCTGAATAGTTAGGTAATGGTATGATTGAGTTAAACCTCACAACCCATGTCAACGAGTGGAATGATTTAAATATGAACCTTGTAGGCATATTCGCCAAAAATAGAGAAGAATGGCTTCTATTGGAATACGCTAACTTCCTTTACAATAACACTATGGTTCCTTTGTAATTTTAAATTAACAAATAAAAATTATTTTAGTGAATATTTTTTATTAATTTAATAGCTATGATACTTTAGGTATAGAAAGCATCAGCTTCATACTTGGCTAAACTAATTTAGAAACAATATTTTGCTCTGCTCCTTCTGTAGAAAGTTTATTAAAATGCAAGGAAACTCATAAGCTAAAAAATATAGTTTTATTTGATCCAATAAGCCAAGAAGTGCATGATAAAGTTATCCAACGCAATTGGAATATATTTAACATGAAGGATGTTATGGCAAAAGGTAAAGAACAATCCAGACCATATGCTAAAGTTACTCCTGAAGATGTTTTAACTTTTAGTTATACTTCTGGTACAACAGGTAAAAAAAATATCTCAATTTAATTTATTTTAAAGAAAGGAAAGTTAAAAAAATATCAGTAAATTTATTAAATAATTTTTGGTAGAATATAAACTAAAAAGTATTTAAAAGTATTTGAATTAACTTTTTTGTCATTTAGAATGGCAAATGAATTATCTCTTAAATATTTAGAATGAATTGCATACTGCATAAGAAGATTTATAATATTCAAAATATTTATTATTTATTGATTGATTGTGTCTCTTTTATAAAAAAGGTAACCCAAAAGGTGTCTTATTGACCCATAAGAATATTGTGTCTGTTGTTGCAACAGGATCAAATGAAGGATTTAATTAATCTGACTCCTACATAAGTTATTTGCCCCTCCCTCACATCTTAGAAAGAATTTTTGTTTGCACCTTCTTATACTATGGAGGAAGTATTGGTTTCTATAGCGGTGATGTAATGAAATTAAAAGATGATTTGGCTGTTTTAAAACCTACCATATTTGTTAGTGTCCCTCGTCTTTATGATAGATTCTACGGAGCTATCAAGTCTAACATTGAAAAGCTCACTGGTGTGAAATCAAAATTAGCAAGAAAAGCCCTTGCCTCTAAGACTAAAAGAATTTTATCCACTGGTAAATGCACTCATAAATTGTGGGACAGACTTGTATTTAAAAAATCCAAGGAAGCTTTAGGAGGCAGAGTGAGATGGGCAGGCACCGGTTCAGCTCCTATTTCTGGAGAAACACTTACATTCTTAAAGGCTACTTTATGTATACCTATTGCAGAAGGTATTTACAAATTTTTTTCTTTTCCTTATAGATTTTATTTACATAAAAAAATTATTTTGTAATTAAAAATAATATAATTTTATTTTTTAATAATCTTTTTTATGTACAATAAAAGGTTATGGCTAAACTGAAAGTTGCGGTGCTACATTCTCTACTGCCTCTAATGACCCTTTAACAGGACATGTTGGAGGCCCTAGACCTAATTATGAATTTAAGTTAGTAGATATTCCTGATCTAAACTACACTAGTTTAGACAAAGATGAGGATGGTAATCCTGCTCCCAGAGGAGAAATCTGTGTAAGAGGTAATGGTGTCTTTATTGGGTATTACAAAGAGCCAGAAAAAACAAAGGAAGCTGTAGATGAAGATGGTTGGTTACATACCGGTGATGTAGGATAATTAAATGTCTACAATGGCAGTGTAAAAATTATAGATAGAAAGAAAAATATCTTTAAACTTGCTTAGGGAGAATATATTGCTCCTGAAAAGATAGAGGGTATCTATATTAAAGCAAAGGGAGTATCAGAAGTATTTATCCATGGTGATTCATTATAAAGTGCTTGTGTGTGTATTGCTGTACCTGATTAAAAGTATATTATGGAATATGCTAAATAGAATAATTTATCTAACGCTGATAACTTTGAAGCTCTCTGTAAAAGCGAAGAAATAAAAACTCATCTTTTGTAAAATATGACTAAGTAAGGAAAATCTGAAAATTTGTTTGGTTTCGAATAAGCTAAGGCAATTTATCTTGAACCTAAGAGTTTAGTTGACCTTGATTGCATGACTACAACTTTCAAAATAAAAAGACATTAAGCAAAGTTATATTTCAGCTAACAAATATAAGAAATGTATAATCAAATAAACTCTGTTTAATAACCTAATTAATGATTAAAATATGTCAGTATTAGGTTTAAAAATTCAAATATTAAATATTATCTACTTACTAATTTAAAAGATAACAAACTATTCATGTAGATTAAATTTATATTGTAAAAAGTTATCAAATCAAATTCATTTATTCATTCATTTTATTTATATATGAATATTATATTTATTTATTTATAAAAAGAATCTTTTATTTTATTTTTTGGTGTTAATTCGTTTGACAGTCTTTTAATTTTAATAAAATATTTTGAGCAAGACTTTAAAAATTTTCAAACTATCACATTATTTATTACTTTATTTACACTTAAAAATATTTTGTTTAGTATTATATTAAATTTATGCCTTTTGTTTAAAAATTCTACAATAGATATTTTTTCAAATAAGTTTTTTCTGGAAAATTTTAGAATTGAATAAAATAAATATTAAAGTATATTTATTATCACTATAAATTTTTAAAAATAGAAATAGATATAAGGCTTATTTTGTTATTTATATGCTAAATAATAAGCATAAAATGAAAAAATTTGCATTAAACACAAATAAATATGTTTTGTATTGTATTTTTTAATTTTAATTGTAATTATCTTATATAAAAAAGATCTACTATTAAACTACATGAGGCCTTTTTAAATTTTACCAGCAAATAAAGTCAAAATTTTGAATATTTTAGATATAATTACTGTCCTATTTCTTGTAATCTACAATTGTAAATTCGTTAAGAAAAATCAAGAAAGAGTTTTGCATATTTTTAATCATTTAATAATAGAAACGCCACTAATTAAATTATTTTACCTTAAAGAAGAATCTAATATTAATAAAATCGCATAAAAAATTAACCTTAATTAAATTATAAAATATCTTACAATATCCAAAAAATTTAGTAGATCATAAGAAAGTATACTACTTTAGTACTTCTAATATACACCATATAGCTAGCTGCTATAAACACTATTAAAAAGCATATTGATCATAAACTGAATATAAACAAGTTCTACTTGTGAAATAAGCCATAAGTTTATAAATAAATTAGGTTTTATAGATAGCATCAGATAAATAAATTAAAAACACTATCTCTTAATTACAAATAAAATGTCATCAAATATAGAGGATTTAATGAATAAAAAGGCATAGGAAATTAAATTAGAAGAAAATAAATAAATAAAGCCAAAGATCCATTATAAAAGTTTTATAGCTGGAGCGATGCTTACATTTATAGCACAACCTTTTGAAGTATTGCGTACATCTAGCGTTTTTTTGAATCATTGGGGAACGAAACCTTCTGAGATTTTAAATCTATCTAAATTTATATATCAGAAAGAAGGTGTAAGGGGATTTTTTAGAGGAGGAACTATAGCAGCTGTAAAAAGCTCATTAGGATTTGGAGTATTTTTTAATGGTATTCAAAATATCCCTTATATACTTAAAACTTAAACAAAAAGCCCAGAACATTATATTTATAACTAAATTGTCAACTTTATAAATGGCTCGAGTGCTATGTTTTTTACAACTATGGCTTCCACTCCCTTAACAGTATTGAAGACTCGTTTTGAGGTTGTAGGGTAATAAGAATACACTTCTGTTATATAAACTACAAAAAAAATATACGCTGAAGAAGGCTTAAGAGGTTTTTATAAAGGAATAATTCCAACATTAATGAGAGATCTACCCTGGAGTGGAGCATAATATTCAATATATCAATCATTAATTAGTATGTACGAATATTTCCTATAAAAGCCAGCGAATGAAAATAATTTATTTATATTTTTATCAGGAGCACTCTCTGCAAGTGCTTCTATTATGATTTTCTATCCATTTGATAATATTAGAGTGAGATATTAAGGAGTAAGGCAATAAAATACTCCGCTTTTGAAGTTAGCATATCATATTTATTAAGTTGAGGGCTTTAAAGGCTTTTACAGAGGCTATTTACCTCGTCTTTTAAAGAAAGGTGCTTAGGGTGCTATTGCTTGGACTATATATGAGTATTTAAAGAAGGATTAGAAAAAAAAAGAAGCTATCAATTGAAAAATATTTAAATAAATTAATTAAAAATAAAATGCAAAATAGATCTAAAATTATTTACTAATTTATTCGTTTTATTTTGTAAAAATTAATTTCAATCCAAAAATATGAAAAATTTTATTTATTTATTTATTTATTTTTATTATTTCTCCCTCAATTTCAATAATTGATATTTTCATATATAGTATCTGTATTTTTAATAAGTTTTTGAAAATTAAAATAATATTGAAAAAATAAATTAATAAATTGACAAATAAATAAATGTGTTATTTTAATATAATTATTCTTTTTTAAATGAAATTTTATTGTTAATTTTTAGTCTTCCAAATAATTATTTTTAAAAAAATTCTAAAATTGCAAAAATTAATTTAAGGGAATGGATTTTAGCTTGTATTTTTACAGAAAATAAATATTTAAAAGCTAATTGTCATTTATTTTTCGGAGCTTATTTTGTAAAGTCATTTAGTAAATAAAAATGGAGTTTATTTTTATTATTTTTCCCACAATTACAATATTTGATATTTTTATTTTTAGTTTCTGTCTTTTTTATGAGTTGAAAATTAAAAGAATTTCTGAATTAATGAATATATTGATAAATAAGATAATCGAATAAAAATATTAATTTTTAAATAAAATTTTATCGTTAATATTTACTCATCAAAAATATAATTATTTTTTTAAAAATTATAAAGTTGGAAACTTTAATTTAGGTGTTTGGATTATAACTTGTATTTTTAAAGAAAATTAAATATTTAAAGCTTATTTTTTATTGTCGTCTAGTTATTAAAAATAGCAATAATTTTTAATTTTCTTATAAAAATTTTTAATTTGATTTGGATAAAATATATTGTTTAAATTCTTACACTTAGAATACTAAAAATTAAAATTTAGTATTTAAATAAAATTAAAACAACCATTAATTCAATTTCACTTTATAATAATAATATAAAGAGATATTGTAAAATTTAAAAGTAAACTTTTTTTTAATTGTTATATAAATAAATGAAAGAATTTTTATATGATAAAAGATAAAGATTTAAAACAAATGTAGTTTTAGAAATGTCTAGCGTATTTATTTTATTTATTACGTTCACTCTTATTGATGCTGCTTACATGATATTTGTTATTACAATGAAATATAAATATTAAAGAAAAGAATACTTAGGAGAATAAAAGATTGATAATTAAATAAAATAATAATAAGCAGATAATAACAGATTTTATTCAAAAATCTAATTATTAAAAAGCCAATTTATAAATAAATAAATAGATAAGATAATAATGCAAGCTATTTCAGCTTTTATAAACTCCCCCGTTGGCCCTAAGACAACTCACTTTTGGGGACCTGTCACTAACTGCGGTTTCGTTGCTCAAGGAGCTTTAGATTGGGAAAGACCCCCTGAGAAAACATCAAGAGATATGCAATTTGTCTTGACTGTTTATTCAATGACATTTATGCGTTTTGCATGGAGAGTTTAGCCAAGAAATTATTTTCTTTTAGCTGTTCATTTTAGCAATGTGTTTGTTTAAGGTAGATTGCTGATGCGTAGAGTCAACTACGAAAGATCTCTTAAATAGTGAGACATATAAATTAAGCTAAAAATGCAATTTATTTGTATTCTATATGTATATCTCGTCATTTAAGAATGATTTTTACTTACTAAATTTAAATTTTAAAGATTAAATTAAACATATTAAAAAAGGAAATTAACAACCATTTTCGAAGCATTAATATGCAAACAAATTTACCTAATCTAGCAGATTTATGTGATTTAAATATTTTCATATGTATTTTCAATTTTTTTGCATTTGATAACTTCAATTTGCAATTTTCATATATGTGTGAATTTTTTTAAACTAAACAAAGACGATATGACGGTGACGTCAGTGAATCAATAAATATTTAGTTGCTTTCAAATTTTAATTATTTGAAAAAGAGAAGTTCACATAATACTTTCATTAGAATTATCTATAAATTTTCAAAAACTAATTTCATTTTTTATTTTGCTTAATTTAAAATTAGTTCTACGATATTTAAGATTAGATATTTCACATAGATGCTGTATACAATTAAATATGTAAAATTTTATTTTATTTCAATAAATTCTTTTAAAAGCAATATTAAATAAAATCTTATCTTCATATATAAATCATAAACTAGATAAGCTATTTTATTTAAATACCTCCTTACAAGCTTCTTCAAAACTTATATCCTGTATTTTTACTACAACTTTCCCAATGTTATCTCCATTAAAGCAAAATTTAAGTGCTTCTGGTAACTTTTCTATTGATTCAAACTCTTCAATATAGGTTTTTATTTAACCTTCCTTAATACTATTTGAATAATACTCTAAAACTTCAGGCATTTTTTCTCCAACCTCAGTGAAAGTTATCCCTTTCATAAATATCCTCTTTAATACAATCATGAGGTAATTTTTGATGCCCTTTCTATTATTGTAATCATTATAATTACCCATAGCTCCACATAGTGCTATTCTTCCTTTTTAATTTATTTATCTAATTGCCAAATCAAGCGTTTCTTCTCCAACATTATCAAAATACATATCGATTTTATAGTTTTTTAAAACTTCAGATAGGTTTTGTGTCTTATAATTGATAGCTTCATCAATTTAAATGACACCCTTTAAAAAATCACATTTCCTATTACTTCCAGTTATCCCTATAACTTTGCAGCCTTTTTCATATAAAAACAATCAATATTTCTTCTACTATAAAAATTAATAAATATACCTTTTTGCTTTGCTAATTAACAAACTAATAAACCTGTTGCCTTTTATCAATTAAAATTAATCTTAAAAAACATGATTTTATTATATTTTTCATAAATAAACTTTATTTTATAAATTACCCCTGCAGCTGTAGAAACTAAAATCGTTTAACCAGGTTTAGGTTAACATACTTCTATGCATCCCATATAAGCAGCCATACCGTTATTTACTAAATTTAAATAGTCTATTAGCTTAATTGAAGGAAAATCTTATTGTTATGGAAGAGGAAATACCATCTTTCTTCTTGATTTATCAACTAAAGAGTATTGCTATATTCCTAAATTACCAAATACTTGAGAGCCTACATTCATCTATGAATTGTTTGAATAAATTACAATCCCAACTCCAAAACAATGCATGACGTCCCCTTATTTTAATTTAGGATAATAAGTTTCAGCACCTGAAAGCCAAACTCTCATAACTGGATCAACAGAAACATAATGTACTTAGACAACGAAGTCTCCTTGTTTTAAGCTTTTTAAAGTTATTTGAGATTCACTAACTTTGAAAATATTTTCAGCGCTATCAGGAAACGTATTATCTGGTTTTTTAAGATAAATTAGTTATTTATTTTTCATTTGTATTAAGATCCGTCTGATAAGTATTTATTTGATAATTTGTTTAAAAAAAGATAGTGAATTCAGTATCAAATAATATATCAAGATATTTTGTTGAATAAATTAAAAAAAAGTATTCAGCAATTTTAAAGCAATTAAAATATTTCTTTAATGAAATAAATTTATCAAAATAATTTCATAAAATTCAATAAATATTGATAAAACAAATTTTGAACAAAAATAAAATAGCCTAAATGAGTCATTTATTAATATCCGTTTTCATTTTAAAAAATAAAAATACATTTGAGTATATAAACAAAATAATATAATGTATTAATTTTCTAAAAGGATGTGAAATTAATTATGAGGATGATTATTTTCTTTTAATTTTAGAATATTTTCTGATAAATATTAATCATGTTATTTAATTTTACAAATTCTCAAATTAGTTCACATCCAAGCAAATTATAAATAAGAAATAAAACAGTGTTAATTAAAAAATATAATTTTCAATTAATTAAAGAGAAGACATCAATAAAAGATACTTATACAGAAAAGAAATATTTACAAAATAAATTAGTTTTTTTTATTTTTAATTTAATCAATAATATTTAATTTTATTTATTTATAATTTTAAAATTTAATCTTGAAAAAAATTAGTTTTTAATGAACCTTTTTTAATGGATTATTGGTTTTGTAGGAGTTGTAAATGAGTGATTTAATTTACATTCCAAACTTTTTATAATTTTTTTCAATTTTCTTCTGGTTAATTAAAATCTTTGTTCTCAATATATTATTTGAATGCTTTAATCTTTTGCTCAATCTATTATTTAATTATTAAAATCAAATTAATAATGAATAATCACTATCTCGATTTACCTTTTCAACCTTATCTTTTGAGGGTGCAGACTCGTATAGAATGTTCAAAGCGCTCATTATTCTTTTTCTCTGAAATAAATAATTAAATTTTATTAAAAATATATTGAAAAATAAAAGTTCAAAAATTTATTTATATTTAATTTACTGCATCTTTGTTTTTTTGTTCTTTTTAGATTGATTTTAGATTTTTTTCTAGTTTAATAGGAGCATTCTGCCTGTATTCGATAAACATATTTATTTCTTTATAAGTAAATATTTAGAAGAACTATTTTTTCGTGATACTAAGCAAGAAGCAATTTGTATGAGCTATTGTACTAGCCATTCTTCCTATTTCATAAATGACCTCTTAATCACCAAAAAACTATCCTTTGCTAAGTATCTTCTCATTTTTAAGAGTCTTTGAAAAAGTTCTATACTCGTGATAATCGTAATCAACGATCTTTTGAAAGTTTTTCTAAATTTATAAAAGCACAGTTAAAAAGTTAATAAAATGAAAATTCATATTATATTAATGAAAATTTTACTTTAGGCCAACAGTTTTAATTAAGCATATAAAAAACTGTTTCACATCTTATTTAGCCCTCGTAGATAATATAAAAATAATTAGGGTTATCTTAAAACTCATAGATTATCTCATCCTTTAAGTAAAGTCTGCCTTGAAGGGAGTCACATAATTTTGTTAAAGTCTCTTTAGGAAAATCTTTAAAGAGTGTCTAAAATCTGATATCGATCTTAAAATTATTTAATACTCTTTCTTGTTAATTCAGAATTATTTCTTAATAATCTTTTCTCTCAAGATATATAATGATGCTCTGCTTAAGAGCTATGAAGTCATTGGTAACTTTTGTTTCTCTGATAACTGCATCTCTAAAATATAATTCTTCTTCTTATAGCAATCTGATTTATTTTCCATCTTAAACTTCTTCTATTTGACCTTCAAATATGACAAACATATATTTTACTTCATCTCCAGAACTAAATACTTTATAAAAATAAATTAAATTGCCATTTAAAATAATTTTAAAAAAATCTACTTTTTTCTCCTTCCCAATAAATGTGAACCTTTAAATTTTGGCAAATAGACTTCATTAAATCAGAACTTATATCTTAAAGCTATTTAATCTTCCTCATATATTCCTCTAAAGTGTTTAGATCGCTGATATATCTATCATTTATTCTATATTATAAAAAGAATCATTTTTATAAAAAAACTTTAAATATTTATTTATCAATATATCTACTCTTTCAAACATATTCTAGGAATAATAAGTTTGTTTGATATTTAAGTTTACAGGTAAACCTTAATAAAATCTGCTCTCTTTCTAATCCAAGGTGGGAGAAATTCAGATGTAAACTTGTTCATATATTATACATTTAAGTTTATCTTTTTCATATTGAGAACACCATTTCTTCTCTCAAAATTCTTTTTCTTCTACCTTTGATAATCTTATGATTGTATGACTTTATCAGTTTCTTGTAAAATTTAATTTTAATCAATAATAACATCCTCTTCAATAAATTGTTAGCTTCCTTAATTTTAAACATATAATTCTTAATTCTCTATCTACTCATTAGGAGTTTTAGAAAGCATTTATTTAACATCTATCGGTTTATTGTCATTACTATAATATAAGCAATCACTTTTTCTCTGTCTTAAATTTGTAGATGCTCTTAATGATAACTAGCTTTGTAAAACTTATGTTTAAAATGATGTAAATGGTCTATTTTATTAGTTGATGATTGGAGTTATATCAACAGAGTAAGGAGTTATAGGATGGCTGGACCCAGTAAAAGTGTGGTTGTCTAGTTCGCTCTAATTACTCTAATTAAATAATTAATTACATATTAATATTTTAAACAAATCAAATCTAATTTTTTCTGTTAAAAATAGCTTTTAAAGCCAATTAAAACCTTTCAATAGCATAAAAGTATTTATAAATTTATTAATTATTATTAAAATTTGTTATGAAATTATTTATTTATTTAATTTTTGTTATTGATTCAGTCTTTTTTAAGATTTAACACATGTAATAACTAATTTTATTATTACTTTTTGTTAAAATAGTAAACAAATTTTTAATTTAATTTAATTCATACCTGTTTTTCATTGTTAATAGAAAAGTACTCTATAGAGTTGTTAATAGAGAATGAATTTTATTGAGAGTTGCAATTATAAAAATCTAGAGATTGCTATTTAAGACCTCTATTTCTTCTCTTGAAAAGAAGTGGAGCGTCTTAATTACTTTATTTATTTAATCTTTAAGTATTTGATCTTGCAGTACTTGCTCTTGTTGTATAACTCATGTTATGAAAATAGGCATTTTTAATTGTTTAATGGCCATCAAGCTATTTCTGTTATTTGCTATTAGGTTGTTATGAAATATCATAGCCATTTTAGAATTACTGTTCATTTAATTTATAGTCTTATATGCTCAAACCGCTAATTCTTCCTCTCATCTATTATGAGCTCTCATTTCGACTGGCTTAAGATAAAGGTGGTTTACTATAAAAGGTCTGCATTTACAACTCTTTTGTGCTCTTTTTCTTTTTTTCATCAATACTAAAATGAGTTATTGCATTTTCCTAGCCGTACTAAGCATCAAAACTTTAATTTAATCTACTAGAAGCTGAAGTAAATTTTATATCACCATTTAAAGGAGTCAAAGCATTTCTTATCTTATTCATAGATTATTACATATTTTCAGTCAAAATTGGCTTAGGTTTAGGTACTCCATTTGGAGAATTTTTCTTTTATTAGTGGATTTGTATAATATTAATAGGAATATGAATGTGGTTTTTTAATAAGCTTTAAGGTAGTTTCGTAACGCTGTCTTATATATGTTTAATTCTTTCCTCAGCTGTTGCATTACTTTCTTGATCATATAAAATTCTGTTTAAGTCTTTTTCCTTAATAGAATTTTGAAGATAAAGCTTCTTTAAAAGGGAATTTTAAGGTATCTGAGACTTAATTTATTAAGGTAATTATTGATGTTTCTTCTAAGATTCCATTTTAATAAATAGTTTGTTTATTTCTATTATAATTTTTTGTTAGTGATAATAGTAAGCCAAAGTAATTAGAAAATAATACTTGGTAGTTGATTAGTTTTATATTAATTTAGTAATAAGTATTTATTAAATCAATAATTAAATTCTAAGTTTTTTAAATAATTAAGAAACAAAAGTAAACAAGAATATTTTCAAAGAATGAAATTTAATTTTCGTTTGTATATTTATCAACATTATTTTTACCGTATAATTTATTTGCATACTTAAACAAATTATTAATTTTAATATCGCTATGCTCATTTAAATACCACATTCATTAATTCATTATTAATTTTTTCATTTAAATTTTGAATTCATTATATTTTTTTTTACAATTATTTTTAATTTTTACTTTATCTAAATTTGAAATAATCAGCAAAATAAAAATAACCTTATCGCCTATTTAAAATGATAATTTGTAATTTACAAAAAGCCTATATTAAGAATTTAAAATAATTTTTTATTATTTTTATTTCTTATTTTTTTGGGTTAAGTTTAAACAAATCAATATATTTTTTACTTGTTTTAATTTTAAGATTATCAAAATTTAAACCAATCTTGTAAATGAAATTTAATTGTTAAAAAATAAATTTTATTTAATTAATAGATATTATACGTTAAGATACTAAATCAAACACGAAAAGAGTGATCAATCAATATTTCAAAACTAAATAATAAATAAATATTTTATATGGTTTTTAGTATAATAAAAAATTAAATATTATTATTCTTAACATTATCAATTATATCATTAGAATAATAAAAAAAATTAATAACAACCTTTTATATATAATATTAGTTCACACTAAAATCTTAAAATGGAAAAAATTTATTTTCTAAAATTTATTATATGTAAAGAATATATTCTTTTTAAAATGAAACAAGAAAAATTTAATATTTAATCAATATTCTAAGTTGATTTACTGCTTAATAGTATATATAAAAATATAAAATAGATAAATTGGATAATATATATTATTAAAGTATAATCTAACAACCTTGGCACCTTGAGATGATGGGCATCTAATTTTATCTCAAATCAATTTAATAATAAAATCTTAAAATTCAAAAAATTAATTTTTATGAAATAAATTTTTAGCATACTGCGTATTTAACACAAAATCAAACAACAAAAATTTGTGAGTCAATAAATAGTAACAAAATAATAGATTATTATTCTTTATATTTTATTAAAATGATTCATTGTTATTTTCAATATTTATTCTTAATTTTATCATTGATCCAATCTTATAAAAGTTGAGCTTAAGTACGAGCTCCTCCTACTACGAATGCATGCTCTAAGTTATGGTCATCAAGCCTAGCATCAATGGCAGGAATGTCTTTCTTTATTTAATGATATAAGTCAACTGTAGCCCAATTGTCATTTCTACCATAGTAAAGGGTTATTTCATTAATATATTTTTTTAGAAGGTCATCTTATCTTTTCCTAACAAAAGTAAATTCAAGCTATGCCATGTTGGAGATATTGTAAACAGTAGTATAATCAAGGAAAGAAGTAACGGTTTCAACTATATCATCTATTGGTTCTTGTTAATTCTGATTGGATAAAACTAACTAAATTAAAACTCTTTTTACAAAATTTGGTAAATATTAAAGAATATGAGCAATAGTAGCTGACACTTATTTAACAGGGAATCTTGTTAATATGTTAGTATGCTTATAGTTAGGCATTTCATTCATTCTTTCAATAGTAGGAAAAAGCTTAAAGCAGTGAAGAATTTTATCTTTGGGAAGATAATCCAAAATATTCAAAACAATATAAGAACCGATTGAGTGAGAAACAAATATGAATTTAGTATTAGGATGCTTGTGCATCAAATATTTCATAAATTCAACTTTATGTTCAATTTAATGCTCTAAAACGTTAAGCTTTTTTTTAGGTGTCTATTACTGATTATTATGATGCACTCCGTGATAATGGTGATGTTTATAATCAGTTTCGACATGATATTTCTTTTTCTTACCTTCAAATCCCAAATGTCCAACATGGCAAATAGCGTAAATATCATAAGCATAATTTAGATGCTAAGCAAGCTAATTTAAAAATAAGTCATAATACCTTACATATCCTGGATTGCCTGGTACTAAAACGATAGTTATATCTTTTTATTTTGGATCATGGGTATGATGATTAACTCTCTTTTGAACTTTTAAATATTCAGTATCGTAATCACCAATCTTTTTGTAGAAGTACTAAGATTTAAAGTGATATAGAGGTTACCTGAATTTCTTTGAAAATAAATTAAGAATAATTTAAATCGAGAGTATAGCTGGTAGTACCACGTAGCCAATTACCTTTGCAATAAGTTTTAGCATTTTTACAAAATTTTGGAAAGTACTAATTAGATTCACAAATTTTAGATTTGTTAATTTAATTTTTATATAATCAAAAACGAAATTAAAATAAGATTTGTTATACGATATTTTACCTGATTACATTAGATAAATCTTAAAGATGACGCAAAATATAAAAAAATAAATAAATAAATTGATTAAAGTAAAATTTGTTTAATAAAAAACTTTAATAACAAATAAATCTTTCTTTCTATTTAATTAAATTTTTAAATTTAAAGTATCTGTAATTAAAATAAATAATCATAAAACATAAAAACATTTGTTTGAGCATTTATTTTTAAATAAAAATAAGTCTATTTCATTTAAAATTCATATTATTTTAATTTCAACTCAAATCGTGATGTAAATTAGCGCTCTAAGGATTATTTTTGGTTAAATCATGTTGTTTTTTCTAAATTAATATAGAAATAAGCTTCTAAAAATGTAAAAATAATGGCAACTGTGAGATTCGAACTCACGCGGATTACATCCAGGCGATCTTAAGTCGTCCCCCTTAACCAACTCGGGCAAATTGCCTTGATAAACTTTATAGAATTTAGAAAATAGATATTAAAGGATTTAATTTTAAAAATATCTTATGAAATATGCAAATTTTAACTTTGAATTAACTTTAAATAAGCTAAATTAATCTAAAATTTATTTAATAAGTTAATGTAAAAGAATTTTTTTTAAAATTAAAAAATAACTTTAAAAATAATAAATAAAATGTAAATAAATATTATAGAATTATAAAGAACCTTAAAATTGCCAATTTATACCCTGTAATGTTATTTAAAGTATTGAAATTAGTAAAATAAGCTTTACTATTTTACAATGGTGGGAGTAAACTTTTTTTCAAGTCAAAAAATTGGATTAATAATTTTAAACTTTCTATTAAAATAGAATATAAAAATAATTCAATTTAATTAAAACAATTTACTATTTAGGATACTAAAATTTTTATAATTTTAAAATATTATTAATTTTTATAAAGAATATGCTTTTAAAGTTAAGATTCTTAAAAATATTTACAGAACTATTAAGAAAAGATAAATTAGAAAAAAATCAAATAATCAACTTCTTTAAAATAAGTACTACAAATGTAAAAGTTTAAATTACTCTAACAAATGGATTTAATTAGTTACTTATTTTTATCATGCAGAATATATTCATTAGACTTAACTTTTGATAATCAAACAAATGTAAAATGTATGGTAATTTTATTTAAAAAAGGAATAAGTCTAGAATGAAGATAAGAAAATTCACAAAATGTGTGAACAAAACATTTAATTCCAGAATAACAGAATTATTTTTCATTTTTTTATAAAACAGTAAAAATATGATTAGGGTAATTAATTAAGTAGAAATGTTAAACTATTTTATAAAATATTTTTATATTCACAAGGAATATTGTAAGTAAGCAAGTTATAACTAAATAAAATAAGAAAATTCTATTTAGGATAATCAGCTATTACTTTATATTTATGGGAATAAATAAATTGAAAGAATTTACAATTATATGATGATAAAAATTAATGATTAATAGGTATCTATGATGTATAACATATATACTTGATGAACTATTAACTATCTTAATATTTGTGAGTGAATAGTAAAATCTTACGCATAATCTATAATTTAATATAGCTTTCCTATCTATATTAAAATTAGAGGATTAGTAAAACCTCTACTGGGCTTTTAATTTGGTCTATAAACAATTATTTCGCAACAAAAATCAAACTAATAATAAAAAAGAAAAACAAAATTTATATTAAAACATCATAAATTAATTACATATCAAAAATCTTTAAATTTAAAGTAGAAAAAAAAATTAGTTATCAAAAAAAAGCATATTTAAATCTCAAAACATCATTAAACAAACTATCAATAAAGGAAAATAAATAACTTCAGAAATGGGCCAATTATAAACCTCTACAGATAAGCAGTAAAGCAAAGTACTTTACTCAGTACCTGTATCCTTAAATAGCGTATCTTAATCTTCAATTTACAGAAATCCTTAGTCAACTGAGAATCTTATTAATACTTTTGATCCAAACATTCTAACTCTTAAAGATGCTTTCTTGAACAGTGTCAAGCAATATGAAAACAACAATTTTTTAGGCAAAAAGGATGCCAACAAGAATGAATATAAAGTAATTTATTCCTCTTTATTTTAATTGCATTTATTATCTTGAAAATTGTTAAAATAATCTTATTTTTATCATCAGATTATTTAAGACTTTATAACCTGAATGATTTTTTTAAATACATTAATGCTAATTTTCAAATTAAATATATTCTATATATAATATTAATAATTTATTTATTTATGGAAATTCTAAATTTAAAATAACTTATTTTACAGCTTAAAATAACTCTTTTAAATAATATTAATTTAATATTTTTAGTGGTGGACATACAAACAAATACTTAAAATGAGTGAAAAAGTAGGAAGTGCCATTACAGATAAGTGCTTATTCAATCAGAGTGAGGATTTAAATACTGTTGGTATATTTGCAAAGAACTGTTTAGAGTGGATTGTGGTTGAGTATGCATGCATTTTATACAACTATGCATTGGTTGCAGTTTAAAATAATGCTATTTCTCATATTGTTAATGAATGTAACTTAGAAACAATCTTTTGCAGTGAGGAGTTGATTCCATAAATTATGGATATTGATAATGTCAAGACCATTGTGTGTTTTTCAAATTCAGACTAATTTAATGAATCATACTATAATTAGCTCATGCTTAAAGGCAAATAGCTGATATTTTTCAAGGACCTATTGCTTTAAGAAGAAATCCACCCTTATGCCAATATTAAGCCAAGCACAATTTACACTATTTGTTATACAAGTGGTACTACTACAACTACTCCTAAGGGTGCTATGATTACTCATGCTAACTGTATTTCATCTCTAACCCCATTTAAGATAGCTAAAGATTAATGTAATTTACAATCATTTTTAATTTGATTTAAATCATTTGACTTTAATAATGCTAAAATGTTTATTTAAGATAAAAATGTTAAACAACATAAAATTCTTAACAATATTTATGAAGTTTATAGAATCAATCTAATAAATGAATTCAATTATTAACAATTGTTAGAAAAAAAGATAAAAGTTGATAGAAATATTTGATGTTGTTTGGAATATTATTATTTCTAATATTTATTTGGAAAATTAAAATCTACCTATTCAGTCAAATTTCGAATACGTAATTAAAACAAATAAATCGCAATCAACTTAAGTATTATTGAATTGTTATATAATAAATATAGTTTATCTTTTCTAGCAATCGCTATTTAATCAATCAATCAATTATTGTAAGTATTCATAAAACAATTTGATAGTAAACATGATCAAAGCATTACAGCATTAATTAATTATCATCCCTCATTATAAAGCTATTTCTTTTAAATATTCAATTTTTACATTCCATTTATCTTATAAAAAGAGCTAAAAATAAATTAGAATGATATTTACTACAGTGTCCTTCCATTATCTCATATTTATGAGCGTGATGTATGTTAAAATATGATGGTAAACGGTGCAGGCATAGGATTTGCATCAAAAGACTTAGCTTCTCAAAAGTTAGATTTAGAAATTCTCTAACCTACTATTTATTGCAGTGTCCCTCGTCTTTATAATAGAGTTTACCAATCAATTAAGGATAAAATCCAAAATTTCGATGAAGGTCTCTATAAGAAATTCTTTGAATATGCTTTGGACTTCAAGATTTCCAGTTTATGTTCAAGTGGAGAAAACTATAAGAATCCCATTTTCGATACTCTCATCTTTAACAAATTAAAAAAGACATTTGGAGGTAAAACTAGAGTGCTTATTTGCGGTGGTGCTCCCCTCAACGACAAAGTTTTAAATTTTCTTCAAGCAGTGCTTTGTGTTCCTATCATATAAGGTAAAAAAATAAATCAATCAAACTCTAAAATAATTATTTTCTAGTTTGAAAAATTTCTAGAATTTAGAAATTTTCTTCTGCATAGTATCAAAGAAAATGGAATAACAGCAATCAAAATTTATTAGCTTTCATTTTCATTCAATATTTTATCAAAATTGCTTACACTTAAAAGTTATTCCCCAATACTTTTTCAAAATAAATAGTATAAGTTTTCCAAACTATAAAAAAATTTTGATTACTCTTAATCTCAAAATTTTAACTTTTAAGATTGTGTCATTTGCGTAATATCTTAATTAAAATTAGCTTGAATAAATATTCACTAAAATATCTCTATTAGAACAAAAGTAATTTAGATTTCATCATTATCAACTAATGATATAATAATAGCACGAATTAATTTATACTTTCTTTTGCTATTCTAAATGCACAAATATTAATATGTGCTTTCAAGATTAATCAGTATTAAACAAAAACAGTGAATTCATTCTTATTAAATTTACTCTTTATAATAAAATAAAATAATACAAAATAAATTTGCACTTCTATTTATAAACTTTATTTAATTCTAGATTTTTTTTCAATTTGTAGACAGAAATAAATTTATAAATATAAATGCCATTTGCAATTTCGTAGGAAATTTAGATTATTTTAAATATATTTATAAGATAATCATAATAAGTGTTTACATTTGAAATATCTTAATTTTTAGTAAATAAATTAATAATCCTTTAATTTATAATAATTGTTTTAATTTATTTAGGATATGGATAATCAGAAAGCACAGGTGTTGCTCTAAGTACTGAAATTGAAGATAATTATCATGGTACTGTAGGAGGTCCTAAATGTAACATGGAGTTTAAGTTAATTGATTGTCCTGAGTTGAATTACAGTTGCATGGATTAAGATTAAAATGGTAGATCAAAACCTAGAGGTGAGATTTTGCTAAGAGGTGGTAAAATATTCAAAGGATATTTCAAAGATAGATCTGCAACTAAGAAAGCTATTGATAAAGAAGGATGGTTGCACACAGGAGATATTGGTGAATTATAATAGAATGGATCCCTCAAAATAATTGATAGAAGAAATAATATCTTCAAGCTCCCTATCGGCGAATATGTGTCTCCTGAAAAAATCGAAGGTATTTATTCTATCCACCCTGCGATATCTGAAATATTCATTTATGGAATGACTGATAAAAATTACTTAGTAGCAATAATTGTACCTGAATTTTCTTACTTCTAAAATATACTTAAATTAGAAAATATTAATCAAAGCAGTGCTGAATATATAGAATTAGTCAAAAAAAATCCTATAATTTAAAGAACTATTTCTGAAGCTCTTTAAGAAGGAGATAAAGAACTCATTCCATATGAAAGAGTTAACCAGTTTAGATTAGAACCTAATTCTTTCTAGACTCTTAATTTGTTAACATCTACAGGAAAAATATAGAGAAGTATTTGTGCTCAGTATTTCAAGACTCAAATAGATGAGATGTATTAATTTCATGAAGTAATTTGATAGTTAGCATGATATTAAACTATTCACTAAATGATGATAAAAAATAAGAAATACTTAATAAAAACAACCAAAGAAAATAAAAAAACATTTAAAAATTCAACAAACAAATAAATAAAACTAATTAAACAATTTATTAATTAATTAATTTACTACTTCAAGAATTAAATTATATTTAAATTAAAAACTTAAAAAAGGTATTATATTCATGTATTTTATATTATATTCAATGTTATGTAATTCAATATATTGTTAAACTTCAATGAATTAACTTAGATAATCTCTCAAAAAATAATTTTTTCAAATAAAAATTTGAAATTTTGAAAAAAAAGACCTTGAAGGTATATTAAACAGGATTTTGGAGTGTCTTAATATATAAACATTGACATTAAATACATTTTATATAAAGTAAAATAATATTAATATAAAGTAAAATTTAGCATTTTATTTTTAATCTCCTTTATATAAAATTATAGTTATTTAGGATTGTTTTTCCTTTTTTTTCTTTGCTTCTAAGCCAAATAATTATCAGGATACCTAGAAAGAAAAAAAAAATTTGTAAATATATATTTGTTTGTTTATTTTCTTGAATTTTATAAAGATCATAATTATTCTACTTTCTAAATATTTTAAATTTTTAAAGTTGTTATTATTAAATTTATCAGTAAAATATTTTCAATTGATAATGTTCTTAACATAAAATAAAATTTTTATATTAGATTCGTTTTAAAAATTAGTAATACCTTAAATTAAATTCTTACTGTTAATTAACTAAGTAAGTAGTTATTATTTTTTCAAAGATTAAGTAAAATTTTTTGTAAATTGCTATTCTTGTTATTTATGTTATAAAGATAGTATTTTAATCATAATTTCTTTTTGAATATATGAAGAAATAGTATTATCAAGCGCTAATTTTACTATCTTTGCTTGATGAAAAAAGGTGAAGGCTAGAAAGTTTATCTGCTATTACAATATTTTTATCGTATGAATCTAAATTAAATTGAAAGGCCGTAGCAGTTGAAAAATTTGAGTGCAAGCAGATGGTTTAATGGCTCATTAAATCATGGATATAAGCACCTTTTTCTGAAGAGTAAATAATAGATCTACTTCCATATTTATTTAATGAAGTGACTATGTTTGCATTAGGTAGATTATAATTCATAATCTGCTAAAGAGATTATTTGCATTTATTATAAAAAACAAGCTGCAAATAACCTCTCTAACTACCAATTATAAAAGAATCTTTATTGAAAGGAATTATAAAACCTAAATGTTCAAAATTGTGTTTACAAGTATGTAATATTTAATTATTATTAACTATGGCTAACTCTTTAGCTGAACAGCATACTATTAGCTCTGTATTTATTCTAGAAACATGAGTTATTGCAGAATTGAATCTAAATTAGCTTGTTTCTTGAAAGAATTTATTTTCTTTTTAATAGTTTTAATAATTTTGATAAATCAAAATGTATTCATCGCTGTTATAGAGTTCTTCCTTAATTCTACTTGCCTTTAAATTGCTTTAACTTAAGTTATTTTGGAAAGCTCCATAATTTATGCTTTCTTGTGAGTTATTTGAGTCAGTGTTGAAGTCAAAAAATTTTAGCTATCCACATTTAAAACTTATCACAAATTAGCTATCAGATATTTTCTAAAATAGTTAAATCGCGCCATCAAACTTATATGCAGAAATGACATTAATATGAATTTAGTTTTCTTGGATGTTTTTCAAATGAGCAAAAGTTTGAAAATTTAAATGAACTAACTTTATTAAGTTAGAAAATTAAGATTAAAGAAAGAAGAATCCATCTCCAAAAGGTCCGTGGATTTTATCTAAAGTATGATCAAAAACTTTTTAACTAGCTACCTTATTTAAAGATTTAGTTTAGAAAATCTAGAGCTAGCCTTGATCATCTCCACAGACCAAAAAACTTTCTGATAAAAATGAGATACAAGAAATATTATCTATGACACTCTTCTTTGCTGATAGCCTATAATAATGATCACTTAAATCAAAGTTTTGATCTTTGTTGTTTGTTTCGTATGATACTTTTTTCATTTTTAGTTAATTATCTTTTAATTTTTCTACCTTAATATTATAATTTAATTTGTGGCCTTAATATGAAAGCTATTTAAAGGAAAATAAAAGATTTATTCTACTTGTAAGATAATTGGTTAAAAAGCTGTATAATTTTAATTAATTCATACATAAAACCATGAATTTTATAAAAGTGCGTATTAAATGCAAAATAAAAACATTTAGTTAATTAATATGGTTTTTTTAAATATAATAGCTAATATTTTAATATTATATCATTTCCTTTTTATAGACGATTATTAATAATTACTGAATTTAAAATATGCTTTATGAATAATCATTTATAATAAAATAATATATCACTTATTTTATGTAATTAAGTTGCCAATCATTAACATTTATTAAATGTTAAATTAAAAGTAATAAATTTATTATATAAAAATACCATTTTATTTTATAATTCTAATTAAAAAAAGTGATGCTTAATACTTAATTCATAGTTAATAAATAAATTTAGGCAAATCAATACCTCTTTATAAAAATATATATTTGCTGTTTTCATGATATTATTAGTAGATCTTTGAGCTATACTTTCATTTAATTAATATAAAAAGTATTAAATATTAATATTTTAATTATAACTTGTAAGAATTAAAGTTTTTTTTGATGGTTCTAAAATTATTTATTTTTAATTACTATTTTTCTTCTTATTTGTAAAAACAAAATTGAATTATTTAAAAATGTTATTCATGATTATCAAAATTAGATTTTTCAATGAAATCTTAAAATATTACAATATCTAAATCATTATTTATCTCAGTTTGTTTTAACCATAATCATTAGTTAAATATTATTTTAATACATTATTTTTGAAGAATTCAAACTTTACAGTTTATCATTTTTGTATTTTCTATTTTTTTGCTTTAGATTAAATTAATAAATACATTTTAAGTATTTTCTCTTTACTCTGCTTCATTATTTTTAAATATAAAAGTTATTAGAAAAAAATTTTATTTTTATTTTAAAAGTTAAAATAATTAATTTTAACAAAATTTATTCCAATCACTTTTACTGATTAATTACTAAAAAACTCCAAATCAAATAAATTTATAAACAAATCGAGCAATAATACTAATATAATAAAGGTAATTTGTGATCAAATTATATTTTGAATATCTTATTTAAAAAATATTTATGTAATTAAATAAAAGAAATAAATGTAAATTTTTAATGATTTTAGCACTTTTTAAAAAAACTACTGGCACAATTAATTACAAAATAAAAGAAATAACAAATAAATTTATGTATATATTAAGCTAAGCATGAAGAAAGATATTTTGCTTGGATTAAAATCATAAATTTAATTAATTTGATTAAATTTATATAGATATTTAAACTTTAGAAAATATTTTATTATTTATTTATTTTAGTTTTTTTTATATTCAGTGGAATTAATCTGAATTTCTTATTACTATACTAGATTATCTTTTTGTTAATCTACCAGTTACCTCATCAGTATCTGGAATATTTTTAATAATATTTTTTAGAGCTCTTTCCTAAACTTCTTCAAAAACTTCTCTAGATGAAGCAGCATAATCAAGTTCTGTTATAGTACCATCTTTTAAGCTGTAAATCCAAGCATTGATAGTGATTTCCTAACCTCTTGCCCAAGCAGCTTGTAATATTGTAGAGTTACCTAAATTATACATCTATTGTGCAATATTCATTTCACAAAGTTTGTCAACCTTCTTTGCCATATCTTGAATTCTGTCTAAATCTTTTTTGTATCTTAAGTATAAGTCTCTGATATGAAGAAGCCAGTTATTAATTAAACCCAATTTAGGATTTTCAATAGCTGCTTTCACACCACCACATTAATAATGCCCACAAATTATGATGTGTTTAACTTTTAAAACATCAACAGCATACTAAACAACTGAGAGAGCGTTTAAATCTGTATGAATGATCTAATTTGCAACATTACGGTGGACGAAAACTTAGCCTGGACCTAAGCCAGTTAAAGTTTCAGCAGGTACTCTAGAATCTGAGCATCCAATCCATAAATATTCAGGATTTTAAGCTTTTGCGAGTTTATTAAAAAAGCTTGGATCTTCGTGCTAAATTTTATATGCCCAGTTTTTATTATATTAAAGTAGATCATCAATACCATGTTAGCAAAAATAATCATTATGATTATCCTCTTATTCATCAGAATGAAACATATCTGTTTTACGAGGTTAAACCTTTTAATCCATCTTAAAATATGTTAACTTTTCTTAATATGCTTATTAAACTAATTAATGCTTAAAAATTCTTTAAGATTTTATAAATTTGTTATTTGTTTTTTGGTTTATAAAAAATTTGATTTATAATTTCTGTCGTATTTATAATGCGAATTTTCCTAAAAAAAATCGATTTTTGATGTATCATAAACACTGCACGCTTTTTTTTCTGGTTTTTTTCTTCATACATACTTTGAATTTTAAAACACTAAAATGTAAAATTTAAAGTTTTATACTATGTTATTTAAAGTTGAAAAATTCTCTCATTTAAAATAGCAAGTTAATGTGTAAATGAAGCCATTTTTTTACTCAGGAGATTAAGGAAAAATTGTATTTGATTAGGAAAAAAATGAACAGTATTAATAAAACTTTGATTTGAGATAAATTTTTGCTTAGAGATTTATTTGAAAAATAAAAAGTTTATATATTCAAATTACTTAAATTTTTTTTATTATAAATGTATTGATTATTCATCAAACATATTAAATAGATACATCTTATCAAAATTTAATTCACTATAATTTAAAAAACCTTAAAAACAGCTTAGTTGATACATATTATTTTTAATATTATTGAAGTGTTTGAAATATATGTGATCAGAAGTGATTTTTCAAATCAGGTTACATCAATCAATATAACCTCAATCAATCAAAGCTTGATAAAGTAATTTAAGATTGATAATAAGTAAAAAGAAAAAAGTATTAATTGTCGCTAAGAGCTAAAATAAATAAATAATATGATATAAAAGATACCAATCAGTGATTATGATGTAATTATAATTTTATTTTAATGAATAATGACCAAATATGGTAAACAATAATAATAATAAATTGGAGTTTTAAAACTTTTGCTAATTACTGTCAAGGTATATATTTTTAATTTAGTAATGAGAATTGCTAATAATTTTTTTAGTTTTTAAAATAAAATAAAAATCTTTTTCTATTTTTTCAAAAGAATTAATGAGGTTGTATATAATAATTAAATTTTAATTTATTTATCATTTTAAGAAATATATTTATTTATTTATTTATTTATTTATTTATTTATTTATTTATTTATTTAATAATTATATTTTAATGACATATAAAATCATTAGAAAGATTTTTATTATAAATTGATTAGAATAATATTTATTTATTTATTTATTTCTATTAAATTAAATTATTTTGTAAATATAAGTAAGTATATGTCTTTTGAGTAAAATCAGTCAGGTCAGTTGGTGGTAATCTTTCATTCACAGCTAGTCTGTTAGCAATTATAAATAAAAATATAATTCTGTTAATTTGATATTTATTTTTGTGCTAAATACGTACAAATTTAATTTAATTTGTTTATACAAAATTAAAATTTTGTCATAATAATAATTATCAATATAATTTTATGTTAGATTTCAATTTGAAAGGATAGCAATTCAATCTCTTTATTTATTTTATTTAAGCTTTTGGTATCTAAATTTATTACAGAACGTTTTTTTAAAGATTAGTTTATTTAATTATTTGTATTAATTTATTTATTATATATGGGTTTTTTTAAAATATTTTCAGAATTAGTGATTTATTAAACTGTTTAGCATTTATATTCAACAGCATTCGTTTATGCTATCTTTTGTTTCAGTCAAGCTGCTGTCAGAATTAGATGTTTTTTCTTAAAAAATATCTTAATATAGCTTGTGTTTAGCTTAGCTGGAAATCTAGGAAAGTAATCTTGAAATAACTTTGTCATGGACTTCTTCAAACACTTATTTCGAGTTAGCAGCATAATCGATTTCTTTAACTCTGCCATCCTTAAGACCATAAATCCACCCGTGGATGGTAACTTCTTAGCCTTTTTCCCAAGCACTTTGAAGGATGGTAGAGTTACCAATATTATAAACTTATTAAACTAAATTAAGCTCAACAAGCTTATCTAAAATCAATTCACGATCATGAAGTTCATGTAATTGTTTCTTATATCTAATATAAATATCACGAATATGTAAGATCCAATTATTAATTAAACCTAGTTAAGGATTATCAAAAGCTGCAGCAACGCCACCACACTAATAATGACCACAAATAATAATGTGCTTGACTTTGAGTACTTCTACTGCATATTAAATAACTGATAAGCAATTTAAGTCAGTATGGATAACCTAATTTGCAACATTTCTATGAACAAAAACTTCTCCAGGGCCAAGACCGACTAATTTCTCAACTGGAACACGACTATCTGAGCAACCAATCCAAAGATAATCAGGAGTTTATTTTTTTGCTAGCTCAGTAAAAAATGTAGGATCTTATGTTAAAATCTATTCAGCCCACTTCTAATTGTATTAAAGGAGTCTATCGATACCAGCATCTTCATCATCCCCGCACTTATCGAAGAAAGTGAATTCATTTTAATCATTATGTAAGCAACATCCATGGCATGTCTATTTCTTATCTTATTATTAATTAGTACTACTCATTCACTTCACTGTTTTAATTTTTAATAAATTAAGAGAGATGGATATATATGAAAGTATTTGTTTATTTATTTATTTTGTTTTCAGTGTAATTAATTTTTCTGATTTAATTTGTTTTTTTCTTTTAACAATTATTTTTTGTTAGGTTTAAAGAGGTAGTTTTTGTTAATAAATTCTTCTTCTCTTTTTTCTTCTTCAAATTTTCTTCAAACTTTTTAAAAAAAGCATAAGATTTTTTATTTTTGATAATTTATGAAATAATTTAAATCTTCAATTAGATTCTAATACACAGCTAATTATCTCAAGCCATTAATTAAATTGATAATCCTGTCTTAAGATTAGTAAACTTCCGTAAAATTTAACCTTCTTATTCAATTTCATTTTTATTATTTATCTTTTTTCTCAATTAAATCTAAACTATTTCAAATAGAGATAAAAGTTTCAGATAACCGAATATTTTAATTTCTATCAATTGAAATTAGTGAACATCGTCATCAGTATGCGAAACTGCTTCAGATTTAATAAACATATTAAATCACTTTGTTTAACAATAAATTAAAAGATTGTCTATTTTTAATTTTTGTTAAGCAAGCAAATAGTTTTGAAAGGAGACTAAAAATCAAGAAATCTACGAACATTGATTAAAAAAGATTACTTCAAAACTAAGGTAATTTAAATAAGAAAATTATTAAATATCAAATTACACTTACCGCTGTAATCAAATTTAATAAAAATCAATTATTCAACACAGTATTTGTATATTTTTTAAACCAAATGTTAAAATTCTGTTATCTTGCTTAACAAAAAAGTTGTATTGCTTATTTTTAATTTTTTTAGGCTATTCAAAATTTTAATTGTCTATCACTATTCTTAATCAATGGATTGATAAATAATTATATAAATCTAATTCAGTAAATAATTTAAGCTCGTCAATCAACTCTAAACAAAAAAAATATCATGCTTTCTCATTCTCTTTTATAGTAAAATAAACAATAAAATATAAAATTAGTTTGAAAAGAGATATATTTGCTTAAATTCATATACTATCTCAAAGTATTTTTAAGAAGCCTTTTACTAGTAAAGACCTTCATATCTTATAATTTTAATTACAAATATTCTGATCTATAAATCTATAGAAATTTGATCAATTAGCTTTTAACTTGCGAATTTGAAAACTCCTCTAAATTTAATTTAATTTTTTTCTAAAATTTGCTCATAAAATATTTGTATTATCCTAGTCGTAATTAAGTCTTCAAAATTTGAAGGAAGTATGTAATTGCATCAATAAAGTTAAAGTCGCAACTCATTCATTTAAAATATAAAAACCTTAATACTAGCTAATTATTTTTTTTCTAGGAAATTTATAAGTTAATGAGGGTGATTTTTTTATAAAATATTTGACACATTCTAGCTAAATTCAACTATTTGTTTTATTCTCAGAAAAAAGAAGGAATATTTGATTATTAGATAAACATAGAAATATAAAATAAAGTATTAATTTTAACTTGAAATTTACTTTTATCATGTAACCATAATTAAAATTGAATTTCATATAAAATATATTGAGTCGGTATCTATATTTTATCATACAGTTTGTAAATGCAATTCTGTATAAGAATAAGTATAATTTTATTTATTATATTTCTAAAGCTATTTAATATTTTAAATTTACAATTTATTATAATTATCTCTTTTAATACAAACTAAAGTTTTCAAATTATTTAATTATCTATTTTGTTGTTTTTAAACTAAAATTAATACTCCTTCATTGACAATAGTATTTCTCTTTCATGTTTATAGATTTATTTTATTTCAAAATCAGCTGTTTTTAAACAAATCTAAAATGAATTATTTGTTCTTCATTTTTATCTTCATTAAATCTATCTATTATAAATCTAATTTTAAATTTGTGTTTTAAAATTAAGTTTTATTTTGAAGAATATGAATTTTTATTGAAGAAAGTTGTGAAAATAGAGTATATATTTTATTTAATTTTATAGGTCCTTTCATTTTTAAATTCAGTTATAAGCTTTTGATTTTATAAATTTCAAAAAAAATATCATAAAAATATTAAGGAATTCATAGAATAGATTCATAAAATGACTTATTATTCCTTATTTAATAAGACTTAATCATTCGTCCTCTAAATTATAAAATTTAAACGCATTAATAAGTAAGAATATTAATCAACAGTCTCAATTAAAACGCATTTTTATATTATTGAAGTAAAAGGATAAGAGTTATTTGATTTACTTACTCGCAATGGACACTTTTTAATATTAAAAAGTTACAATATAATATTTTAAAATTATATCATATAAAAGAATTTTTGTAAGAATTAAAATCAATATAAAAGAAAATATTGTTTCTTTGAAGATTTGTAAACACTAAATTATTCAATGGTTTTCTTAGATCCTTTTTTTGGGTGGGCTTAAATAGTTTGAAAATAAGAGAAAAATTATGAAATTCATATTTAAATTTTTATAAAATAGATAAAAGAAAATGAAAACAAAAGTTATAATTGAAAAGAATTTATTTTTTTAACTCAGTGAGCTATTTTAGTAGATAAGTTTTCTGATCTAAACAAAAACTTTTTCAAAAGACTTTATTTTTAATTTTAAACTAATTAACTAATTTCTAAAAATAGCAACCAATAAAAGAAAACTTTTTAATTAGTCTCAAGAAAGATAAATAAAATTTAATAGAAATCCTTTTGTAAATAGTTGATATATTTAGCAACTAAAATATCTTTATTTAGAGATATTTTTTAAAGTATTCATTGTTTTTTTTACTTCTGTAAAGCTTTGTCTATGTTACTATATCTTAGAATGCATATCAGTTCCAGTATTTATTTATTGTATATTTATTTTTAAAGTATGAATAAATATTTTGTATAATGAAAAACTACAATAACTTGGAAACATATATAATTAATAGCAAAACTGATAAATATCTTATTTAAAATAGCAAAAAATGTCTAAATTTTAATAAATATCTGAAATAAAACAAAAATAAATACTAGCTCTATTTTATTTTAGAGCTATTATACACAATAATTTATCTAAATTTGTGTAAAAGTTTCTATAAATAGTTATTAATTTGTTTGGCTATTTTTAGACTATTTAGCAGAATCAAATATTATCTTCTAAATTATAATCACATATACACAATAACTTCTGTTGTTTATTTTCATTAAATCATATCTTTCCTTTTATACTCAAAAATCTAAGTTTTCTAAAATTAGAAATGTAAATTTATTAAAAAAAATTCATTTAATCTTTCTAGTCAATTAAAAAACTTATGATAATTATTTAGTTTACAAATGATTTTTTTTTAGTAATTTTTTTACAATTTTGCATCTTAATTAGGATAAAGAAATTAACAAATATGAATTAAATCTAATATTTCTATATAAAATATAAATTAGAAAAAAATTTATAAAATATTTAAAATAAATAAATACATTTATTTTAACTTGAATTATTGATTATATTTTATCTATTAATTTATAAATATGTTTTTTTTTAATAATTTTCAAAGTTTAGAGGAAAATTTTTTTCTAAAATGTTTTATAGATAAAATAATGTTTTAGTGTTCATTCTAATTTAAATCAAAATAATCTTTAAATTAACAAATTTTCTTTTCTGCTATCAAAATTACAAGCAAATTATGGAGTTTATCAACCAATTTTGTCTCAAAAAATATTTTGAAAAACTAAAAATTAAAAATTTATAAAAAATTAAATTTATTTAATTGATTAAAAGTTAATAATACCTAGATTCTCATTAATTATCACCAACTTACCCTCCTGCCTTTTTAAGATAAAAATTATGAAAATAATGAAATTAATTTTTTTTATTAGGAGGGTACTTGTTCAGGTATTGAATTCGCATACTATATTAAATAATAAATAAATTGGCTTAATAAATCAGCAAAGTTGATTAAAGAATTTTAACTTTAATTTAAAATAAAAATTTTAAGCAAATTTAAATTATTAAAAATAGAATTATTTAGTAATTCATTGTGAAAATTAAAAAAATAAATTTTAAATATCAATTGCATTTTTAATACAAGTATTAAAACTATTTCAATTAAAAGTTATAATAGGAAAATAATTATTGTTTAAAATGATGAATTTATTTAAATTTAATAAAATATAAACTTTATTCTAAGATTTTGTCTTATCAATATTGTGAATGGAAAGGATGATAATTTTATCAAAAAATAATTAAAAAAATAAGATTACTAAAACCCTAATTTACATAAATTTTAGTGTAAACTGGCAGAAAATTTGATTCAATTGATTACATTTGTAAACTAAAAAATTTCAAGAAACAAAATCAATAATTAGTAGAGTTAAATAAACAAATAAATGTTTTTTTAGAAAGCTGACATATTCGCTTCAATCTTCTAGTTTAATATAGGGGGAAAATAAAAAAGCAAAAAAACAAATTTTGGTGGCTTGTTATCTATTTTAGTGGTAGGAATCATTTTAGCTTATTTTATATATTTAGTAAAATAATATTTGAGTAATTAAATTCAACCAAAGTACAGATCTTAGAGTTTTGTGACTCAGGAAGATATTGACGTGGATTTAAATGATGAACTGGTAGCTTTTAGATATGAACATTTAGTGAATGTCAGCTTAGACACTCTGTAATAATAACAAAACAAAACATATTTGGTATTTATACCTTTTTTTGAGTATGTAAATTATACAACTGTGAATATAGTACCTTTAAATATGAAAGAATGCACAAACCCATAACTAAAAGGTTATCATTGTTTAGATGTCTCTTAATTATCTAACAAAACTTTATCTCTGAAAAATATGAATACAATTTTTACTAGAATTAATATTTTAGTTTATAGATGCCAAGATTAAGATTATGCAAAAACTACTATTCCAGATAATTGTGCAAGCTCTAAGGAAATTGAAGATATATTAAATAGCCCTTATGCTGCACTTAAATTTAAGTTTTATACATCACAGTATAATTTAACTTCTCAAAAGATTTAAGTAAATTACAGAAGTGTTAACTTTCATTTAACAAGTTCACAAGTCACTCAAAGTTATATAAAGGCTTAAAAATAAACAACTTCAGTATTTTAAGGTTTTTTTATTTAAGACAAGACATCTTTTTCTTCTCCTATTTAATATGATGTGCTAAATACAAATTTCGATAGATCTTAAGTTATTAAAAGCAAAGGCACCACATTGCTATTAATAGCTACACTACTATTAGATGAGATAGAGGAATATATTTAAATTTAATATTTTACTTTTGCAGAAATCTTAGCTATGTGTAACAGTATATTGGCTGTTTTACTGTGGGTTGGACTCATAGCAAAGAACTATTCTTCTTACCTAATAAATTAAGAATTTTTATTACTTTTCTTGTAGAATCTATATTAAGGGACATATCAAAATATCTTGATAAAAAGTAAGCTGCTTAAAGATGAGTAAGAAAGTAGCTTATTTAATTAACAACAAATTTAAAAAGAAAATGCCTAAACAGAAACAGATAAAGTTCAAGATGAATGTGAAAATGAAGATGTTGAAAATAATTTGCCTATTGCTGTTCCAAATTTAGATAGCTGCTATTCAGATTCATCAAAATTATTTTAAATGCTTAAACTCAAACCTAATTTAAATTAAAATTCCTCTTCAGAATTTTAACTTTAAAAAATTAACTAAATATTGAGTATCTCTAATCCTACTTCTCCATAATAAATAAATTAAAAAAGTGATTATTTTAGAGAAAAAGAACAATTTGAGATTAATTCTTCTATTTAGAATAATTTTTTCCCCAAAAATGATTTTTAATATGGTTTTCATGAAGGAGTTTTAAATAAAAACAAAACTTTTAATAAATCTAACTTTAATTTTTCTCAGGATTAAATGATTTAAGCATAAAAAAAAAATTAATCTTAGATTGACAATAAGCTTCAACTAAATAGTTAATAAAATGTTAATGATTTTAAATTGAAAACAGAATAAGTAGCAATTTAGTAAAATAATTTTAAAGGAATTTTAGCTTAATCAATTCCTAACAAAATGAATAAAATTATAAAAGGTGTAAAGTAAATAAAAATTCTAATTTACATTTTTTTATATAATATATTAAAAATAGTTTAAAATATTAAAACTATTTATTTATTTTATTAAAAGTTGCTTAAGAAGAGATTAACTTTTGACATCTAAATATATGGAAAAAGAAGTTAAAAATGAAATTGAAGAATAAATTGTCAAAGGGACTGATATATTTTAGCACCTAAAAGATATTTTATTCTTAAAGAAAGCCATAATGATCCTTTTAACCAAAGAACAATTAGCTATGATTTAATTTGTGGGATTTTCATCAAGTAAATCAATTAGTTCCCTTTAAATAAAAAATATTTGTTTCAAATATTATTGATAATAATAACTTACTCTTAAAAAAGATAAGAACAGCAACTTAGGGTATTTTGAAGAACAATTTAAAATATATAATTCAGAGGATTTATAAATAAAATTAATAAACAAATTTAAATTGAAGTGTTAGCTAAATGAGTCCCTCAGTACAGTTGATTAAAGAATTAAATCTTCTTTAAGTGTCAATTTAAATATTTGATTTATTATTTACTTTTTTTTATTATAATAAAATAAAATAAATTTTTTATTGGTTTATTTTTTTATATGAGTATTCATTAAAATTTCTGATTAAATTATTAATTTTGTAATAAATAATTTTATATAAAAAAATACATATTTAATATAGTAATCAGAATTTATTGAGTTTAAAGGCAGGCTAGTTTAGCATCTAAAATTTTTTTTTACATATTAACCAATCTTTCTCATTGTTTAAAATAACTTTTTATAATTTTTAATAAAAGAGAATATAAGGTATTTGAAGAATAATATTTTTATAAATTTAAAATAGTTTTTATATCAAATAAAAAAATTATTAACAGCATGAATTTAACTTAATCATTTTTAAAGCTTTTTAAACAGTAAAAGACTACTCTTGAATGCAAAATAAAAAAATTTTCTCACTAAAGATAAAAATATGGTGAAATTTAAATGTGTGTGTCAATTTATCTCCTATATTTTTAACTGTATTTTTGTTTTTATTTAAATATTATTTTTATTATTTTAGATAAATATTTTAATAATATATTCGTTTTTAAAAATTTTTTTATTTTTATTTGATATGGAAAAAAATAAAATAAATAAAGTTTAAAAATAGAGATAATAAATACTATGTAAAATGAAGGTAAATAATATAAGAAAAATATTGAAGTAGAATTTTTTATACTTAAAATAAATTTTATATAAATAAGAAGGATTATATTAAGTTTTTAGGTGATAAATATACTGTCTGTCTATTTTATATTTGATAACATTCCTAGAAATTTACTATTAATTTATCAGTAATATTAGCTTGATTCTTATATTTTTTTGGGTTAATATGATTTATAAATTTGTTAAAAGTAATTATGGTACTTTTCTTCTAAATCTGTTAAATTGCCAGCAGATAGATTTAAATCATTCACTCTTCCATTATCTATACCATAAATCCATCCATGGATGTACAGGGATTAGCCGTTATCCCAAGCATTTTAAATGATTGTAGAATTACCTAAGTTAAATACTTATTCTACAACATTAATTTCGCATAACTTATCAGTAATCTAATTCTCATTAAACGATTTCAAATAATTTTTGTGTTTGAAGTAAAGATCTCTAATATGCAATATCCAATTGTTGATTAAACCTAATTTTGGATTTATGATTGCTGCATTGACACCACCACAGCCATAATGTCCACAAATAATAATGTGCTTAACTTTTAGTACATCTACTGCAAATTGAACGACTGAAAGACAATTCAAATCTGTATGCACAACTTGATTAGCAACATTTCTATGGACAAATAACTCGCCTGGATATGTTCCGGTTAATCTCTCAGCTGGGACTCTGGAATCAGAGCAACCTATCCATAAATATTTTGGGTGTTAAGCTTTTGCTAATTGAGTAAAATACTCAGGATCTTCGACTTTGATTTTTTCTGACCAATTAATGTTGTTTTAAATGAGACGATCTATATCTTTATACCTTAAAGCTTGCTATGAGCTCAAAGATGCTTTAAATGTTGAGGATAAGAGTTTTCTTAAAGCCATTTGATTTAGCTAACTTCCTTATTCTAATTTTAATAATGTCTAATTATTATTTTATTTCTTAATAATTATTATTTAGGATATAATTTTTGATAAGTATTTAATGTATCTTTGAGCTCAAAAAAGATTAAAAAAGGAATAAATAATATCTAGATTAAATTTTTTACAGTTAAGCTTACGTAATTAAGTCAAATTTGCTCTTTTTTTTAGAAAAGTATCAAAAAGTGATTACAATTATTTGAGTAAACATAAATTATATCGATTGATTTTATTTCTATTTTATACTTTTAGAATTAATTCTAATCATTTTGGATATTTGCGCCAGCAATTAAAAAATATACTCACTATCTTAAATGGTGATATTTTAATCTTTATTTATCTTGATTTAAGTTTATAGTTTTAGAACTTTTCTCTTAAAATTGCTCAATTTTATCTGTCAAATATTATTTCATTTCTAGTAAAATATTCTTTTAATATGACAACATTAGCACACAAAAAAAAATCAATAAAAATATAAATTTTTAAAAGGTAAGCTTATTAATCAATATTTAAGTTTTGAATTATTGGTTACTAATAATCTTTAATAAATGTTTGTTATAGTTTAACTCAATTACATTAGTTAATGTAATTTAAATTCTTAGTATTTTAAAATATTAATGAATACATTTACTGAAGACGATATAAATAATTACATTAAATTATATTCTATTTTTATCATTTTTTTTTAGAAACAATTAAAATCTCAAATTATCTATCATACATACAGAGAAAAAGAAATATATAAATCATAATTGTTACAGAATTTTAATTGATTTAAAAATACAATCTAAAATTAACAACTAAATGTTCACACTGTATCAATCAAATTATAAAGCTAACAAAATTATTTTGAGATTTAATAACCAATTTTTCTTTATACATACAATAAAATATAGAGTATACTATTGAAATATAATATAAATTGTTGTAAAAAAGATATGTTTTATGATTGATTTTATTTATTTCATATGTTCTAAGTTTTTTATTTTTATTTTTTTGAAATCCTTTTATTTGAATTTAAGTTAACATTTAAAATTTTTAGCAAAATGTTTTTGTTTTTTTAATGTTTGCAATATATTTATTTGTAAATATGGGTCAGTTAAGTAAAAAATATTTCTAAAATTTTAGAATAATTGTAATAAACTTTTATTTATTTATTTAAGATATATATTTTATAATAAAATGATGAAAAAAGACAACAAGCTTTTCAATTATTTTGGTTAAAAATAATATTTCAAAATCTAACAAATTTTAGATTTAAATATGTCAAAAACTTTTTATTTTTTAAATTAACATTATTCGTTAGACAGCTTCATTAATTTTTTTTCAAATTAATAGTATTTTTTCTAATATATAATTTTTATAAAACTAATTAATTTAATACCATACTTAATATTTAAACAATTTTTATTTTGGATTAAAATAATTATTATTTCTATTTAAAAAAAAATAAGATTTTTATCAATTTTCAAAAACTAACACTAAATAATTACCTAAATTTCTTTTTATTAAATATTAATTTCCATAGCGTGCACTAACTTAATTTTTTTTCCCATTCTTTTTAACCAATTTTTATCAACTTAATTTTTTTTTCAGATTGAATTAGCTCAATAAATTAATTAAATCTTCATATTTTTAAGTAATTCTTAAAAAAAATTTTATTTTAATTCTTCTTTGTTTCTTTGTAAATTTTATTAAATTCTTAAAAAAAAAAGAAAATAAAATAATAAAATGTTTTGAAATTCGAAAATATCGTAAAGATAAAGAATAAATATGAATAAATAACAAATTAACTTTATTAAATATCATTCCACTATATTTAGATAGATTGCTGGCCAAGAATATTTATCTGCTTTTATGTATGAGCAAATTTAATATTTAGAATGAATTATAAAGACTGAGATACATACATACAGTACATATCCTGAGACAGTTTATTTCATGTAAAATAAAATCAGAATAAATAATTTGAATTAATAAATGAATACCAAAAACAAAACCAACCGTCCAAAGTTTTAGTAATTAATAAGCAAATAAATAAAGTTATAAATAATAAATTAAAGATTAATAGCAAGTATCAAACAAGAATTATTGTTTTTAAATAAAACTTATATCCAACAATAAAAGAAGCACAATTTATTAAAATGAATAGATCAGTAAGCAATTTAATCAAGCATAAAATTGAAAGCTAATTTGTTATGCTTTCTTATGATTAATAAAACTAGATTAATCGCTCATTTTTTAAACATTTTTTGCTTTATATTAAAAGGGCCTTTCTCCAAATGGATCAACCAAATACGATTCTTACCAAAAAGATGTTCTTATATCTACTCTTTAAGCTTAAATTTTTGAAATGAGATAAAACGAAAAGGACTTCCAAGAACTTAATCATCATCTTAAGAATCTTGAGCACAGATATAACATTCTTTCTGAAGAAAAGGTAATCAATTTTTACTTAAAAATAAAAATTTATACTTATTTGCTCTATCAATCTTTTTTCTAAATCAATAAAACTTTTAGAAACTAGTCAAATGATTTAAAATCCTTATTTAATTTAATACAATAAAGTCTAGAAACGAAATAGATGCTAGAAATAAGCAGGCTGCTCAAGCAAAAACCATCTCTATTTACAAGAATGATATCGAAACTCTAAAATAAAGTTTAACTGAGAAGCACATAGAACTTTAAGAATTGCGTGCTGAAAATATGGCAGTTAAGGAAATATCAGACAGACGCTAATTAGATATTCAAAGGTTAAAAAATGAATTATAACACACCTCTGACTCTTTACAAAGAGTGAACAATGAAAGAAATATTCTTGAGCAAGAACTTTCTTATTAAAAAGACGAAAATAGAAAGCTTCGCAGTGAAAAAGATTAGATCTCAAACACCTGCGAAACTCTCATTTAGAAAAATGCCCAACAAGAAAAATTAATAGCAGAGTTAGATCAAGACAGAGAACTTCAAGAGCAAGAAAGAGTAAAGCTCTTCTCTCAAATAGATTAAGTAACATGAAGAGAAAATTTTAAAATTATTTATCTCTTTGTTTTGTAAAATATCATCAAAAAAGAAATTAATTAATAAATAAATAAATTTATTAATAAAGATTAATGAGTGAAAGATTCTATCAAAGCAAAGAGAATTTTATTGGATATTTTTAGTAAATATTTTATTTAAATAAAAAAGCTTTAAGTTGAATTGCAAAACGTTTAAGAAAGTGTTAGATTCAATAACTTACAAATAAATGATAAAGATTCATAGATCAATCAACTTTAAAATGAAGTTCAAGAATTATAAAGTATCCGCGAAAGATTAAGATCTGACAACAATAATTTATAGAGAAATTTATAAAATGAAAACTCAAAGGGTCTTGAATATATTTCTAAAATTTCTGCTCTTGAATCTTCTTTGAAGTAATCAATTTATCTATCTAGCAATTTTAATAATATTAACCTCTCTATAACAAATAGAACCAAAGAATAATTTATTGATGAATTGAAGAGAGATCTTGATAAGCTCAATTTACTCTACTCTGAAAGAAACGAAAATGTTGATGCTTTGCAATTAGAGTTAGAAACATATAAAAGAAGCTACGAGGGATTAGTTCTCCAAAATTAAAAGGTAAAAATCAGCTATCAAATGCTCATAATTTGTTTTATATTATTATCTAAAAATTGAATCTTATAGAAATTAATTATAAATATATTTTTTTAAAACATAAAGGTTATTTAAGAAATGGAAAGCTTCTAAGATCAAGATGAAAGAGTAAGATCCATTTTAAATAGAAGAAGTATTGTTAGGGATTTAAGATAAAAGCATGATAATTTTATTAGATAAAGCTAAAATGATGCAAGCTATGGCAGAAATGCTCTATCTCCTACACTTTAAGGCTCTAAAGTTAATGATGCATACTGAGAAATATAAAACAAAAGATAATTTATTACTTAATTGTATTAAAATACCTACATATTTTATAAAAATATTTTAACTTATTAATACTTCTAAATTAATAAATAATATTTTTTAGAATTTTTTCTCAAAATAAAAATAGAATTTTAATTAAAAAATATCTAATGTTTTTTATTATAAAATTCTAATAAAGTAAAAACTTTACTTATTTTTAAAAAAATTAATCAATTATATTAATTACACTTCTAGGCGTAAAAGATTAACATGAATTTTTTTATTTTAGATGAAACAAATAAGATAATTAATTAGTTATCAAAATTAGCTTTTAATTTATTTAAGTGCATTAATATTTCAAGTTAAACACCTAGCTTAATGAAAAAGAAATTGATTTACTTTTATTTTTTTTGCTAAATTTTTTTGATAATTTAATTTCTTTTTTAAATTAAAATTATTTACTATTTAAAATTCTTTTTAGTATATTTTTCTGGAATTTTGTTTAAAATTTCATTAATATCTTAAATATTTTATCTTAAAAATTAACTCAAAAATAACTGATATTATTTAGAATGCTGAATTCAGGTATTCATTCTCATAAAAAATAAACATTACAATTAAAAAATTTTTAATATCTTATTTTTTTTTGAAAGAAAGCGCTTTCTTTTAATAAATTACTTTTAATGTTTAAAATTTGATTTTAAAATAAAAATTTAATCTTATATGTAATATGGACTCTAAAAACTTTAATTTGTCAATTATTTGTGATAATTAATACCTTATATTAAGAATTATCTTTAATCTTGAAAAAAATCCTTAGTTACAACTTGAGATTAGAATAACAACACACCTTATGGTGTTAAAAAATTTATCAGTAATATTTTGATATTCATATATATATAACATATACTTTTACATAAAGTTAACTTGTTTTAAGAATTTATTCAATACTTGTAGCATTTATCAATTAATTTGAATTCAAACATCTTGAAGAATTATCTTGAGTAACTCTTGCAAGCTGCAATTTAGTTAGGACCAGTGTAAAGAGAGCAAACATATCCGACTAAATCGTATTGGGCTTATTATTAGATATCGTCAGTGTGTTAACCATTAACAACAATCCATGGTACGTATTTATGAGCGGGATTAAGAGCATCAGTAGCTTAACCTGCATTCAAAAGTAATTACTTACCTTCATTTCCAGTTTAACAAGCTTAGACGTTGGCTTGGTCGGCAGCAGGGATGTTCATATTCTTGTAACAAAGTTAAGAAACTTTATCGAAGTTTTCGTTATTAGCTTCAATAGCATTTTCGACGCAAGTAATAAATTCAAGGCTCTTAGCTGATTCAATGTGAGCAATAGCACAAGCTTCTAAGATATTACCATAACATTCGTTTGTACCATGTTGACAAGTTACTTATTTAGTAGAACTAGTCTTAGCATTACCATAAGGGAACAATCTAATGTTAGCGATGGTTTCAAAACCTTCAACGTGGATAGCAGGAGTCAACTCTGTTTCGATAAAGTTTTGGCATCCAGGACATAAAGATTCGTAATACAAATCAACTACAACTCTGTCATCAGCATAAGATGACAAAACAAGCAATGCAGCTAAGAAAATGTAAATTTTGTTCATTTCTTTATCTCTTTGAAGATTATATTTATTAATTTAATTATTTTTTAATTATAATTTTTGGTAAAGAAACAAAAAACATATAAATATCAGTACTTTTTGTAAATCTTGACAAAAAATTACGTTTAGAGACAAACTTCTATCTTAATCACTACTTTTAACTAGTAACAAACACATTATAAGATGTAATTAAAGAAATGTTTAATCAACTTGTCAAATATTATTTAATCATTATGAAATATTAATCAAGAGCCATAGATCTAAAAATTCTTTTACATTTTTAAATAATAGATGCAATATCTTTTATAAAGATTTCTATTTCTCCACACAAAATATACTTATTACATTTTAAAATTTAATAAAAGATGTAAAAGATTTATATTGTTTTTTATTTTCAAATCCTATAATCTATTTTTCTAACCACATAAGTTTGTGCTGATAAACAGAAAAACATTTTTTTGAGTATTTTTATTAAATGCTTAAACCATTTATAAAGGAAATTTCAGTGAATTTATTTAAATTTTATATCATTAAAAACTATTTAAGATCAATTTTTAAAATTTTTTTGTTTAATAAATCAAATATTTTTACTTTAGTGTCTAGAGATTCATAATCTATTCAAAATTTTTGATTTCTTTCAAAATATTTATTTAATTAAATACAATTTTTCTCCATAATATTTCTTGATAAACTAAAGTAAACCATTTTTTATAGATGAGTATATTTATTTGTATTTTAATTTTAAATGTATTGAATTTTTTAGAGTATCTTTTATTTTCCTTAATTTACAAAATAGTACATCATTTTGAAATTAATTAAATCAAATAAATGTCATTTTAATTTCAATAAAAAGAACAACACCAACTAAAAACAAAAAAGTATTTATAAAAAATAAATTATATTTTGTAATGATTTTTTTAGAATGGAAATTGAATTAATTTTTTTGATCCTTCATAACTACAAAAAAGAATAATTAATAGTAATAGTTTAGTATAATATTTAATATCTTACATATGAACTAAAAAAGTTATGTTTATAGTAAATTTTTAATTATATGCTTTTAAATTTTATTTAAATTTAGATAGAGAAAATGAATCTTTTATTAAAGATACTGTATATTAATAAATCATAACTATTGCTATTATATTAAATTAAATTAAATTCAATTAGAATTAAAATATACACAGTTTTAGTTTTAGATGGGAAAGTAAAAGCAATAAGCAGAAGTCAGTCAAAAGAAAACAAAAAAAGAGTTGGAAGAAGAGGAAGAGGAAAAAAAATACAAAGAAGAACTTGAATTAGAAGAGATAGAAGAAAAGGAAAAAGAAAAATAGGAAAAAGAGAAGAAAAAGAGAGAGAAAGAGTTGAAATGGACTATTGAGCAGGAATATTTTGATGTTGGTTTATTAGAATGGGATGAGTTTTATATTCCCTTTGATAAATATAGAAAAATGTACGAAAACAGTGATTCTAAGAATATTGTTGAGACTTTAAGAAAAGATATTGAAAAAATAGAGTTATTTATAAACTATAAGGCAAATGATATTTATGAGAAATGGGTATCAGTTAAAGATTAGCAAAAAGACACTGATGAAAATACATTAGCAGTTAAGAATGAAATAGAATGCTTAAGAGCTTATTATTAGTATCATCTGGTATTATTTGAAAAGTTCTTTAAAAGAGAAATGGAAGATATTTATAATAATTTATTACCCAAGATGTAAAGTTATTTCATAAATCATTTTCAATTTTTAAAATAGACTGTTTTAAAAATTTAATTATAAGTAATAACATGATAAAAAATGAAGGAGAAAAAATTTTAAATTTAGAAGACAGCTTTAAGTCTACAACGAAAGCAACTAATCGTATTACCTCTTTAACCACTTAACAAGTTGAAGAGTATACTGAAAACGAAGAGTATCTAAGGGAGAGAGAAAAGTATGTTTTAAAACAGGATATTCTTGTTTAGGAAAATAAAAGATACTTTACTTTACAGATAGGATTTGTTTTCTTGATACCCGTTTTGTTAAATTATAGTATTAGTATTTAATCTATTTAATTTGAAAACATGCATTTTTACAGAGCCTTCTTCTAATTAACTTTGTAATTAAACTTTTTAATAAAGATTTAATTTTAATCAAATTTTTAGATATTATAAGAATTTATTAATTTTTTAAAGCAATTTATTCATTTTATAAATTAACATTTAGGTATACTTGCTGCTTTTCAGTATGTCTATGGATTTGGTCAAAATGCAAAATAAACTACAAGGTTATATTTGAAACTCCTTATTAAAAGGAAAATCCTGTTTTTTGGAATAGTATTTTCAATATTATTTTAATGGTTGGTTGTTTATTTACTATTTTTGATTCAACTTTTTTGGATTCACCAAGTGTTAGACAGTATTGTTTGATCTTGTTATTTTTGCAACTATATCTTGGGTACAAATTTATTTTTACCAAAGCATTGAGAGTCATTTTAGATCCTTTTAAATTTTTAGTGGAATTTAAATCAACTTTTTTTACTGATCAACTCTGTTCTGTTACTCTTTTGCTGTAGGATATTGATTTCTTTATATGCTATGAATATTTACAAAGATCAACTGATTATTGTAAGTTTAATATTATAAGATTTTCTCTTAAGCAATTCTTTTTAAAAAAATAGGTTTGGATAAAAAAATATTGCATAAAGGATTTTTAATAGCCGCTATTCCTCTCTTTTGGAGATTAATTTAATCATTTTTAATGATTTTCACTACACATAAGAGCTTCCCATTCTTACAGAGACCAGGATTCTATAACACAATAAAGTTTATTAGCAATTTATACACAGTTTACTGTAATTATAACAGACAATTCGATAGCTACTATTAACAGCAATGGCAATATGCTATCATTGTTTCTTCATCTTTGAATTATTTATGGGATGTATACTAAGATTGGGGACTGTTGAGACCTTAGTATTTCTTTTTGAGAGAAAAAATGCTTTTCAAAAATCAAATGTACTATGTTTTGGCAATTATAGTAAATTTATGTCTAAGATTTTCATGGATAGTGGCAAACGATATAAGTTTAAAAAGAATGTTTTACATTACTTATTTAAATCCTTTTGAATAAGTTGCTCTATTTGCTGCTTTAGAAATTGTTAGAAGGAATATTTGGAATCTTTTTATTCTTGAAAAACTGTAAATTGACTTAAATAATAACTATAGAGTAGTTTAAAGCTTGAAAGAAGTGACTAAAAACTTAGAAAATGCACAGAACTCGAAAGATCCAGACGTCAAAAAAATCTTAAAAAATTACAATTTATTAACAAAAAAAGTTGCTTTACAAGAAGTAATAGAAATATCTAATGATCTAAAACAAAGTTATAAGCAGCTATCTAAAAAAACTAGAGTAAAATAAGAATGATAAAATAAAAAAAGTTAGGTTATTTTTAAAAATTTTATTTTACTTATCTAGCATAAAAGATTAAATATGTTCTATTTAAAAAATATATATTTAGAAATGTTTTAAAATATATTTTATTATTTTTAAATTACAATTTGTATTTATTGTGATATTAGTTTTATAAATTATTCAGCTAGCTTAAAATTAAAAAAATGAAAATAAATAAATAAATTGACTTCATGTTTCACAAAACTCCTACTAAATTTCATTACTGATCGTATAAAATAAAAAAATTCTAAATAACATCTTATTATTAATTAAATAAAATAGATACATCTTAAAAAGTATTCCTTTCTTTAATAAATCCCTATTTAACATTTTTTCAAAAAGTAACTTTAAAAAAATAAATTTAAAAAGAGGTTTTGATAGATTTTACTGGGTTATTAAAAATAATTTTTATTATTTAAATGAATTATTTAAATTTTGATTAATTTGTTCTAGCCAATTTTTTATCTTTTTTACTGGTTTTTAAGACTTGTTTGTATTAAACTATGAATCTGATATTTATTGGATTATTAATTACTATTCTATGATAGAAAATCTAACTCTAAATAACATGTGACTTTTTTATGATTTTTATAGGCTCGATTTTATGATTGATTGATTGATTTCATATTTTTAATTTTAAGATAAGTTAAATTCTGTTTTTATTGGGTTTCAAAATAATTTGTAAATTTTTAATTTAAACTAAAAATATTAATAAGAAAGTTATAGCTAAAAATTTAATCATTAGAACACTCCATAAAATGAAAAAATGGATAGAAAAAGGAAAGTAATTCCTAAAAAAGCTTGAAGAAGATCATGATAAAAAGAAAAAAGAGGCAAAATAGAATTAGGATAAGTAACAAAGCGAAGAAGAAAAGAAAGAGTCCATGATGTCAAAATCATTAGATGACGATAAGATGTATAAATTAGGGTAGTTATTGCTAAATCCAACTCCTTTAGAAGATAATAACAAATTTAAATTGCAGAATTCAGCATTTTTTAGACAGCAAATTAACTATATTTCTCTTTGCGAGTAGCTAAGAAAAAATAATCACGAGATCGATTTCTAATCATAAGGATTTTAGTAGCTGCTGAAATAAATTTACAATCAAGATCAAGAGTATTAGGCACCAATAATTGAGCAAAATCCACTTTTTTTGATAGGAGTAGTTGGTTTTCATCACAAAAAAGGTTCAGTAGTAGAGTTTTTCCATCCTTCAAATATGAATGATTTAAATTAAGAATAGCAATAGTATATTTTGGATTCTTTACCAAACTATTGTATGCCAGATGCTATTCACAATAAAAATGAAGATTACGTTTACTTCACTCTTACAATAAAGCTAAATAGCAATGAATACACTCTAAATAATTAAAATGAGCAAAGTTAAAATTTAGTTTAAACTACAAAGTAAGTTACACTGTTTGGTGTTTCATATTTTAAATAAATAAAGGTAATTTGCATTCAATTTATATTTAAAATTTGTTACTTTTTTAGAAGAGTATTTTGGTTTTTTAATTATAATAAATCCCATTTTCAAACGATGCAGAAAAAAAAAAAATTTTATAATTTTTGTTTAAAGTTTTTGATAAATTTATTTGATGTAAGCACAGCAAAAATAGATTATTTTAAATCATTCAGAATCAAATCTTTGAAAAAGGGAAATTAGATGATAAAAATGCTTCAAAAATTAAAAGACTTCCAAAAATATTTAAAATAATTTAGGTTAATGAAAAGATGAGATAAATGGATAAAGAATTAACAAGAAGTCATTTGCAAAAATCTTTATTTGTATTGAGCACTGTACCTTTACAAGGCTATATTATGGGTAGACTTGAGCCTACCACTAAGGCCTACTTTGATTAAGAAAATATAACAGACTATGAAATACTCAAATGTGCTTATGATAATATGAATTTAACTCTTAAAAATAATTAAAATATTTAAGAAAGTGAGATATATATTGGCACCTCATTAAAGACTATGATTCACTTCTTTAAAGAAAAGACTTTAGTTATTTTAAAAGCTTTATTACTTTAAAAAAAAATTTTGGTTTACTCACTGCACAGCTGCTCTACCAGTAATTTTGTAATGAGTTTGATTAGCTTAATACCCGGTCTTTCATTTTTCAAGTTCAAAAGTAAATATATAGATATAATATAAAGTGCTCTTGGTGAGTATGGATTACCTTTAAGAGTTTTTAATGAGCAAGACTGTCCTTTGGAATTATACTTTACGATCTAATAATTAGATAATATGGATAAATATAAAGGTTACCTTATAGGTACTACAAACTAGTTAATAAGGTCTCATAAAAAAACTGGAGCTGATTTAATAGTTGATTTGGATACAAACTAACTCATCATCTAAAATGAAGCTATAAAGACATCTCTTTAACTAAATTCTGAAGAAAAAAAATTTATGGAAGGTATCACTAAAACAGTCAATAAAGTAGTTAGTGAAAGTGATAAAAACTGGAAAAATATGGAATACAGTTAAAACGATAGCTCATTTATTGGTAGTAATGATTGGATTAGATAACAGTTCACTAAATACATCATAGATTTGCTTTGTGAGATAGAACTTGTAAAAAAAAGGTAATAATATAATTTACTATCAAAACAATATCAAATAGATTAATAATTTAATTGATTAATTTACCTCACTAAAATAAAAAAAGATAAACTTTTTTTAATTTGATGACTGTATAAGATATTTTTTTATAATTAATTTCTAATTATTGCTCATTAAAAAAATGTCATGTTGATAAATTATTTCAAAAATAAAATAAGATTAAAATAAATAATTTTTAATTAATTATTTTGAAAATAAATTTATTGGAGAATATTAACTCTTCTTTTTCTAAATTAAAATACACTTTTTATTTAATATTAGGTATAGAGATTTCTAAGATGAAATATCAAATAGACTAAAAAGAAAATCAAGCTTAGGAAAAAAAGATGATGCAAGAATTAACCAAAAGTTAGATAAATTAGAGAATAACTTAAGTCACAGAAAAGTAAATTTAAAGATTAGATTACATTTTTAGTTAATTTATTACAAATAAATAGGAAAAAGATGAATTTTAAATAGAATCAGGTAATCAAGATCATTAAATTCAATAATCTTAGTCAACTACTGCTTCAACTATTTCAGATTTAGATAGTAAATAAGAAATTACTTAAAAAAGGAAAGTCAGTAATCTCTCAGAAAAAAGCTAAAACAGCAATGATGAAGAAATAATAAATGAGTTATTTGATGATTTTTTAAATTTTGACTCTGATGAAGAAGAATAGTAAGCAAGTTACGGTCAGCAATCAAATAAATATGCTAAATTTAATTAGCTTGATGGAGACACTCTATTAGCTTTTAACATAGATTCAGAAGTATCCAAAACAGAAAAAATTTTTAAGCAAAAGAAAAAACAGTTGAAAATTAGTTATGCAACTTTAAAGAAATACAATTTTAAATTTTTGAAAGAATTCTTTCTAACTGAAAATTATAAGTACTGGTTACTTCATCACGATGATTAAATATATTTACGTAGTATCAATTGTTCAGAGTTGACTTAAAGGTCTTGCATTACTCTTGAAAGTGGCTAAATATTCTTTGGTTCAATGTAAAATGGGGAAAGAAACGGAAAAGGTTTTTTGAAATTTTGATCTTAGAAGTAAATTTTTATTTTATAATAAATATAAAAATAGGTACAACATTTGATTAGATTTAAGGAAAGATTGAGCAATGTGAAAATTATGAAAATGATATGAAAAATGGAAAAACTACAATTGTAACCTTAAAAAACGACTATTACTTTGAAGGAGATTTTATTGATGATTAGAAGCAAGGTTTTGGAAACTTAGTCACAGATAAATTGAAATATTGTGGTTCTTTTAATTTAGACAAGTTTAATGGTTAAGGAACTTTAGTAGATAAAGATTAAAGCTTATATGAAGGAGAGTTCTAAAATAACATGAAAAATGGAATGGGCAAATATAGAAGTGGAGATAGCTCTATCAATTACGTTGGTTAATTTATTGACGATCTTTTTTCTGATAAAGGTTAGCTTGTGAAATCTAATGGTGATGTTTACTGTGGAGATTTTAAAAAAGGGTAAATGCATGGTCAAGGTGAATATTAAAGTGAAGGTTATTCATATACTGGAGAATTCTTGCATAACAAATTTAATGGCTAAGGATTTTATAAAGACCTAAAAACAAATAACATTTATTAAGGAGAGTTTGTTGAAAATCAGCTTGATCCTGAACAATAACATATCATTAAATATCATAATGGAGATGTCTACAGTGGATTTATTAAAGATTGGTAACCTAATGGAGAAGGACTTATTTGTTACAAAGATGGAAAAATAGTAAAAGGAATTTTCGAAAGTGGAATAATAAAATAATAATTTGAGTGAAATAAAAAAAAATAGTCAAAATAATACAAAATCAAGTTTATTTAAATTAAATTTTCAATTATTTATCTTGTTTATTGATTAAATTAAATATTTAATATAAAATAAATCCAAGGGAATATTTTGTAATTGAGTAAGTAGATTTTTGATTTTGGAATTTAAATTCATCAGTTGTAGTAAAATAATAATCAAACATAATATTTTTAAAATATCTTATCTTATAGAAAAAGGTTTTTATTATTAAATTTACAGATATTTAATTACTTTATAAATTCAACAGGCTATCATTTAAATTTGATTTTTTCTTTGGTTAAAACTTTTAATAATATTTTACTTTAAAAAGCATCTAGCTTTCAAGAAAAATATATTTTTATAGAATTAATTGATTTGGTAAGTTTCTTAAAGTTTTTTTTAAAAAGGATTATCAAACACTTAAAAGTTACCAACTGAATATTAGATAAACTAGCCTATTATTTACCTTAATATAAGTTGTATTAGGTTAGATTATTATATTTAATATAGATATTTTTAATGCAAAATTTATAGATTTTATTTAAAATAAAATAATTTGATACAAAGAATTTAAATATGAATAATAGGAATAACTTAAATTTAGTTTTTATATATTTTCTGTCATTAGTTTGTTAATTTGTTGATTCTTGCTAATTTGATTGATTTATTTATTGATTAATCATTCTTATTTTATATCTCCTAATAAATAGAATAAATAGATTCTTAAAAAAAATTTTTGTGAAAAAAGTAGAAAATATTACCTTTTTAATTAATGAAACTTATTTCGTCTGACTTTTTAGCATTACCACCTTCTTAAATGTATTAATGCTCATCATCTTATTCCATGTTTTACTCAAATGTATTAAGAGCATCTATTTTCATTTATCTTGTTGGGAAGAAAAGCTTTGATAAAAAATAGCCATTCAAACCATAACAGATAATGTTTTCAAATCCTGAAAAGTAGCTCAGTACTGATCTATTAAAAAAATTAATAATAATTATAATAAATGAATTGACTTTTAAAAGAATATTTATTTACTAGCCAGTATATCCTTTAATAAACAAGCAAAGAAAATGGTAAATAAGCTTTGTTAAAGTGATAATAGCAATTGAAACATTTTCTGATATTAGCTATTTTAAAATAAAATTTTTTATAATGTATTTTATTTATTTATTATTTAAAATCATTGTTTTTGCTAATTATCATGCATGTAAAATTAAGTTATTCGCAGTAACACTTGCTTATATTGGGCATCTTGTAACCGAAAAAACTGACACAATATAGAAAAATTTTTGAAATGTGTGATATATAATAATAGTACCCAAAATAGTTAGAAATTAGCCTTTTAAACTAAAAAATTTAACCCAACATATAGAGTGCTTACTAGTAAAATGTACCGAAACCTGAATGGTTGCACTATATTTCAAGTAGTTTCATGATTAATTCATTAATAATGAAGCTCGTATGAATAAAATTTGCCAAAATATATTATAAATTTAAAAATAAAATACCTTAATTTTGTACTTATGTGATATCATATATATCTTTTCAAGATTTTTCCTAATTTTGATAATACTTCCAACAAAGAAAATCCCTATTAAAAATACTATTCCTATTATTGTACAATGACTTAAGAATAAAAAGATTAAATTTTAGATTGATTGAGAAAATAATTTTATTTACTAAAAGTAATAATTAATTTCTACTAATGTTTTAAATATATCACTATTCGAATTATTATTATTTTTATCTGGCTCGTTATAAAGTGCTTGCATTGCAGAATCCATTAAAATTTTATAGATAAAAGCAAACACAAAAATTAAGCTTCCAAGCAAGATTTGCACAAGAATTAAGATATTAGATATATTAAAAATAATATTAAACCTATTTAATTTTTTAAATTCATGAGTAAGTGATTCTTTTAAAGATTAATTTACCAATAAATGCAAGCTAATACTATACTAAAACAAAAAAAGAAGAATAAAAAGTAGTAGAGTAGGTCTTAAGTAGATGCAAATTTGTAAAAATCTCCACCAATATATATTTTATCACAATCTTAATATTGACAACATAGTGAGTTATCATTTTTTTCTTTAAAATTGCTAATTTGTGAATAATTTGTGTAGAATAGTAATTCTATAATGATTAAAACTATTATTAATATTAAATGAAAAGTTAATGTAAAGAAAGCTTTCAAAAATCATTTACGTAGATGACAGGCTATCAGACATGAATGAATGTGTACAAATTTATTTAAGAAAATATTCTCCATATTTTATTTGCACCAAATAAATATCTAAATTAATCTGTAAATCAGCCATAATAAAACTACACCAAAAACGATTACTTATATCAAGCAAAATATATGAGCATAATAATTGGCTCCTTCTAAATCGCCATAAATTAATTTATATGTATCTTCATCAATACAAGCACCGTATTAATCCATACAAAGCTTATCTAATACAATATTAATATATTTGAAAACTAAATATCTAATATGATACTTTGCAATTAATATTAACTTTTTTTAAAAAATATTATTTGGATCTTAGTATTATTTGTTATTATTATTAAGTATAATTTGTTATCACTATAATTAATGGATATATTTATATTTTAATAAAAAAGTCAAACAATCGTCATTCAATCTTAAAATTTAATATGAATAAGTCATTATTAGAGTGCTAAATGAAATAAATCGTCAATTTTGATTTTTTATGTAATAAAAATTTAATCAATAAATTATCTTACATAAAGATATTTACTAATTAAAACATCATATGTTCTTGAGATGAGTTTATTCGTAAGATAATATTTTTCTTTCTTTTTTTTCAACTATTAATTGTAACAAATGTTCAAACGTATCAAAAAATAATTGACATATTTACTAATATTTATTAATTCTATTAATCTTTAAGTATTAGAAATGTTGAACACTAGTATATTGTTATAATCTTGTTTAAATTAATTTTATTGTTATTAATATGTAAATAAGAATTTATTTTCTCTTATAAATTTCATAGTTTTTTAAGAAAAAATATATTATCCTAGATCTTCAACTATAAACATCCATCCAGTAAAAATTAACTAACATCCATTTTCAAAAATAAGAAGGATTTTTGAATATTCTTGATGTTACAATATTAATTAAGAAAAAATATCAAATTTTTAATTTCTTTTAAAGAACCTAAAAAGTCACAAAAAATAAAGAGTTTGTTTACAAATAAAGGTTAATTAAAATAAAATATCTAATTAATAACCATGCTTACTTACCTCTTCAAAAGTTATAATACTTGGTAAATTATTTAAATAATTAATTAAATTCTTCACTTGGTATTTTGAGTAGATAATTAAAAAAGGGGTTTAAGAATTTTCAATATTTAAAGATTATTTTGTTTGATTTTATGTTTGATAACTCATTATTATTTATAATGTATTTCTTATTATTTTATTTAGTTTTTTGATTTTTGCTAAAAATTAAGGTATTATTTAATTATTTTTTAATTCTATTATACCACTTATAACTTTTAAATTTTAATAAAATAAATTTATTTTTTTTGAAGCTTAAAATCATTTCTTTGTTTAGCTGAATAAAAGATTTAAATATTTAAAAATTAATTAATAATAATTTAGTTATTTATAACCATGAAAATTATATATAGATGAATAATAAATAATTAGTATTTTATGGATTAAATTTAATGGATGAATTATTGATTAATTAATTTTTATTGATGAATTCAAACAAAATTCTTTTTATTAGTTTTTTTGAGCAATTAACTACTAATTTTGAATATAATCTTATAGATAGATGTGAAGTATTTCAATTTATTAAGATATTCAAATAAGTAAAATTTTATATATTATATTAAACACTAGTTTTTTATATTTTTAAAAATATTTTTTGCTTGAAAAAAACTTAAAATCTGATTTATAAGTGCATCAAATATTTTTGTAAAAAAAAAAAATGATTTAGCTACACTACATCATAAAATAGTATGAAATAAAAGTTAAGTTAAATCAATAAGTTAATTAATAATTAATACAATTTTTAGATCATCAATCGTTTACTAATGTAATATACTTTCTTGAGAAATAAGAATTATCATAATTTATATCAATAATTGATCATAAAACCCTTAATATCAAGATTAAATTGTAAATAACAAAGAGTAATTAATTATGTTTATTAAGAAGATTGAGGTTTACTATTTCTTGATAGTAAAATAAATTAAAAGCTGAGTGATTCTTAATATTTATAATAATATAGTAATTAAGGTAATATAATCAATAAGAAATGAAAGTAGATTTTGCAGATTAACCAACTAAAAGACTCAAAGAGAGTGACAAAAGTAAAAAAAACTATTTAAGTACCTACGAATTTTTGAAATTGAACTCAGACTTGGTTGAACATGATTAAGATGGTTTTAAAAATAACAATTACTATGCATCCATTTTGAAGGATTGTACTTTTAATTAGCAACAAAATAAGAATTAAAGCATTCCATAAAATATTCATACGTTATAAAGCCCTGTTTAGCCTTCTAATAACTACACTCTTAATTCACCAACAGAGATGCCTTTAAAATAATAATATAGCAATGAGAATTTAGGTGGAGACTATATATGTGAATCAAATAAAAATTTTTTTAGCAAATTACTTAATGTGATCGAATTTGAGAATATAGATAAACAAATGTTGTAGCCTTATTGGAGAAATAAGTTTTTATTAATTTTTATGCTAGTTTCTTTAATCATCGCAAATATTTTAAAATTGTTATTTAATGATGATGAATTTTTGGATAACTTATATTTAAGAGTATGCATCATTACACTTCTATCCTTATTTATGTTAATAAGTTTTATTATGTTTCATATTAAGGACTGCGGCGATAGCCCAATCCAAGATTTAAATAGAAGTAAATAGTAATGCTGTAATCAATAAGTTTTTCTGAGAAAAGCTATGCCTCAAACTATAATACTTTCAATGAGCATATTCCTCTTTTATTGCTACTCTAAATCTGTACAATAAAACATAATAAATATAAGTAGAAATAATAGCTGGGATTCTTAAATAAATTTCTAATTAGAAACGTATATGATTGAAATAATACTTCTATATTACTATATATGTTCTTACTTCTTGAGTTTCATAAGTTTGAAAATGCTTCTTTTATTAGGCATCTAAATTATAAATTTTGTGCTTATTTTAAAAAATACTACAATTTCATTCTACTATTATTTCTTAATATTTATCATTCAGGCAATTTATTACTATGAAAGTGCTGTAATTTCTACTGAATTCAATAGCTATTCTTGTAGTCTTAATTGCTATAGCAAAAGATAATAATTTTTATCAAACACTTCTATACCAACGGAAATCAAAATTAATTTAAAATCACCTCACATAATAAATTCTCCTAATCTGATTGCTTAAAATGAGCAAAGCAGAAAATTGCTTGGTGGAGAAAATTAAAAATTTAAAAAGTTTGAAATCAATAAATAGAATCAATAAAACTAATTTTAAGATGAATTTGCTGAAAATGATTTTTGTGATTCACCATAAAAATTTTAGCTCAAGCCAAACTAATAAAATGATAATGAATATTAACAAAAAAATAAACAAGAATACAATATTTTCTATCAGTATAACACCAATTTAGATTAGAAAATAAATTATGAGTAAAACACAGAAAATTAATAAATTTAAAATCCCATAAAACTTAATGAAATAGAATTCAGCAAATAAAGTTAAAGCGCACATATTTAAATACCTTACTAAAGTTAAAACTTTAATGATCGATAAAAGAACTATCAAAATAGTAAAGAAACAAATAACAAAAAGTCAAATTATATATAAAGTAAATAGAGTTACAAAAAATGCTTAGGATAGGTAGATGAACAAATACAAAAAGAGGGTAAAGGATAATATGGAAATGAAGATTTATAAAGTGATGGCAGAATTCAACAAGAAATATCCAGTATTAACTATTGCAATTCACCACTTAGTAGAGGAGATATTTCCTCAGCGAATGAATTGCAAAAAAGTAGTAATAGTAATAACACAAGCTAATAAGCTGCAAATTCAATGCTAACCTCAGAGTCAGCTATTCAAAGCTAAATCCATAGAAATTTCTCAATTTTTAAAAGGTTGCAAGATTAATCTCATATTGAGGAAAAAGTCTCTTAAGAAGATGAAACGATTAAACACTTTTTTAAAAAAGTAAATCCTAATTAATAAGCATTCAATCGATCTAATACAATTTGCATCCCTTAGTATAGATATAATTAGTTTTAAAAATATCAAAAAGAAAAAAATAAATATAAAAAGAGACCATTTAGATATTACTCTCCATAGCTTCAAGCAGAATCTGTATAAAACACTTTCAATTTAAGTATCTCTCTGACAGTTAATTCAGATGACACTAATAAGTTAGCTTCTAATAAAAATTATAATAAAAGTTGGAAAACGATGGATGAAGTCTTTAATTTAAATTAGGAAATTCCTTAAATATAACATGAAGAAAATAAAGATTAAATGAAAAATATTTAACTATTAAAAGAAGATAATTATAAAAATAAGGCATAAGATCAAGCTTATGGACCATAAGTGAATTGTTCTTCCAGCAAGATCTAAGCTAAAAAATTGTATAATTCAAAAAAGGGTAAATCGAGTGAGTATAAAACAGAACAAATAAGCAGATTAACCTTACCGCAATTAACATTCTAACGAAATTAAACAACAAGTTATTCCTATGCGAATAAATAAAAAACAAAGTTATATAAAAACATACTCAAATACCTGCCTGAGGAAGGAGTGATTCTTATAGATAAAAACCAGAATATTCATTTTGCTAATATATACATTTAATACCTTTTCCCAAAATCAAATAGTCACTCTCTCTTCAATGAGCTAGTTTAGTTGAAGAGCATTGAAACATTAGAAAATTATAAACACTATTTAGATGAAATCATATCCCAGAAATAGCAAAACTAGACAGAAACAAAAATGAAAAATTTTAATCAAAATTTTAATAAAGTCCAACTAACTAACTCAATTAATCTGTAAACTATTTAAGACCAATAAAATTATCTACAATATAATCAGCTGTAAGCATAAAACCAAACCACATAAGGTGTACATCCATTTTAATCTTAATAAAAATACTAAAGCAAATCAAGCCTCAAAAATATTAATATAGGCTAAAGTTTTTCTAATTAAAACATCAACTTAAATCAAAAAATATTACGAGAATTATCTTCAAATAATAATTTACAATACTAAGTTAATTAAAATACTTAGACGTTTCTTTAATAATAAACAAGTAACAACATAAATCAGAGTTCAAATCATAACTTGCCTATCTATAGTTTTGGAACTCATCCTAATTCTAGTGCATCTATTTTTCCAAATAATAAGCTTAGCCAAAGTAATTATTTCCTAAAATTAGATTTATTCAAAGATAAAGAGCAGCACTAACATAGAGAAAAAGAAATGTACTATATGAAAGAAAAAGAATAACTTTAACAGGCAGATAATATCATTCGCTGCAAGTCATTTCGAGAGCAATTTGAATAAATAATTCAGACTTTTTAAACATAAGCTTCTTCTTACAAGCAATATGGTATAATTAACTAAAATAAATTTACCTCTCTTTTTTATCGCTCCCAAAATGTAAATATTTTTTTGAAACTTTTATTTAAGAAACACCATTTGATTTAAAAAAAATATCCTCTTACCCATATTTTAATTAATCGATTAAATTTTTATTTTTAAAGTTAAAACTTTAATTAAAGAATATTTTATTTTTATTTACTTCTTTTTCATTTAATTTTTCCAATTTTATTAATTTTATTGGATGGTCAAACCACAATAGATGAACTTCTACTTTTTTAAATGATTTTAATATAAAATTTTCATAATTTTAAATTTAAAATTTTTCTTTAAATGTGTTTTTTAATCAAATCTATTTTAAATTTGTTAATTAATTTAATAAATAAAAGCAATATAAATAAGAAAGTATTGAAGACGTATAAATTTTTGAGATTTAATTCATTCCATGCTACTTAGGATTTACTGAAGGAGTTATTGTTACTATCCGCGATGTGACTCATTTTAACCAAATAAAAGTTTTAAAGGATATTAATGAAAGGAAATAAATTATGTTAAGAAATGTAAGCCATGAATTAAGATAGCCTCTAAACTGTATAATAAGTATGATGCAGCTAACAAGAGACATTTATTAAGATGAAACATTAATATAAGAATATATAAATCCTACTTTATATTCAAGTTAAATTCTTCTTAACCTTCTAAACGATTTTCTTGATTTTTCTTAAATTCAGGCTGGAACTTTTAAGTTAACAAATGTATCATTTAATATCAAGAAGCTATTTGAAAACATATTTTAGATGATGAAAGCCTAAATTAAAATAAGATAGTTAAATTTTATTTTGAATATCATTAATTAAAACGAAATTCCTGAAGAAATTAAATCTGATCCAAATAGAATACAACAAATAATAACTAACCTACTTGGGAATGCTGTTAAATTTACTGAATAAGGAGATATTTTGCTATCATTAGAAAAACAATCTCCTTATCTCTACAAAGTAACAGTTTAAGACTCAGGTATTAGCATTATCATTATTAAAAAGAAGCATATTAATCAATTAATTTACTTTATATTTTATCATAGGTATCGGTATTACAGAAGAAGGATAAAAAAATTTATTCAAAACTTTTGGAAAAGTAGATTAAGAATTTAAATAAAATCTTAACCCTCAAGGAGTTGGATTAGGATTAATGATATCTAATATTCTTGCTAAGTAGCTCTCTCCTAGTGAAAATCTAGGACTTTAAGTAGAATCTAAACTTGGTAAATAAAAAAGATAAATTAATATTATTTAAATTTGATTTTTATTTAAAATTAGGACATGGCACAAAATTTTTCTTTTTCATACTAGATTAAAGTAGTAATGAAAAAGAATAGTTATCTCCTTTTAATAAACTAAGGAAGACTAATTCTTTTAATTAGTATAACAATTTGCCAAGCTATAGGAAACTCAGTTTGAAGATAATTGAAAACTCAGACACAAACAGAAACTCTACCCCAGTAAATTGTGAAGAAAACGACTTCAATTCTTTAGAAGCTATTCCTGTTCCTTATATAATGAATTCTATAAAACTTACAAAATTTAATTAAAATTTTATGTCAAATAATTCAATCGATAGTACTTAAGAATGTAATTTTGATAAGTTAAAAACATTCACTTAGGGTTTAACTTAATAAATTAATGAAAATAACATCTAAAAAATAGATTAAAAAAATTAGAATAATATCAATTATTAAAATGAGAGTTAAAAATCAAATTAAAATTTTATAAGTTGCATTAAAAAAGCTTCCATTTAATAAGACAATAATATAGATTCTCCAATTACGCATCTTGATAAAGAAATATCAAAAGTGAAAATTTCTAAAGTTAAAAAAATACAAAATTCATCTTCATTCTTTACTCAAGGAATATTGCTTAGGTAGTAAACATTATTTTTACAGTAAGACTTGCTACCATCTAAGCAAAAGCAAAAGGTAGAAGACTTCGTTAATTCTCACAAACGATAATAAGCTTCTATATGTTAATGTTCGAATGTTAAAGAAGTTCTTATAGTTGATGACAGTGATTTTAACATCTATATCCTTGATAAATACCTCAAAACATTCTCAATTGAGGTATCTTATTTAATACTTATAATATAAATTTCATTCAAAATAATGCTAAAGATAAACTTTGCTCAATTATTTCTACAAAAATATACTGTTTATTGGCATAATCCTTTCATAAAAAAACTTATTAAAATAAATTTTATGTTTAAATAAATTAAATTTGATGTTATTTATTTGAATTTTTTTAATAAAAGGCTGATACTAGCACAAATGGACCTGGTTCTGAAAAAAAAGTTAGAGATAAAATTGAAAATGAAAAATGCGAATCTTGTAAAGTATATAAAATGATATTTATGGATTTAAATTTAGGTACTGCGTGTGGAATTTAGACAGCAAACAACATTTAATAAATTTATGAATCACTTTAATTACCATAGCCAGTGATTATAGCATGTACAGGTAAATCAATCAATATATATAAATATAAAGTTTTTAATTTCAAAAAAATTAAAAATAATAGGATTCATAGATGAAGCTACTATTTAGAAGTGCTTAGCTAATGGATTTGATGATTACTTAGCAAAACCTATTATTAAAGATTAACTAATTGAAATACTTTAAAACCATTTATTGAATAAATGAGTTAAATTTGTTAATTAAATTATTTTAATATTTATAAAATATTAAGTTAATTATATTACCATTTCTTCTATCTGTAGTGAATTATTTGTATTTTACAATATAAAAAAGCTTATTTATTTTATATATCTAAGTAAAACCTTTACTACTTTTGTAAATAAAAAAACTAATTTTTTAATTTTATTTCTATTTAATTTATTTATTTATTTTTTATAGTTAAGAATCAAAATTTAAATAAATGCATGCTTTATTAAAAACTTATTAAAAACACTTCAAAAAATCAAATAATTTTTTTCATCAAATTTTATGCTAAAATTTTAAAAGACAGAATTTTTTATTATTTATTTATTAAGAGTGCAAATTCAATATATTTACTTAAAGTTTTTAAATCCTTTATAAAATAAAAATTTTTTTTAGCTTAAAAAATAAATGATTATTATTTTATTTTCAATATTATTTTTATTTTACAAAATATTTACTTTTTTTAAACTAAAAGAATTAAAGACTTTTTATAAAAGATTATTTATTGTATTTTTTTATTTAAAATGTTTTATGAAATTTGTAAATTTAATTTTATATTTCAAAATTTTTATTAAAATTGATTTATGTAGCTTATATTTTTGCTATTTGGATTGAAGTTATTTATTTTTTATTAATCAATAAATAAATTATATCCTATTTTTAAATTATTTTGTTATAAAATACAAAAGTGTAACAAAACATAAGCAAATTCTAGCCAATAAATTAATATTTATAATAATCATTTAATTCAAAATTTTGATTAATTATATTGTACACAAAAATAATAAGTATCACCATAAAATACTAAAATTAATTTTCTAAAGTATTCAAGCAATCAATATGGGCGATTTATTAGTTTTTTAATTGCAAAAAAACTAAGTGCTAAAAATATTTAAGTTTGGATTTAATTAGCTATATTTCTATTTAAATTTTAATGAAATTACTAAAAAGAAAATTAATGGTTAAAAATTGTTAAATTTATTATATTATTTTTTATAAATATAAAATACGTAAACATTTAGCTTACAAACACTTTATTATGTTATTTTATATAAAAGATAATCAATCTTGATTTAGTGATTGTTTTCTCAACCAAGGAATTCAATTTAGACGTTATCAAGGAAACCATCGCAGTTACCGATACCCAAATCTTGAGCAGCTCTCTTGTGAATATCAATCTTAGGGTGGTTAGGACCGCCAGCACCAACATCTCCCTTAGAAGCAATGATAGAGTTACCATTGTAAGAAATTCTAAGCTTGTAGCCAAAAGGAAGTCCACCAAGAGCCTTGAAGTCCTTGCTTCTATAATCAACAGAGAGTTCAGCATAGTAGTCACCAGCATAGAGGTCGTTATCTCTCATACCAGTAGAGTCATCGAAGCAGGAAGCAAGAACAGTTTGAGTATTACCAGTTCCAGCCAATCCTAACAAACCATTGATGAAGTTGGATAAAGGGCTAGCAGCGCAAATGACAGTGCAGGCAATTAAGAGGATAGCAATCTTTCTCATTATTTATCTATTTTTCTAAATTTTTTTTTTTTTAATTATTTATATGTTTAAGATCAACTTGAGATACGAATTTATAAAAACTAAAGAAAAAGAAATAGCGTAAACTAAAATTTGTTACAATCTAATGTTTTAATTTAACAATTATTAAAATCCACAAAATTTAGTACATAAACGTTTGGATTTTAAGAGTTCTGTAAATAATATCATTAATCATTAGTTATCTTGTTAATTAAAAATAAATATAGTTGATTACTGCAATAAATAAATCCTTACTATGAACTATAATTTATAAGTTTGTGGGCAAAATAAATTTTACTTACATCAAATTACATCTTTGAAAACATTTCAATTTTATTTGTATTAAAGCTTCTTTGTTTCTTACTATTAAGCTAAAAAAGCTATAAACAATATATTTATTTTGTGGATATAAAAATATGGCGCGAATTTGACAAAATGTTTAAACAAAATTAAAGTTTTCACCACTTATTAGTACTTTAAGTTTAACATAATTTTAGCAAAATTACTTTAATTTAGACATTTTTTAGATTTCTATAAGTAAATTTAGCTAAATTTTATTCTTAGCTCACAACCTTAATATACTTTTATATCTGAATCCATCAAATAATTCTTAAGAAAGTAATCTGTAAACACAGGTTTATTTTATCAAAAAAATAAAAAGTCATTTTAAAATGGTTTTACAATTAAAAAAAGAATAATTTTATATATTGAAGAACTTATAATTATTTTTTATGCTAGTTTAATAATATTCTCCAATTTTTTAGAATTCTTAATCAAATCTTTTTTTTGACAGAAAATCCTTCTTTCTGTGATTAAAAAAAAATTAAGAAGAAGAAAAAAATATAATTTTAACTCAAATTGATTTATTTTTGGAAAATAAATTCGTATGGACAAATAATTTTACTAAATAAATTAAAGCATTGTGAAGACAGTGTAAATTAAATTAATTCAAGTGAATAAAAGGAATGTAAGTTATAATTAATAACAATTAATCTGTAAATTAATAAAAAATAAAATAAAGAAACCAAATAAGTCAATATTAACCAGTGCCTTAATTGAATTCAATATGCAATAAAATATATACTAAGAATAACTTTAGATGTGTAAATTAAATATAGTGGAAAATTAATAAATACATTTCGTCATAAATAAATTTAATTTAATGATTTATAATATTAATCTATGCCAACACCTATAATAAAATTAGGGATAAAGATTTATAATAATAACCTATTTAAAATATTCTAAATTTATCTAAAGCATCACTTTTAATTAATATTTTAAAAGTGTAAATTAATCATAAATTCAATTAAGCAAATATTTACAAATTCATCGATCTATTTTAATGATTTGTTCTATAGCATTATTATATGATAAAAATTTTACTAACTCAACTCATAAACCTAAACAAATAAATGAAAAAATACCAATCAATTATTATTTTACTGTTTGGTTAAAAAATATTTTGTCAAAAAAACTTTTATTGTTTTTAATTTAATCAATTTTTGTTTTGGCTTTGTCTTATTTAAATTTTCAATAAAAATTTCTTTAATTGATTGCTGCTCCCTGTCGATCAACAATAATTAGATTTGCATTTTTAATTTTTAAGATAATATTTTTAAATAAAACCTACTCCAGTCTAATTAAATATCTCATTTTATAATTTCTGTAACATATTTATTATTTTAAAGTAGTGTTTAACATTCCAAATATTAAGAAAAATACTATTAAAAAATAAACATATTTTCATTAAAAATTTTAGTGAACTTTTTTAAGTAAGACAATTTTAATGATAATAAGTAAAAATAAAATATCTTTAGATTTACTAAATAAATATAAAAATTTTATTATCTAAAAGAAATAGCTCTAACTAGTATAAATACAGCATTTGTGTTTTTATTGTAAAAAATGAGTTTAAAAATATTCATTAAAAATAAAATATCTAAAGAAGCACAGAAAAAAGTGTAATGCAAAACAAACAAATAATTAATTATTCAAGAGAAAATAGAAGGCATCTATGAGAGAATAAATAAAAAATAAATTATATTTTTCTCACTTATATACTTTTAAAAAATTAAACGTGGATTTGGAAGGATTTACGAATATTTGTGAAAATGATCTTTTCTTTATTCTTTATTATAAGTTATAATCTGTAAGAATTAGAATCTATTTTTTTAAGAGGGGGAAACAAACTAAATCTTATTGTTTTGATTTTTTTTGAAAAATACATAATTATTAGTAAAATGGTTATTAATTTCTTCTTAATTTACAAAGTTGCTTTACCTTCGTCTTGTATCATATCTTTTTTATTATCAAAATCTAAAAAACCATACAATTCAATAATTTTTAACAATTGTTTGCCTTATGTATTAATCTGTAAATTTAATCCCATTCCTCTTTCATATTTTATACATATATCTTTTAAATTTTTAAATATCTGAAGAAAACCTTAAAACTCTTAATGTTAATCAAGTATAATGAATGCAAACATTATTTGAAAAAATAAAATTCATGAATGGTAATGTTAGATTAAAACTTTCAACATATTTTTGCTAGTTATTTTACCTAGCACTTTTATACGCTTATTTAATAAATCATCTTTATTAGAAAGGAATATAATAAATAGAATAAAATAGTCCTTATTAATTACAAATTACATCAAAAAGACACAAAAAACATTCAGGTTACTGTATTAAATTTTTAACACATTAACAAAATAATTAATTTTCAATGTGAAAAATATTCTAGATAAATTAATGTATATGAAAATATTAATTTCTACAATTTTAATAAAAATAGACTTTAAATTCTTTACAAAAATCTTATTAAGCTATGAAAAATTATTCTTAGAAGAATCAATAAATTTTAAAGTCTAATCTAGTTAGAATTAAACATTTTGATATTAAATTTATAATAATAATATAAAAGTATTAATAGAAAAAAAATTATTAAAATAAAAAGTTGAAATATTATCATTCATTTTTTTTATTTTTAACTTATGTTAATCAATAAAAATCTAAATTTTGAATTTATTTTTAATAACTGCTTTTAATAAAATTTTTATAAAAAAATAAATTAAAAGTTAGTTTATTGTTTATTAGAAAAAAAATTTTAATAAAGAAATTTACTATGAACTCTATCTTCTTTTCTTCTAAAATTTTTTAGAAATGAACTATATCACATTTAACATTATTTTTTTTAAATTCTTAAAATTATAAAATAAAATTTTTTTTGTTTTAATTGTTAACTCTTTGATTAATAAATAAATATGAAGATCTAAAATTTAATTATTTCGATATTTAAATTAATTTTTTTCATTTAATGATTAATCAAAATTAAAAAAAAATATTCAATTTGTATTTAAAAATAATAATTATTCATAAAACAAACTTTATTTTTTATTAATAATATGAAAAAAATTATAAATAAGATATTTTTTACTTTTTTTCTTCAACTTTTCACTTTTCTCTTTAGTATATTAGATATTTATATTGATTAAAATAATTCATACATATTTATTTATATAACAAAACAAAAACTAATAACTATATTATTATTTGTTTAATTTTAGGGAATAAGCAAATATAAGATTCTATAGATGATTCTTTTTGGATAATAAATCTTTCTTTATATCTTTTTAAAATTAAGAATACGATTTTTTAAAGTATTTTATGAAAGTTAAATCTATTCATTCTTAATATTTTTTAAAAAAATCAACAAATGGTAATAATAAATTACTTATATTTTCTAAAATTTAAATAAAAAAATAAATTTAATATTTTTATTGCTCTCTACTATCAGTATTTACTTCATGTCATTCTATGTAAAAGTTTGGTTTTCTAAAATAGTAGTGAGCATAAATATTTATAATTCTAATAAATCTAATTGAATGTAAATTACTATGATTTTAAGTTATTTGGCTACTTTACCTCTAAAAACCAAAAATAAGCAAATTTTTAAAAATAATTTATGAGTAAAATTTAATTAATAATAAGATTATTATTCTATATATGATGATTTTTTATTTAATAAAAAAAATCTAAAAATGAGATTTCAAATAAGAGTTTTTTTAAGTGTAATTGTGTCTATGTTTTTAGTATCACATCTAAAAATATTTAAAACAATTAAAAGGATAAAAACGTAAATTATACCAGTTTAGTAGTTTTTTCTTGTGAAAAAAAATTATATTTTTATTTGCAGCAAACCTAATTGTAAGTTATATTTTTGCTTGGTTGCTTTGTAAGTATTTACAAAAAAATGAAACTATAAGAGCTATTTAATTTTAACATAAAACTTAATTTGAAATAGCATTATAATTCTTTTTTTTTTCAGTTTCTTTATTTTTTTAAACATTTGTTATTATTGTTTCTATGTTTTTAAAACAGTACCTCAGAATAGATTAATTTAGTTAATAATACCTCTACTCGCCACAATAATATTAAATTTTATTAAAGTGTCTATGAGCTTTAGTAATTTATCAAAAAGCTTGTTCCTAAAAAAAAAAAAAATTAAAATTAAATTAAAAGAATTACTAATTAAAAATATATTATAGATTATAAAAACATAGGTTAAAATATGATTGAAGAAGATAAAGAAATATTACAAGAAGCTGAAATAATTTGTGATGATAATAAAAGTAAAAAGTCTATTGGAGATAGAATGAAAGAATATGAATTAAGTGCGCGTTCAAAAATTGATCCATCTCTACCTGCAATTATGAGAATAGATGGTCATTCTTTTTCTAAATTTACTAAAGGTCTTAAAAAGCCGTATGACGAATGGTTACACAAATTAATGTAAAATATATTTATTAATTAGTACATTCAAGTATAAATTTATAAATTAAAAATGAAGGGTTGAAACAACAGCAGCTTTAATATCTGAATTTAGTTTTAATATTGGCTATACTTAATCTGATGAAATAACTTTAGTATACTTACCTTCTTTTGATAAGAGTGGAAAATTAAATGACTATCCGTATGCCAATCAAATCATGAAACTTGTTTCCCTAAGCTCAGCATTTGCTACAAACTATTTTACAAGAGGAATTTAAAGAGGAATATAAGACAAAACTATTAATTTAGAGGATTATTAAGAATCAACTATTACTAAGTTATAAAATCCAAAATGCTATTTTGATAGTCGTATTTTTAACGTTCCTTCAATACAGGAAGTTTACAGCAATATTTACTGGAGGTATATTATTATTTTAATCAAAATAAATTTATAAATTATAAATATTAAAATATAGATCTTGTTACGATTGCATCAAAAACTCTGTAAGTATGGTTGCATATGTTCACTTTCCTGTAAAATTAACTGATGGTCTTCATACCCAAGCTAAAATAAAAAAACTATTAGAAGAAAAAAATATAGATTGGAATAAAGACTTCTCAAATCATTTCAAATATGGAACTTTTATAAAGAAAAGATAATTTGAAATAGATCTACCTCTAGAGTACTAAAAGTTTAAGAAAGATAGTTCAAATCAAAAGGTTAATAGAACTGAGACAGTTGCCTTTTCTTATAATTTCTCTGGAAATAAATTTAACGAGGATACTAAAAACATACTTTTTGAAAAATACATTGACTAAAAATATTTTGAAAATGACTCTATTTTCAAGTTACAAGAAGTTTACACAATAAATATTTAATGAAAAACTAACTTTTAATTTACTTACTTTCTAATTATATAAAAAATTTTAATATATAAATTAATTTATTTTATTATGTTTAGGATTTTTGTTTTAAAATAATTGTTTTAATCTACTTATCTTTTCAAAATTAAAAATACTTACAGCTAATTTCGTAAAAATATAATCCTTTACAAAAAATCAATAATTAAAAAAATGAGTTAAACTACAGAATTCAAATCATTTGCTCTCTTTGCCAAATTAAATTATTAAAATTTTAAGATTTTTTCTAATTTTATTATGAGTTTTTTAATAAAATTGTAAGAAAAATGGAATAAAAAATAAGTTTTACAATCTAAATATTAATTAGGATATAAAACTATTTTTTAAATCTAAGTTAATTAATTTCATTTTGGTTAATCATTCCAAAATTTTACATTACAACTCCTAACAGTTGCATATTTAATACAAAAATTAAGTTAAGTAAATACAAATTTGTTTTTTAGCTTTTAATGATAATAAAATACATATTAAATACCTTTAATATTAAAAAAAAATAACAATAAATGGTATAGATTTATTTAGTTAACGACCAATTCAAATGATAAATTTCACTTGAAATAATTTTAGGAACTTATAAAAATAAATAAATAAATAAATAATTTTGCAAATAAGTAGAAAAATAATAATATATCGCATATATTCTCAAATATTTAAAACTTAATAGTCATACGATTTGAATAATTTACTTTTCTTTTTCTTTTAATTATTATATTTTTTAATAGATCCCCAATTATTTAAAATAAATAAATAAATGCACTTTGAAAAATACATGATTTAGAAATGAATTTTGAAATTTTATTTATTTGGTTACTTGATTTTTTTTGAATTATAAAATGATAGAATGCTTAATATAATATATAAATCATAATGAATTTTTATATAATTATTTATAATATTAAAATGGTATTTATTACTCATATAATTATTTATTGTGAAATACAATTGTTTGCTGGTAAATTAGGGAAAATGGAGAAAAATAGATATTGTTGATAATATTTTATATATTTATAGTATCCTGAAGATTAGATATTTAAATCTGATTTATAGCTCTTCCTTTTGTAAAGATAATAAAGCTTGAATCTGAAATTTATAGTCAGGAGATTTTTTTAGTATTTTAGATATTTTAATTTAAAATTTTTTTGATTAATTAATTTTGGTTACTAATGAAAAAAATAAATTTTCAAAATTTTGAAAGTCTTACTTATGTGACTTTGGAGAGATTTTATTTGTTCTAATAGAATTTATTTATTTTTAAATATTGATATTTAAAATTTATTTTTGAAAGAAATTTCATATCAAAATTGATATGCAAATTCTACCATTTATGTTGTTGACAGTTCAACTCGTTTGTTTTTTGCTTTATTTTATAGACTTTTTAGGGAAAATAACAAAGAGATTATGTTATCGCATAAAAATTAACTTGAATTTTTTAAGAGAGGATTAGCAAAAATTTTCAATTTTTAGTAGAAAATAATAAAGTTTTGAGTTTTTATCTTAAAACCTATCTATCTATCTAATCAATTTAAATTAATTTATTGAGTAATGGTGCACTTCGAATTTCTCTTATTTATTTATGGAGAAAAGGTTTAGTTGATAGTGGTCATAGTACTTAAATTTATGGTATTCATCGTTGTTTTTGTAGCTATTATTTACACGTTTTTTTAAGGATTATTACTTAATATCGAACCAAAGAAGGATTATCTATTTTGTTTCTTTAAAAAATACAAACTCTCCTTTTCATCGAAATACTCGTCTTCTACTTCTTAAAGTTCTGATTTATTATCAACTAAATCAAATTCATTCTTTTAAATTTTCTAAATATTAAGGGATTCCTCTTATTTATCTTCTATTTTTGGTAGATCTTCTTTGAGGTTAATATCTTTGATGAGGATTTCTTATTCATAATTAGCTTCATAATTATGCTTACATTTACATAAGGAAGAATTTATTTGATCTCTTTTACTAATATTTAATTTATTATTTTAGTTATTTGGTTATATATTATCATTTGAATCTAATACAATTTCTTATAAAACATTTATTAAATTCTTCCTATTTTGCATAACCTGCTCCCATTAAATGCAGCTACTTGTTACAGTATCACTAGAGCTATCACTAGAATAATTCAATTAATTAAGATTCAAATTAAGTCTATTGTCTCTATTGATTATTACTTATTGTTCTAAAACCCGAGCATTAATTTGATCTGGATATTCAATGCTACTTGACATTAATTAGAGGAAAATATCATTAATATTTGCTGATTTGTTTTGTAAAGGGCTTGAGCAAAAGGATTCTTCAGCATCTATAAATTTATTTTAAATTTAATAAAAAGATGGTTTTTGCTTCTGATGCTGAGTCTCATTTTACTTTTTGTAATTTGGTTGAGGTGCTATTGTGTGTTTTTAAATGAATGGATTACTATTGGTTCTAAATTATCGAACACTGTTTAATCTAATTTCTTAGATTTAAGAGCGATTCTACTGAATGATACAAGATGACAAAAGATTACCATTTATATCAGAAGAGATAAAATGCTAATCATTATTCATACATTTTTATTGCTTGAGCATTCCAAAATGCTTGAAGTATTTTGAAATGAATGAATGAATTGACTTAATTATTAATATTTATTAGTTTGTTAATAATTGTTTTTTTTTTTTTACTTTATTTATTATGATTGATGCAATTATCAAATTAATGTAATCTATTATCTCGAATATCCAAAAAGAAAGGATTTTAAGTATAATAAAAGTTTGTTCTATCAACTTATTAAAATAAAAAAATTTTACTTGACAACCAAATAACTTCGAATCAAAAAATATTTGTGTATTCTTGTTGATGCTTTTTCTGAACCATAAATTGAATAATATTACGAAATATTTTGGATTCAAAATAGTAAAAATCTATTTTAGAATTTTATTTGTTTATATTTTTTCTTAGCAATACCCTTTGTTTGTATTTCTTAACATAAATAGTTACATTTTTGAATTAAGGGAGAAAATTTGTCTAATAGATGCTATATCATTGAAATTTTATGAGATCATATACATCATTTTTTGTTTGAGATAGAAGTTTTTACTAATAATTCTAAATTATTAATTTACATAAGTTAAGCTATCAGCTAAAATTAGTGCTAATATAGTGCTTTAAAATACCTCACTAAGATTATTTCAACACTTTATCTATTTAATTTTAGCTCTTAATAAATATAAAATACTGTTACAGTTAATATTAACTTTATAATATTTTTGTATTATAATTCTGATCCTTCAAAAATAAATATAAAGTTATTTGTATTACATATTAGATAAAGTTAAAATAAATGCTAATAACTTTAAATATATTAATTTAGTAACCATTTAAAGATAAATTTGTAAGCAATCAAAATAATTAATATCACATTTTTAATTAAATTTTTTAAAAGTTTATCAAATTGATTGAACAAAAGATTTGTAACCAAATAAAGAAGATTTTTTTTTATTTTAATTTATATAATTGATCAAGAAAATCTTAAAAGAACAAATAAAGTAACTAATTATTCTTTAAGATACATATCATCAAACTAATTTTATTTAGTATTATTTCATTTATATCAGTTCTCAAATTGTAATATTCTCAATATAAATTTACATTTTTTTATTAGACTAATTTTGCTAGCTAGCTAATCTATGATTTGAAATACTAGAAGTAATAATTTCTAGTTATCATAAAAACTTTTTTAATAGTTTTTTTTAGTACTATTGAGAAATTTAAGTATTTCTATTCTAATTTAAAAAATAAAATATTGAGTTAATAATAGAAAATTCAAAGTTTATTTTGAAAATAAAAATATTGGTTTATCTTAACAAAGTTAAAGTATTGAGTAAATTGGTTTTTGAAAACAAAATTTGATATCTTTTAATTAATTATGTAATCCCCTATAGTCTAGCAGGTTAGGATAGAAGGTTTTCACCCTTCAGACCCGGGTTCAAGTCCCGGTGGGGGAATTATTTTTTTGTTAAATTTATTTTTTTAATTTATTCAACCAAAAGAAAATTAACAAATAATTAACACAAAATAGAATTAACATGCTTTTAAAAATATTTTATCTTAGTTTTATCGATGCAGATTTATATATATTTTTTAAACAATAAAAGAAATTATGTAGAAGAAAAAGAAAATGTAATCTTGCTTTATATTTTTTTAAATCTTCATAAAGGCTAAATTTATTTAATTACTTTTAAAAACTAGAAATATCTGATAATAAGAAAGTTGAATTTAATAAAATTTTACAATAATTGGAATTAAGCTTTTGTAAAATAAGTTTAGTTGATCTAATATTTTTGAAGCTGCAAAAGTTATCATTGTATTTAATATCTGATAAGATAAATTTTTACAAAGCATGTAGAATAAATATTTTTTAGAGCGAATAAACATATCAGTTAATTTATTTATTTACTCTATAACCTTAACAAATTCAATTTGCTAATAAAAAAATTTATGGCAAATTATCATAATTCAAAAGGAATTATTTCAAGGAATAGATTAAATTCTTTAATTTAATAAAGGGGAATTTGTAAAATTACAAATTTTATGCTTGAAATAGAAAATTTAAAAAGAAACAACTTGAGATGTAATGAATAAAAAATTACAGCCAAAAAAAAAAATTAAATATATTTTTTGATAAAGTAATAATAACTGCAAAAGTTAAAGTTTGTTTTTGACAAATAAGAAGTTTTATTTTAATGGTTTAATGAGAAAATTTATTTAATATAAATTATAACTAAAAGTGAATAAAAATGTATGACTGATTGATATGTTGCAAAGTAATTAAATTTAAGATTTTTATACTAAATACATTCGATTGAGTAACTTCTATTTTAGCCTTCTATTTTTACCTGCAAATACTTAAAAGCTTAAATGCTGGTATTTATTTATTAAACATATTTATCTTGATTTATAGATTTTAGTGAGTAATTAAATAGAGTAATGCGCAAAAAAATTATGTATTTTTTGATTTAGGGCTATTCATTAATTTTTGCTCTCTAATGATTATTAAGATTTTTGGTTATTTTTTTATTATTTATCATTTGCACATAGGTTTTTTTTCTTTTTATGTAAGGTTTTTTTAATAAAAGCAAATACAAATCACAAACCTATGCTAGAAATTTGGTTAGCATTCATAATAATTGAACACCAATGCCATAGCTTTTCGTTTTATCCTAGTTAAGCAAAATTATTATAAAGTTTTACTAAAGACTTGTTGAGTAAGAAAGGCTCTAAAAAGTAGCAATAAGCAATAAGGAAGGAGGAAATCATGTAACCATAAGAATAGTGGATAACTTTCTTTTTAATTGTGCCGTTATTGCAGTAATGGTTATAAATGCCATCAATGCACCTAGAGAAAAAGAACATTTTCCAAACATACCAGCTTTTTTTTTCAATCATTTATAAGGATAAAAAACCTGCTATAAACCCGCTGATAAATGCGTTGTATCCATCTTCCTTTTTACGTAAATAGCGGAGTATACAAATAGCTCCCCTCATAGTCCCTGTCATTGTAGCTAGGAATAAGGGTAGCTAAATATTTTATGTTGTAAGAAATAGTGCTTTAAAAGTTTGTAGACTCTTTTTCTTTGAAAGCAAAAAGAATAGAATATTTGTGATGGTCTTTACTCCTAGTCCAATTCCTAATGATTTTATAAAGCCGCCTACTGCGTTAATAATGCAATTTCCATCATGCTTGCATAGTTTATGGCACTTAATGGGTTAGTCTTCTTCTTTCACCTTCTAGCATTCAGGTATTTCCTATAAAAATTATTGTTATTCACAATTATTTGTGTTCATTTTTTTAAAAGATCTTTAAATAAATCTGACTGACTTTTAATTGTTAAAATTTTAGTTTTTATCAATTTAATTTACTTTAATCAATATTTAATTGATTGATTAGTTTATTTTTATCAATCAATTCTATTGATTACTTGCTAAGATTTATGAAAATGTTTTTGCTTTCTAATTTATTTTGAATATTTTAATTCTATTAAATTACATCTAATATGCTTGTTCGTTATTAAAGTATCATGGATTTTAAACAAAGCAGAGCATTCATTAATATTCGACTATTTATTTTTTACATACTTTCATCAAAAAGGAGTTTATTTGGTTTTTAATATGTATTTGAAATGCTATATTTCTTGGAATCAAATACGTAACAATCATTATCGATTGCGTAAATAAATTAAAAATATGTAATATAAATTTTGAATTTTACCATTAGTTGCATTCATAATTACAAATTTACTACATAACTAAATTTCTTAATTTATTTATTTATTTTGAGTGTTTAATTAAAAAATCTTTAATTACACTTTTTTGATAAGCAGTATCCAAAAAATATAAAAAATATCAAAATTTTTTTTTATCTATTTTACTACAGAAATTTAGAAAAATTTATTATAAGTACTTTAATATACTGTCAGTTCTCATAATTTAATGATTTTTTTACTTTAAGACCTAATATTAATATTTTCTGAAGTAAGGAGCTTCATTAGAAATGGGCTTAATTTTTAGGAGGGCTATAAAAAAGTAATTATGGTAATCTAATTAATGGTGTATTTAGAAGTTTAAAAGATAATTTTTATTTTTACAACTTTTAAAACTTATTTTAATTTAAACAATTAGATTGAAATACTTTAAATTGATATTAAGTTATTTATTAAGTCATAATAAATTTTTTTATTTTATATAAAAAAAAATGAAATTTTTTGGTTTTTATTTAATTTGTAGAAAAGAATTAATTATTTTATAGAATACATACATACATTTTATAAATTGAGTAGAAATTAAATATAAAAAATTCAAAAATTATTGAAATTCATTTGTTTTGTTGGAGAAAATCTTTGGTTTTGTGTTTAGAAAAATCTAGTTTGCTATGTTTATGATTTAAGTTTCTCGTTACTTGTTGGATTATGTTTCCATCTTGGATTTAAAGAACTTAAATAGTTATTTATTATTTCTATTTCCCTTATAGATTACTAATTAGATGAGCTTTATTATTACTGCCTTGAGCTGTTAAGACCTTAATTATATGTCATATGGTTAGATAGTTAACCATTTTAATTAACGTCAAAACTTTCGTCTTAAGTATTAATGCTCAAGTTATTTTACAAATGCTGAGGAGTCTTTGTTTTTGATTTTATACTAGTCCTAAAAGTTTATTGTTATTAATATTCCCTATTTCCTAACTCAGATGAAACCCTAACTTTATTTTAAAGACTTGGAGTTTGTATTGGGCTTGGAAGCTAACCACCTGAACCGACTAAAGATCTATCTTTAGACACTACTGGTGACTCTGGTTTAGAAAAAGCTGATATCCTTCTATATTAAGTAGAGAAGTAGTCTATGTTTTATCTCCGACTTTAGTGCTTGTAACGACTAGAATTAGCATTAGTAGTCTAGGGCTATTAAAAATCATCCATACTTTGTATATTATTGATATTATATTGAAGATTATTTTTATTATTTATGGTATTGTTTGGTGAGTTAATGTTTAGGAAAAGGTTATTACTATTTGAATTGTATGTTTAATTTAGAATGCTACTATTATTTGAAATCTAATGTAGCTGCGATTACCTGCTAAATATATGTTTTCTAATCAATTATTACACATTATTATCATTTAGAAAGAGTTTTAGAAGCTCTTCTGGATCAATTTAAAGCATGGTATTTCTGAGTAAAATTTTTTCAACTACTTAATTTGTTTAATCTTACTTTTGAGGTGCTTGCTAACATACCTAACTATTTTTAAGTTCATTAACACACTTAACAAATAATTGATAGTAATAATTTTCAGCTCTTTACTCTCTTTACTATCCTATTAGCTTATTTTTATTTAAGTTTTGTTATGTTTTTTCTGCAGAAGGTGATTAAAATTAATATTGCTTCTTTAAATTTTAAATAAGTTTATCAGTTTCTAAAAAAAGATCGAGAATAGTGAAAGTGTATTTATCGAAAATAAAATTTTTTATAAACTTTTAGTAAGTTGAAGGTTCGTTATCTTAGCCATTATTTTTATTTAAATAAACTTTGATATCTTCCATAAGTGTAATATTTTTCTCTTTTTCGATCTGTTAAAGTTTAGCTAGTTCATTATCTATGTTAATACTATACTTTTTTTTGAAAAAGTCAATATATTGCTCTTGTTTGCTTGTAATCAATTCTAATTCCCTTACTCTATCTCTCAATGTATGGACTCTTTATATAAAACACTAAAATCAATTTCATAAAAAAACTTTTGTAAATTTTATACATTAAAAATTTTATTTAATCTTTAAAATTGCTTTTTTTATTTATTCTTAAAATAGTTCTAAAAAATTAAATTAAATTTATTAAATTTATTTTTTATAAAACTAGATTATCAATTAATCTTTATTTTAACTAAATCATAAATAAAAATATTTAATTTTCCTATTAAATTTGTTGCAATTATTAATAAAAATCTAATATCTTTTTTGAATTTCATGTTGAAATAAATCAATTTTTTATTAGTTGAAATGAAGTTTATTTTTTTTAACGAATAGCTTCTATTTATTCTACTATTATCTTACTCTTTTAACAAAAGTTAAATGACTTATCTAAAGTTAAAGATTCATTTTAACACTGAAGTTGTATATTTACCTAAAAAGCTAGTGTAAATAATTTATGATATTAAAAATATTTTTGATTTGGTTAAAATCTAAATTATATCTTAATTCGATTAGTAAGCTTATGCTTTATAAAAATATTTCTCCTATTTACTTGATGTTCCATTATTTGTTTTCTCTACTCACTTTAAGAAATGCGTCATAAACCTTTTGATATTCATCTTTATACTCTTTTATTATCTAAATACTTGTCTTAAGCTGATTTTATGTGGTTAATCCTTAACCATTAGTGAACGAATCTACTAATTTGGTCATCTATAATTTAACAATACATGTAATGAATTACAAATGTCATTAAAACTATTTTTTAAATATACCTTCTCAAGCTCTAACGAAAGGGAAATAATAATATCTTTAAAGTTTTCTGCTATATTAATTTCATTTTTTTTTTATAGCAGATGAATCTTTTCATCAAAGTTGCTCATAGTTTAATTAATTTTTTGCTTTAAATGATCAATTTCATTTTCATTTATTTCGATCATGTCATCAACATATTTAGTACTATAGGCACTCATTTATATAGTCTCTTTCTTTTATATTTATTTTCTTTATTTCTCTTCATCCATATACTTTTGCTATTTTGAAACTTATGTCATATTAACCAAATTGTGATCAATCATTTTATTAGTAAGAAAATAAATTAGTAAAAGCTTATCTTAAAATCTAATTAAATTTTATGGATATTATTAATTTAAAAATATCATCAATACCAAATAACTAAGAAAATTGTAAATTGAATAAATAAAAATTAGCCTTTCACTTATTCACATTTTAAAATAAGTAAATTAGTTTGTTGTATTTATATCTACCATTTTTTCATTCATATAAAATCCATTTTTATTCTTACTTTAGTTATGAAAAAACTACTTTAAAATGTTGCTTAAAATTAATAAAAAGTAAAATAATTTTTGTAGAAGAAAAAGGTTTCCAATTTAAGAAAAATGTAAATTAATATTAAATATAAAATATATCAGTTATCAAAAATCTAATTATTGAATAAATTATGATTATTTTATACTATAATAAGTAAATAAATTATCTATCTAACAGCTAAATAGCTACTCTGGTAATGTTTTAAGTAGTTTCGGAAATATTGTCATTAAATAAAATGTTTCTATTTATCTTATTATGAGAATAATTAGTTTAATTGATTAATATAAATTAATAGAAAATATAAATAGCATCATAAAGGCTTAAAATTATTTATGGATAAGAAATTATAATTTAAATTAAATATTTAAAAGCAATTTGTTGTCATATATTATTATAAATTTAATTACAGAAAAGAAAAGTAAATGTTTATTTTATTTAATAATAAAAGGAAAAAAATTTTACAATCTTATTGAGAATTATTTTTAATGATTTTTTTATTAAATATATTTTTATAAAAAATAATGAGAAAGTTTATTTATTTAACATTGTGATTTATCTAAAATCTAGCTTTTAACTAAAAGTGTTAATAAAATAAAAAAACTTATTTTAAGTTTTAAAATTACTCTTATTAGGTAGTTTATAATTAAATTAATGAATTTATTTGCTTATTATTATTATAATCACCGTTAAAATATATTTACTATTTTTATAAGATATTTATTCTTTTTGTATTGTTTATTTTCTTCATAATTATTTTGTTTATTTATTTAGTTACTTGTATATTTTAATTTTTGAATATAATACAACTTTTGAATACAAAAGAAGAAGAATAATGAATTTATATTTATTTTATAAATTATTATTCAAATATATTCTTAGAAGATAAAAATATTAATTATAAATATAATAAATAGTATTGATTCTTTCTAATTCAAGTTAGTAATTATAACGTTTTTATTTTGTAAGTAAAGTTGGAAAATTTATCAATTAATTTACAAGTTTTACTTATAAAATATAATTTAAAAACATTATTTTTTTTATTTTCTTAAAATACCCACTTTGGAGAATGAAAATTCTAAAAGAATTTTGATTTTTTTTTATAAAAAATTTAGGTGAAATAAAATTTGCTTACAAATATATGAAATACAAACCAGCCCTACAATTATTTAGTTGGTAAATTTAGTGTTGTAATCCATTAAAAATATGTAATAATTTAATAATCAAATAACAAAAATTAATAAGCTTTTTTAGTATAAAATTGATTATAACATTACATTTAACTATTTATAAATAATTTTTATATTCTTTTTTAATCATTTTAGTATATTTTATATAAAATATTGATTGGAATTAAGTTTTTATAATTCATATTATATATAGATAGATATTGATTATAATTTTTGTGTTTCAATTTATAAAAGAACAAAAATATTAAAGAAGTTTATTTTTTTCTTTTATAATTTGTAGTCTCATTAGTAGAAATATAATTATAAAAAGGATTTCAGATTAATCACTAACTAGATTTTCAAATATTTAAAACCATTTATTTTAATAATTTGAATAAAATTTAGTCACATAAAACAATATAAACGATTCGAGGTAATTATTTATTTTTAAAAAATACTTAAACAAAAAATTAATATCTTTGAGGGATAGTATAATTTAGATACTTTTAAAATAGATTAAACTTTATATTCTTTTTCTAATTTATTATTTCTAAAATAATTTCTGTAAAAAGATATCTATCAATGTTAAAAATAAAAAAATAAAAGTCTTCTATTAATAAAAAAAACTTACATTGTTTAATTATAATTAGAGTTACTAATTTTTATTAATATCAGTTAAAAATTAAAGTTAAGTTCAAAAATTAAAATCTACTTGCTTAGTTTTACATTTCAAGATAATTTTTAACTTGGATAGATTACAGTGTTTTTTATGTATAATTAATCAGACCATAATTTGTTTAGAATAAATGTAAATGAAATTCAGGCTTTATTAAGAAAGTAAAGCATTATAAACAATAACTTCACTCATTTAATTTGTAAATATCTTGCATTTTTAAAGAAATAAAAAATATTAATTTCAGTTTTTGAGTTCATTTAAAAAAATGTAATTCATAAGATTAACTAGTATTTGAATAAGCTTGTCAAATAAAGCATACTTTACTAGAAATGTATTTAAATATATCAAATTCTTTTTTATTGATGTTTTATTTTATCAAAATGGAGATAAGAGTGATATTATGAATGTAAATTTAAAAGAATAATTAGGATTAACCAATTTTATTTAACAATATTTTTACTTTGTTAATGAAAGTGGTGAAATTTATCTTAGAAGACACTATTTGATAAACTTAGGTGAAAAATTAAAATAAAAATTAATGGAAGTGATGAAGGTTCGTGAATTTGGAATTTCTGATGGACTAAATTAATTTAATCAAAAGAAGTATATATAATCCTTTACAATATATCAGGTATAATAACTTACTAAAATTGCTTATGATATAGATAATTTTATAATTTAATCACTTTTAAAAACAAATATATTATTTTAGTTAATTTTTCTTGTTTGTCTCTATTCGATTTCAATACAGCTTGCTATTTTATGGCCACTAAATCAATTTTTTTGGTTCAGTTGAATTACGCTGACAAAAAAAATTTGTATGAAAAGTTTGTAACAAAAATCTTTTATAAAACAACAAAGTATAAATAATTAAAGCATCTAGTGATAATTATAAATTAGCTTTATATGTAAATAGGCAAGAAGGGCCAAAAATAATACAAGCTTTCAATTACATTTTTTATTCAAAGTTTTTTACTGCTAAGATTTAATCAAAAATTAATTAAAAAATGTAATGAATTTTTTGCCTTTTGAAAATAATAAAGTTAAAGTGTGCCTGATAAAATATATCAATAATTAATTGCACTCTATCACTTTTTTATAGACTACAGATTTTATTTCTTTTAAATCTGTAAACAAAAAAAGGACTATGAAGAAAAATATTCTTAATAAAATAAAATCAAGTCTATAATCATATTCAATAAATTTCAAACTTTGCTAATCAATAAATCATCAAATTAATTGTAAATTTAAAGATAAAACAGAATCACTAATCTATCTCGTGTCTTTGGATAATCTATTTTCTTTTCTTTTCTTTTTTGTTTGTTTGTTTTATTTCCACATAATTCTTTTCTTAAAAGACTTTATCTATTATTGCTTCATATTACTAATATTATAAAAAAAAATTATTCGCTTTGTATTATTAAAAGTATTACCTATCTATGAAATCAACATATTTTACTTCATAATTAATTTTAGTTCTCACCTTTAACAAATGTTGATACAATTTAGAAAAAAATATTAAAAATGATATCCAAATTGAAATAAGCTTCGTACAAAATACTTATTTCTGAAATATTTTCAAACAAATATTTTATTTTGTGAGATTTTACCATTCTGTTTTTTTATATTTGCATTATTTAATTGTTTTTATTCTTTTTGACAGTATTTGTTTTACTAGAAAGTAAATAGTAGCTGCAGTAAATACTTTATAAATATTTTAATTAATATTTCAAATAGGAGTGGGTTTTTAAAAATTTTGAAATGGAATTTTCAAAAGACATAGTTAAAGTAAAATAGCATGTAAGATGTATATGTTATTAGATTGTGTAAAGCTCAGAAAATCAGAGAGTAACAGTGTTTCTATTAGATATAATATCGTGAAGTTAGTTTGATGTTTATTGGTAATTAACAGAATAAAAGGTTAACTTTTTAGGAATTTTGGGAATAAATTAATTGTATATATATATAAATAGCATTAAAGACTTTCTAATCAATGCTTAACTTGATTGTAATTTTTTTTACGTCATCATGAGAATTTAATAATTTTCAAATAAGGAATAATGTTAATTGATAAAGTGAGTAACTATTTATGAAAGTATTATAACTTTTTCAGATATTATCTTACTCACTACTTCGCATGAATTTATCTAAAATTTACCTATTATAAACTATTCATTACTCTAAATGGATAATTTTAAACAAAATTTGTCTTATAAAAGGTTTTAGTTTTAAAATAAAAATTTATTTATTTATTTCTCAATAAATAGAATTAAAAGCAATGTAAATAAATAAATATATATTATTAAATAATTTATCAGAAATACAAGTAAACGAATTTCAAAATTTTAATGTTAAATGAGATAATTGCGCATCAAAAAAAAATAAAATTAGGGTATATGTAAGCCTTATATAATTTACTTCAATTAAATATGTGCTAATTAATCCTCTAGTGAATAGGTTTATGTATTAATTTCAAACATTATTTCACTTATTCAACCTAAATATTATTTATATTTAAATTAAGTGAAGAATCTATTAAAAAAGCTTATAAATACTTTAAATAAGTTAAATTCAAGTAAATAAATATAATATTGTAAAAGAAAAAAGACAAACAACTATAATATTTTTAAAGTATTATTCACTCAACAAATCATACTTCTAGCTAACAAAACTATCTCTCAAATGCTTAGAAATCTTTTGCGTGACATTTATTCCAACAAGAAGAATAACAAAAACAATTTGGAAGCTCTTCTCGTTCCTCTAGATACTTAAAACACCCTTCAGAGTAGCTGCTCTAGCTTAAATTTTGATCTTCCTACTTTTGGAATGGTAGACTTTATTTATAATTATATTTATCTTAATAAATTTGAATGCTTAATCGAATTAACCCACAACTATCGCGCAAGTTCGATAAAATAGCACTTATATATATATTTCATTTTGAAAGTTTGTGAATTTAAACTTTAACATTTCTTCATTTAAAAAAATTAGCTTGACCTTAAAGAGTCAAGTTAAAATAAAAACTTAGCTTTATTTAAGCTTATTTCGCTAAAAGTAGCTAATTAATTCATTAATAATATTCTTTGATTATTTGAAAATGATATAAATAAAATCTTTCTCAACTTTAATAATATTTTTTTATATTGAAATATAAAGGATCTGATTATTAGCTAATTCCTTTTTTCTAATACTAATGAAAATAATCATTAATGTTTCTTTTCTGCTCTAAACATTAGTAAGTCTGTATAATTTAGCGAGTTCAGCAAAAACAACATTGTTTCAATATTCCTTCAAAATTCCTCTGCAAGCAAATCAAAAAATACATAGTTTTACCCTTCAATCCAATAATTAAGGTAATAATTTGATTATAAAATTATAAATACTATTAAGCAAGCAATATAAATCCCATCCAATTTTTAAATATGAAAATATTTATTTTATAACTAAATTTATAATTTCTTAATAGAACACTCATAAAACTATTTCCTGTAAATACTTTGAGAATTTTATCTCATATTTTCAGGCTCTCTTCATTGGAGAAACAATAATTTTATCATAGAAAAAATTACTTAGTTAACTTTCAAGGGTGGATCGTAATTTACCACTAGTACTTAATTAGTTAATATTATAATTTTAAAAATGTGCTAAATTATTAATAATAAATCTTTGGAAGCTATCTTCTAGTATTTATTGGATTTTACCACAATAAATATGAAAAAATTTTTATACAACACCATTAATAATTTATAGCACCTTAACAAAAGTAGCTTATGGTTTAATAAATGAAATTTTAAAGAAAAATAAATAATTCTAAAATTTTCTCAACTGATCAAGATAATTTGCTTTTTACATTAATTTTATTGTTAAAAATGTATACCCTTGATAGAAGCTGGATTTTAATTAAGTATTTTAGAGTAAATTTAGTTTTATGGGTGGGCAGCTGAAATAGATCATTTTAATTGGAAAAGAAAAAATATTATTTTGAAAACTCTTGTTACAGATAAACTCATCAATTTCAAAATCTTTTTGAATTACTTACATTCTTTTAATTTAAATATAATTATTGTAAAATAAATCTAAAAGGGAATCAATAGATTTAAATTCGCCTCTCTCAATGATCTAGAAATAGATACTCTCTAAAATTCAAATCCTCAAAGAAATGAGACAAAATGAAAATGTTATCAAATAATGCAGAGAATAAAAGCAAATAGGTAGTTTCGGATTAGCCAATTTATCTCATAAGCCTGTCATTTCATCACTCTTTGAGCTTATAAAAAATAAACCTTCTATCATTCTCTAATTTAAGAAGAACCCCCAAACACTAGAAAAGAATTTCCACGCCGTACATTTAAACAAGGTATTTTGTTACTTTATATTTTAAAGTAATCTAAATATAAATTTACAAAGAATTTTTATTTTTTAAATTATTACACTTTTAATTATCTCTTTGTTACCATAGATAAGTATTTGATTGATTTAATCAAGAATTTTTAAATTTATATTTTTTATTTTGTTTAATATAAAATAAACTCCCTCTAAACCCAATTTCATTTTTACTTGATTGCACCCCGATAGTCATTTAGAAACCAAAAAGGTTTTAAAAAATCCAATTCAATTACCAATTTATAAAAGATTATTAAGTGTAAAAAAATCGATTGCTACAATAACCAACATTTATTCTTGCTTATATTGTATCTAAAAATATTTCATTATTTAATTAGGAGATATTTAATATTATTGAACAAAATCCACTCGAATTCCAGACTCAAGTGACTGTGACATCTCTCCAGTCTTCTTAAATGTAAAAATATATTTTTTGAATTATTTTTTAATTCTTTTGAAATATTATTCACATTTTTAATTAATTAAAAATAGTAACATAAAGACCACAAACTACTTGAAATTGATTGATTTCTTCCTTTAATCTGAAATTGAATACTTGAATAGTGGATTATCAAATAAAAAATAATCTGAAAAATTTGATTTACACATATTATCTTCACAAAACAAGGTAAAATCTTTTTTCTAAATTACAGATGATTACTCTTTTTATCATGCTTTATAATAATAATAAATTTTACTAGCAAATAAATCTTCAAACTTGTTACATTTAATTAACATTATTTTTAATTTAGGAAATCGAGCTTGAAATGCAAATTTTCTAATACGATAGTGGCCAAGAGGATATTTATTATGTGTTTGAAGGTATGAAGTTAAAAGAAAACTGCTTCTCCTCTCTAACTTCCTTGGGATTACTTAGCAGAAAAAACAGTACAGAAATACCTAATAATATACACTCATATGAGCCATAATTAAGAAAGAAAAAAATGAACAACGACCGTAAAGCAATATAAACATAATAAAACTCATTCAAACTATAAACTCCTAATGATGAGTACAATCAAAAGACTTTCTTAATTCTTGAAAATGAACATATAATGGAAAGTTCTACAAGAAACTCTATTGATAGCTCTTCTCTTAAACAACTCTTTTGAACATATCACTCAAACTGAATTCTCCAAATCTTCTCTCCCTACCTACCGTTTAAACTTCAAATAAAATATGCACTTACTCACTACCACTTAAATATTACCAAAAACTAAAACTTAATAACTATTTCTCATCTAAAATATATAAAATAATAAAACAACTAAAATCAAAATAAATTGCAGATAAAAAAAGTGATTTAATCAAATATTTAAATCTCAATTAAGAATAAAAATATCAATAATTTTTGAAACAATTACTCTACCAAATACCAAGCCTTTTGATACTTTAACTTCTACTATCATTTTCTCCTTTATATTCTATCCTTTTAAAATCTCATTAATAACCCATGCAACAATATTACTATATTATTATTTCTCAAAACACATAATATTTTATATTAAATGTCTTGTCATCTTTTGAATTGCTTCTAAATTATCATTTAAATAATTTTTGATTATTCTTTCTTACTCAATTATCAGATTTATTTGCTTTTTTTTTTCCTTACATTTTTTTAAAGAGCAAAAGATTATTATTTATTAATTAAAAATACTCTTTTTCCTTTTGATAATTTACCAAGTTAATTAATTGCAATACAAAATTTTTACATTCTTATCCCTTTAAATCCTGACATTCAAAATTTTATATAACTTTTCATAAAAGCAAAAAGCCCCTTATTCCAAATTAGTAAATTTTTAGTCATAATTTTCTGAAAAAATCATACAAAAATTGTACTAATATTGATTACATTTTTATTGAACATAATTTATTAGGATTTACATAATTCTTAGATTGCAAATTTGAATCAATTAACTAATAGCAAAGAAAATTTACACAAAGTAAAAAATAATAAATTCAATTTTTGTTATTCAAAATTTTTAGATGAAATTAAAATTGAGAAAAAAAATCAAAAAACTCTATTTTCATTAACAAATATTTATAAATAAATAAATTAATTAAAAGACCTGATAAATATAAAAAGGCTAATTATCGATAATCTTAAATGATCTATAATCTACTTTACAGTTTAAATTGATTCTTAGAATATTTTTTAAAACTAAACATTCTTGGATTTTATATTAAACCTTTGTGTATTTATAAAAAAAGACAAATAAATCATCTTGCAAATTAATAAAAGAGGTAATATTAATTATCTAAATTTAAAATAATTCATTTAATTAAAATGTGCAAACATATAATGTTCTATTTTAATTATTTAATACACTTCTTTGTTTTAAGCAGGTTATTTTAATTTATTTTACTAATTTTTTATTTTAAATCGTTTATTTTTGATATTTATTTTAATTTTTATTTGAATAATTTTTTATTTTAAATCATTTATTTTATATTTCTTTTAGTTAGTAATGTATATATGAATTTTAAAGATCTAAGACTTAATTAAAGTACTTTTGTTAAAATATAATAACTCATTATTATATTCATTTTATAATTTCCTATTAAATACTAATAAAATATAGATATCATTTTTAAATTAATTTTATTTTACTTTTTTTATTTTTAAAATAGAATCTTGATACTAATAATAAATTATAAAATAATAAAAAAATTGATAAAGCCTATAATTAAAAGTTTAATTTTATATATAATATAAATAAATACAATTACATAGTTTAATTTTTAATAAACATAAAATAATTTTTTAAAACAGAATATCTATAATTTAATTATTTATTAAAATTTCTACTTCACTCTCGTCTATACATATTACCAATAATATATAAGAATTCTATCTAATTTATATATAAAGTATTATACATTTTATAATTATAAATGCTTGTAACCAGTAATTCAACATAGAATATTACTTTTATTTTTTTAGAAAAAGACATATTTTTGATAATTTATTTGCTGTGAAGAATTAATTTATAAAATTCAACGAATAAATTTACATGTTCAGTTGAAAATAAACAATCAATCAATCATAATCTTTCAATAAAAAATTAAGTATTTCATTTTTTTTTTTAGCTTCTTAATATTAATTGATTTTAATATTATCAATTAATTAATATTAGTATTAAGAATAATAAGATAAAAATTCATCAGTAATTAAAAAGTTAAACAAAAATAAAGCTTAAGCAACCTATAAATTTATTACTTTTGAGAAAATTTAAAGAATGTCTAATTAGTTATATCCTGTAAGATTTCATTTTTTTATAGTTAGAATTTGAGGTAGAAGGCTAAATAACTTAATTATAATTCATCATATTTGTAAAGGTACAAGAAGAAACAGATTATGAACGAAATCAATTTATGAAAGGTTTAACAGAAACTCAATATAATAGTTAAAACTATTATGAAATTAAGAAAAATAATTAAGAAATATCTCCTTAAAAAAAGGATATTAGAAGTAGATTAGGGGATATTTCATCAGCAATTTCATAATTTAGTCCAGGCAAAAGTCCAAGCAAATATATGAAATAATCTGAATAATCTTTTTCTCCAAACAGAACCTAATTAGTTAGATAATCTTTATCGCCATAAAAAAATTAAATGAATTCTTTTGATAAGAGTTAGTTAGAGTCGAGTATTTATGGTAGAAATTAATAACAGCAAATGTCAAGTCCTTTTTAGATAGTTACAAGTTAAGCAAGAAGGATTGAAGAACTTCAAATGCAAGTCGATTTACTAAAATAAAGAGAATGTATTTAGCTCTCTGCAGAAGAAAAGAATTAGCTTATCACAGATTTATATACACAAGTTGAACAAAAAAATACACTGCTATAAAGGTACAATAGATATTATTTAACTGAAACATAGTTCTATTTAGATACATAATTTTTTCATCAAATAAATTGGCAAATTTATTTTAACTTAATATTAGAGAAATAATAAAGGAAATTTGCATTATTTATTCAAAATAGAATTAAATTTATAATTTATATTTAATATATTCACTTGTGAAGTTTGCTTTTTCAAAATATTTTAAATCAAAATTATATTATTTTATTAATTTTATATTAGATAAAATGAAATTATTAGCAGCTTAGAAAGATAAACTTTAGATGCAAATGCTAGGCTAAGAATATTTGAGATTGACACTGAGCAGAATATGATTGAGATAAAATAATATAAAGATGAATTAATGCTTTAAAATGCAAGAAATTAATCATTATAACAAAGTCTAAATGAACTAAGAAAGGCTTTTGAGGAATTACAAAATGAAAAAATGTAAATGGGAGATAATTTTAGAAAACAGTATTCAGATGCTTTAGAGGAGAATCTTTCTCTTAAAAATAAAATAAATGAATTAGAATTAAAAAATAATTAAATATCAAACGAACTAAATACTGCTTTGGATTAAATAATATCTGAAAAAGCTTAGTAAGAGCTTTTAAAGAAGTAAATGTAGTAAGATAAATAGCAATAAGTAGAAAAATAACCAATAAGAAAAATATCATGTGATGATGAAAATCAAATGTATAATAACTTGTCACCTTCTTATAATAACCAAAGCTTTTTGCTTGATGACTTTCACGCAAACACAATTAATATTTCTATGACAAGTGAAAACTTAAGTGAAAAAATGAAAAAGTATTGTGCAGAACTTGATGTGTTTATTGAAAAATTCCTTGAAAACAAAAAATATAGAGTTAGAAGTAAATAAGAGATGAAGTTTTTTACAGAAATGGGAAAAATGATTTAATTTTTAAAGAATAAACATTTAAAAATATCAGATGAATTCAAAGAACAGGTTGATATCATGAATAAAAAAAGCGAAGAAACAAGAGTCAATATGATAACAACACTAGCTCATGTCAGAATCCTTAAATAATCAACTGAAATCACTATAACAGGTCATTTAAAATTGATTTTTTAATATCAAAAATATCTTTTTTGAATATTTTTAAGTGAAAATTTAATTTCTTTAAAAAAATTTTACTTTATTTTTCTTTTTTATAGTTTATTTTTATTTTAAAAATCTAAAATATGCTAATTATTTTTTATTACTACAGATTTAGAAAAAACAATTGATGATCTTAAGAATACAAAAGAGAGGAATTTAAAAAAAATAGAAGAGTAAAATAAAAAGATTTAAAACTTAGAAAATGAAATTGTGGAATTAAAGAAAAAAAATAATCAACAAACTGTTAAGATTCATGAATTAACTGAGCTTAGTAATTAAAGATAAAATAAAATTGAATCTCTTGAAAAGAATGTTAATAATCTTAATGTGTTTATTGCTGATTTGAAGGAGTAACAAAATAAGATAAATGAATCATTTAAGTAAAAAGAGTAATAAATGGAATAAAAAATTGAAGAGTAAGATAATTAAATTAACGTTTTACAAAATAAATAAGAATAACTATTAGCTGAGATAGAAGAATTTTCAAATCAACTCAAAGATTCCAAAGCAAAGGTTGATGATCTTAAGTAGGACATAAAGGACTTGCATGAACAAATGGACACTGAAAAGGAAGAATATGAATAAATAATAAAATAAAATATTTAAAGCATTGAAAATAAAAACTAATAAATTAAAAAATAGCTAGAATAAATAGAAGAATTAACAAGCCAAGTTTAAATACTTGGTGATAATGGAAATAGTATTTTGTTTTTAAATACTTTTTATTAATTTCTTATTGAAACATTTAAAAATAGACTAAGGTCAAGAGGTTATCAGACTAAATTAAGAGGTAAAAGAGTTGAAGTAATCAGAATATAACCTATAAGAGGATCTAAGAACATGCAAAAGAAAAATAATGTCACTTGAGAATAAGTTAAGCAATAATTTCGATGATAGATAGCAACTTGTAGAGTAAAATCAATAGCTATCTGAAGAAAATTAAAAATTAGCAGCAGAGTTAGAGTAAATTTATAATAAATTTTATATACTATTAATACACTATTATTAATCAAAAGTGAGATAAAGCTCTCAAAGAACGAAATAGATATCTAATATCAATAGCTTCATGAGTAAACTCAAACATCAGAACTAGAACTCTCAGTAATCAAAGATAAAATTCCTTTGGTAGAAGAAGAAATGAAGTAGTTGATTGAATTAAAAGATAAAAATTTAGTTTAGATTAATTAGCTGAAGGCAGTCGCTATATAACAGGAATCAAAGTTACTTGTTCAAGAAACTAAAATAAAGGAGTTGGAGGATGAGCTTGAATAAAAGCAAGTTCTTGTATAAATGATGAAAATAGAGTTAGAGCAAATAGATAACTTACACTAAGAGAGCATGATTCATGAAAAAATTTATTATGTTAAGAAATAAGAGGAATATGAAAAGACCATTTTCAATTTAATAGAAGAAAATAAACAGCTTAAAATTTAAAAAGAAACCCTAAACACAAGCATAAATTACCTGAACAAGCTGGACAATTTCTTTGAGAGTGAAAATTAAATTTATTAAGACTAGAAATAGTAAATTTAAAAGTAAAATAAAAAAGTAAAAGTCTTGGTCCAAGAGCTTGATAATTAAATGAAAGAAAAGCAAATTCTGGAGAAAAGAATTTCAGAATTAGAAACCTACATAAACTTGATAATTGAAAATTCAGTAGAGTATAACATAAACAATGATAAACAAATTTAAGAACTAAAATAAGTATTATTTAATTCTTAAAATGAAAATAAAAATGGCATCTAATAGTAATTTTACTTAGGAAGAAATGAAATTCAAACGTACAATATAAATTTATAATCACCTGAAAATAAAACAAATGAAGATTTAAGTATGCAGGTAAACAACCCAATTACTTTCGAATCAAATGAAATTAATTGATCAAACTCTAAATAAATAATTCAAACTACAGAGTAATTTTATATTAATAATATATAATTTAAGATTCTCAAAAATCTATGTTGTAAACTATTATCATTTTTCTTTCTTATTTTGATTAATCTAATTTGGAAGAATTCTTTATAATAAAGTATCTTAAGATAAATGATGAATGTATTTTATTTTAGTTTTTAATTTAAGATTTATTTTCAGCACTTTTTCTTCTAAAATACATAATTTAATTAAATGATTATTAAAATTATGAGCAAATAAAAATCATATATATAAGTGTTTAAAAAAGATAAAATGTATAAGCAGATGCAAAGACATATATTAATATAATTTAATGAATTAATTTAAAATTTTATATAAATTCTAATAAAATATATCTCTCTATATTCATTCATTCTAAAATACTTGGCATGATATTTGAAATTAAATTATGCAACTTTTCTTATATTTGAAGTTGATAGCTAAGTAAATTGTTGCATAATTTTTTTAAAACAGATTTTGATTTCTCTTCACTTTCAAATTTGTCTTAATTCTTTGAGAGCTCTAATATTTCTATGGTAATTTGACCTCTATTTGATTAAGATTATTTTAAAAATTAATTATAACATTAAAATATTTATAAGAAAATTAATAGATAATGTATCATATGTCTAAAGAAATTTTTACAGTCCTATGTATTGTATCTGCTATTGGTAGTTAAGGGATTAAAGGAGGTAGTTGACCTAATTTAGCTAGTAAGCACTTTTGAAAATTTCTTGAATAAAATAGTTTATATAGGTTAGGAAACAGTCGATTTCATTCTAAAAGAATTTAAAAACCTTAATCAAAGCATGTTTAATGTCTTCTGTGAGAGCTACTGAATAAGATGAATTGTATTCATCTAGTAATGTTTTCACAACTGATTCTAAATCATTGATAGAATTTCTGATAAGTTTTTCTTAAGAGCATAAGAGATCTCGAGTATATTTCATGTTGTTATTTTCCATCTCATAGATAATCAATTTTTAAATTTGTGAAATAAACTCATAAAGCATGAAAGTATAGTTGCTGTAATATGTTTTTGATTTGATTAAGGACCTAATATGCTCTTTTTTATAAAATTAGTCCATCATTTAGATATTAAACAAGTCAATAATAGAATCTAATTCTTTTATTAGTTATTAGTCTTTTTCTACTAAGTAATTTTTATTTTGCATCTACAGCAACTTCTTCATCAATTAAATATTTTCGCTATGTTTTTTGAAATGATTGCTGCTTTCCATTCCTTTTATAAATTTATCAACTACTTTAGACATCCAAGCTTAATCTATTTTTTTGAATTGCTTTATCTTCTAATCAAATTAAATAGTTTGATTTGCACTCTAATTAGTCTTAAGATCTTATTCCATAATATTCTCCATATTATATTCTAAATTTTAGTAATTATTGAAAATTATTTTTTTATTTTATCTAATGATATCTATGTAATAGTTATCTCTCCTTCTCACATTATGATTTATACAGTTCATCCAATCTATAGCCTTTTTGTTTATTTATATTTATTTAATTAAAATACTTTTAAATTGTTTTATTTATTTATTTACATTCTACATTTCAAGAGTCTCCATTAATGTTCCTCTAACACTCTTTTTAGGATCTTTAGGTTAGACTGAAAGCCCTTTTTAATCAGGCTAAAATGTATACTCAATTAAGTTGTATATATTCTAGATTATTAAATAGTGTTATTTGTGAAGAAAATTAAATTTAATACTGATGGTTAATCTTAGTGTGCATTAAAATATACTTCAGAAGGATATTCATAGAGCACTGTCTCGCTCAAAAAGTAGAACTTTTTCCCAAATACTCCTATTTGTTAAAATTCATAAATACATAAATTAGTAAGAATGAATAATACTGAACCTTTTAAATAAAAGAATTCTGGATTTGTAAAAGAACTCTGATCCCTTTTGCTGATATGCATGTTGCCAAATATGAAATAAGCTATTTTAATATTTTTATTGTTTTTGCAAAAAAATTTTGTTATTATTTTTTATAAATTATTTGCTTAATTAATTGGATTTTAATGATTTTTTTTGAAATTAAAAAATTTTTGATATCTTACTGTATCTTAAAGTAGAAGTTAAGATACAACAAAGATACTTTATTAACTTCTATATTTTATTTTCGATTTATTTTTTATAAAATTTCAACTTATTAAAAAGATACATTATTTTTTAAATTAGCTTCAAAATCTTTTCAAATTATTTTAAACAAATTTATTTTTTAAAATATTTTTTTTATTTGGAAAAATAATAAAATTATTATTTTGAAAGAAAACAATTAAAAATTTTATGAGAATATTTTTATATTAATAAATTGAATTAAAATTATTAATTATCAAAAATGTTATCATTTATTTTATAATGAAATGCTATAAAAAAAAATATTTTAAAACTATATTCGTATTTTTTATATTTTCAATTAATATAATAAATTATAAATTTTAGTTATTATCTATTGATTGTATATTGGCCTTTAATTCTTAAATTATCCAACAGTTTCAAAAGAAATCATTACTGCATTTTGTTCTATTACTGATTGCTATTTACAGCTACAATAAAATCGTAAAGTGTAAATAGATCTAAAACAGTAGTTGTAGTTCCAGCAGTAATAGCTTACAATATTTTAGGAGTTTAATGATTCCAAATAAATGGGTAGGAGTTTCTTTTATTAGCTAATGGGAAAACATAATTAAAGTTATCGGTAACATACTTTTCAATATATTATTTAATTTTTTATGATTCCTATGAACTATCCTTTATTGTGTAAAGATAAACTGATCCAAGATAACGCATGTATATTCCTTTAAAAGTTGCTCTAGTTTCTCCTTAATCATTATTTTCATACTCTTTAAGGATTACAAAATGTTTATCAGCTAAATAAGGATAAAACTGTAAGCGATTATGATTGAAATGGTTTTTGTTTTAAGTAATTGTTTCTACAGATTTAAAGACAACTTCTTTATACTTAGGATCATTGTAAAAATCAGATAATGCTAGGTAACCTTTCATATATACTCCTTAGTTGTATGTCCACTTATCGTAGGTTTTGTTTGAGCAGTTTTTATTATTATAAATACCATCTATGAAAAGATAATCATTAGTGTCAAGCATTTCAGAAACTCCTATTTCCCAATCAGCAATCGTCTTAACTTTTTGAATGTATTTTACATCTTAAGTATATTCGAACAAATAAGTGCCTAAATCAATATAGAGATGATTAGTTATTGCATTTTTGTAATTTTTATCACAGTCCCAGAATACTCCACCACCGCAAATGTTATTTTCAAAAGCTTTTCCAACCCAACCAAATATCTCATTTGCAAGATCAAAAAAGTCTTGAGTTGTCTTATTCTACCTGTCAATAATATTTTGAACCTACATAAAGCTAATAGCATACCAGAGTCTATCATCTATTCCTACACCATAAGGGTCATCTAATTTTAATTTATCCCATAAAAGAATATCCCTCATTCTTTTCAAATTCCAATCCTATGTTAATTTTAGAATATCTTAATAGAAATTTTGAGGTATTTCTAAATTTAGCATATCTAGGTAGTTGTATAGATAAAAGAAAGTACTGGGAGATGTTCCATCATTCCAAAACTCTCTATAAAATTACAAAAAATTAATTTAAATAAATAATAAGTAATAATTTATACCTATCCATGGTGTGATTGGCTCCATAAAAGCATTGAGAATGATAAGTCAACTTAAAGTGAGGAAACCCATCAATATTACCACAATAGTAATTCTAAAATATACTATCAGATAAATGAGTTGATACCATAAAATCTCTCTAGTTGTTAATAATCTCACCAGATGAGATGATGAATAACAAACTAAAAATAATTATCTTTAACTAATTGGTCATCTTTAACTTAATGATTTAATGCTTATGAAAATATTCTTTTATAATTAATTGTTAATTTAAAAAACTAACACTAAGTTTAATATTCTGATTAATTGTATAGATATGTCATAATAATCCTAATAGTGGTAAATTTATCATATTAATTTGTTTATTTAAAAAATGCTTATATGTTAAAATATAATTTTTAATTATTAAATGATTGTAAAATAGATTTTGCTAAAAATCGATTTGTTTGTTATTTAATTATTTTGATTTTAAATATTATAATAAAAGATGAATTCTTAAATTTTTGGCTTATAAATATGATTAAAAATTTTAGTTATTAATTAATGGATGAAATTTTTATAACAAAAACAAAAAAATATAAAAATAAAAATAAGAAATATTTTTCACAAAATAATATTAAAAAGCTAAAAAAATGTAATTTTTAAATAATAATATTTTATTTAAGTAAGTCAGCTTTTCAATCAAATTAGATTAGAGAAGCCTCTTCATTTACTTTAGTTTTATCATCATGTCGATCATGAATATCTTTTTCTGTTTGTAATGTGAAATTTATTCTTTAATTAGAATTATTGAATGAAGAAACTCTGTTAATTTCTTAAACATTATTAACTCTTAAATTTGGTTTCTATTGTCCTTTTGGATTTTTCTAATTTTTATCAATTGCAATTTTAATTTCATCCAGAGATATAATATTAGGATGAGAAGAAAAGTTTAGGTTTTCCTATTCAGGTGTCTATTAAGGTAATAGGGGAGTATGATTATTTTAATCATCCTTTTTATTATTTGCTTAAATATTTTTAACAGAATCTTAAAATATTTAAATTGACGAATTTGATAACTATTGCTTGTTTTTATTAGAAATAGGAGTATAGTTGTTCAAAAAAGAGTTATTGATTGAAACATTTTATGTTACAGGCATCTAATTTAATTAATATTAGTCATTGGTGTATGACTATTATTCAAAGTTTTACTTCTAGTCTATTTCGAACTCAGCTCTTTTTTTTTCAATAATTTTTTCTACTGCAAAAGTATGATCTTATTATTCTTTCAATAAAATTAATTTAATAAATTTAAAATATTAAACAATAAATTACATGCATTTTAAGCTTATTAATTAACTTGATAATCGGATTCTTAAATGCTTATGCTCAGACCAAGAGCATCACCTTTTTTTGGAAGAACAGTGGCTTCTTTTTAAGCTTTTTAGTTTTATTCCTAAAATTAATTTTTAAATTGCTATGAATTTTATTTTATGATTTTAGATTTTTAAATTTACATTGTCATATAAAACCTTGATGTTATCTTCTAAAAATTACCGTGCTTTGAGATTGAATATATTTACTATTATTTTGTTAAACAAATTATATTTAAAACATATTATTCGATAAATTTTACCTTTATCAAGAGTGTTAATATTTTAAAAATTATTCATTGCTTATGTAGCTATTATAAAATTGATATTTCTTTGTATCAACATCCATTTCTAACAAATTTTAAACTTGATAATTTATCTGTGTTTGAAAATATATCTATATATCTTAAAAGGGAGTATTTTTTAAAGAACTTTTTAGTGTAAGAAGTGGCTAAACATATGGATAGAGAAAAAGAATTTTGATAAACTGGCAATAGCGATCATTAAAATAATGTAACTACAATAAAGGATAGTTATTACTTAGCTTAGATTTTATGATTTCTGAGCATAGTCCTCATATAGATACTGCAAGAAAACTATTAGTGCTAACATGAAATTAGAAATCGTGTCAAAATTTGAAAGATTTTTGTTTTAAAATGGTTAATAAATGAGTTTTGCAGAAATGTAGATAACTAAGATTATCGTGATTATTATTTTTGATAAGGACTATTAATCTGAATAGATAAAGTATCCATTTATTATAACAATTATTGTTTTCATATAAATTCTAACAAATTCCCAAAGGTAAAATTAGTTTTTATACTCTAGATATAAAAAACCATACTTTAACACAGTTCTTGTACTTTAAAGTGATTTTCTTCTTTTTACCAGAAACAAAGAAAAAATAAGTGGAGCCCCAAGCCAAAATATTAGAGAAGGAATGAAAAATAGATTAAAAATTTTTTGAAATTTTTCATCATTGCAAGGTGTAGCAGGATAGAAATTAATATAATCAGTACCAGATATATTCCTACATCTCATAGAGCTTAGCAAAAAGTGTACAGCAGTTGGTTATAAATAATATAGTAAAAGTTATATAGAAATGATGGTAGCATGAGGGTTAGTATAAGATGAAAAGTACTTTGATTTATTTTTAGCTTATGGTATATAAACTATAAAGCTAATAAATTATATTAGCATGTAAACTGCAGCAATATAAAAAAAAGGTAAAACTGTATTTTAAATACCTAAAATGCCTGCATATCCAGCATTATTATTCCATTAAGAAGGATATATGCAAGAAAAAGAGTATGTGAGCTATGAAGTTGTTTCTCCAACAATAGATATACTAGTTTTAATTCGATTTCCAACACTTTCATTCAAATTAACTGCCAACACACTTATTTATAGAAAATTAAGTATAATTTTTATATGAAAAGGAACATTGTCTCTAAAACAAGAGGAGGACACTGGAAGAATTTCCATCAAGCGGATATAAGTTGCCTTACAATAGTGAGTAAATGTTTTGATGATCGTGAGAAGTAATAAATAGGTAATTACTATTAAAGAACTCAATAATACGAAAAAATAAATTAAATTTGACTATAAGCTTCCACATTCTCTGCATTAATTCAATTATGGAACACTTCTATATCTTCTTTGAACAAATATATTTTATATGTTCGAGCTATTTGTATCTTCTACACTCTTATTTTATGACCAGACTAAACCATCAACATCACAACTTTCACAAAGGGGCCCTTTTAAATTATTTTTTATGTAAATTATTAGAATTTTAATGAAAAAACTATTAAAATATTTTAATACAAAATTTTTTGTTAACTATTTTTAATCTTTTGTTTTGGAAAAAATATAATTTGGATTTATTTTAATGTTAAATAGCTCAACAACAATAGCTAAAATATATGAGGTTGATTCATTTATTATTAAAAAAAAATAATTTTTAGCAATATACCTATATATCCTTCTATGCATCCATATTTAGAATTAGGGTCTTAGCTCTTACAAGCAAAGGGCTTATTTTTGCATTCAAGAATATTATCTGATATATCAGATTAGCTTTTCCAAAATCCATCTAAAAGTTGTATTTTATTTGAATCACAAGCTAAAGCTCCTTGTGGGCAAGGTAAGCAATTTTGTGGAGAAGCTAAAAATTGATCATCAAATTTTTATAAAGAATAAGTTCCTTGAGGACAGACGTAACAAGTAGTAATATTAGATGGGAGTTATTGATATATTTCACCTTAGATACATTATCTGAACTTGATATCTACTAAAATTAGCTATTAGCCAATTTGCTAATTTATATTATATTTAAAATATAGCTATGCGTGAGCGTTTGGATGCTAGCTAATTATTATTTAAGAAAATACTATTGCTCGCTCTGTAGAATTATAGCTATTTATATTTGTTAATGCTCTTCCATTAATTAGCACAGCTTAATCTCCTTAAATAAGTTCAAATGAGTAATTTTAGATTTCAGTTACAATTTCTGAAGGATATAAATTATTTAAAAAATTAATTTAATCAAAATTCCATTTAACACCTTCATTATCAACTAATTAGATTCCAAAACTGAATTTACCTCCACTCTGAAGTTATAAAATTTAAATATATTTATCCTTTACTATTTATTAATTATTTTAATCAATTGATTTTAGAAGATTAAGTGAATTTTGTATTGATATTTTAGACTATTCATGAATTTTGTCTGTTTCAATTTTAAAGGCAAATATATCTGTTAAGTAAGTTGCAACATTATTTCCAAAAATAGTGGCTTAATTACTGAAAACAACACGAATAAATAGATTAGAATAGTTTAATTAGCTCCCTGATTAATCGTTTAGTAATCTCATACCTCCTCCAATCAAGGCTTTGTTCTCACTTATTACTGAATTTCTATCTATTTCAATTTAATTAAAGTAATTTGCTAAGATTGCTCCCCCATTTGCTTTTGCTATGTTATTTTAGAAAATACTTGTTTTTATACTTATTTGATTTTTAGTATTGTATAAGTATATAGCACAGCCTGAAATACATGAATTTCTGATAAAAACACTATTCACCATTTAAAAATCAGTTGTATTTATCAGCTGAATGTTTGCTTAATTTAAATAATAATGGATGGTATCTAATTTTACTGTGTCTGTAGATATATAAATTATATAATTATATCTATTTGTATCTTACTAAGAGAAAGTATTATTAGTAATTGTAAAGTTGTATAGATTAATAATTTAATTTTGCTTTTAATATTACACGAAGTCATTATTCTCAACCTGTTTCTAGTAAGTCAAAAACTATAAATTCTAATTATTTTAAAAAACTATATTTTTAAGTTAAATATTTACACAACCTTATATAAGCATTGTAGAAATAGATATTGTTGGTATTAAAGTTATTTCATTTTCTTAAGTTATTGTTTCCTCTAATTTTCTTCTATCTTTTTCAAAGAAATATCTTAACTAACCTTATAGAGTTAATAATTTAAAACAATTTATTATAGATATGTTAGTAAGGGTTGAGTTAAATATCTAACTTATAAAAAATATTCTTGTAATTTAAGATTAAACAACATTTACAGTGTCAATATTTAGGTTTTTAACTTGTTAAATTGAAAAGATAGAATAAATGCTTCTAATTTAGCAATTTTTGATTATTAAATTTTAAATAGACACAGTAGAAATATTAAATATGTTAAAAAAACTATTATCTACTTTCTAATCAAACTAAAGTGAGTCCAAAGTTAAAAAGCTAATAATTAATGAGTTCATGTTGCTAAAATAGAATTTATTATCACTTATCTTATTATTTTAAGAAATTGTTATATTATTTAGAAATACGTTTTAGACATTCTATGGAAATTAAACTGAGCTAGAATCTTCAATGAATTGTAAATTAAAGTCAGATAAGCTAAAGTTAGAGAAAAATTATGGATTTTAGTGATATTACTGTTAACCAAAGGTCTACTAAGTAATATTTAGATAATTATTAGCAATACTTTAAGGATAGAATGCCACATTGAACTAGTATTAAGAATAGAATCTAAAAGTTTAATTTGGCAGCAGTAAATTATAAATTTAAGTCTACTATTTGATTTAGATATTTTAATAATTAATTTAAATTTACGATTAAGTTTATTGTTGAGCTATATTCTAGTAATTTAAAATATTTTTATCAGACTAAAAATCACTATTGTAGTTGAATATACCTATGCAATATTTATCATTGTATGAATTTATGTCTGCTTATAAATCATAAACATTGCTTTACGAGAAGAAAGATAAATATAAAATATTCTATTTTATATATGAATTAAGCAATTATGGATATTTTAAGTTATTCTGTGTTTAAGCTATAAGTACTGCTGACTTGGTAATAGAATTCAAGTAATAAATTTCAATGCTATTTATGTAAAATACTAAAATAACATCTTGCGTATCTGAATAGACAGTGTTTATTTCAATTATATTATAAACATTAATTTATTTTCTTATTATATCAAATAAAATTAAGTCTATTCTGTTGTAGATATTAATTTAATTCTGAGAATATAATATTATATAATTTTTGCTAAATCTCAATTTATTCTAAAATTAAGAAGGAAGACTTCTACTGGTGAGCATTAAGTGTACTTCTTTTTCTAAGATAAATAAAGTAGACTTACCTATTTAGTTAATAAATATTCTTTAGTATAAGCTATCCCATTCAGCAATATTAACTTATTCGATAGGATTTATACTATATAAATAGTTGAATACATTTTTAACGTCTGTAATTTGCTCAGTCAAATCTGGCAACATTATAAAAGTTACATATCCTGTGTTATGAATAATCAGTAATTGTTTAGATGAAATTGCTATAATTTTAATCATCTAACCTTTTGTGTTAATATTTTATATTTAAAATGAAGAAACTATGCTTGAATTTAAACCGTAAACCTATCCATCCTAGCATCCCATATATAAATACGAATTAGCAATAGTACTTACAATTACTCTTTCTTGTTTATTTTACATAAGAGAATCAGCTGTAAAGTTTTAAGTTGTAGTGTTGTAAATATACTAAGTCCCTTAAATATCTTAAATTCTCAATTAAAATAATATTAAATCGGTTGGAATTACTTAAAAGAAATTAATATTTTGCTAAATAGTTGAACTCTTAAAGTAGTTTTAGAAAATCTGTATCTAACTCTTTTGTATAATAAAAGCTGTTTAGCAAGAGTTTAAGCAAAGAAATTACATCACTTGATTACTGAATTATCCTATATATTGCTTTTAAGAGTTTTAATATGAGTAAAAGTTGTTGTTGGAATCTACAAAATAACAAATTTAGTTATTAGTAGTGTTTAAATAGCACTAATAAAAATATTTGAAAAAACTTATTCCTTCAACCTAATTTTAAATTAAGTTATTATATTCTACAAAAAATATTCTTTTTTAATTGTAGACAAGAATTTTATTCATTATTTTTAAGAATTTCATTTTTATAAAATCTCCTTACTGAGGTGTGTTTTAAAATAATTCTTATATTTAATATAACTGTTTAATTATCTTGCTACTTGTATCCCACTCAATTAAGAGTCCATTCATATTAATTGTGAAATACCTGTCATTTAAGCTATCATAAAATGCGTCTGAAACATAATAATTATTATTATTAGAATAAGAATAATAGCTTTATCCTACAATTTAGAAAGATTCCAAGCTATAATAATAAATTTGCCCATTAGTTGACTCCATATAACTTACAGCAATTTATAATTAAGATTCAATAAACAATATACTTGTGATTGTCTAAACGTTTTAATATTAAACTGTATTCATTAGAGTTAGTGTTAATCTACTTATTATATTCATTGATTCTAAAAAATTTAAAATAAAATAAATTAATTTATTATATTAATTTTAAAAATATCAAAAGTTGTTTTTTTTGTTTATTTTATTTTAAATAAATATTTTCATAACTTTTGCTGCATAAAATAATTTGAATAAACCATCAAATAGTACTATAAAACATTTAACTCTGAACTTTGCAGTTATTAAAAAAAAAGGGCTGTTAGAAAAATTTAAATTTTTTTTTAAGGAGTATTTTGAAAATATTTAAGGGATTAATGTCAAAAGTTATTAAGGTAACTAATTAATTGTAATTCAAATGAAAGAATCTTACTGAAATTTAATTTTTAATGAATATTCTTTAAAAAAAGTTGAAATTTCTATTATAGAAATGGGAAATCTTTAAAAAGGATTTGAAAATATCAAAATAAACTTTTATTACTTGAAGTAGAGACAATCAGATAGTCTGAGATATAATAAAATTTTAGATTACCATAGTTAATGATGCCTTGTATATCTTAAGCTAGCTTTTATCCTTTGAAATCTAAAAATCTCAATATATTGTTTCCTATCAAATATATTACTTAATTTATCAAATCTACTTCATATTAAATGTTGCTCATGCTTGTTATAACAACAATAGGATTTAATTGACCCGATTTTATTTATTCTGAAGTAAAAATATATAAATAAACATTAAAAAAGCATACGAAAATCTATGAGTTTAAAAAACAATCATCGAGCTATTTAGAGTAAATCTCAATCGGTTGAATGTTATTACTTATAATAGGAATCGATATTTTACAAAGCTTTTTTTCTAATATATAAATTATCTGCTAACTAACCGATACGTACATTTTTTTAATTTGGTTTATTTAAAATAATTGCTATACAGTAATCTGTTCATCAGTTATGTTAACTAATGCCATTTAAGTATCACTATAAGCAATAAGAATTTTAGTATTAGACTGATCATCTAAAGAATAATTATTAAAGTAAGTATTCTATATTTACTGAGTTGGAATAACAGTTTCTAAAAAAAAGCTATTGAGATTAATAATATTTACTTAATTCCCTAATGTAATAATTTTATTCATTTGATCTGAGTGAATTAGTTATGTATTATTGCTAATAGGTAAAGATCCACCTTTATTTTACTGTAAAATTTCTTAGCTAATTATTTAATTGGCATTAGTAAAGAATAGTTTTCCGTTATCATTAGAAGAATAATAAATCTATTTACTCTAAATATATAAATAAAACAGATTTTTAAACTAGCTCTATGACATTTAAGTATTATAAGAGTTGTATTGAATTTAATTATCAACAAAATTAATTCTCTTAATTTCAAAAGCATCGCTTTAGTCAATTACATTAGACTAGTAATTTTAGTTTTAAACTTTTTAAAATATTGCAGCAAAAGAAGCAATAATTTAGTTGCTGCTATTAATTTGCTGAATTTAAGGATTTAAAACTTAAATATAATTCCCAAATAAAACAAAAATTTATGTTTAAAAAAGAGACTGAATCTTATATATCTCAAAAAGGAATTATTTGCTAGTTTAAATATAACAAAATAAAATTTATTATTCGTTGTAAACTTATATTTATGAGCAATATTTATTTGCATTTCTAGGCCAATTTGGTATAAAATCTAATAAATTTAATTTGTCATTTTACTACAGACTATCGTTTAAGCAGAATATTGCTGAGCTCTAAAAGCTTACATAAATTTAATACTAATTGTTATTAATTAGAAGAGCAATATTTTATATAGCATCGTTTTGAACAATATTATTCCATGTTATACAAACTTAAGTATTCCATGTGCATTAATTAACCATGTTACTATTACTTTAGTAATATATGTATTTAGTTTCATTTGGAAAGAGTATCATTTAATATGTTACTTTAATTACGAATTGTTAGACACTTTCAAAATTTTTCTAAAAAATTACTACATTGTTATCCATTTTCGCTAGAAAGTAATTTGTTGCTTGAAAAAAATGTAATTCAACTTATGAAAAATTTTATTTGACACCTTTAAATTCTACTAAAGAAAAATTTTATAAAGATATTTCTGCTATTCTATCTTGCAAAACCAAAATTATGCTATCATTAAAATTTTCTATATCTAAGCATTAATTACTATTTAAATTGTCGTAAAATGAGTATTTCTAGTTAATAAGATTATTTTAAGTGAGAACAAATATGTGTATATAAGGATTAGCTTTATTACATGTTATTAAATAGTTAAAATTCTGATTAAATATAATTTTTATAATTTAATCAGTACTTTAAAATACTTAAGGGATATTGTAATCTTACAAAAGTTAGTTAGAAAGTAAATTTAAATCGATATCTTATAATAAATTACTATATAAGTAGATTCTATTTTTGAAAAAGGGATTTTACTAGAAATTAACATTAGTCTACTACCCAACTAAGATTGGAATTCGTTTTTACTCAATTAATTGATCTAATTAAATTTTATATACTATAAAATTATTTAAATCACTATTTAGCAAACCTATAAAAGCATCTTATAAAATAATTAAGTATTGTGGAAGTAAATTATCAGGAAGATTAACTTTTTACATTGCTGATACTTAGTTTGCGTTACATTAAAATATGGTTGCTTATTTAGAATATGTAATACTTAAAGTTTTATAATCAATTTATTATGAATAAATATTTTATTGCGACTGAGCTAAAAGAGATTTTTAAGGATTTTAAGTAGTCAAATCAATTGAATATAAGCTATATAATTTGCTATTATTATTGAAGCTAAGAAAAACAAATACAGCAGAGTTTAGTAAGTAACTTTAATTGACACTAGAATTATTTTCTTGACCTATGTTTTGCAAATAAGTCTATATCCTATACTCATTTTTTGCAGAGTCATATTAAATTTAAAGTATTGTAAAAAACAAATAGCTTTAATCAGTAATAATTGCATAATTTATGAAGAGATTAACAAATTTGATGTCAGATTTTAAGGTATAAGGGGGTATTAAATTAACATAAGTATTAGTGTCTATTAGCAATAAAAGTGTGCTTTAAATAGAATCGTCATAAGCAGTAATAAACAATTTATCACTAAATACCACTTGTAACTAAGAGTATTAACTTAAATTTCCTTCATTCAATTTTAATTGATAAAATGAATCTAATTAATTCATGTTGTAAATATTAACTAAACCTACTGAATTATTTTGAAAAAAATAAATCATTTATTATTAAACAATCATTTTTTGTATATTTAATAAAACTAAGTTGTAATCTTTGATTGGTTAGTTTTTTTAGATATCTACTATTTTCGCATATTGATATTAGCCGTATATTATCAAAATACCTAGATTTTGAATTCCATTTTATGAAATTGATAGACTAATTCCACTTATTGATTAAATATTTAGAGAGTTATTTAAATCGTTTTCTATTTAGTTTGTTTGTATTTAAGGGCATTATTTTCTTTACTAGCAAGATTATGAATAAAAATTTGGCGATGATTATTAAGGACACACTGACACACAAATATTTTTATCTTGATCATAAAACATACCAGCTAAACATTTATTATAATTGCATAATCCTGTTTATGTGTTTAGATCAAAATTAATTTAGCATTAATTGCAAGATATGTTGCTTGAAATTTAATTAATTAAACAGCTTTAACACCCTCCACACTACTCGGAGTTATATAATAACTAGCAATAGATGACCTTAGTTAATGAGAGTAAAATCACTTGAAAAATTAAACTATTTTTAAAAGTTTTATACATTAAAACTCAACGATTTTTAAATTAATAGTCTTTTATCGAACTAATAAGTTTTTAATAAATTAATTGAAAAAGGAAGTATTTTATTATTCACTTAAATTTCTAAAGTTAACTTTATTGCTATATTTCAAATATGTAGATTATAAATTTAAATTTATATCATATATTTAAAAACAGAATTTTAATAGAATAATTAAAATATTATATCATCTCAATTTATATAATTTAGACTTTTGAATTATTTATTTCCACTAATTATTATTTTTAATGTCCTTAAGAGACCTTCATACTAAATTGATATTGATTACTAATAATATAATATATTTAACATTGATGTACGATTATAACATTGATAAAAAAGACTTATATTTAAATGAATTAAAAAATGATCATATCAGCATTTATTAATTTTTTACATGTTACAAAATATTATATCCCATCAAAATTATTTATTTTAAAATTCAATAAATAAAGGACTAATATATGGATAGATAGAGCTCAAAGATGTATTTAAATTTCACATAATTACTTAAAAATTTTCAATAGAAAGTTGGTGGATATGTAATATATTTTTCCATACTTTTTTATTAAAAAAACTATTTGGTAAAAATAAAGAAATTAAATTTTTAATAAACTAACTAATAATTAAATCTATTCTAAAGAATCTATTTTATATAAATTAAATTCTAGTTTAATAACAAATATTTTAAATAAGACACCAGCTATAATAAAAAAGTATCATCTCATCAAACTATAAATATAATAGGCTCAGTAGAATTAATTTTCTTGTATTCTTCATTACAAAATATCTAAATGGAATAGGTTTTATATATAGAATTAATTATTTTTAATTAAATTAATAATTAATTTAAATTAAAACATGTTAGTTATATTTACCTCCTCCTCTTATATATAAAAACAATCTTAGGAGTATGGTAAATATTTTAGAGAAAAGTAGGGATGGAGATTATATTAATTAAGGAGAATTTATTGTAGATAAATATCTAATTGTTAATATCTTTAAGATATATTTTAATCTATTTTTTAGTATTAGAATGATAGTAAAAAGAAAAATAAAAATGCAAATGAGCAAAAGATGACTTTAAAAATACTTCTTGATATTAAAAAAACAATATATAAAAAATAAATATTTCTTTTATTTTTATTTTGCAACCAATAATAGAATTTCAAAAAATAATTATTTTTTCTGATACATATATTTTTTTTTTTCAATCTCATTTATCTAAATCAGAATTTACTATATTTTTAATATTCAGTTTGTTAATTTCAAAAGCCATTGTATTATTTACTACTTAAACAGGCCTATTTTCTTCAAATTAAAAAATATCATCAGTAATATCAGAGCTTTAAGACTGTTCAATTTAATTCTAGTTTTAGGCAAAAAATATTTCTTAATTAACAATAGGCTAAGCTTTACTGATTTTAAAAGGAGAGATACTATTATTATTTTATATACTGCTAGAAGTAGCTAAACTAAATAAATTTTTTTTTTAATAACCAGTTTAAGAAACCTTTGTATTTTCTTCAAGTATATTTTTGTCACTATCTTTTAAAAAATTATTATTCCAAAGAGTTTCTCTTTCTTTATTTTATTTGAAATAAAATTTAGACTTAGAAAAGTTTTGAGGTGTATCTTCAAATTTTATGTTTGGATGTACACTAAAATTGTCTAGCTAACTTATGTTTTAAAAGTTTAATGGTATTTCTGTCTGATAGCTTTCTTTTTTTTAATTTTTTAGTTTATATAAATTTAAAATAGTTTTAAAAAAATTTAACTAACTAATTAATAAACTAAGTAAAGAATTAATAATAAAAAAACAAATATTTAATCTAAATTTACAGCTGTTTTTGTTAACTGTAGATGAAATTTAAATAATCTATTAATGTATTTTTTAAGTTCTTATTTGAGCAAGGCTTTTTTTAATTTTCTTCCATAGCATTAATGCTTTCATTTACTTTTACTAAGTAGATATATCATTTTTTTGTACTTTTTTTGAGTTTATAAGTTTAAAAATATAGTTAACTAACCTACCAAAGCAACTATTTAATGAATAAAACTTTAGTTTTATTATTATGTAGATTAGATAAAAGATAAATCCATAGTGAAAGAAGCATATGATAATTTAAAAGAGAATGAATGAATAATTTATATAAATTTAGCTAAGGACTATGCAAAAAATAATATTTAGCTATGAAAAAACTACCAGTTTTAGCAGATACTTACTATAATAGGGATCAGCAATCAAAACTAAGATGATGTAGATAAAAATAATTACTACACAAATCAAAAAAATATCTAGGTTGAGCTAATTAAACATAGTTATTATTATCACTATTAATGTTTTGTAGTAAATAATGATAAACTCCCAATAGCAATACTTTTTTTTATACTCTAAATAGAAATAACCATACTTAAATTTAGTAGTACAGTAATCCATTTTATTTTTTCTAATATGATATCTAAAAATGTAATAAAATATTAGTATTGGAAATAGTATCCAAAACAAAAGATTAGGCAAAACAATAGAATATTTAAATTACTAATAAGATACATCATCGCATGAAAGAAGAAGATTTATGGTTTGATATTTTTATTATCCAATTGTTCTACAAGTTATTGCTTCTGTAAAAAATCTTATATTATCTGGCTAGAAAAAGAAAAAAAGAAAATTTATCAACATATATTTATGATATTTATTAACTTTTAAAATTTTTAAACTTTTTAAAATGCACATAATCAAAGCTAGGAGTACTAAGAATATAATAGGAACGATAGACTAAGAAATAGCTCTGATTTTTTCAATTCCATACATTTAAATCATCTCCGAGCTATATATGCATGAAAAGCTTATTATTAATTAACTTACAGGCATTCCAGCAACTTGAGGTAATATATTAAAAACTGAAGGTAGAATAAAATGAATTTAGTTAGCTAAAAGCACTGATGATAGCTGTAAATAATCTACTAATTTTTTAATATAAAAAACAGATTCATCATTTATTGAACTCCTAGAAAATGGAACTAATCCAATTAAACGCATATAATAACATGTTGAGTTATGTATATAGCTATTCATAAACATTATTACACTAAAAAGGAAATATAAAAGAAATAGAGTGATCGCTAAAACCATAAATAGTATTTGGTATTTTTAATCACTACATTCAGTACAATTATAGTTTTCAAAGGAATTAGTATACCTTTTACCTTTCCATACAGTGCCAAGATAATCACAAGTCTCACATAAAGGTCCCATATATCCTAATTATTTAAGGCGATTAATTATTTTCGCATTTAAAGAAAATATACCATAAAATTCCCTTTTTCAACAAAAATTTATTTATGTAATAAAATTCAATCAAAATAAGTATTTGGAAAAATAAGAAATATAGTATTTTTAAATTGATTATTAAAAAAATTAAAAAATTACCTTAAATACATCCAAATTTACTTGATTAATCTGCCTCATTACATATATCTGGATATTATTAATTACAAGCTATAATTTAATCACTTTATTGATTTATTCTCCAGTATCCTGCTTCAAGAATAATTTAATCCTAAGAACAACTGACTGAAAATTCAGGACATTTTTTACACTCATAATCCTAAGTATCTGTATTAGATGAATTTTAATCTGGAATTAATAAGGAATATGTTCCAGGTAAGCACTCTTAACAAATAACTATAAAGCTAAATTATTTTATTGGAATCTCACCTCTTATACATTATCTAAATTATAAATTTAAAGGTATCAACATAGATTGATATTAATTGCTAATAATTAGCTTTAATGATAAACTATCTGTTGATTAAAGAGGAATATAAGAAAGAGACAACGTCTAAAAGCTGAAAGCCCCAGTTGTTTGATTAAACTATTTAGCTGAAATTAATGATTGACCTTTAATTTAAGCAATTTAATTGTTTTGTGACTATAAATACTAATTCTATGTAGATTAACTAATTTCAATAAGATATTGAGAAAGTTCATCTTAAATGAACTTGGGATAATTATTAGTTATATATCTGTCAACATTAATTGAAAAAATCTTATTTTCACTATCTAATAGTTTTATATTTAGTATAACATTTCCTCCACTTTGTAGTTCAGATATTAGAACTGTATTAGCTGTTTAATAATTTTATATATCTTACTCTCCCAATAACATAGTTTATTCTTGTGAATTTTATAAATATATTTATAATTAAGAAGGATATCTCCCTACATTGTTTCCATAAATATATCCTTGATTATTTTAGAAATGGCAATTGATTACTTCAGTCTTTTATTATTATTAATTAGTTTTCAAGCTTGATGATATAATTCTTAAACCACCCCCAATTTAAGCTTAATTATTACTTAATAAAGATTCGTAGTCTATTTCAAAGTTGTTTACATTAAAAACCATGATAGCACCACCTGAACAGGAAGCTGTATTATTTATAAAGCTTGAATTGAATATTTAAACATATTACATGATATCAGAAAAATAAAGAGATCCCCCTAAAGCACCTTTGTTTTAGGTAAATAAGCTATTAGAGATTCTAACAGTAATAGATGATGAAATAAAGCAATTTCCTTGATTGATATGGGATTAAATTTAATCTATAAAAACAAAGGAATTTTAAATGTTAATTAAATAAATCTGCTGATTCTCATTAAAAGAAGTAGGAAAAATATTATTGATAAGAGTCAAATTTTTAATATTAATATTATCTTAATTTAAAGATAGTATTCCAGAAGACTATTCAAATTATCTACTTGTATAAATTTACAATAATTCTATGTTATCTTGAGCTATATAATCCTAAATTAGCAAATTCATAATTCCCATAAAATTAAATAAATAGAAATTTGTTTAAGTATTTTAAGTGCTTTAATCTACATTCCCTAAATTTATTTGATTTGGATTTTGAACTGATTTTGTACATTTTTCAATTTTAGTAGATTAAAAAGTTACATTTTGGTTTTACTATAGTAAAAACAAATTACCATCTATTTAGCTATTGAAAATACTAAAATTGTATTGTATAACGATGCTACTATTTAGCACTTGCATAAATTATGAGTAATTACTCATTAAATGGCATTTATCTAAAGTCAAATTTTATATGAGAACATAATTACAGTTTCTAATTATGATAAAAGCTGGATTTATTTGATTTTAAGTTAAATTATTTTTATAACCTGTAAAATTAACATTTTATATTTTTAGGTTTTGAATAATTACAGTTTGTTTATTTTCAAATACTAAAGAAGTATTTCCTGAAATTGTCTAGTTCACAATACTTATATTTTGGAGAGTTGTTACATTTGTATTTTAGTTAAAACCTATCTGGATATTTTACTGATTGAAGACAAAATTAAAATTATCCATGTAAATATCAATAGGATAATATTAAAATGTACTAGAATTAATAGTAAGATTATTATTAGTAGTATTTTTCGGCCTTAAAATTACCTAAATATTTATATTATTCAAGAAATCTAATTGTTTAAGCTCTTCTCCAACCAGAACTGATAGCTTGTATTTCATATTACTAGCACTTTAATTCAAAATAATATCTAACTGATTAAATGTATTGCTATCCTCTGTTATTGTTAAGGAAGAAATACACTATTAAGTATTCACAGAAGAATTTAATGAAGAAAATATTCCAAAGCTTAAATATTTTTCAAAAATACTATTTTATGATACTCCTATTAAATGAATAAACTGTTAACTAATTAAAAGTTCAATAAGTGCTATCTTTGGATCAGTTAGTTACACACTTTCAATAGAATTTATTACATTTTATGATATGTCTATGTATGCTGATTCAATTCTTGTTGTAAAAACAACAATAATAATATTACTACTAAGGAGATGAATATCTGATATTCTATCTTTTCTGTTATACCTTCTCAATCTATTTATATAATTAAGATTATTATCAAATACATTTATTTATGCTGCACTAGCAAGTATTAAATAGCTAGAATTCTGCACTATTTTTTTGTATTCATTATCTGGAAAGCTTATGAATTTGAGAAAAGAATTATTCACTAAACTATAGGTATGCAAAAAAAGTTTTGAGAAATTTTTTTTGTTAATTTGATAGAATCATTCCTACTATCTCCAGAACACAGTTTAGTATATATCTGTATACTGTTAGCTTTATATTTGAATTTGGTATGTGGGACCTTTGTTTATGTTCATTCTTTGATAGAAAAAATTTAATTAATTTTGAAAATTTGTGAATTCGAATGATTATTAAAAAACAAAAAAATATGGTTAATTTAGAGCTTTCTTTTGATCAAAAGGATAATAATAAAAAAATACAAGTATTGTGAATATTGAATGATAAAAATATTTATTTTATTTATTTCAAAAAGTAAATTTACTTGAGTATGTGAGGCAAACTATGTACTAACCAGCATATAAGATTTAATTAATTTAACTGCCTATATTTATAGTCTATATATAAACACCTTAAATTGCATAAATAGCTATTTACTATGTAAACACAATTATATTTTAGTAATCTAAATCAATCATTAACTGAAATCCAATAAACTCAGCAGAAACAGTTATAGTAGAAAATAAAAATAAATTATTATTTCTTTGATAAATAAGAATAAACATATGGTTTTTTGAGCAAAATACTGAATTAGATGTAAAAACACATTAGTTTATAGATCCATTTGCATTTTGGGAATCAATTTTTATAGAATTTTAAAGTAACAAATCTGTTTTTACTAAAAAGTCTCCATAAATATATATTTCTTTATAATTTTCATCGATATATACTCCATTAACAAAACTTAGGTAAATTTAATTATTCATATTTAACAAAATTGAGGAAAATTGTCCAGAAGAAAAGTTTTTCAAAACTAACTCATTAGTTGTATAAGCAATAAGAATTTGTAAGTTCTCTGCAATAGTTATATTTTTTACACAAGGAGAATCAGGTGGAGTTTTTATTGTTTAAAATGATATTATTTCTATCAATTAATCAGTATGAATACTAAAACATTTTATTTAATAATTGGTTATAATAAAATAAAGTCCAATTTTAAAGCTTTAATAAACACTTTGAACATTATCACTTAGTAAAAATGATTAGTATACCTTTTATGGACCCAATTTAGATTCAAGTTGTAAAACTCTAACTTCTCCAATTTATGATCCTACGACTATATAATTTTCTGACAAATCTCCTTGGCAAGCAACTTAATTTTGACCAGGAGTATAATATAACTGTTCATAAGTTACTATATTTTTATTTTTATTCCAAATCATATAAACTGAATAACTGGTATACCCTAATGAATTAACTAATAAAATTTAATATTAATAAGAGCCATCTTAGAGTACATCTTAATAAATTTATGTAATATCTATTGGTAGGGAATTAGAAGCTATATATAATAATTCATTTGTACTAAGATCATAGTATGCAAATCCATACTAAAATTAGTTGTAATTATTTGGATTTAAAACTTAGACTATTAAAAATAGTTTGTTATCATCATACTAATATACTTTTAGGATATATCCTATTTAATTTGATTTGATAATCTTTTGTTAGAATTTCATATCTAAGACAATGATATTATTATTAGAATCATTTATTAACAATAAATTACCTATTATTAATAAATAAATCAATTACTAAATCAATTAAAATATCAAAAAAATTAAAATAAATAAACATAAAATAATTTTAAACAAATTCTATTTACCTATTAATGAATCAAATGAAGTTAACATAAAAGACTTTAGTATTTTATTGGTAGATTAATAAATTGAAACATTTGGATTCAATTAAAATATGATTGGGATCTAATCTATAAATTAGTAATTTATAATAGTATTTTGATTGCTTATTAAAATTATCTCTAGGTTTTAGCTGACAAATAAATTTGTAAACAATACATTCTGATCCACTGTATCTATATTACCTTTATAATAAATTAATTCTTTTTATTTGAAGATAAAAATGGTGTTTCCATTGAGGATAAAAAGGTGATCTTGTAAGACTTGTATTTTAGTATAAGCAGAATTGAGTATAGGATAGCTATAAGAGTCAAGTGGATTAAAGATATTAAATATGTTAACTTCATTTTAATACTAAACAATTAAAGAATCTACCTAAAATATTTAAAAATCAATGCATTATTGTCCTGATTTACTTAGCTGATAAAAAAAAACAGGTTGCTAAAGATCAACTGCTTGCCAAACAATTACTTTACCATCACTTCCACAGCTGACTATTAGTTGAGGAGTTTTAAAGTAGACTATTTTGTTTACTTTTTACTAATTCTAGAATAATTTTGCTTAAAAATCAATTACTACTCCTGCTAGAGAACTATCAGTAATATTTATTATTTATGAATTCTAGTATGTAAGAAAAACTAAATTAAGATTTTTTGATTATCCTTGAGAATCAACTATACCATTAGCTACTAACAATTGTTAAGGGTTTAAAATATACGAAGGAATTTATTAAGATTTTTAAAGCTTGAATTCTAAACCATTATTTGAGAGATTTAATATATAAACAAAATGTGTGACTTAACTATTACTATTTAACATCAAAATAGACAATTAATTTTAATTTGGTTATCCGTTAAAGATTAAAGCTTAGAAATCTAATATATTATTTGATTATATAAGCTTAAAAGCTGTTAAGTGAGTGAATAATCATAAACTATTAAATTTCCTGAATTTTATGCAATAAAGTATAGATTTTACATTATATTGTTAATATTTATTGCTATTTATAAAATTTTGAATGGAGCCAAATCTCTGAACAGCTAATTGCATTAAAGTCCATCACTAGAAATAGAATAAATTCTGCTTATATTTTAAAAATATACTAAAATATTGTTGTTAATATTATTTTTGATAGCACTTTTAATTATTCCAGAAGCAAAACCACAAATATAACTGGGAGTTATCTTTATCAAAGATAGTGATTAATCACTATTTTACACTATTTTATAAACCATTATCTGATAACTTAAAGATTATTAAATTATGATATCTTGAAATAATTATATGCTTGATTGGTCTGACAAAGAAATTTAAAAAGATGGATTTGGTAAGTTGATAAACGAAGTAGTATTAAATTATGTGAAAAACAAAATATTACTATTATTATCGATTGAAGTTACTAATAAAATATTACTATTATTTTCAACTTCCATTATTTAGCTTGAAGTTTTTAAAGTTCCTTTTCCTATTTCTAGTACCTTTTAGATAATATTATCTCTAGGATTCCATTTAAAAATAGAATTTTTATTATTTCCAAATAGAAAAATACTATCCCTAAATTAATAGGTAGTGATGATTGAGCTGTCAAATGTGTATTATCTTATAAATGCTCCATTTTTACTATTTATTGCATTAATAAAATTGTTATAAACAAAAAATATATCATCTGTAATATTTGAAGCGTATATAGATTTAATCACTTAACCTTTGCTCATAGATGATATTGAGGTATACTATGTCGAGCATTCGTAAGATTTGCTACATATATTTTATTTTTAATTTATTACACTAGTTTCACTACAAATAGATACACATTTAGAGTTTGCTAGAGATGTATCTTGTTGAAAATAAGTTAGATTTAAGCATTTTTAGTAAACACAATAATTCTACTAGGTATTAAGTGTAAAATCGCTTTCACACTGCTAACAAATATTTTAATTTGTGGATGTATTTGTTATGCATTCCTTACATCCTTATTGGCATTCTTAAGATTTTAGTATCTAAATAAGAGTTACTATAATAAAAATCTAAGAAAAATTAAATGATCTGAAATTCATTTTTAGTTTTCAATAACAATCTATTTTTATGCTTAACTTAATCTTCTATCTTAATTAATAAAAAATTCTGGATTTTAAAGAAAATAATTAAGACTTATTATAAAAAATTTAATTACAATTATTTAAATATATTAAATATTGATCATCTTATTTTCAAATGCACTTAATCAACTTATTTATTTAAATTAATAACTTACAAAATTTAAAAATGTATAGCTTTTTCAAATAAATTTTGATTCATATTAGTTTAAATCCACTAAAAAAATATAGAGTTTTTAATAAATTTTATAGTCTTGGTTTATAAGAAAAAAATGAAAGCATTTTACTTAAATCAATTACTAATTTATAAAATTATAAAATATATCACATATTATAATTATCTTACTTCTAGTTATGAAAACATAATACCTTTGTTATCCTAGCTTTAGTATTGCATGAGAGTTTTCAATTCGTATGTTTAAACCATTTATGTAAAAAATTATTTTGGCGTTATTTCTAAGTCACATATTTATTTTACTAACAATTTATTTGGTTCATCAAATTCTACTACAACACCTTAATCCATTACAATAACTTTATCGTAGTTTGCTATTGTATTTAAGCGATGAGCAATTGTAAATGTAGTAGATCATGTAAATTGAGTTTATATTGCTTCCTATATAAATTAATCAGTTTTCAAGTCAACATTGGCTGTAGCTTCATCAAGGATTAATATTTTACTATTTTTTAAAAATTCTATAGCCAAACATATTAGTTATTTTTAACCAGTTGAAATAATACTTTAAACATTAGTCATATCTGTATTTAGTCTGTTTGGTATTTTTTTATAATTTCTTCTAAGTTTGTTTATTTCAGAGATTACCAAATTTAATCTTCACTATATTCATCTAAAGGATATAAATTTCTTCTAACAGTTCCATTAAATACACACGGCATTTAAGAAATGATACTCATAGAGTTTCTTACTGTGTTAAGGCAAATTCTTTTGATATCTATATCATCTATCATCACAAGACTACCATATTCAACAGGAACCATTCGAAAAATAACTTATATAACTGATGATTTTCCTGCTCCAGTTCTTCCTACACAACCAACCCTTTCTCCTCCTTTTATAGTGAAGCTACATCCTTATAGAACTTAATCAAGACCTTTTCTTTATTTTATCTAAAGATTTTAGGGAACAATATTATCTCTTTTAATACACGATTACCTTTTAAAAGTTTTTAAATTAATCATATTTTATTTCTTTTCTGTTGTTTCTTACTAATTGTATAATTTGTAATTTAAAGGCTTTATTTATTCATCTTCTTTGGAGTTTATAAATTTGTAACTCAAGATCAATTGAGGATATATAAATAAACTGTTGAATAACCAAGCTTATCTGAGCTAGAAGATGTATAAATGCTTAATATAATTCCTTTAAGATTAAAATTATGGTTTTCATTTGCTAATTAAAAGCAAAACCTCTATTAAAGCTCCAGAATTCTTAATTTGAGCAAACTGAATCATTAAGAATTTTACACATATTTGTAAAGAAGTTTTTAGCCTATTAATAAATTCTTATGTGAATAATTCCTTAAACTGTACTAGAAAAATATTCATAAATAGGATGTTTTTTCATTAAATACATATATTTAATAATTTTTGATAGATAAAAATATATTAATCTTTTATGTATTTTATTGGTGGATATTTTATTAAAAAAATTATTGATAAAAACTAAAAAATTAAATTGAGGAAAACATTTTTAGTAAATAGTATGTGTGGGATGTTTTTTTAATTAACGAAGATTAATAGTATATAAAATATACTATTGTTAATTTAATTATGCAATATTTTAATCTAATTTTTAGTCTTAGAATAATAATAAAAAGAGTAAAATGATTATGTAAATGAGCTAATTAACCTCTCAATAATTTATATTTTTTAAGAAATATCTTAATATAGAATAAGTAACATATATAAAAAAATAATTCCTTCTTTAATGTTTAATTTATGCATTCAAGAATAGAATTTGAAAGAATATTTATTTTTCTATCATAAATATATTTATTTTTTTCAAACTTATTTATCAAAATCAGAGTTTGATATATTATTAATTTTCAGCTTGTTTTTGTCAAAGGCCTTTGTATTATTTAATACTTAAACAGGCCTATTTTCATCAAATTAAAAAATATCATCAGCAATATCAGAGCATTAAGATTGTTCAATTTGATTCTAGTTTTAGACAAAAAAAATTTCTTAATTTACGATAGGCTAAGCTTTGCTGATAATAAAAGGAGAAATACTCATATTATTTAAAACTCTGTCTGGATTAACTAAACTAAATTAAAATTTTTTTTAATAACCAATTTATGAAACCTTTGAATTTTCATCAAGTATATAATCTTTATCACTATCTTTTAAAGAACTAGTATTCGAAAGAGTTTCTCTTTCTTTACTTTATTTGAAATAAAACTTAGACTTATAAATGTTTTGAGGTGTATCTTCAAATTTTGTGTTTGGTTGTACACTAAAATTGTCTAGCTAACTTATATTTTAAAAGTTTAGTGGTATTTCTGTCTGAGAGCTTTCTTTTTTTTAGTTTATTACTTTTTATAAATTTAAAATAATATTTTTAAATTGTAACTAACTAATTTATTTACAAAGTAAATAATTCAAAAAAAAAAAAAAAAAACAAATATTTAATCTAAATTTACAATGTATGTTGCTTTTGTTTGCCATAGTTGAAATTTGAATCATCTGTTATTGTATTTTTTATGCTCTTATTTGAGCAAGGCTTTTTTTAATTTTCTTCCATAGCATTAATATTTTCATTTATTTTTACTAAATAGGTATTTAATTTCTTTGTGCTAATTTTGAGATAAAAATTAAAATAATTTTTTTAACTAATCTACCTAAGCAACTATTTAATGAATAAAACTTTAGTTTTATTACAAAGCAGATTAGATAAAAGATTAATCCATAATGTAGGAAGCATATGATAATTTAAAGGAGAATGAATTAATAATTGGCATAAATTTAGCTTAGAACTATGTTAAAAATAATATTAAGCTATGAAAAAATTTCTAGTTTGAGTAGATTTTTACTTTAAAAGGGATCTGCCATCTAAACTAATAGAATGTAGATAAAAATTATTACTACACAAATCAGATACATAACTAAGTTGAGCTAATTAAACATGGTTACTATTATCACTATTAATGTTTTATAGTAAATAAAGATAAACTCCCAATAGCAATACTTTTTTTTAAACTCTAAATAGAAATAACCATACTTAAATTTAGTTGTACAGTAATCCATTTTATTTTTTCTAATATGATATCTAAACATATAATAAAATATTACTACTGGAAAAAGTATCCAAAACAAAAGATTAGGCAGAATAATAGAATATTTAAATTTTTAGTAAGACTTATCATCACATGAAAGAAGAAGATTTATGGTTTGATATTTTTATAATCCAATTGTTCTACAAGTTATTGCCTCTGTAAAAAATCTTATATTATCTGGCTAGAAAAAGCAAAAAAGAAAATTAATCATTATATATTTATGATATTTATTAACTTTTAAAAATTTTAAACTTTTTAAAATGCATAAAACCAAAGCTAAGGATAGTAAGAATATAATAGGTACAATAGACTAAGAAATAGCTCTGATTCTTTCAATTCCATACATTTAAATCATCTCCATGCTATATATGCATGAAAAGCTTATTATTAATTAACTTACAGGCATTCCAGCAACCTGAGGTAATATATTAAAAACTGAAGGTAGAATAAAATGGATTTAGTTAGCAAATAGCACTGATGATAGCTGTAAATAGTTTACTAATTTTTTAATATAAAAAATAGATTCATCATTTATTGAACTCCTAGAAAATGGAACAAATCCAAATAAACGCATATAATAGCAAGTTGAATTATGTATATAGCTATTCATAAACATGATTATGCTAAATAGAAAATATAAAAGAAATAGAGTGAATGCTAAAATCACAAATAGAATTTGGTATTCTTATTAACTACATTCATTACATTTATAGCTTTCAAAGGAATTAGTATACCTTTTATTTTTCCATACAATACCAAGATAATCACAAGTCTCGCATAATGGTCCCATATATCCTAGTTATTTAACATGATTAATTATTATCAAACAAAAATTTAAAAATATTAAAAGTACCATAAAATTCCCTTTTTTCAACAAAAATTTATTTATTTATTTATTTAATGAAAGTCAACCATCAGAAAAAATGTTAAAGCAATTTTACATAAAATTTTAACTGGGAAAATAAGGAATATGGTATTTTTAAATGTATGTTTAAAAATATAAAAATATTACCTTAAATACATCCAAATTTACTTAACTAATCAGCCTCATTACATATATCAGGATATTATTAATTACATGCTATAATTTAATCACTTTATTAATTAATTCTCCAATAACCTGCTTCAAGAATAATTTAATCCTAAGAACAACTTACTGAAAATTGAGGACATTTTTTACATTCATAATCTTAAATATCTATATTAGATGAATTATAGTCTGGAATTAATAAGGAATATGTTCCAGGTAAACATTCTTAACAAATAACTACAGAGTTAAATTATTTTATTGGAATCTCACCTCTTATACATTTTCTAAATTATAAATTTAAAGGTATCAACATAGATTGATATTAATTGCTAATAGTTAGCTTCAAAGCTAAGCTATCTGTTGATTAAAGAGGAATATAAGAAAGAGATAAAGTCTAAAAGCTGAAAGAGTTAGTTGTATAATTAAACTATTTAGCTGATATTAATGACTGACCTTTAATTTAAGCAATTTAATTGTTTTGTGACTATAAAGACTAATTCTATGTAGATTAACTAATTTCAATAAGATATTGAGAAAGTTCATCTTAAATAAGTGAGGGATAATTGTTAGCTATATATTTGTCAACATTAATTGAAAAAATCTTATTTTCACTATCTAATAGTTTAATATTTAGTATAATATTTCCACCACTTTGTAGTTCAGATATTAGAACCATATTAGCTGTTTAATAGTTTTATATATTTTACTCTCCTAATAATATATTTTATTTTTGTGCATTTTACAAATATATTTATATTAATGAAGGATATCTCCCTATGTTATTTCCATAAATATATCCTTGATTATTTTAAAAATGGCAACTAACTGCTTCAGTCATTTATTATTATTAATTAGTTTTCAAGCTTTATGATATAATTCTTAAACCACCTCCAATTTATGCTTAATTATTACTTAAAAAGGATTCGCTATCTATTTGAAAGTTGTTTACATTAAAAACCATGATAGCACCACCTGAACAGGAAACTGTATTATTTATAAAACTAGAATTGAATATTTAAACATATTATGTGATACCAGAAAAATAAAGAGATCCGCCTAAAACACCATTGTTTTAGGTAAATAAGCTTTTAGATATTCTAACAGTATTAGATGATGAAATAAAGCAATTTCCTTGATTGATATGGGATTAAATTTAATCTAAAAATACAAAGGAATTTTAAATGTTAATTAAATAAATCTGCTGATTCTCATTAAAAGAAATAGGAAAAATATTATTGATAAGAGTCAAATTTTTAATATTAATATTATCTTAATTTAAAGATAGTATTCCTGAAGACTATTAAAACTATCTACTTGTATAAATTTACAGTAATTCTATGTTATCTTGAGCTATATAATCCTAAATTAGCAAATTCGTAATTCCCATAAAATTAAATAAATAGAAATTTGTTTAAGCATTTTATGTGCTTTAAGCAATAGTTTCTAAATTTATTTAATTTTAACTTTGAACTGATTTTGTACATTTTTCAATTTTAGTAGATTAAAAAGTTACATTTTGGTTTTACTATAGTAATAACAAATTACCATCTATTTAGCTATTGAATATACTTAAATTTTAAATTATAACCATGCTACTATTTAGCACTTACATAAATAATGAATAATTACTCATTAAATAGCATTTATCTAAAGTCAAATTTTATATGAGAACATAATTACAGTTTCTTATTAAGATAAAAGCTGGATTTATTTGATCTTAAGTTAAATTATCTTTATAACCTGTAAAATTAACATTTTATATTTTTAGGTTTTGAATAATTACGGTTTATTTATTTTCAAATACTAATGAAGTGTTTCCTAAAATTGTCTAGCTCACAATATTTATATTTTGGAGAGTTGTTACATTTGTATTTTAGTTAAAACCTATCTGGATATTTTACTAATTGAAAACAAAATTAAAATTATCCATGTAAATATCAATAGGATAATATTAAAATGTACTAGAATTAATAGTAAGACTATTATTAGTAGTATTTTTCGGCCTTAAAATTACCTAAATATTTTTATTATTCAAGAAATCTAATTATTTAAGCTCTTCTCCAACCAGAACTGATAGCTTGTATTTCATATTACTAGCACTTTAATTCAAAATAATATCTAACTGATTAAATGTATTGCTATCCTCTGTTATTGTTAAGGAAGAAATACACTATTAAGTATTCACAGAAGAATTTAATGAAGAAAATATTCCAAAGCTTAAATATTTTTCAAAAATACTATTTTATGATACTCCTATTAAATGAATAAACTGTTAACTAATTAAAAGTTCAATAAGTGCTATCTTTGGATCAGTTAGTTACACACTTTCAATAGAATTTATTACATTTTATGATATGTCTATGTATGCTGATTCAATTCTTGTTGTAAAAACAACAATAATAATATTTCTACTAAGGAGATGAATATCTGATATTCTATCTTTTCTGTTATACCTTCTCAATCTATTTATATAACTAAATTTTATAAAATAAATTTTAATAAAGCTTTAAAAAATTTTTTAAATAGTTTTAAAATATATATTTTTATAATTTGTAATTTACCAAATAATATTTTAATTTAAACAAATGAATTATCTAATAATTATATAAAATTTTAGCATATTTTATTATTCCTTTTCTTAATATTCTTAAGAAAAAAAGAAGTATTAAATTTACTTTATAAATTAAATGAAAATATTTTAAAATTAAATAAAAGAACTTTCTATTTTTATTGAATTTCAACTTCAATAAAAATAAATAAAAATATAATATTATAATTAATAAACTATAAAAAAAATAAATAAATGAATTTAAAATTATTAATTTTATTTTCAAAATAATAAAAAAGGCTTAAATATTTAATTTTAATATTAAAATTCTTAAAATAATTAAACTATTTAAGCACTTCCAAGAATTTTCATCATAGAAGTGCTATATTATCATTATTATTTCTAAATATTTTTTTAAATCTCTTTCTAATTTACTAACCTAAATTTCCACTCATTAATTTTTGATAATTTTAGTCATAAGGGTACTTCATTCATGAATTACATCAAAAATCAAAGGATAAAAGTGATGAAAATTTTTTAATTTGTTATTCATATACTCTTAAAAGTTTTAGCAGTGAAATATTATGCATGAATAAAAACTATATTTAAAAGATAATATCTTTTATTTTTTAAGTTTTCTTAATTTTGATGAATGATATAAAAAAAAAAAATATGGTTAATTTAGAGATTTGTTTTGATCAAAAGGATAATAATAAAAAAAGACAAGTATTGTGAATATTTAATAATAAATAATATTTTTTTAATTATTTCAAAAAGTAAATTTACTTGAGTATGTGAGGCAAACTATGTACTAGCCAGCATATAAGATTTAATTAATTTAACTGCCTAGATTTATGGTCTATATATAAACACCTTAAATTGCATAAATAGCTATTTACTATGTAAACACAATTATATTTTAGTAATCTAAATCAATCATTAACTGAAATCCAATAAGCTCAGCAGAAACAGTAATAGTAGAAAATAAAAATAAATTATTATTTCTTTGATAAATAAGAATAAACATATGGTTTTTTGAGCAAAATACTGAATTAGATGTAAAAACACATTAGTTTATAGATCCATTTGCATTTTGGGAATCAATTTTTATAGAATTTTAAAGCAACAAATCTGTTTTTACTAAAAAGTCTCCATAAATATATATTTCTTTATAATTTTCATCAATATATACTCCATTAACAAAACTTAGGTAAATTTAATTATTCTTATTTAACAAAATTGAGGAAAATTGTCCAGAAGAAAAGTTTTTCAAAACTAACTCATTAGTTGTATAAGCAATAAGAATTTGTAAGTTCTCTGCAATAGTTATATTTTTTATACAAGGAGAATCAGGTGGAGTTTTTAATGTTTAAAATGATATTATTTCTATCAATTAATCAGTATGAATACTAAAACATTTTATTTAATAATTGGTTGTAATAAAATAAAGTCCAATTTTAAAGCTTTAATAAACACTTTGAACATTATCACTTAGTAAAAATGATTAGTAAACCTTTTAAGGACCTAATTTAGATTCAAGTTGTAAAACTCTAACTTCACCAAGTTATGATCCTACGACTATATAATTTTCTGACAAATCTCCTTGGCAAGCAACTTAATTTTGACCAGGACTAAAATAAAACTGTTAGAAAGTTACTATATTTTTATTTTTATTCCAGATCATATAAACTGAATAACTGGTATACCCTAATGGATTAACAAATAAAATTTAATATTAATAAGAGCCATCTTAGAGTACATCTTAATAAATTTATGTAATATCTATTGGTAGGGAATTAGAAGCTATATATAATAATTCACTTGTACTAAGATCATAGTATGCAAATCCATACTAAAATTAGTTGTAATTATTTGGATTTAATACTTAGACTATTAAAAATAGTTTGTTATCATCATACTAATATACTTTTAGGATATATCCTATTTAATTTGATTTGATAATCTTTTGTTAGAATTTCATATCTAAGACAATGATATTATTATTAGAATCATTTATTAACAATAAATTACCTATTATTAATAAATAAATGAATTACTAAATCAATTAAAATATCAAAAAATTTAAAATAAATAAATATAAAATACTATTTAACCAATTACAAAATTGATTCTAATTACCTATTGATGAATCAGATGAAATTAACATAAAAGACTTTAGTATTTTATTGGTAGATTAATAAATTGAAACATTTGGATTCAATTAAAATATGATTGGGTTCAAATCTATAAATTAATAATTTATAATAGTATTTTGATTGCTTATTAAAATTATCTCTAGGTTTTAGCTCACAAAGAAATTTGTAAACAATACATTCTGATCCACTGTATCTATATTACCTTTATAATAAATTAATTCTTTTTATTTGAAGATAAAAATATTGTTTCCATTGAGGATAAAAAGGTGATCTTGTAAGACTTGTATTTTAGTATAAGCAGAATTGAGTATAGGATAGCTATAAGAGTCAAGTGGATTGAAGATATTAAAAATGTTAACTTCATTTTAATACTAAACAATTAAAGAATCTACCTAAAATATTTAAATATCAATACATTATTGTCCTATTTTACTAAGTTGATAAAAAAAGACAGGTTGCTAAAGATCAACTGCTTGCCAAACAATTACTTTACCATCACTTCCACAGCTTACTATTAGTTGAGGAGTTTTAAAGTAGACTATTTTATTTACTTTTTACTAATTCTAGAATAATTTTGCTTAAAAATCAATTACTACTCCTGCTAGAGAACTATCAGTAATATTTATTATTTATGAATTCTAGTATGTAAGAAAAACTAAATTAAGATTTTTTGATTATCCTTGAGAATCAACTATACCATTAGCTACTAATAATTGTTAAGGGTTTAAAATATACGAAGGAATTTATTAAGATATTTAAAGCTTGAATTCTAAACCATTATTTGAGAGATTTAATATATAAACAAAATGTGTGACTTAATTATTACTATTTAAAATCAAAATAGACAATTAATTTTAATTTGGTTATCCGTTAAAGATTAAAGCTTAGAAATCTAATATATTATTTGATTATAAGCTTAAAAGCTGTTAAGTGAGTGAATAATCATAAACTATTAAATTTCCTGAATTTTATGCAATAAAGTATAGATTTTACATTATATTGTTAATATTTATTGCTATTTATAAAATTTTGAATGGAGCCAAATCTCTGAACAGCTAATTGCATTAAAGTCCATCACTAGAAATAGAATAAATTCCGCTTGTATTTTAAAAATATACTAAAATATTGTTGTTAATATTATTTTTGATAGCACTTTTAATTATTCCAGAAGCAAAACTACAAATATAACTGGGAGTTATCTTTATCAAAGATAGTGATTAATCACTATTTTACACTACATTATAAACCATTATCTGACAACTTAAAGATTATTAAATTATGATATCTTGAAATAATTATATGCTTGATTGGTCTGACAAAGAAATTTAAAAAGATGGATTTGGTAAGTTGATAAACGAAGTAGTATTAAATTATGTGAAAAACAAAATATTACTATTATTATCGATTGAAGTTACTAATAAAATATTACTATTATTTTCAACTTCCATTATTTAGCTTGAAGTTTTTAAAGTTCCTTTGCCTATTTCTAGTACCTTTTAGATAATATTATCTCTAGGATTCCATTTAAAAATAGAATTTTTATTATTTCCAAATAGGAAAATACTATCCCTAAATTAATAGGTAGTGATGATTGAGCTGTCAAATGTGTATTATCTTATAAATGCTCCATTTTTACTATTTATTGCATTGATAAAATTGTTATAAACAAAAAATATATCATCTGTAATATTTGAAGCGTATATAGATTTAATCACTTAACCTTTGCTCATAGATGATATTGAGGTATACTATGTCGAGCATTCGTAAGATTTGCTGCATATATTTTATTTTTAATTTATTACACTAGTTTCACTACAAATAGATACACAATTAGAGTTTGCTAGAGATGTATCTTGTTGAAAATAAGTTAGATTTAAGCATTTTTAGTAAACACAATAATTCTACTAGGTATTAAGTGTAAAATCGCTTTCACACTGCTAACAAATATTTTAATTTGTGGATGTATTTACTATGCATTCCTTACATCCTTATTAGCATTCTTAAGATATTAACATCTAAATAAGAGTTACAATAATAAAAATCTAAGAAAAATTAAATGATCTGAAATTCATTTTTCAGTTTTCAATAACAAACTATTTTTTGCTTTTCTTAATCTTCTATTTGAATTAATAAAAAACTTTGGATTTTAAAAATGTTAATTATGGCTTTTTTATAAAGAAAATTTTATTGCAATTATTTAAATTTATTAAATATTGATCATCTTATTTTCAAAAACACTTAATCAATTAATTAAAATCAACAATTCATTAATTTTAAAAATTTAATGGGATTTTAAAAGAATTAGAAATATTTAAATTCCACTAAAATATTTTTGAAATTTTAATATCTTTTGCTAGACTTTGTTTAACTGAAAAAAATGAAGTAATTATTACTTAAATCAATTACAAATTTATAAAAATATAAAATTTATCACATATTATAATTATCTTACTACTAGTTATGAATTTCATAATATTTTTGTTATGCTATCTTTAGTATAGCTTGAGAGTTTTCATATCCTGTGTTTTAAACCATTTAAGCAAAAATTGATTCTGATGTTATTTCTAAGTCACCTATTTATTTTACTAACAATTTATATGGTTCATCAAATTCTGCTACAACACCTTAATCCATTACAATAACTTTATCGTAGTTTGCTATTGTATTTAAGCGATGAGCAATTGTAAATATAGTAGATCCTGTAAATTGAGTTTATATTGCTTCCTATATAAATTCATCAGTTTTCATATCAACATTTGCTGTAGCTTCATCAAGGACTAATATTTTGCTATTTTTTAAAATTGCTCTAGCCAAACATATCAGTTATTTTTATCCTGTTGAAAAAATACTTTAAACATTAGTCATATCTGTATTTAATCCGTTCGGCAATTTTTTTATAGTTTCTTCTAAGTTTGTTTATTTCAGAGATTACCAAATTTAATCTTCACTATACTCTTCTAAAGGATCTAAATTTCTTCTAACAGTTCCATTAAATACAAACGGCATTTAAGGTATGATACTCATAGAGTTTCTTAATGTGTTAAGGCCAATTTGTTTGATATCTATATCATCAATCATCACAAGACTACCCTGTTCAACAGGAACCATTCGAAAAAGAACTTATATAATTGATGATTTTCCTGCTCCAGTTCTTCCTACACAACCAACCCTTTCTCCTCCTTTTATAGAGAAGCTGCATCCTTTTAGAACTAAATCAAGATCTTTTCTATATTTCATCTGAACATTTTAGAAAACAATATTACCTTTTTTAATCCACGATTACCTTTAAAAATTTTTAAAAATAATTATATTTTATTTATTTTCTGCTGTTTCTAACTCATTATATAATTTATAATCTAAAGGCTTTATTTATGCATCTTCTTGAGGAAGTTTACAAATTTGTTACGCACGATCAACTGAGGACATGCAACTATCAAGATTTGGAATTTATCTAGAAAGAGATGCAATTACATCAATAATTTAAGTTAAATAAACTATTGATTAACCAAGCTTGTCTGAGCTAGAAGATGTATAAATGCTTAATATAATTCCTATAAGACTAAAAATTATGGTTGACATTTGCTAATTAAAAGCAAAACCTCTATTAAAGCTCCAGAATGCATAATTTGTGCGAACTGAATCATTAAGAATTTTACACATATTTGTAAAGAAGTTTTTACCCTGTTAGTAAATTCTTATGTGAATAATTCCTTAAACTGTACTAGAAAAATATTCATAAATAGGACTCTTATACATTAAATCAAGTTATTTACTCTAAACTATTAAAGGGAGATTATATTTTAACAAAAATATTGTAGAAAAAATCATAAATATCGCAATAATGAAAAACCATGGATTTAAAACCCCAACTGTAATACAAATATTCAGAAGCTGCAAAGGGCCTTCTATGCTATCAAATAGCATAAAAGGAAGCATTAAATCAGTATTTCCTATATCACTTGAGAATCTGTTTAAAATTCGCCCTGATGGAGTTTAATCAAAGTATAAAATAGGAGCTTTAGTAAGCTATGAAAACATCTGATTATGCAAATTTCTATTACAAATATTAGTTATGAGTACAGTTAAAATGTATTTAGATATACAAATAACTATAAAACAACCCATCAAGATACCTGATTCATAAAACAATTAGGATTTATTATCATTTTAATCATAAGAACCAAAAGTAAAATAGAAAGAAGAATATATGCCTTCGCTTAAAATGTATAGAAGTAGAACTAAAAAAATTTTATAAGAACTTTAAGCATGCCTAAAATAGGTTTAGTATGTTTTTAAAGATAAGTCAAACTTTTCATCCTTTTCTTAAATAATAAGCTTTCCTTTTTTTTCTTTTTCTTCTTTAAGCTTCTTTTCTAAATCTTTTTCAAAGTTTTGTTGTTTTTATTAACTTAACGATTAAACCTATTTTGATTCTTTCTTTTCTTATTAGCTTATTGTCAGATTTAATGAAAGTTATTCTTTGTTTTAACTAAAATGTTCTTGATTAGACATGCTAAGAAGTATATTTTCTAAATCCTAAAATGTTCCTTTATGAGCTATTCTTCCTTACTCCAAAACAATTATTTCATTACAAGATTTTGTAAAATGAATTTGATGGGTTACAAGCAATACTGTTTTGTTTTTTAAAATACCATTTAAGCAATTCTTATAAATATTACTAGCAACTTTAGAGTCTACAGCGCTAAGAGGATCATCAAGTAAATATATATCATTTTTACTATAAACAGCTCTGGCTAAAGACAGTCTGGCCTTTTATCCTCCACTAAGATTAATACCTATTTTTTTTTAATAAAAAATATATTCCATAAAATATTTTATATAAAATTTATCAAGTTATTTTATAAAACAGTTTTAAAGTTAGCTAAAACGGAATATTTTCATAAAAGAAATTTTTATGAATTAGATTTTTCATAATTTAACAATTAATTTTGTGAAAATTTTTAAAATTTAATTTATCTTAATTTAATAGATCGATCAATATGTATTTGAAAAATTAGTATCAAGGAATATTCAATACCTCTTTCTCCTATTTCCGTTTCATCACCGTTTGGTAATATGTCAATATCTTAATCTAAGCTACAAGCTTTTATAACTTCATTGTAAAAATTTTATTCGTAAGGCTTTCCAAATAAAATGTTATCTTTAAATTTTCCAGAAAAGATGTAAGGCTCTTATTCTACATAGCTAGCTGTCCCTGATTTTTTTAAATTACCTTAAAAATGAGGGACTTCATCAAGTATAACTTGTAGTAAAGTAGACTTTCCAGAACCTACTTTTCCAACAATTCCATAGAAATTACCTTTTTTTATGTTCCAAGTTATATTCTTTAGAACTGCATCACTATTTGGATCCCAAAGGCTTGTGAAATTCGAAAATTCAGCTATATTTTCACCATTCTAAGGGCATTCTAACTTGAATTCCTTTTAGTTAAACCTATCGTTTTTAATATCAATAATTTTTTATTCTTCCGGTTCAAGTTCAAATTATTTCATAATTTTTCTATTTCTAGTAGCCAAGGGATTTTCATTTAAAAAGATACCTTTTTTTTTGTCTAATAAATCTTTTTTCTTTTAAATCAATAACTATTTTTCAAATAATTCAGGGATGTGATTTTAATTATCTTCTAGGATTGTAATAGATTGCTTTTTGAGACTCAGAAAATCAGCAAAGCGATTTAATATCAATCCAATTTAGAATAAAAAGCTTATTCCAACACCAGTTAAGTACAAAATATTTCTCAAACTGTAGAGTTATTCAAGTGTAGCAAATATTATTGAACTGGATAAATCAGCTGTATTCTTATAGTAAACAATTAATATAGGAAAAAATGCAGCTATGAGTACTAAAGAAGTTGAATTTCCACGATCAGAAGCCCTTAGTATTTATATTTTTTTGATACAGTTTAATTCTTTGTCTCTAACTCCTGCAATATTACTTTCGAAAGCAGATTCCCAACCGTACATTTTCATAAGTCTAATACTCTCTATCGTTTCATTTATCAATTTCTATTTAAAAAAATTAATTTATTCAATTCATACAAGTTTTTTATAAAATTTACAATTCTGTCATCTGAATGTTTGTTTTTCATATTTAATTAGATTTTTTGTTTGATCCCAAAAATAAGTTAAACAGGTATAATTAAAGTAAGTATGACAATACTCAGTATTCCATATGAACCAAATCTGAAGTAAAGTATAACTGCAGAAATAATCAGTAAAAGAGGAATATACATGATCATGAGAGCAAAATAAAGCATAATTTCTAAAGCTCCAAGATCATAAGATATCAAATTAAATAATTTTCCAATATTTGCTTTTTTGATTTAAAAGCTTGTTAAAGTTGATGCTCTGTTATATAGATAGGCTACTAAGTTCGATCTTATTTGAGCTAAATAAAAATATTAAGCATAAAATTAATTATTTTTAAAAAATTTACCTGAAATGATTTAAACATATTTAAAAGCATTATTGCTTAAGCAAATATTAAGGAAAAGTATCAAAAATAAAATTACTGCATAAAAAATAGCAAGATTTAAGTCATCGTTTTTAAAAGAATTTATAATTTTCTAAATAATAATTGAACTAAAGCTTCTTACTATTAAGCTGAGAGCTATTAAAATGTGGCATTTAAAAAATTTTTTTTTAAAAACTTATTTCACCATTTGATATGCATGCTTTCCTTAGATTTTTTCCCCTTGTGTTATTCTAAGAAGAGCTTCTTCAAATAAGAAGTAGTTATTTTCTACTATTTCTGATTTTTTTAAATCAGGTAAATGCTAAATTTCTATCTTTTTATTTTTTTATATAACATTTTTGCTTATAAGGTACATTAGTTTAGAAATATTTATAAACAGAGCTCTAAAAATCCAAGAAAATCCTAAGTTAAATGTTTAATTATCCATTCTAAACTCCTTATCTTATATCTAAATTTAAATTAATTTGATTATTAACTAAAACTAATACAAAAATAATTATAAATACTTAATTTTTTGGTTTAAATAAAGGTACAAATATATCATAAGCTTATATTTATTAACTTCCATTTTCATTATTTTTGCTTTTCAAACTTTATGCTTGTTCTTCCTAATATTTTAGTTATACAAATTATTCAACTGTGTGATAAATAAACAAATCGTTAAGTAAACCAAAATATTTGCTTAATATAAATTAAATAATAAATAAACTGTTACTTAAGCACTAATAAAATTATTTGTATGTATGACTTTATTTGAATCTTCCTATTTTAAAAAAATTAATAATTTTATAAAAATTCATCCTTTAAAATTGTATAACCTATTCTTCTGGTATAACAGTTGAAACCATTTGTTATAAGGTTTTCAGTGTAATTTAGTTTTTATAGTATTTTTTAATTTCAATATAAATAAAAATAAATATTTTTTAGCTAATTTAATTATTATATTTATTAGTAAATTCTTATTATCTTATTTAAAGCAGATTTTTTTATAACTTGTATTTAAAAAGTGGAAATAAATGAATGCTAATTTAATTGATCTTTAATCAAATTTTTTATTTTTAGATTTCTTTGGTTGTTTACTTAATTTGGAAATTGTTTGGTTAAAAAATCATATTTTTAAAAAAACTTTAATAAAAAAAGTAATAAAATAAAATATTTGCATAAAAATACTCACCTTTTTTCTATTTCTAATAATCACTTTAATAAAATAGCATTTCTTCTTTTATTACATATTAGCAATAAATAAATATAAAAAATGTATATGATTAAAGGTAATCAATTATTTACTGATAAATTCTGCACTTTTTCTTCTGATATTAATTTTAGTAACTATCTAATAATTTCTAAATGGAAAACATAAACATTTAAAAATATGTAAATAGCTAATTAAATCTGGTAATTACCAGATTGATTATTTTTGTTAATATTAATAAAATTAATCATTATTAATTATTTTTTTTTATTAACATTTTAAATTAAGATGCTTACTAATGCAAAATTTTGTATTGAAATTATATATGTTTTATTAAAATTATTTTTTTTATTATAAAATTTCAAAAATATAAATTCATATTTAAATAAATATAAAGCCAAACAAATTATAAAATTTTAATTTATAGTTTGATAATAATTATGACTTTTATATTAAAAAACAAATTGGAATCAAAAAATAATTTCATTAAACTTCATATTAGGTAGATTTTAGCTTGGTTTACTTTAAATTTAGTGATGTTATTAATTTTAAGTCTTCTAGCTATTTACTTTAATACACTTAAATTTAATTTTTATCTTCACTAAGTTTATCTTCAGCAAATAACTCAGGGGATAACGGAGGACTTTAAATGATATCAAAAGATTTTAAGTTAACTTTTTTCATAGTATTTACTGAAAGATCCTTATTGCTGACATAATCAGATTAATCTACATATGAATTTTAATTTAAAAATTTAAATTTACTAGTAGGGCTTTCTAATTTAAATCTATAACTTGAATTATTTGGACTCAAACCCTCTGAATTATTTAATATATTATGCTTGATAATTGACTTTTATTAATTTTTCTAAATCTCTGGCTTATTGTACTCAATAATACTGCTATCCTCTACTTTACTATTAACAAAAAGAGAATGCCCTGTTAATTTTTGATTTTCTGGCATTTTTCTAGTACCAAATGATTTATCTAATTATTTTAAAATAAGTTAATTAAATAAAAAGAAAATATTTATTTTTTTAAATTTAAATTACTAGTATTTGTATGCTTATATTATTAAATGCTTTCTATTTATTTTATCTAACTAGCAGCATTTTTTTCCCTTATAATAAGAAGATTTTTATATATTTTTTTCCAAAGAAAGTACACCTTTAAGTCTTTTGCTTTATGGTTAGATGCATTATTGAATATTTTTGGAGATATACACTTAATTATTGAATTTATCAATGAAGTGAAGCAAGAATTAGTTGTTTATATTTTATATTTAAGTATAATTAACATTAAAAAGATAATGAACCCATAATGAGCAATTGCTAAACATATCTAAAAAACAATAGATGGATATTGATTATTAAGCTAAGAGAAAACCACGTTAAAAATTAGAATAAACGATGATATTTCTTCTAATTTCAATAGTATTTTTGAGTAGAAAGGCTCCTATTTTTAAACCAAATACATATAAACAAAGACAAAAACAATGCAGAGCAAATACATAAGGACCTGTAATTCTTACAATAGTGTAACAGTAATTACTATTAGAATTTTGTAATAAATTCTGATAAATTCCCAGTAACTACGTTCTTTTTTGAATTCTAAATAGAAATATGCGTACTTATATTTTGTTGTGCAAAAATGTAAATTATGTTTCTTTAAATGATTTTTATTCAACTAATAAAAAATTAAAATAGGGAATAGTAACCAAAGCAAAAGCATAGGAAGGATAAAATAGTATTTAAAAGACTCAAATCCACTATCATCACATAAAAGAGTGAGATTTATAGTAGTATATTTATAGTCGCCTATTTTACGGCAAGACAAAGATTCAGTGAAAAATCTAATGCAATCTGGCGAGAAAAATATGAAAAGGAAATTTAACATAAAATGATTATGGTATTTTCCAACATCAAATTTCTTACAAGCTCTGAAAACCAAAAGCACAATATAAATAATAGCTAAAAAAACAAAAGGGAGCACTGCTTATAATACTGCTCTAATTTTTTCTTCTCCATACAGCTTAATATCTCTCAAAGGGTAAATACATGAGCTACTTATTATAATTTTTGTTACAGGCTATCCAGCTAAGGAAGGGATTACTGCAAATACTTATGGCAGGAATGTAATTTAAAATTTAAACAACGCCGACGAAAGTTATAAATAATTTACTAAGGCTTTGATAAAGAAAGTTGATTCATCCTTAATTGAACTCTTAGACATGGGTAAAATTCTTATTATTCTTAAATAACAGCAAATTGAATTATAAATGTAGCTATCCATAAACACTATTATACTAAAAAGCAAATAAATTAGCAAAATAAAGAAACTCAAACCTAAGAAAAATGTTTGATATGATTAATCGCTACATTTATTACATTAAAAATTCGAAAATGAACTAGTATACCTATCTCCATCCCATATAATTCCACTGATATCACAAGTTTCACATAACGGTCCTATGTATCCTAAAATTAGATTTAATTAAACATTTTTTTTATATAAAAAAATAAATTTTACCTTTTTCACATCCATTTCTACTTTAATCATCTGCTTCATTACAAATACTAGGATAATCAGGATTACATCCCACTATCACATCACTATAATTATTAATCCTCCAGTAGCCTGATTCTAAAATAATTTAATCTTTAGAGCATTTTAACGCTGATTAAGGACATTTTTTGCATTATATATAATTATTTGGATCTGAGAGGTTTGAGTTAGGTACTACTAGGGAATACATACCATTTTAGCATTCTTGGCAAGTTATAATAGCTGAAGAATTTAATGGAACTTCTCCCCTTATACACTCACGAAAAGATAAACTTAGAGGAATTATAAGAGGAGAATATTAATTTGAAATGGTCAGTTTTATTGCTATCGAGTTACTCACTTAGCTTGGAAGATAAGAAATTGATAGCGTTTAATATTAAAAGCAGTTAATATCTTTATCAAATTATTTTACTGTTAGAAGTGGCTCTCCTTTGATGTCAGCTAACGTATTCGTTTCAGTCTGTAAAGAGTTTTATTTAAGTGAGTTTACTTAAATTATTTCTATAAAATATTAAGATAATTCATCTTTGGTCTATTAAGAATACTAATCATTTAAATATTATTCTGTATCTAAGGAAAAGACATTTTTTTCGTCATCAAATAATTTTATATACAAAGGAATAATTCCTCCACTTTACAATTCATTAATATGTATTGTATTTCCATTTTTTTGTGTTTATATGGGTTACTAATCTAATAGTATTAATTTATTATCTCTTTTAATATAAACCTATACAATAGATGGATATCTACCTATATCATTTCCATAAATTTAGGCTGAATTCTATAAAAATGTACATTCAATGCTTTCAGCTGTTTTATTCTATGTGTTTTGTAAAAAATTAGATTTAGTAATTCTTATTCCTCCCCCAATTAAAGCTCTGTTTTAAGTTATATAAGATTGCTTATCTATTACAATATACTTAACATCACTTGCCATAATTGCTCCTCCGCTGTATTTAGCATCATTTAATGTAAATTTCGAGTTTATAATCTAAGCAGAATTCAATATTGAATTAAGAAAGATAGATGCTCCTTAAACACCAAAATTTTTTGTAAAGAGACTATTTTTGATTGTTACATAACTTGAGGTATAAAAGTAACAATTACCTTAATTGTTATTAAAATTCATTTAATCAATAAATATCATAGTATTTTAGAGGTATATTAAAAAGTTTTATTAATTATCATTAAATGAAATTGGGAAATTATTTTAAGATAAAGTGACATTTGTAAGATTAAATAAGTCTGTGCTTAAAGTAAGGACTCCCTAAGGCTACTGATATTCCCTATTTGTATATATTTAGTAAATTTCTTTATTATCTTATGAGATATACCCATTTATTTGAAGAGATAGGATACCTATAAAAGTTAAAATGTAATTCTTATTTATTAACAGCTAACTATCATCATAATTTTATCCTAAATTTCTCTTATTTATTTAAAAGGTAGAGCAATTTTTAATGCTAATATTAGTCATTGTTATGTTTTAAATTTATTAAAATAAAAAAAGATTACCTTATATTTAGCTACTCTAAATATTTACATTTTCTATAAAAACTTAGTTACTATTTGATATACTTACTATTAATTATTAAAGATTAAATATATTCACATTAATTATATTTAACTATGAAATATATATATATTAGCATTAATCAAAAGATAAAAATGATTGAGCTATGCTTTGATTCTGGTTTGTTAATGTTTGTTATTAAATGGTGAAATTTATGTTTTATATGAGTAAGTTTTATATCAAGACTACCTCCAGCTATTCAAAATTTAATGAAGTTTAGCTAGGAATATTTTAATCTGTAATATTAATATCCTAAAATGTGACATTTTGAGTTAAGGAGTGAAAATTAATGCCAACATTTTCTTAACTAAACTCAAAACTAAAATTATCCAAATTAACATTAAATGGGAGTTATTAAAATGTTTAAGAATTTATAAATAAATAATTATTAACTACATCAATAGGTCTTATAATTACTTAAACAGAAGAGTTTTGTAAAAATTGCATTGACCTTAACTAACTGCCTACTAAGATGGATAGAATAAAATTCATATTTGTTATGCTAGTACTCATAATATAATCAAATTAATTAAATATTGAGCTATTATCAGTAAATTGCAATGAAGATTCACAATAATTCTAATTTAATAAATTAGTTGTTGTTTATGAGATAAAAATTCCTAGACTAATTTTCTTTTCAAATATATTTGTTTATGATATTCCTAATAAATGAATTACTTTCTCGCTTTGTATTATTTCAGATATTATAAGCCTTGGATTTGTTAGCTGCACCTAATCAACTGATTCCACAATCATTAAATTTATATCAATAAAAGCTGTTTCTATTCTTGTTGTAAATACAATTATAATTTTATTTGTATCAATCAACTAGATGTCAGATATTCTATCTTTTCTGCTATATCTCCTTAACCTATTTATGTAATTCAAATTATTATCATAAACATTTATTTAAGCAGAGCTTGCTAGTATTAGAAAGCTAGAATTTTGAATAATTTTTTTGTATTCATCATCTGGAAAGCTAATATACTTAATAAAAGAGTGATCTATCAAGTTATAGATGCCTAAGGATTTTTCAAATTGTAAATTAATAAAATATCTATTCGACTAAAAATCCATATAGAGAAAATAAACCTTTATATTTTGATTACCTCTATCACTGCTTTGTTACTACTTATTCTTTTAAATATTTTAATTTGTATTTAATTAAAGAGACTAAGAATTAATTTCAAAAATATTTCCAGATTACATAACTATTGCTATGTTCATTTAATCTTATGTGATAGAAATAAAAGATATAACAGGATTAGATTCAAAAGTTATTATTTACATTTATTTATTATAAATATCGTATTAAACTATGTTTCCTAATTAAGTTCCCATAAAAAAATACCATATTTCCAAATTTAAGTTATTAACTTATAATGTACATACAATAAGATCAGATACATCTAATTTTAAGTAACCAATTTACTAATTATTTAAGAAATCGAAGTCGACTATTTCATTTATCAATGTGTTAAAAATAATTCTACCTTATGAATTTAAAAGTATTTTTCTATACTGATATTTAGTAATTTTTAAGTAGGAGTTAGTAGGTGAAAAGTTAGTAGTATTTTTGAAAACTAAAATATATTTTAAAAAGCATGCAAGAAACATTTAATTATTTGATGCTTAGTATGTTAAAATATCAATTATTTCGTCATCAAACCTAGTTTAAAAGAAAACTTCATATTAATAATAAGATAAAAGGTTATTATAATAATCTACTAAATATAATATCTTTTGAGAAACACCATTTATACTTTGAGGAACAACAAATTATAAATTCTATTGTTACTATATTATTACTTGCAATGGCCTTGTCATAATATTATAGTTAAGCTTAAAAACTGAATCATTACCATAGACATAAACAGAATTCTAATCAAAATCAAGAATATAACCTTATGGTGGAGACACAATGCCATTTAAGATATCAGTTATAACTATTTGATTATCAGTTGTTTTCGATGTACTAAAGATTACATTCTAAAAATTTCCAAAGTTATCAATATAATTTAACATAATGCTATCATAATCAAAAGAAACCTAAATAGCTCTTCCTATACCGTCTGCTGTATAAATATTGCTAATAGACCCTGCTGATTAATAATTATTTAGATTATAAAATAGAACTTAGCCAAATTTGATCTCATCAGTGTAATATGCAATTTAATTTATTGATTCTATATAATATGCTCCTACGATAGAGCCTCCACTAGGTTAAATATTGCCTAAAGATTAAAAACTTCCTCTTTAAAAGATATATCCATCTATTTAAAATAGTTAAATTCATAAAATAACCAGATATTATAAATTAGTCTAAAATAAAAAGTTAATTGTTAGATAATTTTATTTTTATGGTATCTAAATTATTGTTGAAATATTAAAATAAATACTTTAAAAATATTAAAAATAAAGGCTTCATTTTAAAAATTAGCTCTAAAAAAGTATCTTTAACAAAACAAATTTAGTATAAAACCATTAAATTCAAACTTAATTTTGTAAAAAAATATTTAAATAATTAGTTTTTATTAAAAGTTAAGGTAATAAAAAAATTTTTTAATGCAATTTACTTGATTTTGTAAGAATCATGGTGCATTAACCAGCTTCTTATATAGCTATAATCTTAGATGTTACTACATTTATAGTTTGAATATAAACGCCATAAATATTGTATATATCAATTAATTAGTTATAGACAATTATTTGTTAATAACTTTGATCTAAAATGAATGAAAATCCTACTAATTAAGGTTAAATAATGATTATTGAAAGAATTGCAAAAATTGGCTTTATTTCAAAAATATGCAAATATTATCTGTTCATAGAGCAATATGCTGCTGTAATTGTAAAAATGCATTAATTATACTATTGTGTACTTGCTAAAGATGTCAATTTTTATATTTTATTCAAGTAAATATCAGTAATTACAATATCGCTTCCATAAATGTAAATTTGCTATTAAATTTCATCTATAAATACGCCGTTAACTATTGTTAGGAAAATTCTCGAGTTATTTATTATTTATGCAGAGTATAATTAGTTGTTGTTATAATTCTTCAAAATTAACTCTGTCTGAATATAAGAAATAAGTATTTTTAAGTTATTAGAAATTATTAAATTTTGAATAGCAGGTTATTGTGGAGGATTTTGCAAAGTTTTAAAAGAAATTATTTCTATTATTTCATCTGTATGAATGCTAAAACACTTTATCTAATAACTTGTACCTATAAATATTAAACCAATTTTAAAACTATGCTAAATTAACTGGATATTATCATTTTAAGATTAAGATAAATACATTTTATAAGGAGTTTTATCTGTATTAATTGTTTTTACTCTTACTTATCCTGTAATTGAACCTACAATTACTATATTATTTTAAGCATCACCGTAACTAGCAACTAAATTTTAACCTGGAGAATAAGTAAATGTATCAAATAATAGTTATTTTTTTGTCACGTTTATGTATATTTTTAATGTGTAAGATGTATAGTAAATAGAATTAACTAGAATACAAGTATATTAGATAGAATTATCAGGTAAAATAGTTCTATATATTGTGGCTATATCTTGAATCATAAGATTTGCTCCACCAATAGTAAATTAACGGGATTGTAAATCTAAAAATCCAGAAATATACTAGTACACAGCATTTTTATCAAATAATTTAACTATCATAAAAAAGTTAGTATCAATAAAATAGCATTTTTCTACCGATCCTATAACGAATTATTAGCTCACAATAGGAATCAAAAACATATTGAGAACTATCATATTATAATGATTATCATTAATTAGAATTAAATCTCCTAAGATTTAAAAAAAAAAGAATTAGAAAAGAGAATAATTTTAAATTTGGTGAAAGAAATGTTTTATTTTGAATTAAAGTTTTAAAAGTTTATTTAAATTCATGTTTAAGGTAAAAGTGAGAGTCTATTAAAAATAATTATTTTTCAACTTATTAAGGATTTTTTTAAATAAAATATACCAATAAAAATTTAATTAAAAAAATTACCAATAACAGGATTTTAGCTAGGTAAAAAAAAGATGCTGTAAATGGAATAATTTAATTTGTATGGTGGAATTTAACTATTTTACTACACTTAAATTGTTTACTGATCTAAAAACTAGTATAAAGACACTGTATTGGAGCTATCTATAAGAATAAGTTAGTTATTTAAATTAATAAAAAACTAAATAAATTAAACAGAAGAACTGGAGGAGATAAGCTAAATTGTTTAGTAAACTTGCTCTTTCTATTTAAATATCAATAAATTATTTCCGCTAAGCAAAAATATGTACTTTGTACTGACTTAAATTTTTGTAAAATCAGATGATTTAATGGCATAACTATAAGAATCTAGATAATTGTAAATATTAATTATATCTACTTGTTATTCAAACTATATTGCTAATGAATCAGATTTAAAAAAGGAAAAATCAATACATTTTTAACCTATTTAGCTATATTTATATAAAAAAGTTGGTTAGGAAACGTCTACTGCTTACCAAACAATTACAACTCCGTCAATTCCACAGCTGACAAAAACTTAACCAGAGTATTTAACTTTTTTTATAGCTAGCTAATTTTAAAATATCTTATCTTAATAGTCCTGTGCTAATCCTTACGTAGATCCATCTACTAAATTAATTATTTATGCATCTTGATATACTATAAATAATTTAGGAAGCTTATAAATGTTTCCATTAGAATCAAAGTATGAATTTGCTAACATAAGGTTTTATGGATTTTGAATAAGTGTTTTAAAAGATTAATTTTACTAAATAGAACTTTTAATCTAGCTATTTTGACTTGATTAAGAAACTTAAATTATAAACCAATCTACTTCATTATTTGATTTTAAGGCATATAAAAGAAGCTCATTTTCATTTTGTTACATCTACAAAATAAATATCTGAAAATCAATAATTTAATTATTAGATTTTATATCAAAAATATGTTATTATGATGAATAATCAATTGCATTTATTAATCCTTAAGCAAACGATATTACTAGTAAATTAAATGTGTTGCTATTTAAGAATAAATTAATTTATAATATCTTGTTTGGTAATTCACTAGTAATAAATTGATTACATGAAGTACCATCGCTTGAAATTAAATAGATTCCTTACGTATTTGAAAATTAAACAATTATTTAAAAATCTAATGGATTTTATTAAATAAACTAAACTACTCCTTTTGCATTAGAGCATACATAGGAAGGTGTTAATTTAACTAAATCAATTTTTTTATCTTATCTTTGAGTTAATTAAAATATGTTTATTTGCATACTTTATGCTTATTAAACAATCAATTTTTCGAATAAATAAATTGATGAGTTATCTTAAAAAGATATTTCAAATGAAGGTAGAGGCATATTTGAAAATGAAGAAATATTGAATTCAGTAAGCAAAATATTTTTGTTTGCATCATTAATTGAAGTGACAAAAAGAATATTTTAATTATTATCAACTTACGTTATCTGACTATTAACTTTTAAAGTTCCTTGACCTACTTCTAACACCTTAGATAAAATATTGTCCCTTGGATTCCATAAAAAAACTGAATTTTTTTAGTTACCAAAAAGAAAAATATTTGAGCCAAACTAGTAAACAGAAAAAATACTACTATCAAAATTGTAGGATCTCATAAATGACCCACTCTCTATATTAATTGCATTTATAAATTAATCATAGACCAAAAAAACTTAATCAGTAATATTAGAAGCATAAATAGATTTAATACTTCTACCTTTGTTTATTTAAGATGGTTAAACATACTATGTAGAGCACTAAAATGCTTAGTTGCAGATATTTTATGAATTACTAGGTAAATTAGATTAATTGCATAAAGTAACACAATTTTAGCTAGATAATTAGTTAACTTCAAGATAAGTATACTTTTAGCATAGTTAGTAAACACATATATTTTTTGAGTCATCTAAAACATAATATTGTTCACATTCTAGACAAATACTGGAACCTGTTTACGGATTTATAGTACAGCTTTTACATCCTAAGTCGCAACATTTTAGCGATATTGTATAGAGCAAAATAAGTAATAAATTCTATACTATTTGGCTTGTTCTTCTGGCTTTTATCATTTAATTTCGTTTAATACCCTATTTATTTTTTACTAAAAGTTATTTTTTTAAATATTGGCAAAATAGAATTGAGTTATTTAATAATAAATATTAAACAGAGAAATCAACAAATCAATTTATTATCATTTAAAAATGTTCTTGATATCTTTGAAAATATGAAATTCTATGAAAAAATTATTTGAAGTAATTGTTATTTAAATTTTGTAAAAAAATATGAAATTTAAAAAAACTCCTTAATTGTTATTAACAAAATTATATCTAAATTAACCAAATAAAATTATTTTTTTTAATTATCAATAATTAGTTTACAAAAATATTATTTATTTATTTATTCTATACCAAAAAGATACCATATTCAATACATTATTTACTTTTTAAATATTTCATTTTTAATAAATTTAATCAAAAAAATATTCAGATTAATAATAATAAAAGTTCTGCAGAATTTTTTTAATTTTGATCACAAAAAATTGCAGTTAATGCAGATAATTGCAGTCAATAATAGTTAATTAAAGAAGTGATTGATGATGATGCTCAAAATAAAAATATATTAATATTCAATTTTAAAATGATTTAGAAGAAATTAAAGAGGATAAATAAAATTAATATCTTGTTTAATATTATTATGTAATTGGGTCTGGGGTAAATAAAATTTAGTCATAGTAATAGAAGAAAAACGATTTAAAATAGACTTATAAAACTAATATAATCTTCATAAAAAAAAATGATTTTATAAAATCTTCATCCTTATATTTAAATCATCCCAATACAAAAATAATTATATTAAATATAATACTGTTTTAAAAACCATTTAAAATTTTAATTATTTCATAAAATATGAATTTTTTATTTAAATATTATCTTTACCCATTTGGTAACATCTATACATGTATTGATTAAAAATAGTTAATATGGATACAAATTTTACTGTATTTATTAATCAATTATTATTTATTTTATCAAAATTTGTGTAATTTTTTTGTTTTTATTTAAAAAGCATTAATGTTTTATAAGAAGGATTAAGAAGAGAAGGATTTTATTAATATGAATAAATACTATTAAATTTTTGTATAAATTTATTTAAACTTAAATAATTTAGATTTTTTTAATAAATTATTAATGAATAAATAAATAATTAATAAGCATATAATTAAATAAATAAAATTTGAAAGTGATATTTAAAATAACATAAAACTTAAAATTATATTATACATTTTTATTTATTTACTACTTTATTTCATTCTTTTTTTTCCTCTTTATTTTTATGTTTAAATAAGGTTTAAAATTTTTTTAAATGGTCTACTTCGAATACTTCTTAGTATTCTGCTTCTTCATTAAATTCTCCTTCCTATATATTCTAAGATTCTTATGATTCATTTACTGATTTATAAACCTAGTTTAAAGTTATATTTTCATTTTATTTTACACCTAACTTCGTTTTTTCTAAATTATTATTCTCAAAATAGCCATCTTCATTCTATTTTAAACAATATGATACAATATTTTATAATAATTTAATAAATAATTTATAGTTACATCCTATCTTAGATGATTGATGGTTTTTTTTCTTTCTACTTTATCTTACCCAGAAAAAGGATCTTTGCTATCAAAAATAATTTAATCATTTAAAGTTCCAATAGTGTAGTCAATTTAAAATTTTTAAGTTTATGTGTCTATTCCCGTTTTATAGAATGAAGCAGCAGGACTATTGTACTCAGTTTAATACGCACTTTTAAAAGTTGTGCTATTCTTAGATCTAACTTTTTTTAAATATTCTTCCTATTCTTAGTTTTATTTAATTTATGAATCTTCATTTTATGAAAACTTTGATAAAGCTATTTATCTAGCTTAAGGAGGTTATTGTTTTGAAATATTTCTCGCTATATTAAATAATAAATTAATAAAATATAATAAATAGAAAATAAAAAAATACATTAGTTTGAGTTATTTAGCTTGTTAGATTCTTAATTTTCTATTTTCTAGTTTAGCTATAAGGCATTTTATTTTCTTAAATTCAAAAGATTTTTAAAAACTTTACGCCATCTTAATAATGTTATCAAACTTGAATTTTAGTTATTAACTACTCTTCCAAATATTTTTTTTAGAAATATGTTATTTATACATTTTTTGATAAGTTTAATCGATCTACTTTTTGAATTCTGTAATTTAATTTTGAAAATAACTACCAGTATGAATATAATAAATCCATAATGAGCAGTTCCTAAACAAACCTAAAATAAATCGCTAGGGTATTATTTGTTAAGCTGAGAAAATAATACATTAAATATTAAAATAAAGCAAGAGAGTATTTCTAATTATAGCAAATGCTTATTATCAAAAGGTTCCATTCTCTAAGCAAAAAAAATATAAATGAAAATAATTATAACACAAAGCAAATACATCAAAACTTACAGATTTTCAAATAGCGTTACTGTTATTACTATTACTATTCTATAATAAATTCTTATAAATTCCCAATAACAGTACTACTTTTTGTATTCAATATAAAAATATCCATATTTATATTTTGTTGTACAAAAGTGCATTTATTTTTTTTTTAAATTATATTTAAGCAAAATAACTAAAATTATCAAAGGAGAGAGTATCCAGAGAAGTAGCATAGGAAGTATAAATGAAAACTTAAATTATGAATAGGTACTATCATTGCATAAAAGAGTAAGTTTGATACTATTGTATTTCAAATCACCTATTTAGCGACAAGACAGAGCTAGTGTGTAGAAACTGATGCTATCAGGTTAGAAAAACAAAAATAAAAAGTTTACCATTAAATACTTATGATATCTTCCCACATTTAGTAGTTTTAATTTTTAGAAAATGAAAAGTAATACAAATAAAATGAAACAGAAAAAGAAAGGAATTACTGCTTAAACTACTACACGAATTTTTTCCTCACCATATTTATCTATTAAACTTTGGTCATAGATGCAAGTACTGCTTACAATAATTTTACTGACAGGCTATCCTGCTATAGATGGAATAATTGCTACTATCTAAGGTAAAAAGCTAATTTAAAACTTAAATAAACAAGCAGAGAGCTGTAGGTAATTAACAAGCGCTTTTATATAGAATGTTGATTCATCTTTTATTGAACTCTTTGACATTGGGAGAATGCACATTAACCTTAAATAGCAGCATGTTGAATTGTAAATATAGCTATTCATGAATAATATTATACTTAAAAATAAATAAAATGATAAAATAGCAAAAGTTAATCCAATAAATAGAGCTTGGTAAGATGTAGAACTGCACTTGTTGCATTAAAATTCAGCAAATGAGTTTGTATACCTCTCTCCACCCCAAATATATCCACCAATATCACAAGTTTCGCATAATGGTCCAATATAACCTTTTATTAAGTTTAAATTAAAAAAAATTAATAAAAATAATTTTAAATTCAAACAGATAAATTATCATTAAATTTTTTAATTCGTCGAGCTTTTTTAATTTTTTTTTTAATAGAAAATATCTAGCATTACTTAGATAATCTAAAAAAATTTTTTAGATTTCAATATATTTATTATTTAAAAAGAAATACCTTTAATACATCCATTTTTGCTTTCTATATCTGTTTCATCACATATATTTGGATTATTTGTATTACATTCAATAATATTATCACTACTATTATTGATTCTCCAATAACCTGCCTCAAGTATAATCTAATCTTTTGAGCAAATTTTAGCAGATAAAGGACATTTTTTACATTCAAGATCTGCAATATTGTCAATTTAATTAGGATTTATTAGTGAATATGTTCCTTCTTAACACTCTTAACAAGTGGTTATTATATTAGAAGATTTTACTAAAATTTCTCCTTTAATGCATTAACGAAAAGATAAATTTAGTGGGATAATCATCGAAGCAAATTAATTAGATATTGTTAGTTTAACTACCAGTGAATTTGTTGTTTGTTTAGGAATATATGATATCTATACTGTAGAAAAAGAAAAACTATTAGTATCTTGATTAAATTATTTAGATGTTACTAAAGCTTCACCTTTTATATCAGCAGATGGATTTAATGATGATGAAATTGAATTTTACTCTTAATTTATAAGCTTAACAGAGCTTATTGTTGTAATTTCTAAAAAATATTATGATAATTCGTTTTAAATTGGCTATGGATATTTATTATTCATATATAATTCTGTTTATAAACTAAATTCTTTCTTTTCATCATCTAATAATTTTATATTAATTGGAACTAAACCTCCACTTTAAAGGTTTGTTATATTAACTACATTTGCATTTGTAAATGTTTAAATTGGCTACCTATCTAAAAATATGTACTCGTTTTATCTTTGAATATAAATTTCAATAAAAGAGGGATACCTTCCTATATTATTTCCATATATTTAGGCCTGATTGAGAGAAAAAATGCAATTAAATATTTCAGATTATAACAACTACTCTTTTGTTTTTAGTTATGATGATACTATTCTAATAGCACCTCCAATTAAAGCCTTATTACTTATAAAATAAGATTAATCAACTTTTATTTGATTGGAATTGCTTATAATTATAGCTCCACCACTTGAAAGGGCTTCATTTGAAGTGAAGTTAGAATTTATAATTATTATATTTTGTTATATAGATTCAAAGCTAATAGATCCTCCTAGAACTCCTATGTTTTAATCAAAAACACTATCTTATATTTACACAGAGTTTGATGTATAAAAATAGAAATTGCCTTGGTTTTGAGATAATTTTAATTTTTCAATAAAATTAATTGAGCTCTGAATTTAAAAAATATATAATTATGAAAAACTATTAAAATATCTAGGGAAATTATTTTAGATCAAAGTTATATTTTTCATAATCAACACATCTGTGCTTAATGTGAGAATTCCCTAATCTTATTAATATTATCTATCAGTTAATATTTAAAATAAATCTGTGTTATTTTATGATAAATAGTCATAAATCTATAAATTATTAATTCCAATAAAAGTGAAAATGTAGTTATTTTATTGTTATGTTGAAGCAGTTGAGATGCTATTTTGGTTATTTTAATTGTATCTAAATTAAGATAAACAACCTGTTAATGTAATTTAACTAAAAGTAATATTCTTAATTTGCTAAAATATGAAAAGACCACCTAGTATTGTACTATTTACAATATTAATATTCTAAATAAAAACTTAATTACTATTTTATATACTTAGTATGAACTGTTATGGATCAAATAAATTTACATTAACTAAATTTAATTAGTTAATATAAATATATTAACATTATGTAATATTTAAAAAGTAATATGATGTATTTTAGTTTTATTTATTAACTTCTAATTATTAAGTTGTAAAATTTACATTTGATATAGTCAAATTTTAGATAAGTATCGCACTGTTGTTTTCAAAAATTAGAGAAGTTTCACTTGGAATATTTTGATTTTAAATTTTTATATCTTAGAATGTAACATTTTGAGACAATTTATGAAACATTATTTTAGCATTTTCTTAGTTAAACTAAAATTTGAAATTATCCATATTGACATTAAAAGGCAGTAATTAAAAAGTTCCTGAATCTATATTGAGAATATTATTATTGATATCGATTGGTCGTATAATTATTACTGCAGAAGAACTTTGCAAAAATTGCATTGATCTTAGCTAGCTACCAACCAAAATAGAGAGTACAAAACTAATATTTGTTACACTTGTACTAATAATATAATCAAATTAATTAAAAACAGAACTGCTATCTGTAAATTGGAGAGAAGATAAGCACTTTTTATTTTAGCTTTGTAAATTTGCAACATTTTATGAAACAAATATACCTAAGCTAATTTTTTTTTCAAATATACTAGTTTAAGATATGCCTATTAAGTGAATAGCATTCTAATTTTCTATTATTTAAGTTAATATAATTCTGGAATCTGTTAACTATACTTAATCAACTGAACTCAAAACCATTTAAGTTGTATCTATAAAAACACATTCAATTCTTGTTGTAAACACTATAATGACTTTGTTTGTGTCGATTAATTAAATATCTGAAATTCTATCTTTCCTGTTATATCTCCTTAATCTATTTATGTAATTCAAATTATTATCGAATACATTTATTTATGCTGCACTTGCTAATATTATGAAGTTTTAGTTTTGAATAATTTGTTTATATTCATTGTCTGGGAAACTAATGTATTTAACAAAGGATTGATCTATCAAACTATATATACCTAATGATTTTTCATGTTCTAAATTTATAAAATATCTATTTGACTAAAAATCCATAAATAAGAAAGAAACTTAAGTATGCTTGTTTCCTCCGTCTTAAGTTTGAGTTTACTTATTTTGCTAAATATTTTAATTCTTATTTAATTATAGAGTTGAGCAATTAATTTCGAAAATATTTCCAGAGCTCGTAATTATTGCTATATTAAGTTAATCAGTAGTTGAAATAACAATAGAAATAACAGGATTAGATTCAAAACTTATAGTATTCATATTTTTGTTATTGATATCATATTAAATAATATTTCCTAGTTAGGTACCTACAAACAAATACCACATTTATGAATTTGGATTATTAATCTATAACGTACATATAACTAGATCTGAAACATCTAATTTTAGGTAAGCAAGTTGCTGATTATTTAGCCAATCAAAATCTATAATTTAGTTAGACCAAGTATTAAATACTACTCTTCCTTAAGAATTTAATAGGAGTTTTTTATACTTATAGCTTGTAATATTTAAGAAAGCGTTAGTAGATTAAAAGTTATTTGTATTTTTAAACACTAAAATATAATCTAAAAAGCATATAAGAGTCAGCTGATCACTTCCAGTAGAATATGTAAATAGATCAATGACTTCGTTTGCATATCTAGTTTAAAATATTACTTAATAATCATAATATAAAAATAAATTATTCCAATAATCAACTAAATAGATAGTATTCAAAGTTTAACCATTTATATTTTGCTATAAGATAAATTATAATTTTTATTAGCTTTTTATTATTCTTTATATGGGTCTTGTCATTATGTTATAGTTAATCTTGAAAAGCGAATCACTTCCATAAATATAAACTGAATTTTAGTCAAAATCTAGTAAATAACCCTGTGGTTATGAAACTAACCCATTTTGTATTTAAGGAATCACTATTTAATTGTCAGTAGTTTTTGATGTACTAAAAATAACATTCTAGAAATTACCATAATTATCTAAATAATTTAACATAACGCTATCATTATCAAAAGATACTTAAACTGTTCTACCTATTCCATTCTCTTTATAAGTATTGCTAATAAATCCTGCAGATTATTAGTTATTCAAATTATAAAAAAGAATCTACCCAAATAATATTTGATTTGTAAAAAATGCTATTTAGTTCATACTTTCAATATAGTAAACACTTATTATAAAGCCTCCTGCTGGCTAGATAGATCCTTAAGGTTCAAAATTTCCTCTAGAAAATATATAACCATCTATTAAATTTAATAAAAAAATTATAAAAAAAAAAATTCATCGTTTTTTTTAATGAACAAATAAATAATTATTGCTTTGTTCATTTTTTCATAAAATATTGAATTAAATCTTAATAAATTTATAAACATGATTATAAATTTAAATTAAAAAGTAAATGATTACTTGATGTAGTAAATACTACAATGCTACTTGTAGTTTACTTAAGATATATTATATTAGCTGTAACTGTGCTTATTGTCTAAATAAAAACACCCTAAACACTGTATAAATCTATCAGTTATTTATACACAATAATCTGTTAAAAGCTGACATCAACTATAAACTAAAATCCTGCCTAAGCTGGTTATACTATAACTACAGACATAACAGAAAAATTAGGCTATCTAACGAATATGTGTAGCTATATTTGATTCATAGAGCAATAAGCTGCTGTACTTGTAAATATACATTGATTATACTACTAATTAGCATTTAAAGTAGTTAATTTTAATATTTAACCCATATTCGTATCAGTTAAAACTATATCACTTCCATATATGTAAATTTATTGTTTATCTTCATCAATATAAGCACCATTTACTAATTTTAATTAAATAAGTGAGCTAAGTGACAATTCTGATGAGTAGAGCTAATTATTATTAAAATTTTTTAAAATTATTTCAGTCTAAGTGTAAGATATAAGTATTTTTAGATTATTAGAAACAATTAGATTTTAAATTGCAGGTTATTAAAGTGGACTTTTTAATGTTTTAAAAGAAAGAATTTCTAAAAGTTTTTCAGTGTGAATGCTGAAACATTTTATCTGATAGCTAGTTACTATAAAATACATTCCAATCGTAAAGCTAATTTACATGGATTAGATATTATCGCTTGCAGAAGATGGAGTGTATATTGATTAAGGAGTGATATTATTATCAAAAACTATTAGTCTTACTTACCCAGTTTAAGATCCTGCAATTATTAAATTTTTTTATGTATTTCCATAGGAGCAAACTAGATTTTATCCAGGAGAGTAATTAAAGTTATCAAAATTTACTATATTTGTTTAAGGATACCAATAAACTCTTAGGGTATAAGAAGTATAGCCAATAGGATTTGTCAAAACATAAGAGTATTAGATAGATCCATCTTATCTAATATTTTTATAAATCAAAGGCATTTCTTAAATCAATAAATTAGAACCTAAATATACAAACTATTATGCAATATAATCAAAAACGACTGTACCATATGCGTAAACACTTTATGGATTGTATACTTTAATTAACAATAAAAAATAGTTATCAATTATATGTGCCTTTAAAATTAATCCATAATTATATGTTTAATTTGCTTTTATTTATAATTATATATCAAGCACAATTACATTTTTGTTAGAGTCGTTCAGGATAATTAAGTCACCTATAATTTTTAATTAATAAAATTTTATCAAATAAATAAAAAATAATTAATATTATTTTTTAGATTTATTTTACTTGAATTTTAACTTTTATTTTTAATCATAAAGTCTTTTAAAATTTTTTTATATATTTTAATAATTGATAATACTTATTAATATATTATAAAAATATTTACCTATGCTACCATTCTATTGTGGTAAATAAAATATAGTTACTATTTTATAAGCTGAAATAAAAGGGGTTATGAATTAATTTTAACCAAAGCTAACAGATGTCCCATCCACAAAGCTAAATGGTAAAATAGTATTTGTACTGTCAACAATTATTAATTAATACTTTGAAGTAAGGAAAAACTAATAGAATTAAGCTGATAATGATGTAGTAATCTAAGCTTAATAGTATATTTACTCTTTTTGCTTAAATATTTATATCATGGTTCCAGTAAGAATAAAAAAATATGCATCCCCTACTTATAATTTAGTATATTTCGATGATTAAATAGGATAAACAAAAGAATCAATATAATTATATATATTTATTATCTAAAATAAGGTTTAAAATTATATTATTAGTGTGCTTGATTAAAATATTTGAACATCTATACATTGCTATCCTTGCTATTATAGTAAATATAAAAAAACTGGCTATGCTAAATCTACAGCTTACCAAACAAAAACTCTTCCATCACTACCACAGCTAACAATTAACTAATTTGAGATTGAATATGTCACAGCATTTACAGCATTTTAATTATAAAATAATTTATCTTAAAAATCTTATGCAAGTCCTAATGTTGATCCATCAGATACTTTAATTATTTAGGCATTTTAGTAAACTAAAAATATTAATTAAAGTTATAAAGTATTTCCATTTGAATCTAAAAAATGATTAGAGAGAAGAAGGTTTGATGGATTTTATATGAGTGATTAAATTGAATCTTTACGTTAAATAATAGAATTTAAATTATTTTAATTTTAATTCTGAGTTATTTAAACTGTAAAATTCTCTATTTAACCAATATTTGTTAATAAAAAAGTATGTAATATTGCTTGATTTTAAGTTTATTAAGTTATTAAAGTTTAAAAATCAATTATTTAATTATTTGATTAAATACTAAAAATGAGCTATTACTATATTAAATCAAACACTTATACGGTAGAGCCACTGATAGCTGCAAAAATCAAGTAATATGTATTATTGTTTATTTACAATTCTGAATATTTGATCTAACTTGCTAATTAATTAAAAATTATTTGCTTACATGACATTCCATCACTGCTTATCTAATATACTCCAGATGTGTTTTAAAATTAAATGATGATTGATTGATCTGTTGGATTCATATACGCAAATTATACTATACCACTTGCGGTTGAGCAAATAGAAGTAGGGGTAATTTAAATTACTTATAGTTCACTATTTTATTAAATTACTTGAAAAGCCTTAATCTACCAGTTTGATGTTTATTATATTATAAGTTGCTAAAACAAATAAACAGATGAGCCGTCTCTAACAGATATCTAATATAAAGCTTAAGGCAAATAACTTAATTGATTTGTGTTAAATTGAGTGAAAAATATGATTTTGTTTGCATCGTCTATTGATGTGATTAGCAATATATTTTTGTTATTTGCTACTTCCATGACTTAGCTGATTACTTTTAAAGTTCCTTAGCTTATTTCAAGTACTTTATTTAAAATGTTTTCCATAGGATTCCATAAAAAAACAGAATTTTTCTAATCACCAAACAAAAAAATGTTTTGCTTATATTAATAAACAGAAAAAATGCTACTATCAAAAGTGTATGACCTCATAAATGAGCCATTTTCTTAATTTATTGCATTGATGAATTGATCATATACCAAGAATATTTAATCTGTCATGTTGGAAAAAAAGATAGATTTAATACTTCTACCTTTATTTACTTATGATGGCTATACATACTAAGTTGAGCATTAAATAGCTTATTAGCATATGTTTTGAGAAAGATTTGGTTAATTTGATTCATTACACAATGGAACACAGCTAGATAAGTTAGAATTACTTGCATTAATTTCTAAGTAAGTTAAATTATGGCAATTCTAATATACACATATATTATTTTTTTTATCTAATAAATAATCTTTTTCACATTATAGACAAGAACTATAGCCTGTTTGTGAATTTACACTACAGCTTTAACATCCTATATTGCAAGCTTTAATCAAGAAAATAAACTGAAAAATTGCAATAACTTTATAAATTTTGGTATTTCTTAAACTGTTACTTTTCATTTTTGTGAATTGAAGATTAAAATTCTTATTGATACTTTTTTAATCAAAAATATTATTCCTAAGTAATTTAAATGATATATAATTATGCTTTTTAAATGAAAAAAAATATAAATACAAACACAACTTCCTAAAATTTTTGTTAGAGTACTATAAAAATGCTATTTAATGTTGAAAAAATAATGCCTGAAATATTTTTAATAGTTAAAAGAAATATTTTATTAAAATGAAAATATATCTACTTATATCTTGAAAACATATTTTTTCTAAAACTATTTTAAAAAATCAAAAAAAAAGAATTGAAGTTGATTTAAAATAAGTTATTTTATCAAAACAAAAATTTATTTCAATATATTTTAAAGATAAGATTGATTAATAGTTTTCTTTTTATTTATCCAAAACCAATCAAACTTTATTTTAGTAAAAATATAATAATAAGATTTCTAATTTTTTTACTTTTAGTTAGAGGATTATTAAATTTTTGAATTGTGTAATATTTAAATTTTGAGGCAGAAAATTTTTATGAGAAATTATAAAATATTAAAGGTCTTCAAAAAAGTTGAGTTATTTTTATTAAATTGAATATTAACTATAAACTGAAAAAATAGAATAATAACACATTTTAATTTTAGTAATACCTTTTTAAATTAATATTATTTTAATTATAATTGTTGATTTGTTAAAAGTACTATTTTAAAAAACAAATATTTAATTTTTTTTCTGAAAATACATTATTTTTTGATTTTTATAGTTTAATTATCTTTATATAATAAGCAAAATTTCAAATATCAATTTTTTTTAGGTTATTTATTTTAAATAATTAGAGAAATCAGCTCTATTCTTTATGATTCTATTAAACTTGTTAAGTAATTTAAAAATTGATTAAACTAGATAATGAATGAATACAAGATAGTTTTTATAGTTTTATTTCTTTATGGCTGCTATAATTTGAATTACTTCTATAATTAAAACATTTTGAATAAATTAAATGTTTCTTTCTATTTAGTAGTAATTTGCTTTGCTATTTATGGCTTCTTTTATATAGGTAGCGATAGCAATATATAATCAACTAGAAGTCAAAAATAATCAAACAATATTTAAAATAATTAGAAAAATAAAATAAATAACCTTTAAAATGAGGTAAAAATTATTAAAATATCTCAAGATAAGTATGAAACAATACTTAAAAAATTATAATTTGATGACCAAGTTCTTTAAAATAGCAAATTCTCCCTGGAAAGTATTTACAAAGTAAAAAATAAAGCAATTAAGAAGAGATTTCTAGAGTACTAAAAAAATAAGACAGAAAAAGTTAAACTTTTTGGATAATGCGGTCCTGCTTATACAAATTTTGGATATCATGGAACTAAAAAAACATGTGTTGGATTTGAAAAAATTTGCACTATAAAGGATGATTGTCCTTTCTGCAGTATTCTAACGTTTGGGTTTAGAAACGCATTTTCAGGCAAAAGCATGAGTCTTATATTAAGATATGGAAAAGGTACATACTTTAGTCCAAAATTATAAAAAGCTCTCAATTATTGCCAGTCAGATTAAAAAATAATATTAGCATGTAAAATAGTAATGGGTCGTGTTTTTAAGCCATCTTGCATCGATGATTATTTTATGTAATTTGATGGAAGTAAGTATGATTGTATTGATGCAGATCCTCAATATACTATTGATATTAGAGATCCAGAAATATGCATTAAAAATGAGAAAGCTTGTTTACCAAAATATATCTTAGTTTTTAAATGATTTTTTGTTAGAACAATAAATTGATAATAAATGAAAATTTAAAAAATACTCTTAGTATTTAATACATTTAGTAATTCTTTTATTTGATTCTTTATTTATTGTAGAATTTTATATTTAACATGTGATTTATTAATCATGTAATTAATATAAAGATGAAATTATATTTGATGTTTTTGTATGTGTACGTATGAGATACATAAATTTATTTATTACCCAAAAAATTTTTGGCTTCTCTTACTAGCAATAATTTACAAAATTATTTAATTATCTTTTGTGAACAAAATAACTCAAAAAAGTGTAAAAGATATTTATGATCAATCAGCTAACTTTTGAATGGATTATTTTAAAAGATTAAAAATATTTTTCATTATGTATTTGAATTTACCCGAAAATTTTTGCTTTCTTAAATGCTATTTTAGAATAGTAAATTTACTTTAAAATATTAAAAATAATTGGAGTATTTTTTAATTATTTTAGTAAAGCTGGTTGAAAGTTTTATTTATTTATTTGTTTTTATCCAATTATCTACATTCTTTTTAAAAAAAGCCTTGAACAAAATAGTTAGAAGAGCTTATTGGTAAAATAAATAATTCTAGAATTTCAATACCAATCAAATAAAATCAGATATTTGATATTTATTCAATTCAAATGTTTTAGTATTTAATTTAGAATAAATTGAAATGTGTAAATACATATTTAATTATTACAAGCCAATATTAATTAATAAATTTATAATTTTTTTTTAACTTAAATTAAAAAGATATACAAATTAAAAAAAAGAAAATTAGATGACTAATATGAGCAACTAAGCTTGTTTGGATAAATAAAATATTATACTTACTCATCATATTGATAGTATTAGAGTATAAAACAGATAAAAATAAAATTTTTATACACTCTCGCTCATTCCTTCTACTACATAAATTAATGTCTTAAGGAATATGTAAGAATAAAATATGGTCTCAGAAAATATTTTGAGAGATTAATACTATTGTAAACAAAAGATAATTAATAATTTTATGCTGTGCTTTAAATATAGTTTGATTTCTATGGCTGCTATAGATTAGTAAATGCAATTAATTTCTATAAAATTGCTTAAATTAAATGCGCTAGTTTTTTTACTCTATATAATTCCTTTTCATTTAAGTATAATTTTTTTAACTTTTTTTTAGTTTATTTTCATGCTGGCTAGTAAATTTGTTATTTAGCATCGTAATTAAAATTAAAGATTGTATCACAAAGTTAAAATGAGAGCTATTTTTATTATTTGGATTATAATCTGCTTGTTATAAATAGGCTTGGTCTGCAGATGCATCTATAAAAATTTAATAATGTAAGCTTATTTCAAGTATTTTTTAGATTATTTTAAGTTAATTTTTAAATTGTAAAGTTAATTAATTTTTTATCAATAAATTTAGACAAGACTATGATAGACTATATCGCCTAATATGTTTGAGTCCTATCTGCATTATTAATCTATTGTATTAAATTTACTGGATTAATTATTATGAAAGGTATCTTAAAGACATAACTTAGCTTACTTAAAGCGAGATTTAAAATCTTCATTAAAAAAAATTGTTAATAGACTTTTATTTACTCTAAAAGCATTTTTAATCATATTTGAATTATTCACAAAGATACTACCTTCTAAAAAAAAATCCACAATGCTTTATATCTGAAGAAATGATAAAATATGTTATTGCAAATCCAAAAGAATGCCAAGTATTTCTTGTTTAAAATAACTAGGTAGTTCGTGATCCATCTTAAGATATTGAAAATCAGATATATAAAAAGTAAATTATGGAAGAGTAAAATATAGATAATATAATTATGAATGCTGTTTTATTTTAAATCAAAGATAAATTATCATCTAGCTAAAATCTAAATTAATAAGAAATTGATATAATTATTCAAACGTAAAGACAGAAAAAACTTTTAGAGAATCCTCAAATATTACCTACATTGTTTTCTCAAAGAGGTTCTATGAACTCTAATTTGCTTTAAACTCCTGTAACTTATAGCCCAGCTTTCTTTAATAAATCTAATTAAGTTTAGTTAGATAATCAATCGCTTAACTTAAATTAACCCACTGAAATGCAATTTCCCTCCAATATTCAAATTAACCAAAAATCTTGAAAATTCATTCCTCTTAAATCAGATTTCTGATCTTTTTACTTCCTCTCTTCCCATTTTTAAAAACAAATTTTAATAAAAAACTCTATTTAATCAAAATTTTACTAAATCAACATGTAAAATTATATAAAAAACTCTATTCTAACAATTTTTGTAAAATAAATAAGCAATCTTAAAAAAAACTTTTCAAAATTTTTCTTTCATTTCTTTAATTATTTATAATTATTTTTTAAGAAATAATTTATTGGTCAAAAGATAAAATTAAATAAAATGAAATTGAGTTATCTTTATATTTTTTATAAAATAAAATTAAATTATAATTATTTTAACTTTATTAAATTAAAACTTTTGGAACCTATTTAAAATATATTCTAATTAATTAGCACTATAAAATTGATATTACTTTACATGAAGATATTCTAATTATATATTTTTTATTTTATGCTAATATTACTTAAAGCACTTTTAAAAGCGATAAATAGAAAAAATAGAATTACTCAACATTATAAAAACTAAACAAACAAATTTATATATGTATTAATTTATTTTAAATATTAATAATTTAATTAAAATTTTATCAAAAAAAAAATAACAAAAATTTTAATTTAATTTTGAAAAATGATTTTTATTTAAATTTACTGAAAAAGTTATTATTTTAAAAATAACTATTTTCTTATTTACATAAATTCTGAATAAAAATGGTACTTTTTATTTATAAATGAGAAAACAATAATATATTAATTAAAATAAATTATTTAAAAATAAACAATTGTCTATTAAAATTAAAACTATAAAAATTAAAATTTAATAATTAATGATACATTTACACTATAATTAATAAATGCTATAAAATTTATTTCTGTTTAGATAAATTAAAAAGCTTCTATAATAAAAAACTCATTATGTTTCTTATCTTACAAAATCTTCATCATCATTTTACTGATACTTTGAAAGAAATGGGTTTTTATTTAATATTCTGTTTTCTTTGATAAATGATTGACTATCTTTTTATGAAAAAATGTTATTTTTTTCGTATTAGATCGAAGATAAAGCTGATTATGTTTAAGGAATTTATTAAGAAAATTTTTAGAATTGATGAATTTAAGAGATTTATTGTCTTGAGAACTAATCTTAAAGAGAAGAGTCTTATTTTGAAAATACTTCTTATTATGAAACATTTTATTATTATTACTACCTAGCATATTACTCTCTTAGCCCTGAAGCTTATTAAGATATTAAATTTTTAGAATTTTTAGATTCTGATGTAGGGGCTGATTAATTGGCATATTCTTATTATGAAATATTGCTTTTTTGAAGGTTGGCTTTTTAGTTGCTATACTCATAATAATTTTATTAGCGAGGAAGATCAATATTATTAGTTTTCATTTAGTTGCTTTTTTTATTTTAAATCCAATTTTTTATAGCACTACCTTAATTGCTTCCATTTCCTTCTTCTTTAGCACTAATATAGCTCATCTTATAATTGTTGACTTAATCCATTATCTAGTTATCAGATTAATTAAGTTAATTTCCAAAATTCACAGTTCTTTTAGCAAAAGCAAATTCTATTCTGTCAGCTTACTTACTAATATTTAAATAGAATTACTTTAGCTCTTTTGAAACTGCTTATAAATCTTCAGGAGATCCAATACCTAAGAAACTTGTTGAGATTTCTTTAACAGTGATGAGGTGATTTTTAAAGTGGAACTAAAACTATTCAGAGTTTTTTGCTCTTTCACTATTTAAAAATGACTCATAAATAGTAATCAACTGTTATAAATATAAGTCTTTTTCAATTTTTTCTCTGTTATCCAAATTCACTGTATTCTTGAGTATATTTAAAACACCTTCTTCTAAAATCTAAAATAACTTATATGCAAATACACCATCTCTTTCATCTGAATATAAAAAATCGGAGTATTAAGTTTCCATAGATCTATTCAAATATTTTAATAATCTATTGTGGAAAACACAATACTATGTTACTTCTGAGAAATCAATGCCGAATTCTCCGTCGCTGTATTTTTCGATTATCTATCCAATAACTAATGGTAATCCAATTTATTGAAGATCTTCCATTAATTTAAGATTCTTAGACATTAAAGTATCCAATATAAAAGTAACTCTTTCTATGTCGCTAGTTTCTCTTAGTTAAAATATATAGCTATGTTTAAAAGTTGGTTAGTTATAGTTTACAACTTCAAATTTTTTAAGCTATTAAATGATGGTGTTTTATTATTGGGGTCCAGCATTATTTTAATTATCTGATAACTGGTTCTTTACTCTTAAAATTTTACATAAGATACTTTAACAACATTATCTAATATCCTAGTACTCCTTTAATAAGAGCTCAGAGTCAAAATTTTATTTTATAACCCCTTCATCACTGTCAATACTTTCTAAAAGATCGATTTCTTTCTAACTTACTTATTAAAGCAAGCAAGGAGCACATAGATCACTCTCAAGAAGCTCTAAACAAGCTTTTAAACCTTTTAAGTTTCTAAATAAATATTGATTATATTATTTTTTAAATAACTTAACATTTTTTTTAAAATTTGTTTATATAAATAATTAAGTTACTGTAGAGTGATTGAATTTTCAAGGACAGAAAAAATATCTTATATTTCATCTTTCTTCAGCTTTTCTTATAGTGAAAGCTTATTTAGCAAGCCATTAATTTATCTTCTAAGAAGCTCTTGATTCAGAGAAACTTCGTCTATATTAATGTATTAATCTAAATTTTCTTAGAACAGTTCTATTCTAGAGGGGAAGTTTTCTTTAAATATACAGCAGCATTCCCAAACTAACTCGCAAAATCTTTTTAAATAAATATCATCACTCTAGTTTTCAATGCTAATTCTGAAATAAGTAGTTCTAAAATAGGTACTGTTTTGAGGGAAATTTATTTCGCTTAAACTATCTATCGGTTTAAAGCTAACAAACTTATCATCGATTCTATTTAATAAATAATCACAATTCAAAATTTAATCATAAATTAAAATAATTATGCTTTTCAACTCATATTTATATGTAAATTATCAATTATTAATTACTAAAGATCAATTTCAGCGTTGTGAGTTTTCAAGAAGAGAGATAATTCTTTTATGGTCTGATCATACCTTTGTTTATTTAAAAGCTCTTCTAAAACTATTATACCTACGTATATAGACATTTGCAGGCTATATGATTGTTAATTTCTGTTTGATTTGAAATTGAAATATAAAGCTTTTTTATATATTAGTTATGTTTTGATGATCTCTAAATTACTGAAACAAAATAATTTAAATTTATCAAATCTTATAATTTTTTAAATAAAAAATCTTGAAAATAAAATCATACAAAAAAGCAAGGTGTCTGTTATCTAAAAAGATACTTATTTAACTATTTCTTTTTGAATATAATAAATAAAAAATAATTTGATTAATACAAAAATGACAAGCTTAAAATTTAAATTACCCAAAAAAAGCTGTGTTATAAAAATAAGAAATAAAAAATAATTATTTTTATACATCATTCAAATAAAAAAAAATCAATTTAAAAAAAGCATATTGCCATTTAAGAAACAATAAACAAATAAATAAAATTTTCTTAATTTTTTAAAATAGAAATTATTAAGGAAAATTAAAAAAAGTATTAGAGGAAGATTTAATTAGATGAAAATAGTTATTATATTAAAGGCAAATTAAAGTGAAATATTTATTCATATTTTAGTATACAATAATTATAATATACAAGATATTTGAATAAATATGTTTTTTATAGTATTATATTTAATAAAAATTGAATTAAACTCAGTTCTGTAAGGCATTGAAGAAATATTCTACCTATTTAGTAAATATCAAATATAAATTAAAAATTTATTTTTAGATCTAATATTAATTTGCTTACTTCTAATACACCATCATCTTCTAAATCAGTGCAGTGGATTCCATTTTTAACTCTATCAATACCAAATCTTGCTCTAATAGTGTTTGGTCTAATTACCTTTGCAATTTCTGGATCGTGAGGACCTGCAATATCTCTAAAAGATTTAACTGCATTTTCTTATCTTACTTCTAAAGCATAGCACATACCAGAAGTTAAATGTTCAGCAATAGCATTGAATTCAGGTAAAACACCCTTTTATTAAAAAAAGTTTTAAGAAATTAAAAAAAAAAATAATTGGTTACTTTGTAAACTTCATAAAATTCTTCAGCAGTAGGACGATCAAGGAAGAATGTTTAAAGTGCAGAAATTTCAAATCCTTCAGAGAGTATCATATCAATAACTTCACCAACTTAATTTTATTTTACTATATGAGGCTTGATAACACAGCAAGTACATTAATTGAAGAAGGCTTAAGTTTTTAGTTTAGAAGTTTTAGCAAAGAAGAAATTGAGTTCTCTGAAAGCACTTCCAGCTTTTTTAATATCATAATAAATTTTATTTACATTTTAAATATTTTATATTTTTACGAGAGTCTGATCCATGGCAAGCATTTCTGGTACCATCAGTACCAAAGAGACCTCTAATGCTATTTGGGGCTTATTCTCTTGCAACCTAATTTGAGAAAGTAAATTAAAATGATTTATTATTATATAATTAATAGATATTACTAATGTATTTGTTGGGCCAAGTAATTCTCTCCATCTCTTAATGGCATTATCACCAACTAATTCCATACCAACAATTAAATCGCTACTCATGAAGTTTACTAATCCATCATAAAAAGGCTTTCCTTTATGCTCGCCATAGAATTCTATGAATAATTTAAATTAAATATTTAATTTCTATTTTGATTTTAGACTATAATGAAAAATTATTCACCTCTTGCATCTTCTTAAGACATTTTTGTCATCTTTAAGTTTGATATTTATAAGCCAGATCTTTCAATTATTGAAATAATTTTTCCAATGTGAATGTAAGCATCAGGTTTAATCATTGCAAAAGTCCTAGAATTATAATTAACTTTAAAAAAATTAACTCCTAAATGTTATTTTACTTTTCTTTGATGTTTTGAAATTTAGATCTTGTAAAGACATCTGCAAAATCAACGATCTTGAGCTATCTGGAATAAACGTTTAAAATAGATCCAATATATAAATCAGAATCTTTAATAGCATATTCGCATCTCTTCAAAAATACTTTTTTATTCTTCAAGTCATACTAATTAAAAAAAAATGAAATTTAACAAGATATTTAAAAAATATTAAAACTTAAGAAAAGCAAGGCATAATTTTTCATTAAAATACTCTCTTTTTTTCTATAAAATTTCTAAATATGGTTTTTAAAATTATGCATCTAGGAATGATTATGTAGCTTGCCATAGTAAATTGTAAATTTAAATATTTCAAACCATCTCAATTGTTTTATCTTGAGTGAAGTATGTCAAGTAATAGGTTCTTATAAGTGATGCAGCGGTATCAAACCACTCAACGATAAAGATATATCTGATATCAGCCATCTATTATATTTTAATATTTATTAATTAGTATCTAAATGTTTTCTTTTTCTTTGTAACTAATTAGATTAATCAAATTTTCTATTCAATTTTAATTGCTTTTTATTACTAATTAATTGATTATTTATTTCAGATATACCAAAAATTTTAATCATTATTTTTGAGAAGTTACGGTTTTCAAAAAATCAAATTCACAATCTACATAACCAAAGCACATTCATTTATGAATAAATATTCAACAGAAAATAAATTAATAACTAAAAATCAAATTTACATCAAAATTTAAATATTTTTTATTTTTTATTTCATTTTATTTTATATCTTTTTATTTTAAAATAGAATTTTTAAAAATCTAAACATTTATTATTGTTTTTTATTTAAAAATAAGAAAGCAAATTAGTTTAAATACATAAATTTTATATTACATAAAAAGGATTTAATATGTTTATATTCACTATTTAAAATTGATATATTGTTTTTTTCTTTATGTTGAAAAATATTAGTATTAAAAATACAAATAAAATATTAATATAAATGAAAATATAATTTGTTATTTCATTAATTTATTCAAAAATATTCATTTAATTTTAATTATTTTGCATTATTGAAATATCAAGCATCTTTACTTTATGATAGTTCTATAAAATGCTTTTCGATCGAATAGGGAACGAAAGCATAACCATCAGCTTTATAAAATTTACTTTAGAATTCAACCCTATTAGATATATTTTTAAAAAACATTAAATAATCCATATATATTCACTATATTAAGCTAAGAAAATCATTAATATTTTTAATTAATAAATATTTAAAAGTTAAAAACTTTACCAGTGAAGTCTTAAAGCATGCAAGAAACACTCCATGACATCCATGCACATAAGTACACCGAATGTAACTAGAGCAAAAACATAATAACCTATAATCAATGCTATAATTTATACTCCTCCATCCATCTATTAAATAAAATATGTTGAACTTATTTATGTTAGAAGAAACGATATATATTTGTTGTAATTAATTATTATATAAATAGAATAATTTTTAATTATTACTTCAATAAAAGGTTGAAGAGCTTTTTGGAAGAAAACCCTTGAAAGTTAACCATGAGCAAGAGATAGAGCCCACAGTCTTAAATATGAAGCTGTATTTGAGATTGAACCAAGAACAAATTCAATAGTTTCAATAACTTAGTGAACAAATAAATCAGCAAATCCTTCATGTTCACCTACTTCAATATGGTGGTCATCACTAATTTACTCGTTATTTACATTATGATGAATTTCAATATTCTTTTGATATTATTCTAGATCCTTTTAGAGATCATCAAGAGGAATTTCTTGTAAATTGTTATGACCTTGTTGGCTATCATGTCTAGGAGATATTTCACTCTTATGCTTTTTTGGATTAGAAAGATTTACCTATAAATTTTATTTGAATAAAATAAATTTTATAATATTTATTTACTTCTTCTCTTATCAAATATTTTTTGTCTTAGTTGTGATCGTCCAAGTCTCCATTTAAGGCTTGATGTTTTTTCTTATTTATATAATTCTATATAAAAGGTTTAGGAAGCAGCATTATTGGAACGCAAACTATAGCAATCACTACAAATTTTAAATTAAAAGTTCAAATATGCTAATAATTTTAATTTTATTTTACATAAAAAGATTATTCCAATGCTTTTTTATATGCCAGCGTCACTAGGTCCAAATAGTGCAGCACCAGCAGGATCTGCTCCTTTTAATGGAATATTAATCATAAGTGTAATAATAGAAGGAGGAGGATTTGCTTCTAATATATGTTATGTCCAATTCTATACCCACTTTATTATGATAAGGAAATCCATATAACCAAATGTTAGGAGAAGGAACAATAATTAAGGTAGAAACTCAAAATAAAAGTCAGCTTTAGATTTGAAAAAAATAGCATTGAAAGCTTTCATACAAATACCTAAGCTCATATGAATAATAGCAATAATAACAGCAAATTTCATTTTAAAAGAATTCTAAAATGTTAAATTATTAGATGTCAACATCCAAATGGGATCAAAACCTATAATAAAAATATTATTTAAATTATAAGTTTTATAATACTATTAGAAAAATGGCTTATATATTCATTAATTTAAAAGCTAAATTGTCAAAATAAAAAAGAAATATTAATTAAATTGCTAAAAAAAATTTGCTACTTTCTTTTATTATTTAAAAATAAAATTAAAAATATTTGAAAGAATTAAAATTTACCAAAATCATAGACACAGTCAGGTATCTTAGTTATAGTTTAAGTACCATTTATTTCTTCTAGATTATAGCAACTTCCAAATATGTTAAATACTATTGAAAAGAATTCATTGTAAATTAAACCACAAAAAGTTGCAAAGAAACCCATCATTATTATTATATATCTAGCAGGTAACATTAATTTAAACGTACTACTTGGATCGTTTTCTATTTTTTCCTTCCATAAACATAAGTAACATCCTATTACGAAGAGTAAAAAACCATGACCAATATCTCCGAACATGACTCCAAACAAGAAAGGAAATGTAACTATTGTAAAGAGTCCAGGATTTACTTCCTAATTAAATATTTAATTTAGTTAGCTTGTTAATCAATTAAATTTATTTTCAAACAAAAAAATCAAAGCAATTTGTAAAATAATCATTTTACAAGCAAATTAAATTTGGTTGAAATATAACTTTTATTAAAATTCATAGAATATTAATTTATTTATCTTTGCTTATTATCAGAAAATATCAAATAGTTTTTTTACTTTATATCTTGGAACACCATATGTATTGACAATAACCTAAAACACTCTAGTGAAATCATTTAATTTAAAATAGGTTGGAGGGACACCCGCTGCAGGGATAACTTCCTGTAATTATCCATTTGGTAAATGAGGATACCTTAATCTGATATTCTATAATGCTTTAAGTATAGATTCTTCTTCCTAAATTAATTAAGATTTTAGTATTGAAAATTAACTTTATGAAATAGACAAATAGAAGAATCTATTTTAATTACATCTTTGGGTAGCCAGCAATTTCCATGGTAGTGAGTTGATTAAGCTTTTAAGTAGTTTAGGTTCGTGTAAAGGAGTTTTTCTTTTTCAATATAATAAATTAGCTCTTCAATGTAGGAGCATTTGCAATCGTTTCTATTTTATGAGAATGTTTCTAAGAAGTCATTTATTTCTCTTTATGTCAACTTTAAAAGCTATATTCAAAAATAAATAAGATATAATAATCTAAAAATTACAACAACTCATTTTTTCATCTGATATAAAGAATTAAATTAAAAATGTTCAATAATATCAAAGTAATAATTACGTGACGAGAATCTCTTATTTAATTATCTAAGTCTTGTAACCTCTTCTCATATTTATCAGGGGTTTCTGGAAATTGATATTTGTTAACGCCAAAAGAGTCACATATTCTTTAAATTTTTTAATTAATAAATCCAGCTTGTTGTCCCGGAATCAACATCAAAAATACTGATCTTCCAACCTATATTAAAATTAAATAAATAATAGAGATAACTTGATTAAATACTAATATCTTGCTTTTTAAATATATTTTTTGTTGGAAAATTAAATCAAAGATTTTATTTTCTCATCTTTCTATATTAATTGTTTTAAATATTGTTTACTTTTTAAGGCATCACATTGGCTGAAACTTCGTTTTATTGTTTTTGTTCTAAATTTTGCATTATTACCCAGCTATTACCCTTTGTAATTCTGAAAATTGTTTTCTAAAACTTAGCTGCATCACTATCTGATACAGTTCCAACAACATAGTTAAGCTTTAAATTGGATTCTATATTTATACCATGATGTTTTTATAAGGGAATGTTCATATCTCTCATAGCTAAACTCAATTAACTTTAATTTATATCAATTTGTTGTAATCCACTCACAGATTCTTATACACTCTAAATGCTGGCTTCTTCATCAATTTCTTATTAGCTATATTATAAAGTTAAAATTGTGTTAGAGCTCTACCATAAACAAAAATCTTTTCATTTTTTGTTAAGTATTTTAAAAAAAACATATTTCAAAATAAAAAATCAATTTTTTCCAAAAAATCTTACTTCTTAAAAAAAGAAGGACCTAGAATAGTCTTTGCTTTTATAAGAACATCTTTATACTCAACGAGATGATCTTATTTGTCTTACAAATTTGTGTAGTTATTTATTTACTCTTCTAACTAAGTTGCTTTTTAATAAACAGAGTCTTCTATCTCTTCGAAATAAGTTTATCCAGCTTTTTCCCTTTCTTGCAATATTTTGTTAAAATATCCTTGCAAGTCTTTGAAATTATCTGGCTTGTTAATTTCTTTATCGAAATTTTGCATTTGCTTTTTTATCAGGTTTAGCTTGAATAAAACTTCATCACATCTCTTAATGTAGTTTGTGAATGCCTTATTGACGTTTGGCAGATCAGGATTTTAATCTATAAAATGTAAAAGGGATAGTCCTCCTAACTCATTCATTACTTCCCAGCTTGATTCTCTTGGAAGAATCAAGTGGTAATATCCCATATTCTCACTTCTAAAAATATTCATTTTAGTTAATTCAAATTCTACTAAAAAATAATTCTTATTTAAATTAATTATTTATTATAGATTGATATGTACTTGTTCTTCTCTGTATGATATATATCAATACAAGCAATTTTTTATTTTAATTCTATAGTGAGCCTATACACTTAATTTTTGGTTTATTAGATCAAAAATGAAATTAAAATAGTATGCATATTTGATATAGATATATTGTTAGATATTTATTGAAGTACATACACTGATTACAATTTAAATTTCAATTTTTTTTCTTTTTTATTTTCAAAGGTAAAAAAGGATATTTATTATATTTTACAATATCTACTTAATTTACTACATCTAAATGAGTACTAAAAAGACTATCATACTACCAAATACATAATAAATACTCATTTTCATTTTTAAGCTCATGAACATTTTCATATTAATAGTTTACCCTAGTAAGTTAAGCATTATTCTTACATTACACCAACTAATATTTCTAAAATTTGATAATTAATTATTGTATGATTTAATAATGAAAATTATTAATGAAGAGAGATAAAATAATTGGCAAATATTTATTTGGATTACTAAAAAATATCAAAACGATTGATTGGAATGCATTCATGAAACTCGAAAAAAACTTATTATTATTCAGTCAATCTATTATCTAAATTACAATCTAATTTTTGTTGTTATATCAAAATTGAAAAGACTAGATTATAATTCTAAAAATAGTTTGTTTACAAAATTAAAATTACATTATTTAGTTGAAAACATAGTAAGGATGATATAAATTGATAGATTTAAATTTTTAGTAATTTTTCTAAAAAAAATAAGTGGATTAAAAATTGCTTATATTTATTACATTGTGATGTAATATAAAAATATTACGAAGTTGGGAGTTAATAGTTCTAACTTTAAATTGTAAATTTGCAAATAATTTAATTTGTAATCATCAAGCAAAATTAATCAATACTTGCATATCTCAATATTTTAGAGATTTGATTTATTTTATAAAAATATGAAAGCAACTTTGAAATTTAAAAATCATTTTTTATACTTGCTTTTTTATCAACAATTTTTCTAATAAAACTTTCTGTGCTCTCAATATGATATTTATAGCTAGTTTATGTATGCAAATATTTTTATATATTTTAAAATCTCTAAAAATTAAACATTTTAAAAATTAACTGATTCACTTATAAAAATAATATCTAAGTTTATATTTAAGATTTATTATCAAAATAAGTAATAATATTAAAAATAGTTTATAATGGTTTATATATAAATTATAGGCAAATTATTGGTAATTTGTTAATATATAAATCTCTAATAAGATTTAATTTTAATAAAATTTCTTTAAATTATTGATAAGTCCTCTTTCTTCTCTTAGCCAAATATTATTATTTATTCGTTGTAATTATATACTCAATTTTTCACCTCAATTTTTGAAGAATTACTCAATAATCTAATACCATTCATTATTATTCAAAGTATTACAATAAATATTCATCAACCTAATAACAATCAGTTACATGAATTTAATATTCTTTAACACTTGTTCCTATCCTTATCACAAAACTGATTTAATCGCTGCTAAAATTATTTAATTTAATTTAGTAGATAAAATTATATGAAGGAAAATCAGTTAAATAAATAATTTTTTTTGTAAAGCATGCTCTTATTTCAATTTAGTCTCTATATTAAATGAAATCAGCTAAATATTACTTATTTCCTCTTATTTATTCAACATAGTCTTTATTTAAGCTAGTTATGAAAAAACAATCATACGCATTCAGTTTTTGTTAGAGCTTTGTCATTTCTTCAAAACCAAATTAAAAGTACTTAGTTCCTATTGCCTCACTAAATTTAACTTAGATAATATAATTTGTTCTAGTATTTAATATATTTGAGAAAACACATGAATCTGACTACTTTTAAATACATATTGAGTTTTAACCATACATATTTTACCTTTATATTACTATGCCTTATTTCTCTAAGCCATAAGATTTACTTTCGAATTCCAATTTCACTTTATTTTTGTAAACTGGAACTTGCATTTCAAAAAATGAATCAAAGATAGGTATATTTTTTATTATTTCATAAGTGTAATCTTTATGTCCATTGTAATTCTTATAGCAATTTAAAAAGCTAAGAAAATGGTTTGTTAATGCCGAAATTTATATATTATTTTTTTTATTTTCTTATATTTTTCTAGTTAGAGTATTGATCATATTAATTTATTTTTCAGACAAATTATAAGAATTAATGCTCAAAGGAAAATCATACATAGTTTAGTCTTTATAAAATAGTGTAATATATATTTAAGGCATATTTTATAAGAATTCCTTTAGTTTAGACAATAAAGGTTCTTATACTAAACCTTGATTTGGATTTTCAAAATTTTTTTCAAGTCTCTATTTGCGCTATTATAAATCGAGCTTTTCATTATGATTCAGTTTAGGATTTAATTTGATTAATAGCTCACTAACTTCTTTAAAAACTGGTTCTTACAATTCAAGTACTTTTTCATGTAGGTCTCTTGCTTCTTAAGTTTCATATTATCTTGGTATCTTTAATACACTTAAATATTCTGCTAAATGATTAAATTCCTGTATTAAATATACTTTATACTTTTCTCTACAATAATTAAAAGGATTACTAATTAAATTAATAATACTCTCTAAATTATCTCTATCTTAAATATAGGATGAGCTTTTATCTAAGTTATTGCTAGTATTTTATTTTAAGAACATTTATGTCATGTGTTCAAACATCTTAAAAGCACCTGTCTTTAATTTATCTAAATCATTTTAATATAAATTTTATTTCCATTCTTCATTTATCTCTAAATCATTAAAGTAGTCTGAGAGAAATTCTATTTTTTACCTTATTTAAACTAAAAAGTTATCTGGACAATTATTAAACCTATTATTTATTAACTTTAAAATTATTTAAGAGTTGCTATTTTTGGATGTATCGAATTAAAAATTGGCTGTTGATTATTTATTTTCAAAGCAATCTATTTTCTCTATGTATTTAAGAATTAATTCTTCCATTTTTTTTGGTTACTCTAAATTTAATTAACTTTATTCTTTATTTGATTATTTAATTATTTCTTAAATTTTTTACTGCTAAGTTTTTTTAATTTTTTGCAAATACTCAAATGTCTACTTTAGACTTTAAGTTTTTTCTTCATAAGATTGTTCTATTTACTTTGCAATATCCTTTAAATTTTACTAACCAGAATAAATACAATATTCCTCTTATATTCTTTATTCATAATTAAAGAGACTATTTAATTTAGCTAACATATTCTTTTTAGTTTTTATAATTGTCTCTTCTACCCTTTTTGCCATTTAATTAAAGAAGTCCTCTATCTATTTAGCTCGCTAACATGATTATGAGCTTGATTAAATCATTTTTTCAACTTCTTATTTGAATGACTAATCTTCTTATGAATCTGTGAATGGCCAATTTTAAAATATACTTGTTTCATTGCTTTCTAATATATCTTGAATGCATATTAATCTATTCTGCTAAATATCTTTATTTATAACACAATTACAACAACATAAATATTTTTTCTTTTAAGAGTCATTGTAAATGTATTCTATTTTTCTATTTGGATGCTGTGGGCAAGATTTGTAAGGATTCTAGTGTAATATCTTTTCAGATTCACTTAAATCAGGGGAAGAAATTTTATCCATTAACTATTTTTTTCTGCTTTTTAATTTTAAATATTTAGAAATAACTTTAATTAATGCAAATCAATAACAAAAGTATTAATTTTTTTTTCTAATCCTTATCAATTTAGTAAATTATGTATATTTTGTTTTATTTCCCTAAAAAACTAATTGATTATAAAAATTCAATTGTAAATGCTTTTAAAACAAACTTAGTTTATTAGCATTTAATTCTTTTCCAATTAATTAACCTCAACCAATAATAATCTTATTAATTCTCCTATTAAATAAATTAAAATTTTTTATAATGTATCTCCTTAAATTCCACTTTTTAAAATGGAATTAGAGAAGGTTAAAATATATTCTTTGAGAATTATTTTTGTTAATTTTTTTTATAAATTTTAATAAATTAAAATTGATTTATAATACAATAATTGAAATATTTTGCTTAATAATTATAAATATTATGCAATACAAATATTTATAATCAAAATATTTTAAGAAAACTTTAAAACATAAAAAAATTCTAAAATGTAAAATTAAGAAATATTATAAAAATTTTTGATAAAAATAAGTTTATTTGATTTCTAATTAATTAAAAGGAAATAATATTATTAAAGAAATCAATTTTTCTGTTGGATATTTACACATGTAATTTATTATATGATTTATTTGTGTATTCTTTGAGTTCATATAAAAGAAAATTAATTAGAAAATTAAGCAATTAATTTTCATAGAGATTATTAAGTATTAAATTAAATTTATTAATTCATAAAACTATAGATTTTTTATAAAGTTCATCCATTTTTACAAAAGCAAATAAGTTTATAAAGAGTGCAACTGAAATTTAATGAGTTTCAAGATAATATAACCTAAATCGCCTTTCAAGTAAAGGTCTGTATCACCTAATTAGAAGAAAAACTAATAAAAAATAGCTAATTTTGAAAACTCATTTTATGGTGAGACAAGTGATTATCAAAATTTTAAAATGAGTAGAATCTTAGATAATTAAACTCATTTAATTTAACCTGAAGTAAAATAATTATACTTGCTATATTTTTAAGAAGCTTAATCGATATTAATTTTTATATTTGTTAAACAGCCATTAAGCAATATAAAGGAAATAGCTAGGGATATATTAGATCTGGCGCAAAATCACTAGGATGATTCTTATGAAAAAAATGTAATTATAAACAAGAAAAAATAATAAAATAAAAATGCATTTTAATTAAATAAAGTTAAAATCATCTAAATAGATTGATCCTCTTGATACAGTTAACAGGCTGCTGAATGCTGAATATAAAAAGAAGGAAAAAATACTAAATAAATAGATAAACGTTTATATGGATGAATTAGCAGAGATGTAAAGTGGCGTAAAGATAAATCCTAAATCAGAACATATCCTAAGAAACAAGAATTACTAACCTATTCACTTAAGGACTGAAGAGGTGATTTAATAAAAATAGGAAAAATTATATAAATTATATTAGCAATATTAAGAAGAAAAAGAGTTGAAAGATCCTTAACCCTCTTTCACTCCAAATCTTGAAAAACATAATCAAATACATAAGAGAACCTTTTAAGAATTTATATCAGACATGGACAACTGGATTGAAAAGAAGAATAAAAATAAACAAGTTAACACATATCAAGTTATATCTTAGTAGATGGAAAAAACCACTTTTAAGCCTAAAATAAATAAAAAATCTTTATAAATTTTGAAAGTAAATTGATTTTTAACGACTATTTTTTTATTAAATATTAAAAACGAAGCGATTATATTTAACTTGTTTTCTGATGAATATAATTTCTTTGCTTTAACTTAAGAAGAAAGATATTTTTAGTATAAAGTTATTATTTTATTTAATTAAATTATATTTGAATTATATATTCTAGGAAAAGAATAAAAACTAAGAAAATTTAGACCTAGCAGCAAGAATGGAGATTAAAAGCAAAGAGTATGAGCAAAACAAGAAATAATTAGAAATGCAAATTAAATAAAAATACTCTTACACTCCTTAAATTAATTAAAAATCCAAAAGAATGGCAAGTCGTTCTTAAAATAAAAGAAATTTTAAAGATGGAACTGCTGCATCAAACTCAAAATCTCCTCCTAAATCGAAAAATTTTGTTATAGAAATGCCACATAATAAAAATTTAGATACTTCACCAAGAACTTTAGTAAAATCTCATAGTTCAATTTCTATAAGACAAAATCAAAGTTCAATAAGACCTTCTTTAAAAAATGATATCTAAAACAGTAACAATAAGCTGTAGCAATAAGAAAATATTAGTTTTCAAAGATAGTCTTCGTTCGATTAGCTAAAACCAAATCAAAGTTATTCTAATGATTTCAGGGTAGATGAAATTGCCAATAATCGAGAAGAAATATTGAAAAAACTCAGTGATTATGATAAATTTAAATAATATGCAGATAATAAGCTTGTTTAGAGTTAATCAGCAAGAAATGAAGAAAATGTTAGATAGCAATAGTAAATCAGAGAAAGAATTTAATAATAAAACAACAATTTCAACAAAGTATAATTTTTGGAAACTGTTTAGCAATATAATGTTTCTAAAGACTCAGATTTGAGTTCAAATCATATGAATTAATAGAGGTCAGTTTCACCTTTCTAAAATAATAGTGCATTGCATAGCAATCAGTCTTCTTATTTTCATACAAGAAAGAAATCTCATAGTAGATCAATATCACCTAATCAAAATCACTAACAATAAGTTAGTAAATACAGCTAAAAAATGACATTATCTCCAAGTAAAAATTCCTAAACTCGATCTTTATAGCTATAAGACAGCTAAAGACAATCAAACAATTATGCATTATCATCAAAGGACAGTGTCAATTAAGTTTTATATCACCCAAATTTGGATTTTATTATTGGAATACTCTCTAAAAAAGAAAAGATAAATAAATGAATACTATCTATAACAATTAAATAAAATATTTCTAATTAAACTATAATTAAGCTTATCTAAAGATCATTAATTCATCCATTATTTTATCACAGTTCAATATTTTCACAAGTTCATATTGTATACTAGATAAAATTTCTAAAATTTATAAATAAAAAGTATAAAAAATAGAATTATTTTTTTTATTAATTAATTATTAAATTAAATTGATTTTCAATAAAAAAATAAAATTCACACAAATAAAAAAAAATAATTATTTTAAAATTAATTAAATTTAGATTTAACTTTATCATTTTTATTATAGAACATTTAATAGAATTATAATATTAATTAATCAATGTCTAGAAATTAATTATTTATCAAAAATTAAAATCTGCAAATTTAATTTATTAGATAAATTATATTAAGTTTATCTTTCAAACTAAAGTAAATAAGTATTCAAATAGATAAATATATTATAAATGTCTTCAAAAGACAAAAAAACAGATAAAAGAAGAAGTCGTTCTCGAAGTTACGAAAAAGACAACAGTCGTAAATCAGATTATTCCAATAGATCAAGTAAAAATAGTGGATCTTCTAGTTATAGGGGTAGTAGATATGATGATGAACAAAGCGATTATAAAGATAAGTAAAGTCAATCTTCATTAAAAGATTACTCTAGGCCATCAAAGTATAGCTAATCTGAAAAAAGAAGAGAAAGGTCAAGTCGTTCACGTTCACGCTCAAACGAAAGAAATGATAAAGGAAGTAGGACATCAAAATATAATAATAGCTATGAAAAAGGATCTTCATCATCATATACATAATCAACATAGCAATCAACTAACAAAAGAGATACTGGAACAAAAGAAAATCCAGCATATAAACTCTCAAGCGGACCTGTAATGTTTGTTGGTTCAAAAGGAGCAACATTAGTCAAAAAAACTCCTTTACCTCCTTCAAGAAATGCAGAAGGTAATGGAGGAGACCAATTCAAGGCTCCTGCTCCAAGAGGGTAAGGAGGTTAAACAAATTAGTATTAAGGGTATTAAACTAGTAAAAGACAAAATCGAAATGAAAATGAATGGGATGATTATGAAGGTAAAGCAGAATAATACTGGTATGATTAGGATGAAAATGGTAATTACTTTGATGAAGCTGAAGAGGCTATTTTTGTAGGAGATGAGTAAGCATTTAGAGCCAAAGAAGAATAATTAGAAATGATGAAATAAAAAAAATAAAATGCAAAACAAAATGAAAAAAATATGGAAAATGATAAGTGGGATTTCAACAGAATGGTTGCCTCTGGTATATTTAAAATGAAAGAAGTTAGCTTTGATTTTAATGAAGAAGATGACAATAGAGTTAGTGTCTTGGTGCACGATATTAAACCTATATTTTTAGATGGTAAAAATATATACACAAAACAAATTGAATGCGTATCAGTAGTTAAGGATGAAAATTCATAAATGGCAATTATTTCTAAAAAGGGTTCAAATGTGCTCCGTTTCTAAAGAGAAAAAGCAGATAAAACAAAAATGCGTTAACGTTTTTGGGAGTTAGCAGGTTCTCGTATGGGTTCAATATTAGGAGTAAAAAAAATAGAAGAAAACAAAGATTCTGCAGATTTTACAGAAGAAGGTGATTTAGATTATAAAAAATCATCTTAATATGCTTCTGCTTTGATAAAAAAATAGGAATCTGTCAGTGAATTTACACGTACAAAAACTATAAAATAACAGAGAGAGTATCTTCCTATATATTCTGTAAGAGAAGAGTTGTTAAAAGCAGTAGGTGAGAGTAAGGTTTTAATTATATCTGGTGAGACTGGTTCTGGTAAAACTACTTAATTAACTTAGTATTTATATGAGAGTGATTATGCATCACATGGAAATGGAATGATTGGATGTACTCAACCTCGTAGAGTTGCAGCAGTTAGTGTTGCAAAAAGAGTAGCTGAAGAAATAGGATGTGAATTAGGATAAGAAGTAGGTTATTCTATCCGTTTTGAGGATTGCACTACTAAAAATACAAGAATAAAATATATGACTGATGGTGTTCTATTAAGAGAAAGTTTAAATGATCCAGATCTTGAATAATATTCTTGCATTATTATGGATGAAGCTCATGAAAGATCTTTAAATACAGATGTTCTTTTTGGTATTCTAAAAAAGGTAATTTTTGAGAATTAAATTTTTAAAAAGCTTAAATTTATTTAGAAGGTTAAAAACATTTAAAAGTAAAGTTTACCTTGTGAATTCTTAAGCTAGCCAACTAACTTATTAATCTTTATATAATTTTCTAATACAATCAAATTATATAACTTTAGAGCTTTAGAGTAGTTTTTGAAATTTAATAGAAATCACTTTCAAAAAATATTTACAAAAATTTTTAATTAAATGAATAATTTTAATGTTTTAGATTTAAAAGAATACTAAGTAAAATTTTATCTTTTATAGGTAGCTTAAAGAAGAAGAGATATAAAAATCATTATCACCAGTGCTACTATGAACTCTAGAAAATTTAGTGATTTCTTTGATGGAGCATCTATTTTTGAGATTCCAGGTAGAACATTTCCTGTAGGTATTAGGTTCGATAAGGCAGCAGCTGAAGACTATGTTGATGCAGCTGTTAAAAAAGCCCTATAAGTTCATATTTAAGAGCCACCAGGAGATATTTTAATTTTTATGACAGGACAAGAAGATATTGAAGTAACTTGTTTACTTTTGGCTGAAAAAATAGCAAGCTAAGAAACAATTCCCCCAATTACAATACTACCTATTTATTCCTAATTGAGATCAGATGATCAAGCTAAAATCTTTGAATCATCGAAATAAAGAAAATGTATAGTAGCTACTAATATAGCAGAAACATCCCTTACACTTGATGGTGTTAGATACGTTATTGATACAGGGTATTGTAAAATTAAAGTTTACAATCCAAAAATAGGTATTTTTTTAAAATACAATTTATTTCTTTAAATAATTTAATTTATTCAAAATATTTTTTAAGGTATGGATGCACTGTAAATAACTCCTATTTCATAAGCAAATGCTAATTAACGTTCTGGAAGAGCAGGAAGAACTGGTCCTGGTATTTGTTATAGGCTCTATAGTGATACGAATTTCCGTTCTGATATGCTTGAAAATAACATCCCAGAAATACAGAGAACCAATTTGGCTAATGTTGTTTTACTTTTAAAATCTTTAAATATCGACGATCTGTTGTAATTTGACTTCATGGATCCTCCTCCATAAGAGACAATCCTTAATTCTATGTATCAGTTGTGGTTGCTTGTAATTTATTTTCTTTTTAAAGAATTTTAATTTAAATATACACATTTATAAAATTAACAGGGATGCTTGGATGAAGCTGGATCTATCACTGATTTAGGAAGGAAAATGGCTTAATTCCCTCTAGATCCTCCTTTAACTAAAATGCTTATAACAGCAGATGAACTTGGCTGTACAGAAGAAATTTTAACAATAGTCAGTATGCTAAGTGTTCCTTCTGTTTTTTACAGACCAAAAGGAAGGGAAGAAGAAAGTGATGCTGTTAGAGAGAAACTTTTAATTTCTGAGAGTGACCATTTAACACTATTAAATGTATATGAATAATGGAAAAAAAATGACTATTCAGGTTAATGGTGTAGTGATCACTTTATTTAGGTTAAAACGTTAAGAAAGGTATAAATAAATTATTTTAAAGTTATTTAAATTTAATTTAATTCATATATAAAACATTTAGGTAAGAGAAGTTAGATCATAGCTTAAAGATATAGCCAAATAACAAAATTTAAAGTTGACCAGCTGTAATTATGATTATGATCTTGTTAGAAAAGCAATCTGCTCTGCATATTTCACTCATGCTGCAAAGATTAAATCAATTGGAGAATATACTAATTTACGTACCGCTATGCCTTGCAGAGTGCATCCTTCAAGTGCACTTTTTACTCTCGGACATGCACCTGATTATGTAGTTTATCATGAATTAATTATGACAACAAAAGAATATATGAGTTGTGTTACTTCAGTAGATCCTAAATGGTTAGAAGAAATGGGTCCTATGTTCTTTAGTGTAAAAGAATATTATGGACATAGAAGAGATAGATCATAAATTCAAGCTGAAGCTACAAATAGAATAGAACTTAGTAATCGTATAGCTCTTGAGAAATAAACAGAAATGAGAATAAAAAAGTAATAAGAAATGGAATTAGAAAAATAACAGAGGGATTAATTAGTAGAAAGCAGCAATAAAAAAGCTCCTAAACTGGCTACAGGTAGAAGGATAGCAAATACATCATTACTAAATAGAAATATTGATGAAGATTGAATATTTTTAAAAGTTAAGATAACTTAAAATGATTATTTAAAATTGTATTAATCATTAATAATAAACAAAGCAAAATGTTATATATTAAACTGTAAAAATTAATCAATTAATTATTTTTATTTATTTATTTATGTTTCAAAATTTATTTTATTATTTTTCTCTTATCCTCTAAAGTTATTCTTAAAACATTTTTTTAAATTTTACTTTCAGTATTTTTTTCTCTTTTAATAAAAAACTAAAATTATACTTTTATTAAAAATAATATCGCTAGTTATATTTATAAATTAATTTTTTTCATCAAAGAAATAATTAACACAACTAAAAATCTGAGTTCTCCTTAAAAGATGTAAAACTTCTTTAATGTATAAATGCAAAATGCATACAATCAAAAAACTAATTATAATTAAAAAATTCTAAATCAATGTAACGAAATTCATAAAAAAAATATGAAATATCTTTTCTTTAATGATAATCAAAAAAATATATTTTGAAGATAAAGGTAAATCAAAAAATAGTAAAATATTTAAATTTACTAAATTAAACAGAGAGATATGAATTTAAATATGAAATAAGTAGTAAAAATTACTTTATAGATGAATGATAAATATATTATTTATTTTGAAATATTTTATTAGCTTAATTATATTGAATTTTACTTCTGAAATAATTTTGATATTTTAAAGATAAGTCAATTTTAAGTATTGACTAAAATTTTTAAAGAATAAAAAAAATATACTCTTGCATTTAAACATAATTTCTTAGGAAAATAAAAAAAAATAAGTTAGTTATTTTGTTTACTTTTTTATATAATTTTAAAATAGATTTAAGAATTTCAAAGATAAATTATATTTAACTTTTAATTTTATAAAAGATAATTAAATTCAAAAAAATAAATAACATTTTATAAAAGATAAAGACTAATTTTTAACATATTTAAGTTAACGATTCTATCTTTAGCCCATTTTAATAAAATTTGGCTGACTGAATGTTTATGAGTTCCACAAAAATTAACAAATTAAAAATTGATTTATTTATAAAAGTAAAGTATTTAAGATACTCAGATGATAATCAAAATTAAAATCAGGTATTTATATTTTTTGATCAAACAAATTTAATAATTTCTTTTACTTAAAACTTGCGCAAAAATTATAAATCAATATAATATTTGATTATTTTTAATATAAAAAATACTTAAAGCTAACATTTTATTTAAGGGATACTACAACTTAAATCATATTATCTTTCATGCCTTTTTAAATTGATCCATCATCATAATATTTAGATAGGTAACTTTTCATGAGTATCCTATAATATGAAGAGCTGTTGCTTGATGGCTAATTTAATAGAGAAATAGTAGAAAATCTGATTTCTTTATATGCTTAGTGCGTAGAGTTTTATGATTCTATAAAAGACCCTATAAAATTTTATTTCCTTGAAAAAATGCAAATTATTTTATGTCATGAATAAACTCTTAAAGAGATTGTAACTCCAAAAAATAAGGAAAAAAGTATAGATAAATACTAAAAGTAGAAAATTTAAAAAGAAAAAAATGTGATAATTGATGATGATTTTAAAAATGAAGTTTTACATCTCTAACGTTAAGAGAATAATCAAGATTTAATATAAAATTTTAATGAAATAATATAATCGTAGCAAAATTAAGATAGTTTTGATGAAAAGGAAGATGAAGACTCTAACTATTAAGATTTAGATAACTTTTCTGATTAATAATTTTCTTAATCACACATTAGCAATCACAAAGAAACAAAGCTTAGTCTGTAGTAAATGAAATTAAAATATAAGTAAAATTGCAGAGTAAGAAATAAACTAATTTTTTAATTTGTAATGTATACATAAAAATTTGAATCCTATTTTTATAATAAAGTCCTAAATCAAATATAGTATTTCAAAAAAAAGACTTGAAAGATCAAAAAGAGTTGGTATGTATTTATAAATTCATTAGGAGTCTAATATAAATTAAGCTGAAACAATGGGATCTCTCTTTTAAAGTTTTGTAGATAACAACGAAAAGCAAGCAAATTAAGTTAAGCTCAACTTAAATTAATAATAATAAGAAGTTGAGAGAAGATTACAAAGGAGAAAAAGTATTTTTTTATTTATTTATTTCCTAGTTTATAAAATATAATTTAATTACTCATTTTTAATTATAATTAAGCACTAAAAGAAGGAGGTTAAAATAATGTCTCTTTGGCTTTAAAATAAACAAATTAAGTCAATGAGAAAAGCTAAAGATTAAATAAAGAAATTAAAGTAAGTTATGATGATCAAGATTTAGAAAATTTAGATCCTGACGAGCAAAGCATAAATTGATAGTTCTTATTTTCCTTATTATAACAAATTTTGTAAAAAAGTGATAGCTCTTAATTAAAATTTTTGATTACCTAATTTATTCATAACAAATCTTTTCCCTATTTATTATCTATATATCTGTTTTTATATTTTTGAAATGAATTGCTTATTAAACTGTTTTATAATATGCACAATACTTAGATAATTTAACTGATAAGTCCACAATATACATACCAATTTACCAGATAATTATAAAACACAATACCTATTTATTTTTCATATTTTTTTGTCAAGGCATACAAATTCATAAACACAAGAATATTAAATACAAATTATGTTTAAAAATTTACAATATTTGAAATTTTTATCAATTAGTTTAAAAATTTAAAGAAATTAATTAAAAATAAGAAAACATTCAAAACTATGAAAAATATTTTTTTTTTCATATTTTATTTTGTAATTTTTTTTACTGTAATATCACTTATTCAATAAATGTAGATACAAAAATTGATTATTAGGTAGTTTTCATGCATTTTATTTTAAATATCTAATTCAATTTATCTAGTTGTAATATTATAAAAAGCAAATGATTTTATTTTTTATTTTTAATTTCTTTAAATTCACAAAATATAGTTAATATTGTCAAATTATAAAAAAAGAAACAATTATAAATTAAACACTTTTTACAATGAATGATGAATAGGCACAAAACCTTCTTTTTTTAATGATAGTATTTTATAAATTTCAGTCTATGTATTTATTTATTCATTAATTTTTATCTTTAATTACCGTAATCCCCTGTTAAGAATTTTGTACAAGTTACGAGGCAAGGATCAAATTTTATTTATTATACCTCATAAATTTATGTGGTTTTTTTTTATTTTAGATGTTTCAGCAAAAATTAATAAAATATAATTTATAATTTCTAAATATAATATTATTTATTTATTATTAAATATTAAAATTTTATAAAAATAACTCTAAATTTTTACAAAAATAAAGTTACAAATTAATTTATTACAATTAAATTTAATATTTTATTATGTTTATATATATTTATTATTATCTTATTTAATCAAAAACATTTTCTGTGAACAATTGTTGGACCTACTTCATCATATTCAGCCCTAGTAACCCAAGAAGATTAGAAAGATGAAAGGGATGATAAGATTGATCCACCAATAAAAACTGAGTATTTTCTTTCTGGTGGAGCTACTACTCTAACTTTAATACCAGGTGGAGCAAGAGCACTAATATCCTTGGATATTCTTTCTGCTATACCATCAAACATAGTTGTACCTCCAGATAAAACAATATTTTCATAAAGATCTCTTCTAACATCGATATCACAGCTCATAATGGAGTCAAATGCTAGTTCACTTATTCCTTTATATTCTTTACCAATAAAGTGAGGTTTGAAAAGTAACTCAGGGACTCTAAATCTTTAATCCTAAACTGTGACCATATTTCCATCAGGTAATTCATATTATTTATGTTTAGAAGAATTATTTTAGTAAGCCTTTAATTCTGCTTCATAATCGAGTGCTACATAACAACATTTTTCTTTAATGTCTCTTATTATTTCCCTCTCAGCTGAAGAATAAAAATTCAAACCAACTTCATACATCAGTTTCATTAAGTATTCAGTAAGATCTCTACCAGCTAACTCATTTTTTTTTATAGCATGAGGTAATGCAAATCCTTCAAATATAGGAACTGTATGGGTAACACCGTCACCAGAATCTACAACAATACCTAAAAAATATTTTAAAATTTTTAAATAAATTTATATTTTTAAATTAATAATTATTTATAATTTGTTAAACTTTTATATGTAAAAAAATTACCTGTAACTCTACCAGCAGAATACAAAGATAAGACAGCTTAAATTTATACATAAAATGAAGGGACATTGAATGTTTCAAACATAGTCCTTGCCATTTTTTCTCTGTTTTACTTAGGATTCATGGGAGCTTCAGTCAACATGCATGGATGTTCGGATGGATCAATTCTTAGTTCATTATAGAAACAATGTTGCCATATTTATTCCATATCATCGTAGTTAGTAACTACACCATGCTCAATAGGATATTATAAATTCAATACACCTTTTTTAGCTAAAGCTTCATCTCCAATGTAGATTTCCTTTTATTCAAAAGTTGTATTTAAATATTTTGGTCTACCAACTATTGAAGGAAAATCAGTTCTAGGAGCATCATCGCCAGCTATACCAGCTTTGCATCTTCCAGATCCATTATCAATAACTACAGCAGGAGAAGTTTCAGACATTTAAAATATCTAATTATTTAGTTTTATTTTTTATTTTATTTTTATTTATTTATTTTGATTTAAAATTATTATGAAAAATGAAATTTATTTTTAAAGAAACTTTTGGACTAAGAAAAAAAACAAAAAATTGATGTAGAAACATTTTTAATTAAAGGATTTTTTAGATTTAATATTTTTTAAGGTTATTTACCTTAAAATTTCTCTTAAAATTTATTATAAGGGCAAAACAATCAAAAAAATGAATGGCAGCTTTGAAAGAAAACAATAGAACTAGAATGATAAAAAAGTAAAATAATTTTGCGAATTGCTAAATCATTTATATGTTAATGAATTTAAATCATAAAAAATAATTTTACTCACAAATATTGTAAGTAATATTTTTAATCTATCAATTCTTCATTAAGAATAAATTATTGTGTTTTTATTTTATTTATTCTAACAAACTAAATTCATAAATAAATATTTTACAAAAATAATACATTTTCGCAGTTAATATAATAAAATATGCAAGCTATAAAAAATATATATTATATTTAAATTTTACATTTTTACTTCTACAAATTCCTTTTTAAATTTAATTTTAAGTAATTATCTTTTTTCTATATAGGATTTGATCAGAAAAAACCTTCACATAATATCTAATTTACCTTTAACTTAAAATATTAAAATTTTTAAGGTAACTTACCTGATTATATAGTTTAAGAAAAGAGTGTAGTCACTTTTTCCTTTAAAATTTTTGCTATTATTAATTTAAGACACCATTTTAACAAAGAGGCTTAAAAACATCATGAAAGACTAAGTAAATTTTGATTTATTATTTATATTAATAAAATCAGTTAAAAATATGAAGAAATTATATAAATAACAATGAAAATAATTTTAAATTTTCAAATCACTAAAAGAAAATACATCATCAATAAAATGAATATTTACATATAAATATTTAAACTAATATTAATAAAATAGATGAAATTTGTAGAAAAGCTCTAATTTTAAAAGCTTTAACAAATCTATTCTCAAATAGAAACAATAGACAAGAAATAATTTAAATTATATTAACTTACAAAAATAAATATGGAGATTTGTATTAGTTTAAATATATACTATAATTTTATCAATTTTCATGTATAAAAATTAACAAAAATAAAAATTTTTAAATTTATTTTTAACTATTTCATTTAAGAGTTGAGATTATGTATGTATGAAAGATAAATAATTAACTTAAAAAGTATTTTAGATATCTCAATAATAAAATAAATATATGTTTTGAAGGAAATAATAATGTAAATTATTGTTATTTTTATTCTATTCTAAATAATTTAAATTGATAATAAAACTATCCTTTAAAAAATTTAAAATAATTATTTCTTAGTCGTAAGAGAGTTAAAAAAGTAATACTGAAAAAAAAATGTGATAATGCCTTATAAGTACTAATGCGAATGAGAGTGCTGGGATTGGGTTTACCTCTGTAAACTCTTTTTTTTTTCCAATCATTTTTGAATTAAAAATTTTTTTACATACATTTTTCAATAATCAACAATATTATGTTCTTACAATTATTATTAATTAAATAAAAATATTGTGTGAGCGTTGTATTTTCTATGTTAAGTACATACATACATGCACTTTACTAAAAATTGAATGCTTACTAGAAATAAAATATTTACTAATTTTAGATTTGAAACCACATTTTTTAAAGAATATTTTTTCAAACTAAATTGTAAATTTTTAATTAACAAATCATTTTAATATTTAATATAGGTGTTTAAATAATTTTTAATAGTTATTTTTTTCCATATCCATTAAAAATAAAAGTAAAAATTACTAATACTAATCTAATCAAGATTTAAAATATACCAATAAATTATATGTAAGTAAAATTTTTAAAATATCAAAAATAGCAATAAAAAAAACAAAAAATTAATAAATTTAATTTTGAAAAATTTCATAAATTATAAAAAATACTTAAAATAGCGATAAAATGATACCAAGTTCTATCATTTTATATAATAGGTATATGCATTATTTAAACAGTTAAGTTTTTAAATATTTGTTTTAGAATTTTATGATATTATTTCAATAATTAAAAAAATTAATTTTACTACAAATAATAGTTTAAAGGAGTTTTGGTATTTTATTTTTACTAAGTTGTTTACAATATAATATAATTCAGAGATGCTAATACACAAATATACTCATAAAAATGTATACAATTTAATAATATTAAGAAGAAGACTAGTAGGAAAAAGAGTTTTTATTATAATCTATTTAATTTTATTTTTAACTAAAAATTATGATTTCTAAAGGAAATTTGCTATTCATTAAATTAGCTTTTTCTTTATAGAATTAAAAGAATTTTGTAAAAAGGACTTGAATTTTGATTGCATTTTCTATTTTTTATTTGGAGTTTAAGATGTTGCATTAATCAAATCAATTACTTAATCAGGGGTATAATCTTATCTCCAATTAGCTGAAGAACCTCTTCCTTCATCATATCTTTTACCAGTATTCTTAAATACTTCCCTTAGCTGGAGGCTTTCAACAGCGAATAGACCAAATAGCTTAGCTGGATCATCTCCCCTTGCCTTTTATTCTCTCACTTTTTCAGTTACTTAATTTAAGTCTTAAGCCCATGCTGGAACTTCTTTGTTATTGCAGTACAAAATTTTTCTTTACTTGACAGTTTTTAATTTTTATGGACTTTGTAGTAGTTATTTATTTTGATAAATGTAAGGATTCATACTATTGCTGTCATTATTACTCATAGATATAAACATATTTTAGTTCATCGATTATTAAGATTCTTGTTGCTATCCTCCTTTTGATTAATAGTTATGAAAATTTATTCCTTGGAATGAGTCTTAAGAAAATGTTGGAATATTTTTGAAATTTTATTAAGAACTATTTGAAGTTTCATCATAGAATAATGGTTGATTATATCCAAATCCAAAAGTGTTTTGAGTGAAATAATCTGAGTTTATTGGATTAAAGGTTTTGCTATTCTCATTCGATCCTGAAAGTTAAGAAGAATTAGTTTCAAAGATATTTTGGTTCTTATTGTTGAACTTATTTGAAGGAATGTTAAATATAGTATTGTTATTGTAATTTTCATTGTTTAAAAACAATTTATCATTAAAATGCTCTTCTTTATTCACCCAGTTGAAAATTGGTGAGCCTAAATTAGAGCTTTCATTTGAAGAATAATCAGTCATTTCATAATCATTTTCTTATTCATCTTCATCTAATAAGATATTATTATTTCCATGAATATAGAACCCCTCAGGTAATTGTTGTGGTTGCATACTATTAGCTTGAATATATTCATCATTTTCATTAAAATTTAATTATATTTGTCCATCACTATAACTTATTGATGAACCAGGAAGAAGCATTGACTCTTGGTTATATTAATCATGGTTTGAATCTTTAGCTCTCTCGGGTTACTATTGACAGAATTAAGTATTGTTTCCTGTGTTTGAGCAAAAATCTTCTATATTTATTTGTTCAATCTTCTGAGAAATTTCAAAATTTTCATTCTTAATTTCCTCTTTTGGTTTCACTTTAATTTCTGAAAATTATTCTATTAAAGATTTTCTACACTAATTTCCATTAACACCTTTTTTAGCCACTTCTAGAGTGTTACTTTTTTTATTACTGTTTTCGTTAATCATTTATTTTCCTGTTTTTTATTCTTTTAAACTCTTTAAGCTTAAGCGAGATTAAGTCATTTCACATTAATTAGGTTCTGCTTATTAATTAATTAATTAAAAACATGTTAAAAGGTATGAAAAATAAAATAATTTATTTTAATTACGATGAGAGCCATTCTTTTTTTTAGAAGAGGAAGTTGATGATTCAATTATATTTACACCATTTATTTTAACAACCAATTCTTTGCTTTAGTTTAAAGTATTATTTTGCTATTAATTAGATAATTAATTTTTATTAGACTATCTCTACTTTTTTTATGAAGTTTGTAAGATAGTTTTATTACCTTCTTCCATAAAATCTAAATCTAACTAAAGAAGGTCTTTTGATAGATCATTCATGAATTTGTCATCAAATATTTTCTTTTAAGATTTTAAATTTTAAGAGCTAGAAGGCATTTTCATCTTTTTTAATTAATTAGATTCTTCCTTATCAATTTTTTGCTGATCTAATTCTTTTAATGTAGGATTATCAATTCTTTTTCTTGGTTTTTTAAGCTTGCTTAGCTTTGCAATTTATTCAATGTGCTATTCAGCCAAATCTAATTTCTTTAGTAAAAAATTGTCATAGAAATCTATTATTTTTTAACTCGAATTATCTAGCTTGCTAGTAAATTGAAACAGTAGTTAACCAAAATCTTATTAATGACTATAATTATTTCCATATTAACAACTGTTGCTATTGTTTAAAACTTTGTTATTGCTTATATAAGAGGCACACTGTAACATTGATTTAGATATAAATAAAATAATTTGCTATTAAGTTTCAATAAAATGCAAATATGTATTTATAATTAATTATAAGATATATTTTGTTTTTATTTGTTAGTTAATTAATTAATTGATTTGGTGTGCTTACAAAATATTTAGGTAAATTTAAGTTTTTAATTACCGCTGATATTTTCAGTTTTTAATTAATTATAATTGATAATGCAAATTTTATTTTGAATTTAAAATTAAGAAATTTATAAACATCTACCTACCTACATACCTAAATCTCACTTTAATTAATTGACTATTTTAATCACCCTATATATATTTATAATTGGGTTTTTATTTTTGGCACAATTTTGTGTCTTTAGATTATTTTTAAAATTGAATTTGATAAAAATCAAACAATAAAAACAACTTCATTCAAATATTAACAGATTCTATTTGTTATTATTTTGTAAGAAAAAATAGATAAAACTTTTGAATTAATTTCAAGATTTTAGAATTATTTGTCTTTCTCAAATTAAATTTTTTTAAACAAGTAACGAGTATTTCTTTTATTTAAAAACAAGAAAATTTAAATAAAAGAGCGGGTATTTTTTAAAAATAAATCAACCTATGTGAAAGAAAGAAAGAAACATGAAATTTATTGTGGATGGAATATAATACGATATGTTTTTATGTACACACATTAAGCAAATATTTAAATTAAATTAAATCTAATGAATTGGAGACACCTTTTTAAAGCATTTATCTTAATTTCTAACCTTATCTTAGGATAAGAAATATCAAATAAAAGCCTTTAAAAAATTTAAATAGAATCTTTATCAAGAAAAGCCAAGTTTCTAATCTTTCTAATTTAATTTAACTAATTAATTGATTTAAGTGAGCTTAGTATCTGCTAGGTTGGTTAAAAGTGAAAATTTGAGGAAAGAGTTAAAGTCTTAAAATGTTCATTTCATCAAGTATCCTTTTAAATCAATCAATCAGTCATTTTAATTAAAAATTGTAGTTTGAAGTTTATTAAATTAAAAATATAAGTAAAATTGATAGATTTTATTATTTAGATATATTCATAAATTTTGCCTCCAAAATTATAGTTGTTGTACTATTTTTTATAATGTTATAATGAAGCAAATAGAAAAAATAAATATTTTTAAGTAAGTGAAGCAGTTCCACTTTAGATCAAGACTAATCCTTAGCAGGACCAAAGTCTTCTAAGGGTCTCATTTCATCGTTAACATTTTCACCAAAGATTTTTTCTTCAGCTTCTTATTTTCTTACAAGCTTCATGATAGTCTAATAGTCATCAGGTTAAACCATACTATAGTATTTCTTTACAGCCCAGAATGGTAGCCAGCAAATAGCAGATATGATTACAATATTTATAGCAAAATCAATATTGATAGCCTTCATATCTAAGTATTCATTTATGAAATAAACTGATAAAACGTAAAAGGCAATTGTTCCAATAGTGAAAAGAACTGTCATCCAAGTGATTCTATTAAGCTCAGAATGGACATTTAGAATTTCACATAATACCAATGTAGAGAATGTAATTGTAACAATATGGAAATAACTATTATCAAAAAGTGTGAAGGCAAGAGCCATGATGATCATTCCTTAATAGATACTCTTAAAGACCCACATCAAGAAAGTTTTAAGATTTAAATCTCTACCACTTTGCAATGTTTTGTACAGCTCAGGATACTCCAAAGCAGCCTTAGGATTAACATCTTGATCCAAAAGAAGGCAAAATACAGGAAGTAAAGTATAAACAGTAGTATAACCAAGCATCAAGAAACCATTGTACAAAGGAATAGGGACAAAGTAAAAGATACAGTTAAATATTGTCTACATGATTGAAATAATAGTACCTCTATTTTTTTAAAAATTAATTAGTTTATATAAAATAATTTTATCAGTTGAATTAGAAAGTTGAAATGATATTGTAAATGAGTTTGGTTTCTGTAAGAATATTTTGCTAATTTACCTGTGAATAACGAATTGACTCATAACTGCAGTTCTCTTGTAATTAAGTCTACCATGGAACAAAAGTAATTTGGCAAGATATTTAAATTTCAAAATTGAGTAATCTGAAGCAAGAGCAGCTTATTTTCCTGTAAAACAATTAAAGAAAAAACATTAAAAATTTTACAAATTTAATATTTTAAAAAGTTTACCTTCTTTGCCTACAATACCAATACCAACGTGAGCGCTTTAAATCATACCAACATCGTTGCCACCATCACCTATAGCTAATGTAATTTTGTTTGTGTGATTCTTAATACCATCGGTAACTACTGCTTTTTAAGTGGGAGAGCATCTACAACAAACAACACTTGGAGCACTAGTAGCTACCTCGAAGAATAATTTTTCTCTATGAGTGAGGGCAGTTTATAAAGAGACACCATCGATAACAAGGACAGCATTCTTTTTTCCGTATTCATTAAGCTTTTGAGTTAAAATCATTTCATCTTCAACATCTCTTATGATAAAAATATCTTCAGTGATACTCTTTAATCCAGTAGATATAGCAATACAAGTAGCAGTTTCAACCTTTAAAATTATTATTTGATTTATTAATTTCTTTATTTTACTAATATTTTATAATTATTACCTTATCACCTGTAAGCATCCATACATTGATACCACCTCTTCTTAAACTTGAAATTGTTGTAGCTACATCTTCTTATAACTTATCTTCAACACCACTATTTATTTATTAATGAATATTTAATAATTGAATATTTTTTTTAAAAAAAGATGATGTTTTGTTTGAAATATTTTATAATGATTAAAACACTTTACGTGATACCCAAGAATTCCATATTTAATTCAAGTTAATCAACAACTTCACGAATTTTTTCTTCTCTGTTACCGAAATTATCGTTACTTTGTGCTTCTTAGTACTTTCTACTCCATTCTTAATACTCTTCTTCAGTTAAATACTTTTGAGTGATGACTAAAGTACGAAGACCTTCTCTAGCAAGATTTTCACACTCATCTAATAAGAAACCTCTTTAAACTTCAGGTACTCTACTTTTCATTATAGAATCAGCACCCTTCAAGTAAAAAATGACCCTATTAGTTGATTAATGTCTGAGAATAATACCCATACGCTTTGACTCACTTGTGAAAGGGAAATTTGCCAAAACTAAAAAAGTTTCCTCATCTCCCTTTGCATTTTTGATTACAATTTTTGACTAGTCACGTTTAACCAATTCCATTTTAAGATCTTCAGCTATTTTTACCAAAGCAACCTCATCTGGAGATGAAGCTTGATAAACTTTCTATCCTTAATCAATAACTGGAGTAACATTATGGCAAACGGCTAAAGCTGTTATGATATCTCTAACAACTAATTCACGATCACGACGATACATACGACGACGATTACCAGATTGTTAATCTGCTTTAACTTTTTCTGCAACGTCAGAACAAGGACCATTTACTACATAGCATTACTTCTTAACTATATTAGATAATTTCTTAAGATTTTTATCAGTAAATAAGGTACTTTCTAAGCAGAGTTTACGGAAAATCATATCATTTTAAGTTAAAGTGCCAGTTTTATCAGATAAAATATACTAAACTCTTCCCAATTCTTCAGGAATTTAAGAATTACGAGTGATAGTACCTGGGATTTAAGGATCGTTGTTGATCTTATAAGAAAAAATAATTTTAGCAGCATCCAAATTAACACGTAAGGAAATAGGAATAATACTAGAAAGTAATAGAACGAAACGGAAATATTGAATGAACCAATTAGGACCAAATCCTTTAGCAAGAATGATCATAAAGGCAAGCAAACACATTAATCCGAAACAAGTTTTAGTCAAGCCATTAAGTTCATAGTCAACCAAACCAAATTTATATCTAGATTCTCTGGTATTCATGACAGAACGAGTATCTTTACCTGTATAAACAACCAAACCAACAACTTCACCAGCAGCAACATAAGTATTAGCCCAGAGTGTGTTTTCAAGAGAGAGAGGTTCACGGTACTCATCTTTATTTTCAGAGTCAGTATCAGTGGATTTGAATAAACCAAAGAACTTGTAAATATCTATTCTGGGAATATCTGCACGAACGCAACCATTTAACTTTTATAAATCATAGTTTTTACGTTTCTATGTATATTTAATTGATTTTCTTAATTTCCAATCAGTTTCACCATCTAATTAATCTGTTCTGATGAAAACTGTACCATCTTCTTCAGAAGTACAAATTAAAACCAAATCTGCAGGTACTCTTTAGTTGGCTCTAACCTATTAATTATTAAAAAATAAATTTAATTTATTTGTTTAAAGTTTAAAATTCAATTTAATATTTAAAAATTAAAGTTTGTTTTGTGTTTTTGGAAGTGTCGTCTAATCATTAAATCTTAATTGTAAAATTTGCTCTTTAAAATAATCTTTAATTTGAAGATAGACAGATTTTAAGATTGATAGATATTCAAAAAAATGCTTATGGTTACTAATTAATTGTGGGAGTATAGACTTTAATTTTAAAATCATTAGAACAACTGGTATTTAAATAATAAACTAGATTTATTAATGAATTAATAAATAAATAATTTAATCAAGATTTTATATCTTTTTATTTACCAGTTTACTTATGTTTATTTTCAATTTTATTATTTTGATAATAGACATCAAACTAAATTAGTTTAAGTAATATAAAAAAATTCTATTTGCAGTTTAAAATTTATAAAAATAAGATTATATCAAAAATATTTTCAAAATGAAATCTTCAAAAGGTTTATTGACTTATAAGCTTGCATTTATGGATATTAGCAATGCAAAATTATATAAAACCTATTAAAACGCTTTGTTTGTATATCCTTTTTAAAAATAAAAATTCAAATAAATCAAATCAAAACAAACTATGGATACCTCAACTAAATCTCCAGGCTTGAGCTCACTTGCATTGATTTCATAAGAGCTTCCATCCCTTCTTACATTATACTTTTAAGTATTTTATTCGGTATCTCTTATGTATCTCTTATAGTCATCGTAAGCTTCGTTGCACATAGTAAATGTGAGTACCATAACTAATGGTGCAACATAGGAAAAGAGAAAACCGACTTTAAACTGAGGAATGAATTGAGAAAGTGCAATCAGTAAAAAGAATAAATTGAAGAAGTACTTGAACTAGTTATACAAAACTTTGGGAATAAAGTTTTGTACTGTATACTTTTAATTGTTAATGACATTTGGTGAATATGTTTCAGGAGATATTCTGCCATCCATGTAAATAAGAAGGTGCTCTTCAGCCGGGTTAGGAACAGTCTGGGCTGGAGCCGCAGGTTATTTTTTAATTAATGGCTCATCTAGATCAGAATTCTCTGAATCTTTCCTATTTTATAATTGGTTCATCGAAGTAAGGATTGAATCTACTTTTTTTCAGAGCTTTAATATTTATGCCTATACTTAATTATATTTTGGTTATGTCTTGCTTTTTTGTATTATTTTCAGAAAAAAATCTTTGTTTATTTGTTTTGTTGTCTGGCTTACGTTAAAAAAACTAGTATCAGCAAAATCTATTTTTTTTTAATTTTTTTTCTTTTTATATGTTTGACTCTTCTTGTTTTTGAAATTTATATTTTATATTAAAATTTCTCCCTCTTATCTAACAAGTTAAATACAAAAAAAAAATCAAGAGCAAAAGCAAAAAAACATAATATATCAATTATCTATTGTATTTGATAAATATTAAAAATCAAATCAGGTAAGCTTAATATTTAACAGAGTAAAAATACCTATGGAAAAAAAATGTTTAAAAGATTGAAATAATTAAAATATATCTATACTGAAGCACTAAATAATAAAATATTTGTTTTATTAGGTTATTTCAGTTCCCTCTAAATCAGACTTTTATTAATATAAAATATACCAAAGACCTTGATTTATTTTGATAAAAATGAAGTATCTCTTTTTATCTATCTGCAATTTTTCCATTTATTTTATATTTTTTGAAGCTAATAATTAAGAAAGATAAAGAAAAGCAAAGAATAAATTATTAGTAAATAATTATAAAAATCAAAGGAATAAATTAAAAAAAATTCAAAATGAGTTTTTCAAAAAAATAATATTGGTTAATTGTAGTGTATAAAAAACCCCGTTCCACATATCTTTCCTTCTTTTTTATTTATTTATTATTTTTTTGATTTAATTTTTGAGTTCTAAAATCTTTGAAAAAATGTACCATTCATAATAAATTGATTATATGTTAGAATAGAAAAATAAATAATGTAGGAATTCGTGTAAGTTGATAGGATTATTACGGATGTACCATTTTTTTAAAAATCTAATTAAATAATTACTAATTATTTTATCTATTTCTATTTTATCTCTCTAACTACTTATTATTACTTATCTATTTCAACTAATTTCTACTAATACAAATCGATTTCAAAGCATAAGATTTAAGCATTTATTAAGATCACTGGAAAAGCAAACATTAATTAGTTGCTTTCAAAAATCTACCACTCAAATATTGAATAAATTTCTAACGATAAAACAATGCATTTTAAGTTTTATGTTTTCGTGCTTTTATTTTGCTAGCTAGCTCGTTAAATGTAAAATATCCTTATTATAATGAAAAGACGAGACCTATTTAATTAAATAAAAATTTAATTGTAAGGTGAATATTTATATTTTTGGAAGAACTCATATTAATTTTGATTTATTAAGTTATTTCAAGATAACTTGAATTTGTTTCATAATACAAATTATATTTGATTCATTAATTTTTATTCCTCTAACAAAGAAATAGACAAATTTATTTAATTTTATTTTAGATAGAATTTATCAAAATTATTTTTTGCCCAAGCTATAAATTATTAATTTTGATAAAAAGAAAGATTCAATAAATTGATTTTTTTTTTTTAAATATATTTTAGATAAGCTAAAAGATGTTTTGATTATATGAAGTAAATAGTTATTTGAAAACACCATACTTAAATTTTTTTCATAATGACATACATTTTTTTGTGTTTTTAAGAAAACAAATAAATTAAATCAAATATTTTATTGATATAAATTTATAAAAATTTCAAAAAAATAAACAATAGTAAGTAATTTATAATCTAAATTTAAAAGCTCAAAAAATCGATATTTTTATTATTAATATTTACTAAGAAATGAATTTAAAATTTATTTAAAATGTAGATTATAAGCTGAATATTTATTCCTTATTTTTAAAATTAAAATATTAGAATAGCCTCAAATATAATTAGAATATTATGTACTATTTTTCATTTATTAAAAAATTTATATTTCAGAAAAATATTTGTTAATAATCTACCTAAATTTATTTGAATAAATATTATGAATATATAATTTACTTTATCTGTTTTACTTCATTATTAATAATTTAGGTAAGATGTATATGTTTTTGAATTTTTGTGAAATTTCTTTTATCATAAAAAATAAAAAAAACCTCTAAAATAATTAATTAATGTTTATGATAAAAATGATTACTATTGATAAATAAAAATTAAATTTTTGCAGTTTCTTAAATAAAAAATAGTATTTATTTGAGGAATCTTTAATTTTTGAACACAAATTTAAGTTAATTTTTTTACTCTGATTTAAAACTTAAATAAATGAAAATTTTTTGAATTATTTTTAAATACATTTTGCAACAAATTGAGTATATCCAAACTTAGGTTTATTTTTGTAATATAATTATTACAAATTAATTTAGTCAGGAATTCAGATTTAATTTTTGGATAATATTAATATGAATATTGTTAAATTTTGGTTTTTGTTCTATAGGTTTTTTACGAAAAGGAATTAACTTTGATAACATTGCTTTTTCCAAAGCTTTCTACTTTTATGGGTCATCTTCATATAATAAACTTGTAAATAATTTTTAATTTTAAGTATATTCTTGCTAGCCTTCTTTCATAAATTAACCTAATATTGCATTTTTTATTTAACTTTAAGTTTATAATTCTTATTTTAGCTATTTTTATGTTTTAAACATGCTATCTTGAATTAGGTTAACACTTTTGTTTTCTATATCAAGTTTAGGATAGAATGTAGTGCTAAGTGTTTCAGACTATTTTAAGAGCATACTATTTTGTGTAAAACTTTCTTTTCTTATTGTTTTTGTGAAATTTATAATGTTTTTATTCGAAATTTAATTTTATGAAGATAGTTTTGATGAATTATTAGTTAAAAAAAGTTTTTATGATTTAATATTTGAAAAACTATTGCTGTAACTCTCTGTGAATAAAATAGAACCTAATTTTTATTAATAAATACCATTCTTAGAAATAGACTAAGTTGAACTTTTTCTATCTTAAATATTTTACTATAGTTCGTTTGTTTACCTTTATGTATTTTGTTAATTATTTACTAAATCTGCTAAACAATTAATATTAGTACTTTAGCTTTTCCTACTGACTTTTCTTAGATTTATATTATAATAATAGGACGATTATAAATTTTATTCTTTATTGCTAGGATTACTAAGTTATTCTCTTAATTCATTTTAGTTTTAAGAGCATTCTGTAAAGTTTTTTGAGTAATTTTCTTAAGGGTTAAGTACATAGTCTTAAAAACTAACTAAACTTGTATTTTTACTATTGAATACTGGCTCTCTATAATAAGTTTAGCTTTTATTAGATGCAGGAGAGGTATTAAAATTATTGCTTGATCTTCTGCTACAATCTTAAAAAAATTTACTTGCCTAAGGAGAATTCTAAGACAAGTTTTTTTAGTGATTATAATTCTAAGAATTATTAATCTTAGGTGAGCTATTTTTCAAGCTCGCACTTCTTTTTATTTCATCATATAAAATACAATATTCTGACCTTTCATGCTAAATTTTGTTTTAAATATTGTTTAAATTTTTTATCTTTTAATCAATTAATTTATTAGAATATTTTGAATTATCCAAACTCCTATAACAAGGATTTACCCAATCAATACCCGGAGTAAAAAAAGCTTTTCTTATAGCATCATCAATATTTTTTTATCCAACATAACTTTTTTTAATTTCTATCATTTCCTTTTGTATTTAATTTATCTTATTATTGGATACATTAAGATTTTCATTTGATTTTATACTTTATTTTTTATTTTTATTTTAAAATATATTTGAATTAGTTGAGTATTAGCTTACATTCTGTAAAATGTTTTATGATTCTTTAGGACTTTTATCTAATATTACTTATTGTTCAGATTTTTTATTTCCTAAATTTAATTGCTCTTAAATTTACTACTTTCTTTATTATTTTTCATATTTTATCTAATTTTTCCTCAATATTTTTTCAGTTCTTTTATTTTAAAATTATTGAATTATTTAAAGCTAAAGATTTCTCTTTTCCTAACTCTCTTTTATTAATTAATTTATTCCATCAAATCTTCTTAAAAGCTAAAAAAATATCTAATTTTTAATTTTAAAATAAAATATTAATAAAATTATCAAAACGGCAACACAATTTCAGTCAGTGTTATCACATTAAATTAATTAATATAAAAAATTCATAAATTTTTTCAAATTAAATATACTGTAAACGCTCATTAATTAAGGCACTACCTAAGTATCTTTTTTACAAAAAAATTAAGAAAAAAATGCCTTAATTAAAGTATGCCTTAATTAATGAGCATTTACAGTATAAAATGTATCAAAAAATATTTAAAAAAAGTGTTTATTTTTTTATTTTATAAAAAAGACTATTAAAATAATATAGATATACCTCTTTCTTGACTGAGTATACAGTGCAATCTATTGAAGTACACATTGCCTGCTAAAACCTTTCTGTTTTATTTTAATCAAGAAGCTCTAGCTCACCAAAAAACGAGAGATTACTTTAGCTATAAACAACTAATCTCTTTTACTTATTTTACTGCAAGTAAGTTTTTATAAAAAATCTGTCTATAATATTTTAATTATCAGTTTGCTACTAATTATCTTAAATATCTTACGAATTTTATAAGTAATATTTTGATTAATTAACATAAACTTTTTCAGATATTTCAATGTTTCCTTCTTTAATAAAATAAAAATTATTAATATGATCTTTTTCTTTATAAATAATTTAGTTTCTTGTAAAGTATTCAATTTTAGTTTCATGAAGCAACACCATTAATTTTGATTCAGGAATGCTTTTCATAAACTCAAACTACTTAAAAAATTATATTCTTTCATTGATAATTATATTATTATAGTACCCCATAATTTTATCAAATCCATCTTTTTTAAGAGTCATAACATGAGAGTCTTCTTTGCAAACCATTGTTCCAGTTCTTTTATTTAATTATTTTAATTTAAATGAGTCTTTTTACACTTACTTATTTTTATTGCTAAATTATAAAAAATATTTTTTGTATTATTTACCTTCTTGATTTTGTTAAAAGGGCAATCTCACCAAAAGCTTCTCCTGGGCCAAATATTCTAATTTACTTCATCAGAGGAAATTATTTATTTACATAATAGTTAAAATCTGATTCTTAAACTTTTAAAAATCTAGCTAACTCAAAAAATGAAACTTTATCATCACCGATTTTTGATTTTCTTTATTAATTACTGCTACTATTAGAGTTAGTAAATAATTAACTAAATTCCTCATGGCTATCTTCTGTAGATTATGGAAACAAAATCTTTCTAGAAGAACCTATTTTAGCAGTGTCTTAATCTGAATATTTGGATTATTGATGTGCTATTAAATTAAATAAATGCAAAATTATTTATTGTTGGTTTTTGTTTTGCTTAATAATCTTGGCTCAATAGTAAAGCAAAATGAATAAAATTAAATAATAAATATAATTTATTTACAATTTAAAAATAAATTTAATAAAAAATCATTATAAATATATTTACATATTTCTTGATTAAATTCTTTATCCGTTTAATTATTATTCCCTTAAGCTAAAATTGAAGATTAAGAAAGATTAAAAACTAATGGTAAGCTACTCTCTCTTGCTTAAACAATATGATCTCTAACTTATATTTTTTTTTCCAGCTCCTTCTTTTGTGTTTCGAAAAAGAAAATAATTTAAATTATTTTTTGTTTTTTTTGTAAATATTTAATTAAATTAAATATTTTAATTTTATTATTATGTTAAAATAAGGATAATTTTATCAATTTTTTAAATTTATTTTTTTAGAAATAAGTTTACTTTTTATTTAGAATCTTGAATTACATTCATTTACTTTTTATTTTAACCTAAATAACTACAATAAAAATTGCTTAATTGGAAAAATTTTAATGTAATTTACAAGTTTTTTGAGGCAAATACTCTTTTAAAAAACTTAGTGTTTTTCAGTAATCTTTTTAACTTCTTATTATTTCGTCTAATTTCTGCTTCTTTTTCAAGCAATTCAGCATCTTCATTTGATTTTGGTAATAATAAAACTACTGAACCTTATAAAAAATTAAAATAAAAAATAAAATAAATTAGTATACAAAAAGCTTGAAAAAATACAAAATTTTAAGAAGAATCTAAAAATATGTTAATCATAACTAAAAAAAAGTAAAAGAGATTTAATATAATTTAAATAAAATTACCTCTTAGCACAATGTAATAAGTGTCACCATCATCACCTATATATTAAGAAACAAATTGTATCTAAATTAACTATTGAGATGGATAGATTATAGAAAATTTAATTTAATTTGTATTTATTTTTACCAATATGGAAAATAACTTCATTTCTTTTATAGAATTTATAATTTAGTGATTCAAAGAGCTTTTCATTAGTTTATGAATTTTTAAAAACAGCATCTTTGTGCTTCTAGAATAAATTTAAATTTTATAGAGATTTCTTAAGAAATAATTTTTCATTTCTGCTTTTCTTCGTCTTTTTTAGAATATTGATAATCATCTTTTTAATTAAAAAATTTGGAGTTAATATTTGTTTGTTTATTTTTTAATTTTTGATTAGTAATAATATATATATATACCCATCCATCTTCATAGTTAGATATATCAACATTTTCTTTAGCTAAAAATTCTTCATAATGATTTCTTAAATTTTATCTTCCTACAACCAGTCTATCTAAAGAAATATTTCTAGATCTTGTCATCGGTGTAAGATCATCATTACTATCATTATCATTTTAATTACTTTCAGTTTTCTTTTCATTTATTTAAACAGTATCTTATCTTTACAGCTTAGTAAAATTTTTTGACATAAACCTCTCGAATTTATCTTCTACTTGCTTATTTATTCCTAATTTACTTATCAAATCTTTTCTCCAAGAGTTCCTTCTCTTTGTATCTATAAATCTACCAACTACATTAGCAAATCTTTTCATTTAGCTTGGTTTCTATTAAATTTAAGGAATTTATTACTATTATTAAGTATTATTTTCATTATCACTATCGCTGTTTATGCTTAAATCTAATTCATTTTCTTAACTGAAATTACTGCTACATCTGCTGTTAGGTGTAGGTGAAGCATCCCCATTTTAATTAAAAATACTTTTTTGTACTTTTGTGGTCATTAATTGTGAAGGTCTAATAATTTTTTACATATTTATAGAATTTCTTCTCTAACTTAACTATTCCTGCTTTAATCTAAACTACTCCTCTTATTCCTAGCGCTTCTAAATATTTTCTTGGAGTTTTTCTATCTAGTCTCTCTAATGGTGATCCAAAAATATAACAGAAAAAGCTTTCTGTATAAATAAAATGGTTATTTGCTCAATTTGTTAATTCAGTAGTGTTAAATTTATTTTCTGCTTCATATTTTTAGAATCTAAAATTCCTTTTCTCTTTTTATGTGGTGAGATTGGAGCAACTAATTAAAAATTTTTATAGGTTTCTTTGATAATGTCAAGTGTAGAGTTGAGTCCATCATTATTGCCCAACTTCATTTTTTCAATCAACTTTTTATCCATTTCTAATAATCTCTTATTATTTCTTCTATATTTGGTTTTAATTGAAAATAGTTAGTTCTACTTTTAATAGAGAAATTGAATTTTTTTTATGCTCTCTAAATTAATCAATAGCTTTTATAGTTCAATTTCTCATCAAAATATAAACAATAAATAAATAAGCAATTAAGCAATAATCTGAAATTATATACATTTTATATTTCTCAAATATAATATTTATGCACTCAACACTTTCCATCATAAAAATTAATAAAAAAAAGTAAATCATTAAATAAACTAACTTCTTTAGTAATTTGCTAAGGTAAATAGGAAGGCAAATAAATGAATAATTTCTACTAAATTTTATAATAAGTTTAATAAATAAATTTTCATCCAATTATTTTTCGTATGTTTATTATTTAATGAGTATTTTAATTGTTTTCTATGAAATTTAGATTACAATATTTTGATTTTTATACGAATTATATTTTATTTAAGTACCTCTTAATTTTAAATATATTCTAAATTCTCATATTTTAACTCAATTTTATTATTTCTAGGAAAAAATGACATCATCTAAAAAACTAAAAAATGCAATCTTCATATGTAATTTCGTTAATTTTAGAAAAGGAGATATTACAATATTTGAGCTATCGATCAAATTAATTTAGATTAGAATTAAATATATAAAAAGGCACAAAAATATGTAAAATGATTTTAAATTCACTAATAAATTTATTTACTTAAATATTTTAGAACCAACCAATATTATTCTGTATAGATTTTTTATTTATTTATTAGGATTAAACTTATTTAATTAAATATATTTTGATTTGGATTTCAAACCTTGAAATATGGGAAATAAGTCAGCAAAGGAGTGCATATTCTGTTAGATTAGAGATTCAAAAGGTAATTAAGCTCCATTTTATGAGGATGATGAAATATTTGCATTCGAAGATATTAATATTGCATCGTCTAAAAGACATATTTTAATATGCCCTAAAAGACATATTAAAAATGTTAATGAACTAAATTATTTAGATATTGAGTTGGTAAAAAGATTAGAATAAGTAGGAATTTAAACTCTTTAGGAATCTCATCCTAATTAGCAATATAGGTTTGGCTATCATTCACCTCCTTTAAATAGTATTGATCATCTTCATCTGCATGGATTTGTTTTACCAATTTCTAATTGCTTTAACAATAAAATCATTTATGGTTATTTCTTAACTTCAAACCAATAAATTATAAAAAAATTAGAAAAATAACAACCAATGCTATGAAAAATAAAATATTGGCCTATTTATATTTTGCATAAAATTAATGTTGATTTATAAAAATTTTAGTATTCCTAATGCATCAAGTTTGAATTAGGTTAAATGCAGGTTAGGAAATGACTTTACGCTAAAAATATATTTATTTATTAATTCTTTACATTTTTAACAAAAAGAATAAATCAAATAAAATATAATTCTAATATTCTTTTTTGATTTCAATTTTTGAAGAATAGCAAATGTTAGTGTTTGTATATATGAGTAAATTTCAGAAATAATTTTAAAAAAGAAATATTTATTGAGTTTACTATTAATTAATTAATATTGGTTTTAATTTTATTTTTATTTTATTTCTCTAATTTATTTTTATTTCACATATGAATAATAAATATAAATATATACTTTCTAAACAATAACTTATTCAATTATTCTACCACACAGGAGCTTAGATAGGAGGTGAGTATCTAGATCCCTTAACAATTAGTTGATTAAGACGTTCATTTTCTGTTTATAACATTTTAATACGATGTTCCAAAGACATGATAATAGTTTATGTCTTTTCAGCCTTTTTAGCTCTTTCTTTCCAGAATTTTATATCAGCTAACTTCTATTGCTTTAAGGCAGTAAGAGCATCAAACTCCTCCAAACCACTACGGATAACATTACTTATTCTTTCTTGATCTCTTTTAACTTCATTCTTCTCATACTACAACTCTTCAATTCTTTTGTAAGGAGTTTCTTTTATGAATTAATAATGTTATGTTTAAATTTAAATCTTAAATATTTTTAAATAAATTTATTCAAATGTCAGTGTAAAGCACTGAGCATATAAATTTGTAAGTATTTCATTAAAATCATTTCATTTAATAAATTTAAAATTAATTTTATATTCTTCAAGCAAAAAATATTTTATAATTTTTATTTCAATTCAAATCTTGATAAAAATCTTATAGTTTTATTAACTCTTTTATTTTTTTGCTTCCTATAAAATATTTCTATTTAAATAAATTTTAAAAAGATTAATTTACCTAAATGAGCTTGAAGAATATTGCAACGCTCTTACCAGTGTTGTATTTCTTATTCCTTATATTAGAGAGCTGAAACATAACGCTAATATTGTCTGGTTAAAAGATCGCATCTTTCTTCAAGACGAGCAATTCTTTAAGCTTAAATACGAATCATTTCAGTAGAGTCATCTACACGGATGGTGACTGATTCTTTTTTATGAGTAGAAGTAGCAGGAATCAAGTAAGGAGTAGAAGAATGAGAGGGTATCTACACACTTCCGCTTCTCAATTAAGCTTCAATATTCTATTGCTAGGCACTAACTTATGAAGGTTGGAAGTATTCAAGTTAACCTCCATTTGGTGGTTAAGAAGTATAAAGGAAACTAGGAGGTAATTCAATTTATTATCCAGGATATGGAGAACTAACGAACTGAGGATTGTTTGTCTGTTTGATAAAATAATTGTAAATAATTAATAAAAAGGTTATGAGAACTCATTTCAATTGCTTATTTCAATAATTGCTCAAGGGAAGAAATATTTGAATTTGATTTTACTAGCTGCAAAATAATTAATTGCTAATTGCATAAAATAATTTTTCAACTTAAGAAAGAACTTAAATTGCTTTATCTTGAACAAATTATTTCTTTAGAATTATAGTAAATGATATTCATTTATTTACATAAACGACTTAAGGTACAGCCTAAGGGACTTATTGATGCATTTATCTGTGTTTGATTTATCTATGTTGTTTTTTTTCTTTCTTATAAAGATTATTATATGAATTATATTTGCTTTTTTACTAAATTTTAAATATTTTGTAACAATAAATAATATTTGTATTGAATTCAATAATCTAATCACTCCTAATAGCACTAATAAATAAATAAACTAATTAATTAATTAAATAAAGACAGGCATATCCTCTTCTTTGAAATTTGATTAACTTATTAATTCATTCATTCATTCATAAGATGTTTTGTTTGGATATTAAAAGCATATAAATCTATGAATCAATATAGATAACTAACAAACAAACAATCTAATAAATAAACTACAAGCAAATCTTCAATAAAATATTCCTTTTTAAATATATTTTTATTATCTAAAAATTATCCTATTTGAATAATTAAATAAGAGATAGATAGTTTCATCAATTTAAAAATAAAAAATCAGTATGTTCAAAATCCATAAAAACTTTAACTTAATAACAAGCAAAATAAAACATATTTCTAATAATCATGCATTTAAGGCTGTTGTCAATGTTTCCGCATACAAATAATTCTTTTTTTTTTGAGAATTATATTATCTTTTTACGTCTTTTTATTAGAAAATTAAAGAAATTCAAAAAAAATCTGAAATAAATTATAAAAATTAATAACGATTAAAATTTTCTAAAAACAAGATATTGATTAAAATCATCACTGAACACTTTTTTTATTAAATAAATCATAAAAAAGGAATAAATTGATTGTTTTTGAAAAAATATACAACAACCACAACAAAATAAATTAAAATTATTCAATAATAATTTATTTAATTTTAATATTCAAGATTTGCAGCAAAAAATAAATTGAAGTTTCATCTAATTAAGCTCAAAAAAAAGAAATAAACTTGAATATGAAAGTAAATATCAAATCACAAATAAAGATTTTTAAGTTATATGAATCATTGACAATTTTAAATTGTAAAAATATATAATGAAATTCATATTATAGATACAAATATAAAAGATGAATGAATAAAAGACAAAAACTTAAAAGGAACCTTTGAATTATTTGATTATTTCATAAAACTATTTATTTTTTTTCAAAACAATTCTAAAGTTAATGCATGTGTGAGTGTGTGTGTGTATTTATTTTTCTGTTATAGATTTAGTTATCACTAAGTTCTCTGTTAATGACCAATCACAATTAATTACTTATTGAGTTGGTTGTTTTAATCACTGAGTTCCTCTTATTTTTTTTATAATCTCTTAACTTCTAACGATGACTCCTCATTAGGGACACATTATGATTTCCAATAAGCAATTTCTGTATTTAAATCCTCAATTTCACGTAGTTTAAGAGTGAGCTCTTTCTCAACATTTGTTTTGTCTTCCATAGAATCAATTATATACTATTTATTTTCCAGTTTTGCAAAGCTACTTAATGTTTATAAAGCTTATTCTATTTTATTTATTTATTAAATAAGTTAAATTGAAATCATTTTATTTAGAATGAAGGGTTATATTATTTTGAATGAAAAGAAAAGGTTATTATTACCTAAATATCCATTTTTTTATTTATTAAATAAGAAAATAAAATTTTAAACAGTATTTTTTATTTGTATTTTTGAAAGATTTGAAAATAAGATCAATCAATATTAACTACAAATAAAAAAACAAATAAAAATGCTTATTTACTTCTATTGAACTCTAACTGTTCGTATTGCTTTGTCCAGAAATCGATATTATCATCTTTTTCAGTGAGTAAATCAGCTTACCTTTCAACTTCCTTCTCCAAAATCTCAATTCTATCTAACAAGTTACTTATTCTTGATGCTTATACACGGATAACATCTAACCCTTCAGTGTCTTAATATTAATCAAGTACAGAAAATGGTCTTCTTTAGATATGTTCAGGGATATGAGTTGGGTAATTTTATGAAACTTTAGAATAATCAGCAGGATTTTGGTGTTATTAATATCCTCCATTTCTATTATAAATAGTATTGGCTAAATTATCTGGGTGATAAGCTGGAATTCCTCTGTGTTAAATCAATCTCTACTGTAATTATTATTGACCTTCTAAAACGTTTCCTTATACACCATAGCTGGGACTTGCAACTGTGGACTGTTTATTACCTAAACTCAAGAAGCTTTCTGCTTAATTCTGCTAAGGAATAATATGCTACTAAATAGGAGAGCCTGGACGTAATGTATTCTGAAGAGTATTTTGCTAAACTAAAACATGCTAAATTGGAATTTAAACAGTTTGAGCTGCTACTGGAATTTATTATGCAAATTATTATCCTACATATGGACTCTAAACAAAAGTAGGTTAAATAATTTAATTTTATTCCCCACCAACTATTAATTGAGGTGTGGAAGCTGTAACATAAGGAACGTTGTTCATTTTTTGATCAGCAATGTTGAATTTATAACTTTTAATTTGCTTAAGCTATTTTATTTTGTTTGATTTAATATAATAATAAAAACAATTAATAAATGATTATTTTGCCAATATTCACTTTTTCTAGGCTTAATTATTTAATATTATTTTTTGTTTTCAATTCATATGCAAGTTAAATAAAGAGTTTTTAATCTCTCTCTTCTTTGTTTATTTGCTAACCTGTTTGAATGACTGCTTGTCTGTTTCTTTTCCTTTTGTTTCATTTCAAATTGATATTTAAAACTACTAAATCTTTTTAAATATTTATATGTCATTAATCTGAATTATCATAATTGTTGTTCCAATTAATTTGTTTTTAATGGATTACTACCATGAAGTTAACTATCCAGCAAATAATTACAAAAATAACTTCAAAAGTTTTTATCATATGAAAAGATATAATAAATATAATATTTATTGAGACTTAAAAATCGAATTATAATTCATTTTTGCTAAATTTTTATATATAAGATAGATAATAAGCAATAGAGATGAAATAAAATTTTTTATTTAATTTGCAGTAATAAGTAGATAGATTTATTAAAACATAAGAAAATACATATTTTAAATCAAATTAATAAATAAATAATAGACATTAATTTAATTGAATAGAAGAAATTTAAAAACAGATAGATATTACCGAATAAATTTAAAGTTGAAATATAATTTTGTTGTCATATTAATTATTTAACGAATAATAAGAAAACAAAATATAATTCTAAATTAAGAAATATTCATTCATACTCTATAGAATAAAATATAAACTATTTTAAATTTGTCAATGAATCATTTTAAAGATAATTTTCTAGCCTCCTTGTACCTTTCTAAAAAGACTGATGGCCTCTTTGTGTTAGTTTAGTCCGTAACTAGTATGAATCTATGTCTTGAAAAGAGTATTCATCTTTTATTAAACAAGCTCTTTTGATTTTTTTCTATCTTACTCAGGAATAGATTGTATCCATCCATAAAATGTGAATCCTTCAAGTCTTTTATTTGCCCAACGAACTTAAACACCATTAATTCCTTCAATATCTTTTTAGCTAAGACTTCCATAAACAATCAGGATACTATTTTAAGGTAAATTATTGAAGATTTAACCAGTTAAAGAACCTCCTACAGGGTCAAATGCAACTGTAGCTGAGAGTTTTTCAGCAAGTTCTTTGAATTATTTCTAAAAAGATTAAGGATCTTGGTCGGTGCTGATGACATTTTCATTTTAATACTCTTTTATGATAGATTGAATTCTATTTTCGTCTCCCCTAATCACATTTAAGCAATTTAATCCAGAATCTTTTGCCAAATAATTTATCATTTTTCCTAATGCACTCTGAGCAGCTAAATTTACAACAGCTTTTGCATTGTATTTTTAAGCTTGATAGATTAATCCAACAGCGGTTAAAGGATTTACAAAACCACATGAAGCAGAATCTAAATCTACATCATCATTCAAAAAGATAGAATTTTCTTCTGTTGCTAATATATATTCTTTCCATGTTCCAGTTTAAACAGAAACAGCTACCTTCTTACCTATTAAATCCTTGTTATGAGATTCAACAATAATACCTGATGCCTCAGATCCAGGAGTAAAAGGACATTTCAGAGTGAATATAGTTCCTAATAGCTTGTTTTAATCTAAAGGATTTAAAGGAGCTGCATGAACTTTAACTATGAAATTTTTTTCATCCAACCCTTTACGAAGCTCTTCCAAAGAAAACTCTTCAACAAATATTGCTTCGTCGTTTTTAAATTCTTTAACAACAACTGCTTTATACATTTTAAAATTTGTTTTTTTTATTTTATGACTTTGAGTTTATATCTGATTATTTATTTTTTTTGAAATAAAAACGGATCATATAGATTTTGTTTAATAAAATAAGAACATTTCCAGAAAAATTTTGCAAAAAAATGTTCTAGATATATTGTTGTTTACTTAAAATTAAACAAAATTTATTATCCAAAATTGAGGATCAAAATTTTTTGTTTAGAAACAAAATTAAGTAATTTAAAAGAAAATATTAGAAAATGTTCTAAAATTCCTTATTAATTTTCTAATAATATTATGAATAAAAATATTTTTTCATTTATCTTAATATATTATTTAGAGAAGATTATTTCAAATAATCTAAATAAATATAGTTTTGTAATATTTTAATTTCTTATTTATAAAAACTCATTGTATATTTTTTAGTTCAGATTGACACAAAAATCTTTATTTTATTACACTTATTTTACCAATACAAGATTAATTCACTGTTTTAAAAATAAATCTACTATAATATTATTATTATAATTATTATATTTCATTTAAAATATAAAGATTTCATATATCTTGTAAATGATAATTAACATTATGCCTGTTGTTATTATATATTCTGGATCTGCTTGTACTTCCATTAATTATATTTTTAGTGTTATTATAGTAGTATGAAGAAATTGAGATATTATATCTTGGACTCTTTTTTTTATATGCCTCTATGATGTATTCCTATTCTTTTTGCATATTTTATAATTAAATCATTTATTCATAAAATTAATAAATTTGAGAAAAAAAAATGCTTTATTGAAATACTTACTTTGAGAAAGAAAGATTGTTTTTAGCTCTTAAATACATTTAATTTTTATTTATCAAGTATTATTGCATATTAAAGGATACAAGAAATAACTTTATATGAAATATTATTTTTTATTTATTTTGAATTATTTTAAAACACTAATTAATTTCATCAAAAATTAATTGTGTTTAGAACCTGATTAGTTTTTTCATTCTTGTTAATACTTTTCTTTTTATAAAAAAATAAACTAAGTTATGTAAAAAAGTAAAAAAATAATAATAAAAAGACAGGTCGTACTGGGATTCGAACCCAGGTCAGAGGATTCAAAGTCCTCGGTGCTAACCGCTACACCATACAACCGTCATGAAATTAGACTCTTTATTTTTGTTTATTTTGTAAATATTTAATTTTTTTACTTACAAATTTAATAATGATTTAGAAAAAAGGTCGTACTGGGATTCGAACCCAGGTCAGAGGATTCAAAGTCCTCGGTGCTAACCGCTACACCATACAACCGTTATGAAATAATGCTTAATAACTAGAAATTTTTTATTGATTTTAAATACAATCCAACTTAACTTAAAAAATAAAAATAAATTAAAATTTATTTTTTATTTAATTGTTTATAATTTAATTAATATTTCTAAAATTAAAGTTTTAGCAATTTTAAAATTTTTTTTGTTAATAAAATAATAAAAAGGTCGTACTGGGATTCGAACCCAGGTCAGAGGATTCAAAGTCCTCGGTGCTAACCGCTACACCATACAACCGTTGTGATATTATTTAAAAAAACTTTTTAAGATACTGTTAATTTTTATGATTTGTAAAATTAAAATTAATTCTAAAAAAGCTACTTCTTTTACGATATATTTTTTAATTGTTAGTTATTTATAAATAATAAAAATAAAATAATTTAAAAAATAGTATTTTTAAACTATTATTTTAAAATAACTTCAGATATATGCATCAAAACAATTTATTAAAAATTAAAAAAAAAACAAAGTAAATTATTAATCTGATCTACCTAAAAAATATAATTATTAATTAATTTTTTTTCTTTTTTTAAATAATTATAAAAGTAAGTTTTACCACAACCAAAAGTAAAACGAAAGTTCCTAAATTGCACCATTTTATCTTCACGATTTACTAATTTTAACTAAGATTTAGTTTTTAAAAAACCATAGCTTTGATATATTACCAGTATAGAAAAAGTTTTTCCAATACCTTAGTAAAATTAGTAAATTATGGAAATCTAAATTTAAATAGGATACGCTTTAGGATATGGGTATTATTTCTTTACAGAATGAAATATCCATATCAAAAAAGCAATGCCTTGGCTTGTTCAAATATTTAAAATAAATAGCAATTTAGGAGCAGCCTATCAAGTATTAACGCAAAACAAGTTTTTAATAAGTACTCCAATAAATAGGCTGTAGGAGGTTTAAAATATCAAAAATACTTTGATCTTTCTCCTTTAATGATAAATTTATTACCAGGAATTTATCAACAGCTTATTTTCGATCGCCTTAATATTTTTCATACAAAAATAAGTTAATACTTGAAGAAGGCAAATATAAGGTAGGGAAAGTGTCTTATTTCCATAGGTACAATTAACTCAGAAGATGAAGAAAAGTGCTGCTCTTTATCCTTGAAGCCTATCTAATCAAATCAGTTTGTTGTCATTGCTAATTTGCTATAGGAGAATAGTTGTGAGAATTTTGTGAGTGAGTGTGAGTGTGGAATGTGCGAGTGGATTAATGTTGAGAATTCTAAAAGATCTTAGTCTAAGTCTGACAACAAACAGAGGAGAAAAGAAAAGCAGATAGTTTAAGAGCAGCACTTATATTTTTTAATTAGAAAAGAAAAACGATGAGAGGAATCGCAAAAAAGAAAGAAAAGAAAAAAGAGAGGAATCGCAAAAGATTTAAATTTAAGAAAAAGAAATTAAAAAAAGAAAAAGAAAAAGTTAATAAAAGAAAAATTTAAATAAATGAAATAAAAAAAAAGAAACAAAGAAATAAAAATTAATTAATTAAACTAAAAAGATAAAAAAATATAAAATAAATCAAATAAAAATAAATTAAGACAAAATAATCCTTTATAGAATAGACAGACTTCAGACTTCAGCTGATTTTAATTTTTTTTAATTGATTTTTTTTATGTTGCTTGAATATTTGAATGTTATCAAATATTTAAATTTTTGATTTTTATATATATCCTAAAATTTTTTTTAACTATTAGTCAAAGATATTTTAGATTATAAATATTTAGTTTATTTGAGATAGTAGTATCTATTCTCCCTCCCATATTTATTTAAATTAACTGTTGTTTCTTATCATAATTTTATTTTATCAAACTCAATTTTAATACATTAGAATTATAAAATATTTTGATAATTAAACTTATTTTAAAAATAGATTACTATATATCTTTTACATATTATTCCACTATTTACAATTAATATAAAAATAATACATTTTAGGAAAACAATTCACATCAATTAATTAAGATTATTACTTTCTATTAAAGCTTTTAATTGTAATTTTTATAATTTAAGTAGAAAATTTATTTTAAATAGAAATATTCTATTTACATTGAAATTATTAAAAGAGGATATTTATTTTAACCATATATTATTTTTTCAATTTATATTTTTTTTATTATTAATTAAATCGTCAATATGTATCGGTTTAAATATTGGATTATTTGTTTAGTTGCTCATATTTGGATTTGTATAAAAAGTATTGTTGGGATATTTCTCTATTGTAGGTAATTTAGTATAAGAAGATTCTCTTGTATTTTAAGTTTTCATTTTTATGATATCATTGAAATTATTAGTCTGCTATATTGCATTTTAAATTTATTTTACAGAAGAATCTGCATTTTGATAATTTCCGCTAGATGAAGAAGGCCTTCTTGATCTTTACCTAACTATAGAACTTTATTTTTTCGAGGAAGACATTGATATTGGATTTTGTAAATTCTACTCACTAATTTAATTGGTTTTTCTAGGAGGTGAAAGGTTTTTAGTAGATAAAGGATCGTTTAAATTATCTAAAAATTTCTCAACATTTTAAATTAAGTGATCTTAGTTAACATACACGCCAGTTGTATTTGAGTTATTGTTCTAGCTTGCTTAGTTTTAAATAGATGCTGAATTGTAATTTTTTGAGGTATTTAAATTGGAGGTTCTATTTAATTTTTCTTATTGTTGCTATTATTCAACTAAATCTCCAATCAAATATGCTGTAGTATCTATTCCATTCATAGACTTATTTCTTTTCTTCTAATATATTTAATTATTATTCATTTAAGATTATCTTGTAGTAATATTTTATTTAACAGGAGAGCTTATTTCGACTTCAGGGAGAGTTCCATTAATAATTCCTTATTCAATTTCAGGTGGAAGCCTTTTATTTGGACCAAATATTTCATAAATATTTTTATAATTCTCTAATTCTAATTGTAGATATTTGACAATTTCGTTAGCATGCAAAATTTTAATATCAGTTTCAGCTAATTTCTTCTTTGTTAATTCTAATTCCTTCAAAAGTAGCTTAATTTACTTAATATCGTCTGGTCTGGAGGGCCTTTCAGCAAACAAACGTTCTAGATCCCTTAATTCAATGTTTAACTCTTCAACTCTATTTTTATGAGCATGTATTAAATTTTCATATTCTTTTTTCATCTTTTCAATAAATTTTAAGTGATTTTCTAGTTCTTTATTCAATTCATCTTCCATTTTTTATTATAATTATTTCTAAGTTGTTTAAAATAAATTATAAAAATATTAAATTATAGTTTTAAAAATCAAAAATAAACTATAAAAGTTCAATTTTTAGGAAATATAATTATTTGCACCAAAAACTTTAACCTAAATTTGAATTTAAACAATAAGAATATTAATAATTATGGTTTTATTCATTGAAAATTTGAATGTTAACAATATATATATAATTTTTTCTTACCTCTCTAACAATGTATTCCTATTTTAGCTTTTCAAAATCACTTTCATGGTCTTTTTTGTATTTGGTAAATTCTATTTTTAATAATCTGAGCTCTTCTTCTAATTTATTTATTTTTTATTATAAATCATGGATCGTTTTTTCATTTTATTCTTTTAATTGCTTTAAATCTTTGATCTCATTTTCATACTTTTCTTTTGACTTTTAGAACTCTTCTTTCAGTTAATCATAATTTCGCCTTTCTTTATCTAAATTAGTTCTAAGTTCTTTTAATTTGTTTTCATATTCGAAAGTTATTTAATTAATTTTGCTTTCATAATCTCTGTTAATCTTCCTTATTTTTTCTTCATACTAATCTTTGACTTTATCCATCTATGAGTTTCCAAGAAAAAAAAAATATATTTATAATATTTAATATTTAAAGTAAATTTACTTCTCTCTAGTAATGAGATTCGAGAGTTTAAACAGCTTCTTTGGTTTAACCTTCTAAAGATGCTTTCAATCTCTTTATTTATTCTTCATAATAATTTTTCTAATCTTAAAGTTCTTTCTTTCTCCTTTCCTCTAATTCCTTTCTTATATTTTTGAGCTCTTATTCAAGTTAATTTATCCTTTTTAATCTTTCACTCTCTAAATCACTAAGCTGATTAGTTAATTAGTTTTTCATTTCTATAAATTATAATTCTAATTTTCTATATTTTTCATCTTTTAATCTTTCTAATTCATCAAGTTCTACATTTTTTTTAAATTCTAACTCTTTCAACTGCCTTTACCTAAGTTCTTCTAATTCCTAAGCAATCACAAATCCTTAAAATTTAATCATATAAAAAATAAATTACTTCTAATTATCTCCTTAGTTTAGAGTCATTTTACTGCTATGAAAACTACATTTCAGCTTCGAGGCTATTAATCCTTTTTTTAAGAGAATTTTCCATATCTTTAAACTTCATTTCCCATTCAGTATTTATACTCTTAAGTTTTAATTTTAATTTCTAGTTTTCATCTTCTAGTTCTGCTATTTTTTTGTTCAGTTACCTGATTATTTCTAATTTTTCTTATTCCATTTGATTGTAGTTACCTTCAAGTTACTCCTTAAGCTTTCTTATTTCTAACTCGTATTTATCTTTCATTTCATCAAATTATTTTCTGGAATTTTTTGAATGAATATCTACCTCATCTGTAAACTTTTACCTCCACTCTAATTTATAATGAAATATAAATACATAAGAAAAGCAATTTTAAATTATTTATTATTTTTAATTACCATTGTCTCTTCTTTTTATTTCATTCTCTAGCTATGTGATTTATCTTTTGAGATCATCTATTTCAACTGTTGCCTTTTCTCTATAATCCCTAAACTCTTCCTCTAAAAACTTGTAATTTCTTCTTAATCTTTCTAACTCTTCGTTTATTTATTATTTCTAAAGGAGAAAAAATAAATTTGTTGAAATTAACCTTAAGTAAAAAAAGTTATTCATATATTACTTCTCTTAAAAGCTCTTCGTTTCTTTTTTTGGTCAAATGAATATCACTTCTTAGTGCTGAATTTTCATTTTTTTATTTGTCTAAGTCTGCATTTGTTGTTGCAAGTTTATGAATCAGTTGTTGAATTTCTTAAGTTGAATTACCTTATAGCTAAGATATTTCAGATTACAAACTTTATATTAATATATTTTTTTGTTCTAATTCACTTAAGAGAGAATTCACGTGACTTGTATTATTTTAAGTAAGTTTATTGATTTAGTTTTCATAATTAGCTTTTTATTTGCTAAGCTATTCTTCATATTTTTGAATGAGTTCTTTTTTTTCTTTTTCAAAATTTTCTAAGTTTTAAGTGATCATCTAATTAAGCTCTTTAATTTTTTTAGTACTTTCATCATCTAGCTGCTTAACTTCGCTTCTTAAATTTTCTATTGTGATTTTTAACTAATGTATTTCTGTGTCCTTTTCTTTCCTTATTCTCTCTTTGTCTCTTCTTTCTTAAACTAATTCCCTTTCTAAATTTTCAATTTGTATTCTTAAGTCTGCTACTTTACTTTCTAAACCACTGATAAGGTTTGAATAGCTTACTTTTAACATTTCATTATCCTTTTAATTTTTTCTTTCTTGTTCCTTATAATCTCCTTAAAGCTTTTCATGATCATACTTTAGTTACTAATTATCTCTGCTAAGCTATTCAACTTCTCTAATATAAAAATTAATATCATCTTTAATTACTTTATAAATTGCCTCTAAATCCCCTATTTTTTTAATCATATCTCTACTTTGACCCTTTTCATCTTCGCTTCTGACCAATAAAGCAAAGTCCATTGTTTTAACTTTTAATTTATTTTAAAAATAAATATTAAAAATAACTAAATCTAAAAAATATCTAATTTTGTTGAAAATCTATATCATTATTACCTTTAATAATTTCATTAAGCTATATCATTTAATCTTTAAGCTACTGATTCTCTTTAAATAGAGGATTTGCCTATGATTCAAAAAACTTAGCATTATTTTCTAAAATCTAAAGTTTCTTTTTGAGCACAAAATCATCTCTCTTTTCAATTATCAAAAATAAAAGTAATTAATTTCTTATTTATAGGAGTAAGTTAACGAATTACCTAAGATTCAGATGAACTACCACCAGAACCATCATAACGAAAATATTCTTGCCTGTTAGGTGATTTCTCAGGTGATTGCTTCAAAGGAGATGTTGTCTTTTTTTATGAATTAAGGGCTTCAATTGAATTTTATGGAGAATATTTTTTATCATCATAATTATTTTCGTCTGAATACTCTTCTCTTTTTTATTAATTTTAAAGTTCTATCTTCATTTAATCTACTCTAGCTTAAACATTTTAACCTATTCTTTCTCCTTATCTATTTTAATAATTCAATGAGAGCCCAGGAGATATTGCTTCACTTTTATTACCTTCAGAAAGCTTATTATTTTAAATATTTATCAAAGCATCAGAAGTAATCTACTATTTAGAGTTATCAGTAACTTTTGGTAAATTGCTTAAAATAATTTTTTCATTTTATTATAGCTTCTTTTGCCTTTCAGGTTAAGTGTTATTAATCTATTAAACTAGATCCTTTTTATCTTTAGAATCAGGGTTATTTTTACTATAAAATGACCTGTTCATATTAGATAAACTTATTGATAAACAAATCTAAAATGAAAATATAGAGCTTTATTTTGCAGATGAGTTAGCTTACTTTACTAAAATAAATCTTCAAGCCGTAGAATTGCTATAATTAAATTGCAAATATAACACAATATCTAATTTTGCCAGCAATTTATAAATCAATTAATTAGAAAAATTTAATTAATATAATAATAATATTACTAATAATTTGTATGGTGAAATTAAAAATCATATTTAGAAAAATACTTATTATGGCCAATAACTTGAGCTTTAATTCATCAAAACAAACCATAAAAAGATTACTTAAAATGTATTCTTAATTTATTGTTTGCATTAAATTTTAATTTTATAATTTTTTAGTTATCAATAAAAATAATGAATGAAAATTAAATAAAATTTAGATTTTATTTATATATATATCTATCTTTCACAAATTAGTTAAATACAAATAAGCAATTTTTTAACAAATCAATAAGTAAAATAATATCCACAACATTTTCTAAATTAATTTTATAATTTTAAATCAAAAATTAAAATTTTTGTTTTTCTTTTTAAATTTTGTGATTAAATAGTAAAATGGAATGAATATCTACCTACATATAAATTGAATTCAAGAATTAGCATTTGCTTAGATTATTTAAAAAAAACAATTTTGTTAAAGACATGAAAAAATATTTTATTAATATTAATTTTTTACTAAACACATAAATTCCTCACTTAGAAAATATGTATGTATGAATAGCACTTAACTAAAAAAATTAATTTTATTTTTTTATATTAAATTTTATTTGAATAAATAAAAAATATCTTTTAAATTTTTCTTCTTCAATTTTATATTCTAATATATTTTAAAATTTCGTAAACAGTATGAATGCTTAAATAAACATGTTTAATTAATTTAACCATATTAATCATCAATATTAAGACTGTTGTTCATATTCTTTTTGCAATTATTATTACTATTGTTCAAATAATAATTGTTATTATTAAACTAATTTTTCTTCATATTAAATTTCATCTAAGCTAACACCATAGTCTTCAGGATTTGCTTCTTACTGTTATTTTTTACAAACAAACAAATAAATAAATGTTATATATTTTTTTATAATTTACTTTAGACTATATTTTTTAATATTCTTCGTTTTCTTCATGGTTTGGATCAAAGTTTTCTAATAATTTTTTCTTAAAAGTACCATTTTACCATTTTATGAATTACCATGGTACGCTATTGTTTACTTTTAGTGCAAAGATTCCCATCTAATATTTTTAGTCAAATTTGTTTGAAATTTCAACTAATATTTTTATAAATTACTTTAAAGTTATGAGATACCATACTTGAGCTTGAAAATAAAGTGTAAACCTTATCAGACATATAATTTTAATAATCCTTAAATTTATCTTAAGGTTTTTTATTTTTTTATATTATGTCTGTTAGTATTTCTGCCATTTTTGTGCCACATTCTAAACTAGTGTTCAAAGCTCTGATATTTATAATAAAATTTTTATTGAATTAATTAATTCAAATTTATTTTACTTAAAATATGGTACACCATAAGCTGCATCTCCAACGAGGCCAATAGGGAAAGACTGTTATAAATCTATAAAATCACAAGCACAATAAACTGATATAGGCACATAAACTAATCTTTCTGAGTCAGGTATAATATGCTATCCTAATAACTCTTATTTAGCATTCATCCTATTAAAAATAAAATTAAAAATCTAACATCAATTACTATTTTTATTATTGCAATTTAAATTATTTTAATTAAAGCTTTGTTTTATATTACTTAAGTTTTATTTAATAAGTCGAAAAAGTATTCAAATTAAATATTCTTAAATTTATTTGTACTTTTTTAATACTTTTTTTGATATTCTTTTTATATTTTCATTTTAATAATTAAAAGCTCATATAAACAAACTCTAATTTAGTAGTATTTAAATAATAACTTAATTCTTTTGAATTTTTAGCATACCAAACATTAACGCTTTCTTTTACTTTTCCTTCAAGTTGATTGAATTTTCCAGGATTTTATGGTGTGAATTTCTTTACTGTTTAGGCTGTTTCGTTATCTACTATAAATATGCAAGTTGCTTCTGTTTTATCTGATTCTTAGGTATATTTACCTACTATTTCTGTTGCTGGATATTTTAGTAGCTTAAGAGTTTTATATTATTATATTTTAGATAAAGCTTTTCCTTTTCCTTAAATTGAGTATTTCAACATAAGTTAGTGAAGAAAGACTTCTTCCTCAATCATATTAAACTCCTCATCAATTTTTGCTTTCTTCTTTAACAAATTGAAAGCCCATATCCTGTTTATAATATTCAAAGGATACATGATTGGAAGCCAAATCTTAGAGAATGCACTTAATTTATCTCCATTTTTGTACTTTTTCATAATTTAACTTCTTACTGTACTCCTTCTACCATCACATCCTATTTATTTTAATGATTTGTGATATTTAGTTATGTTTCTATAAGCTTACCAAGCAAAGCAATAATTTAATTTTCAGGAACATGTTTGTAAACATCTTACAGGCATTTAACACCTTCTCCCTTGATAATTTTTACATTCAGACTCTATGCAAAATTTTATAGCTCAGTTTCTAATAGTTTAGTTGGAGTTTTTCCATCTATTTTTTTTTTCAAATTCTCAAAAGCTTAATTATTAATACGAGGAGTTTTCATATATTTTATTTTAAGCTTAAGGATATGCTCTCTTACATAATCTGTCCTCTTTTCTAGCACAAGAACATTTAATTTAGGGTTACTTAGCATTAATTAGCAGGATGTCCATAAACCAACAGGTCCTGCTCCAACAATTACAACTGTATCTTTTTTATTATCCATGATATTTTTGTATTAAATTATTTCTACTTAATTTCCTGTAAAAAAACAAATAAGTAATTTGGATTTTGATTTCTTTATAATTATTAATTTTATTAACCAGAAATATCTTATTATATTAATAAAATAAATATTCTCAATTCTATTATTTTTATAGCTGCTTATAAATTTAATAGTAAATTTTCTATTGATATTCTTAGGTAAGATTAGCTACTAAAGTATAAACTCAATCTAAATCTATACTTGTCTGACTCTAATATTTAAAAATAATTTTTTATCTAAATTAATTATTCTTATTTAAATGGGCATTAACTTACTATTTTAAAAAAATCTAAACACACTAATGAAGATTTTATAGGTAGGCAATAGTATAAGTCAATAAATAATACATTAATAATTTATAAAGTAGAGAGAAATAATTTTATATTATTAATTTTAGTATTTATTCTCATAGATTTATTTATTATGTGTTATGGTAGTTTAAATTGAATACAAATTAACTAATTAATAATGTTAAAAACATAAGAGAAATAAACTTTTTTAATTAAAATAGTATTTGTTTTTAAAATTTTATTAAGATATTTTAATATCTGCGTATATGTATTTTATTTATTTCTGATGGTTGATATAGATTCGAAATTGATTTGTGAAATATTTAAACGATTATTAATAAACAATAATATTTTAAAAATAATTAGTATAATATTTTATTAATTATCAGTGTTAAATTATTTATTACTTAATAATGATCAATAAATTTTTATGTTTAAATCTTTAAAAAACTAAAAGAATTTACTTTACTGAACTAAATCAAAATCAATCAGTGTTTGTCTTTAATATATTAATTATTAATAATAAATATTAATAAATTGTAAAAAATACTGATTTAGCTAGATAAATACTGACGAGATCAATTAATTTTTCAGTTAATAGGAACATATTAAAAATATTTTTGCATTACTTAGCTCTATTTAGAATAAAAAGTCCATTTGAAATAAAAAGATTGAAGAATACACTAATCGATGTTTTAACCAAGCGACAAATTCTATACAAATATCCAGTTAAATAGTGTTATATATGAAGCTTAGGGTGTAGTAGTTCATGAAGTTTTAGACATAGAAAAGAGAAAAAAATTTGTTTTAATTGAAAGAAGTACAAGTGATGAAAACGAGTATGCAGATTTACAAAAGGATATATGCGCTTTTGATAAGTCAGAATCACCATATATCATAAAAATTCACAAATACACTTATGATTTGGTGATACCAGAATCAAAAGTTAGCCAAAATAATGGAATCAGTGTAGGAGGAAAGTAGAATATATTTTAAAAAAGTGGAAATTCAGTAATGGGAAATTCAAACTTGGGATTGGAAATTCATTCTAAAAAAATATATAAATTATCCTTTCTAACAGATTACTTTACAACAAATCTGAAGCTATGGATAGAGAAAAAAAGAGAAGAAATTGATAAACATAACAGCTAATTTAAAATAAATTCTTTGTATTCTAAAGGGAATATCAGAAAAGGGCTTCCTTAATATGAATTTTGTTCTCTTTTTCACTAAATGGTTGAAGGAATTAATCATGTAATTTTTTTAAATCTTCTAACCAAAAATTGAATTAAAAGGTATTTGATAAATGAATTAGTTAGAATTTTAAATTCCATCATATTTTTTTTAAGGTAGAAATAAAAAATATTCCTTGTAAATGAATTCAGCAAAAGAATAGAAATAAAGACAATACCTCATTTTGAGAGTCATTCATTTTCAGTTATTTTAAATTTCACAAATTTTAAAAAATTAGATAAATTAATTAATTTACTTTTTATTTCTCATAAGCACAGACTATTTATTTAAAAAAATCTACTTTAGCAAATTAGTAATACATTAAGTTAATTTACTCAAAATTAATATTTATTCTATCAAAAATTTGAAAAATATTTAAAGATGCATCATCTTATTTATTTTAAATGTTTTTCTTCCTTCTCTTAAAAAATAAATCTAAATTATTTCAAAAATGAATAAAAGGTGGCTATCTAAAAATTTATAGTATTTTAATTTGATGAAATTTCTTAAAAAATATTCAATTTAGTTTCATTTTTCAAATTTACATTGTATTACTATTCTTTCTTTTATAATTTTTTTTATATTAAATAATGAATTATATATAGCACAAAATAATTAATTTGTTTTGTTTGAACTAATGAATAAATTCCTTTTAATTTGATTTTTGATTGCAATCCAATCAATGTTTAAGTTTTAATGTATCTTGGTTTTTATTTGATAGGTATATTAAAGAGAAATAAAGAGAAGCATGTCTTCAACCTTGAAAGAATATGTCTGCAAAGTTGACATAATGCCTGAAAATTTCGTGGTTAACGAAAGCGTAGATTTAGAAAACAAAATAAAGTTTATCCCTATGCATTTCTTGTCAGTTTACAATAAAAATTATAAAAAGAGATATGCTTCTCTACTAGACCATCAAAAGAACTATATCATAAAGAGAAGATAAACTTTAGAATTGCAAAATGGATATATCTAAGGCTTTACTTCACCAAAGAACTCAACAAAAAGTACTTAGAATTCAGCAATTTCCTCTAAATCAAAGACATTTTCTCATATTTTAGAATCTGATTTTGCTTCATCCACAAAATCAAGTTCTCAAATTCCATCTTTGACTAATGTTATTCAATAAGCTTAAGCTGAAGATACAGAAACTAAATACATGAGAATGCTTTTTGATTTAGGTTTGAGATTGGGTTCACTATATATAGGAGCAGATAATTTTACAGAGCCTAACTAGCCTTTGTCGCCTTTTTCAAGATAAGTACTAGTAGATATTTGCAAATAATATAAAAATGTATCTAAGATACTCGTTTAAATGATTGACCCATCATTAATAAACTCTAGTTACACTCCTTCTTCAAGCTATCACAGGCCTAGCATGTAGAAAATATGTAAAGATTTGAAGAAAATCAATGACCAAGAGTTTCAGTATGATGAAAACAATTTTAGTGGCCATAAAATAAGTGATGATTTAATGAATGAAGATGAAACTTCTGACGATGACTCAAAAAATTTATCTCCTTCTAAGAGCAATTTTAGAAGCTTATTACAAATAACTAAATAAAATAGTATTAACACGAATTCTGTAGGCTCTTTAAGTACTATTCCACTTTCAAATGAGCTTATAGAACAAAACAATAATAAATTTATCAAGTAGAGGTCATTAAATAGTTAGAGTTTAATAAAACATAGAAGTAGTATTAAAAGAAGATCTACTAAATTATAAGAAAAGTACTTATCTGATTTACAATTATCCCCAAATAGGCAAACAAGCTGTTAGATAGAAATTTATGATATAGAATATGCATATGAAAAGAAGCCAAAAAAGTACAAAGGCCTAGCATTTGTAACTCCTTATACTAATATACTTAACATCATACATGTAAATGAAAAAAAGAATGCCTACATTGAGAAAGTAGAAATGATTTTACCTGAGAAAGTTGTAATACCCCATGAGCATAGTATTATAGTAGCTCCAGGAGTAGGTGAGTTTAAAATCTTCATATTAGGAGGAGAGGATTGTATCTAAATGTTGCAATACGATAGCAATAAAGATGGAAAGCTTGTAAAGAAATCTAATATGATTGCCAGTATAGAAAGAAGACAATTTGGAATTTGTACCATTGAAAGAGATTCTTAGATATTAGTTGTTTCAGGTATCAGAGATGAGCAATTAACAAATTAATGTGAAATATATGATTTGAATTCCAATTGTTGGACTAAAATAAGTAATGTGAATGTACCAGTCATTGGATCATCTCTATGTCTTTTTAATAAGAGCTCGGTATATAAATTCGGTGGAGTGGATTCCAATGGAAAAATAACAAAAATAATTGAAAAGTATGATATTTATTAAGACATTTGGAAATGCATTCAATACGACATTGATCCTCATGTGACCTAAAATATAAACTTTGCAAAAAACATGCTTTCATATCAAATAAATCATAATTAAATAATAATATTTGGTGGTGAGCTAAATACCCATAACAGCAATTATGCTCAGGATGGATCTAAAGTATACTAGCATATTAGGCACCCCTTTTATTCATTAATGCCTTCTAATTCTCCTCCTCCTCCTTAACTAAATAAAAAAATATTCTTCTGTCATATAGACAAATTAGGTCATCACGAGCTATTTGGAATTGATCAGTATGGTTCAATCCCAGATAATGCAGGTTACATTTTGCCAGGGTAGGTTTGCTTGTCAGAGAGCGACGTAATTTTCTTTTAAAAGCAGTTGTATAGATAAGACACTGGTAGGTTAATGGGTTTCTCTGTAGAAAAATAAGTAAAAGATATAAGAGGAAGTGACATTCGTTTCTGAATATTAAAAGATTAACATATTAACAAACAAACAAAAATAAGTTACACTAACAAAGATACATTTGAATACAATAATCATGATATATTATAAAAAATACAAAAGAAAAGAATAATAAATTGATTGAATAAATTAGTATTTAATATATATGTAAATTCATTATATTTTTCTAACTAACTAAATATAATTATTAATTCCATTAAATGCTTGCAAATATAGAAGAAATTTATTCACTAAAGACTGGATCTATATATATTCACTCAAGGCTGGGTCTATTATAAAATATATATCACTAATTTTTCACATAGATAATTTAATGATATTTTTTTTCTAATTTAAATGTAAGTATTATTTTTGATAGATTTTCTATTTTTATGTGAAAGAATAATAATAATAAGAAGAATTATGCCAGAACAAGATTCATTGTAATATTTTTATTTTATTATCTGTAATCCAATACCTATATGATAAACTTTGATAAATAGAAAACCTTAACAAATTCTTATAAAAAATACAGAATTTCCCTTAAGAATTGAAAATAAAGTAACTTAAAATATATATTTAACTTATTATTATAAAATAAATAAATCTAAGTAATCAGTAATTAGCTTTTTCTTTTATAAAGTAGGCGTGAATATTTCAAAAAAAAAAAAAATTTGAGAATTCATGGATAGAAATTAACTTTTAAAGCCTAATTATAACAAAATAATTAGAATTAAGTAATATTAAATAGAAACTAATATTTTACTTTTTGTTAATAAAAGAGGATGTAAATTTTATGATATTCTTCTTTATTTATCTGAAATTAAATTATGCCCACAAATTACAATTTATTATTTAGGTATAACGAAATTTCTGTTAACTTAAAAGGAATTATAATCAATAATTACAAAATATTTTTACTATTCAGCTCCGTTTTTATTAAAAAATAAGAAAAATTATTTCTATTATTAAATTTAGATAACGAAAAAAGTTTGAAGTTATAATTTAAGTAAATGATTTATAATTAAATTCAAAAAGCTAAGATAATTAAATGTCTTTAAATTATGAATTTCTGGTGATTTTTCCTGTATTATTCATAAATGTAATAATTACATTATTCTCATCAAAATCACACATTTTTCTTTCTCATTTCTTTCTTTGTTTTTTTGTTAGTTTTCATGGTTTTAAATTAAGAATCAGTTTTTATAAGCAAATTTTAAAATTCACTCAAATTTATTTTTTAATTTACACTTGAAAATAATATTTATTTTTTCTATCTTTATTTTGCTTTATTTCATTGTATTTTTGTGTTTACTTTTTGTATTTTATAAAAATGCTTTCATTTTTTCAATTGTTTTTGAATCTAAAAAAATTTAGCATAACTATCTAAAACTAAAAATTTGTTAAAAAATGGTTAGAATATTTTATAATAAAATTTGAACTTTTTTTGAAGCACAGAGTATTTGTATTGATTAACATTTAGAGAGTAAATAAATACATGAATTAAATTTGAATTTTTAATTATCAAATATTTTGAGTAGCAAAAGACTAGGTAAGAAGTAGAAAAAAAAATAATTATTTCTATTTTATTGCAAAAAGCTTGAATTTTGGCAAATTCTGCTTAGAACTAACTAATTTTAAAATAAGCTTTTATGTTAATAAAATAATGAAAAAAAAATACATATGCCTATGACTTATGATATACAACAATTGCTTATTGATTATGGTTAATTAGCAATCAAAATTTAAAAATAAATAAAATTTTTTTCTAACTTTAATTTGAGTTTTCGTGTAAGAGTGCTTATTTTTAGTAAACGATTGAATTTGAGTGGTAGAGTATCTATAATATTAACATATAGAAGAATTTATTGGATTAGTGAGAAGAAAAATTTAGAAATATCTTTTTTTTACTTCTATTTTTCTATTATTATATTACTTTGCCTTGTAGAAATGTGCTTAAGGCAATTAGTGTTTTAACTATCTAGTACAAAAATTAAATTTATTAATGATAAATTAGTAGACTATTTTTAAAAAAATAAAAAATGTAAATAAAAAATGTGTGTGGTGTTTTTGAAAAATGTTATTAATCAAATTAATAAATAATTAAGCTAGTAAAATAAAGAAAGACATACAATATTTAAGAAAATAAATTTGTTTGATATATAAAGGGGATTTTTTATTATAAAAAGGATGAGAACGCTGGTAATTAATTTGTTAGATAATTATCTAAATATAGTTTATTTTGTCTAAGTCATGATTTTTTTTTATTAAATACTATACTACTTACAATTTGTTTTTATGATGAACTGGTGTAATTTAGTTGTTAAATTAGGCTTTATCTATTTTCTGATTTTTGTTTAATTTCTATAGACTTTATGCTATCTATTTTAGCATATTCATAAATTTATTTTTTTAAGGGAGTCGATTGTATCTATAATTATTTAACTGATTCATTAAGTAATTAATTAGGGTAAAAGAAAATAAAAGAAACAGCATTGAAGGAATCAGAATCTTATATTAATATATCAAAAATATTTAATTATTGATTTATTCATTAATGCGTCACTTTTTTATTTTATTTCAATACAATCTAAATTTTGTGAGCGAAATTTTTTTCAAACAAATAATATTCAATTATATTCATTTATTTTAAATTTCCCTCTTTTTGTTCACTCAGTCCGTCAAATTAGCCAATATCATCAATTACTATTCTATTTCAGACATCAAAGTTTGAATTGTAAATCTCAATAGCATATTTATATTGTTTTCCAATCTGTATAATGAGCTTTAAATCTACATTAAAGACGATTGCCCGACTTTTAACTGAGAAAAAAACTCAATATGTTTCGCAGAATTATTTTTTTTCTTTTTTGAATTCAAATTATTTTATTATAATCTCTTTATGGAAAAATTTCCTTGAGATAGAGTTAGGTGAGAATATTCGCAATTCTAGGGTTATTATTAAATCACTAAAGTATTTAGAGTGAGTGAAGGAAATAAATAGTATATGATTAGTAAGAATATTAATAATTAATGGTAGTAATATAGTGTTTAAGAAAGTTAGAAAGTAATTGTTATTTATTTATTTTTTATTTATTATATTCGTTAAATTTTAAAACTAATAATTAGTTAGTTGTTATAGGTTTTTAATTAGTAACTAAACATTATATTTAAGTAAGGAAGATCAAAAAGGCTATTTTTGTAAGCCTCTCTTTCAAAAAGGAAACTAAAAAGCAATATTTTTAATTCAATTTCTACTTCAGAACTTTTATGATTAAGCTCCTGTGCGAACTACCCTGTAATCTACTTTCTTGTGTCTCATGATCTCAGCAGCTGTGCTCTTTCTTCTGTAATATAGAGAGCTCTTTTCTATACCTTTCAGTTTAGGAGCAGGGAACATATTAAGACGATGTTCTTAAGGAATGTTTTAGTTTTCAACAAAGCTCTTTCTGGCCAAAACATACTCTAGTGTGACAGGATATTTTGGAGCAGCTTTAAAAGATACATGAGATTTACAGCATTCTTCCTACTTGCTATTTTCTCCCATTCCAGTTTACTTGCTTGAATTGGAAGACCCCACCTAGTAGCAGATTTTTTCAATCTTTTTCTCATCAGATATGTTGCTCAAAGATCGGATGATTTGTGGGTCAGCATCTGTAGCGCAATCTTTAGTATTTTTTTGATTTTTAACAATGACAATGTTTTTATTAGAGCATTGTAGTGATTCTTGTTAGTATTTGTTACTTCTATGTTTTTTGAGTTAAACACAGCCCATTTTAATAAGCAATTGATTTTCCTTTATTATTGATTGTAGATATTTTTTTTTTGTTATTTTGTTAGTTATTTAATTAATATCTTTGAAATTAGTTTGCTTTTTATTAATTATAGTAGTAGGCCTTTGCTATTTTTATCAATTTGATGATGGAGATAAAGTTTAATGTAATTAAGAGTTAAGAGTATTTTTTAATTAATTTATGATGTGATGAAATAGAAACCAAATAGAGGTTTATTTTTTTAGTTTTTATTAACTTTCTTTTTGATTTCTAATTATTATAATCTGGAAACTGCTTGCTCTCACAATTTTTATTTATTTGTTTCTTTGTTTGATAGCTTGTATGTATGTATTCATACCAATTTAAATAAACAATATTTTTACAAACAAAACCAAAGTAAAAACATAACAATTGCAAATTCAAATTCATATTGTTTTTATATTTTAAATATTGCATCGATTTCTTTTTTTTTACCAGAAATCTGTCATAAAAAATGAAAACTGGCTGCTGTTTTATTTTATAAATATAATTCATTGTGTAAACATGTTCTCAATTATTTAATAATAAGAACTGGTTGAGATTATTTTAAATTTATGATGACTTACATATAAAAGAAAAATTTAATTTTAAATGAGTTTTTGAAATATGCATTTATTTCGAGTTAATTCTTTTGTAATTAACACTTTTTCTTCACTTTTTTTGCAACATAAATTCACTATTTTTATCTGCTTCCCAGCAAGTTTTTTATTTATTTATTTTTATTTTAATGAAAGTTATCCTGAATTAAAGTTGAGGTGGGTATGAGGTGAGAAAAATAAAATTGGAACAACAGTTGCTCGTTAAAAAGAAATACTGAGTCGTATGAGATAACATCCATAAATTAAAATTCTAAAATGCTGTATCAATCAAAAGAAAATTAATCTTCATTTTTAAACACACATTTAATTTTTTCATTGATACCTTATTATAACCTTCCTATACTGGAGATTGATTCTATTTATATAAAAAATTTTTTAAAATTCCCTTCAAAATACTCAAATAAAATAGTATTACTATCAAATTATATTAAATCTGAATTGCTATTCATATTCTATTTGCAAAACTTTTCTGTTTTATTTATATCTTTGTTCATTTTTACAAGCTACCCATAGATAGATTGCTTTCTATTTTTTTAAATTGATGATAAATTCTAGATTATTATTACTTGTTATAATACTTTATCAGGTAATAGCAAGTAATTTATTTGTGATGCACTACTTATTCTCACTTTCAATAAAGAAATTACATGTTTTATTCTTTTTTAATAAAGCGTTTTATACATACAAAGGAGGAATCCTTATTTAGGAAATGATATTTTAATATTTATTGCTCATCTCCAAATATTGATATTACCTCAATTAATATACATTAAAGTAGAGACTCTCAAATCTATAATTTTATTAGTCATGTGAGAGTTTTAAATTTTGAATGCTCGAAGTTAATCACCAAACAAAACCAATATACAACTTTTCTATTTTATATTTTGCAAAAAAAGTGCATTCATGCATTTATTTTAAAATTACGGTAAAAATCAACCTAAAAACTCAACATTATAATGTCTATAATTTGTGAAGCTTAATTTAATGATTCGCCAAATTATTACCAATTTAAATAAAATTTCATCCATTCAAATTCGAAAAAAAATTAAAAAATTATTTCGAGAAATTTATTTTTAATATTTATCAATTTAAATTGGATATAATTAAATATTTAAATATGTATAATTGAGCCAAAATTTAAAAAAGATACTTATAAATATTAACTCATAAAATTGTGAAAGAAAATAGTTTATTTTGTTTTTAATTTCAAAAGATAAAAATTGCTTTAATTAAAAATAATTTGTTAGATTAAGAGTAAGTTATAAATTTTATTCGATAATAAGCATTATCCATTTTTATTTCTTGCTATTTTATAAAAACAGAGCTAAAATCTATGATGTATTTTGTTTTAAAATATTCAATTTTTTCAAAATTATTTGGTATTATTAGTTATATCACTTCAAATTGAAAGTAAAAATAAGACTAAACAAAATAAAAAAAGTAGCTAATCATTTCAATAATAATAAATTATTTTAAACCAAATAAAATTGATTGAAATATAAAAAAAACATAATCAAACTTTATTTTTCTATTAATTTACTCCGTCAAAAATGTTACTATTTTATATTTTTTGCCTGAATCAAGGCTTTTTTAGTTTTCATAACCTTAATTTTTAAAAAAATTGAAGCAATCCTATTTAAAGTATTATTTTGTGGTTTTTTAACGAATTATAGAGAACTAAAGCAATACAAAATTCAAAAAATAAAACTTTTTAGATCATAAATTACCTTCATACACTTTAAACTCATAAAACAAAATTATTTTTTTACTTTTAATTGATAAATAGTAACAATAGAGCATTTATAATTATAAAAGCTCTTCAATACCTAAAAACCATTCAATATTTTAATAAAAAAGTTATTTTATTATTTTTTAAACTAATAAATTGTTAATTATTATAAATGAACAATTTATTTTAAAACTTTTTCAAATTAAAATATTTAATTTTTTGATATTTAATTGCTAAAATTTTTCAATTTTAAATATTTATTCTCTCTTATGATAAATTATTTGTTTTTATTTCATAAATTTAAATTCATTTGTTAAGAATTAATTTAAAAACAATATTTTTTTTAATTAATAAAGTAATTATTGTATTTTATTTTCACTCCTAATAGAAGAAATTTTATGACTTAGGTTATTGTTCTCAAACTATCTATTTACACCAAATTAATTTTTTTTTTTGGTTTAAACTAACTGAAAAAGACTGATGAAAATAATAAATTTATCATCATTTTATGAATAAATATATTTAAAATAATGTAATAAAAAATAACGAAAATAGCAGGGAAAGCATAACATATATTTTTATTAATTGTCTTTATAAAACAAAAACGAATATCTATAAAATTAAAATTTTTTCTCAAAACCTTTATAAAATCAATATATGAATTATATATTTTTTATTTGATTTTTTAATATTATAAATAATTTTTAAATAATCAAGTAAAATTATTAATTTAAATATAAAAATATTTACTTATTTGATAGAATGCTTCTGTTTTGTAAAGTAGTTTTATTAAAATGAATTTTTTGTCTTTGATAAATTATATTTTAAAATTAAAAATAAATTTCTTTATATAAAATTTATGAAAATATTTTAATTTGACTGCTTTTGTATTAATAATAAAATTAATAATTTTTAAAAATATCTTGAAAGTAAATCATTTTTCTTTTTTTCGTTTTGCATTTTTTAGTAAAATTAAAATTAATATTTTTTCATTCATTATATAACTCATTCTTAAAATGAATTTAAGTGTTTTTAAAATATTATTAGTTTGATGAATATAGAAAATTAATTGTTTATTATATTAGTTAGTAGTAAACTTTATATCTATTTTATTACCTTAATTTATTTACTTATTTTATTTGATTTTACTTCAAAAGATTTAGATAATTATTTATTATTAATAAAAATCAATTCATCTTGTTTTCTACTGAACAAAAAAAATAAAAAAAATGGATTAGGAAGGAGAATAGCAAATTAGTTAATAGGATCTTGAAAAATTATTGAATAATAAAGAAGTTGTTAATGGGTATACTTTGTTATAAAATTTAAGTTCAGGCCCTATGGGGAAGGTATATAAGTGCCAAAAAAATGGAAAATAATATGTAATTAAAATAATAAATTTCGAAAACAGTAAAAGTGCAAAAAGATAGATAGAAGCTCTAAAAAAACTGTAAAATACAAATTTTATTGTGAAAATAGTTGATTCTTTTCAAAATGATAATCATTTCTGTTTTGTGACTGAATTCTATGAAGGCCAAAGTCTATTTTCTTTTATAAGATCGTAGCCAGATAAAAAAATCTAACATTAGCAAGCTTTAGTCATTTTTAGATATATTTTAAGTGGGTTGATTGAACTTCATGAATTAAATATTTTGCATAGAAACATAAAGGTTGAAAATATAATCTTAACTAATGATTAATCTGTTAAGATTTGTGGATTTGGAATATGTAGAGAGTTAGATACAGATAACATGACTTGGAGTCTGTGTGGAACACCTAGTTATTTAGCTCCAGAAATTCTATTAGGTATTAATTAGCATTAAATTACTTTTATTTTTAAAGATGGTTTTAAAATATTTACTATTGAAACCCTTATTTGATCTATCTATTAAGCTCATTTGTAATATCTTGTAATTATTTAAATATAGGTCAACCGTACAATTATAAGTCTGATATTTGGTCATTGGGAGTTCTTTTGTTTGCTATGGTGACTGGTTAGCTTCCATTTGGCTCTAATAGTAGTAAAAAAGCAGTGTATTAGAAAGTTAAATAAGCTATTTTACCAGTATTTAGTTTCAACAACATTAAAAAAAACTTAAAATACCCAGAAAAGCTGAACTTTGGGGAGCAAAATAAAGATTGGGAGAACCTGTTCCGTTTGTTTTTTGAAGAAAGACCTTCTAAAAGAATAACTTATGAACAGTTAGTTCAAAATAATTTAATAAGTCCAATGTTAACAGCAGAATTGCCTAACATTTTTAATAGAAAATTCGATTAATTAGAAGAAATGCTCTCTAGTGTGTAGCATAGTTACCAGTCTTAATCAGAATTTGAGTAAGATTAGGATGCTTCTGTTTATTCTGAAAACTAATAGATAGATTAATGTGATATGCAGGCAATGCTGTAGAGTAAAATGCTAGCTAGCAAAATAGTTTTTGAAAATCTAAATTAAAATTTCAATGAGCATGTTAAAGTCTTTAACTTTGAGATTTACAGATACCAAACTCTAGTTGACTCTTACTACTATTTTAAATAGGTCAAATTCTAAAATGCTCTTACTGCTAATTAGATTCTCCTCTTCTCTTACTTTTTAATAAAGTAAATTTTATATTTCTCGTTATGGCTAGAATATATTCTTACTAAGAAGATTAATGCTTTTAAGCTTTCTAATTTCGAGGCATTCACTCAGACAAAAACATCTGCAGAAATGTTAAGTTAAATTTCTTCTGATTGCAGGAAATTCGAAGAAGAATTTGAGTCTTCTTATAACAAAGTTAAAGAAGTAAATGCTGACAGCAAATTACCTGAAGAAGTCGCATCAGCAATATTAGATTATAATTTTATAGATTTTAATAACACAGAGTATTCAAAAATACCAGATTTTTATAAATTGCCATACAGAGCAGTTTTAATGGATTGCTTTTAAAAATTATATATTAAAGCAAATCGATTTTTATCCTTTTAGGAAAAAATAGATGATAAATTAATTGAGTTAAAAAATGATAGAGATAAGAAAAGAGAATTCTCTATTTAACAAGGTTAACAGCTATTAAGATTTTCGCTTAGAATTTTAGTTTGTGCTCTAATAACTAGAGTATTTAAAGATCAGAAATGCATATTGAGTGAAATAAGATGTGTTAAGAACAACACATTTGACTTTGGCTTGTTTTTAAATTCTTTGACTATAGCTACATAAAGACAAACAAATTAATCCATTAATGATTTATTTAAAGCTTATTTCCCTTAATTCAACCTTTCAGAAATTCAAAAATAAAAGTTTATTTGATTTTTGATATTAATAATTAATAATAAATTATATTTAAATATTTTTTATTTATTCTATTTGTAAAATTGTAACTTTATACCCTACATTTTATAACATCAATAAAATGTAATTTATCAATAAGAAATGGTAACTTTGTGAATAAAAGTAGTTTTTCCCTTAAAAGTTCAGTGATAATTTAAAACTCATTTATTAAGCAGACTTGTAAATTTAATTAGCACTTTAATGATTTAAAATGTTTTTAAATTGATTAAATTTTGATAAAAATCAAAATAATCAGTTTTAAATTTTTAAAATTTCCTATGATTTATTTAATAAATTTTATGCTGATTTTAAAAATTCTCATTTTTTTTAGATTTTTCAGTGAACTTTTAGCAATAAAATATTATGTGTATTCTCATTAATATAGCCCACTTTCAAAAATAGTTTTTGTTATTAAATTGACCATAAAAAATTGACCAATTCCTTATTTTTATTTAGAGAATAATGGCATTAATATTTAGAATATATGGTATTTGATTTAATTAATAATGAGAAATTAAAAGATGCTTGAATATTAGGAAATTAAAATTTAAAATATGATATGATAATCACTTGAATATATTAATTTATGAAAAAGTACAAAAAAATTAGCTTTTATTTATTAGAAAATTCAATATCTTCAAGTTTAAACAAGCTAATTACTTATTTTAAAAAATTAGTCCATTAGGTAGAGTCATTTAATATTGTGGTCAGAATTATACTTTTTTAAGAAATTCAGTAATATAACTCGAAAAATACAAATTAGAAATAGCATATTTCTTACTGTAATTTATAAAAGTAAAAATAAACACAATAATTAAATTACACTGGCGTCGCTGTTCTATGACATATTTTTCAAAAAAATTTATTTATTTATCAAAATACAAAAGTTTGTAATGATTAACTAAAAATTTTAATATGGCTGAAACTAATTAATAATTAAATGTAAATAATATTTCAAATAAATAATTTTAAAAATAACATCTTGTATTTTTTATTTTAACATGAATTTACTTATAAAAGGGAGATAAAACCCAATAATAGATATTTTAGTTAAGGTTATTAGAGATAAGATATTTTTTGATTTAAGAAATTTTAATAATTTATAATTATAATTTGTAAAAATTCTTAAAAATTGATTGTAGTATTATCTTGTAAAATTATATTAGAAATTAGAAAATAAAATTACGATAACAAAAATTAAGGCTAATATTTTGTAATCAAGTATGAATGCGAGCAAATTATTTTATTACTAAAAAGTGAGCAAAATATTTAATTATAAAAATGAAATTCGTTAAGTATAAAATGGTGATAAATTTAGCTAAATGATTGGGTAATCAGTGAATTTATTTGAGAAAAGGTATTTTTTTAGACAGTTACTCAAACTAGAACTCAAATATACTTTGCTTGAGATATTAATAATAATCTTAATAAGAATATAAGAATAAAAGAATTTAGTTTACACTTTTTGTAAAATTTATTCTAAAAACAAAAAATATAGTATGAGGTTAATTGAAAAACAATCAAATAATAATGATAATAAAATAATTAAATAAAAACTATAAAGTTATTTATATAGTATCTCAAAACATCAGATCCACTTAATCTATGCGTAAATATAAAACATTAACAATTTTTTTCAATTTTTTCATTATAAATAGACGAGATTTTGATAAGTAGATTAATTATCTTAAATTTTTGACTACTTCAATGTAACTAAAACAAAACAAAAAAAAATGATGCAGAAAACTTAACTTCCATTCAAAATATAAAATTGATAGGTATTTATCAATAAATTAATATCTGAGTAAATAATCTAATTGAGAAATGCACATTTATTTCAAATACCACAAAATATCTCATGTATAAAAAGGTGGAATGCAATTTTTTGATTTTATACAAATAATTAATTTTGTATAAAAAAATACTACTAAAGAAAGAAAGAAATATATACATATATATATACATACATATATTTTGTTAATTTTAGATTAATAATTTAAGAATGGATAGATTAATGAAGGAGTTTTTGTGTGATTAAGAATGATAAGATTAGAAATTTTTTCAAGTTTTTACTTTTTTTTATTAAAAAACTTGTAAGAGTGCATTTAGCGTGGCTTTTATCAACAATTTATTTATTTATGATTATTTTATTTATAGAAAATAATCTTGTGTATTTTAGCTTAAAAAGTGCTCATTTACAATAATTAAGGAGGCGTAAATAATTTACTTAGTGTTTATTTAGAATTTTGAAATTATAAAAATAAGATTTTTCTATATATGTGAAAATTTTGTTAACTATTTTCAAAGGAGTAAGAATTGTTTCAAATTCTATTTATTGTAAACACTCTTTAAAGTAGCATCGTAAATGTTTGAGCTAAGGCTAATCAATATGAGTGAATTTGGATAATCATAGATAGATATATTTATAACTAAATTCAATCAAAGTTGCTTTTGATAGAAGGCTTAGGTAATGATGGAGATAATAAATTAGATGTTGGGATTTCATTAATACTATATTTACTTCTTCTAGCATGCAATGTACTATTTTATATGTGCTAAAGCTAGAATTCTTAGTGTTTAACATGGCTGTGAGCATTATACATAGGATCAGCAGTAGCGATAGAATTTTTTTTTTCAATATTGTCAAGAATGATAGAAGAGCAGTGTTGTTTCTATATAAAATTTAATTCTTATTCATTGAATTATAGTTAAACTGGGCTCTATTTTTTTTGGTATATATCTCTAACATTTATTTTATATATTTTTCCTTTATAGTTAATAATTTATTCTCCTTCTTTCAGATCTGGAATATCCTTTCCATTTTTACGCAATTTTTTTGGTGGAGAAGTGCAGTTTCCCATTAATATTTATTATAGAAAATCAATTATATAGTTTTTTATTATAAATCAAATAAATTTTTATGTGATTTCAGATTATCTTTTGGAGATTCTTTTTTTTTAATTTTTGTTTTGATAAATTATTTATTTTGCTGAATCTAGATATTAATTTAAATATGCGCTTATTTATTCACCACTTTTTAATAGCTATTTTTCAAATAAAGGCTTTCGTTAATATAAAACCCACCTCTTATTAAATTAATTAATTAAATACGTAAAAGCTCAAATTTTTACTTTATAATATTTCTTTAATCTACAATCTTTTTTCTCTTTTCACCACAAAATTCAAAAAAACTTTAGTCTATTTCACCATAAATCATAATATATTTATTTTTATATGATTATCTTAGTATTTAAAAAATTGTATGCTTATTATTTTAATTTATTTGCTATCGTATAATTCAAAAATTTAAAAAAATCTGTAATCCCTATCATAAATTGATAAATATAAAAGAGTTTATTAGTATAATTAAAATAAAATCTAGAAATTTTTTAGAATCGAAGTTTAATTTATTGAAGATTCTAAATATAAATTATTGATATGTTCTTAATTAGTTATTTTAAGAAATTAGTTTGATTCTCATTCTATTTATTCGTTTTAATCACTATTTAATTTACTTTTGAGATAGTAAGAAAATAGCCTTTATTCAAAAACATAATTTTTTGCTTTATAAAATCCCATCTAGTCTATAAATTGCTCTAAATTAATTTGTTAACAAAGCTTAATTTATTATAGAGAGAGATAGTAAATGCTTAATAAAAAGTGATTTATCCACCAGTAAAATAGCAGATTTTTAAAAAAGATCAGCCATTTTTATAAAAGAAACTCATTTTTTGTGAAATAAATTAAAACAAATATACTCTTACTTCATTTATTTACAAAATTTGTTCGTAACTGTTATAAAATTAATTATGGGTTTTAATATTTTTTCAATTAAAAACTTTAAAAGAATGTAAATAGATTTCATTTTATAAAAAAATTGTTAATGATTAAAATTTCACCAGATTTAAATCTAATTAATTAACATTGCAAAACAAAAAAACGAAAGAAAGATTTCCCCTTCTTAATTCAATTTTTAATATGATGATCAATCAACTAATTAATGACTTCCTAAAATTTTATTTCCTTTAAAATCTAGACTTAGTCCATTCTAATTTATTAAAAAATAATAAATTTCATAGTTTTTTTTTTTAAAATAGAAAAATTTGATATTATAAAAAGTTACTATGTTGTTCTCAAATTAAGAAAATTCAAGGGTATAAATATTAAAGAAATCAAAATTATTAATTTAGTAAGTCTTTTTGCACATTTCTTAGATACCTTACACTGGTTTACTTCAAATTATGATAAAAATAAATAGTTGAAGAAGTTTTATTTCATAATATTTGTAATCTTACAGCCCATTAATTAAAAAATACTTACTTATCAAAACCAAATGATCTTTTTTATTTTGTTCCATCATGAATAAATTTTCTTTTATTTGAAAGATAAAAAAAACCTGAATTTTACTAAATAAAAATAAATTCTTATGTTACTTTTCACAAAAAGAAAGATTAAAAAACGCTTTATAAATGAAAGAAAATATAGTTTATTATATATTAATTAAGATAATTGACAAAGTAAAATAATTTTTATTTATTTTATTTTTAAACATAAATTTTATTTTTTCAATAAAAAATTCTATCAAACAAATAATTGTTTTATATCATAATTATAATTTTGTAACTAAGCATCAAATTTATAAATAATATGTTAACAAGTTAGACTGAATTTTCGAATCCTGAATTATAATATCTCGTCTTAACTAATTTAACATTATACTTAAATAAGAACTATAAATAATTATTCAACCAGCCATATATTAAAAACAAACATCTGATAATAAAAAACATCCAACAGATTTTACTTTTTATTGTAATGTATATTTAAGTAAAAATTAATACAGTATCTTCTTAAACAAAAAATTTTTGTTTAGGATCAAAACTAAAAAAAGTATTTTTAAATGATTGGAAATTTAGGGATATATTTTATAATACATTTACAGTTTCCTTAAAATAAGTTAAGTAAAAATATCAGAGAGAAAAAACTAAAAGGGTACTTTTTGAAGTATTATAAAATTTTAATTTACAACTAGTAATAATTTACTATTGTTATATAAATTATGTATAGATGGATCGATAAACGAATGGTACTAAAAAAATAAACGCTTATTAAATTTCATCTTAATTAATTATTTAGTTAAATATTCTTACAACATGTATTATTTATTTAAAGTCATCAAAAATATAGCCATTTTAATTAAAATAAGGCTATCAATTGTCAAACCTATAATTAAATTTGTTTTTACAATAAAACAAAATTAAAATTACATATTTCTATAAATGAATGTTTGTTTTTCTTACAATCGAATGACTGCTATTCAATTGTATAATCTAATTTTAGCTATTAAAAAAATTTTTATTTTTTTTGGAACGATTTTTATAGTTTGTGACAAAAAATTCAATAATTTTTTTTATATCTTCCTTAATTAATTAATTATTAAATAGCTAGAAAAATAAAATTCCTGATAAATTTTTGTTAAGATTATCCTAAAATTATACAAAATAATTTATATAACTTGTAAAAAGTATGTCATTTAATAAATAGATAATTTATTTTTAATAATATTTTAATATTTTTTACCTTCCTACTGTCATCTACAGGAAGTATTTATTAGCTATTTGTCAATCAGCTTTAATTTATTTAACTTTTTTTACATTAAAGTACTTTGTTATTTCAAATTTTTTATTTAAATAATGTTCTGACTCTAAAAGAAATTCGTAGCAAACCTAGCATGAAAGGAATCCCCATTCACTTTTATCTTAGCAAATATGATTTTTTTTATTAGAAATTATATTTTATTTTTCACCTTTAATATCTGCTGCTTATTTTTCAAGACTTGATTCATCTTAATTTTCATATGAATAATCATCATCTTCTTCTTCTTCAATATCATTATCTATATCATCTTCATCTGAAAACATGGATCCTGAGAGTTCAGTTTATCCATTTAGCAAAATGGGTGAGCATTCTTCTTCCTCAAAATATTTAAAAGTAGATTCATCGTAAAACTTTTCATTGACATCTACTTCTTTCATTAGTATTCCTTGAGTAAATTCATGGTGATAGTTTTAAGGATTATTCTTTAGATTTTTCTTTTAGTTGGATGATAGACTTTTTTCTTGTTTCTCCAATGACTAATTCTCCGATTATTTTAGATTGTTACCTTAGTTAAGATCAGCTAGCTTCTATTCCAGTCTTAAATTTATATCAGAGAAATTTTAAGGCAGGTCTTATAATCTGCAAAAATGTATTATATTTTACTGAATAAAATTTTCTTCATTTTATTGAACCAAAATTATACTTATCCCAAATCTTCCATACCTATTTTATACATGATAATTTTTAAAAAAAGTATTTTTCATATCATTTTATGCTTTTTTCAACAATAAATTCATTTTTATTTAATCCAAAAATATAAAATTTTCTTTATGTGCATTTAAAAATTAAAAAATCAGGCCTCTAATTATCTTTCTAATAAAAAAATATTGAAAATGTGGCTGTTTCTAAAATGCTATAAAAAATATTATTTTTTATTATTCATTGTTCTTCTTGACCAGTTTTTTTGAAATAAGAATATAATTTTTTACCTTCCAGTTCTCCCTATCCTATGATAGTATGTTTCAACAGAAGAGGGTATGTCATAATTTATAACTAAATCAATAGTAGTGATGTCAATACCTCTTGAAAGTAAGTCAGTAGAAATTATAATTTAAGTTTTATTTCTACGAATTTAGTTCATAACTTTGATTCTATCTGCCTAAGTTTAATCTCCATGAATAAAGATAACAGAATAATTTTAAGCTTTAAGTTCACTAAAAATATTTTCTCCTTTGATTTTATCATTGTAAAATATTATTGCTTGATTAAACTTAATCTACTTTAAAACACTTGTGAGAATATTTATTTTTTGTTTTGTTACTGAAACATTTCCTTCCTATTTTACATCAACTCTATATTAAATGATATTTTCTAGATTCAAATCTCTATTATCATTCTGTTAATTTTCAGTGCTCTGTGAATCACTTTAATTTTATAATTAAATTGCGTCTACAAATACACTTGTTTCCATCAATTTCTCAATTTTTTATTTGAGATCATCAGGGTAAGTTGCCGAATAAGCTAAGTATTAAACAGGTAACTTTAAGTTTTTTTTCCTCCTTTGAAGAACTTCAAAAGCAGTTTCTTTTTCATCTTAAATTAGAGTTTATTCTTATTATGACTTTAATTCTTCTATATTACTGTTGATATCTAATTAACTACTAATAGATATATTATTTAGAGTCTACTTATTTAAAGCATCAAATATATAAGTTATGTGTTTGTAAAAGTCTTTTTATCCCATTAGTTTATCTGCCTCATCTAGCACAAGGGTGTTTATTGAAGAAAGTACCAATGAATTTTCTTTTATTAGAGCTACAATTCTTCCTATTGTTCCAATTATTATTTTTACATGCTGTATTTTGAGATTTCTCCTATCATCTTGCAGTGGTAGTCCTCCAATAAAGATTCCGCAATTAACATAAGGTAATAAATTAGGATTTATAGTATTTAGAGCCTTTAATAGTTGCTGAATAAATTCGAATACCTGAATTGCTAACTCTCTTGTAGGTAATATAATTAAGACTAATGGATTTGAATCTTAAAATATTGTTTGCCTCCTATTTATCAATTTTTCGAGTATAATACTGCTAAAAGCTAAAGTTTTTCCTGTTCCTGCTTTAGCCTATGCAATAATGTTCTTTTCTGTCAAACCTTCAGGTATTGAAAGTATTTAAATTGGAGTTGGCTCGGTAAAGTGTAGCTTCTCTAATGCACGTAAATAGTCTCCTGAAGATAATTTAAGTTAGTGAAAAGATTTTATTTATTTATGAGAGATTTCTGTGTTGAAGTTGTCTTGTTAATTCATTATACTTATTTGCAAATCTACTAATAGAAAAATAGAAAGACTATAATATAAAGATAAATATTTACTTTTATCTTATTTATCAATAGAATTTTTGATGCAAATCTATTGATTAAAGTTAAAGAGATTCTTTTTTGATATATGATTGGATGATCTTTGAATAACTATAAACTGATATATGTTTGAAATAATATAATTTATTTTATTTCAATAAAAAAGTTTAACTGGTAAAAATAATTTTAAAGAGAAACTAATCTTGTAATTTAGAATCTTTTAAAAAGTAGTTTTTTTACTTATTAAAGTCAATATTGAAATTTTTTTAATAGCTAAACAGTTTTTAAAGTTTTAAATCATACAAATTATTTTAATATTAATTTAGCAGAACAAATTTTTGTTATTAATAATTAAATAAAAATGGTTTTAAAAAAATAAAATACAATATCACCTTTATTCAATAAATTTAAATCACTATTAAAATCCTAATATTAACATAAATATTTAAATAATATTAAGAGTTAATAAATGAATATTCAGAAATTAAATTTAAAAAAATAAAATTAATTTGATGTTTTTTAACATTAAAGGCTATTAAAATTTTAATTGTAATTAATTCAAAAATTAATTTCCTTAAAATCTACTATTTTTGTATCAAATTGTATAATAATTTCTTATAAGTTTATTTGATTTATTTTATTTTATTAAATAAAAAGTACTATCTATGAAAAAAAATTTGCTTTTGTTATTTGTAATTATTTAATGAAAATTTAAATTAAATTTTGTCACTTATAATATTTATAATTTTAAAATACTAAAGAACAAAAACAATGATATATTTATAAGATATTGAATAAAAAATGATAAGGTATAATCAGAATTTTAGAATTAATGTTATTATTTATTTGTAAAGTATTAAGCTAATATGAATTTGGAAAATTTACTCACAAAAAACTTTATTCTGTTTAAAAATAAGTTTTAAAATAAGCAAAAATGTTGCAATATAGGTAAACCATACAATAAAAAATGAAAATAAGAGATGAAAATATTTTTAAAACTGTCAAAATGTTATTTTAAATTTTTTAAATATTTAATTTAAGTTTTTTACTTTAACCTTAATCATAAAATAAATGACTTACATTTTCCTGTTTATCCATAAAATTAATGGTTCAGTATTTTAATGTAATATTGATAAATTTAAAATTGCAAATAATGAAGATATTCAGCCGTTTTTTTACTCATAAGTTTAATTTAATTTTTAGGATAAAATGCATGCATCTACAAATTATATGTTAAAAATATTAATAAAAATCATTAAATATTTAATGATTCATGATATTATTACATAACGTATGCTTTAATTTACACATTTTTGAGTAAATAATGAGTTCATTTTGGAAATTAATAAATAATAGATTAAGCCTAATACTTATTAGTAGTTTAAATGAATTTATTTTTGGCTGTATTTAATATTTAAATCATTAAATGATTTGGATTAAATCTTATATAAATAATAAAAAGGACAAATTGTTATATTAAAGAAGATGTAGTAGTTGGAATTAAAAAGAAAATTATCTAAATAAGTAATAGACAATTTAAAATAAAAGAATTAGCTTTTTAGACAAGTAGTAGTAGAAGGCTATGACCCTCTTCTTATACCTGGCGATATTAGCAAGGCAGAAATGCATAGAGTAATTTTGTATTTATATATTACAAAATGAGTCTTAAAACTTAATATTTACTTAAAGGGAGCATCTAAAATAGGTAGAGAAGCTTAAGTTAACGAAATTGGAATAGTAGAAAATTTATAGATATGCTAATGCTGTGGTTAGTTTGTTTAAAAAGAGCATTTGAGTATTAAGCATGATATATTATAGCTATCTTTTTTAGGATCTGGTTATCCTATGTACTTTGAATTTCTAAAGTTTTGTATTATTTTATAAACTATTCTATTCTTTTTAAATGGGTTGTATGGATTACTTACTAATGGAGCTTTTGGTACAGCATGTTTATCTTAAGAAGAAATAAATAATCTCTCTCATGATATTGTAATTTACTTTAAAATAATTATATTTATCAATTTTTTTTTTTGTTAAGTTGCAAACAAATAAATAAATACAATCAAACCCTTCAAAGTTATTTAAAAACTTAGAATTATAGTTAACTTCTATAAACTTTCGAAACTATTTATATTCAATTACTCAAATAAAATCAGGCTGGTATCCTTCTTATTTTATTAGAAAATAAACCAGTAGCAATCATAAAAAAATGAATATGAAATGAAAGAAATCAAAAAATTATTTTAAAACAGATTTTATTATTAATATTTAAGAACAAATTTTCACAAGCCTTTTTTATAAACAGTAAAACGATTAATGTTACTGGAATTGGATTACCGTTGTCAGCTTAGGAAATAAGTCAGAGTAGAAAGTTCTACTTTAAATATAATCTTATTTAAATTTGATAAGTATCTTTATTATCATTTTGCTATTTTAGAAATTTAGACTTAAGTAGCGCAATATTGATATTGATTGCGATGAAAATGATGTTTAAGCTAATGACTACACTATATTGTGCTCAAACATTCCAAAAAAAATAGAATATAATGGAGACCCTGAAAAATTTGATTATCCAGAAATTTTGAAGGAATATTTCTAAACTCATCTATTACCTGGTAAAGAAATTGAGATATTTTAAGTAGGACTTTGCTTTGATTGTGATGAAATCATCTCATATAAGTTAAAGCTTGATAGTTTAAATATAGAGAAATAAATACTTATCTTGTAAGGAAAGGATGTCTCTGATTTGAATAATAAAATTCTTGATTTATAATAAAAGAAAAAAGCTATGGAATCTATGTATTGTGAGAGATTATCTCAAGAATTTATTGAAAAAAATTTTACTGGCTATGCTTATATAATTTTTCAAAGAGAATAAGGTATATTGTAGTCTTATTTAATAATTTAAATTTATTTTATAAAATTAAAAATTAATTAATTTATTATTGAATTATAAGAAACCTTGTTAAATTAAATTTTCTATTTAATATATAATTAGACAAAGAAGAGGTTATTCAGCATTACCATTAAAACTCTTATATAGATTAAATCATACTGTAGTAAAAAAACAATACTTTTAAGTATTATGGATAAGAAATAAGCATTTAGTAGGCTCCAGATCCAAATAATATTCACTGGAAAAGTTTAAAATATTCTAGAGTTTAAAAGTTAACCCGAAGAGTTTTATCTTTCGTATTAACAGCAATATTGTTAGGTACATCTCTTTCAATAATTATGGGATTAAACTTTGCATAGAATCATGTTGATGATGATAACAAACATTAAGAATACTCAGTAGGAGTTTCTTTGATTTCAATAGCTATATCAATTTGTATTTCAATATTGAACCCAATATTAAGGAAAATAATAGTCTATTTGGCAAAGTAACAATTTTTTTTAATGCAAATCTTAATTAAGTTTATTTATTAATTTTTATAAAAGAAATTAAGGACTTTCAACAAGAACCTAAGTATTTATATCTATTGCTATCAGGACAGCATTAGCTTAATTTTTAATGTCAAGTATTCTATTAATATTAACACAGGTATTAATAGTTAAAAGTGGGAATATTTATGGAAAGATATTTAGTAGAGGTAAATATTCAATATTAAATTAAGAAAACATGAGTAAATACAATCAAAAACAAATAATGTTTGATTAATTAATTAGGTGGTCTCGCTTTAAACATAAATACAGTATTTTTGACATAAATGGTGATTTCGAATGGTATGAAGTTAATTCATATAGACTATTTAAAAAATTATCTAGCAATTAAGTTAATTAAAAAGTATTCTCATAAACTAAATCTTATTTCTTAGTAGTAATTGAATAGGTATTTATTTATTTTATATATATTTTTTTAATTTTTATGATATTTTTATTGATTAAATAGTTATTTATTAATTTAAAAGCCTTTTTGAATATCCAGAATTTGAAATAGAGATAGAATATGCAAGAAACTTAGAAACAGTTTATTCTGTTTTATTTTATGCGCCTGTTTTTCCTTTGGTTTTAATTTGGGGGATCATGACAATTTTTTTAAGATATTGGATTGATAAAGTAAGAAAATTCATTTTAATAAATATACAAAAAAATTTGTTTTTATCTATTTAATTGTAAAATTAAAATAGTATAATTTGATGCATAAATCCACTGTCAAGTTTTATCCAAGTTTATAATTGTGTTTATAAATTACTGAGTCTTTAGAGTATTGCTTACCTTTATATAGTTTGTCTAATATGATGGCCTTTATTTATATAAGTGGTGGCTCTGTTGACTAAATATCAGTTTTTGGTTTTATCATAGGTTTGGTGCATGCATTTCTACCTATGCAAACTTTAAATGAAAGACTATTCAAAACAAGAGAAAGAGTTCCTAACGAATGCACTTATGAAGAAGTTCGTGACTATTTTAATATTGTAAAGATTTTTACCTAAAAATAAATGTTAATAAGACTTTATCATTATTAATAAAGGATTATGACAGAGAAAACCCAGTAAAAAAAGATATATCTATTGAATATCATATATTTCGAGTAAAATCGTAGGTTTCAAATCTTTAGAATACTGTAATTCATTAACTGTTTATTTATTTATTGATTTAATTTTTACTTAAATTTAAGCTTTGATTTTATTTTTGAAAGCAATTAAATTAATTTTTTAATTATAAATTTTTATTAAAATGAATAATAGAAAAAAGATTTTTTCAAAAACACTTACTAAACTACCAAATTTGATAAAAAATCAGACGATTCTCCTAGAACTCCTGCTTTAAATTAAGAAAATCAAGATAGCGAAAGCTTAATGTTTAAAAAGAAACTTTAAGAAAAAAACAAAATTATAATTCCTGGTATAAGAGATTACATAAAAGCAACTTCTCGTGAAAATAGTTTTGCAGCAATGAAAAAAAACTAATAAATTATTTTAGATTTGAAATAAAGTGGAGAACTTTAAAATAGTTGTAAGATAAATTTAGATGATTAATCTAGTAAAAAAAGCCCAGTTCATAAATAAAATTTAACAAATTAAGAAACTGATAATCTTTAAAGTAGTCCTTTAAAGATTAAGCAAGATGCTTAAACAGATTTAATAATGAATAGCTAGCCTCTGAGTGTTTAAAATAATAACTAAATTTAAATAAATTTAGAAATTAATTGTGCATAAGAAGTTGATACTATAAAAAATGATAAAGAGCTCTATAATACATATGAAAATTCTACAAGCACAGCTACATAATTATATAAGTAAAACCACAATTCTACAAATTGTAAAAAGGTGAAAAATCATATGAATTTTTAAAAAAGTAAAAAATAATATAAATATATGAATCAAGTAACTTTAGGATAGTTAAATAATGATGATTTTGGATTTAGCTCTCCTTCATAAGATTAGTCACCTCCTTAAATTTATAATTAGTCCGAAACTGACTATCTCAACGTTATTGAATTAAATAAAGGTTAATTAATTAATAAAATTAATATTTAATTAAATTTTTTAATTTTTGTTTCTTTGTACTTTTTAAATCTCCTCCTTATTATATTTTCTATCCAGTTAAAAAGATTAAAAATTTTTTTTTTCGTTTTTATTCAAATAGATGATACTCCTTTAAATAGAAATGGTGAAGAGAGCTAAGCAAAATTGAATAAAAATGGATCTGAATTTTCTAAAGAATAAAAAGATGAATTATTTACAGAAAAGTTAATTTAAAATTCAATTAATGGAGTTATAAATTTAAATGAAGATGAAGAAATAAGTACAAACGGTGTTAATAGCATAAAATGAGCTAAATGAAATAAAAAGCTTTGATCGATTTTAGAAATTGCTATTTATTATTAAACAAAATAAGAGTTTAGTTATTTATGGAAAAGAAAATAATAAAATTGAATTTATATGTTTTATTTGATTTTCTTTACTGTTCTAATTTATTTATTTATTTATTTATTTTTTTGCCTTTTCATTAAATAATTAAGAATATGGCAATTATTTATTTATTTATGTTTATGGTTTAAATAGAGCTTTATTAAAGAAAAAAAAACAAACAAACAAACAAACTACTTCTACCTTTTGAAAATGTTATTGGTTGAATTGTGATTAAAAAGTTACTTAAATTTATTTAATTTTTTTAATTCAATTATTATCATCAAACAAAAATTTTAATTCTACTTAAGAAATATCACTAAAAAGATTAGGTAAATGAGAGAGGATACTAAATACAGTTAGGAAGAAAAAAAAGATCAAGAGAGTTGTGCAACTAAAAATGATTAGCCTGAAATAATTAAGACTTATACATCGGTTGAATAAGTCATTTTAAGCAAAATTCGAGCTTAAGTGAAGGAATAGAAGGCTACACCTGGCACAAAAAATAAAGTAAATCTGTAATTAGCTCTACTGCACCAAGTAAATTATTTTGATTAACCTTCACATTTACTATTTTTTTGTTTATCAAAATAAATTATAACTTAGTAAGCTACAGGTGTTGGGAAAGACAAGTTGCCTGAAGAATTAGCACCTGGTGAATAGATTACTTTTTGCGGATGCTGCGCAAGATAAATTTAAAAAACTAATCTTCCTTTAAATGTAGATACTATAGAATTAGCTTTTCTAGGATCAGCTTATGTAGCATACTTAGAATACATAAAATTTGCAGCTAGACTTATTTTGACTTTCTTTTTGACTTCAGGCTTCTTTAATTTACTAACAAATTCAGCATTCGGAGTTGATTGCCAAAGCCCTGCTTAGCTAAGTAAATCTAATTAGGTAAAAAATTAAAATTTTTAAAAAATTATACAATCTACTTTTTTATAAAATATTAAAAGCAAATTATTTTTTATTATAAAAAAATGTAAATTATTTTTAAAAATAAAATAATAATTTGTGGATTATAAAAAATGAAAAAAAATCATAAAAAAGCATTAAAATGGTTAATTAACCTAAATTTTTTCTTTTATTTATTAGTAAAATATGGAGTGTGTAAAAAATTGGGTTACAGAATTCAGCCTTGGAAATAAAAGATCAGAAAAAGCATTGATGACTTCCTAGTCTTTCTTTAATCTGTTTAGTATTATAATATGCATCATTCAATTTCAAAAGTTTAGATATTAAATCCGATTAACTGAAGAGGAATGCGATGAAAGGGAAATAAACGCTGCAGACTATTCCATTTTAGTCTCTGACATTCCTGATGAATTTACATATGAAGGAGATATAGAAAACTTAAATTATGAATAGCTATTAAAAGAGTATTTTAGTAAAAATTTAGCTGTATAATAGAAATAAAATAAAAAGGCTAATCAAAGAGACAATAATTCAAATAAGGATTCGAACTCGAATAACTCAAATATAGCAGATGTTTTAAAGGAATAGCCAAAAGAAACAGAGATAGTATCTGTAGGACTATGTTTTGATTTGAAGAAATTTAAAGAAATAGAAAACAATTTAAATTAATTAAACCAAAAATTATCTAGATGTAAAGATGAAAAGTAGAAAGCTAAACTACATCATATCATAGCAGAAGTAGCAAAATAAAGAGATAATTTTTCAAAGGACTATACAACTGTAGGAGAAAACAGATACAAAATAAACAATTTTACTGGCTATGCTTATGTAATATTGCAATATGAAGATGGTACTTATTTTATTTATTTCAGCTATCTATTACTTATTTCTAAAATATTTACATCAAAATAAAAATTTTTCCATAAAAAACTATAATAATCAGCTTTAAAGTGCAAAATCTTTAATAATAATAATAATTTCTGATTCTCACTTAATTAATTTTCATAAAAATATTTGACAATAAGATACAAACAAAACCCGAGCTTTTTCAATATTGAATTTTTAAACAATTTAATTTTCTCAAAATTTTGTTTTGTGACTCCTAACTTATTTATAAAAACTATTTTATAAAAGATTAAGAAAGAATAACTGAATTCTACGAGGATGTGGAGTATTTTGCTTCTCTAATAACTGGAAAAAAATCATAAAAATTATAGTTTTAAGATAAATTTCTTACGATTGAACCTGCTCCAGATCCAAATAATATTTTCTGGTTAAATTTAAGACACACACAAGGAGAACTATTAGTTAGAAGAAGTGCTCTCTTTTTTATAACACTTTTGCTTCTTGGGGGTTGTTTAGGCCTTCTTTTCTCATTTTAATTGATCCAAATGAAAGTAGGTGCTGAAGCAAATAAAGATAGTGTAATAGTAACTATATTATCTTTTTCAATCTCTGTATCTATCATCATATTGAACTTAAGTGTATAAATTGGAATTCAGTTTATTGCAGAGTAAAATAATATTATTTAAATCTTTTTAATTATTTTTTTTTTAAACTCTAAAATTTATTATAATATATTAAGAATAAATTTTCATATCAAAAAATTAATTAAAAATATTAAATAAATAAATAATCAAAATTATTTTCTAAATAACAGGAAAGAGGCAAGACCTACCAAAATAGGATATTATGATTCAATAGTAATAAAGCAGGCGTTTGGCCACTTTTTAAATACTAGTGTGCTCCTATTTATCATTTAGGTGTTTATTTATTAAGATGGTGATGGCTATGGAAAATTGTTTAAAGCAGGTAGAAATTTGAATTAATTTTTAATAAATTTAACTTATTTTTTTTCAATAATATTTTTTTAATAATTAATCAAGGAGGATTAGCATATAATATGAATAGCATTTTCATGACTAATATGATTGTTTAAAACTTAGTATAAGGAATCAACATACCATTTTATGTTTCTAAAAGTATTAGAAAAGGTTTTATGAAAGTCGGAAATACCGAACATTTATAAAAGTTAGTAGGTAATCAGGAATAACTTAACTAGTAATATTTTATTTATTTTAGATAAGAAATTTTTTTTAAATTCTTATTTTTAATTAATAAATTTAGGTATTTTGAAAATCCAATATTCAATTTATATAATAACTATTCAATAGTTATATCTTCAGTTTTTTCTTCTTTATTCTATGCTCCAGTGATACCATTCGCTTTGGTTTGGACTTTCTTTTAGCTAGTTTTGAAATATTGGGTTGATAAAGTAATTGTTAATTCTTTTATAATTAACATTTTTAAAATAGCTTCATTAATCTTAATTTATTTACATTAAAAATAGCATTGTATAATAAAATAATCTACTTTAAATGTTGGTCCCAACATTAATTTATGTAAAGAGATGATTGAAAATTTAGAATATGCATTACCCTTGTATTGCCTATCAAATTTAATTTTCTTTGTTTACATTTCCAAGTCTAACGAATATGATTCACTATCGATATTTGGTATTTTTATTGGAGTAATCCATGCAATACTACCAATGGAATTACTTAATGAGAGAATTTATCCAATTGAATCCTCTTGTAGTAATACTAAAAGTTATGAAGAAATGCGTTTAACATTTATCACAGTAAAATTATTTATTAACTTTTTTATTTTAAAATTTCAATAGAGAGCAAAAAAAATATTTTGTTAAGCAGATTAATTTTTTAATTACAAACGTTTTTTAACTTATTAAATTATTCATTACATTTTTTTTCATTTTACAATAAAACAATATTTAAACTAAAGGATTATGACAGAGAGAATCCAATTAAAAAATTAGCTGCAATTAAGAAACACTACAAAGATTTAAAGCAAAAAGCAAAAAGAGAAAAAAAACTAGTAAATTCATACATTTTATAGTTTTTTAATTATTTACTAATCAATAATGATAAATTAACAAAAGGATGTTAATTGTTCTGAATTTCAAGATTCGATTGATTTCTCTCAAACTTCTTCATCTCCAATTATTAAAAATATATAAGCTCTTAAGAAAGAGCATGTTGCCAGGCCATCTATTTTTGGAGCCAGATATAATCAAGGCGAAATTTAAGTTAGTCAAGCTGAAAAAAATTACTTATAAAATTTAGACTAAGATGAAAATCAAAAAAGTTTATTGGAAGGAAAAGATGAATTTTAATCATAAAATGGCTTGTATTTATTTTTAAATAATTTTAATTTTTCTTGATTTGCTAACTTTTTTTTATATTTTTAGTGGTCAGGATTAGGATCAAATCTAGTGCTAACAAAATTAAAATAATTTGTTTTCTAATTATTGCAAAAATATGAATATAGCTTAAGATGAAGAAAATCCAAATTAGCTGAGGAATGGAGCTACTTTAGAAAATGATACTTAATAAAATTATGAAAAGTAAATAAAAAAACAAACTTCACTCTTGTCAGCTGAGGGACAGTAATAATATTAGTATATCTAAGAGGAATTAAGAAATAAAAATAACAGTGGCTCATCATCCAGATAACTAAGCCGATAAAGTACCACTCAAGTTGTGAATGAATAGAAAAAATTAAAATAGGATGATTATTTACAAGAATCTTAAAATATAGATCTTTAAAAGATTTAGATCGACTTTGAAAATCTAAACTAGAAACTTAGGTCAAAATAAAACACAGAAAGCACTAACACAGAGCATTTAACAAATGGATATAATGAAATAAACAAACTTGATGAGAATTTTAAATTAGATGAATCTCCTTAAAATTAAAATAATTCGAAATACTTAGAGATGATTTCTTCATCAAAAACAAGTGATTTATTGCAGCATTTTATTTAAAACTCATAAAAAATTAGTTAATTAAATGAAATTTACAACACAAGTGACAATCTAAGCAAAAATTTTGATGAAGTTAAAACTTAGTAGCAAGAATCTGAAATGAAATCAAGTAGTAAAAAAGGACTAAAATCTCGTGAAAAAGCTTTAAGCTAATAAAAGAAAAATAGCAAAATGCAAGACTAATACATTAAAAGAAAAAGGGATGAAGAAAATAAACAATCATTACACTTATCTGAACTTTTCTTTGCAGAGGATATTTAATTTAATAGATCAGTAACACCGTTTTCACCTTCTGATATCAACTTCAATAATTCAAGTAAGTCCTATAAACTAAAATAAGAGTTATTTGCTTCAAATAAGCAGTAATAGCAGATCGAGACATTCAATTTTAATAGTGATACTGAGGTAAATGGAGAATCTATTATCTATAATTAAAGCATCTAGAATATGAACTAGTAGACAGCCCGAAAAAGCTAATATCAACATAGTTGATGTTAACACATATGGATTGATTGATTAATTCATTTTAGAAAGATATATATTTTTTAAGTTTTCTTATAAAATTAAAATAATATTTATCAATACGATTTGATATTAAATTATATATAAATATATTTATTTATTTACTTACTCATTTATTTATTTAATTATATTATTTTTAATGAATCATGTTTGTTTTATTTAAAATGCTCTGTTTGTATTCAACCAAAGACTTAAATATCATTACTATAAATTTTCTATCTATTATTGATTAAAATTTAGTTTTTTTTAAGTTTAATATATTCTATTTTTGTTTAAATCAATTTTCTTCATTGGTTTCCTATATTTTTGGTAGTGCAAGCTATATGTTTTTATTTTCAACAGGTTTTTCTAAACGAGCTATTATATCATCTCCATCTATTGATTAACTATTACCATCATAATAATATGGGTTATCTGGAATACCTTGCTTTGCTTTTTTAAGCTATTAATTTTTTTCTCTTGTACGAACACGCTTTTCCATCCTATTTAAAACTACTTATTCAAGCACACATTTGTTTCTTCTTAAATTATTTTCATCAAACCCATACTTTTCTTTAAAATGCTATTTATCTTCAATTAATTAATCCGCAAAATCTAGTGTACTTTAAGCAAACGGAGCATTTTTTTCATATTAAGGCACAACTGCAACGTCTGATCCAGTAAATTTCTTATTATCTTAAATGAAATTGCAAATTATATTAGAAAGCTTTTCTATATTCTTATTTGTTTTCACTATATGGAATTTTGTTTTATGACGACGAGTTTTCTTTTTAGGAGGTTGCTTAGAAATCTAATTGATTTCAGAAATATATTATTTAGTATGTAAATCGCTGTGCAAATCTTGCATAAATAGCTTTCTTCTTGCTATATCTTAAGCATAGTTATCTCTTTCTAAATTTATGAATGGAGTAGTTGGAGGAATATTTGTTTTTTTATTCTCTTGAGCCTAAGGAAGTTATGTTTAAGATTGAGTTTATGGTCCATTAGTAATCAGACCATGATTAACTCTAGATAATACTTTTTAAGATCCAACTTTACGTATTTCTGAGACAGTCCTTTAGGACTATTATTAAGAAGGATGAAATGCAGTCCCTGATGCAGATCGAATCATTCCATTAGTTTAATTTACTTACTATTAAGTTGTTTAATTTTAATTGTTTGTAATAGGATTTTATTAAAAATATCCATTTTATTAATTGATTTAAGGAAGATAATAGGAGCCAGTAGGTTAGCAATTAGGTAAAGAAAAAATAATTTCTGCCTTTTTAGCTACCAAAGGAATTGTTTTTTTTGAATCTTATTTTTTCATTCACTAATTTAAAATAGCTTTTTGCTGTTTTTATTTTTAGATTTTAAAACGCTGTTATTATAGTTAAGATTAAGTAAATAATAATAATATCTCAAATGTGTTTTTTAGGTGTAGTTATATTTTAATAATATCAAACAAAAATTATATTATCACAAAGCAAAGCAAAACTAAGCAAACAAACAAAAACATAATTACATCTTTTTTATTTATATTTTAAATAATTAATAGAATTTTTTTGTTTAATTTTAAAAGTAAAAAAATAAAATTATCTTGTAAAGCATGGATAAAATGGTTTTTTTTATATAGATATTATTATTAATAAACAAGTTTTAAAATTAAATGCACATACTAATATTAAATAATTTTATCTTGACTTTTTATTATTTTAAATAATATAAAACCTAGTTGCATTTTTTGATAGATTATGATTAATAATGATCTCTTGCTTACAATCAATCAATCATTAATTTAGTATTTCATTTTAATTTAAATCTTTATTATTTAAAAATGATTTTTTATTTTATTTCAATAGTGACTGATTTATTTTTTGTAATGTGTGTTTTATAAATATTCTGAATTAAAAGGAAAATTTCCAGTAATATTTAAAGCGTGAATAAGATGTTAACAATGACTAATAGAATTAAAATTATTTTTCCAACTAAAATGTAATCCTCAAGTCCCTATTTATCTATTTAAGCATTATATTAAATTTTTTTTAATTATAATATAATCAATATGTGGAGATACCAAACAGAGCTAAAGATCATATCGCCTAAGAATTTAATGTATCTACTCATAATATTAGTATATGGTTTTTAAAAAAAAATTGATATAGATGAAAGAAACATCAACGTTCCATTTAATGCACAGACTAAAATAGGATAATTATATAAAAATAAAATTATAGCCAAGTAAAAATATTTCTTTATCATTTGAATTATGAAATAGCTTCTTTATAGCAATGAATTCTTATTTTGGATTCTTTCAAAAAATAATTTAGAGTATTCGCTACTTTTTTTAGAATTATTAATGACATTTTTAAGATTAAAGTGAAATAATTTTAACTAAAAAATAATTTAAAAAATTGCAATATAGAATACAATTCTATAAAAATAATTGTTTTACTCAATTTAAAAGAATTAAATAAATACTGAAATCATTATTATTAAAAGGTTTACTTCATTATCACAATTAATCCTCTAAATTAAGAATATCTTTATTTTAGTCATTTAGCTTTACTTTTTTTAATCTCTTGAAAATAATAACCATACTTATGCTATCCCTAAAAGTATTAAAAAAGCTGATTATTTTAAAATTACAATTGGGATATTCACAATCAAGCTTAGCACAAACCCAAATTTGTAGAAGTTTCCATAGCTAGGTTACTGTGAATCTTATACATCAAGCAAATTATTAAAAAAGTAAAATTGTTATTTATAAATTGTTGACTGGTAGTCTGGTACAAAAGGAAATATAAACATTCCTATAATCTAATAAAATTTATATAGATCTGGTGGAACAACTGTATTAAGTAATAAAAAACCAGCTATTGGCTGCAACGTGTTAAGCAGATAGAACACAATCTGAATCTGATTAATAAATTGGAATAAACTACTATTATCATCTTTAAAGCTATTTATCTAGTTATTTAAATAGTCAATTGACTAATTTTCTAAATTTTTTGATTACAATATTAAAGGGCCAATCTAAAATCCTAACATTTAATTAATGTAGGAATATTTCAAAATACTTTTTTGATCACTGCTTAAAAAGTATTAATTATCCTTAATGTAAATATATGCCTATTAGGCATAAAAATCTTTATTTACATTTAAACTTACTTTCAATATATTTTTGCTTATTTTTGGAGAAGAAAGACTATAATATTATTTATCTATATTTGGAATATATAGCTGAAGTATATTGTTTAGAGGAGATGTAGAAAAATCAATATCTTTCATGTCTTTTGTAAAAATAATCTAGATAATATATGTATTTTAAATTAATTAAACTTTTATAGATAAATCTAGCCCATCTAAACATTAAATTTTGTTATCTTTTGATAGAAAAGACTGCAAATTAGAAGGACACTAACAATATTAACCATTCTATTTTAGTCCACTTATACATTGTAAACATTCTTTTTATGTGCATTACATACAAAATTGTTAGCAATTTTTACAACTTTAAGTTAAGGAATTGTAATAGGTATTTAAAGGACAGTGTTAGCAACTTCCATCTGGACCTTCAACATATCCTTAAATACACTAGCATTGTGGCGGATTTATTCTATTAGCTTAGCATTACTAGCAATTACTTGGGTCTATAGTGCATGTCAGGTATTATTTTTCGCAGGTTAATAAAACGCATTAAGATTTAACCTCTTTATATGTTGTATTACACTCACATGAAGGCAGTACCCTACTTGGTGATGAGCATGTTAAACACTAAAATTAAGAATTTATACAAGATTTGCATTTATCAGAGCATTTTTTACATTAAAAATTTGAGTCTAAGTATTATCCTTCATGTAGACAATTACATGAAGGCGGGCCTTGATCTGGAAAATAACAGTCAGTGCAGTTATTCATATCATCTATACATTCTTTGCATATAGCACTACACTTTTAACATTTTTTAAGAGATTGATTTAAAAAATAGCTTGAAAGACACTTCAAACAGTTTTTAGTTGGATCAGCATTCTAATCTTTACATATTTTGCAAATAAATATGCCGTTTACATATTCTCCTACTGCACAAAGAATATTATCTTAAGAAGAAACTATAACTTAATCACATGTTTGATTCTTTAAATTAATTACAAAAATTTAATTAGTGTTTACTGATAGTTATAAACACTACTTCTGTGTAATAATAGCATTCTTATAGTAGAGGTATCCATTTTTAAGTCTTATACATTTCATATTTTAAACATTAATGTAAATGTAACAAGGATTTAATTGAGTGTAGTCATAATAAATAAATCCATAGGCATCATAAATACTAAAGTTATCGATATATAATAAAGTATACTAGCCTGGAATAGATATTTAAATATTTTAAAGTCCTTCAGTTTAAAGTAATCCTTAAAAAAAGAGTGATTCTTTAACTTGATTACAAACAATATCTACCTAAAAGTACTCTAAAAATTTAATATCTTGCATAGTTCTGTAATTTTAGGGATGAATCAGTACAAAATTAGACTGATTCAAATATAAAACAGCGTTTTAAGTAGATTTGCAACCCTCTATTAGGCATACAATTATTCTAAATATATTTAAAGCTAAATAAAACTCAAAATAAAAAACTATACTTATATTACTAAAGTAAATCATCTAGTAAAATAAAATCAGTTGTTCTTAAATTTATCCTTGAAATTCTATGTTAAATGATGTTGTTAATATCTAAAAGGTGTTCCCAGCAAGAAAATTTACATTTCCATAAGTAGTTTAGGACAAACCAAATCCTTACACAACATTATAGAATTGTAATGGGCTTACAAAAATTAAATCAGTAGAGGACAATATCCCATCATTATTTTTGATTTCATTTTAAAAATTGGATTAATTTGAATCAAAAGCATATTTAGCAAGTAGCTAAACATCCTTAGCCATAAATCTAAAGAGATAATCTATTCCTTCTGTTGTGGGATAATTAATATTTTTAATAAAAGTAAAAGGAAATTGATACAGTGAAAAGCAATTTAAGGTTGTGTCGAGCTAAACATCACATCTACCTATGCAAATTTATATTTAATTATCATAACTTACTTAGTAATTTCTATATTCTTCATACTCGTTCACCCTGTTTGAATTTACCATAAAGATATGGTTTATATTATCACTCCAATAAGCGAGCCAAACTGTGTCAAAAGGAAAAAATTAGAATTATTTTTGTATTGAGTTATCGAGAGTAAAAAGTATACTGAAAAAAACATCTCCATTTGCTGGATTTGTGTCAGTTTTTAAGAATATATTTAATATATCTTTATTATTTTTGAAAACCCTAGCTATTTAAATCTAATTAAAACCAGAATTATATGCTAAAATACTTATTCCAAAGGAAAAGAAAATAGATTTATCAGAAGGATTCATATTTAATTAAAATTATGTAAATATAAACTTATTTGGATCTGTTTCAACTCCTGATGCTCCGCACCCCTGTCCAATATTTGGTTTAGAAATAGTGTACCTTAGATTATTTGTGCTAGGTATTATTAATAGAGGCTAAATACAATTTTTTCCATCGTCAAAATAGTTGGAATTAATACATTTTCTATTTTAATCTCTATCAGAGCTACAATCAGACAAACTATTACAGTATAAACAATAAGAAGGACACTTTTAACATTGATTTCCATCAAAGTAAAATCCTCTTAAGCATACACAATTGTTAGAGGAGTTAATATCATTTACCATATCCTAAGGACACTAAATTCTTTAAGGGGAATCTTTAACCCCTATAATATCATAATCAGTATAAGGACTTTACTTTTATACACACTTCATTTTGTTTTAAAAATCTAATAGATATCCCTGCTAACAAATAATGCAAATCCCATCAAATGTTTGCAAAAAGCAATCTAAAGTAGAATAAAGAGCAGAGCCCAAAAAGATTCGGATATGACTAAGCTGAAAAGATACATTTAAGGATAAAAATTATAACATAAAATAGCATGGAATGGTAATAGAACTTTGAGTTAAATAAGCTCCACTCCCTTATACTATGAGAGATATTTAAGCTTTCCCGTATTAATTAAAAATAATAACTATTTGATTCCATTATGTAACACTAGAGACTGGCAAAAAATCAGAATCTAACATGAAGCTGTTATCTTTGAAGGAGACATATTTTATTGAACCATAATTATAGATCTATAGCATAGATTAAGGAATGGTCTAAAGACTTGATATCTTTACATAAAAGGAAACAATATATTCGTTTTACCCTTATAAAATTATATTTGCAGTGTAGAAAGATTATCCAGATTACAAAACATTATATTCTTAATTATTATTTATATTAAGAAAGATTTTTTATTGTAATTTGTTATAGTCACCAACCAAAAATTTATCATTCTTTAGAGTGTAATAATAGTCGTAATGTTAAAAGAGAGAAGATTTTGTATGATATATATAATCTTCTATTCTACTTAATGATGAAATATTTAATTAACTATTAATATACAAATAGAGTTTCTTAGTTTAAGAGCAAGATGGATTCAAAGTTAAAATTTTAGGAGGATTTCCTCCGTTAAATGTTAATTCGTTTAGTAAAATAGGAAGTTGTACGTAAGATATACTTTAGTTAAATGAAAACCTACCAGAAGGAGTTGCAACCATTACTGTACAAATAAGATTACTTGTATCAAAATCTAAAACAATATTAATCCAAGTGTTATGACTGACTAAAGGATTATTTTTAAAAGATTTCAATCCTTAAACATTTAAATAGATAATATTTGAATTATCATATGATAATGACACTATTAAATTGCCATTTCGATGCACAGAAAATAAACTATATTCCTAATTATATTATCCTTAAAATAAAAACCATCCAGACACTGTAAATTTTGATAAAGAAGGCATATCTGAGAAAAGCTTAGAAAAGAGAAAAATTTGAGCTTTGTTATCAGGTAAAACATTGCATGGTTAAATCAAGAGTTGATCATATACGACAGCCATAATTACATTCTTATATGGATTTAGTTAGGCATTTATATAAATAAAAACAAATTAAAATATCAAATTTAGTTTAAGATTTCTCATTCTTAATTAAGATTTTTAATTTTAGTATTTCTAATGAATTAATATATTAAATAATTAACTCAATAAAGAATGTATGATTATTTATTTAAATGGCTTCTCACATTAAACAAGATTCGGACTTGATTCGTAAATCATTTGTTAGCTTTTATGATTATTAAGGATAAATATGTTTTCCTAATTTATCCTGTTCTTCTTTCAAATATAAATTTATAATATTTTATGTAGATAATATCATCAAATTAAATGAAAACTTAAAGTTATTAATGAAAAAATGTTTATTAATTTCCTTTTCCAACATAAATTAGAATAGAATTATTTTTTCTTATATATTTATATTTTACTTGAAAAAACATTGACAAAATTCACTTCAAGTATTTTAGGATATAAAAGAATTAATTGAGAAAAAAAAGTAAGTAAGTTTGTAAATTACAATGAGAATTCTGACAATTATTAATATTAATTAAAGTAAGTTTTTGTTATTAAAAATATTAATAATTTAAAGTTTACATTAAAATATGTAATTTAAACTTAGTAATAAAAATAAATAAATAAAATTGTAAAATTTCAAAAATATTTTTAAATCTCCAACAAATAAATGTAAAAATAATATTTATTATTACTTAACAAAAATAACACCAATAAATATTAATTACACTATTACTTCATCATAAATAACCGATTTTGCTACAGCTGTTATTAATAATGTAGGATAAATAAATATTTATGCATCGAATGTTGTTGATTTATAAGACTTATCTAAATATTATTTTGATTTAATTATTTGTAATATAATAATCCTTAGTTTCTTAATATATTAAATAAAAAATATATTATAATTATATTTTTTTTGATTTGACAAGGAATTTTTATAAATTTTATTTATTTTAAAATATAATTTTTCTAAAATATTTTAATTATATAAATATAGCTTTAATTATATTAAAGGATAGAATATATATTTTATTTAAACTTTAACCATAATATAAATAGACTTTTTAGCAAAACTCAATAAAAATCTAATATTAAATTGCCAAATAAAATTACTCTTTTAAATGATTCAAAAATATTTATATCAAATTCATTTTTTTTTGAATTAATAAACATTTTAAAACTAATTTATAATTATAATTTAAAAATTAATATTTTCTTTACATAATGATAAGTTTTCAAGGACAGCTATAAGACTCACTTAAAACTTATAAAATAAAAAAAATGGTTATTTAATTTAATAGTAATATTTTGAATATGAATGTTAAATTAATTCAAAATAAAAATAATTTTTTAATATTTTTAAATTCAAAAAAGTTTTAATTTTAGTTTTTTATTTATTTTGTAATAAAATTTTAAATCATCAAAATTAAGTAAAGTTTAATAAACATCAATGATAGTTAATATATTTTATCATATAAAAGAAAGTTATCAAATTTTCTTAATAATTTCTTAAAGGTAATAATTAATAATCAGGAATAATATTTATTGCGATGAAAGTTATATTAAATAATGACTCAGTTAACTTAAAAGAAAAATAAATTTTCAGAAAATAAATAAGAGTGGAGAAAGAAATTTATTAAAAAAACAAATATATTAAAAGAATTCTTTGAATTAATAAACTATTAAATTATGATGTTATTAATATCTCTAAGTTTTATTTTAGATAAATGCATATTTACAAAAAAGTAGGAATTATAAAGTCTATTTAAACTATAAAAAACATTTATAAACTCTTTAATTTATATTATATCAATATAGCTTTTTTCTTTACTAGTTTAGATTTTATAAAATTCATGTTGCTGTTAATTCACTGAAAAATAATAAAATATTGTAAGAATAAATTCTATGATTTTATTTTAGTTTTTTCTTCTTTAAAATTGGTTAGTTAAATAATCACAGACAGTCTGACTTTTAACTAAAATACTTCAATATATTTACTAAATGTAAAGGGATTTATTGAAGTATTTAATTGTGAAAAAATTTATCTAAATTATTCAAATTTAAATGGTGAACATTTTAAATACAAGGTATTATTTTATCAATATCCATCTTTAAATAACATGTTTCTTCATTAGATTTAATTAGATCATTTTTATCAGGAAAGATATCAATCTTTCTGATAAAAATCAAATCAAGCCACTGATGAACTAAAAATGTATAAATTTATAATTTCAAATTAAAAAATGTTGAAAGGCTGAGGTCAATTCAACTATTTACTTTTAAAGTTTATTCACTTTTTTATTCCGCAAAATTATATTTATATAAATAAATTTAAATATGGAATTTTATTTTTAAATTGCATGAATTTTACACAAAAATCCTTCTTTCGCTTTCTATTTTCTTATTGGTTTTTATTCAATTTAATTTAAAATGTGAGTAATAATTATCTTTTTTCAATAAAAATAAAACAATTAGGGATTAATTTCTTTTTCAATTTAAAAAAAAATCAAATTAGCAAAGCACATCTATATATCTTAATTACCTTTCATATTATAAATTTTTATTAGGAATTTGTATTCAAAAAGGGGTTGTTTATTATTAAAAAAATGAGTCTAATTATTAGAGTATCATGCAAATCAAAATAAACGAATAAACAAATAAATAGTTAGTCTTTGATAGAATAATTAGATGAGCATGTTGAGTGAATGCAAAATTTGTAAATTCTAAAAAAAAGCAAGCAAAAGTAATTCACTTTGAAAAATTGAATGCAAAAGTTGAATAAAAAAATTGTTTATTAATAAATAAATGAATAATTTGATAGATAAAAAAGAAGAAACTATCAAAAAATCAAATAAGAAAAGAAACAATAAATCAATCAATCAATCAATCAAACAAACAAACAAAAAGAAACAAAGAAAACAAAAATAAACAATAGTTTAAAAACAAAGATAAAGAAAGTAAAAAAAAATCACTCAATAAATCACACCGATCTCATCAGAAGTTCACGCAATCAAGGTAAAAATGGGTTGGGAAAAAAGCTGATATGATGGAAAGCATAAAAATGATTGGACCTTAAAAAATTTAATTTGGTCCAGCGATTTCAAAATGGTAGATATAAACAATTATCCATGTCCATTAGATGATTTATTTGATTTATTAATGCTTAATTAAATTAATTACTTCTAATATTCTTTCTTATTTTTGATTTCCTAAAGAACATTAAATTGCATTTATAAAAAAATCTAAGCCAATGAAATTATTAGGCCTATTCCATCCACATTTGACTTTAACCATCTCCGCATGACCTATTTTTTAAATCTGCGCAAATAATCCTACATTTACCCTCTTTTCCCTTATAACATTTTTAAAAGACAATCAAGATATACCCTTCTTTCTATCATTTTATTTAACTCTTTATTTAAATAATGGTTGATTTATATACATTGTTAAGTAGAGAATCTTTTTTTGCATAAAAACAATACAAAACTCTATTTAATTCAAGGCTAAATATTCATTAAACCCTATTAATTCTACTCAAATTTTACCTCCTATGCCACACTTAAAATTCCTACAAGCATTCTTTTACTAAATATAGGTATCTAACAAATACTGCTTATCTATCTTCTATGTAGTAGTTCGTTCATTTCCCCGTTTAGATGATGATACCCATGCCAATACCGTATGGAATCATTCAAACATGTCCAAACGCTTCTGGCTCGCCTTAACCTCAAGTAAGCGCTTCCCAAAGCTCTTCGCCCTAATAAAAATACTATCCTAACCCTTCTATTTAAATTCCCCAAATTCATTCACAAAGTCCCCCTCCTAAATGTTAAAACAAGAAAATCTCCTCTGCAAGCAAAAAGAAGGACTCAAGCATTGAGATTATTGAGTGCCCAACATCACCTTTTTCTGCTTCAGAAGAATAGCAAGCAACAAACAAAATGGCTAAGAATGGAGGTCGATCAAGAACATCTAAAAAAGCAGACAAGAAGCGTAATGAAAAGATAGATAATTCAAACAAATAAACTCCTGACTTTTACTCTTCAACTTCATTAGGAGTAAAGGTAAAGTCGAATCAAGAGTCAGCATTAAAATTATAAGCAGATAAATCTACTTAGAATCAAGCTGCTTCTACTCCTTGCAAAAGAGTGACTCGTAACTCCTCAGCTGCTGCAAGCAGAAGTCCTGATTAAGAAAAAATAAAGAATCAAATGAACTCTGCTTACTAAAGCCATCATCATTCTTCCTCTACTCAAAATGGTCAGCACAAAAAAGAGAGATAACATAACTCACCCATGCAGAATTTCCATGATGATCATCAACATCCATCAGAAGTAATTATTGAATCAGACAATACAAGCAGTATTGAATTCAAAGATTGCATTTTAGTTGATGATTCCGTGTAAGAAATAGATATGAATAGATAAACAAAGCAAAAATAAATTAATTACAAGTATACTTGTGATTAAAATAAGAGGTAGAATGATTAAACAGAAGACATATATCAGCAGCGAAACTAACACAGTGACTAGTGTTAAAACTAACAAATATAAAAAGAAAAGTAGAATTTTAAACCATAAACCTAAATAAACAATTAAATTCCTTAAAATAGCATGGATTGTACAAACACGCAATCAAATAATTTAAATATCAGTTAAGCAACAAATTTTCTTCCTTCAAATTCAACCCAATATTACCCTTGTTTTTTTTATCTTAACAATTATAATAACGGATTTAACTAGAATGCATATCAATAGTAATTCAGTATTTCACAGTCGCCCCTTCTAAATTAATAGTATACTCAACTTTAAGATAAATAAACTCATGAATATTAGAATTTATCTCCTCAAAATAAGTCTTCTTTACAAGATAAGGCACAATAAAGACATTCAAATGCAGATTAAGATTCCTTACCAACAAGAGGCAAAAATCATTCCTATACCAGTCATGCACATTCTCAGAACATTTCTTCAGTCCACAATCACAATAGTTAATAGGAATCTTCCCTTGTAATTATTGATTAGCCAGAATCTGAAACTAAATAGGAATCTGTTAAAAAAGATTCAAAAATCTCATCAGCAAGAAGGACCAGAGGTAATATAAACTCTTAAGTTTAAGAAATTAATTTAGATGATAAATCTAAGAGAACAAGAAAGTACAATACTTTTTACAATAATGGAGATTTCATTTCAGGTGATTATATGTTTATGGGTAAAAAACTCACAAACAAAAGACAAAATCCTGTTTAATATAATCCTATTTTGAAGAAGAAAAACTAAAGATCTCAAGTCGATATTATATCATCCTCTAAATCCCTATAATCTTCAATGCTTGAAATTGTTTAAAATAATGAAAAATTAGCTAATCAAAAAACAAAAAATCTCTTTTTATAAAGCGTTAAACCATCTGAAATTGCAAGAGCATCAGAAAAGGCTTCTAAAAATGTCTTCACTCTACCACTTTCTAAAAGAAAACCATAAAGAAAGACTTCTGACGAAGTTCATTATGGTTCTGCATTTTTCTTTTAAGACTACAAATAAAAATTTATTGAAGAAAAGTTTGATGAAGATACTATTTTTTTAGTTAACAACAATAACCAAAATGTAGAAGTTAAGGTAAATTTTTACTTTTTTATTGATTAAATTTAAAATATTTTTAATAAAAATAAAATATATTTATTCGAAAAATCTTTTTTTAATCATTTAAATCAGGTGTAAAGAACTCCTTTAGATAAAAGTGTTAGCCTTGCTAACAAAAAGACAAACGGGCAAGTTATAGATCCGTTAGCTAAAGTATCTAATAAATTTGACGATTGCAGTAGAAATAAATACTTCTCATAAATTAACTTCATTAAGGATTACAAAGTAAATTTAAATTTTTTATTTTTATTTTTATAAAATTTTTATTTAAAATATTTTTGAATTAAATAGTCTGGTTATGCACCAATTGAAATATAGAACCAGTAAGAAAAAGAATTAAACGAGATGGAAAAGAATGAACAGCAAAATGAAGAAACTCATAAATAACACTTTATAAGAAGAAAGCAAACTAATAACATTAATTTAAAGAGATCTTGTGGTGTTTCCTATGTGAAAATGCCAGAGTCAAAGTAAGAAAATGTGTCTGATATTTATGAAAGATTGCCTTAACTTGTATTTTAATGTTCGAATGGATAGCCAAAACTCATGGAACATGAATATTTCTACGAAAAGTTATATTAAAAGATATTTACTTCTTCAACTTAGTGGCTGCTTTGCACATAATTTGAATCTGAAGATGAGTGCTTAATGAGAGATTATCTACTCTACCCTGAGAAAAGGTTAATAAACACTTTAAATAAAAATAAATTCTTTAACTTATTTTTTAAATAGATGGGAGCTTTGCAAAGGAAAATACTTTGTTGTTAAAACTGTGAGTGATATTTGGCCATTGTTTATTGAAAAATACTTTTTGTGCATTCACTTTTTCTTTGATTCCAAAGAGTTGATTAAATGCCCTTAGTTAAAAGACTTTTCTTTGGAAGAAGTTTAGAATATTATTAAGTATTCCAATATACAACTCGGTTTACTGTTTAAGAAGAGTATAAATGGCAAAAAGGCTTTCAAAAAGAGCTTAGGAGAAGCATTTTTAGGAGAAATAGAAAACCATCCTAGTTCTAGAGAACCTTAGTAAGCTAAGAAGAAAGGAAGAAAATCCAAACCTGTAGAAAATTAAATTGAAGAAAAAAATGAAGATAAAAAAACTCAAATCGTTGCTGCTGGAGAAAACTAGCTAAATATGAATAAAAATTAAATAAATAAATTCTTCAAAGAAGTTAAAAATAAATTAAAATAGGACAAATTCCTTAATGAACTTCCAATTTTCAAGAAAAAAATCGAAGATATTTAAAAATATTTATTACCATATATGAAGAAATTAACTACTTAAGAAACTGTAATGCCTTCTTAAGAAGTTATCAAAAGTATCAGTGAGTTAGAAACTAATGAGGAAAAAGTTGAGGCAATATTAGAAATGATGGAGTTCATATAAGAGTAAATAAACGATGAAGATTACCAAATAGGATTACCTTAAAAGGAAACTAAGTAAAAAACTTCAGCAAAAAAGGAGAGCTTAAAAAAATCTAACACAAACACTCCTTCCTTAAAAGCATAAAACTCTTAAAACGGAAACGAGATTTTTGCATAGCTTCTATTAAATTAAAACATAAATACAAAAAAGGATCAAAACTCTAAGAATAGTAGTGAAGTTTTAATTGAAGTAGTTAATAGTGATTCTCAGATTTTAAACAACGGAAAAGTAAATTTAAAGTAAAATCCAGAGCAAGAAAATAAAGTAGAAAAAATTTAGTTAGAAGAAGAAGGTGAAAAATGTTCAAATGATGTAGATTAAAGCAAATGTGAGTAAAAAACTGAGGATAACGACATTAAAGAGGAAAAGGAAGAGTTTAATGAAATAGAAGTGAAAGAAGAAAAAATTGAAATTGAAGAAAGTGATTTAAAAGTAAACAACAATGAAACTTTGGGCAGCATAAATACAGATAATTAAGGTTAAGGATAAAATGAAATTTAAATTGAGGAAGAAGTAGCTAATCATGAAAAAATTGAAATAGAAAAAAATATGGACTCAGAGCTCTCTAGCTAATTAGGATCACCTAAAATATAAAATGCTTTAAAAGAAATCGAAAACTTACAGTAAATTTACTAGGAAACTAATTAAAATGCTCAAAACTTTGATAAATTAGACAAATTAAATTAAGAAAGCCAAAAGATATCCTGCAACAGTCCTATTCGTGATTCAACTTCTCAGTCTCTATCAAATAAACTCTTAAATTCACCTAGTTAAACAATTTCAACAATTTCGAAGGATTTAACAATTTCAGACAAGCCATAAAATCTTACTGAATATTCTGCAATTGTGACTGAAGAGAATACTATTCCTATTCACACTTAGTCTAATAATGCAAATGCAAGTGAAACAACAAAGGAAGATTAAAAACTAACAAATGGCCAAACTTTAGAAATGAAAAAAGAATCTCTTATATGCTAAGAAATCCTTAACTATATAGACAAGGATATCTCAAGTAAAAATATCAACACATTATCAGCCAAGTAAATTTTTTCATTTATTATTAATTTTGCTATAATTTTTTATTCTAAACTAGACTTGAACTATATGTTGAAGAAAAAGGATGGAAGGGATCAAGTCAACTTGTAAAAAGTCTTCTAAGCACATTCATTTTATATGCGAAGGATTAATTTGAAAAACTTGCTCTAGAAATGATGAATACCAGATTCGGAATAGTTAGAGATGAAGATGAATAAAAACTCAACGAGACTCTATCAAGGATACGCTTTATCAACAAGAATAGCACAAAAAGAAGATAAACTTATGAAAACTATTAATATTCTACTCGTGCCAAATGGGATTTCCATGAAAACTAGCTTTAGTCACAAAATATTGAAAATAATCTTTTCTCGTAAATATAAATTAATTAATTAATTTTGTTTTAGTTTTTAAAAGTAACTAAAATTAAAAATAATTTTAATATTCAAAACAGCAAAAAGGAAATTAAAATTAATGAAGATAAATTGTTGGCAGATACAGAGCCAGTTACAATAGCTAAACTTATTGATAAGGAAGAGGGTTACTCAGTACTTAAAAGAGGTGACCTATCTATGCCACTTTACTATATATCTACCAGAGACTCCTTTGCATTTGATTTACTTGAAAAAATAACTACTTGTCAATTAAATGGTAAAGTATTCAATAAAATTGAATATTTCTTTGATCCTAACAATTATCCTACAAACTTTAAATCCTTCATCGATTCCTTCCCTGACTATCGTGTAGGAGCCACTTTATATACAGGTTTCTTCACTCATTAAGAATTAATGAGCATTGAAAACTCTTGTTATGAAACAGAAATAAAGAGCTTCTAAAGTAAAATGATTTATTTTTAAATATGAAATATTTTTGATTAAATTATTTTATTTATTTGAAAAATAGGACATTATTTCCCTATGACTGCATAGATGACTTGTACAGCTCAAAAAATAAGAAGAACAAAATTCTTCTTCGGTTCCAGATATATTTGGACAAGATAGTAATTAGCAGAGCCTCACTCATTTGTTGGAGCTGGTGTGCGCTAAGATGTATCATAACCACCTTCATGGATGAGAAGAAAAGTTGTAGGACCTTTAGAATAAGCAGGAATTTTACCTCCAGTAAATATATTTATTTTAAATATTCATAAAAATCAAAAAAAATTACATATAGGGTTTTATAAATTCTCTTGCTCTAAACGTGTATCATGACGGAAAAGAAGGTTTAGCATAGCACTTTGATGATGCTACTAGATTTAGATAAGTAAATTTCACCAAAAATTTTTATTTTTTTGTATTAATATTTTTAAATTTTAATATAAACTAAGCCTATTTTTACTTTTAAACTCTTCTCTGATGCTCGTTTATCTTTTGGTAGTCAGCTTTATGGCTTTTGCAACTCAGCATTTGTAATTCCCATGCCTAGAGGTTCTGTATTAAAATTAGAAGAAAATTCATATGCTGCAAACGGTATTAAGCATTGTGTAAGACCCTGTGACATGGCAGGAAAGAATGCAACTATAATTATGCGTTAAATGCATCATAAAGTTGTGGTAAGATATTATTTTATGATAAGTATAAAAATATAAAAAATTAAATTGTAAATAAAAGAACGAAGCAATTATTTATGATGAAAATGTAGACCTCCCTACATGGATCTCAACTTTGAGTTCAAGAGAAGATGCTGTGCCTTATGGAGATTAAAAAGAAATAGAGGCTGAATACTTAATGAGAAACAGTGGATAAAATTGCTCTTGAAAAAAATTTTTTAATTTTCTTTATATTGACTGATTTATAAATATAAGGTCAATTGCTGGATATCTTTTATTATTTATATAAAAATATATTAAAATATAAATAAACTGATACAGTATGTCAATTAATTTTATCAATTTCATCCTATCTTTATATAACAATAAGTTTCAAATTATATTAATTGTTTTCAATTTAAGTTTATTAAATACTTCCTTTATGCTAAAAATGTATCATTTATTATCAAATTTCTTAAATGATTTTTTTATTTACAAACCAATCAAAAATAAATACACTACACAAACATTCATTTTTAGTTTGACTGATATAAATTAACTCTTAAAGAATTTTAATTTTTCGAACATTTAATTTATTATATTTTTGATGAAATATATTTATATTTGGTTTGGTATAGGTAGAGGTATTTGAATATGTAAAAAAAGTTGTATATTTTTTATTAATTTTCTATATTGCATGCTGATTTAAAAATAAAGTGTTTTCTTGTTCAAAAACACTCAAATCTTGTCTATTCATTTTCCATTTATATTAAGCATTTTGTAATAATTATCAACATTCTATAAATATGAGCATTTTTATATATTATCAAGAGAAAGCACATTAAATATGTAAAAATAAATAAACAATAAAGGCTTTAAGGAAAATAAAGCTTTTTTTGGTATTTTTATAACATAAAAAAATTCAATTATTTACAATTTTTTAGCTTGTATTTATTTAATAGTTTTTTATAAATTAGTTAAATTCAATTTCATTCATAAAATTATTTCCATAGCTGAGATTTTATTGTGAAATCTCTAAGTAAAATGGAAATAGATTATTTGTTTCATTACTTTTGTTTACTATGCAATCATACTTTGGTGGCTAAGATTAATACATTTTAACACCTTTAACTACTTTAGTAACCATATGACTTCTATCACTAGCAAATTTTTCTATTAATGTTGCAGATTCTACAACTCTATACATAGTTTGAAGAGCAGAAGTAGGGTATTTCTTCAAAAGAGATTTAATAAAATACTCTTCAAATTTACAACCCCAACTAAGCTTTGAATCAAAGTCATAAACGTATGATTTATTAGCTTTTAGATCCTTATGGACTAGAATAACATGATAATCCCACATAACCAAATAATCATTTTTAGAATCACCTGTTAGCTATTATTTGATATAAGTTTATCTGAATTAATTTGTTATGAATACAGCAAATACAGCATGATCATTTTTATTTAGTTCCCCTGCTTTTACTCTTTCTTCGAATTTTTCACACAATTTATAAACATTTTCCTCACAATAGCATCTGGTATAAATTTCCTCTTATTTTTAAAAAATAGGAATCTATTAATCTGAATTCTATTATTATTAAACTGTATCCATCTCTTATTTTTATCACTAATCTATATATTTTGAATGAATATTAATTATGTATTTTTTTTTCTTTTTAAGTTTAGTTGATCTAAATTAAATTTTTTTTTCAATTTTATATCTATCTGAATGCTTTTTATTTATTTAAATTTAATGTTTTTTAAAATATTTTAGCTCAAATAAAATATAATTTAATCTATTCTTTATCAAAAAAGTACTACATAAATTTATTTATTTAAATATATTCTAAACTAATTTATTGAATTAAAACTTATGGATATATATAATATATTAGTTTTCTAACACAGATTACTTATTTAAATATTAATATTATTTTATTTATTTATGTAGTTTTCAGCCTTGTTCATTTAAATATAAATGTTTAATTAAAATCAAATTATATTATAGAAATTTAAATTAAATGATAGATATTTTTCATAATTTATTATTTAATTTACTTTAAGTATTTATTTAATAAAAAAATTTAATTTGGGTTATTTTAAATTTAAATTTTTTTGTACATTTAATTTTTTAATTAAAATTTATTTCATTTTTTTATATTTATTTTAATTTATTTTACTTATAAATTAATTAATACTGAAATTTAGTTTATGGAGATGTTGATGAATGTTTAAGAATTAATTTGAATATATGATTTGACATATTACTTACTTTCTGTCAATATTGATTTTTTGATATTATTGGCACAGTTAATTTTATGTCTATATTAGATATTATGAATTAGGATTAAGAATTAATTGAATGATTTCAAAATTATTTGACGGTTCAATACTATAATCGGTTTATTAAGTGCAATTTAATTTTGTATTTGATTTAAAAATGAAAATATATTTAATTGATTATAAAAATAATAGAAATATAGATTATATCAAATTGAGTCATAAAGTAATTACTAGGTCATTTTATTCAGCGATATTAAACATATTAAATGAATGAAAGTAAAAGTGAAGTTTTTCGATCAACTTGACGAATTAATGAAATTTCACAATATTTACTTATAAATTTTCATAATATTTTATGATGCCATTTACAAATTACTTATAGTTTAATGTGTAGATGAGTCCTAAAAATAAATATTAGGTTTAGCTCGAAATGATTTATTGCGTCATATTAGTAATTCTACTATTTAAAGTACAAAAAATTTTTTAGTTGATAAATGTGTTAAGATTTCGCTATTAAAAATGAAAATTTCTTTTTTTCTATGATTCATTTAATAATTAGGCTTTTAACAATCTAAAAATTAGTGGATATACTTTCTAGGAATAGTTTCATCAAATCTACATTTAAATATCTAAATAAAAGTAAGCAAAACATCATTTTTGATAATAATTTACTTTCTAAAAATTAAATAAGAGCTCACATTTTAGTAGAAATAACAACAAAAAATGGAAAGAATTTAAGAGATAAGCAGATAAATCATTTAAAATAAACTCAATGAAGATGACCATATAAATGACAACTCTAAGCTCTTGTTGTACTTCAAGAAGCAAATGAGCTTGATCAAGCATACTAAATCGATGATGATAGTTAACTTAGAAAACACTGAAAGGTTCGTAGAAACTGAACAAATCAGATTAAGCGATTATGCAGCTTAAACACTCAATACATCTGAAATATATTTGTATAAGTAAAGTTTGCTTGAGCAAAAGAAAGATAATGCTAGATCACCAAAATAAGGTTGGTTTTATTTGAAAATGCCTTTCTCCACCGATGAGTCACTTCAGTTCAGATTTTCCAATATTGATGGCACAACGATGAGAACTGGAAAGATTCTTGAGCTTATGGATTATTGTGCAGGAATTGTGTCATTTAGGTAATTGAAATAATATTTCAAATACAGCTTATTAACTCCATTAAATAAATTATTAATGATAGAATATTTTAAAATCAAAAGATCAATTGATTAAAAAATTAATGAATTATTAAATGAGATATCATATCTCAAATTAGCATTAATTCTGATGCAATATTTACAATTATTATAAAAATAAATCTTTCTTAGAAGGATTTCTTATTATTTATTAATTATCAAAAAGACATACATATAGTCCTGAAACAGGCCTTACTCCTACTAATATAGTCACAGGCTGCTTAGATAACGTCAGATTTTTTTAAAATAATATTCCAATAAATGAAGATTTGTACGCTCAAGGTTATCCCACTTGGGTTGGAAGCACTTCACTAGAAGTGAGAGTTGATTTATTTGGTAAGAAATAAAATCCAAAAAATTAAAAAGACCAATGGGATCTTTATGTATCTGCCTTCTTTTTAATGGTAGCGAAAGGGAAAGTTAGCCAATCAAACTATCAACTGCCATAGTTAGATTTCGATGTAAATACTTATTAAATCTATGAACTTGAATTTAATTTTCTTTTTAATGTAGAAAGATGAAGATTTCGAAAAGTTTTAACTTAGATGGGAAATGGGTAAAGCTCATCAAGCAGAAAGACTTAAGTAAAAAAACAATAATTTAATAAAAAATCCTCCTACAGCTGAAGAGTCTCTTTTATTACATAAAATTTGGCAATTGACCAAGTAGTCTCCAAAAAGTTTTACAAGAATAAAACATACTTAAACCTCTAAATAAATTGTCATGCATCATTAAGATAAAAATATTTACATGAAAGTATTTGGTGGGGTTGTCTTGAGAGAAGCATATGATTCAGCATTCTCTGCCATATACTTATTTTCTGGAGAAGTAAATTGAATTAAAAATTACAAACATTTTAAAAAATATATTATGATTTATTAAATCAAGGAACCTGAACTTTTCCATATAGATGACGTTTCGTTTTTAACCGGAGTTGATATTGGTAGCTTAGTAAACTACCATGCATATATCACTTACACTGAAAAGCACCTAGCACATGTTAAAGTAAAATTAAATTATATTTTTATATAATTTTTAAAATTATTTAAATGACTATTCAAAGGTTGTAATAACTAAAATCGAACCATGCGACGAATAGAATAAAATATACAAAACATCTGAAGTGCATATCACGATGTTTTCTAAAAAAGAGTTAAAATAAGTTTATCCAAAATCATATGAAGAATAAATAGATTATCTGGAAGGTAAAAGAAGAATAACTCATATTTCAAACACAATTTGATACGAAATTTAAACTTCACATAGCAAATAAATATTTTAAAATAATCCTATTTTCCAAAACTAATAAATAAGCATCTAATAATAAGTAAATAGAAATTATATAAAAAATACATATATTATTAATATTAAACTCTCTTTCAATTAATAATAATAAAGTAACTAGATAAATGCATATATTTTTATATATCTATATATTTGTAATAAAAACTATACAAATTTTACTCCAAACAGAATCAATTTAGCTTAGTCAAATTAATTCATTTATATTTTTAATTATTGTAAATATTCAAAAATCCATCAATAATAGAATCTTCATATTTTAAAACTTCAGCAATTTAAAGTTAAATTTTTGTAATTTTCTCAAAATTTCTTTTTTCGAAAGTAGGAAAAAAGGTTTTGTATGTGAAAAAAATAAAAATAAAAAAATTTAATAATATTTTTATAATATGATAAATTAAATTTTTATTTTTGTATGAATTTAAATTAACTTTAAATTCAAAGATCCATAGACGCCAAAATTTACTTTGATTCAGTTCTCCAATCAAAAAAATCCCAGGAGAAACAAGACAAAAGAGACTCAAAACTATGATAAAATCTTAAAACTATAAGCATTTATATAAAAAGAAAAGAAAGAATGTAAAACAATTTGTGTTGCATATTTGTGAAATAAAAGAATAAATAAAATTAACTTTAAATTCAACTAAATTTAAAATAAATATAATATACTTTTCTAATCTCAACACTAATTAATATATTTGATTATATTTTGTATTGAAAAATATTTTTTTTTTTAATTAAATCAATACACTTATGTATTAAATACCTAAATTAAACGGATTTCATTAGGAATTTTAATGTTAAAATATAATTTTGCGATTATTAGTAGTTGAAATTTGCATTTAGTTAAATTTCATAACCTAGATTTATTTAATTATTTAGACTTGATTGGATTACTTTATAAAATAATATCTTGTTGTTAAAATTTAATGGATAGATTTTTTTAATTTAACCTTCTCTTTGATCTTAATGGAGAAAAAAGATTACCCTAGTCGTATTTTATAGTAGGTGAGAATGTTTCATCTAAAATAAGCTATTATGAAATTTATTAGTTAGTTTAAGAAATATTTTCAAACCTCAGTGTAGTACTTTTATCTGCTACACAATCTAAATTGAATTATATTTACTCTAAAGATTTTCTTGAGCTTTATAAATCATTTAAGATGTATAAATTACTATTCGTATTATAATAATTATCATCAAAGTTAAGCTTTTTATTAATGTTGCTTTATTCATTTGTTTATTATTAAATTTTATTGTCATTATTATTATTTATAATATATTTTATGTTTCCTTAAATTAAGCTGAATTTTTTTCTCTTTATTCTACTTGAATTCCTAATAAACAAAGTTGGTGATAAGCTTTCTTCAGCGTCTAATTCAGGATAAATATGTTTGTTAGATTCAGCTTATTAATCCTTAGCTCCTTCAATAATAATATTTTCATCATCTTATCTTTCTTGATATCTGCTAAGCTAATTTTAGCTTAAAGCATTTATAATCGATCTATCTGAAACTGAGGGTTCCAAAGCTTAATCATTTTATAATATTTAGATAGATTTTTAAGATGTTTGTTAAAATTTATTTGAAGAAATATTAATTGAATGCTATTATTCTTCTTTATTATTTACACATTTATGAATTTATAATAATTTATTGCTTTTTTAATATTTTTACTTGACAAAATTAGTTAATTAAGGGATTTCACTTTGTTTTATATGTTAAATATATTTATTATCTCTATTTTCTACTTATTAAATACAGCTAAATGTTGGGATTCCTTATTCTTATTTGGTTTATAATTAATTATTTTTTTATGGAAAAATCGTTGATAAAAGTGGTAATTTAAAGAAAATTAAATATAAGACTGTGTAACTTAAATTAATTAGACCGATTATAGAGCTAGCTCTAGGAAAGTCAAGATAGTTTGTCATCACACCTCCTATCAAAGGTCCACTTAACCAACCAAAATCTTGATACATGTTATATAATATGGATATAATATATAGTTATTGTTCTTAACTGTAGTCTAATAGTTCTCTGCTTATTACGAAGCTTAGAACTTTGTTTTATGAGACAAGTATATTTCCTATAGAAAAGCCTATAACAATAGAGCACATAATCGAAATGGCTATATGAGGATTTATACCTAATATTTTGTCTGGTCCATACATAACAAATGAAGAACCTTTTAGAATCAAACAAATAATTGATGTAATTCTACTATGATTTACATTTTTAGTTAAATATTATGAAATTATTGAGGTAGCTATTATAAATGAAAGAGCATTAGATAAAAAAAAATAGCCAGATTGAATTTCATTCATTCCAAATTGATCTTCAAGAAATAAGCTTAGCGATGGGTCAATAAAACTTTAGGAAAATAGTGGAAGAAAAATTACTATTCCAGTTAAAAATATTTTTATATTAAAGTTAATTTTTATCATATTTATGTCTTTTGAATTTATTTATTTAGCTTTAAATTCATTTTAGTGAATAATATTTTTAATTGAAGATTAGTCATGTTGAAAATCTTTAGAAGACTAATCATCGTTGATGCATAATTTATTTTTTTCATTTGATAATTTAACTGAATTGTTATTTGAGCTAACATTATTTGCAGTAAATTCTAAATTATTTTTCTAAGATACCAGCTCTGGTAAAGTAGTTGCAGATTAGATTGCTGCTTTCAGTTTTTAATCTAAAGATTTTGAGAAATAAACAAATGAAAATAGCAAAATCAATTCAATGCAGCAAATAGGCACGAAAACAGCAAATGAGCCACCTTACTTAAATAAAATTCCACCTATAATTGGCCCTATCATATTTCCTGTTTCAAGAAAAGCTTCCATTTTTCCGAGTATATTAACCATTAAAAAATGTTTTTTAATATTTTTCTTTTATTCTTCATGTTACATATTCTTTTCTTGTAAGTAAGTAACAGCAGGAACATTGAACATGCACTCACCCTAAATATTAAAATAAATTAATAAATATCAGAATTTTTATCATTTATTTGAATATAAAATAGATTAAATGAATAATATCAATTGAAAAACAAAAGGATTCTACAGTTTTAAAATAAAATTTTAATTCGTTTCTCAAGAAAGTAAAATAGGATTTAAATATTTTTTTAGACGCTAGATATTTATTAATATATTTTGTAAAAAGAAATTTAAATTAGTAAGATTAAAGGAAGTGATTGATTGAAGGAATTATTTTTTTTTTGATAATCGATAAACAACCTGGACAAAAAAATTTTTGGTTATTAATTTTAAAAAGGCACTTCTTTTCCAGAAAAATATATTTTATAAAATGAACTATTTACTTTTTATATGAAAAATATAGAAATATAAAATAATTTATGAAACTTGCAAACTTTGATTTTATATAAATTAGGCACGAAATTTCAAAGCGAGAATCTAAAAGTTTAAAAAATGAAGTAAGATAGATCAAAATTTTTAGAATAGGGAGATGATATTAATTGTAAGATTGAAAAAGATTTATTTTGACCCATAAAAAGATACGAATACAGAAACAAAATTAATAAATCTTAAGTAATTATAAGTTAGACTCTTAATTTGGAATTGCTCCCAGAATTAATGATTAAGAGAGAGGTTAAAAACTAAAATTAATAATTATGAATAAGAAATATTAATGGCCCAAAATTAAGATTTTTACAACGCATGCTTAATTAAATCTATAAATCCAATATATTATCTTACATTAAATTGGGGAAGTTAACTAAATTTTATCAAAAGTATCAATAAAAGTGCCAAAGGGGGACTTAAAAATTATTTATTATAAGTAAATTATTTACCATTCCTAATAGAAATCTTGAAGTAATAGATAAAAAGAAGAGCATGTTTTTATCCTCTATATTCTCAAAAAATGAAAACATAAACAGACTGCCAGAGCTAATTAAAATTCCAATAATTATACTAGATCTCCTTCTTTTGTATATTATATTTTTAAGGGCATTTTAAAATATAATTTTTCCTAATGGCTGGCAAGCAAATATTATTCCAATAAACATTCTATTAATTCCTAAATTGCTAGCTTTAATAGGAAAGAATGAGTTTATAGAGCTTCTTGACAAAGAATTAACCATCCCACCTAACAGAATAACTAGTGTTAATCCTAATTCAATTTTATTCATTTATATTACAATTTAAAGGCATAACTATTGTTTTTTGTAATAGCAAATATTTTTTTACTTGAAAGTTTATTTTTAATCTTTTGATTTTAATTCAAATTAAATTATTAATATTTATCAGATTTTAGTAATAATGAATTTCCTACTTGATTATTTATCACTGGCCTCTCTCTTAATTATATTTAAGATCCTAAATTATTATAATTTTTTGTTTTTTCATCTTCAAAATAAGTTTATTTTTCTTATTTACAGTGTAATTTAAAATATATATTTTTTTTTATTGATACTTTTGAAAATGTAATAAAAATCATTAATTTTAAAATATTTTTATACAAATCAATAAATTAAAAATACCCTTTTAGCTTTACATGATAATTGTGAATTAATTATTTATCTGATTTGTATAAATTAAATATCTTTCAAAAATTTAGGGATTTAGGATAACTACTTTTTTGAAAACCATTGGTTTATTTTAATTATCTTTTTATAAGATATAATTTTGTAATAAATTTAAATTAATAAAATAAATATTATTACTTTTATAATAATATTAGATTTAATAAAAAATTTTTTATTTGTGAAAAATAAAAATTGGGGGAATGCTACATACACACATACATGATTTGGTAATAATTTTCTTAGCAAAAAAAAAAACAGTGCTAGTCTAAAAATTGATTTTTTTCAAATAAGGTCCCTCATAACAATAATAGGAAATCTTTTTATCTCTTATTGTTTTCTATTCACAATAATATGTCAAAACAAAATATTTTTTAAAATAAACTAAAATAATAGAATAGAAATTATTGAATGTGAAATACAACTAATAAACTCGAAAATATTTTTTATTAGTTGAATTTATTTTTAAAAAGCTTTAAATTCTAATAAATCATTAGATAAATAAAATTTATTCAAAACAGCATAAAAATTGATAGAGTCACAACTTATTAAAAAAAAGTCAGTATAAGAGAATATAATAGATCTCAAAGCTTCTGAGTGCATTAATTAATAGTACCTATTTTATACTTAATTGAAATTAAATAAATAAAAAGTATATTTGATATATTCAATTGCAAAACAACTAAAATAAAGATTCAAAAATGGATTAATTTAGATAAAAAAAGAAAAATGATAGGTCATTATTACTTTGGATTTCCTTATTTTACGATTACATAAATATATAAAGTATTATAGTTACAATACTACTTTATACAGAAAGGAAGGAATAAGCTTATTTCATAACATTTTTCTCAATATTTATAATTGATAAGCTTGTAACTCTGATGTGTATTATTCGAAGTAAAAAAAAACTTATTTTATGGATATGCGATATTTTTTAACAAACTTCCTTTTACTTATCTATGGTTGATGAATTCTATGATGATTTGAAAAATTCTTTGCATCTGAAAATACCATCAAGGTTAGGTCCTTAGCTATTTTTAGAGTTTATTTTTTTCTTTTGCTTAGGTGTGTTAGATAATGATGAAGGACTAAGTGATGTTTAAATATAAGCTGTAATTAATTTTCTTTTGTTTTTGACACTGTTTTTCTCATGTAGCTCTATATTTTCATTTATTAAGAGCTCATTTAGATATTCTATAGGAAAAATAAAAAAATATTTATTTAAGTATTTTTATTTTACTGTTACTTTTTACATAACATTATGTACTTTAACTTTTTATTAAGATTGCTTTGGAATTAACTTGGGATATTACTAATTCTTGATTGCTTTTTTGCATATAGTGTTATACTTAATAAATAAGTATCCAAAATATGTTTGGAAACAGTTTTTTATTTTTATTCTTACAACTCAGTTTTTGAACATTTATAGCATTCAAAAGTAGATAACCTAATATGGTAAAAAATCTTAAGTTTAAAATTTTTAAAACATTTTTGGTTATTTTAGCTAGATTTTTAGAATTTTACTCATAATAAGCTTTAATCGAGACTATGTTTTTGGTGAGCAGATGCTAAATGGAAATAAACTTAAAACAATCTTCACTTTTACAACATTCATACTTAGTTTAATTTATTTTATATTTGAATTCTAATCAGTTTATCATAGTCTTTTTAGATTTAGAAAGTTTAAAATAAAAAAAGAAGAGCAAATATCAAAATTGAATTTGATACTATCAAGAAAAAGCTATGATACTGTTGCTGTAACATTTTATGAAGAAGATCCTTAAGATTAAGATAGATTGATAAATCCATTAACAACAAATAATGATGCTTTGAAGGAGGAAATACTCAATTTACTTAAGATATAAATAAAATACAAATTATAAAATAAATACTTAGAATTTAAGGATGAAAATTTATACTTTTCTTAATTTTATGAATATGCTATTATTAATTTACCAGAAATATACCTAAAATAAGAATATGATATTTTTTTATAGTTAATGCGTGAGAAAAAACTTGTGAAAATATACTATGAAAGATTATTTAATGGGTTTCTTTTCACTCAAATTTCTGAAAGTATTAAAAGACATTTTTTATAGCTTGAAATAATTCACCCAATAAATTTAAATATGGCAAATATACTTAGTATAACTTGTTTTACAATACATATATAAAATCTCATGATATTTTAGTCAGCTCAAATTCTTTATGATTTATATTAGGACTATTGACTTTAAATGAAAATAGAAGAAAAACTTATGCTTTATTTTAATAAAATCTAATTAAAATTATTTATTATTGCTTTTTATCTATTTAAAAATTTATAATTTTTAAAATGTTTTTACTATTTGTTTTTATAGAAATATTATATTTAATAATTAAATCCATTTTATATGATTATTAACTTTATTTAAAATTTATTTTCAATTATAAATTCCAACTGGTAGAACTACTTACTCTATATTTAAAAAAGGCTCAATATTATTTGCATTTATATAATTTATTTTTATTTATCAATTAAATAATTAAATAATTTTTGAAATGCTAGCTTTTGTATTTTAAATAAATAAATAATTTTTAAAATTTTAGTTATAGTAAAACGATTTTGTAGAAAAAAAATGGAAATAAATTTAATTTTCTTCTTTTTCCTATTTGATAAAAAATTAATTTAAACTAGCTCTTAAGTAAGTGTTTTTATCCTTCTTAATTGCCCAAAAACTAATTAATTAAAAAATAATTGGATGATACAATTTCAGTCAGGCATGCAGCAAGAAAGTTCGACTGTCACTATTCATTCATATATTTTAATCCTGCGCATTAAAATAAAAAGGGAGCTTGGGTTTTTTTTTTGATTGATCAAAAATAAATATTAAAACATTAATTTGAAAGGGAGGTTTCCAGTTTTCAGATTGTTGTAAAAAATTATATTCATTAAATTTCTTGTTTACTAAAATTTTTGAATACTACATCGCAGATGTATAATTTTATCAACGAGGTAAGACGGTATTTAAGAGTTTATCCATTTCTTTAAGTTAGATGCCTAATATTTAGTTTATATTTTTTTTAATGAATCATTTAAGGAATACATATAAAAATACTTAATTGAATATAACAAATTTGAAAAGGATTTAATTAAAAGTAAAATTTAAATATTAAAATAAATTCGAAAATATTTTAAAAAATGCTTTATATATAGATATTTAAAACTAAATACAAAGTTTAAACCTTTGTTTAGTTAAGTTTACTTTTAAAATACTTAAATAAATTTAAATATAATTGTTATTAAAACTATTATAAAAAGCTTTGATTTTATTAAAAAATTTAAGAAAGATTTTCAAAATTTATTTTTTGATCTAATTAATTAGAATATCTATTTAAAGATTTATTGTAAAATAAAAAGAAAGTTGTAGGAGTCGCAAAAATTTTTAAATAATTGCTATAAGAGAAAATAGCAAATAATATTAATGAAAGATATATTTAATCAAAAATAAGCATCTTAAAAAAAAGCTTACTAATTAAATAAAATAATCATTATTTAAGATGATAATTAAAATTAATCAAATTTGCTTCAAAAAAATTAATTAAAAAAAGGTTAATAATTAATTATATAAAAAATATTGGAAATGTACAATGAGAAGCTTTTATTCTGGGTTTCATTTTTTTACTATTTGACAAATATTTATAGCATCATAGTTGCTTTATTGCTTTATATAGAAAGAAATGAACTTGCCTATTTCATATCCTTTTTTTCAATCTTTGTTATTGATAAGCTAGTAACTCTTACTTTTATGTATGGAAGAAGGGATTAAATGATTTTTTGGATATGTGATGTTTTTTAAGTAGGTTTCATTTACATATTTATGGTTAATTCATTCTTTGAATCTGTAAATGGATCTTTGACTCTCAAAATCCCATCAAGACTGGCTCCTTAAGTTCTGTTGGAGTTTATTTTTTTCTTTTGCTTAGGAGTATTAGATAATGATGATGGAATCAGCAATGTTTAAATATTAGCTTTAATCAATTTTCTTTTGTTCTTAACACTTTTTTTCTCATATAACTCGATATTATCAATAGTCAGTCTCTCATAAATTTAACTTAGGCAAGTAGTGCAATTCGTACTTAAGTATTTTTATTTTACAGTTACTTTCTACATAACATTATGTACTTTGACTTTTTATGAAGATTGTTTTGGAATAAACTTGGGATATTATCAATTCTTAATTTCTTTTTTGAGTATACTCCTGTTCATTATATATAAATACCCTAAATTGGCTTGGAAAGATAATAGACAGTTTGTTTAGCTTACTAAATTTATTGTTTTCACACAGTTTTTAAATAAGTATAGTATTTCTAAATAGGTTTTAACATCTAACAAAGTATCTAAAGTTTAAAACTTCTATAATGTTTTAGGTTATTTTAGCTAGATTTTTAGAATTTTGCTAATTATAAGTTTTAATTCTGACTATATTTTTAGCGAGTAACTGCTAAAAACAAATAAGCTTAAAAATGTATTCACTTACACAACTTTCATATTGAGTCTAATTTACTTTACAATGGAACTATAGTGTGTTTATCGTAGTCTATTTAAAACTAGAGTATTTAGTATATATAAAGAAGAGTAAATATAAAAATTGAATTAATAATTATAAAGAAAAAGTTATGGGGTTGTTTTGATAAAATTTTATAAAGAAAAAACTAAAAATTAAGATTCATTGGTAAATCCCTTTTTAAATAAAAGTTATTTATTGAAAAATGAAATATTCAATTTAGTTTAGACACAATTAGAATATAAATATTAAAGCAAATAACTATTATTTAAATAAGAGAATTTATACTTTTTCTAATATTATGAAGATTTAATAGTTAGTTTCGAAACATTATAAGAAGATTTATTTCATTCTATTTTTCTTAAATTGAGAAGATAGAGAAAAATAACATATATTTACTACTAGAGGTTATTTAATGGCTTTGCTTTCACTTTAATTTCTAAATATCTTAGATATTAAATGTAAGATGAAAGATTCTACTAAATTAAGTTTGACATTCAAAATTTACTTAGTATCAGTTGTTTTACAAAATATATTTCAAATCACATGACATTTTAATCTGCTCAAATTCTTTATGATTTATATCAAGACTTTTGATTTTAAATCAAATTAGACTAAAAAAATGATTTTGATATTAATTTAATTTTTATTAATATAATTAAAAATTTTAATTTGGTTTTTTATTTTTTGAAATATACATTTTTGTATTTTATTAATTTATTACTAAAAATTTTTAAATAATTAATTATTAACTTTATTTGAAATTTTCATTTAATTTAAATAATAACTTACCTAGTAGAACTGAATCTAATTATTTTGATGTTCCATGTTTTGAAATTTACATTTGAATGAGTAATTATTTATTATGGTATTTTTCATTCTTTTATTATTTGTATGTAATTATAAGAGTTAAATTCTGAGCTTTTATCAACGCCAAGCATAAGATTTTAATTGCTTATTTAAAAAGTTTTTCTTTATTATTTTTATAAATTTTAGTCAATATTTTCAATTGAGAAAATAGAAATAAAAAAAGACTATAAATGAATTTCTCAACCCTCAGAAAAATTATAGGAAATTTGTGTATCTCTTAAGTTTTGAAATTAAAAAAAAATTAGAATAAATTTCAGTTAAGTATGATCCTATTTGTTATCATATGTAAAAACAAAATATGTTTTAAAATAAACTAAAAAATATAATATACTGTAAATGCTCATTAATTAAGGCATTCCCTAAGTATTTTTTTTACCCAAAAAAAAGTGCCAAAATAAATAGTTTGATATATAAAATTTCTTCAAAAAAGAATAAAAATTGTTGGAGACACAGTTTATTAAATTATAGACAGTAAAAGAAAATAATACATCACAAAATATCTGAGTGCATTAATTAAAAATACTTTTTTAAACTTAATTGAAATTATATAATTAAAAAATATCTTTTATATATTCTGTTGCAAAACAACTAAAATAAAGATTCAAAAAAAGATTTTTTTAGATTCAAAATGTATAAATAATAACTATTATTCTGGATTTCCTTTTTTTACTACTTGACAAATATATATAGCATTGTAGTTACAATACTACTATATATAGAAAGGAATGAATTAGCTTATTTCATCACATTTTTCTCAATATTTATTATTGATAAGCTTGTAACTCTGATGTTTATGATTGGAAGTAGAGATAGGCTTATTTTTTGGGTATGTGATATTTTTTAAGTAGGTTTCATTTACATATTTGTGGTTGATGAATTCTTTGAAAATGTGTAATGTTCTTTGGTCCTGAAAATTCCATCAAGGCTAGCTCCTTAACTATTTTTAGAGTTTATTTTTTTCTTTTGCTTAGGTGTATTAGATAACGATAATGGACTAAGCTGTATTTAAATATTAGCTGTATTCAATTTTCTTTTGTTTTTGACGCTCTTTTTCTCATATAGTTCAATATTTTCAATATTTAACAACTCAGTAACATATACTAGAGAAAGAATACAATATGTATTTAAGTATTTTTATTTTACTGTTACTTTCTACATAACATTAAGCACTTTAACTTTTTATAAAGATTACTTTGGAATTAACTTGGGATATTACTAATTCTTAATTGCTTTTTTGAATATAGTGTTATTCTTAATTAATAAGTATCCAAAATAGGTTTGGAAAGATAAAAGAGAGAGTGATAGGCTTTTTATTTTTACTCTTACAACTCAGTTTTTGAACAAATACAGTATTGAAAAGTAGATAACATAAAATGGTAAAAAATCTTAAGTTTAAAATTTTTAAAACATTTTTGGTTATTTTAGCTAGATTTTTAGAATTATACTCATAATAAGCTTTAATCGAGAATATGTTTTTAGTGAGCAGATGCTAAATGGAAATAAACTTAAAGCATTCTTCACTTATACAACATTCATACTTAGTTTAATTTATTTTATATTTGAATTCTAATCAGTTTATCATAGTCTTTTTAGATTTAGAAAGTTTAAAATAAAAAAAGAAGAGCAAATATCAAAATTGAATTTGATACTATCAAGAAAAAACTATGATGTTGTTATTGTAACATTTTATGAAGAAGATCCTTAAGATTAAGATAGATTGATAAATCCCTTAATAACAAATAGAGATGCTTTGAAGGAGGAAATACTCAATTTACTTAGGATATAAATAAAATATAAATCATAAAATAAATACTTAGAATTTAAGGATGAAATTTTATACTTTTCTTAATTTTATGAATATGCTATTATTAATTTACCAGAAATATACCTAAAAGAAGAATAATATATTTTTTTATAGTTAATGCGTAAGAAAAAACTTGTGAAAATATACTATGAAAGATTATTTAATGGGTTTACTTTCACTCAAACTTCTGAAAGTATTAAATGTCATTTTTTATAGCCTAAAATAATTCGCCCAATAAATTTAGATATATCAAATATACTTAGTATAACTTGTTTTACAAAGAATATTTAAAATCTCATGATATTTTAGTTTGCTCAAATTCTTTACGATTTATATTAGGACTATTGATTTAAAATGAAACAAACTGGAAGAAAAACTTATCTTATTAAATATATAGTTTGTTTTTTTTAACTATATATATAATTAAAAAAATTTATTTAATATTTATTTATTCTCTAAAAAATAAACAAAATTAAATTAAAATTTTTATTAAGAAATCTACACATTTTAATCTAATATATAAATTTAAATTCCTTTTTTAATATTTATTATAAATTTAAAAGGATAAATAAGAATTTATTTTTTTTTAATGAGATCAAAATTACATTTTTTAATAAAACTTTTAAAATAATTTTAAGTATTAAGAAGTGATTTAAAACTAAATCCCAATCCATTTTTATAAATTAATTTCTAATTAATAATGCTTACTAATGCTGATAAAAATCAGGCTTAAAAAACAGAGCTGTAAAAAAAAAAAACATAACAAAGCAATACTAAATAGAATTTATCAAAAATAATTATTAAAAATTTTAATTATTTTGAAATTTATAACAAATTGATTACTAACATTACAGACTGAACTATCAATAGTCTAAAAGCTATAAAGCTTTTTAAATAGTTTTTAATTTAAATTAAATATCCTTATCCTATTAAATAGATTTAGACATTCAAAATAAGCTTAGTATCAATATTTAATTAGATTTTTATTTTTTGATATATATTTGTATTTCATCAATTTATTACTAAAAAATTTTGAAATAATTATTATTTTTATTTGAAATTTTAACTCCATTTAAATTGTAACTTAACTAGTAGAACTGACTCTAATTATATTGATGTTCTACTAAAAGAGTAGGAATTATTTTTTATAAAATACAACTAATTAACCCTAAAATATTTTATATGGTTGAATTTATTTTTAAAATGCTTAAATTCAAATAAATTGTTTGATATATAAAATTTCTTCAAAAAATAATGAAAAATTGTTGGAGACACAGTTTATTAAATTATAGACAGAATATGAGAAAATAGTACATCACAAAGCTCTAAGTGCATTAATTAAAAATACCCTTTTTATACTTAATTGAAATTATATAATAAAAAAATATCTTTGATATATTCAATTACAATACAACTAAAATACAGATTCTAAAACATATTAAAAAAGATTCAAAATGTATAATGAACCGCTATTATTTTGGATTTCCTTTTTTTACTACTTGACAAACATATATAGTATTGTAGTTACAATACTACTATATATAGAAAGGAATGAATTAGCTTATTTCATCACATTTTTCTCAATATTTATAATTGATAAGCTTGTAACTCTGATTTTTATGATTGGAAGTAGAGACAGATTTATTTTTTGGATATGTGATATTTTTTAAGTAGGTTTCATTTACATATTTGTAGTTGATTAATTCTTTGAAAATGTGGAAGGTTCTTTGATTCTTAAAATTCCATCAAGGCTTACTCCTTAATTATTTTTAGAGTTTATTTTTTTCTTTTGCTTAGGTGTATTAGATAATAGTGATGGACTAAGCTGTGCTTAAATATTAGCTGTATTCAATTTTCTTTTGTTTTTGACACTATTTTTCTCATATAGCTCGATACTATCAATAGTTAAAAACTCAGTAAGATATACTAGAGGAATAATACAATATGTATTTAAGTATTTTTATTTTACTGTTACTTTCTACATTACATTATGCACTTTAACTTTTTATTAAGACTGCTTTGGAATTAACTTGGGATATTACTAATTTTTAATTGCCTTTTTGCAAATAATGTTATTCTTAATGAATAAATATCCAAAATTGATTTGGAAAGATTAAAGAGAAGTTGATAGATTTTTTTTATTTATTCTAGCAACTCAGTTTCTGAACAAATACAGTGTAGAAAAATAGATAACCTAAAATGGTAAAAAATCTTAAGTTTAAAACTTTTAAAACATTTTTGGTTATTTTAGCTAGATTTTTAGAATTTTACTTATAATAAGTTTTAATCGAGACTATGTTTTTAGTGAGTAGATGCTATATGGAAATAACCTTAAAATCTTCTTCACTTATACCACATTTATACTAAGTTTAATTTATTTTATATCTGAATTCTAATCAGTTTATTAAAGCCTTTTTAGATTTAAGAAGTTTAAAATAACAAAAGAAGAATAAATATCAAAATTGAATTTAATTCTATCAAAAAAATGCTATGATATTGTTGTTATAACATTTTATAAAGAAGATCCTTAAGATTAAGATAGGTTGATAAATCCCTTAACAACAAATAGTGATGCTTTGAAGGAAGAAATACTAAATTTACTTAGGATATAAATAAAATACAAATTATAAAATAAATAATTAGAATTTAAGTAAGAAATTTTATACTTCTCTTAATTTTATGAATATGCTATTATTAATTTACCAGAAATATACCTAAATAATTTAGATAGTATTTTTTTCAAGTTATTACGTGAGAACAAACTTGTTAAAATATACTATGAAAGATTATTTAATGGCTTTACTTTCACTCAAACTTCTGAAAGTATTAAATAGTATTTTTTATAGCTTGAAGTAATTCGCCCAATAAATTTAGATATAGCAAATATACTTAGTATATCTTGCTTTACTAAAAATATATAAAATCTGATGACATTTTAGTCTGCTCAAATTCTATATGATTTATATTAGGACTATTGATTCTAAATGAAAAAAACTGAAAGAAAAACTTATGTTTTATTTTATTTTAATAAAATCTAATTAAATAAGTTAATTTTTTCATTTTAACTATTAAGATTTATAATTTTTAAAATGTTTTTATTATCTGTTTATATAGAAATATTATATTTTATAATTAACACTTTATTGAATATTAACTTGGTTTAAAATTTATTTTTAATTATAACTATAACTTTAAACTTGTATAGTAGAACTACTTTAAATTTATAATAAGTTCAATATTGTATATTTTAGGGAATATTTAATTTTTTGTTTATCAATTAATAAATAAATAAATAAATAATTTTTTGAAATGATAGTTTTAGTATATTAAAAAAAAAAATAAATAAATTTTCATTTATTTATTAGATTTCTTCATTTATTTAAAAATGATAAGGAAATATCAAAGAAAGTGTTGATATTTATTTATCTTTTTTACTTTTTACTCAAGAAATAATTATACAAGAATAGCTAAAAGTTTAAAACCTTTTGTTACTTTAATTTTAAAAATACTTAAATGAATTTAAATATAATTATTATTAAAAATCTTTGAATATAAAAAAAATTTAGTAAAGATTCAGAATTTATTTTTTGGTCTAATTAATCCGAATACCTATTTAAAGATTTACTGTAAAACAAAATAAAAGTTGTAGGAGTCTCAAAATTTTTAAAATGATTGCTATCAGAAAGATAAAAAGATCAGAAATAAATATCTTGAAAAAGAAAGCTTACTAATTTAATAAAATAATTGGTATTTAAGATGATGATAATTATTAAAATTTGCTGAAAAAATTAATTAAAAAAAGCTGCAATTCTAAAAAAATATTGAAAATGTACAGTGACAAGCTTTTATTCTGGATTTCATTTTTCTTTTACTTAACAAATATCTATAGTATCATAGTTGCTATATTGCTTTATATAGAAAGAAACGAACTAGCCTATTTCATATCCTTTTTTTCAATCTTTGTTATCGATAAGCTTGTAACTCTTTTTATTTTGCTTAGAAGGTATAGCTCTTTGACTTTTTGGATATGTGATGTTTTTTAAGTAGGTTTCATTTACATATTTGTGGTTGATTCATTCTTTGAATCTGTAAGTAGCTCTTTGAGTCTAAAAATTCCATCAAGGCTGGTTCCTTAAGTAATTTTGGAGTTTATTTTTTTCTTTTGCTTAGGAGTTTTAGATAATGATGATGGACTCAGCAGTGCTTAAATGTTAGCTTTAATAAATTTTCTTTTGTTTTTAGCGCTCTTTTTCTCATATAGTTCAATATTATCAATAGTTAACCTCCAATAGATTTAACGACAATTAGTGCAACTCGTATTCAAGTATTTTTATTTTATTGTTACTTTCTATATAACATTATGTACCTTGACATTTTATGAAGATTGTTTTGGAATAAACTTGGGATATTACTAGTTCTTAATTTCTTTTTTGAGCATACCCCTCTTCTTAATATACAAATACCCTAAAGTGGCTTGGAAAGATACTTAACAGTCATAATAGCTTATTAGATTTATTGTTTTTACACTGTTTTTAAATAAGTTCAGTGTTACTAAACAGATATTATACAAAAGCAAAGTATCTAAAGCTTAAAACTTTTAAAATGTTTTAGGTTATTTTAACTAAATTTTTAGAATTATGATAATTATAAGTTTTAATTCAGACTATATTTTTAGCGAATAGCTGTTAAAAACAAATAAACTTAAAAATCTATTCACTTACTCAACATTCATATTGAGTCTAATTTACTTTGCAATGGAATTGTAATGTGTTTATCGTAGTCTATTTACAACTAGAGTGTTTAGTATTTATAAAGATGAGGAAATATAAAAATTGAATTTATAATTATAAAGAAAATGCTATAGGATTGTTTTAATTAAATTTTATAAAGAAAATCCTAAAAATTAAGATTCTTTGGAAAATCCTTTTTTAAATAGAAGTGAGTTTTTGAAAAAAGAAATATTCAATTTAGCTCACACACAATTAGAATACTAGCATTAAAATAAATAATTATAATTTAAATAAGAATATTTATATTTTTCCTAATTTTATGAAGATTTAGTAGTTAGCTCCAAATAATTATAAGAAAATTTATTTTAATCTATTTTTCATAAACTGAGAAAAGAGAAAAAACTAACAGATATTTACTACTAGAGATTATTTAATGGCTTTGCTTTCACTTAAACTTCTGAATTTCTTAGACTTTAAATTTATATTTATGAAAGATTCTATTAAATAGATTTAGACATTCGAAATATACTTAGTATCAATTGCTTTACAAAGCATATATCAAATCACATGACGTTTTAATCTGCTCAAATTCTTTATGATTTATATCAAGACTATTGATTTTAAATCAATTTAGACTAAAAAAATCATTATGAAATATTTAATTTTTATTAATAAAATTAAAAATTTTAATTAGATTTTTAACTTTAAAAAAAATAAATAAATAAACACCAAAAAAAACCAAGTTAAAAAAAATTAAAACAACAACTACTAAATAAAATATTTTGTCATTATTCGAGTTTGAAAAAGACAGTACTCTCACTTACTTGGGTACTATATATTTTTATTTTTTATATATATTTATATTTGTCCAATTTATTATAAAACAATTTTGAGGTAATTATTAACTTTATTAATTTTCATTAAATTGCTAATTTAAGAGATGTTCCTTACTTTCAATTAATATTTGAATAAATAATTATTATGTACATTTTTATTCTTTTATTAATTTAATGAATTTAAGCAGCTTAAATTCTGTGCTTTTATCAATCTGAAGCAAAAGATTTTAATTGTTTTTTCAAAAAGTTTTGCTTTATTTTTTTATAAATTCTAATCAAAATTTTCAATTGATAATAGTAATAATAAAAGGCTGTAAATAAATTTATCAATCCATAAAAGAATTATAGGAATTCTGTGTATCCTTTAGTTTTATATTTATTTTTGATAAATTTTCTAAAAAAAATAATTTTAAAAATGTTTTTATTATTAATTTTTATAGAAATTTTATATTTAATAATTAAATTCATTTTATATGATTATTAACTTTCTTTTAAATTATAACATTAAACTGGTAGAACTACTCTAAATTTAAAAAAGACTCAATATTAAATACATTTGGGGATATTTAGTTTCTTTTTATTTATCATTTAATTAACTTTTTGAAATGTTAGTCTTACTATATTAAGTTAAATAAAAATATTAAAAACGGTAATATATACCTAAATAAGAGGAAAAGAGCAATGAAAGAAATAAAAAGAGCTGAATCACTAAATAAAGATATGATAAAAAAATAAGAATACAAAAGTATTAATTCCTAACTTGACATTATTGAAAAGTTAATAGAATATATTAAGATCAATATTGATAAAGACATTTTATCAAAAGATGCATAGGGTGTTATTGAATATTCAAATAAAGCTATGTCAAGTCTAAATAGTTACAAAATCTAGATAAAGCAAGCTTAAAAAATTAAAGATAAAGATTCAGTTTTATCTTTAAAGAACTCATCTTCTAAATATAAGTAAACTTTCTCAAAAAATCAATATTTATTTAAATCTATTTTTATAAAGATTGAACTATTTTAAAAGATTAATTCTACCTAATTTAAAAGAAAATGTTTAAATGATTTTATAATAATTTAATAAAATTTCAAATAAAAAAATACTTCATAAATAGATGGAAATGAAGGGATAAATATTTAAAATAAAGTAAATTAAAATTAATTTTAAAAAACCAATAAGAAATAATGTCAGGTTTTTAAAAAAATGACTATCATCTTTTTTAAAATCATGAAAATATAATTTATTTAATTAGCAAAACTAAAAAACTATGAAAATAATTAAACTAATTTTTTAATTTAGATAATTAAAACAAAATATTTAAATAAATAAAAATAGTTGTTAAATTAACCTAACTATTTAAGTAAACTCTCTTATATATTTCATTAAAAAAATAAAAAAAAAGAGATTTTATTTTATATTTTCAATATCAATCATAAAAAGAAATACTAATTAATTATTTTATATGATAAAAATAAGTTGTAAGAAAATGTGCTAAGAAGAGCAATTAATTATGAAAGGTATCTTAAAAAATTATTAATTCGTTTTAAAAAACTATTAAAAAAGCCCTTTACAAATATGCTAGAATTTATTGTCATAACAACCGTTGAGCTATTCAAAAAGCAATAAAAACTAGCTTTAAAGTAATGTTCAAAACAAACAAAAATCACTTGTTGAAATTTATTCTCAAACTTAAAAATAAACTCTGCTTAATCTGATTTAAAAGAAGGATTATAAAAAATTTAAATCTACATTGATTAAATTTGCTTACAAAAAAAATAATATTTAGAAATTAGAAGTTAATAATAGTTTAAAAGTTTGTAAATCAATTTTTCAACAGAATAGTTTTTCTGCAGAACTAATCTCTAGCTTAAAAGGATAAACAAATACACTACCTTTTGGTTAGCTAATAGAAAATCAAACAAATAGTAATGAAAGCCATAGCAGCTCACACTAAATTCACTTTAATCTAAAATAAATGAAATAATAATTTAAAACAATTTAGAGTTTTAACAGTTGTTAAGAAAATAGCTGTCTCAAAAGTTAATTTAGACACAATGATGAAAACAGAATATTAGGAGGAGGATCATGCTTTTCTAAAGGTTAAGCTAATTAAGTAAACCCTATTAGCAAATTTGATAAATAGCTGAATGAAAATTAAATACAAACTTTAAAATAAGATCCAAATTTCAAGTAAGATCTTCAAACAGAACAAATTAAATTATAAGACAAAGACACTTAGCCAAAAAAGAAATAAGCTAATAAGCGTTAAAATAATTTCGATTCTCATTATGAAGCCTATTTTACCAATGAATATGTTGACGACGAAGAAATAGAAACTCATATAAGGCTTTTGATTCAAGATACAATTTATCGCTTTAGAGAGTAAATAGTATAAATGCAAATTAGATATAAAGTTGTTGATTTGATTAACTTAATAATCAATTACCTATTGATTGTTATTTAAAAGAAATTCAATCAAAGCTTACAGGAAGATGTAGATGAAGTTGAAAAAGAATTAAAAAAACTGTAAAAATATTGTAAAGAAAACAGAAAAAGGTATCCTTGCTTAGATCTGTATTAATATATAGAAATTTTAATTTCCCTCAACTAATAGAGGATTGGTTTAGACAAGGCTAATTAAAGTACTATCAGTAAAATAGCAGAAAAAATTATTTAAGTTGCTAAATTTGGTGCTGGTTTTGTAAGTATTGCAGGCGCTGTCTAGAATTTAACTAGCATTAATTTCGATGACATCAAAAAAATGATGAATGAAGTCAAATAAATATTTGCTTAGATCACTTCGAAGTCAAATATGGAGCAAGGATAGATAGGTGCAGAAGCATACACTAATTACAATAGAGGTAAACTATCTAATAAGATATGTGCTTTGTGGTTTAGAAAAGTTTAAGCGATTGGAGATGATGTTTTAGATACTTAAAAAGAAATTATTTTTTATTTAGAGGAAACATCCAACATGTAGGATAAAGATAACTAAGAAATAATTCTTTTCGTATACATGCAATTAAATTATTTGTTGACTAAGCTTTAAAAAAGAGATAACCTCTAAGGGTTTTCCAAAGTTCTCAAAGAACTAGGCAAGTAAAAGCTAATAATTAACTTTGCAAATTAGCTATAACTCAAGGAATACTCTAATGGGATCATAGATTACATTAAAAATCTTGCTAGTTTGATAGTTACTAAAGAACAGTTTAGATACTTAAAAGCTTCTATACTGCTACACTTTGCTTAAATCATCGAAAACTTTTAAAATGAAAAGCAGCAATATCACTAAATCATGATTGGTCTCTGCATAGATTACTTACAAGAAAAATAAATTTAAGTAAAAATTGTGTATAAAGGAAATTTAAAAATGATTTAATTCATTCACAATATAGATAAATATTATCAAGAGGTTGTTGAAGAATCAAAACAATCCAAAAAGAAATTAAGTATCCTTGTCAACAACGAGGAGTAAGTTAACAATATTGTGAACAGTATAGAAAAAGAAGAAGATATACCTAAATTATTAGCAATAAGTTTTGTTTAAATGTGGGAAGTCAGTGTCAAATAGAGATAAGACTAGCATAAAATAGCTCACAAAGATGATGCATTGCTTGAAGCAATCAATTTGTACATAAAGTAACAAGTTATTTACCAAGATGGTAATAAAAAATTTAATGAATAAAGCAGTAGTAAAAAAGAAGAGAAAGATGCTGTAAAGTAGATAATTGATCTATTCCTTATACCAAATTTTGTACAGCCTTCAACAAATAACCAGGTGTAATAAAATTAATCATAGCTGTAAAAAGTTGATAATGGTTCATGCAAAATTTTATCAATATTAGCCGAAGGAGGATCTGGAAAATCAATGCTTTTAAAAAAAATTGAGGTCGAGTTATTAAAGAGTGATTCAGAATACATTTAAGATGAAAGAGCCGAGTATATTCCACTTATAATCAAATGTAATTCTTTAGATATAAAATAGCCTTCTATTGAAAAATTCTTAGAGTCTCAAAACTTAAAAAGTAATGAGATTGAAATATTAAAAAAATCTGAACGTAATAAGTTATTAATGTTAGATGGCTACGATGAATACACAGGAAACTACTTTAAGGTTTTCTAAGAGCTGAAAATATATGAGTGGGTAAACACAATAGTTATTGTCACTTCTAGATTAGAAAAGATATCTGTTTCTGATGCAAAAATATACTTCAACTATTATGATGAGAAAGGAAGATAAGGAGATAATGATTCTTTTGCTATTTTAAAGCTTGAAAAAATCACAAACTCTGATATCGAATTCTATTTAGAAAAGTTTAAAACGCAAAATATGAAAGATAATTAAAAAAATTTTAACACTGATTAGTATGATAAATTCCAGAAAATTGTTTTTGAAAATAAGAAATTTATCTAATTACTTAAATTGCCAATTAACTTATACCTCACAACTAGAATGATTCTTGACCTAGATCTCAATGACTAAAATATATTAGATATTTTTAAAACCGCCACAGATTAAATAGAAATTTAAGAATTGTTTTTCTAACAGCAATTCAAAAAATATTCGGAAATGTTTATTTAGTAGCTCAATTTAAAATGTGAAGAAAATTCAGATTTAATAAATCAACTTTAATTATCTCATTTTGAGTATTTCTAAACAATTGCTATGCACATGTTCAAATAAAAAGGAATTAAACCAAACTTTTTATCTACTACGAGAGAATCTATCAATTTCACTCTACGAAATGAAACTTTAAGTTGTTTATAAAGGAATAAAATAAAAAAAGAGCAGCTTATTGAACATTTAAACAATTATATAGATTCTAGAGTTATAACGAGAATATAGCTGATCTTAGATGAAGACAATCAAATTGATTAGCTTGATGGAAATAAATCCAAGCAAAAATAAAATTAATCTTAAAAAAATTAGGCAGATAACTTATCCTCTGAATTTGAATTTAGGCACAAATCTATTTTCGAATATTTTGCAGCTAGAGCGATGAAGTTTGATTTTGACATACATAAAGAAAATATTCACAAGCTATCTATGGAAGAGCTTTAAAAGTTTAGTATAAATCAAAAAACAATTATGAATAGGGGATACAACCAATCAGAATAACAAATTCTATTAAAACTTTTCAAATTAATTAATTATGACAAAAATAATTGCGATTTCAAAAAATCTTATGAGTCTAATGAAATCGAAAAAAATAACAGATACTTTTAATATATAAGAAGGTCTCATATTGAAAAGTTTGACCAAAAAAGTTTAATTGATACAGGATCGTCTAATTTACTTTCTGCTATTTTTATTTCAAATTTTTCCTTTCATAATTTGGTGCTTAGTCAATGCTCTCTTTCTACACTTTACAATTAAAATAATAGATATTACAAAATTATTTTTGATTAGTGCAATTTAAATCATGCACTATTAAAAAATATTTAAAGTGTTTCAATTGAATCTTCATTTATTGAGTAAGCTAATTTCGATGCTAATTAAGAAGTCTTTTCTACAGATAACATTTTTAATGTTAATAAAATTATCTTTCAAGGAAACACACTTATTACAGTTAGCAACCAAGGATATATCTCTAAATTTAAAATAGGAAGCAGTGAATAAAAGCAATTCAATTTGGAATAGACTAAAAGAATTACTAAATCACCTTTAAATCAATTAAAGATATGTTCTAGCGATCAAGTAGCCGTTACAGCAAAGGCAACATTGTTTTTGGTAAACTCAAAAGATCTTTAAATTCACAAAATTAAAAGATTTTAAGAATTTGTTACAAATTTAGATGTTGAAAATAACTCAATTGTTATTTAATTATAGAATAATAAAAACTATTTTGGAAATTTAAATTTAGATTTCAAAGAAATATCTATTATTGGTACAAATGCAAAATTATCCAGAAAAGCTAACATATTGATTACTTATCACGACTATTCGTTAATAGTTTATAATAAAACAAATGAAGAATTTATTAAATCTTAAGAAATCAATACTGCTAGCATAACACTATTTATATTTTCTCCAAACGATAAATACTTCATAACAATTAATGATTAAAAAGATTGTACAGTATTTGATCTTGAGAAGAATTTCGATTTAATCAAAATTATTAATGATCATAATCGTTAGATTACTTCAGTTTCTTTTTCTGATAATGGTAAATACATGGCTACTGGCTCTAGGGATTAAACTTGCAAGATTTGGAATACAGAGTAGGACTTTTAACTTGTTAAAACGATATTAGGACACGAAGAAACTATTGAGTAAGTAGCTTTTTCTTGGGATAATAAATATCTAGCAACAAGTTCTGAAGATAAAGTTTGCAAAATATGGGATTTAGAAAAATAATTTGAAATAATTAATTCCTTACAAGGTCATTCAGCACCTGTGAAGTCTGTTACTTTTTCTCCAAATTGTAAATATCTTGCAACTGGCTCTGATGATAACACTTGCAGAATATGGGATGTAGATAAAAACTTCTAATTAGTCTATACAATTAAAGAACATACCCACTATGTTGATTCAGTTACATTTTCACCAGATGGTAAATATCTCGCTACTGGCTCTTATGATAAGACATGCAGGGTATGGAGTGTTGAAAAAGGTTTTTAATTAGTGAAAAATATTGATTCTAATAATTTTTAGTTGACTTCAATAGCTTTCTCTGCTGATAGTAAATACTTGGCAACTGCCTGCTGGGATAATTTTTTGAAGATTTGGAATGTGCATAAAGATTTTGAGATTATCACTTCAATTAATATTAGAAGCAGTTTGGTTTCAGTTTCTTTTTCCATAGATAATAAATATGTGGTAGCAAGTATGTATGGTAGTTGCATAGTATATGATTTGTTGTCTAATTTTAATGAAGTCAATTAATTCAAATGCCATGAAGAAATAATAAAGTAAATTACTTTTTCTAAAGACGGCAAATACATGGCAACGGCAGCTAATGATAATACTTGCAAAGTATGGGATGTACAGAAAAATTTCGAGCTTGTAACTACATTACAAGGTCATATAAGCTCTGTGTATTCAGTATCTTTTTCAGCTGACAGCAAATTTATAGCAACAGGTTCTTAGGACAAAACTTGTAAAATATGGAATATCGATAAGGGTTTTGAGCTTGTCGATACAATACAAGGTCATTTTGAACATATAAATTCTGTTTCTTTTTCTTCAAATGGTAGGTTTATAGCAACAGGCTCGCATGATAAAACTTGTAAAATCTGGAATCTAGGATAAGGTTTTGAAATAATAAATGCTATACAAAGCCACACTGAAAAAATAAAATGTGCTGCTTTTTCTAAGGATTGTAGATATCTTGCTACTAGTTCTGATAATACTTGCATTTGGGATGTAGAAAAAGACTTTGAGCTTATCCATGTTATAAGAGATCATACAAATACTGTAACTTCAGTTGCATTTTCTTTTGATGGTAAATATTTAGCTACTGGTTCTGAAGATAACACCTGCAAAATATGGAGCACTGAAAAGGGTTTTGAAATAGTAAAGACAATCAAAGATCATACTAGTTATATTTGTTCAGTAGCTTTCTCTTCAAATAATAAATATCTAGCAACTGGCTCTGTAGATAGCACTTGCAAGATATGGAATGCATAGAATACTTTTGAAATGATTAAAACACTGGAAGGCCATACTAGATATGTAAATTCTGTTGCATTCTCTCCAAATAGTAAGTTTTTAGCAACTGGTTCTGAGGATGAAACATGCAAAATATGGAATACAGAAAAAAGTTTTGAGCTTTTAATTACTATAAAAGCTCATAATAGAGAAATAAAATCAGTTACCTTTTCTCCTGATGGTAAATACTTAGCAACTAGTTCTGAAGATAATACTTGCAAAATTTGGGATGCATTAAAAGACTTTGAATTAATCTAAATAATAAGAGGTCATACTAAACAAGTGAATTCTATTGCTTTTTCAACTGATAGCAAATAGCTCACTACTGGTTCTGAAGATAAAACTTGCAAGATATGGAGTACAGAAAACAATTTTGAACTAATGAATTAAATGGAATGTTTTGCAGAAACAGTTTCAAGTATTGCATTTTCTTCAGATGGTAAATTTTTGTGTGTTGGTTCATAAGGATGCAATATTATGCAATAGCTTAATTGTTAATATACCATTTGAACATTATTATAAATATTAAACTAAATATTATAAATTTGTTTGATCTTATTAATATTTTTTAGTAAGTTATTATTCAGAATTTATATTTTATATATCGTATGTACTTAAAACAGACAGTGCACTATACAAATAACAATATAAAATTTTATATAAATACAAATTTAATAATAATATTAATAGTATTATTTATCAATAAATATTTTCTTTACTTTATTTTACATAGTTATAAAGGAAAATTTTGTTGCAATAAATTAAAAATATTAAATTTTAATTTTAAAATTAATAAATAAATTTATTTATTAAAATTTTTAAAATGCTTTTTAGGTAAAATAATATTATGTTAGTATCAAAATGATTATAAAATGAATGGAAAAAAAGATGATTTTAGAAGAAGAATAATAAAAATTAAAAATAAAAATTATAATAGTGGTATGAATGGAAATTTAAAGTATATTTAAGTGGTTAAAACAAGAAAAAAGAAATATGCGCAAAAAACTAAATTCATATGCAAACTTAACTTGATTGCAATTACAAACAAAATTTATAGTATTTATAGATTTTAATTTAAAGCAATTAATTAATTGTTAATATCTCATAAATTTATTTTCCTTTATTTTTAGAGACACACAAACAAATAATCAAAGTTAATATTTTAGCTTAAGTTTTTGTTAGTTAGGAATAACAAAATAGTTTTATAACCAATTTATTGCGTTTTTTTCTATCCTTCATAAAATGAGCTTCTCTGGTCCTCTTATGTCGGAAGACTTGAAAAAAGTCTAGGAATAGCTAGCTTAAATAATGAAATAAACTAGTAAATAGAAAGCAAAGAAAACAGATGATTTTAGTGAAAGTAGATCTCAGGATTATCAAAATAATGAGGAAGATTAGACGGAATAAAAATATAAATAAATGATTTCAAACAGCTAAAATATCCCTGATGTAAATTTATTTTAATAACATTAAGCAACTAGAATAATAGTACAATTTACTTAATGAAAAAAATCTTTTTTATGCAACTTTTTTGTTAATTTTTATAATTAATTATTGGATTTCTTAGGATGTAATTTAAAAAAAACTAGGTAGGACTAGTTGACCAAACATCAGATTTGATGCAAAACATAATAAAGGTCATGAAAGACTAAGATTTAAATAACTAACTATAAATATTGACAGATTAAGAAATATCTAAGCCAATTACAGGATTTGATTTGAAAAATGTGATAAATAGAATGCATTAGGGTATTTCTGCTGAGTAATAAAGAATTTAGGGAGCAAGAAATAGTAATGCTGATAGTAGGAATATATCAATGTGTCAAAGCAGTATTTTAAATAAAAGTGCTAATTTTGGTAAGAGTAAGAGTAAATCGCCAGCTCTTTCCTCAAGAACAAAGGCGATAATAAATAAGAAGTAAAAAAATGGTGAATATAAACCTATATACAAAAGATTGGATGAAATCAAACAGCGCCATGAAGAAACAATAATGAGAACAAAAGGGATGTATCCCAAAGTTGAAGAGCCAATACCATCATTTCATCCATAAATTAAAGAGCATAAATTTAAAATCATGTAACATAAAAACAGACAATAATAAAATTGGGATGAGTTTCTCAAAGAAATGAAAGATTGGGATGAAAAAAAAATATCATAAATCAAATAAAGGCAAGCAGAAAAAGAAATGAAAACAAAAGAGATACATACTTTTCGACCAGTGATAAACCGCTCCACTTAAAACATACTTGAAAAAGTACAAAATTTGCAAAGATTCTCAATAACCTACATAAAATACTTTCCATTTAAAAATAGCCAATAAATTAATTTTCAAATTTTTTTTAATCAATTTTTCGTGAAAATTGAGAAAAATCATAATAAATTTTATTGCTTAAATTGTATCCGTTAATAGTAGATTGATTGAACTCTTAAAGTATGAGAATTTTTTTATACTGAAGTATAAAGAATCAATAAAAAAATAAATTATTTGGTATTTAAAGATAACCATTTGTTTTTCAATTTAGAATATATTTATTTATTCTTAATAATCAGAATTTATAATTTAACGTAGCAAATATTTTTTTAAAGCTAAATTATAATTTTGGATAATTTAAATTAATTCAATATCTTATTTGCAATATGTTTTGAATTTTTCTCAAATATTTTAACTTGATAAATATCTAATTTATTAAATAATTAATTAGTCTCCTTCTTTGAAAAATGATTATGACCCTTAAAATATGCAAAATGTAGTTAGTAGACTTTATTCTAGAATGAAAGAAAAGAAATAGAGAGAGGAATAAAGACTAAAAGAAAGTTTCTCTAATTCTCCATTTAGACCTAAAATAAATTAAAACTCTGAAAAACTATTTTTTAAAGTAATTTTCAAAAATAATTTTATGAAATAATTAATTATTTTTTAATTTAATAAATAAAAATATAACTAAAATAAATATTTAATATAAATAAATAACATTTTTAACATATTTATTAACTGTAAATTTTAATGTTTTATACCTTATTTTAATAATTTATTTAATGATTATAAATAATTTAATTAACTTAGATGTGTAATGGAATAAAAGTTCCTTTAGAAGAAAGGATGAAACAAAGAACTCCAATTAAGAATATAATAGATACAACTCCTAGAAATTTGACACCTTAGTAAGGGAAAGTACCAAATACCTTAGATCCCATCAAAGAAGTATAACAATCAAATAACTAAGTGCCTTCATTTAAAAATCAGGGTGAGTAGCTAAATAAATCACTTTAGCTTTAAAACAGTATTATTTCTAATAAGACACTTACAAAAGAAGGTTTTTTACAAAATAGCTCAGGACTTAATCAAAGCATTCATATTTAAAAAAACATATCCAATAATACAAATTAACTTTCGTTGAGCAATTGTTCTTTTTTAAACAATAATAACAATGGGAATTTAACAAATACTAGTAATATTAACAATATAACTATTTAAACTCCTGAAAATAAGAAATCAAATGGTCTAAACACTTCAAAATCAATAATATTAAGTAAAAATAAAGAAAAAAACCCAAATAATAAAAGTATTCTCGGATTATCCACGAAAGCAACAAATGATACTTAGAAGGAAAACAATTATCATATTTTAATAACAGATGGAAATCAAAGCAGTTAAGAAGATTTATAAATAAATAGATCTAGCATAGTTAAAATAAAACCAAGTAATTCCCCTTAAAGAGCTTCAACCTCTCAGATAGAGCAAAATAGATTAGCTGCTTCCAATTAAAAATAGAATCAACAGAATCTTAGCTTGTAAAATAGTACTTCTAACCTAGTTAATTCAAATAAATTATCGCAATCAATCAACCTCTTAAATTAAAAATCTGCTTAAAAATAAGAAGAGCAAACCTCTTCTCCATAAAAAGCAAATGTAAACCTCACTTACAATATCAGATCCCCCAAGCTAAATCATTCTCCCTTGAAAAAATCTGCTTTGAACTATACTATGACAGTACAGAATATCAAAGCATAAACAAATAAGCTTTCTTCAGCCAGCAAATTTGAAGTTCTAAATACATAAATCAGTCCACTCAAAGATCTTGATAACTAAAACGACATTGAATATGGTTAAAATTTAAAATATATTATTAACCTTCTCAAAAAAGAAGATCCCTCCTTCTCTTAATAAAAAAATTCAATAATGCAATCCTAACATTAAAATTCTTAAAGTAGTCTCCAAATATAGAATAAAATATAAAAATCACCACAAAAGAAAAAATGAAGAAAAATTTGTAAATAAAAATGGTTCTAAATTTATTTTTTGAATTGTAAATATAAAAAATAATCGATAAAATATATAGAAGATATATATTTATCTAATTATATTTTCATTTTATGTAATTAATAGTTTTATATTATTACTTGTATATGCTATTTGTTATATACAATTTTTAAAGGTTTTTAGTCAAGCTATTTTTTAATAAATTCCTGTTCAAGAAGCATTAAACAAATAATTTATATGGTAGAAAAAGAGGAATTTCGAATAATGGAAAAAACAACAAACAAAAAATAAAGCTGTTAAATTATTTGTTTTTTTAATAATGTTAAAAAAATTGTTTCAAAAACAGAAATAAATTTTTTTAATAAAATTAATTGTTTAACTTATATGAATAAAAAGAAAAAGAAAAATTTAGAATATAAAAATATACAATTTATTTATAAATATTAATACAAACTTTTAGTAATAGTTTAATTACTAAAATACAATTAAATATTTGTTATTAAAAAAATTAAATGATTTTTTTTATTTTTTTCAAAGATATGTTTGAGAACTTAATAATCTCTATTCGTTTTCTTTAGCAATATCTTCTACTAGTTATGATGGCTTAATAGATTTTTTAAGTTTTCTAATTGCAAATATTGAATATGCAAAAGCAAGCAAAAGAATTGCACCAAGAGAACAACCAATATATAGGACTAATTATTAAATAAGTAAACCAGCTTTCAAAGCTCCGTAAATATCATCAACCTATTCAAAATAAACAAAATTAGTTAATTAATTATTCAATAATACTTATTATATTACCTTGGCTTGAGTAAAGTTACCAGAACGATAAACGTAGAAGAATGGAATCATAACTGGTTCTTTAATCTTATTGAATAAAAGATCTGGCTCAAAAAGTAAAACACCTTAAAGATTCAAAGTAATACCAAGAGAAACTCCACTATTTATTTTATATAAATTTGTATTAATCAATATACTAAATCTTAAATTTAATTAAATTTATATGTTCTTTTAAATTTAATTTAATTTAAAATATTTTTTATTAAATTTGTTTAAAATTTTTAATTATTCAAAAAGTAAATTACGTGTAAGGCTCTACATACATTTAAGTGTCATCCCATTCATTAGGATACTATAGATTACCATCCTTGTTATAAAGTACGATTCTTTCACTCATATTTGGTTGCATTTAATACATATGTGTCTTAGTATTGAATACTGGGGCTTATAATATGGAAGTTAGATTAATAGCATAATCGTAGTAGTAAGAATAAACCTATTAATTTATTATTTATGTATTATTATTTAAAATTTATTAATAGTCAGAAATTAATTATTAAATAATATTTTACATCTGCATTTTAAGAACATACTGAAGCATTTCTCATAATGCATCCTGAAATTTCATATTTATAGGTATTAATTCCATGGAATTCTTGCTCTTTACCAGTATTTGCAACATAACCTAATTGTAGATATTAAATTTTAAAAACGAAAATACGAAAAAATTAAGTAAATACCTCCTGTATACACAGTTGTGACAAAAATTGGAAGGTTAGTATGCTTACCTACGTCAGGCTATTTATATTTATAAATTTCATGTAAATTAATAGTGTAAATTGTAATAAATAATTACTTGATTTGAACCAGCATCTGTACCAACAATTGGAATATTTTTGGCCCATGGAGTAACAAAATCTTAGTGGACTTAAAAGCCATCAAATGAAGGTTTTAAAAATGAAATGTATTCCAAGCCATTTACTTATTAATATTGTCTAACTTGATCGTAATTACTCTTTCCTGTGTACATAGCTTATGATTAGAATTAACTTGTTTCAGTCATATTTATATCATTAAAGTTTAACATATATCCAGTTGAAGGATCTCCTCCTGCTTGAGGATTCATACTTGCAATATTATATAAGAAATCATCTTTGTATCCAGAGAGTAAATCATTAGATTTTCTAGTCTGAGTTAATCCAAAAGCAGTGAATGCTGTAATCCATCTTAATTTAAAAAAATATATTGTAATTTTTATTAATTCTCAAAAAATTTAAACTAAAAAAAAGCTTTTTATTTTGTATTGAAATTTTTTAAAAGTTAGTATTTTTGAAAGGCAAAATTAGAATAAATAAAATTTGCATTAAATTACTTTTAAAATAACATTTTTTACATTTGATAGAATAATTTTGAAAATTAAAATAAATTTTTCTAATAAATTAAATATTTGATTTTGAAATTGGTTTACCTTAAATAATCTCTTATCTAGTTTGGATCTTAGAAGAAATAGGTAGTTTCAAAATTTGTGTCAATCAAGAACATTTGTATTTATCTAGTTCCAGAAAATAAATAGTCAAAACCTAAGAGTTATACTAATTGATCATAGCTCAGTTAAGGAGGAGGTTAGGTAAAGGTGTCTTTGAAATGCTCTACGTAATAACCCCATTCATAGGCATGTGGTAATTCATGTGCCCATTACTTTAGAGTATCAGTACCTGGATTTGGAAATCCAGCTTATATTAAGATTGGAGGAATGTTACGAATAATTTCCATATTGTACCATTATTTAACAGCAATTTCATAATAGGAACATTTTTTTTAGACCTCATTTTAACAATTATAAGCAGTTTGCATTTATGAATCAGCAAATTATATTGCCTTCTAAATTAAAGGCAAAGCATCAGAAGTAAGTTGTTATATAAAATTTTTATTTCCAAATAGAACATTTAAACTATTACAATATTCTGAGAATCCACCATACATATTACATTCGTATAAGACTTTCATTGAATCCATTTAATCTGATCCAAATTATTTAAAAGGTGATGCATCTATACATAATTGATATTACGAATTTAAATTTGTATTTACATAATTTTGAAAGGCTTAACAATCAGCTATATTATTTAATTTGAAGTAAATTCTAATCATAGGTGAAATTAATGTTATGGCTAATATATCTTATGTTTCTGAGAATACTGTGTACAAGCCTTAGCTGGCAGCACCTGTTAAACCTGCAACAGCAGAACCACCATTTTTATAATTTTTTGATTCAGCAAAAATATCAACTATGTATTTTGCATATTCCCAAAACAAGTAAGCAGCATCTAAGTAATTTTACCCAAAGTATTGTTCATTGATTTCAAAGCGATCAGCAATTGTTTTTAGATAAATAATTTCCTTTGTTTTATCATATAACTCTCCGTTAGTATAAAGTACGCCTAAATTACCTTAATTAAGTAATGTGTTTGTATTTTTTGTGAAATCAGTATTGTCCACTGGGTTTTAAATATAATAAGTAACTTTCTCAGCTATTTAAATAAAATATTATTAAATTTATATTTTTAATTTTAAAAATAATTTACCCCACTCCTAAGGAAATTATATTTTCTGATATACGTCAGAAGAATCAATATAATCTTTAAAATAGTTTTCCTAAAAAAAATTTATTTCAGGGAAACCGGTTGTGGTTTTGTTCTATTCTACAATAGACATACCTAGTTTCGTAGCAGACCATTACCCAGCCTATTTAAGAAAAATATATTAAGTGAGGGAAAAAAAAGCAAATCAATTTTTTACTGCAAGACAAGCTCTAATTAGTTGCTCATCTGTCTAAGTACACTCAAATTAACCTTTAACAAGTAATTACCTTCCTGCATTAATGCTGTTTTAGAAATCATCATGTTTTATAGTAAAGAATGATGAGAGGTTATTGTAGTTTATTTTAAAATAATTAACTAGGAACATACAAGTTGGTTTATTTTACTAACTACTTATCATTTCCTTAAAAGCAACCATCCAAATATAGGAGTTAGAATGAATACCGTAATTTGGATCATTAAATATAAAGTCCTATACATTTACTATTTATTATATCAAAGGTTATTAATCACCTACTTAAAGAAATTTTTTCCAATTATCTATTGTATTAATTTAAGTCTAAGACATTACACCAATATCGATAGTATCTAAAAGTTAATCAACCAATCCGCTAATTAATCCATAGAAAGCTATAATAAAAAGTTTAAAACAATTTTAATATTGGATAAAGCGAATAATTAAATAAAAATATTAAATTAATTCAGATATATCATAAATTAAAATATTTGTTATTAATTAAATTTATGTTTTGGTAAATAAATGAAAATATTTTACCTTGAGAACCAACTTGAACTCTTGAGGCTTGTTTTATTTAATACCAGAAACCCATAGGACCAAGATTTACCACGGTTTGAAGTTCTATTTAAATTTAAAGGTTACTCGTTTATTTCGAATAAAGATAAATTAAAAGAATAAAAAATATGAAAAGAATAGGTTTTTTATAAAAATGGAGCCAAATTTATGATAAAAATAAATTTTTATTCATATTTGCTATAAAAATAGTAAATTTGATGCCTTTCTTGCTTAACTTAATTCTTTTAGGTCATTTGATTAAAAATTGTTGTTTTGGAGATTTCTTAAGATATTTTTATTAGAGAAGTTTAAAATAATTGATTTTTATTTGCTTAAGTAGCTTAAGCAAATTGAAAACGAACGAACGAACGATATTTAGATATTTGAAATATTTTTTAATGAGAAATTAAAATTTTTAAAATTACCTTCGCCAGTAGAACCTTTGATTGGTAAAAAAAATTCCTAAAACTGATAACTGACAATAGAGCCATCTTCATTGTATTAAGGATTAGTAAAGTTTTAAAACTCTTAGTAGTAGACTGTCTAGCTTTCATTCAAAGTAGGCTTATCACCATAGATAAAGAATCTTTCTGCATTAGTCCAGTTAAAAAAAGTAAACTGACGCTCCAAGACCATTCCAGTATCTCCAGGAATTTATCCCCATTAATCATAATTGCTTTACTGCATCACAACTTATTATTTAGCCTAGTCTTTGATGAAGTTTATTAATATAATAGGCATAACTATGCCTACGATTAAAAGCAAAAATCCACAAATGCCTGTAAACCATGCAATTTTTTTATATTTTCTTAAGGCTCTCATACCCTTTTCATAATGATAGTTATCTCTTGTATTAGATTAGTTAGTCTATTCCACATTATAGGGGTGTTGCTATTATGAGTTAGGCTAGCTAACATTCTAATTTGTATTGTTTTGCATTTTATTGCTATTTTTTGTCCTTTTTTCTCACAAGCTTTTTTAATTACTTTATCCTTTTTATAGCTTTTGATTTAAGGTCTGAAAGTGCGTGTGATTGATTTCTCTATTAAATTTTTTTTTGATTAATAATTGCTCTTTTTTGATTGCTCTTTATCAATAATAATTTTTGTTGTAGATAATAGCTATCTGTCTTTTGTGATGACAATTTTATTTTTTTTCGTAATTAAAAATTATAGTTTATTTTACATACTTTATTTTACTTATAGTTAATTAATTAATCAATATGTTCTTTCTAAAACCAATTATTCTCATAAAAACATTATTATTTTCCCTTATTATTTTCTTCCAAATTAAATCACACTCTCTTTATTTACTTCAACTTTTGTGTATTTTCAAATTTTTGTATATTTACTTACCGGTTGATTTAATTTGCTTTTATCAAACTTCTTTATAATTTTTAAGTACATAGATAACTTAGTAATTGTAAATTTATTAAGCTTGATAGATTTATTTTTTCCATGTTCGTAAGATATACAAAAAAAACTATAGATGCAAATTTAAAAATGTAGTAAAATTCATATTTATCTCATATATGAAGCTATCAATTATTATAAAAGATATTTACTTACTGCTTCCAAATCACAAAAAGATACTTAATATCAACGTAAAAATTAGATTATATGGTAACAGAAGAAAATAATTGAAAAATCTGTAATTTAATTATTAGTAAGGATACTATAATTCTTTTATCAATATAAATGACGTAGGTTTGATTCCTACATATATGTAATTTACACATCTCTAATATCCTTTAGTTTTCCACATAATCAATTTTAATTTATTTAAAATTGCTACCTACATACACATTTTGTCTTTTATAAGTTGCAATCTTCCATAATCTATACTCATATTACATATTTATGCTTAAAAAATAAATTCTATTATCTTCTATCACCTCAAAACTATAAACTTCCTTTTATTTGTCTTAATTATAATTGTATGGATTGGAGAGTTGGAAATTTGGTGAGAGTATTATATTTCTATCCAATAATATTTTATTCTACTTAACTTCAAATACTAGGATTAATATTTAAATTTTAAAAGCACTTAAAGATGAGGTAAACTTGGACTGTAAGATGTAATTTTAATCTATGAATTTATAGTTAAGCTGTATATTACGTAAAATAAATTCTGGAATTATTTATAATCTTCTATTAATTTCCAATTCAATGTGTAACTCTCATAAACAATTTCTTACTTTGTGAAAAATCATGAAAAATCATGTAATAAATTCATAGTACGTTAAAATTTATTTTAAATACTTATTCAAGCCTTTTTTAAATTTATTAATTAAAATAAATGATTGAAGAGGAATTATAAATAATACAATCTTTTAAATTATATTGTAATTATCTTCAATTCAATCTACTATAAACAAAAATGATAAATGCTTTAATAAAATAAAAAAAAATTTTAAAACTAAATATAAATGTTAATTACTGTAGGTATTTTTCGCAATCATGTAATAAATTCATAGTACTTTAAAATTTATTTTAAATTCTTATTCAAGCCTTTTTTAAATTTATTAATTAAAATAAATGATTAAAAAGTAATGATAAATAATACAAACTTTTAAATTATATCGTAATTATCTTCAATTCAATCAACTATAAACGAAAATGATAAATACTTTAATAAAATAAAAGAATTTTTTTAAATTAAATAAAAATGTTAATTACAGTAGGTATTTTTCACAATCATGCAATAAATTTATAGTACGTTAAAATTTATTTTAAATTCTTATTGAAGCCTTTTTTAAATTTATTAATTAAAATAAATGATTGAAGAGTAATGATAAATAATACAATCTTTTAAATTATATTGTAATTATATTCAATTCAATCAACTATAAACGAAAATGATAAATACTTTAATAATAAAAAAAATTTTTTTAAATTAAATAAAAATGTTAATTACAGTAGGTATTTTTCACAATCATGCAATAAATTCATAGTACGTTAAAATTTATTTTAAATTCTTATTGAAGCCTTTTTTAAATTTATTAATTAAAATAAATGATTGAAGAGTAATGATAAATAATACAATCTTTTAAATTATATTGTAATTATATTCAATTCAATCAACTATAAACGAAAATGATAAATACTTTAACAAAATAAAAGAATTTTTAAAAATTAAATAAAAATGTTAATTACAGTTGGTATTTTTCACAATCATGTAATAAATTCATAGTACGTTAAAACTTATTTTAAATTCTTATTCAATCCTTTTTTATATTTATTCATTAAAATAAATGATAGAAGAGTAATAATAAATAATACAATCTTTTAAATTATATTGTAATTATCTTCAATTCAATCAACAATAAACAAAGATGGTAAATGCTTTAATAAAATAAAAAAATTTAAAAAAATTAAATAAAAATGTTAATTACTGTAGGTACTTTTCACAATAATGAAAAATCATGTAATAAATTCATAGTACGTTAAAATTTATTTTAAATTCTTATTCAATCCTTTTTTAAATTTATTAATTAAAATAAATGATTGAAGAGTAATGATAAATAATACAATCTTTTAAATTATATTGTAATTATCTTCAATTCAATCAACTATAAACGAAAATTTATTGTTTAAAATTAATTAGGATAAATTTACAAATCAATATAATAACTATGATAATTTTGAAATGCATTAGTTTAGTGATTCAAAAGATACAAACTTATCTAATAATAGCTATTAAATTGAATGAAAAATCGAATATATGTTCAATATCATATAATATATTATTCTTTAATTTCATTTCATTTTTTGTTATAATTTATTTAAATTAAATTTTTTTTTTTTAAGCAGGTATTTTAATAATAAGATAATTTTTTAATAAGTAGGAAAATTTTAAAAAAATTAATTTTCCTCACTTCTTATAGAACAGTATGAAACAATACCTACGGTATTATTTAAATTAAAAAAATAAATTATGATTTAATTATTAAACAAATAATTCTTATTTTATCTTAAAAACCTACTAAAAATTATTTTAAAAACAGAATAATTTTTACAATAAATAAATAAATAAATATATTTTATTTTTGGAGAAAAACTATTTTTACTTTTTATTTTATTTTTTACTGTTGGATTTTAAAAAATTGCAGGATTAGAATATATATATCATAGTGAAATTTAATATTAAAAATTAATAAATTATAGGTAAACAACATTGAAAAAATAGTAATCTAATTTTTCCTTAATAAAATTGATGAAGTTTTAATATAAATATGTAGAACGATGTTTCAAATTTTATAATTCATGATCTGATATTACAGTTATCAGATACGCACTTCAAAAAGCAAAAGAAATCATATATAAAGTTTAAAAAAATTCTATTATTATTAAACTATTAGCTCTAGTAGTTTTGTGCTTATATATGTATAGATGTGTTATAAAATAATTATACAGGAAAATTTTGGTTGATACTTAATTTAAATTTAGTTCAAATGCTGATTGATTACTGCCAAATTATTTATCATATTTTTTGTTAAAAAGCATGATTTGTAATTTATAATAATTAAATGAATATAAAATTAAGATTTGTATTTGTTAATTAATTTTGAAAATAAGTATTTATTTATTTATTTAAAATAATAAAAAGCTTTTTATATTAATAAAATTTAAATAAATAGAAAAAATGTTTTTCTTAATTTACCTTTAATAATAAAAAAATTAAAAATATTTGATCATTTTAATTGAATTAATTTTGAAATAATAAATATCAAAAATTTATTTTTAAGCTTCTGATTTTTGATTTTGAAATAAATACAATTATGAAAAATAATGTTAACTTTAATTCAACTGCTAATTTATTTAATAAAAATAAAATGTATTTTGATTAATTTTTGATGTAAATAAATGTATCTATCTATCTATCTGTGATATTTTGACTCATCAGTACTATTTTTTTTAACTAAATTTCATTATAAATGCTAAATCTTATTATTTTGCAAGTAAAAATAAGATAAATTAGTATAAATATATTAAGATTATTTAATTAGGCTATCAAGTGGCTTTGATTGATAATAACTAATTATTTTAATATCAAATTAAATACAGTAGTGTTAAATAGAGTAAAGAAGAAAATTTTATTTTACTTCAAATATTTCAAGCTAACCAATAAAGTCAAGTTTAGTAGCAAATGGAAGAAATTACATCTCAAGATAGTATAGAAGTTATTTAGTAATTACTGCTAGATTCATTTAGTGCTAGAAGTGGAATAGAATAAAAAAGAGCAGAAGATTAGCTTAGTCGACATTTACAAAATGACCCTAATTTCATCAAAAATTTATTAATCATATCTTCAAAGAGCGATTTATCTGGTATTAACTAACAGATTTATTGATTTAAAAATCAACATTTTTATTTAAAACTTTTTAAAAATAATGCCGGTTTATAATTTTACTTTTTATAGATCAAATAAAGGAAAGTGCTTGCACATATATAAACACAGGTATGATTGTCATGCTTAATGATAAGAAATGCACAGTAGAATAAAGAATTTAATGGGCAGATTTATTTATGAGTGCTTTTAAAGAACCTTCAATTAAGTTGAAAAATAAACTAAAATTGACATATCCCTTGACTCTAATTATAAATTCCTCCAAAAGTATGGCGTTTGCCTTTGTTTTTTTTAAAATTATAATTTAGCTAATAAAAAAATAAATTTAAAGAGTTCGCGGAATTTCCTGTCTATACTTTTGCTTATTAATTATTAAATAAAAAAATTATATAAATAGGTAGCGAAATAAGAATAGCAATATTTACAAAGATTTTAGAGTGGATCAATATCAAAGAAAAATAATTTATTACAGCAAGTCTTCTCGGCCTATAAGTTATAATTTCAGCTATTTCTGAGACGTAATACCTTTACAAAATATTTGATGCTATTGAATTAGGATTTTGTGAAACAGCAAACTTCTTTATAACTCCTCTTTAAGATTTGTTTAATTCTCATGTAAAAGATATGCATCCTCCTAATTTACCAAAATTAGCTCAAGAAAGCATAGTAGAATCGTATGAAATACTTTTATAATTGATAGATTTTTAGTTTATTTATTCACAAATAGTAATAACAAGAATTAAAATTAAAATAATAGACATTATCTTGAATAATAAATTATTTTAATAATTCAATTAATTCTTTTCAATATATTGGCTTTTGATGTCAAATCTTTAAATAAACATTTTGAATTTGACTTAAAGTAAATCCAAGTTTTTTATTAAACTACAAAAGCAATAGATGAATAAATAAACTTTATACTTTGAATTTCTAAAAATAGATTTCAATAAAATGTTAATATAATTTTTTATTTATAATAGGTTAAACATGTTAACTCTTTGGGCTTAAACTTTGAAAAAGATAGTTTCTTAATTCCAAAGCAAAGACGATCCTTCTCACGTTATGCTGATGCAAAAATTACTTACAAATGAAAATATAGCTAAAGTTGTCTATAATATTTTAGATATTAATGCATATAAAAATAGCTAGCAAGGATAAAATTAATTCTTATAGAATTGTTTAATCAGTATGTCAGGTATAGATTCAGTTGATGAAGGTTTAAATGAATTAAAATCAGTCATCTTAGGTGTTACAAGAAATTTACTTTCATTTACCTTTGATAAACGCCCTAAAATAAAGGTTGATGATAACATGTTTTTTAAAATGCTAGATACTCTCCTTCCAATAATTTTTAAGAGTTTATTCAATTTTACAAACTAGTCAAAGTATAGAAGTGACATGAATTTCTTCAACACTATTGAAAATTCTAATTTTATTAATAAATTGCTCACTAACTCTTTAAAAATTTTAGCTGAATCTGGATAAAATATGGAATTTTACAAGCTTTTCCAAGCAAATTTGCAGAATATCTTGGTAGATATACTTTTCCCCTTAGCTTCTTCTTCATAATCTGAGATAGAAATGATGAAAGACAGTCCTGAAGATTTTATTTCTATTCAAGAAGATTGTTGCCATAAATAAGTAAAGACATTTTTTTAAATAATACTCACTAACAAAAAAAATAAATATATTTTATAGGAAAGTGATTCATTTAAGGCTGCTACTTTCAAAGTGTTTGAAACAATTGTTGATTTCATAGATGGAGGTTTGATGTCAGTAGGAAGTTATGCAGTTTATATTGCATAATATGCTTTAAATTGTTAATCTCCAGATGAAATTGATAAGAGATTCCCTTAATTAATCCCTTTTAAATAAAGCATTTTTTTAAACAATTTGCCGAAGGAGATTTTATTAGAAACAGCATTTTTAATACTTTCAGATATTCAATATAAAATAGAAGAAAGAGAAGATTTGCTTGATTTGTTGTAAACAATGATTAGAGATAATCTGTATTCCATCACTAACTAAAATATTTCAGGTAAATCGTATTAAATTCATTTTAATAGCTTGTTAATTGTTTTTATCTTTAAATAGATATCTTTAAATGCAGATTCTGTTGTTTTATGAGTCTTTATTATGACAAACTATTCTGGAATTCATAGGATATTCCTGCTTTCGAGCAATGTGTAAATACAATTTTTACTTACTTGCAATATACAAAAGAAGAATAAAGAGTTGTCTAGCTCTCTGCCATCGAAGCACTAGACACTATATATTTTGATGATGAATATTCTCAAAGATTAATACAAACTCTATTCAATGCTATAAACTCATTGATTAAAAACTTAGTCCACATAGATTATCCGAGATACTTCGATCTTATCTACTCAGTCACAACGTGATCTTTATTTATTAAATTAATCAAATTTAATTTAAGTTTTATTTAAACAGAAAATTCTCCTCCTATATCAAAGAAAATCATGAAGCTCTAAGCAGTATATTAGATGCTTTAAATAAAAAAATTTTCTAAGAGTATGATAAAGTTATATCTGGTGGATAGAAGAGCACTATCTGTTTAAACAAAGTAAGCCATACTTTTTATTATTTGATAAGCTTATTATTATTTAATCAAAGAAGAAGTATAGAATTTAATAACTTTTTTTTGATAGTCCTGATAAAACAAATGATTGAAAATTATATTAATTAAATTAATTATAAATTAATAATGAAAATAGATTATGAGTATTATCAAGGGGATTTGTGAAAATAAAAATTATATGCCATAATTCATTGTTATGATAGAAGGAAAACTAAATGAAATTATACTAAGAATAGGAAATAACCCAATCAGTGCAAACTTTGATGATGACCTATTGCTGATTCTTCTTTCTATGATAAAACACTCGAATAAATTAACAGAATTAACTAAGTCAATGCTTCCTTTGTTTCCAAATTTCTTCTAGAAGAATAATGGAGTTCTTTCTAATATGTTTTAAGCTTTAAATTATGTATTTATTCATGGAAGTGATTATTTAAAGGCTAACCATGCTATCTTACAAAGTTTAGCTGAGATATGTGTTCATACTTTATTTACCCAATCTCAATAAGGAGTTTACTGTACCAATTCTGATAGAGCTTAAGGAGCAACTCTTCTTTAAATTCTACTTTAAAGCATAGCAAATGAGATGCCTCCAGATCTTTTAGTTGGAATAATAAATAAAATATATGAAAAACTGCAACAAATTCAATAAAAAAAGAATGAAGTTAAATGTAATTTCTTAAGATTAAGGTAACAAATTATAGTAATTAGTATGTTTTTTTTTAATTTTTTGTTTTATTTTAAATAGATTGCTAGGAGTTATATTTTTGGCATTAGCATGCAACTTTGTTGGCGTGCAATAATTATTAGTTTAAAGTAATATTTTGGGCAATATTATCAAATAAGTTCTCACTTACGGACCTAGAATTACTAACTAATATGATAGAAAAATTTTTATAATGAGTATCAGTTAAATTTTAGTACAAGATCCAGATACTTTGTCTGATGATTTCAAGAATAGTTTTAAAGACCTGCTAGAATTGACAGTTGCTCTTCTTATTTGCTAACAAAAAGAAGAATAAATCAATCTCAAAAAAGCTCAAAAAAAGATAAACCAAGAGAAGACTAAAAAGAAAAAATCACACAAGTAGTAAGACTCTGATAGTGATTAAGATGATGATGAATCTGAAGATGATAACGAATGGGGTAGTGATAGTGACACATCTAAGGACTATGATGAACCTAATCTCAAATTAGATTCATATCCTAATTAAGAGGATGCCTTAGAAGACAAAATCATTTTAAAAAATCTGTTAAATCCATTTAAGCACATAGATGAATTTAACTACTTCAAGCAAAGAATATACTCTTTAAAGTAATAAAGACCATAGTTATTCTAATAAATAATTCAAAATATATCTTAAGACTCCCTGAAAGATTTACAAAATCTCGTAAATATAGAAAGGGTAATCACAGAAATTCCATCAAATTCTAAAAGCAACGATTAAACTGTTAAACAACTTATTCCTAGAAAAATTTTAAAAGCAAAAAGAAAAGAATAACAATTACAAAAATTCGATGTCGAAAATAATTGATTTTTTTTTTCAAAGTTATTTCATCATAATAATTAAATAAAGAATAATAAATCCATTAATGTATTGTATCTTTATTTTTCTTAAAATTTACTATATAAAGTATTATTATATTTTCTTTTTTCTTTAGCTATTTTAAAATTAAATTAAGTATTTTTAAAAACTTTCAATTTATTATTCTTAGAAAAAATCATTAAGTAGTTTTTTTAATTTTTGTCAACAATGTCATTTAAATAATATTTTTGGAATTTAATTTTATTTAAATCTAAGCACGTATTATGAAAAAATAATGAAGACTTATTAAAAATATTTTGTCTTTATTACTAAATGAATGAATGACAAAATAACCCATTCATAAATAAATAAATAAATAGCATATTATATATGATTTTGATTGTTCTAAATTTTTATACAATTTTATGAAGCTTTAGAGGTTGATATATATATATATGAAATACAATGTTTTTTTACCAAGATATTATTATTAGTAGACTTAAAGCAGTGAATATAACAAGCAATAACTTAAAGAAAACTCCGTCACATTGAATTTTAGTTGCGAAAATAAAAATGAATTAATCAATTAATGAAATATATTTATTTAATTTTAATAGTAAATAAACAGAAAATTAAAAATAAAAGAAATATTTAGGTTTTTTTAATAATAAATTATTAGCGTATTCATACAACTCTCGATTATTAAAAAAGAAATAAAAACTACAAATTCTACATAAAAATCTAAGGCAACTAAATATCCATTAAAAGCTAAAAGAAACAGAAAATTATATAAGTGTTTGTTTGTCAGATAACCAAAAAATAAAATATTTGATAATGGGTTTTGAAACTGGCAAATAACTATTAAAAGGAAGACATCACAATAGTGCTAGCAACGCAACAGAATTTTATGCATCAGGTTTTCACGATGATTAAGAATCCATATTAATGTCTGTATTAGATGATTCTTAAATGGATCAAATCACGGCTGCAGTATACTAAAGTTACAATGAGTAAAATCATTTTGAATTCCAAAATTTAGAATAATGTTCGATAGCAAATCTTTTAAAATTATATTTATCACTAATAGCTCCACGATGAACAGCAGCTATAAGCATCCATTTATGACAGAAATATAATAAAACCTTGATACTTCAGCTAATCTTAGTCTAAAATAAGTACTTGTTCATAGCGAAAAAAAGTTTAATTTGAAGGAAGAGAGAAAGATGTAGCATTTTACTAATAAGTTACCCAGTATAAATGCCTCTGATGATTTATAAATAAACTCGATGAATTCTTTTGGCTCATAAGGTTTGATAAAAAGTGTAAAAAGTTCTTCTTATTTTTGTTTATTTCTACTTCTAGTTTATATTAAGTAGTGTTTGTTACGAGCGAGATCAATTAATAGTTCACACATATAAAAAGAATACATCTATAATTGACTTCTAAAAATGTTAAAAATTTAATTATTTAGAGTAAAATGTCGCAAAAGTACATAAATTAGATGAGCAGAGAAGATTTGCCCTCTCGTTTTTCTATTGATCCAGAGTAATATCTATAAAACGAATAAGAAATCCCTCTCCTTCCAAATGAATAAAGAGAATGGTTTTTACCACAGTTAAAAAAAAATGGAGTTTAACTGAAGACAGAAAAAGAAATATTTTACTAATAGTATAAAAAGTTGAGTAAAATTACATAGTATGACAAGAGATATAAAACAAATAAGTTCATTTATAAATCGATGTGCCAAAAAGTAAATTATTAATTTTGAATTATGCAAAAGTAGAATTTAGTTCAATATTGATACAAATTAACCTCATATTTTATTCTTAATTAATAATAAGCATTAATAAAACAAGTTTTAATTAATTTTGTTAATAAATTGATTCTCTTTTTGAGTTAAATTTAATAAATCTCAATATAATTATTAATTCTTTCTAACTAACTAACTAATTAATTATTTAATTGGATGAATATTTTTTATAATAATATCAAATTAAAATATTTTTCATCTCAAATTAGGCAGAAGAGTGTAATTTACTACCTAAGACTTTTGAAATTTTCAAATCAAATTCTTGTGTTCATAAAGAGCTAAATCTAAATAACTATGGCATAGGAGAATAATATTGTAAAGTTTTTTCTGAGGCTCTTTAGGTTGAAGACTTGCAACATTTAAAAAAATTAAAAATATCATAAAACAATTTAAGAGGTGGGTCGCTTAATAAAATATTTAAATCTTGCGCTTCCAAAATGAAAGTGTTAGATATTTCAGGTAATTCGGTTCGATAAGAAGATTTGGCTACTTTTAAACCTCTGTTTGCAAGAACAACGTAAAAAATAACTAATTTTATTAGTTTATATTTTTTTATTTTATAATTTAGACTAGCTTTTTTAAATATTGCTTAATGCAGAATTGGTGATACTGGCTTTACAGAATTATACTAAAACATCAAAGAAAATTAGCACTTAAAAGTTTTAAATATAAGCATGAATAATTTGACAGAGATAAGTGCTGAAAAATTAAAAAAGCTTTTGACTTACAATACTAGCTTATAAGAGTTGTATTTGCACTGGAATAATTTCAAAAATGAAGGAGGATGTGAAATTTTAAAAGGAGTTTTAGAAAATTCTTATTTGAAGGTGTTTGATATATCATATAACTCTCTGAAATACTAAGGCGATTTAAACGAATAAAATCAGCAAAAAGCAGCTGCTTATTATATTGCTCAAATACTTTCTAAAGAAACTTCAGAGTTACTTCATTTAGATGTGTCTTATAATAATTTTTCTCCAACAGAATGGTAAATAAATAAATATTTTAAAATAAATAAGTATATTTGTGATTTATTCAAATTTAATAGTAAAATGATTTAAGAAAGCCTATTCTACAATAGTTGGCTTTTTGGACTTCATTTTGAAGGAAATTCAAATTATGTTGTTGACTCAAGTGGGTAAAAATAAACTTTAATTTAATTTATGAAGAAATAAATATTTCCTTTCTTTTTATAACAAATAGCTTTATTGTTGAACTTTAAAATGGTTTTCGCCCAAGAATGCAGCACAAACGATAGATTAAATCAATTCATTAAATTCCGTTTTTTTAAGAAGACGAGTTATGGGATTCAGATTAATAGTAATTATAAGACATTTGTTGGATATGTTAAGGATGGCAAGAAGTGATCATTTAAGCAAAGGATATCTAGGAAGAACCACTCTACTTGCACTTAAGTTATTAAAACTTTAAACCTGAGCTACTCAAAAAGAATGAAGAAGGAGTAAGAATTTTATTGAAGTAGCTTTATAAATATTTACTTTTTATCAAAATAAATAAAAAGCACTACATAAAATCTTTAATGATTCCTAAAAATAAAAAAATTGAATTCTTTTTTAGTAATCCGCTGGAGTCTTCTAAAGGTTTGGTAACTTAATATCATGAAAGCCACAGGAAAATTATGTCATGCCACTATAAGTATAAATTTGATAATGCCGAAAAAGAATATTTTTTGTTTGTCTATCATATGAATTCTATCGATGCAGATAACAGTATCTAATTTGAAGTAAACAATCATTATAAAGTAAAAACTAAGTGTTTTCCTCGTGAGTAGTCACTTACTTATCATCTGCCTAAGAGTGATTGGGATATTTCTTAATCTATTTGGAAAGACTTTAGAGGTGATACTGAAGAGATATTGAGAAAATGCCTCGACAATGATTTATTTTATGCTAGAATATTCAAATTTGTTAAAGATGTAGATGATTAAAATTAACTAAGAGAAGCAATAGTTGAAAAATATTAGTAAATTGTTTGCAAAATATAGTTTTTAAATTAATTTAAATGTCTGATTAATTAGGATTTGTAGAGATGTTTACAGAAATTTAGCATCTATACAGCCACAGGGTGATACATTTTGTATAGGATTAGGAGTTTTTTAAAGAATGATTTCAAAAACAAAAACACTTGATGGAGGAAAAATCAAGCTATCTGATATTGATAGGTTATTTATAGCTACAAATTTTAATTAGGAAACAAATGAAACTGTTTTAGAAAACAATCCTGCAAAAGCATTAATTAGATATGAATTCATAGAAATACTTGTAAGAATAGCCCATGAGAAATATCCATAAATGAAATATGCTGAGGCTTTTACATATTATTTTGAAAATGACCTTAAAGAGCATTTTATATTGTATTAAATTGCTCAAGACTGGAGAACAAACAAGTAAATATTTTTTTTTTAACTTCTAAGCTTAAACTTAATTTTTAAAAAATATGAAGATATTGGAAAAAAGAAATAGAACATGAGATAAAAAATGAAATTTAAATGATCAAACCTATTTATGATAGTCTTGTACAGAAAAATCCAGCCTGCTATTAATCTTCAATAAAATATGTTGACTTGGTAACATTTAGTGATTTCATCGTTAACAAAATATGTCATCTGCATCCTCTAAATCAAGCATTAGAAATATAAATAAGAAGTGCATTTTAAATGAGCTTGTAAACTAGCATAGACGAACTTTCTAGTATGTAATATAAATAAATGGGATTATTAGAATTTATTGAAGCCATTGTTAGAATTTCTGAGGTTATTTATAAAAATGAAGACATTCCTCTAAATGTAAAAATTCAAAAAATTCTATTCGAAATATACGATGAAGGTGAAAAGCAAGAAATATTAAAAAGATAAGAATTTGAAAAGATAAAAAGGCTTTAAGAAGAAAAAAAAGAAATTAAAAGAATAATACTTAAAACACGCAAAGATTATGAATTTAAATAGTCTGTGTCTCATGGTGCTCTTTAAAGGTTTTCAAAAGTGAAATTGCTTTCTAATCAAAGTAAATTTTTGCCTTCTGTGTTTAATAACCATCAAAATGACCACAATGAAATATTTTCAGCACAAAATATTCAATTTTATAAGAAAAATAGTAAATGAGAGAAATTATTTTTTCTTTTTTATTGCTTTCAGCTAAAAATTTTTGTCTATCTAATAAAATTATTTCTCAAAAATAATATAATAATTATAATATTATAAATCAACCAGGCAGTAAAAATTATGTAAAGTTAATTGTTTTGCCAAAAATAAGCTAAAAATTTTTCATATTACTTGATAGTACTTTTCTGTTTTCCTTTTATTAAAATTCTTTTCCAGCTAAAACCTTAAAAAGAGAGAATAAAACCCAAAAAAATATTATTGTATATCTTTTTTATGATTTCATTAACATTATTAAAAAATTTGTAATATAATCTTCTTTAAATCCATAATATTCAAAGTTATTTTTAAGTTTTTTTTAAAAAAATTCAATAGTTTGTAAATTTCTCTTTATATAGAATAAAGAAAGTTAAGTTAATAATAGTTTTTTTATATTAATAAAAATATGAAATATTTCAAATACAAAATTAATTTTTATTTTTATAAACAAAATACTATTTTTTCTTAGACTTATTTTGATAATTTGTACAGAATTTTATTCAAATGTATAATTTCTATATTCATTTTGTATTTTATTATAATAAAAAAATAAATATATTGATAATAAATAAAAATTTTAACTTAAAAATTTTTTTAGGTTAAACAAGATTAGAAATTTATTTACAAATTATTAATACTCATCTATCACTATTATAAAAATAACACACTTGAAAACTCATAGTAAATTAATTATGTTATGATATATAAAATACACAGTTTATTTATTTATTTTTGTTTCATATTTTTGTTTTTTATAATGTTTATTATTTTTTTTACTAATTAATTAAATTTATTGTTTTATTTAATCCTAATGTGTTTGTAGTTGTTTAAGACTTTTTAGTTTTCTTTTCTAAAGAATTTGATTTACCAATCTTAGAAGGTATTAAAGATGTTAAATGATCAGGTAGCTTATACATAGCTTTCTTTTGTTTACTGCTTTAAGTTTACTTCATGTAAGAACTTTTATTGGCAGTATTAGCATTTGTCTGAGCATTTTCCTTGTTATTGAAAGACAAATTATTTGTATTACCTAAAGTTGAATTTCTTTAGCTGCTGCTTCGTTTTCTTCTATTTTTTTCGCTAACTAAAGTTGAGTTTGTGTTTATAGTTAAAGTTTTATTCTTCATAAAATTATTTTTTTGAATTTTTTAGCCTGTTATATTATTCAAAGATGTATTAACAGAACTCTCACTTATTGAATTTTTTCTAGAATTTCCATTTAATTAATTTTTCTTTCTTAATGCTTAAATATCATTTAAGAAATAATCTTAATATTTTTGTACTCTAGATAAACTAGAATCGTAATCCTAATATGTCCTTTCTTAGAAGCTCTTGGAATTATTTTGATCTTTCAAGATATCTACAAATAATTTATAATATAGCTTGAATTTAATTATAATTTTATTAATTACTTACTTGAATCAATAGAATAAGATCTTTTATCATAGATATGCCTGCTAAAAGATGACATCTAGTTAAAAGAGTTATTCGGACTAAGTTACTCTGATTTCCTTCCAATATTCAAAGACTAATTATTTTGTAATAAGCTCTCTCCTTAATGAAGACTCTTTCTGATTTTATCTTGATATAAAGCCTCGTCATAGTATGAGATTTTATTATTTTATTCTACAGAAAAAGAAGCATCAGCTTCTTCTTCTTATTTAATCTACTTTGATAGTCTTGTTAATTGGAAAGTGTTTTTATTACTATTACTGCTATTAAGAGCATTTGTTTCTAAGTCTCTCGAGTTCAAATTATATAGATTTTGATGATCATTTTTTATTTCAACTCTTGAACCACAGTTTGATTTATTTATTAAGTTATCAGTTTTTATTTTTGCACTATTCTAAGCAGATTGATATTCTAAACAGAATGACTCGTCTTTCATTTTTTCAATTATAAATGAATCCATCTTTTGCTATTCATTTTTACTGCTTTGAATACAAATTGCATCAACCTTAAGATCCTATAACTTCTCTGTAGATAATTTTTGATTTTGCTTTAATTAAGCTAGTTACTTACTAAAAGAGCCAGTAAAGTTAAAGTTTTCAAATGATTCATTAACTAAGTTCAATGTATTGTTAAATTATGAGTTATTATGAGTATTGAAAGCAGAAGGGATATTACTGGAATTAACTTTTTATTAGGAACTATACATTAACTAAGAATTATTTAAATTATTTTCTTCAATTATCTTATTTTATATTTTATTCTTAATGAAATCAATATTCTTATCGATTAACTCCTACTTTTCCTACTCAAGTCTTGCTACTACATCCTAAAGTCTTTTTTAAAATATAAAAATAATTTGATTTTTTAACAATTAAGCAATTATTAATCATTGAGTTTTTAAAAATGTTTATTAAAAATTTAATGAAATTAAATAAATCTTTAATGTCAATTTGAATTTTTTAAAAAAACAAATAAATAAATTACTTCTAGTTTTTATCTTTATACTAAGCACGTATATTTTCAATAGAAGTTTGATACATTTTTATTTATTCCTTATAATTACTTATTTTGCCCTCATATTTATCTTTCAACTACTTAAGAGCTACTTAAACCTTCTCATCAAACTTTATTTATTGATACTCTGCTTGCATTCTAATTAAGTCTTCATTTGTTTAATGCTATTGTTTCAAAAATTAAATTTCTTATCTCAATCTTATATTCTCTTATTGTAATACATTATTTGTATTTTTAACAATAATTAACTCATTTTAAAAATGCTCCTCTTAGCCTTGCTATGCAAATTATTTATTAATCAAAGATACATTTTAAGAATTTTATTCAAATAATTGATTTGAATTCAGCTTGTAGTTTTTATTTAGCATAGAGTATTAATTTTCAAAATCTTATTGCACTTATTTTTGATAAGAATTTGCATCATTTGAGTTTTAATAAGAGTCATAGTCCTCTTCTTAAATATTATTTTCTTCTTCATCTTCCTCTTCTTAACTGACATCTTTGCTATATTCGTTGCTGTTGAATCCTTCATGCAAAGCGTTATTAATATAGTCTGAGTCAAACCTTGATGTGCTATGTATGTCTTCTTTATTTAAAGATAGCTCGGTCTACTTAATAAATTATGAACAAGTTAGGTTATCTACATCTTCGTCCTTTTCAGTAATAATATTTTCATCATCTTCTTAATCTTCTAATGAGCTCAAGTTTTCTTAACTATTCTAATTGCACCCTTAATTAGTATTATATTCATTTAAATATGTGCTATTCACAACTACTTTATCCTTTTTACTCATTATTTATTTAAGAATTAACTTTTGCTTGAGTTATTTACTATTAAAATTAATAAGTGTATCAATTCTATCTACTTAGTTAACTATGCTATAAAATTTTGAACTTAATTTCAAATTCTATTGATGAATACGTTGAAAAATCCTAATTTAAATGATATGAGTTTTTGAAATTAATTTAAAATTTAATGCTCTAAACAAACTAAATACTATGAAAAGAATAAGATTATATTTATATTTTATAAATATTTTTTTCTTTCTGGCTTAAAAATAAACTTACTTATGATAATTTGTTTAAAATTTATTTTAAATTATCAGATACTTTTTTCTCTCAATATGTCTTCATTATTATAAAACAAATTTTAGTTTTCTGACATAATTTTAAGGATCATAGTCTTCTTAGTTAATTGAATGTCTTTTCATAGAATTATAAAAACAATTTTAATCAACTTTTAGATAAAATCTATTAAATATAAATATTAAAATACAATTATATAAAAAAAAATATTTTGATAGATTATTTGTTTGTTGAATAATCGATTTAAAATTAATTAAAAGCTTTTTTTTTGTCAAATATATCTATTGTTTAAATAGTATTAAATATTTTACTATCTAAAAAACTAAATAGGATTAATAAATAGATATTATTCTTAAATAATAAGTGAATTCTAAAGTTTTAAAAGCAATTATAATTTTTTAAAAATTATCATATTTGAGTTATAAAAAAAATTATATCGTTTATATGTTTTGGATTAATTTGAACTAATTCATTAAAAATAATACATTTTATTTTGTAGCTCTATCAATCATAATAGTAAGTTAATAACTCAAAAATAAATTAATTTGACTTTTATGTCATTAAAAATGATTATTTTAAAATAAAATTAGTAAATCTGTAAAATTAAAATTAATTAGTATTGAATTTTTTATCAATAAAATAGAAGAAAAATAATGATATAGATGAATTAAAAATATAAGAATATTTAAAATTTGTAAATTTTAGTATAAATAAACTTAACTAAGAATTTATCTATACTAATTTCTTATTTCACTAAATATTTAACAATATAAATTATTTTCTATTTTATAAGGAAAGTATAAATCCAATTAATATCAATATATATAAAAAATAATATTTAATAATTATCTCAAAAAATAAATAATTACAAAAAAACAACAGCTTGGAATTAAATTTTAATAAAAACACAAAACTCTTAAATAAGTAAATAAATGCAATTTGAAATAAATTAATTGCTCTTTGATGAAAATTAGCAGTCTAAATTATATTTTTCAGAATATTACCCAAATTCAGAAGAACCAACGAATCAAATAATAAGCAAAAGCTAAACAATATTCTAAATTCAATAAAAAAAGGCTTCTTAGGATAAGAACTTTGAAAATAATGAAATTTAATTAAATGAAGGAAATAAATTTTAATATTAATTTAGCATGTAAAGAACTTATTAATAAAAACATAATAATCTATTTGAAAAATTTAGTACAAAAGTTTATGACTTTTTTGCTTTAATAGAGAACAGTAACTAAGAATTATGAATTTATAACTTAAATAAAACACTTGACTTATTATATTTTTAAATATTTTTTTATGCTATAATATAATTTTAATATATCATCTTAAAATTATTGTTTCTTATTTTATTACTAAAGATCGTTATTTTATGTTGTTTTTATGACAAATTTTACTGTAATAAAAAAAAATAACTAACTTTTTAATTTATTTTGAAAGATTTTTACTAAATTAAAATTTAAATAATATTTTAATAAAATAAATATATGTTGATAACACTAATAAATAATAATTATATTTAAAAAGCATAAAAGCTAATCAATTAATTTATAAATTTTTAATTCAGAATATATTTCATAAAATATAAAATAAATTCCATTAAATTATTCTCAATATTTTCATAATTTAATTTTTATTCTTTTTAATTAATTTTTTTCATTAACTAAACGGCCTGTAGAATCTTTTTTTCTGAGAAATCTCGTGTAATTTTAAGTAATTGCTCATTAATCAACTGTTTTCTTAACTAACAAATCCACACTTTTTGAATGGCTGTTCTTTTACTTTATCTAATTATTCTCTGTAGTATTTTTCAAGGAAAATTTATGATTCCATTGAGTAAGTGAAATCTTCAAAAGCTGAATTCTCAACAAAGCTTCTGGAACTACGAATTTTAATTAGTTATTCTAATGTTTCTTATGAAACATCATAGAAGGCAACTCCTATCATAAATTCATATTTAAATTTTGAATCTTTAAGTTGTTCATCTTTGTAAGGATAATCTTCATCTCTATTTGTAAATTATATACATCTATGATTAATTTCTATCTTTAATCTATCAAACGTTATCATTCTATTAAGACTAGGAAGAATTTCCTTCCCTTAAGTAACTCTGGATAATTAGTTGATGAGTAAATTCAAGTTTGATTCTCCATCCAAATAATGGAATGTTTCTTTGCGTGTAAATTAATATGGATCATCTAAATCTATCCCCCTCAAAGCCATTAAGGCTTTGCTTTAACCACTTAATTTCATCTCAAATTCAAGTGTTTAAAAGTTAAATTTGTGAATTGAAAAGGCAAAAAATCTATTAGGATCTATCTTTCTAACTTCTTAAACTGCCCACTATTCAAATTTTTGATAGTTTAAATCATATTATTCTTGAAGCTAGTTTACTTAGAGAGTTATAGCCTTTTATTAGCCTTCTTTTATAAAAGTTGGGATTTCTTTCTAATATTCTTTAAGTGCTAACGAAAGCATGTAATATTATTCATCGTTGATAGATTATGCCCTTTTTATAAGAGGTCCTAAATCTTTAATAGTTGGCCTAATATTTCCATAATGCAGTAGTAAAATACCATCTTTTTTATAATATTCCATATGATTAATTTATCTATTCAATTTTTTTAAAGCATTATCATCTTATACTTTGAAAGTAAAATCAATACAAAATCCTCCATAGATAAAAAATTAATTTGCGCAATTCTGTAATTCCCAAAACATGGGCGTAAAAGAGCACTGTTTTGATCCATAATTATATCTAGATTATCAAAATTAATAAATTATTATAAAAATAAAAATATTCTTATTACTTTTAAAAAATGGCTAAATCTGTGTTTGAGTTTTAATTTTATTTATCATCTTCTTCCTCCATACTTGTTAAGTCAGTATTAACTCTACTAAATCTGGTAATAAGTGTTTATTCCTGAGAAATAAGCGGAGAATTACTAATACTTGGTGTAGAATATTGTTACTCATACTAAATTCCCTATGCTTTTAATAGGTTCTCCATAATTCTTTTCGTTTTTTCAAGTAAGCTATCATTTTCTAAACTCATTTTAAAAAGGAAACTAAAAATAAGCTAATTATCTTTTATTTAACTTAGGTTTGTAAATTAATTGACTCACTGATTCAGTGATTGATTGATATTAATTTATTCGAATTTTTAATAATATAAATAGCATCATTGAGTCTATATCTGGATTTTATAATTAAACATGAAATAATAAAAATTGTTATCATACAAAATAAATTTTTGTTATAATTTGATTCTTTTTTTCTTTATTTATTCTACTAATTCCAATATAAATTGAAATAGACAAAATTCTTTTTTTTTTTTTGAAGCTTTCGAAAAATTTAAGATTTACATCAATCTATTTATTTATCAAAATATTTGAAAAGAATAAGTCATTTCTTTAATAATGTAACAAAACATACATTTTGATGGCCAAAGTATGATATTATTTTTTTTTAATTTTAATTTAAATTACTCTTATCTCAATTATAATTGAAAAGAAGTTAAAAAAAATATAAATTTTAATAAAATTTGGTTTTACCAAATACCATCAAAATGATTTAATCATTTAATTTTCAATCATCTTAGTAAACTAAATAGTTAATTTACTATTTTTTTTGTGTTTTTTTATATATAATTTTTTGTTAATCATTAATACTTATGAGGAATAAAGAATTTTTTTAGAATGTTTCTAGAATGAATCATATTAATCTAGAAAATTATTAAATATACATTACTGATTTATTTAACTAGTTTCTAATCATAAATAATTGTTAATAATACAAAATTTCAAATGAAAAAATATATTTAATATTAGCACTTTTATATTTATTAATCTAATTCAATAATAAATCTTTCCTAAAATTTCTTTTTATAAATATTTCATCCTTCAAAAAAACTCAAAAATTTAATCTCTGTTGAGAAAGTCTAGAAAAAAAAAAGCATCAAATAAAGCAAAATTTACATATTTTTGAGTTAATATCATAAAAATTAAAAAAAAAGCATTAAACTGATTTATTTTTAATTATTTTATTTGCTTTCAAATGAGAAAAATAATTTCTTAAACAACTGTATTTTCTTTTTAACTTAATTTATATTTTCTGTTATCTCAAATTAAAAATTCTATCTTTTATTTACCTAAAAAATAATTTAATTTTCGTATAAAATATATTTAAAATTTTAACATAATATGACAAGATGGTTTAAAAATATATTAAACAAATAGTTAATTTATTTTTTTAAATAAAATAAAAATTTCATATTTGAATTTTATATTCATTATTTTTTACGTTTAATCGATAAATCTATAAAAATAATGATAATTAATTAAATTGTAGATAATATTTACTAAGCTTTTAGCTTGATAGATGATTAATTAAAAAAAAAATATTGTAAAGTTGAACAAAAGAGTAATCAAACATAAGAATTAATGAATTAATTTTACAATTATATTAGTAGTGTTAAATATATGTTTACAAGTATTTTTTACAAAAGACATTTAGATATAATAAATATATTAAGCATAATATTAGGAAAATTAAATATAAAGTTTATTTTTTTGTATAATTGATTGGTTTATAATGAAATTTAAATTATTTATTTGTTGTTTTTTTTAAATATTTTTTTATACATCAAAAACTATTTTTACGTAAGTTAAAATATCTCAACTTTATTCTAAAATTTCAGAAGAATCTTGAGCTTGCTAATTAAGTTCTGCGAAGTATGCAGGCACATATCTATTTAGAGTCTTTATGTATACATCTTCTTCTTTTTTAGTGAAATTAAAGAGATTTTAATATTAACTATTTGCAAGTAGATCATAAGTAACTTGGCTTATTAAAATTTTTCCTCTTTCTCCATTACTTTCCATTTTATTTGCTATAGTGACATCACTACCATATACATCATACCTAACTATATCAGTACCAATAACACCACCAATAATTCTACCCTAAATACAAATTTGAATTGTTAGCCTTTAAATTAGAAAATAAAAAAATTATTAATTTACAGTGTGAACACCTATACGCATATCTAATTCTTCAAAATTAATTATTGATCTAACATTCCTTATAATTCTTATCATTTCAAGTCCCATGTAAATAACATTTTTAGCCTCTTCTACAATATTTCTTTTGTTGATATCATTGAAGCTTAGTACAACATAGCAATCTCCTATTGTGTATAACTTAAATAAATTTAGATACTAAACACTTCTATCGAATTCGTAGAATAAGCTTCTAAGCATTTTAACCACTTGTTCTGGTTGAACCTGACTAGAATACTTTGTGAATTGAGAAATATCTGCAAATAATATAGTCACATTATCTATCTAATCAGTTAATGACATTCTTTCTGCTTAACGATTGTTTAAGAACTTATCCAAAATCTATTTTAAATAATTAAAAATTTTATCAATAAAATAAATAAATAACTAAATCAAAATCAAAAGTAAAAGTTAAAATAAAAATAAAAATAAGTAAATAATAATATTTACATGAAGAGGAAGTAAATTATTAAGTAAGGAAGCTTGTTGGTTATTTTTTCTTTTGAGTATTTAGTAGGTATTGAAGTTATTAATTTAAAGTCCAAGAAGAATGTAATTAAAAATTCCATGAGCTACACCCCCATATATAAAAAAGTAGATGACATAAATGACTATGTTACTTTCGTTAGCTAAGATTATCCAGCTTATAAGCAATATTATGTAAAAAAATAAATTTATCTCAAACCTTTGGTTATTTAAAGAAGCTAAGGTTATTAGTAAAAAGAAACTTTCTGCAGCTTGTAGCTACCAAATCTATTCTATTAGATTTTATTCTAATCCATTAAAGTGGAAAGAAGATGACTCAAAAATAACACTGATAATTCCAACTATATATAGCACGTAAACATATTTTCTGAAGAGTAAGGTATTATCTTGAAAGTATTTATTTTTTACAATATAGTATAAAAACAATAATGAAATAAACAGTCCTCTAAAGCTTAGCACTACAGCAAAATTATTGAAAATAGCTAAATTAAATAGTTGTAAAATAGTTTTTATACTGTAAGACCTATTAATTATCAGAAATATAATCAGAAAAATTTTATTAAATCATTTTATTTAATTATTTATAAAAATTAATTAAAAATTATTAGTATTTTTATATAAAAATAATGTAAATTTATATTAATTAAGCCTAAAATACTCACTCTTAGTATAATAAATAGTTTTATTTAAAAAATATATATAAAAATTTTTATCATAATGGTTTGTTGGTTTGTTTTTGAGGGAAGAAGGTATAGAATATTAAATATTTTATTTAAATAATTAAAAAGAGAAATATTTATTTACAAAAATAAGCAAGTGATTCTATTTTGTCTATACTATATCTAGTCTTTATGAATTTATGAGCTAAACTGTAAAACATAAGGATTCTTTGAGTCTAGGTATGGGATGAAAAACTAAAAAATTATTTATTTAAAAGTTAATTGAACTATTTTGAGAAATTTGTATAAAAGATTAATTTACTTTCTTCTTAAATGAAATGAGATTTTCCTGAGTTTATTTTTCTTCTTCAAAATCATATAAGTCAAATAACCTATCATTTTCTATATATTCATCTTGTATTTCATCATTTTACTTATAAGATAAGTTGCATTAAATAACTAATTGCTGCGCAGATTAATTTAAGTTATTATGGATTGATGGGAAGACTTCGCTTCCTATTTCTACTTTTGACTCTTTTGATCTTTATGAATTTAAAGCACTTTTTATATTTAAACCTCTAATCGAATTTCTTTGTACAAAACGAGTAGCTGAATGACGCTCTATGTTAGTTTTACTTTCTGGTTTAAGTAGTTAATCAATATTTTTTTCTACAGAATTTGAATGTTAAATTTAATGAGGAGAATGATCATTCATCAGTCTTGTAATTTTCCTTTGCATTCTTCTTCTACCCTAAATTTGAATAAATATTATATATATATTTGGCATGTATAACTAATTATAAAAATACATAGTTATTTTAAAATGTGTTTGGATCTAGCAAGCCATTCGGTTCTATATCTTAAATTTTCGAAATAGGATCTTCTTCGTTAAATTTTAATAGATAACTATTTTCTGTTTTTTCGTTTTGCGTTTTGCCATTAACTTTATTAACACTTACAACTTCATCATTTTAAATTTGATCATTTGAGTTCTTTTTGAAATTTTCAATGTCTTCATCTTCATTATTATCTGCATCTGTTGTAAATTTAGCATTATTTTGGTTACTATTTTAAAGTGGTATATATAATTCTTCCTGAATAGGGGCAAATCCACTATTAATTATAGAAGGGTCTATTTGGAGTTTTTTATACATTTAATTGAAATTTAGAGATTTATCAATTTTTTAATTAGAATCAAGATCCTTCATGGAGACTTTTGAAGTTTCTTCTTCTATTTCATTTAATGTATTCTTTTTAACAATCTATTGCTATTGCTATTTATCATCATTTATAGTTTAATTGCTATCGCTTTAAGGACCATGAGTAGCTGCTGTGCTTTGATTTTTGGATCTTACTCCGTCACTACTATTAAATGGAAGAGAATTCTACTTTAATGTAATTAATTTTTCTTCATTTTCTGTTTTATTTAAAAAAAACTATTAATAAACTATTTTATAACACTTTTGTACTTTCTGGAGATGGAATGTTAGATGTATTTTTCTTATATTATTTAGTTCTCGAATTATTTCTAAAGGGAGAGTTTGGATTTTGTCTAATTGTTGATTTTTTACCCTTATCATATTGAGTTTATTTTTTAAAAGTTTGGTAAAGTGTTGTTTTTAGTGTTCTCCTCTTGTCTTATTTTATTTAATTTTTTTTATTTTAAAATATTTAAAATGTTTCTAAAACGCCTTTGCCCTTAGCCTTTATTAAGATAATAAATAAGATTTTAAATTAAATGAATAAATTATTTTAAATTTAAATTACTTCAACATTTTTTTGTTAGTAACTATATCCTTATTCTTGAAGGAACTAATTAATTTAATCAAAGGCTTATTTTGAGAGTGTAATTTTACCATTTTCTCCTGTAGACATTACTCTACTTGTAGTATTTACTGTATCGCCGATTAATGAAAATTGAGGTTTATGGTAACCAATTACACCTGCCATGACCTTTCCATAATGAATACCAATTTTAATAACCATAGATTATCCTTGGCTGCCCCATTTAATATTTTAGACATAGTTTTTCATATCGAAAGCTAAATTAATCATTCTTCTTACTGGATTAATCGCATTAGCTTTTTTCCTGCTATTTTATTCTTCAACAGATTTTAAGCCCTATTTTATATTATATTTTCATGAATGTTACTCAACTATTTTAAATTGTAATAAATTACTGCTGCACAAACATAACTATTTCCGACCGTCTCTATCTTTGTTACATCATTAGCTGAACATAAATTGTCAAAGTATCTAAAAAGGTTGTCTAAAAGCATAACAATTTTTTCGTTTTCACTTTAAGAAATTTCATCAAAGTCACAAATAAGTAAAAAAAGTACTGCTACTTCTCCTTAATCTTCAGAAATTTAGTTTCTGCTCTCAGTATTTTCGTTGCTTAATTATTCTATACAATTAAAATAAATAAAATATTTATTAAAATTAAAAGATATTTTAATAAGTGTATTTATTATCATTTGAAAATGCTTTAGTTAGCATTATATATTTATTAATTTATTACCCGCACTTATCCTTTCCCTGACAAATTTAGGAAGGAGAATTGATAAGACGTTATTTACTTTTTATGTTTCTTATTGCATCTTGCTAAATTGTAAAAAGTTATTTCTCTCAGTTTATTCAAGCTGTTTATTTAAGAAAAAGTAAATTTATCAAAAAAACTATCAATATGAATTAATAGATTACAGTGTATTTCTAAATGAGCAGAGTCACCATGAAATTTAAAATGTAAATTACTGCACAAATCAGAACATAAATACTAACACTTGATTCACTTTAAGAAGAGCTAGTCTAAGCAATCATTAGGGGTATAAAAATAATATTTTGCATTACAGAGCCAATACAGATAAGGTGAGGCTTAGCAATTATTGCAAAATTCATATTATAAGAGTAGATGATAGAAACTAGCATTAGATTAGTAAATGAAACCAAATCTTATATTATTTTAAATAGAATTCTAAAGAAAAAAATGCTTATGTTCATTTAGAAAAATAGCTTATTTCTCTTCGTTATGAGAACTAAAACAAGTATAAAAATCACTACTATTGAAATTGATTGAGGAATAATCTAATTTTATTTAAATATAAATTTATTAATAAGAGTTTTGCAAAGTATTTTTTCACAGTTCAAACAATTCAATTTTTTGAAAAGTATGATTAAAAATGAATATTAAAATTATTTAACTAAATTACCAAATTTTAGAATTTATCAGTTTCTTGTTTCATAATGACTTGATAAGTTATGACTCCTATTACAGTTAGTATAGTTTCCAAGAAGAAAAGAATAGATATCTAGCTTCTCATATTAAATTTTTCCCACTGCTTGACTAGGTTTTCTAAGAATTTTTTCTCTAAATCTCTATTCTTAAATTTAAGAGAAACTTTACTCATGTCTTACTAACTAATAGAAATTTCTTCGCTTTGTATAACTGTTTAAAAAAGAAATTAGATTTATTAAATATTAAAAAAGTAAGTAATAAGAAATTTTAATTAACCCTTTGACGTGAGGCTCTATATTAAAATTATAGAATGTAGAGGTATCGAATTTTTAAAAAATATAATGAAATTTTTTTCCAAATCATTCTCACCCTCAATAGTTAGGACCCCCCACCTGAAAGAGTTAATTTCATATATTCAAATTTTTTAATCATAACTATCGATTTTATTGAAAAAATATTTAATAAAGAATTACGATTTTGCAAGATTTAATCCATGTTTTCTTGCTTAGATCCTTTGAATATCTAGTTTAAAATTTTTGAAAGATGGTTTTCTATTATAAGTTTATAATAAACAAGACCATTTTCTGGCTTATTGTTCCTTGCAGCTTTTTCAAGGTAGGTCTGACGATTAAATTTGAGTTCATTCATTTCTCCTTTGTATTTTAAATTAGATTAACATTCAATTTAGTTTTAATAAAATATATAAATATATTTAAATTAAATAACGAACCTTTGATTTCAGAATACAATTCACGATCTATGATATATGGAAAAGGAAAGAATTTTTGTATGTACATGTTGTTCTCTAAAAATATTTAGAGGATAACTGCAAACATTGCTAATGAGAAAATAGTTATGTACATTTGAGGTGATTGGATCATTTCACCCAATTCTACGAAATTAGAGGGATTTTTATCAATCATAGCACCAAAAGACAAATAAACAATTACTCCTATAAAATGAAAAACATGACTGCAAACTATTTCAAAGTAAGACTGGTTATTTGCTATGTTAAATTTTACTTATGACCAAAAAGTAATCATAATTAATCCTAATCTTTTAAGAACTATTAAACTGTTATCCTTTCCATTCGTCTGAGATCCAAAATTGAAATTAAAATAGCATATTACAAACAATATTAATGACTCCAAAAAGCTATGTCCAACAACCTTTCAAATAAAAATGTTTAATTAAAAATTTAATTTTGAAATTATATTTATTTACTTTATATAAAAATAGCATAGTCTTCTTTTTCTTAAAAACTTTTATATTATACTTGAATTATTCAACAATTTAGTCTTAATTTTTAAACTGTTAGTAATGTTTAAAGAGCCTATACTTTTTGTATGTATATGGGATGATGGAGAAGATAAAAAATACAGTATTGTAGTTTAATATATCATAGCCACTAAATAGACTACTTGCATATGTACAGTCAATCAAGTTGAAAAATAAAATCATGTAAGCAAGCAAAAATGATCTATAAAAGCAGTATAGCAACAATTCTTCATAAACTTCAGAGAAAAACCTGGATGTCAAGAATATAAGTCTTGATAGAGTTTTAAAATCCCTTTTTAAATAATTAATTTATTCAATTTTAGATTTCAAACATTTATTAATTACTTAACAATAATATCTCCTAACTCAGATATAGTAGCCTTTCTGGAATTTTCTATTTAAATGCTTACATCAGTCTCCTACATCATATGGCAATCATTATATGAATCACCAACTGAGAGGGTTTTTTAATTACCAGGAAAGGTTTATTTTACCAAACGAACAAACCACGATTTTTATTAAGGTGTTAAATCATAACCAATCACAGATTTTGCAAAATAAGATAAAAAACTAAAATGATCCTTCAGGTAATTATCTGAAAAAATAGTGATAAGAGATTTTCCTGAGATAAAAATGGAGTACTGAGGAAGATTCTTTATCAATAAAGAAATTTTATGAAAAGAAAATTAAATAAAATAAATTTATAATTAATTACCTTTTCTAAATTCCAAGCAGAAGTTGAGCGCTTTCTTGTCTGTCTTTTATGAAAGTTACTTTAGAAAAGTGAGCTATTTTCTATAAGGGAATTCTATTTATAGTAAGAAAGCTTAGTGAATTTTAATAAAGAACATTTAAATAGAATATTTATTTACTTTATGATGTACATCTCTTTAAAATTAGTTCTGTGATTAGTTGAGACTCTTTGGAGTTGATAGTTTATCATCCTTCTCTTTTGGAGAATTCATATTTTACCCGTTGTGGTTTTAACCATTTTGTGTCAAATTTATTTGAGAGTGGTTGTTATTGTTGTTACTACTATTATTAATAAGCTATTTTATGTTATTTTACACTTCCTAAAAATGGCCTCCACTCTTTTCTTTCGATGCAAAAATACTTTTAAAAAGCTATAATTACTGTCTTATCTGCATTTTCAAAACTAATTTTAAGACAAAAAATCAATAAAAAAGCTATTTTTAATAAGAACTTACAATCAGAGTCTTCAGAGTTAAGATGAAGTACTTATTAATCGTTTTCTACAAAACCTATTTGATAGGCTACTCCCAAATTATTTTCAAAGTTATCTCCACTCAACATCCAGGTACCAATACCACTCACATTTAGACTATGTATGAGAGGTTCAACATCTGGCCTTATTTTTTCTTGTAAACCTAGGACACATATTAATTCTAAATCGTTTTCAATAGAATTATAAATCTCCTCTCTTTGATCTACATTTGTAATTAAGTTTTTATGCGCGTTTTCATATTTTTAAACATATTCCATGCATTAATCTTCTGTGAGCTCCCTTTTCATGTAAATCATTCTCCTCATACCTTAACTCTCCATAACCCCTAAAAATATAAATATTTGAGCAAAAAATTTGGATATATTTTATAATTACTATTAATCTTTGAGAGTTTCTCGTTCTCTACTATGTTATTTTTAAGATTTTCTGGTAAAGTCTAGCCTAATCCTTATCTGACAATTAAAATTGCACCTGAAATACTATCAGAATTAGGATCTCTGATAAGGACTGACATTCTTTTTCTCTTTTCAGTGTATTCGTTCACAGCAAGCACATGATAATCTTTAATTTTTTTGCATATTTTTAAGTGAAAAGTTGGCTATAACCCCTTACTAGAGTTGTTCCATTTGAATTAATATCCCAAACATTCTGCAAAGTTCATAATTTCCTTTTTTTTATTTTTTAAATTATAAATAACAAATATAAAATTAACTCATTTATGAAAAGGTTTTTTTCACACAAAATGATAAAATTTGTTAAAATTTTAAAAACCTATTCAAAAAAAAAAAGATATTTCAGATATAGAATAAAAAATTAAATGTATTAATTAAAATGTAATTATTTATGCAAAAACCAATAATACTTTACAATTCCAATAAAAGAAGAAGAAAAAATTAATATAACAATATTTTACTTTCTCAATTTTAAATAGGGAGTTCTTTTTTATTTATTATTGTTGAGCGTCTTAGCTTCTCTCTATACCAGTATTAGTTTAGTGGCATAAAATCAGAGAAAGTATAGCTTAGTGGTAGTAGCCATCATATTCATCAAAAAGGTTTTACATAAAAATTTACTCTTCAGAAGTGTGGATATGCATGTCAGACTCTGTTTGACTAGTTTATCTTTTACCATGGAAATTATTAGAGCCCTCCAAACCTTATTTCAAATTAGAAGGACTGTAAATTGTGGGATCAACTTGAATATTCAAATTTTCTTTCTTTAATTTCTCTTCATTGCTTTAATAGAATGTTGAAGGCTATCTATTTTGGTTCCTACTTTTACCTTTGATTTCTATTTCTTTTTCTTATTCATCGCTATTGCTAATAGCTAAATTAGATTTTATAATATCTTTTTCTTCCTCTTCTAAATTTTCATTGTCAAATATACCATCACTGTCATGTTTCTTTCTATGTTATGTCAAATATGTTATACTTGCTTTAAAAGAAGTACTATCTTAAGAAGCTTTAACTCCATTAAACTCAATCTTTTCTTCTGTTAATTCTGTTGGAAAGTTAGTTTGCTCAATAATTGAACTTTTAATTGATTTTTCAGCATTAGTTTCTTTTTCATAATTTGGTAATACTTTTTTCAATTTTTCATGATCTGGGAGCAAATACAAAGAATCCTTTATGAAAATAGATTTTACCTATTTTTATTTTAATTTAAAATTTTTATAAAATGAACAAAAAAAATACAAAGACAAATTTAAGAAATTATAAAAGATTTTTTATCAATAAATGAATAGTTTCTAATAGCAATCAATCTATTTTTTTTTATTTAGAGTAGAAATTTTTGTTTAAAAATTAATTTTGATAGATATTAGTGATATGAAAGAAGGTTTTTGTAGATAAAATGCAATATATTTTTTATGATTAGGAGGAATAAATATCTAAAATATTAGTTAGTTTATTTAAGATTTTTCAAATATTCCTTTATTTTTTGAAAATTATTTATGAATTTAGAAAACCCTGAATTTAAATAAATGTAAATAAAATGTTGTAAGAAACTGTATAATGAAAACAATTAAAATTACTTCAAACTTATCTTCAGTTATAGTTCCTGTTTTATCAAAAAATACGTGATTTGTTAGTGAAATGTCAGAAATAGAAACACTTCTTGTAAGTTTATAAATATCATCACTTTATTAATTTTATTATTTTTCTTCAGGTTATATATCATTCAAACATTCTTCTTAAGCACTATTTTTATTTTATATATTCTAAGGATTAATTAAGTTATTTTATTCTTATTGTTACTATTATTATTACTATTACTATTACTATAACTACTGCTTTTGCTATTGCTAGACTTTATTTTAAGAATTTATTTGCTTTTTATACTTATAAAATTTCCATGATTAAAAAATATCATTAATCATGTCAATAATATCTATTGTAGCATAAAATAAGGGAGGAAGAATATTTAAATAGTCCATCAAGTAGCTTATTATATATAGTTAGACATATTCAATTTGATAATTTTAGTTATTTGTATAATTACAGGGTTGGAAATAAAGAAATAGCATTGAAACCTATTTTTATTTAAAATAAATTAAATATTTAAATAATCTGCCAATAAATATTTTACTAAAATATTAAAGATTATCTGGAACAAAGAAATTGTGTAAAATGTTTAAGCTTTGCTAGCGAAAAATGATTTTCTTAGAGAAGTCATGCCTCTTGATTGCTTAAATATTCTGCAATCGTGACCAGCATAAATTACAAGCCCATAAACCCATTTGCAATTCCTTAAAATTGATCCTCTAAAAATGACGTTATTATTATCTATTTCTTCTCCTTTTGGGTCTTTTGATAGTTTTATAAATCCCTTAAAGCCATCCTTTAATTTTAAAGACGAATACTCTAGTTTCCCATTCAATATCTTTCTATACTCGAAAACACTTTATTTTATTTTAGATCCATCTGAAACTTTTTATTTTTGAATTAAAAGAACATTTTTAAAAATTTTTAAAATTGATTTCTTTTATAATTAATTATTACTTGATGTAACCATAGTTGGCTTTTTTATAATTTCGTCGCAAATACCTTTAACTAATTAACAATCAACAGAAATTTTTCCACCCTTGCTCTCAAGGATTAATAAATCAGCAGGAGATACTTGACCCCGTTTTAATATCACAATATCTCCTAATTGTAAATCTTTCCAGCACACTTACTCCACAATTTATATTTTTTCTGAGTTGTATTTCTAAAGTTTTTCCTCCAAATTCTATTCTTCAATTTTTTTGTCTTGAAGTGTCCTCTTTTTATTAATGTTTGCTTAGCTATTACTTGCATTATGAGGACGTCTTGCTATAAAAGCTCCAGTATTATTTATATTTATACTTTAACTCAAATCTTTTTAATTCTTAATTTTTTTAATATTCGGATTATTGATATTTTAGCCATTTGCTGTTTGAATCTATTTTTAACTTGCCATATACTGGTTAGAATTTGTCTTTACTACCAAAGCCTAATTTTACTACTGCTTTTATAATTCACTTGCATATTTTGTTAGTTAAGGAGGTTAAGAGGGGATATTATTATAGCTCTATTGATTTGAGTTTTCTGTTGGATAATAATTTAAAAAAGTTATTAATAAAATAGATAAAAAATCTAAAAATAATTTCTATGATAAAAAATAAAAATATGAAATAGCTTTAACTGGTGTTTAGAAATTTTTGTTAATTTATTTTATGATCAAGAGATTCATCAAATAATCATATTTCAAAATAAATTTAAATAAAAAATTTTGATGACCAAATAATTATTAATTAATTAATTAATTTAGAAAAAAATGAAATAAGCAAAAAAATTATTTTTTTATTTATTTATTTACATTAGCTGTATAGATTTTAGTAGTTGACTGTGCCATTTACATTTGCTGAGTAAAATGAATTAAAATTGCTTAACTATTAATTGGGATTAAAATTTTGAATCTATTAGTTGTTGATCCCAAATGACATTGAGCCTGTATTGCTTTCTTTTGGTAAAATCTTTACATTCTCTAAGTTATTGGTTCCCAAATTATTTAAAATGTTATTAACTTTATTATTTTTAATTAAGTAGGGATCATTTACTGGTGAACCCTCCCTCTTTTCAACTAAAACCGGCTCTTTACCTGATTGCAAAGCTGAAATATTCTACTGATTGTCTATTGGGATAAACTAAGATTTTGCTTAGATATTATTTGTATTAAAATTACTAGAATTAGCATTGTTATTATTGCTATTTAGGTTATTGCTAACCACCATTTATTACTATTCTCTATTCAACTAACTTATCTAATTAATAATATCTGAATTAAATGCTTTCACTTTCTAATATGTCTTCTTTAAACTTTTAAATTTGATACACTATAAGTTATTTAAATCATATTCTGATTTTTTCTTTTGAAATTCAAAGAAAACTTCTCTCATAAAAAATACAATGATGCTAATAAACATAGGGATAAGGTAAATCTGAAATAACTCTTGTCTATTTATAATTAAATGAAAATCAATAAACAATTTGCGATCAATTCATAACCAACTAATGCTTCTTGATACTCAGTAATAAGGAAATTAATAAAATATTTTAGATTATTAAGAAGTTGAGGAAAGAAATAAAGTATGAAGAAGTTGGCTAGGAATTTAGATAAAGAATGAATGAATAAATATTTACAATGTATAACTGTATATATTTTCAAGTAAAAAAGAACTAGCGGTCCCATAAATATACCCAAGGAGAGCAGTGAATAAAATTAACCATGTGCCAATTCTTTTAATGTACTTCAGCAACACTCTGGGAAAGAATCCAAACAACTTTTATTTATTTATTTATTTTTGAGAAAATGAATTTGCATATTTAATATAAGGTTTAGTTAGAAATTCTACTAGCAATTAATTAACTCATTTAAATAACTATTAAATTTTCTTGTTTGTTTTCTTTTCTTTTTTTTTTTGATTTATTTTTTTACTTATTTTGATAGGAGTGAAAAAAAAAATTGCCTTATTTTAATTAAGATATATTGCATAGAATTCATATGAACAGTTTGTTAATTATAAGAATTACTTCTATTTCGGTAAGACCTATTTTGTTATTCATGCTATCCTTCACGCTGCTAAATCCTTAAAGTTGAAGAACTTCGCCATTTTCTAATTCCATCTATTTATATTTAAAACATTTTGACTTACATGATTTTATTTTTAAAGTATTTTGATCATCTCAAATAATTTTAATTATTCTGATAATGCTAGCTATTTAATAAATTAATGCCTTGCAAATCTATGTAGACTAATGCTTGATTTTTAGATAATTATTAAACAAAATCTATTACAATTTTATCATATTTCTTTGTTGACTTTGGAATAAAACTATCGCTTTCATCTATATCGTCTCCACCTAAAAATATAATATTCTTGAGTTAGTTAAAGAGTTTGCCTACTATTTATTTAATCATATTTGCTCTCTCTCTTTTTATTGCTTTTCTTTTATTTTTTAGATGAAATTAATTCAGTATATTCTTTTGTTTTGTTTTATTATTCTTTCAAATTTTCTTTTAACTTGAATTAACAAACAAACAAATAAACAAAATAAACATACATATTTTACAAATAAACAAAAACAAGCATGCTTTTAAACATTAAAATTTATATCAATCAATACTGATTAAATAAAAGTTTTTCTAATAAATATTATTGATTTACATATATTTAAACAGTGTACACTCATGTCCTACTTATTAAAGTAAGAATCGCTAATATTGATTTTTCTACATGTATTACTTTTGTTTCTCTATCAATTCTTTACTTTACTTTTCTTGAAATAAATTATTAAATTTCCTATTGTCATAACATAATTAATTTTCATAAAATAAGCTTATTTATGAATATAACTTTATGATGTTTTTTATTTACATCTACTGCCATAGGAACTTACTAAATTTTCAGGCTTTTCATTCCAGTCATGAAATCTAACAGAAAAATTTTAAGTTGCGTTAATGATTAATAGCTTTAATTTATTTTTTTTAATTAAAAATATTATATTTATCTAAAAAATATTGTTTAAAATGTATTATTTTTAAATTAAAATACTTTTGAAAATTATTTTTTTTTTTTTACTGATATTAGAGAAAATGTTGAATTTTCATTTCATAAACTAAATTATTAAAATAAATAATTTAAAAATTATTGATCTGACTGACTGACAGAATTCTTTATAGCTTTTGGTTTATATATACTTACTTATACATTCATTAGCTAAATACTATTTAAGTAAAATCAATTAATCATAGATTATCTATTTTAAAACTTATTTTATAAAATTTGAATAAATTTAAATGGTATTTAAAATAATACCGTAGGTACTCTCCTATAAGGAGGGTCCAAAGATAACTTATTTCCAACTTTTACTCTCCTTGAAAATTAGAATTTAACATTTTTTTGCCCCTAAAAGTGACTCTTAATTAATAAGAAGTTAGAATAATAGTCTTTAATAAAAAATTAAATAAACTTTTAATAAAAATATATTTACTTTACATAAATAAAAAAATATTTTAATTAATTTATTGATTTTTAATTTTTTAATAAATTAAATTTATAATTTTATTGAATTAACTTAGTAAAATCTCTTTAATTAAATTTTTGTCAAAAATTTGTATCAAGAAATATAATACTTTCTTACTTATTTTAAAACTAAATAATTATTTTATTTCTAATATTAAAATATTCAAAAATGCCTTTTAAAATTTACTTAACAACTAAATAATGAATTAATATACTGGTGAAATTTAATATTTAAAATAAAGTAAAATTAGTAAAAAGAGTTTATATAATCAATATATATATTAATTTTAAACTTACTTATTAATATAAAACACAATTATATTATTTAGAAAAGTTATTTTACTAGCACTTTTTTGTTTTAGAGTAATTATTAATTTTCTATCATTTTTATAAATGTTTAACAACATCTATTATAAATTAATAATCTAACTTTTAATTAATTAATTGGTACGTACTGACATTTAGAATAATCAAAAACGCCTATATAACATTATTTTATAACTAAATAACTAATTTATATATTCTGGTGGAATTTAAGATTTAAAGTGAAGTAAAATTAGTATTATTTGTAGTACTAATATATTTAATACTTAATTATTTTTAAGTTTTTTAATATATAAGACAATAATTTTATTAAAGAAATTTTGTTTTTAGATTGATTATTTATTTTTTTTTGCTTTATTATTGAAAATTGAATAAATTAAACAAGTATTTTTTTCTTTTAGTGTAATTCTAAGATTATATCATTTTTATGGAGCGTTAACAACATCTATGGTAAACTCTATTTAACTATCTAATTTTGATAAGCTTTTAGTATTTAAAGGAAAAGATTATTATTCAGGTAATTTAAATATTTTTTCTGAAAAAGTTCCTTTCTTGAAATTTCCTTTTGCATCATAAAGTGGCTAGGCAAACCAACCATAAGGAGACTCTCCATCTTCCTAATTTATTTTAAAACAAAAATTTAAAATTTAAATATTGTATTAAATTGCTTTTACTATTTTTTGTGGATTCTCTTTTAGGAAAAAGATGCTTAGGAACACATTTTAGAAATTATGAGTTTTTGATTTTAATTTGTCGGGATCTATTAGAAAGAAGACTTTTTCGTCAATTAAATCTGATTTTATTTATAATGATAAATTAGTTTATAATAAAATAAATTTAATTAATTTACTATTTTTCAATTTTGTATCGGGGTCGAAAACAGAATCTGTTTCAAAGTAGCAAGGCTAGCTATCACGAGATAAAATAAGTTTAGTAATTATTGTATCACATATTTTTAGATGATAAGCTATGGATATCTTCTCTTTCTAATTTTTAACTTCTTTTAAATATATTGAAACCCCAATTTTACTATCAGGTTCAGAGTCTAAGTCAGAAAAGTCTTATGACTATTGTGCTGCTGCATTTTTATTGCTGTTTTTGTTATTTTTTTACTTATTTTTATTGTTATTATTATCATCATCCTCATCATAATTATTACTCAAGTTGTTGTTAATATTTTTATTATTGCTATTTATAATTTATGGTGATTACTCATCTTCTTCTTCTTAATTGACTGATTAATATTCAGATGTCATTATTTCCTATTAAGAAAAACCAAAAATATAAATTAAAGTTTGAATAGAAATAAAGCTTACATATTCTAACCTTGATTTAGAATTTTTTATTGCCTGAAGATTAAAAGGCGGCTATTAAGATGGAGGTTCTAAAAGGTAATTCGTAAATTTACCCTTTTTTATAATTAAAAAAAATTAAATTGAAAATATTTAACTTATATTTATATATATATGCTTACTTTATTAAGTTTTTTATATTTAAAGAGGGGAAAGACTATCCAGCCAATTTAGTTTTATTTGTTATCGTATACAGTGTAATACATTTACATTGATTCTAATTATTTAATATCATAGTCATCTTATAATTTATTAGGATTCAAGTTGTAAATGCACTCTTATTAAAGCTGCAAACTATTTCTTTCTGCTCCAGCTTACGCATTAAATGATTTATTATATGTGCAACTATTACCTAAATCATCCATCATTACTTCTTCGCCAAAAATCATTGATCCTCTAATCGTCAATTAATTTCCTTTTGAAGGATCATGGTTTTTCAAATTTAGAAATCTAATCAAAATGCTTTTATCAGACGGTTTAATGTTTGGAATAGGCACTTTCTTAGGTAAATTTGAATTTTTAAGACTCGAATTGTTGAGGTTATTTTTTTAATTATTTGGATTATTATTACTATTTAAATTATTACTTCTTACGCTACTGGGATTATTATTATTATTATTTTAATCATTTTTTTTAGATAAATTATTGTTCAAATCATTAATTTAATTATTTGAATTTAAACTATTATTTAGACTGCTATTTAGAATATTGTTATTTTTTGGGCTCACCAGATTATTTCTCATAACTCCAGCATTTCTTGGACTATCTCCCCTTTTATTTTACTACGGAGCTCTTTTGATACTTGATAAATTTAAGGATTGAACTTAATCTACTGAGATATCGATGTCTTTGTCAATTGGAAAAGGAATCATTTCCTAAAATTCAAATTAATAGTTATTTTTATTAACAAAATAACAATAAATAAAGGTCTTACTGATTCTATCTTAAATTTGGAGTTTGTCTTCTATCCCTCAAAAGGTGGAGGAAGAGCTGGTGGCTCATAAAGATAATCTACCTTTTTACCTTTGTTGAATTTTCTATATTTGAATAACGGAATGGTAATCCAACCAACTTGGTTACCAGCTTCATCGAAGAAATTTGCAATTAAACAAAATTTCTCAAGTTCATTATAGTCATACTACTAAACAAGATCGTATAGATCTACATCAAAATCTCTTATAAAGTTAATATCAACAGCCGTAATATCTTGTTTAGATTGCTTAGCAACCATATCCTTAGAATCAGCGCATTGCAGGCCGTTTAAATCTTTGATAACCTATTATTTTTGAAAAAATTTAAGTTCTTTCAAAATAAAATAATTTGATAACTTACTGTTTATCCATACACAATAGCTAATCTTACAGTTACTTTTTTCCCCTTTTTGATGTCATAATTTTTGAGTGTATTGAATTTCAATCTAAACCCATGAATATTGTCATAATCTGATAAATTTAGCTTATTATTCTTTGCTCTTTCTTATTTATTCTTTCTGTACTCGTCATCATCATCATCACCTTCACCTTCACCTCTTTTTTTCTAATTTCTATTACTATCTAATTAATTTTTTTTGGTTTACATTTTATATTTATCAAGATTATCTTGGTCGTCTTCAAACATTCCATCTCCTTTTTTCCTCTTTATATTTATTATTTTTTTATTAAAACACATAAAATTTTCTAATAAAGTAATTTATACCAGCAAAGCTAACTTATATTTCCTTAATCTATCTATTTCATTGATATTATCATCTTCTAATTTAATTCTTTATGCAGGATCATCAAATCCATCTAAAATTTAAGAAGTTGTGGAATTAATGAACCTTTTGTTTCTACCATAAACATGCATATATTCATCATCTGAATCATCATCACTGTCAGGACAAGGAAGTGGAATAATTTCCTTTAATTTTATTTTAATAAAAAACATGTACTTTTTAGCATTTATATTTTACAACATTATAGAGAATAAGAAACAATAAATAATAATTAATAAATAAAAATGAATTTAATAGTTTAATAATTATATTTTACATGTTGCATTTCTATATCAAGAGGAATTTTAGGGTCAGAAAAAGGAGGTTTTTAAGATGGAGGAGCATAAAGACAGCAAGTATAGCGACCCTTATTAAATCTTAAATTAGTATACATAGGAAATACTTCCCAACCAATTAGTTTACCATCTTTATCGAATACATTTAAAAGTAGTTTGAATTTTTCTAAATCTTCAATAGTATGGAATTCACTTAAAACTGGCCTCATATCAATGTCAAAATCTCTTTTAGCTTTTCCTAATACTTTGCTAGGGTCTGTTTCGGATCTTACACCATTAATAATTGCAGAGAAGGAACAATTATCACCATTTTTATCAATATAAACATCATCTCCATAAAGTAAAGCTCCTCTAACAGTAAAAGAATTTCCATGCTTTTCAGCTAATTTTTCTAACTTGTGGAACTTAAATCTAAATCCACTTATACCTTCTATATCATTTACATTAATCTTCATTCTATATTTTTAAGTAATTTTTTAAGTGTGGTTTCCTGGAGGAAACTATTATCCAGGTATGATCTAAGTATTAGTGAGGTTTTAGGCTTTGTTAGGAGTACCAGATCTTTCAATAGTTATATTAGGGGAAGAACCAACCCTCTTTTATCCTAAAGATGCATTATTAATTGAAGTTGATAAATTGTTAACAGCACCAGATGGGTCTTCAAAAGGAACTTAATAATGAATCAATTTAGTTGGCTTGATTGTTGTACCAGGAAGATTGACAATTTCATGAGAATAATCTAGCCAGTGATATTTCTTTTTAAATTTTATTTAGAATTTTTAAATAAATAACATAAAAAATATTGTAAAATGTAAAGTTTACTTTCTTGTCATAATTTCCAATTAATTGGCGAATTAAATTTAAATGAGATGCAAGAATTCCATATTCAGGGCTAAATGGAGGAGTTTTTCTTAAATTCAAGAGAAGATCAGCTTCCATAGCTTTTAAATATTCGAGTTATTCGACTTCAGTATTAGCACCTCTTGGAAAACGATGGCTTAGTCCTGTTACATAAGGCCACTCCATTTTTAAATTAAACGGTGCTTAGAAAGGAGGCATAGCTCCTCCCATGTAAATATTGGTAGGACCCTTTTGAATAAATTTTATAAGAGTTTGCTTTTAAGAATTTTATTTTATAATTTTACTGGTTAATTCAAAGGTGGTAGTACTTAAATGGAAGGCTATTATCTTTATCCTAGTAAAAGCAATAACTATTCAATAGTAAAAGTATGGTAAGGAAATTGAGGTCCAAGGAAATTAGCTCTCCAGTCTCTTAATGCTGTATTAAATAATTTATTAATGAAAATGATACAAATAAAAAAATTACATGGATGCTCAAAATTCCAAAGGTTGCATTAAGGCCTCTATTTAATAAAAAATAAACATTTTATTATAAAATGTAAAATTTTATGCATAGTAAATTTATTTATAAATATTTCTTCATTATATTAATTAATTAAAACATTATTTTAAGGCTACCATTTATCACTTTTATAAATGCATTTAAATAACTTTTATGAAAATCTTAATTACTTCTGGCTCTCTCTTTGGTGGTGGAGGAGGAGGAGTTACTACTTTTTCAACTACTGGTTCATATTCAATAGGTATAGGTGTTGGAGGTTTAGCTGGTTATTGCAAAAAACTATTTAAATCAAAGTGAAATTTTTTTCTGTCATTTATAAGTTTTTATTTTAGTGCCATTAGCTTATGAAGTTATTCCAATTCTTTCTATAAAAATGCATCTCTAATAATACCTTTTTGTAATAGTTCAAAGTCACCTCTTGCATAAAAATCGATAAATACTGATAGACTATTCAAAAACGCATCTTCTCTTTCTTTTAATTATTTTCTTTAATTAACTAAAATGCTAAGTAAATCTTTTAGCTCTTTTAAATTTTTATTATCTCTAGCCATTTGTGTTATCTTTTATAAAGCTTTTTCTAGCATAACTTAATCTTCATAGTGATTAGCCTGTAACCCGTTTTCTACATCTAAAGTCATTAGCACTTCTAAACACTCTTTTTCGACTTCATCCCTATCATAAATTTATTGAGTTAATTTCAGTAATGTATAAAGTTGCAAACTAATAAACTTTTTCAAAATTAACTCTTTTACAACATATATTTTGCTTCAGCAATAATGCCTATAAGCTTATATATAAAGATTACCTTTCAACTCCTGATCTTTCTCTCTTTTTCAAAATTTCGAGAGTTCTCTCACCAAGTATAGAGTACTGATCTGCATTAAATTTAATTTCATGTAAACTCTTTTCTTTACCCTTTTATCCAGTTTTATGATAATACTGTGCTATATTCAATTTTAATAAAAGATATTAAATAATGACATTCATAAGCATTGCAAATGTTTCATAAAATATCAATAACTATACGCGTTTTAATAGTATATGCTGTATTTGGTGTACTTATAGTACGATAATTCATAATTTTAAATAAACTATTTGATTAACTTCTACTTAATAACCCTAAAGCTCAATCTATTATTTATAATCCAGTCTTTCTTTTTGCTTAAAATCTATCTAACTATTTCAGTATTAATTCAATTAGCTTACTTTTATAAAAATCTAAGCAAAAAAAATCTTAACCTTTAATTTTTTTCTGTCAAATAATAAATATAAAAATTAAAAAACAAATGAAATCATTAAAATACTAATGAACTAAATAATAGCTGGTCTTAAAGAAATATACTAAACAGCAGAGTTTACAATTGATTTAATGAATGGTAAGATTATCATTATAAAATAGGTTATTTTCACATTTTGCTTGTATGCGTTTCAATAAATTTTCAATGAGTCAATCATATTCACACAAATATATTTAAATGTACATCTTGATTACTTTGAATATTGAAGAGAAAGAAATTTGTTTACATATTTTTAATATTGCTTAAAAGATTAAGTAAAAAAATTTAAATTATTAGAAAAACAATTTAATTTTACTCTTAATTAATAAATTTTACAAATAAAATTGAATTTTTTGCTCTATGATATTAGAAATCTGATTAGAAGAAAAAATAAAAATCTCCTAATTTCTAAAAAAGCTACATACTTAATTGAAATTTTTTAAATACATCATCTGAATACAAATCTAGTAACATCTGATTAATAAAAATTAAATTTTGTAATTAGGTATAATTGAAAATTAGACCTTCAAAATTTAATTAATTAATAAATTACATACAAATTTGTAAATTTGTTTGTTTGCTTGCTTTTCTTGTCATTTTATAAATTAATTTTATTTTACAAAAATAATTTTTAATAAATTTTAAATTGTAAGGTTAACAAATAGATAGATAAATTATCAGATTTCAAAAAATATTTTTGAGGAACTAACTTGTAGAAATTTCATCTAATAAATGAAATCCTTGCTAAGAAATTTCCATTTCCTATACTACCATTTCTTTAATTGAAGAATTCAAAATTTTCAACGAATCTACTTTTGCTTACAATTATTCAACTGTTAACGAATTATCAGTTAAAAGGCATAATGCATCATACCCACCAGCTCCAGGGCAAACCCCATAGTAAACGGAAGGGATTTCAATGATAATTTAATCCAAAATATCAGATAATATATCAGGTTCTGTCTCCACTTTAGCCTTAATTCCAATAGTCTTGAATACATCTCTGTATTATTTATTTAATTCAATAATTGATTCCCTTTTTTCTTTTAAGTTTTCTATGCTTTGTATACCGCTGAAGATTTCTTATAATTTCGAAGCCTTTTGATTACACTATTCGTAGAAGATTTGAGCTTATTCAGGATTATTATCAAGATATTTTTTGACCTCACCTGCTAATAGACGTGTGTCACTTCCTATTTACAAATCTATCATCATTATTTTTAACTATTTAGGTATATTAAAGCGATTGAGTGTATTCCATTTATATTATTGTTGATTATTTGAAGAAAATATATCAGGAGGAAATCTTTTATAAACTTAAGACCCAAAAACGCTAGTAGCTATATCAAATCCACTTCCTATTTTTTTTTGTGCTATAAAATTAGCTTTTTGAGAAAGGTAGTGAAGTTTCTCATCTGCGTAATCTTAAAAATATTAAAGAAGAGACCCTAAAGTAGCTACTAAAACGCATGCACTTGAACCTAAACCAGTCTTATGCAAATTATCTTTATCAAAAATACTGAAATAGTTTGATTTTTGCTCATTTTTTTTAGAAGCTGAAGAATAGAATCTATTATCATGAAAAATATTAACATTAATATTCTTTGTTAGTTTAGAAAGATCTTCTACTCCTTCTTCAATAACAACTTTAGTGACAGCTTCTAAAAAGGGATTTTTTGCTTATGTTTCCGATTAGCTTACTTGCTTTGATATCAAATCAATTTCATAAATCCACTCAGATTCAATTTATTTTGAAATAAACTTAATTATTATTTTTTGATTGGATTATTATTAATTTTAAACATCTTAAGTAGTAATGAATGCATAAAACTTTTCATTTAACCCTACAGAGAGTCCGACACATTATTCAGATAGAATCGCATATCCGCCCATAATCAAAACCTTTGAGGGACAGCAGTAAACTTTAGTTTAATTCAACAAACTATCTTGCATAGTAATATATTTGAAAATAAAATTTAAGTATTGTGAGTTGATATTTAATAATATTATTATCAAAATAAAATTTATCAGATTTAATTTTTTATCATCTAATTTTAAACATTTTTAAAAATATTTATTAAATTAAAATTAAGATATAAAATTTATTCTATATATAATTATATAACAAAGTAAAATTTTATTATCAATATTTAAATAATATAAATTGTAATATTTCCAATCATTGTGACCTTTCAAAAAAATTTTATTGCACTTATATTTAATTTTTAATCTTATCACCATTAAGAAAAAAATCAAAGTTTTTTTATCACAAAAAATGAAAAATCACATTTGATATCATGATTTTTGACCACAATATAGCAATTTAGCCCATACTTCATTAATTATAAGTACAGAAAACTGTCTTCTTTAACAATAAATAAATTAGCTACTAATTACTAAATAAATTTTTTATATTAGTTTTTTGCTATTTGCATTAATTTTTGATGCTTAAATTGAACAATAGAAATATTTTGTTAATGAACTTTCAAAGATATTTTAGTAAGGAAGTTAATATTTAGTATAAATTGATAATGTTTATAATAATAAATGATGTTATAATTTTATTAAACAATAACTCACATAAAATAAAGATTTAAAATAAATCAACTATGGTTTAACAAAGAATGTTCAAATAATTTTTACTCTTTGCTTTAAAGCAATTTATAGGGCTTTTTAAGTGCAATAGAGTCATTATTTTATTCTTTATTTTTTGTACTTACTGGAGTGTTCGGTTTATTGGAAGTGTAGCTCTCTTAAAATTATGAATAAGTTAAACTATCTATCTAATTTTTGCTTACACTAAGCAAAATACTTTAATTACGAGCAGAATGTCTATCCTAATTATTTGTTTCATTATTACTTGAAAAGTATTTTACTAAATTTTAAATATATTTTTTGCTACTTCTTTGGCCCTTTTAATTATTGAAACTAACTTTTTAATTCTTGTTTGTTTTACTAATTTAGTTTTCTGTTTTTTATAATAATTCAAAAGAAAAGTTCACTACTTTTGTTTGTTGGAAACTTTGCTAAATGTTAATTTAACTTAAATCTTTGGGAATATCGATTATATATACAGTTAGTCCAATCTCAGAAAGGTTTTACTAGCTATTTTAGTGATGACTTAATCTACTTCTTTCTTCATATTATTCAATTACAATTTCTTTTTTACCTTAAATAGCTTAAGCAACTTCTTAAATAACATTTTTCTCAATAAAATTATATTAATTAACATTATTTAGGCTCCCAAACAGTTATTCACCAGTTAGCTTTATAGGCGAGCCTATTTTTATTTTGCTACCTTCATCGCTTGTAAAATATGAAATAGTAATTCTTTATTAACTCTAAATAGTTTACTAGGAGCAACTTAATTTACTTTCATATTATTTTTATTATATATTATTGTGTACATTCAACACTAAAGAATAAAGTAAATATTTTAGAAGTTAAGGATCTGTGTTGATAAAATAATCTTCAATTTAACTCACACTATTTAAAACAATAACGAAGGATTTCATGCAGAAAAATATACTTTTTAAATATTCTATAAGATTAATTTATGTCTTTTTCAAATTTTAGATAGCTGAATTTTATGATTAAAAAATTAAAATAGATTGTAATTGATTATTATGCTCTGCTAACTCTTATAAAATATACTGATAGTTTATATCATTATGTATCAAATCATTATTTTCAAATTAACTGCTAATTAATTTATTTATAAGATCATCTAATTTTTAAATCAAATAATTTATGTAATTAGTTTAAGTAAGTTTGTGATTGTTTAGTGAGTTATTAATATTTGAAATCAAAAAGCTAGCTTATTTACTTTTGTTAATTAATTGTGAGCCATCATTATCGATTTCATATTTCTATTTTATTTAATAATTTAATTTATATTTTTAAATGCTTATAATCTGATAAAAATTAATAAAATAAAAATGGTCAAAAATACATCAGATGAAATAAAACTTTAAAATAAATAAAGAATGCTTCTTACTTGTAATTAAGTTTATTAAAAGTCTTCTACTATAGATATGGCTATATATGGTTTATCAATTATCATATAGTAGACTTAAACTTTAAAAATACTACTGTCTTCTAAACCTTCGTTAATTCTTTTTGCATAAACAGTTTCAAAATTATATTTGTTGAACGAACCTATATTACTTTACTGATTAGCTTCTTAATAGAATTTTTATTTTGGGAAGAAATCATGAGTTAAATACTCCTTAAGAGTCTAAGGAAGCTATATTCCTTTGCTGAAGTTAATATTGTTTTAAATTTCTTATATAGTTTTATCTACTCTTAAGTTTTAAATAAAGTTGTCAAAGTCTTTTAAATCATTGATTTTGTTTTTTATAGTTGCTTCGTTGTTACATTCTTTTAAAATTTTACAAAAAATTAAATAATAAATTGGAAATATTTCTAATAAAAAAATTGCTATCAATTTTTCATCAAATATTTTTAATGTGTAGGGATTTAATCATTTGAATAATATTTAATCATTTTTTGAAGCTATTTAAATTATTTTTTATTTTATAAATTTCTTTGAAATGTATAATTTTGTTATCTTACTTATAATTAAAAAATATAAATTGAGTAAAATAATATTTGAAATTTTTGATTGACTGGTAATTAATTGCTTCATAAAAATTATAAAAAATTTTTAGGTTGATATTAATAAATAAATATTAGCTTGTTTAAATAAATGAGGAATTTAGATTAGATAATTATACCTTCAAATATGAGACTGTTATTTTGGATGGATGTAATAATTAGTGAGTTTTGCTATGTAATTCCAAGCAAAAAGCATTTTTATTAGTAAATTAGTTTATTTTTTATAAATTCAGCTAAAGAGTTTTAGTAATATTTATATCTAATTAATATAACATAGCAATACATTACAAGCATTAAAAAAATTAAATAGGCATTTATTTCATTGATAAAAAATTAGGTAATAAAATTTAGACTAATCCGAGCTGCTTCTAAAACAAAAAAATCAGCCTAAATACTTAAAATAAGAATTGTCTCAATCTTTTTGATTAATTTTAAAAGAATCTAATGATTAAAATAGTATTTTTTAAAATTTTAATTACAAATCCAAATAGAATTTCTACAGATATTTGATCAGATAAGGGTGTTAAACTAGAATTTGTAGGTTAATTTTTTATTAGATTTTCATTTTAACTGTAAAAATAAATAAAAACTGCATTTGAAGAGAGTTAAAGAATACAAAGCATATAAGGTTTTGTTATTAGTATCCTCCACTAAATTAAGGTTATTAGGAACAAAAAGCAGTAATAAAATGTATATTCTATAAAGAAGGTACCCATGTAGACGTTATGGAGTATACTGAGAATAACGATGAGTAACAATGTAATTCTAAATTACATGCTATTCTAATTAATATTTTATAAATATTTATCATAAAATTTTGAAGTATTTAGAATAAATTAAATATAAATTTGGTTATTTGATTAATTAAACATAAAAACTTTATTTAAACGTCTAAAGTAGAAGTTTGTTAAAAAGATTATGATTTAAATAACATTTTTTTAGTAAAATACAAAATTTAGAAGGTTGTCATTAAATAAAACTAAAAATTTTAATATAATTTTACTTTTTAGCTTTAATACTGCAGGTATTAATACTCAAGTTGTTTACACCTAAATTTTAGAGTATAGATATTTGCATATTTTTTTATCTCTATTTTAGATTCATTCATAAAGTTTTAAGAAATGGATTTTATGAAACTTTGATTCAACCCCAAGCCAGTTGTTTTGAAATCATTATTATTGTTAGTAGCATTATTAGATTGATCTTTATTGTCACTAATAAACATTTAATATTTTTATAACTCTTTACTTTAATTTATTTATCTTTCCCTACTTAAAGTTTTTTATATTTTATTTCCTAGTTTAGTTTTGTTTAGAGGCAATTTCTAATTATTAGCAGTAATTTAGAAGCTTATTAATTACACAAAAATTGATAATAATTGTTATCAATGATTACCATTTACTTTAATTTAATAACTTTAAATATTAAAATAGAAATTTTTTAAAAATCGCATTGCAGATTCTTAAATCAAACAAAATTGATTTCATTAAATTTCATTTAAATAAATAATTATTTTAAATAATATCAAGCAAAATTAACCAATAAAAAACAAACATAATTTCTAGCTTAAAAACAAATATTTGCAAATTTAATACAAAGAAAATTTCATTTTTTAAATAAACTTTATTGAGCTATTAAAATAATTTTTTTACTCATTAAAAGCTTTAACAAAATGTTCTCAATCAAATCTGTGATACCTTATAAAATCAACTAATAAGTCATTACTAACTGATTAGCTTATAAAAAGTACATTTACTTGCTAAAAATTAATTAATTAGAACGATCACAAATTAATAAATTGCTATTTGATTTGAAAGTAATGAATGAATAAAATTATTAATGAATTTATGAATGAGTGAGTGAATGACATTTAAAAACTAATAATAATTAATAATTAATATATATAAATATGTAGAAGTACAAAAATTATTCAAATTAGCTTCATTTTACGCATTACTCTCATGAACTCATCTTTAGATACTCTCTAATCATCATCCAAATCAGCAGCAAAAATCATTTCTTTTAAAATTTTATCGTCAACTTCTTCACCTAAATCAGCAGCTACCTTCTTTAATTTATCTAAATCTATAAAACCCTCGTTGTTGTCATCAAAAAAGTTAAAGGCTTTTTCGATTTCTTCTTCTACATTTTTATCTTCCAACTATTTATTTTATGTATCAAATTATTAAAGCCTTTACAAAGATTTAAATATAATTTCATATTTAATTGTATTCTAAATTTAAAATTTAGCTAATCTTTCATAAATATTTTTCTTGAATAAAAATAGTTAATTAATAAAATTATTTACCATTTTCTTTTTCATCATAACCAAAAATTCTTCAAATTCTATCATACCAGAACCATCTTTATCAACCTACTCAATAAGGGCTTTTACTTCTTCTTTTTTTGATTCAAAACCTAAAGCTTTCATTGCATCTTTTAATTCTTTCTCATCAATAGCTCCTGAACCATCTGTATCGAATAGATCAAAAGCTTGCTTTAATACATCTATTTATTCTTATGTTAACTTTGTTCTTTTTTTCTTTTGCTTTATTTTAGGTTTAGGTACTACTTTACCATTTTAGTCATCTTCTTAATGACTCTTAACAGATTAATTATCAGTCATTTAAATACTTGCTTAAAAAGTTAGCTATCAGCAACTTTTAATTTTATAAATTTCTAAGAATAATAATAATTACTTATAATATAATTGATAAAAAACTAAATCAATTTAAGAAATTGAGTGTAATACCTACCTACCTACTGTTTCTAAAAAGAGAACTATTTTAAAAATTCATTTTTATTATAGCTAGGAGTTCTTCAAATTCTATCACGCCATAACCATCTTTAACAAATTACCCAAAATGCTATTTTTCTTTTTAAAATCTAAAAATTTCTTTCATATTATCTATTCATATTTCCTGGATGGTTATAATCGTTTGTGAAAATATTACTTAAATAAATGTATTCACTGATAAACTCCATATTTATTTTAATTTTATTAAGCTTAATTACAACATACAACAGCGAAGTTTATTTACCATCCTTCTTTTATATTTCTGTATGCTAAATTGATTTTAAATGGTAATGTAAAAATAATTTTTAGGTAATTAACTTTCAATAAAAATAATGTATCTGATATATATAAATAAATAAAACTAATATGATAATGGATTATATTAAGTTTTAAGTTTAGTCAATTATTTATCTATTAATTGTTGCCAGCAATTTCAAATTAACTAAAATAAAATAAAAAACAGTTTATTTTAATGAAATGTTATTTTAGTACATTAAGTTAAATAAAAGGATAAAGATGAATGAAAATAAAATTTAATGTAAAAAAAACTGAGTTGTTATTTCAATTCAAAAATCAATTCATCAAAAATACTCATCATACAGATATCAATCTATTTTTTATCCGAAAATTATTATTGAATTTTCTACAAGATTTTTATGAACTCAATCAATTAATATACACGAATTATTTATTTAGCTTTATTCAACTTTATAAATGCAATTACAAAATATTTTTTCAAACTTATTTTAGTATTTCTTAAATAAGATCATGATGATCAAAAGCAAATCTTTCAGGCCCAAAACTTTTTACTTCATCAACATCATAAAAAGTAGCTGTAGCAGCATCATCTCCAGCTTTTGGTTCTGCATCATCAGAAATATCCACCCAGTACACAATAGTTACAACATGATATCTAGGGTCTCTATTAGGTTTACCTCTAACTGTAAATAATCTAGCATTTTTCCCTTAAATACTAGTTTCTTCTTCTAACTCTCTAACTACACATTCTTAAGGATCTTCTCCATATTCTACATGACCTCCAGGTAATGCAAAACAGCCTATTGAAGGATTTTTTTTTCTTGTGATCAATAAGATTTGTTTCTTATTGGTCTATTTGTTTGTCTTAATGCATATAGCATCAGCAGCTAATTTAGGACAGTTTCTTTACTCAGCCATTTAAAAATTTTCCTATTGAACCTACTTTTATGAATCTAATCTGTTTTTATGTAAACAAAATATCTATTTAATAATTATTCTTAGTAAATATATAAACTATAAACAATAAATTTATAATTAAGGATTTTAATTATCGAAAGATTTTTTCGTTTAGATGCGCTCACCCACTCAATCTCAATCAGTTTTAATCATAATTTGTTTCTATTATTTGATTTTTTGTGAATGTTAATTACTAAATCCATTTAAATTGTGAAGAACTACTACAACAATAAAATAGACATAATATTTATTTCTCTCAATTTACTTTGTTTATAAAAATATCTTAAATATTTTTTGATATATAATTAAATATTAGTATATATCATCATATCTCATAAATTAGGTTATGATTGATCTTCAAATTGTAATATGTAGTTTTTTAAATTGGTTTTTTTTTATACTCAAAATTACATTTAAATTATATTTTAAAAAGTTTTTATTTTTATTTTATGAACTAACAAAAAATTAAATTTGGTTATTAAAAAATTAATAAAGTTTTTGAAATAAAATTAATTTTATTTGAGAAAAATAGTTTTTAGAAATACAAGTTAGAAAATTAGGTAAAATGAATGAATAATAAATATTTTATGAATATAAATAAATTAAAGTTTTAATTAATTTTAAACATAAAAGAACGGAATTATAAATATTTAAAATTCTTAAATTAAGATTAAGGTAGGTTAGATTTTGATAGTTAATAGTTAGTATTTATTACTTATATTTGTGTTCTTGCTTTTAAATATTATTTATTTATATTTATTTATTTTTATATTATTTTAGTAAGATTTAATTCAGTTTTCTTTCAAAAAAGCCTTAAAAATTAATATTATTTGTATTTATTTTAATTCTAAAACGATTGTTTTTACTGTTGTAAAAAATAATATTATATTTGATTAGATGTAATGATCATTATTAATAAATTAATAGCAAAATTTTATTTAATTTTGTTTATTTTTATTGTTCAAAGGAATATATTTTATTTTATTATTTCTACAGAACCAAGCCTCTCATATCTGGATTTTGATATAGTTTCAATCACATTAAGCTTGAGCAAGTCAGCTGTTCCAAAAACTCTTGTATTTCTAGGCTACTTTGGAATTATTGGCTAGAAAATATTCATTATTTAGTCTTCTTATGGTGGGTTAGTTGTCATGTAAAATTAATTTAGAACTTATAAAATGCTTGCTTAAATAAAATCGTTCTTGCATTAATTATTGATCACCACACTTTATGATTTAAAGCAGCTAATAGCAAACTCATGGTCTAGACTTTCTAAAAAGTCTTGGATATCCTTTTGAATTGAGTCTCCTTTTTTTGACATTACTGAGTTGCCACTGGCAGCTAAGGCTTGAGACTACCCTTAAAGCAATATGCTGTTATTTTATTAAGTAGGGATAACTTAAAAATGATTTAATTATCCTTAACTCATTACAAAATCAGTCTCGTTTTTCACATAAAAGCTTGTATTAGGTTAAGCAAATATTATACGAAATTTAGAATCCAACGAAGAACCTTAATTGACAGGTAGACAAAAAATATATCCTGATTCAAGTATATCAAATACTATCCCGTTTTTTTTATTTACAAATTTAAGTATAGGCACTCCTGAAGAACAAATAGAGAATCGTGCTACTTTGAGCTACTCAAATACAAATTTCAAAAGCATCTCAGCAATGGCGTTAAGCTAACTTGCTTAACGAGCAAATCTTAAAAAGTTATTGATGATGACTAAATTGCAATTTTGCTGTATGCCAGCTAATTTAAAAACTCTTTTCAAAATTTCTTTCCATGTTTCAATAATTGTGAATTGCATATCATCAAGTGTTTAAAAGTCGTTTATTCTTTCAACTTTTGTCTCTTATTTTTCAAAATGAATTTGGTAAAACTGACTTATCTGTCTCTCAAATGGATAACAGTGATATTTCTTGTTCGCTATAAATTTTAGTTGCTCTTACGAAACATGCTAAGTATTGTTATTATTTTATGCGTTACTTGGTGAATTTGCGTTTAATGTGATAGAATTTAGTTCTTTTAAATTTGCTCCTGCAGTATTTCCCATCTGCTACCCCTTCAAGTTTAAACTAGTTAGACTGCTATTCGTGCTGTTAGATCCTATACAAGCTATTTCTTCGAAAAGGCAAAACTCCTCTGTTTATTCATTAAAAGAAACCTAAATCTTCATGTGAAGATTTGGTTCGTTTACATTGCTTACAATTACCAATCTCTCTTAAATATCTAAAATCCAAAAATTAGTTAAGTTTGAATTGTTTTGGGCAACACCTGTGTTAATAGAATTCAATGTATTCGACTAGACCTACATTGAAATACCTAAATGGCTATTTTGCTGAGAAAGCTAAGACTCATAAGCGTCTTCCACAATCATTGAAAGATTATTATGAGCAAGAGTTTGGCGATTATTTGTAATTTTCAACTCAACCTCATCTTCACTCATTTATTTTAGCTTCTTTTCAATGTTATTGCAGCAATTAGTGCAGTTATTACCCATTACTAACTATTTTTACCTATTTTAATCCTATTTTAATGAAGGCTTTGTTTGAATTTATCTTTTTATTGTTCTTTTTGCTTGAGTTTTTTTTTTTTTTTCTAACTCACCCAAAAATATATGAATTTAGTTACTTTCTTAGTTAATTTATGCTGTAAATTTATAAGTCTCTTTAAAATTTTTGCTTTTTTTAATTTTTACTTAATCTACTTATGAATTTAGCTATTTAAAACTAATAACTCAAACTTATATGTTTATGATGATTAACATTCCAGTAAATGTTAATAACTTTACTATGAAGAATATATATAATATTTTTTACCAATCCATACAAAAAAAAGAAGTAATTTCACATCCAATTTAATTTTTAGAAATTATACTAATCATGTGATACAAAATTTTATTTAAAAGCAAATTCTATCCAAATATAAACAAAAATCCTCATCAATATTAGTGCACATTTAAGAATAAATCAAGTTGCTAAAATTTAACTTACTTACTTACTTGAACATCAAGTTAACTTATGGCAATAGTAATGAGAAATAAAACAATAATTATAAAGCAAATTTAACAAATTATTATTACAAATCTAGTATTTTTTAAGTTTTTTAACTTAAAAAATAAGTAGATCAGGTGGATTTAGAACCATAAAAATAAATTAAAACGGATTAAAAATATTCATAAATGTTTTAATTATGTTCGATTATTAATTTACACATATATTTAAATAGAGATTTTCTATTTATTTTTTCAACGTTATAAATTTTTTGGAAATTAAATAATAAAATAAAATAAATAATGATAAAATGATAAAAATAAACACTATTAATCTTATAAATTCTATTTTTTTAGGATATTAATTATTTCTAAAAAGTAGTTTAATAACTAATATTTGAATTGTAAAGTATCTGAGTAAATATTTTTTAGAAATATATTCTTTCATCAAGTTAATTATGCTCTAAAGTAACCTTCATTATAATTAAAGAAAAAAGAAAATGCAATAGCCAAATTGAATCCTTTTATAAAAAATTGCTAAAAGTTAAAACATTTCAATTTTTTTATTAATAAAATATTATTTTAGTTAAATCTTTTTATACATTGTAAACATTTATTTAAATTAATATTCACATTTACATAATTAGCATTTCAATAATCCAATTATTTTCTTAGGTAAATAATAATTTTTTTTCCTCTCTATTTTAATTTATAAATATTATTTAAAATAAATTGAATCAAATACTGTAAATATTCTAAAAATCTATTTTTCTTTCATATTTATTACCATAATATTATTTAATTTTTAATTTATTTTTATTATTTAAATTAAAAATATTAATTAGTATTTGTGTTATGTTTATGTTAGTCTATTTAAGTATTTTATATAAAATTATATTTTCATTTATAATCTTTTTATTATTCAACTATTAAATTTAAATATTTATAAAGTCTTAGTTTTTACATAGTAGATAAAGAATTTATCTTATATTTAATTATTTTAAATACTTAAGATAAATATTAAAACATAATGTATTTTTAAAATATTTATGTGTGTCTTCTTAGTTCTTTTGGAACAGTTTACATCTTAAAATAATATCAATAACAAAATCAATAAAAACTCTTCACAAAATAAAAAATTATTCCTAAAAATACTAATCAAATTGATAATTTTTAACATAAAAAAATTAAGGAAATTTAATGTTTTAAATTCTGTACTTCTTTATCCAGCAATTACTTCATAAAAAGAAAAATTAAAGAATAAAAATCAATAATAAAGGAAATATATGTAAATTTAAAATTAATTTTTAAGAAAAGCAATAATTTTTTTTGAAACAACAAAATAAATTTTAAAAGCTTTCATTTATTTCATCTAAATTTAAATTCAATAGATTTAAATACATTAAATATTAGAAAAAACAACTAATTTAGAAGGAATCTTATCTATTACTATTATAGTTTTGATTATTTCACATGCATCCATCCTAGCTTAATTGTATATGAATTAATTTATTAATCCTAAATAATCTATGATAAAGGAGCTGCAATTAACTTTAAATTATTCACCTCTGAAAACAATATGTCATAATAAAAAACTGGAACTTAAAATAGGAATAAATATCTAAATATATAAGGATTAATTCATAAAACTTAATTTATGTTTTAATCAAATAATGGTAATAAGTGGAAACTACTTATAATGAATTATTTAAGTAAATAAATGTGTCTATAATCTTTTATTGTTTCTTTAAAATTTTGATCAACAACTTTTTATTAGATCTATTTTTAATTAGAATTTTTAATGGAGTACATCTATAAAACTTCTATAATCCTATTAAAGTTAGAAAAAATGAAATTTAATGTTGACTGCTTATTTTAAATATTAATATCATAATTTTTTTTATCGAAAAAAATTTAATGAGGTTAATTTCAAAAGTATTCAATAATCAAATGTTAATATTAGAATTAGAAAATGTTACTAAAGTTTGTATAATCCTAAGAATCCCTCCTCCAAATTTTACAGAAAATTTTTAAATTGAAAATCAAATTGAAACAAAATTATAAAATTTTAATGAAATTAATAATAACTACCATTTATAAAAAAAAATATTAGTTTAGAGCATCAAATTTCTTTTTATTATTTACATACTTAATTATTTTTGTAAGACTATTTTTTATTAAATTTTAGGGTAAGATTTACCTTTATTGATAAGATATTAGGATATATAATAGATTATATTGCAATCTATTTTTCAAATAAAATAAAAATTGTTAGTTGCTTTTGGTCTTGATTTCATTAGAAAATCCTATCAAATCTTTAAAACATCTTTTTTATATATTAAACTAAAGATTGACAAAAATTTTTAAAGAAAGTCAATATTAAATAAAAAAACTTCAGTCTAATAATTTTTTTCCACAAAATAAAATAATCAAACAAACAAAAAAACATACTTCAACCTTAATAAATTAGTAGATATAAGCTATTATATTAATGATTAATTTTGATTCAATTTTAACTTAATGAAGATAAAATTCTTAAATCAACCTTACTTAAATTTTAATTGCTTGAGCATCTTTTTAAGAATTTTTAGATATAAAATTCTTGTAAATCTTATGATTATTCGATTGTATATTACTTCTAAAAATGATTTTATCTTTCTATTTAAAAATTTTTTTCTAAAATATTGAATATTATTAAAATTATTTACTTTAATCCAATTGTGGTGAGTTTTATTTCATCTATTCAGTATTTTAAAGGTTAGCTGAACAACCTACCAGTTATAAAGCAGCTAGTTATTCTTTACTGAATAAAACCATCACAGCTTTCTTGAGTTATATCAAATCTCTAAATAGTTATAAAACATCCATCATTTGATGCATTTAATTTGCAATTACTTTGATCTCTGATGACTTCATTCCTTTGATTTAATGTATATTTTATCTGCTACAAATAGTGAAATAGTACCTATGAAAAATGCAAGTAAATATAAATTAAAATAAAAAATGACTTTACCTAAAATTAAATATACTCTTCTAAGCCTTTCTTTACAGGATATTATCTTTTAACTAAATAAGTTTTTTAGAATAATGCTCTATTTTTTCTTTAAATTTAAGTTTCAATTTTCCTTCATTATCTTTATTTTCTTTATCTACTGAAATTTAAATCAAATTTTGCTAATTTACTATATTTTCCTAAAAACTATTAAGTGTTAAATTGTTTGTTTAGTTGATTTGTGAACTATTATTTGGGGAATTTACTGTAAGTTTTTAAGGATTTCTAAGTTTATATGAAGTAGGACTATTATAAAATAGTAATTTTTTTTCACCAAAAGAAAATTTTTCAAGTCCATCATTCAAAGATATGAGCTATGTTTCAGATTTTTTCAAATTTTCTGAATGAGAATTATTCTGAACTAATTGGTTTTCTAGCTGCTATTCTTTTACTTCATCTTGTTGCTAATAATTTTAATATATTTCACTTGAAAAAGTTGAGTTTTACTGCATATTAATTGATTCTTTCAACTTAGTATTAAATGTAGGTACAACAATAGATTTTGTATTTTCAACTTCTTCCTTCAACATTTCCTTTTTCATTTGAATTAGTTAATCAATCAATGGATTTTCTTCTTAGTTACAAATATTATTTGTTTTTAAAATTGTTTGATAGTTGTTTGAGAAAATATTTTATAAAATAAGCATGAATATATCTTATTCTAAAATTTTTTATGAAATATACCTACCAATAATTCCAAAGCACATTAATGCAGTTATAACAGTGTTACCTTAAGCAAAAATTTAAGTTATTGTTGGGAATTATATTTGGGTAAATTCTACAATTTCATCAAGCTATAAAGTAATTTGCATGATTAATGTTAATCCTGTTTTTTCAAAAATAATCTTTCTATCATAACTTTGTATGAGTGGATTATATTAAATTGGAGAGGAAAAAGTAGAATCAGATTAAAAAATTATCCCTTGTTTTATAATAGTTTATTACTTGATTATATTGAAAGTTGTAAAAATAAACTCCTCCTTATATGTTAATATATTGATTTCTAAATTTTGATTCCATTTGCTGAGAGGTTATATTATATTGTGAAGTATATAATTTAACTTAAAAAGCAGCTGAAAGATTATTAATTATATTATCAATATCACTAGGATCAGCGCAATTATCTGGGATTGTAGTTTTGTAAACATCTACATCCTAACACCTGTAGCCTAAAAATATAATGCTAGATCTTAAGTTACCCTTTAATCCCAAGGTAAGAGTATTATTTTTAGAAATTGTAGAAAAATCTATACATCTATAGTTAGATAGCTCACTATTTGAACATTTAGTTATATTGAGCTAAATCAACTTCATATCAGAGCTATAAAAAAATGGTAAAAATACTAAATAAGTTTTATTTGTTTATGCCTCTAAATCTCTCAAAGAACTGGTACCATCTGTTTAGTAATCAAAGGCAAATAAATCATTATTTAGATCCAAATCGATTCTTTCATTGACGATTACGCTTTAAGACCTATAAGTTGGGTCAATTAGATTATTTAAATACAGATATAGGAGATAAATAAAATAGCCTATGATGATGGTTAATACAGAAATAGACAAAATACCTCCGAAAATGGTTCTTTTCCTCAATTTATTCTTTCCAATATTAAATTAAAATTGTTTCGAAAAGAGATCGATGTTCTATATTTGCATTTTTTTCTTTTTCTGTTATTTATTTTCTTGATTATTAAATCATTTAATTTTTTTTTAATTTTTGGATAGCACTTTTTTCAGTACTGAAGCACATTAAAAAGGAAATATTAAATTAATATGTGGCTGTTGTTGTTGATAATAATCAAAATGAAATTTTATTTACCATGAGTCGAAATTTAATAATTAGTTTTTATTTTTTATTTCTACATACGTTAAGTTATAAATTAGAAGGTGGATTTTAAGGTTGACCTTATTTACAATTAAAAATTACTTTTTATAAAGTTTAGAAAAATATTAATAATAAATTTTTTGATATAAATTGAGCTAAAGTATTAATACCTATTAAATAATAAAAATTATTTTAAAATAGAGAAATTTCCCTACAGTAACACATTTGCTATTTAAAATAGAATGTCCGCATGGAGTTTTTGCAAATACTGGGATTATAGAAATGTGGTCTTTAGATTAATTCCAATTAGATAATCTATACTTCTATATTTATGAGGTTTCATATTTTTAACCTGTACTTGAATTGGTTGAAGATGTAATTGTTTTTACTTTTTCAATTATATTATCGAAAAAGGAATAAATTAATAATTTATAATAATACATGCCTTTATTCTAAATTGATTCAGCTTATTACTCTTAATAATAAAGTAATTTGTTCTTCAATCATTATTGGATTATCACTCATATGGTTTTCTATTTATAGCATAGCTCATCAATTAAATTTTTGTAAAAGAAACAATATTTGCACCAAATACCACCTGAAATACTCTCAGATAGTACTAGAAAATTTAAGATAAATATATTTTTACGTATAAACCTTTATTTATAGCTTGTAAAATAATCTATTTTATTTTAATTTAAAGAACGAAGTATTAACAACATTTCCAAAAAAAATTTATACTGTATTACAAAAATTTATCAATTAAGAATATGACACACTAATAGAGATTGGATATTAATATTAAGAATAATAAACGAATAAATTGGATAAAGTTTTCATAATAAATATAAGAAATTATATATGGATAATTGATACTAATAAATTTAATCAGATTTTTAATTTAAGACTTTTTAACTTTTATTAAAAATAAAAATTATTAATAAATTATTTTCAATAAATAATTTTATCATTTTTTTTTTTCGATTACTTAAACGATTCGTCTTTACAAGCTTAAATAGCTATTTTTGATAATTTTTAGAATTCTCTTGTCATTAAAAAAATATTCATAAACAAAATCATATAAATCCTCTTAGTTGTTGAATACTTATTTAGAGTTTTCTTACCAAACTTGATCTTACATTAGGCTTCAAACGTTTTCAATATAGTTTGGGTCAGGTTTTTGTCCACCCCCTTTTAGTCTTTGTCCACCTCACTCAAACTTTATAAATTAGTGTATCTACTGCGTCTAGTATTGTTTCTTGAGCTTCAAATGTTTCTTATGTGAAAACATTATATATTTTTTAAAAGTGTTTTTTACATTTACGTGTATTACTTTTTATTTTACAAAACATCAAATTAAATTGTGTTGTTTTCGAGTCAACATTTTCTGAATGATTTAAGGTTAAAAAATAGGTGGCTATTAGTAAATACATATATTTTAATAGTAAAATGATGAAATTTTATAAATTATTTTATATTTTGTCTATGTTAGTGCATGTGTTAGAAAAATGTAAATAAATGGTTTGATTTAATAAACTTGAAACATAAAATAATTTTTTTTCTTGAATTTAATTTAATTCTATTTGTGTTGGTATTTTAATTAAATAATATTAATTGTTAGCGCATGCGTTTGTTTATTTATTTATTTATTATTTATTTATTAAAATTAGTTATTTTTTTTTATAGTTTTCTGTAATTATTTTTTTCATTACAAACTAAAAAAAAAGACAAAACATTTAAGTAGAAAAAATAGTGAAAAAAAAAAATATTTTCATAACAATGCTAAGAAATTCATTTAATTCAGTAAGATTAATTTTATAATTAGTGCGATACATGTAATTTTAAAATAACTTTTGATTTTTTTTAATTTATTTATTTATTAAAATTAGTTATTTATTTATTTATTTATTAAAATTAGTTATTTTTTTTTTATAGTTTTCTGCAATTATTTTTTTCATTACAAGCTAAAAAAAAAAGGCAAAACATTTAAGTAGAAAAAATAGTGAAAAAAAAAAACATTTTCATAACAATACTAAGAAATTCATTTAATTCAGTAAGATTAATAATATAATTAGTGCGATACATATAATTTTATAATAACTTTTGATTTTTTTAATATATAGTTTAATTATTTTGCAATTTATATTTTATTTATAAGGCATTTTAGTATAGTAAATTATAATTTTAGTAGCAATTTATTTTTGTGTTGTTCAACATTTTGTACTATTAAATTTTAATTTTTAGTTATTCTTTTTTAGTAGGTAAATTTTAATTGATAAAGAATCACCAGTATATTAAATTTTTTTATATAATATCTTATTCTCATTTTCTAAGACTAGAGTTAATTTAAGTCTCAAATTTTTTTTGTTACTTTTTTAATAAATGCCAAATCTTTAATAAAATATAATTTCATTCTTAGTTAATAAATAACTTTCATTAAATTTAATTTATAAAAAATAAAATTATTTTCTGGCAAGTCTTATGGTAATATTATTTGATTTATTTAACATTTTTAAATATAAGACAGCTTATAAAAATTATTTATTTCCTCTTTAATTTTATTTAAATTGCTTGTCTTTTATACATTGAATGACAATAACCTAAAAGCCTGGTAAAATACTAAACAAATATAAAAGTGATTGATGTTTAAGAAAATACTTTTTTTATTAGTTTTTTTATATCTTAATAGCTATTGTTTGTTAACTAAAAGTATAACAATGACTAATCTCTATGAAATAATTTAAATTCTTTTTTATTTTTGCCATATTTCATTGTTTTTCTAAGACTATTTTTTTTTAAATTGCAAGGGAAGATTGGTCTTAATTAATAAAAAAGTATGGTAAAGAGTAGATAATATTGTAACCTATTTTTCTAAAAAATAAAACATTTTTGCTTTTGATTTGATTTAATTAGAAAACCATTTTAAATATTCAAAACATCTTTTTTATATATTTTAACTAAAAATTGACAAAAATTTTTAAACAAAGTTAATATTTAATAAAAAAATTTTTGTCTATTAATTTTTTTCACCAAATAAAGTAACAAACAAACAAAAACAGATATCATAATATATTAATTATTATTAAAGATTCAATTTTAACTTATTGAAGATAAAATTCTTAAATCAACCTTACTTAAATTTTAATTGCTTGAACATCTTCTAAAGAATTTTTAGATATAAAATGCTTGTAAATCTTCTGATTGCTGGATTGTATATTACTTCAAAAATGATTTTATATTTCTGTTTTTAAAAATTTTTTCTAAAATGTTGAAACTTATTTAAATTTTTTACTTTAATCAAATTGTAGTGAATTTTATTTAATATGTTAAGCGTTTAAAAGGTTAGCTGAACAACCTACCAGTTACAAAGCAGCTAGTTATTCTTTACTCAATAAAACCATCACAGCTTTCTTGAGTTATATCAAATCTCTAAATAGTTATAAAACATCCATAGTTTGATGAACTTAATTTGCAACCACTTTAGTCTCTTATGAATTCATTCCTTAGTTTTAATGAATATCTTTTCTGTTCCGAATAGTGAAATAATACCTATGAAAAATGCTAATAAATATATGTTAAAATAAAAAATAATTCTACCTAAAATTAAACAAACTCATCTATGCCTTTCTTTACAGGAAATTATCTTTTAACTAAAAAAACTTTTTGGCATAATGTTCTATTTTTTCTTTAAATTTAAGTTTCTATATTCCTTCATTATCTTTATTATCCTTTTCGACTGAAATTTATATCAAATTTTGTTAATTTACTCTATTTTCCAAGCAACTATTAGATCTTAAATTGTTTTTAAATTTGATTTGTTAACTATTTTTAGGGGAAATTCTCGTAAATTATTATGGAATTCTAAGTTTATAAGAATTAAGACTCTTTTAAGATAGTAATTTTTTTTTACAACAAGAAATATTTTCTAATACATCATTTTCTGTATATCTAGTATTCGTACTTGTGAGATAAGTTTCAGATATTTTGAAATTTTCTGAATGTGAATTATTCTGAACTATTTGATTTACTAACTGCTATTTTTTTACTTCATCTTGTTACTAATAATTTTGATATAATTTACTTGAGCAAGGTGAGATTTGCTGCATATCAATTGATTCTTTCAATTTAATATTAAATTTAGGTAGAACAATAGATTCTGTATTTTCAATTTCTTCATCCAGCTTATTTTTTTTCATTTAAATCAATTAATCAATCAAAGGATCTTCTTCTTAGACACAAATATTATTAGTTTTTAATATTTTTAGATAATTGTTTGAGAAAATATTTTATAAAATAAGCATGAATATATCTTATTCTAAAAGAGTTTATGAAATATACCTACCAATAATTCCAATGCACATTAATACAGTTATTACAGTGTTACATTAAGCAAAAACTTAAGTTATCGTTGGGAATTGTATTTGGGTAAATTCTACAATTTCATCAAGCTATATAGTAATTTGCATGATTAAATTTAATCCTGTTTTTTGAAAAGTGGTATTTCTATCAAAACTTTGTATGAGTGGATTATATTGAATTGGAGAGGAAAAAGTAGAATCAGATTAAAAAACTGCTCCTTGTTTTACAATTGTTTATTACTTAATTACATTGAAAGTTGTAAAAATAAACTCATTTCCTTATAAGTTGATATATTGATTTCTAAATTTTACATCCATTTGCTGAGAGGTTATATTATATTGTGAAGTATATAATTTAACTTAAAAAGCAGCTGAAAGGTTATTAATTATCTCATCAATATCACTTGGATCAGCACAATTGTCTGGGATCGTAGTTTTGTAAAAGTCCACATCCTAGCATCTGTAGCCTAAAAATATAATGCTAGATCTTAAATTACCCTTTAATCCCAAAGTTAGAGTATTATTTTTAGATACCGTAGATAAATCTAAACATCTATAATCTGTTAACTCACTATTTGAACATTTAGTTATATTGAGCTAAATCAGATTCATATCAGAGCTATAAAAAAATGGTAAAAATACCAAATAAGTTTTATTTGTTTATGCCTCTAAATCTCTAAGAGAATTGTTGCCTTATGTTTGGTAATCAAAGGCAAATAAATCATTATTTAGATCCAAATCAATTCTTTCGTTGACTATTACACTTTAAGACCTATAAGTAGGGTCAATTAGATTATTTAAATACTGATATAGGAGATAAATAAAGTAACCTATGATGATAATTATTACTTAAATTGACAAAATAGCTCCGAAAATGGTTCTTTTCCTCATTTTATTCTTTCCAATATTAAATTAAAATGGTTAAGAAAAGAGATCAATGTTCTAAAGTTGCATTTTTTTTAATTATAGGATGGTTTGTTTTTCTATTATTTGTTTTTGAGCGTTCAGCTATTTAATTTTTTTCAAATAAAAGGATAGAAGAATTTAGCATACTGAAAAGTAAATATTGAATTAAAATGTGTCTGTAGTTTTTGGTAATAAAGCTTAAAAATTTTTATGTTTTAATTTAGTCTAAATTGAAAATAATTTACCACAAGTTGAAATTTAATAAGTAATCTTTATTTACGTTTCCACATGTGTTAAGTTATAAATTAGAAGGTGGATTTCAAATTCAACCATATTTTAAATTTAAAATATTTCTTTTTATAAAGTATATATAAATATTAATGGTTAATTTTTTGATATAAAGTGAGCTAAAAGATTAATATCTAAATCAGAAATCATTAAAATAAATATTATTTTCTTGTTAAATTTTTCCTCCAGTAACACATTGATAAATTAAATGCAATGTTCTCATAGAATTCTTGTCAAAGCTGGGATAGAAATGAGGTCTTTAGATTTATTCCAATTTGTTAATCTATACTTTTATATTTATGAGGTTCCTTATTTTAAGCTGTACTTGAATTGGTTTAAGATGTAATTATTTTTACCTTTTCAATTTAATCATCGAAAAATAATAAATTAATAATTTATAGTAGATGCATTAAAAATAAATTTTGGATGTATTCATGAGTACTTATTTTATAACCTTTAATTTCATATGTTTTAAAAAACTTACGTATTTGATCGATTAGCGCAAATTTTTTAAAATTTTTCTAAGACTATTTTAAAATAATTGGAGTGAAAGATTGGCCTTAATAAATAAGAAATTAAGGTATATAGTATATTATATTGCAACTTATTTTTCTAAAAAATTAAAAATTTTTGCTTTTGATCTGATTTCATTAGAAAATCTTTTTATATATTTAAAACATCTTTTTTTTTATTTTATTTAACTAAAGATTGACTAAATTTTTTTTAAATGTTAAAATTTAATAAAAAAAATTCAATCTATTAATTTTTTCCACAAAATAAAATAACAAACAAACAAAAAAACAGACTACAACCATAATAAATTATTTGACATAAGCTGATATATTAATTATTATTATAGATTCAATTTTAACTTAATGAAGATAAAATTCTTAAATCTAGCTTGCTTAGATTTTAATTGCTTGAGCATCTTTTTAAGAATTTTTAGATATAAAATGCTTGTAAATCTTCTGATTACTGGATTGAATATTACTTCTAAAAATGATTTTATATTTCTGTTTTAAAAAATTTTTATAAAATGTTGAATATTATTTAAATTTTTTACTTTAATCAAATTATAGCGAATTTTATTTAATCTGTTAAACATTTAAAAGGTTAGCTGAACAACCTACCAGTTACAAAGCAGCTAGTTATTCTTTACTGAATAAAACCATCACAGCTTTCTTGAGTTATATCAAATCTCTAAATAGTTATAAAACATCCATCGTTTGATGAACTTAATTTGCTACCACTTTAGTCTCTTATGAATCCATTCCTTTGCTTTAATGTATATCTTTTCTGTTCCGAATATTGAAATAATACCTATGAAAAATGCAAATAAATATATGTCAAAATAAAAAATAACTCTACTTATAATTAAATAAACTCATTTAAGCCTTTCTTTACAGGATTTCATCTTTTAACTAAAAAAACTTTTTCGAATAATTCTCTATTTTTTCTTTAAGTTTAAGTTTAAATTTTCCTTCATTATCTTTATTATCCTTTTCTACTGAAACTGATATCAAATTTTGTTAATTTACACTATTTTCCTAACAACTATTAGATCTTAAATTGTTTTGAAAGTTGATTTGTTAACTATTTTTAGGGGAAATTTTTGTAAATTATTATGGATTTCTAAGATTAGGAGTAGTACTCTTTTAAAATAGTAATTTTTTTTCACCATAAGAAACATTTTCTAATCCATCATTTTCTGTATATCTAGTATTCAAAGTTGTTAACTATATTTCAGAAGTTTTCAAATTTTCTGAATATGGATTATTCTGAACTAATTGGTTTTCTAGCTGCTATTCTTTTACTTCGTCTTGTTGCTAATAATTTTAATATAACTAACTCGAGCAAGGTGAGCTTTGATGCATATCAATTGATTCTTTCAATTTAGCATTAAATGTAGGTACAGCAATAGATTCTGTATTTTCAATTTCTTCATTCAGCTTATTTTTTTTCATTTGAATCAGTTAATTAATCAAAGAATCTTCTTCTTAGAAACAAATATTATTAGTTTTTAATACTTTTTGATAATTGTTTGAGAAAATATTTTATAAAATAAGCATGAATATATCTTATTCTAAAAGAGTTTATGAAATATACCTACCAATAATTCCAATGCACATTAATACAGTTATTACAGTGTTACATTAAGCAAAAACTTAAGTTATCGTTGGGAATTGTATTTGGGTAAATTCTACAATTTCATCAAGCTATATAGTAATTTGCATGATTAAATTTAATCCTGTTTTTTGAAAAGTGGTATTTCTATCAAAACTTTGTATGAGTGGATTATATTGAATTGGAGAGGAAAAAGTAGAATCAGATTAAAAAACTGCTCCTTGTTTTACAATTGTTTATTACTTAATTACATTGAAAGTTGTAAAAATAAACTCATTTCCTTATAAGTTGATATATTGATTTCTAAATTTTACATCCATTTGCTGAGAGGTTATATTATATTGTGAAGTATATAATTTAACTTAAAAAGCAGCTGAAAGGTTATTAATTATCTCATCAATATCACTTGGATCAGCACAATTGTCTGGGATAGTAGTTTTGTAAAAGTCCACATCCTAGCATCTGTAGCCTAAAAATATAATGCTAGATCTTAAGTTACCTTTTAACCCCAAGGTTAAAGTATTATTTTTAGATACCGTAGATAAATCTAAACATCTATAATCAGTTAACTCACTATTTGAACATTTAGTTATATTGAGCTAAATCAGATTCAAATCAGAACTATAAAAAAATGGTAAAAATACCAAATAAGTTTTATTTGTTTATGCCTCTAAATCTCTAAGTGAACTGTTGCCTTATGTTTGGTAATCAAAGGCAAATAAATCATTATTTAGATCCAAATCAATTCTTTCGTTGACTATTACACTTTAAGACCTATAAGTAGGGTCAATTAGATTATTTAAATACTGATATAGGAGATAAATAAAGTAGCCTATGATGATGAATATTACGGAAATAGACAAAATAGCTCCGAAAATGGTTCTTTTTCTCATTTTATTCTTACCAATATTAAATTAAAACGGTTAAGAAAAGAGATCAATGTTCTAGATTTGCATTTTTTTAAATCAGAGGATAGTTTTTTTTTCTATTATTTGTTTTTTGATTGCTCAGTGGTTTAATTTTTTTTTTTAATTATAGGATTTACCTTTTTTCAAGGCATAAGCATACTAAAAAGTAAAAATTGAATAATATGTGGATGTGGTTTTTGATATTAAAGCTCAATAATTTTTTAATTTTTAAGTTTTAATTTACTCTAAATTGACAATAATTTACCACAAATTGAAATTTAATAATTAATCTTTATTTTTATATCCACATACGTTAAGTTATTAATTAGAAGGCGGATTTCAAAGTTGACCTTATTTTCAATTTAAAAAATTTTCTTTTTATAAAGATAAGAAAAATATTAATGTTTAAATTTTAATATAAAATGAGCAAAGGATTAATAATATATCTATTTTATAATAAAAATTATTTTAAAATAAAAAATACTAAAATTATAGAATGCTCCTATTTTAATATGTATTTTAAGAATGTAATATTTATTGAATCTAAAAAAATTACATTCATTAATGAATGAAAAAAATTAGTCATTTATATATTAATATCTTTAAAACCAGGAACAGCTATATATTAAAATTATTTACTCTAATAAAATTGTGGTGAGTTTTAATTCATCTATTAAACATTTTAAAGCTAGCTAAACAACCTACCAGTTACAAAGCAGCTAGTTATTCTTTACTGAATAAAACCATCAATGCTTTCTTGAGTAATATCAAATCTCTAAATAGTTATAAAACATCCATTGTTTGATACACTTAATTTGCAATTACTTTAATATGTGATGACTCCATTCCTTTGTTTTAATATATATATTTTCTGTTTCGAATAGTGAAATAATACCTATGAAAAATAAAAATAAATATAAATTAAAATAAAAATGACTCTACCTAAAATTAAATAAACTCATTTAAGTCTTTCTTTAAATGATATAATCTTTTAACTAAAAAAATTTTTTCGAATAATGCTCTATTTTTTATTTAAATTTAAGTTTCGATATTCCATAATTATCTTTATTATCCTTTTTAAATGAAATTTATATCAAATTTTGTTAATTTACACTATTTTTCTAACAACTATTAGATGTTAAATTGTTTTAGAAGTTGAATTGTTAACTATTTTTTGGGGAAGTTCTTGTAAGTTATTATGGAGAGAAGTAGGACTGTTTTAAAATAGCAATTTTTTTCACATAATAAAAATTTTCTAAATCCATCATATTCTATAATTTTCAAATTCATACTTGTGAACTATATTTCAGAAGTTTAAATTTGCTGAATGTGTAATATTCTGAACTAATTTGTTATCTCTTCTTGCTACTAATAATTTTAATATAATTTACTTGAGAAAGGTGAGTTTTGCTGTATACCAATTGATTGTTTTAACTTAGCATTAAATGTAAGTACAGCAATATATTTTGTATTTTCAACTAGCATGTTTTTTTCATTTGAACTAGTTAATCAATCTAAGGGTCTTCTACTTTGTTACAAATATTTTTTTTTTAATACTTTTTGATAATTGTTTGAGAAAATATTTTATAAAAAAAACATGAATATAACTTGTTCTAAAAAATTTTATGAAATATGACAACCAATAAATATTTCCAATGCAATTCAACGCAGCTAATAAAGCGTTACAATAAGCAAAAACTGAAGTTATAGTTGGGAATTGTATTTGGTTAAATCCTACAATTTCATGCTATAAAGTAACTTGCATGATTAATGTTAATCCTGATTTTCGAAAGTAGTCTTTCTGTCATAACTTCGAATGAGTGTTAAATTGGAGAGGAAAAAGTAGAATCATATTTAAAAATTGACCCTTACTTTATAATAGCTTATTAATTAGTTACATTTAAAGTTATCTCCTAATAGGTTAATATTGTGATTTCTAAAGTTTGCTTCCATTTGCTGGGAGGCATATTATATTGTGAAGTTTATAATTTAACTTAAAAAGCAGCAGAAGGATTATTAATTATCTTATCAATATTATTAGGTTCAGCACAATTGTCTGGGATAGTAGTTTTGTAAACATCCACACCCTAGCACCTATAACCTAAATATATAACACTATTACTCATTCAACAATTATGGAAATCACATCAATAAATATTAAATGTAATGACTCTCTTTCAAAATTTTATATATTATTAAAAAACTCATTTAAATGGTTAAATTTTCACTTTTTTTTATTAATGGGTTTTATATATAAATTCAAGGTAAAATAGGAGAACTTACAGTATTTATTAAAAAAATTTCAATCTTTTAATTTTTTCCACTTAACAAAATAAATAAATAAATAAATAAACAAACAAACAAACAAACAAAAAAAAAAGCATACTTCAACAATAACAAATTATTAGATATCTTCTAATATTTTAATTATTATTATAGTTTCAATTTTAACTTAATGAAGATAAAATTCTTAAATCAAGTTTGCTTAGATTTTAATTGCTTGAGCATCTTTTTAAGAATTTTTAGATATAAAATTCTTGTAATTCTTATGATTATTCGATAGTATATTACTTCTAAAAATGATTTTATTTTTCTATTTAAAAAATTTTTTCTAAAATATTGAATATTATTTAAATTATTTACTCTAATCAAATTGTGGTGATTTTTATTTCATCTATTAAACATTTTAAAGGTTAGCTGAACAACCTACAAGTTACAAAGCAGCTAGTTATTCTTTACTAAATAAAACCATCACAGCTTTCTTGAGTAATATCAAATCTCTAAATAGTTATAAAACATCCATCGTTTGATGAACTTAATTTTCAACTACTTTAGTCTCTGATGAATCAATTCCTTTATTTTAATGTATCTCTTTTTTGTTCCGTATAGAGAAATAATACCTATTAAAAATGCAAATAAATATATGTTAAAATAAAAAATGACTCTACCTAAAATTAAATAAACTTATTTAAGCCTTTCGTTACAGAATATAATCTTTTAACTAAAAAAGCTTTTTCGAATAATTCTCTATTTTTTCTTTAAATTTAAGTTTCAATATTTCTTGATTATATTGATTATCCTTTTCGACTGAAATTGACTTCAAGTTTTGTTAATTTATGTTATTTTACTAACAACTATTTGATTTAAAGTTGATTTGTTAACTATTTTTAGGAGGAATTCTTGTAAGTTTTTATGAATTTCTAAATTTCTAAGAAGTAAGACTATTTTAAAATAGTAATTTTTTTTCTCCATAAGTAAAATTTTCAAGTCCATCATTTTCTGTATAATTGGAATTCATACTTGTGAGCTATATTTCTGAAGTTTTCAAATTTTCTGAATGTGAACTATTTTGAACTGATTGCTATTCTTTTACTTCATCATTTTACTAATAATTTTAATATAATTTATTTGAGCAAAGTGAACTCTGCTGCATATCGATTGATTCTTTCAACTTAGCATTAAATGTAGGTATAGCAATAGATTCTGTATTTTCAACTACTTCCTTCAGCATGTTATTTTTCATTTGAACTAGTTAATCAATCAAAGGATTTTCTTCTTAGTTACAAATATTGTTAGTTTTTAATATTTTTTGATAATTGTTTGAGAAAATATTTTATAAAATTAACATGAATATATCTTATTCTAAAAGTTTTTATGATATATACCTACCAATAATTCCAAAGCACATTAATACTGTTATTACAGTGTTACATTAAGCAAAAACTTAAGTTATAGTAGGGAATTGTATTTGGTTAAATTCTACAATTTCATCAAGCTCTATAGTTATTTGCATAATTGGATTAAATCCTGTTTTTTGAAAAAAAAGCTTTCTATCATAACTTTGAATCAATGGATTATATTAAATTGGAGAGGAAAAAGTAGAATCAGATTAAAAAATTGGCCCTTGCTTTATAATAGTTTATTACTTAATTACATTGAAAGTTGTAAAAATAAACTCATCTCCTTATAAGTTAATATATTGATTTCTAAATTTTGCTTCCATTTGCTGAGAGGTTATATTATATTGTGAAGTATATAATTTAGCTTAAAAAGCACCCGTAGCGCTATTAATTATCTCATCAATATCACTTGGATCAGCGCAGTTATCTGGGATAGTAGGTTTGTAAACATCCACATCCTAGCACCTGTAACCTAAAAATATAATGCTAGATCTCAAGCTATGTTTTAATCCCAAGGTCAGAGTATTATTTTTAGATATTGTAGAGAAATCTAAGCATCTAAAATTAGATAACTCACTATTTGAACATTAAGTAAAATTGAGCGGAATCAGCTTAGCATCAGAGCTAAAAAAATATGGCAAAAACACCAAATAAGTTTTATTTTATGATGCCTCTAAATCTCTCACTGAATAGGTGGAATTTATTTGGTAACTAAAGGCAAATAAATCATTAAGTAGATCCAAATCAATTCTTTCATTGACTATTACACTTTAAGACCTATAAGTAGGATCAATTAGATTATTTAAATACTGATATAGGAGATAAATAAAATAGCCTAAGATCATGGTTATTACGGAAATAGACAAAATAGCTCCGAAAATGGTTCTTTTCCTCATTTAATTCTTTCCAATATTAAATTAAAATGGTTAAGAAAAGAGATCGATGCTCTAAAGTTGCATTTTTTTAATGATATGATGATTTCTTTTTCTGTTATTTGTTTTTTGATTATTCAGTTGTTTAATTTTGTTTAAAATAATTATAGGATTGAATTTTTTTCAGTACTTAAGCGCACCAAAAATTAAATTTTGTATTAATATATGACTATTGTTGTTGTTAGTAAAATTCATTCATTATAAAGTTTTTATGTTTTAATTTACTCTAAAATTGAAGATAATTTACCATGAGTTGAAATTTAATTATTAAGCTTAATTTTTATTTCCACATACGTTTAGTAATAAATTCGAAAGTGGGAATCAAAACTTACCTTAATTTCAATTAAAAAATTTTTTTCTTTATAAAGTATATATAAGTATTAATGATTATATTTTTGAATTAAAGGGAACTAAAGGATTAATATCTATCTATCTACTTAATAATATATAAAGTATTTAAAATAAAAAATACTAAAATTGTATTGAAATTTATATTTATATTTATATTTTTATATCTATTATTTTATATTTCTATTGAAAATCACCAATCATTAAAATAAATACATTTTCAGGTGAAAATTTTCCACCAGTAAAACAATCGTTAAATAAAGGAAAGCTTCCATATCGAGTTTTTATCTAAGTTGGGAATGAAGAAATATGGTCTTTAGATTTTTAATTTAGATGATAATCAACACTTCTAGATTTGTGAAGTTCCTTATTTTTAAGCTGTACTTGATTTGGTTGATGATGTAATTGTTTTTACTTTTTCAATATTATCATCAAAATTTAATAAATTAATAATTTATAATACATGCCTTTATTTTAAATTGATTGAGCTATAGTAGCTAAAGAATTTGTTAGCCATTATTGGGATTATGAATCATATGGATTTTTATTTTTGAGCTAAGCTTATTAATGAAATCTTTGTTAAGGAAAGTATTTTATACCAAACACAACCTGAAATACTTTCAGACAGTTCAAGATTGTTTAAAATAAATATATATTTGCCCTTACTGTGCTATTTACACCTTTAACTGATTTAATAATAAAAAAAAATTTTCAAAAACTTTAAAAAATTTTGCCCAATATATTCAAGTTCCCTTCATATAAAGGTGCCCACTTATACAGGTTTTACTGTATTTAGAAAAATTAAATTTATTCTAATTTATTTTCTAATTGTTTTTTTCATTTAAAATAGAACTTAAAAACCCAACAGTTTTTATAATTTACCTAAAGAAAAAATAGATTTTAAATTGAGCTTTTTAAACAGGAAATTTCTTAATAGCAATGTTAGTAAAGCAATAATTAAAAAGATATTACTTTAATTAAAAAATATTTTGTGTAAAAATGTTATTGAATAATAACTATATACTCAAATTTCAAACAATATATAAATATTAGTTGAATTATAATAATTATTAAATTTTTTACTCTATTTTTTAAAGTTTTGAATCAATGCTTTTTTCTGTAATCAAAAACTTTTTGACAATAGCGTTTACAACAAAGCATCAATAATTAATTAATTACCTAAATCTATTTACTGTTTACACTAATTTTTTGACTTAAATCATTAAATATAATTATCGTAATGAAATAATCAGATAAAATTTTTCTAAATTTTTAGTTATTTATAAATTATATTTACCATTTTCTTTGTATATTAATTTATCTAATAAATAGATATTTCTTAATTTTTTAAATCCAAAAAAGCTTGAAATAAATAATTTGCTCTACTTTTCTGTTATATTAAAATGAAAAATGCTTACAACTTTGCCTAATAATTAATTAAATAATTATGAATAAACGAATAAATATAATAGTGAATGAGTTTTAATGACGTATTTTTTTTTAATTTATTTAAATTAATCTTTCATCTATTAATAAATAAATCATCTCAAATAAAAAAAGTAATAAACTATTTCTTAAATTCAAATGCACAAAATTAAATAAAAAAATCAGTGCTTTTTGAGGGAAAAGTGAAAATATTATAATTATATTTTGAGAGTGCTATGAAAATTACTTTCAAAAAAATAAAATACTTGGAAATTCCACTTAAAATTAATAAATAGAAAATTTGAAAAGAATGTTATTGTTATTTATTAACTTGACTCATAAATTATTTAAATATTATATATAATTTTTATTTACCAATTTTTAGCGAGATTTAAATTTTAGTATTGAAAATATATTCTTCGTTATTTATTAGATAAAAAAATTTTCTTATATTGAATTTTACATTTTTATTTAAAATATGCAATTTTTACTTTTTAAATTTTTGTTTTAAAAGTTTTTAGTGCATGTTGCTACTTAATTGTGATTATATTTTAGCAAAAAGACTGTAATGACTAATCTCTATCAAATAAAATCGATTGATATTATAATGCTCATTATAAACTTTAACATATTTTATATGATCCAATTAGAAAATCCTAAACTATCTTTTAAGTATATTTTAACTAAAGGTTGACAAAAATATTTTGAAAAAGTTTATATTTCATAAAAAAATTTCAATCTATTAATATTTCCATAAAATAAAACAAACTAACAAAAAAAATACTTCAACCATAATAAATTATTAGAAATATGCTAACATATTAATTATTATTTTTGTTTCAATTTTAACTTAATGAAGATAAAATTCTTAAATCAAGCTTGCTTAGATTTTAATTACTTGAGCATCTTTTTAAGAATTTTTTGATATAAAATTCTTGTAATTCTTATGATTATTCGATTGTATATTACTTCTAAAAATGATTTTATTTTTCTGTTAAAAATTTTTTTTATAAAATATTGAATATTATTTAAATTATTTACTCTATTCAAATTGTGGTGAATTTTATTTCATCTATTAAACATTTTAAAGGTTAGCTGAGCAACCCACCAGTTACAAAGCAGCTAGTTATTCTTTACTGAATAAAACCATCACAGCTTTCTTGAGTTATATCAAATCTCTAAATAGTTATAAAATATCCATCGTTTGTTGAACTTAATTTTCAACTACTTTAGCCTCTTATGAATCCATTCCCTTGTTTTAATGTATATCTTATCTGTTCCGAATAGTGAAATAATACCTATCAAAAATGCAAAATAAATATATGTTAAAATAAAAAATGACTCTACCTAAAATTAAATAAACTCATTTAAGCCTTTCTTTACAAAATATCATCTTTTAACTAAAAAACCTTTTTCGAATAATGCTCTATTTTATCTTAAAATTTAAGTTTCAAATTTCTTTCATTATCTTTATTAGCCTTTTAGACTGAAATTGATATCAAATTTTGTTAATTTACGCTATTTTCCTAACAATTATTAGATGTTAATTTGTTTGTCAAGTTTCTTTGTTAACTATATTTAGTGGAAATTTTTGTAAGTTATTATGGATTTCTAATTTTTAAAATATTAGGACTGTTTTAAAATAGCAATTTTTTTTGATCATAAGAAACATTTTCTAATACATCATTTTCTGTATATCTGGTATTCAATGTTGTGAGCTCTTTTTCAGAAGCTTTCAATTTTTCTGAATGTGGTGTATTCTGAATTTATTGGTTTTCTAACTGCTATTCTTTTACTTCATCATTTTACTAATAATTTTAATATAATTAACTTGAGCAAAGTGAGCTTTGCTGCATATCGATTGATTCTTTCAATTTAGTATTAAATGAGGGAACAGCAATAGATTCTGTATTTTCAAATACTTCCTTCATCATGTTCTTTTTCTTTTGAACAAGTTAATCAATTAAAGGATCCTCTTCTTTGTTACAAATATTATTAGTTTTTAATACTTTTTGATAATTGTTTGAGAAAATATTTTATAAAATTAACATGAATATATCTTATTCTAAAAGTTTTTATGAAATATACCTACCAATAATTCCAAAGCACATTAATGCAGTTATTACAGTATTACCTTAAGCAAAAACTTAAGTTATAGTTGGGAATTGTATTTGGGTAAATTCTACAATTTCATCAAGCTATAAAGTAATTTGCATGATTGGATTAAATCCTGTTTTTTGAAAAAAAGTCTTTCTATCAAAAATTTGAACTAATGGATTATATTAAATTGGAGAGGAAAAAGTAGAATCAGATTAAAAAACGGGTCCTTGTTTAATAATAGTTTATTACTTAATTATATTGAAAGTTGTAAAAACAAACTCATCTCCTTATAAGTTAATATATTGATTCCTATATTTTGCTTCCATTTGCTGAGATGTTATATTATATTGCGAAGTATATAATTTAGCTTAAAAAGCAGCTGAAGGGCTATTAATTATGTAATCAATATCACTAGGATTAGCGCAATTATCTGGGATAGTAGTTTTTTAAATATCCACATCCTAGCACCTGTAAGCTAAAAATGTAATGCAAGATCTTAAGCTATGCTATAATCCCAAGGTCAGAGTATTATTTTTAGATATTGTAGAAAAATCTATGCATTAAAAGTCAGATAGTTCACTATTTGAACATTAAGTAAAATTGAGCTAAATCAGCTTAGCATCTGAGCTAAAAAAATATGGCAAAAACACCAAATAAGTTTTATTTTATTAGGTCTCTAAATCTCTCACTGAATAGGTGCCATTTATTTGGTATCTAAAGGCAAATAAATCATTATTTAGATCCAAATCAATTCTTTCATTGACTATTACACTTTAAGACCTATAAGTAGGATCATATAGATTATTTAAATACTGATATAGGAGATAAATATAATAGCCTGTGATGATGGTTATTACGGAAATAGACAAAATAGCTCCGAAAATGGTTCTTTTCCTAGTTTAATTCTTTCCTATTTTAAATTAAAACGGTTAAGAAAACAGATCGATCTTCTAAATTTTCATTTATTTAATAACAGGATGATTTCTTTTTTTGTTATTTGTTTTTTAATTATTAAGCTTTTGGGCTTTTTTAGAAAAATTATATTATATCAATTATTTTAGTACTAAATCCCACTAAAAAGTAAATATTGAATTAATATGTGGATGAGGTTTTTTGTAATAAAGATTAATAATTTTTAAGTTTTAATTTACTCTGAATTGAAAATAATTTATCATGAATTATGAATTGAAATTTAATTATTTTACTTAATTTTTATTTCCACATACACTTAGTTCTTAATTAGACTCTGGGAATCAAAATTTGCCTTAATTTCAATTATTTTAAGTAAACTAAAGGATTAATATCTATTTACTTTATAATAAAAATAAAAGTATTTTAAAATAAAAATACTAAAATTATTTGAAATTTATACAAACATTAAAAAAATACAACTTTCTAACAAAATTTTTCCTCCTGTAACACATTCGTTAATTGTGTCCACATGGAGTTTTTGTCAAAGCTGGAATAGTTGAAATGTGTCCTTTAGATATATTCCAATTAGATAATCTATACTTCTATATTTATGAGGTTTCTTATTTTTAAGTTATACTTGGATTTGTAGAAGGAAGATGTATTTATTTTTGCCTTTTTAATTTTAGAAAAGAAATAAATTAATAATTTTTAATACATGCCTTTATTATTAATTGATTAAGCTATTTACTCTTTATAGCTAAATAATTTTGTTCTCCATTTATTATTGGATTATGATTGATATTGTTTTCTAATTTTGTGAATAGCTAATCAATAAAATCTTTGTTAAGGATACCACATCTTTATACCAAATACCATCATCTATGTTTTTTTTAAAAGCATAAATACTTAAGAGTTATAATTATTCCTCTTTAAAAATAATAAATTGCAGGTAGGAGTAACTTAAAATTATATTAAAAATTTTTAAACATAAAGCATTTCTAAACATTTGTCTAAATTTCTTTTAATTAAATATTCATTAGTATACCCTATCCAAAATAAAAAAGGCATTTAACTCTATATATAGGATTTATGAACGACCTTATACATTTGAGAGATAAAATATTTGTTATGTTTTTTTTCTAAAATCTTTTCTATTTCTATTTTATCTATGCGAAGAAAGATTAGACTCTTATTTATTTTTGATTAGAGAGGAAAAAATCAAATAAAAAAAATTCACTACAAATTTATAAATTTAAAAAAAATTAGTTAATTTCAAAGTTTAACAAGTAAAAAACTCAAAAACTAAAGAAAATGTTTCCTATAAATAATAATACCTTAAACCTTTGTATTAAATCGATCTAATTGATACGAAATATGAAATTTAGTGAACATAGTTAAAATGCCCGAAATTTGAACCTCTTTACAGTAAAAATTCTTCATTTAGTCAATATTTTAAAGAAAAGAAGAATTGAATAATCCTATTATTGTTGAAAACTTTTTACTGTAATCAAGAGAGAACCAAAGTAAGTTATATGTTAAAATATCAATGAAACTATATATTTTGCAGTAGTAAGAAAAAAAATTAAATGAAATTGGCTTATGAGAGATCACTCAAATGAAGAAACAAAATGAATTTAAGCTTAAGTTCATTTAAAAAGGAACTGTTAAAGAAGATCAAATAATATGAGATAAAAGAAAACCAAGATAGCAAGCAAATAAAGAAAAGGAGATGTCCATTTCAAGAACTTATCTAATGGTTTTAAAACATTCAGGAGAGTTAGAGGCTGAGAGTAATAAGAGTATTGTCAGAAGTGGCATGCAGGAGGTTTCGCAAGTGATCAAGAGGAAGCTTGAGGGCTAGGTAAATTAAATTTTTTGTAGTTTTACTTTATTTTGGGAAATTTTTATTTGAAAAAGAATCTTTTGAAATTATATATGTAAAGTTTTATTGGATTTTTCTCTTATGAGAATACTTGCTACCTTTATAATTATTTATATTATTATTTAAAAATATAAGAAATTCAGTTTTGAATATATTTTAGATAACTTTTATCAATTAAGAATTAAGAGAATATTATCCATTTTCTATCTATGAAAATGTGTTACAATAAAATATTATTTTAACGTATTTTAATTAAAAAAATGATGAAATCTAAATTTAAAAAAGTAATAAGAATTTATAAACACAAAAACCAAAATGGTTCTATCATTATAAAGGAATCAAATCAAAATATTTTATCAATTTTCAATTAAATTAGAATAAATTACTTACTAAAATTATAAGTTATTTCTTTTCTATTTGATAATACAATTAAATTTAATAAAATCACAAAATCATATAGATAATTTGATAACATTGATATTAATTAGTATTATTTATTAATTTAAAAGGAGGTTATTTATTGATACAAATGATGATGAAAAAAATTTGCTAAAAGATAAATAAAATTACTATTTATTTTTTTATCTATTTATTAGAAGATATGAATGAAATATTCCTTTAAAAGACTAAATAAATATCAAAAGTCTTTTATATGGTTTCATAAAAAATTGATTCAATGCTCTTGTTTAAAAACAATTTCTAAATATCAAAAATTGATATAATTTGTAAAATTATGAATTAACCTACTTTAATTAAAAATAATAATAAATTTGATTATATTTTTAAGGATTTAGCCTATTTTAATTATAGAATTGTTGAAAATATTTTCTTTTTTTCTAATAAATATTAAATAAAGATTATAAAATGAAATAATTTTTGTAATTTTCTTTGTTTACTACTTCTAATTTATGATAAATAAATTTAAAATAAATATATTATAATTCATTTTATAATTTTAGTGAGTTATTTTGATTGCATTAAATATTTATTATTTAGATAATTTAATTTTTTATCATGTTTTTTATAGATGTTATAAGCATTTAATAAAACCTAATAATTTGTTCATCTAATTTAAAGAAATATCAAATAAGCTAAAATTAGTTATTTAAAGATCTAAAATAAAAAATTACACATTAAATAACTATTTTCTTGAATTTTTTATTGTATTTGAAATATAATAAGACTTTTCTCACAGTTACGCAAGAAAAATATAATAATTAAAAAGTAATTATTATAAATATAAAATAAATTTTTTAGAAGTTAAAAGTATTAATGAACAAAGAAAAGATGCTCGAAATTAATAAAGATATAAAATAAATTTTAGCAGAAATACGATTATGTTTACATTTTTTACTTTATATTTCAAAGTTATTTTATTAAAAAGAATTTATATTCTATCAAAAAATTTTTTATCAACTTCAAAAAATCTATTTACTGTTTACAATTAAAAGAAAATAGTAAATTTTTTATGATAATAAGAATGAAAATATCAAATTGTATTTCAAAATAAAGTAGGAATATTTTGTATATTTAATTATTTTTATTAGAATATATAATCTAATCTATTATATAAATAGTGCTTTCAATTATTTAAAAATTTTAGCAACCAATTAACTTCTAAGACTTTTTTTTTAATTAGAGGGGAAGATTAACCTTAATTGATAAGAAATTAGGGTATAATGTAGTTTATATTGAAACCTATTTTTCAAAAAAATAAAAAGTTTTTGCCTTTAATCTGACTTCATAAGAAAATCGTACACTGTCTTTAAAATATATTTTTATATATTTTAACTAAAGATCGGCAAAAATTTTTAAAAATGTTAATTTTTAATAAAAAAACTTCAATCTATTAATTTTACCACAAAATAAAACAAATAAACAACTAACAAACAAATAAACAAAAAAAAACACTTCAACCATAACAAATTATTAGATATATGCTAACATATTAATTATTATTATAGATTCAATTTTAACTTAATGAAGATAAAATTCTTAAATCTAACTTGCTTAGATTTTAATTGCTTGAGCATCTTTTTAAGAATTTTTAGATATAAAATGCTTGTAATTCTTATGATTGTTGGATTGTATATTACTTCTAAAAATGATTTTATATTTCTGTTAAAAAAATTTTTTCTAAAATATTGAATATTATATAAATTATTTACTCTAATCAAATTGTGGTGAGTTTTATTTCATCTATTAAACATTTTAAAGGTTAGCTGAACAGCCTACAAGCTACAAAGCAGCTAGTTATTCTTTACTGAATAAAACCATCACAGCTTTCTTGAGTTATATAAAATCTTTAAATAGTTATAAAACATCCATCGTTTGATGAATTTAATTTTCAACTACTTTAGTCTCAAACGAATTCATTCCTTTGTTTTAATGTATATCTTTTCTGTTACGAATAGTGAAATAATACCTATCAAAAATGAAAATAAATATAAGTTATTATAAAAAATGACTCTACCTAAAATTGAATAAAATCTTTTAAGCCTTTCTTTTAAGGATTTCATCTTTTAACTAAAAAAGTTTCTTCGAATAATGCTCTATTTTTTCTTTAAATTTAAGTTTAAATTCTCCTTCATTATCTTTATTTTCCTTTTCGACTGAAATTGATATTAAATTTTGTTAATTTATGCTATTTTCCTAACAATTTTTAGATGCTAACTTGTTTGTAAAGTTGATTTTTTAATTATTTTTCGGGGAATTTCTTGTAAGCTATTATGGATTTATAAGTTTAAAAGGATTAGGACTTAACAATTTTTTTTCACAGTAAGAAAAATTTTCTAATCCATCATTTTCAGTTTATCTGGTATTCAAAGTTGTGATCTATATTTCAGAAATTTTCAAATTTTCTGAATGTGGAGTATTCTGAACTAATTTGTTTTCTAAATGCTATTCTTTGATTTCATCTTGTTACTAATAATTTTCATATAATTAACTTGAGCAAGGTGAGCTTTGCTGCATTTCGATTGATTCTTTCAACTTAGTATTAAATGAAGGAATAGCAATAGATTCTGTATTTTCAACTACTTCCTTCAGCATGTTCTTTTTCGTTTGAACCAGTTAATCAATCAAAGGATCTTCTTCTTTGCTACAAATATTATTTGTTTTTAATACTTTTTGATAATTGTTTGAGAAAATATTTTATAAAATTAACATGAAAATATCCTATTCTAAAAGTTTTTATGAAATATACCTACCAATAATTCCAATGCACATTAATGCAGTTATTACAGTGTTACATTAAGCAAAAACTGAAGTTATAGTTGGGAATTGTATTTGGGTAAATTCTACAATTTCATCAAGCTCTATAGTAACTTACATGATTAAAGTTAATCCTGTATTTTCAAAAGCAGTCTATCTATCATAACTTTGTACGAAGGGATTATATTAAATTGGAGATGAAAAAGTAGAATCAGTTTAAAAAACTGGCCCTTGTTTAATAATAGTTTATTACTTAATTACATTGAAAGTTGTAAAAACAAACTGGCCTCCTTATAGATTGATATATTGATTTCTAAATTTTACTTCCATTTGCTAAGATGTTATATTATATTGTGAAGTATATAATTTTACTTAAAAAGCAGCCGAAGGGTTATTAAGGATCATATCAATATCACTAGGAGCAGCGCAGTTGTCTGGGATAGTAGTTTTGTAAATGTCCACATCTTAGCATCTATAACCTAAAAATATAATGCTAGATCTTAAGTTATTCTTTCCCAAGGCCAGAGTATTATTTTGAGATATTGTAGAGAAATCTATGCATTAAAAGTCAGATAGTTCACTATTTGAGCATTATGTAAAATTGAGCTTAATCAGGTTTCCATCAGTGCTTAAAAAATATGGCAAAAACACCAAATAAGTTTTGTTTTATTGTACCTCTAAATCTCTCACTGAATAGGTGCCATTTATTTGGTATTAAAAGGCAAATAAATCATTATTTAGATCCAAATCTATTCTATCGTTGACGATTACACTTTAAGATCTGTAAGTAGGGTCAATTAGATTATTTAAATACTGGTACAGGAGATAAATAAAATAGCCTAAGATGATGGATATTACGGAAATAGACAAAATAGCTCCCAAAATGGTTCTTTTCCTCATTTTATTCTTACCAATATTAAATTAAAATGGTTAAGAAAAGAGATCGATGTTCTAAAGTTGCATTTTTTAATGACAGGATGATTTCTTTTTCAATTATTTGATTTTTGATTATTCAGTTGTTTAATTTTTTTTAATTATAGGATAGAATATTTTTTTTAGTTCTTAAACACACTAAAAATTAAATATTAAATTAGTTTGTGGTTGTGTTAGTTTTTAATAAAATTTAGTAATTTTTAACTTTTTAGTTTTAATTTACAATAAATTGAAGCTAATAAATATCATTAGTTGAAAATTTTAATTATTAAATTTAATTTTTATTACTACATACATTAAGAATTTAGTTAGAAAGTGGGAATAAAATAAATTTAACTTATTTTTCAAGTAAATAAAATTTCTTTTTATGAAATATAGTATTAAAAATATTAATGATTATATTTTTGATATAAAACGAGCTTAAAGACTAATATCTATCTTATTGATAATAAAAGTATTTTAAAATAAAAAATACTAGAATTTTATTCAAATATATGCTAATACTATTATAACTATCGCTTTATATTTCTATTGAAAAATCACCAGTCATTAAAATAAATACATTTTTCTGGTAAAATTTTCCAAATAACACATTCGCTAATTAAACAGCAATGTTCGCATAGAGTTTTTGTCAAATCTGGGATATTAAAAATATTTTGTTTAGGTTGATTGCAATTAAAGAATCTATACTTCTCTATTTATGAGGTTGAAGCTAATTTACCATGAATCGAACATTTTAATTATTAAATTAAATTTTTATTTCCACATGCGTTTAGTTATAAATTGAAAAGTGGGAATAAAATTTAACTTTTTTTCAAGAAAATAAAATTTATTTTTATAAAATATAGAAAAACGTTAATGATTATATTTTAGATATAGAGTGAGCTTAAGGATTAATATCTATCTACTTTATAATAAAAAGTATTTTAAAATATATAAAATACTAGAATTATATCCAAATATATATTTATACTTTTATAACTATCATTTTATATTTCTATTGAAAAATCACCAATCATTAAAATAAATACAATTTTCTGGTGAAATTTTCCCTCCAGGAACACATTCGTTAATTAAAGGACAATGTCCGCACGGAGTTTTTGTCAAAGCTGGGATAGTAGAAATGTGGTCTTTAGATTTATTCCAATTTGATAATCTATACTTCTATATTTATGAGGTTCCTTATTTTTAAGCTGTACTTGAATTGGTTGATGTTGTAATTGTTTTTACTTTTTCAATTTTATCATCGAAAAGTAATAAATTAATAATTTATAGTACATGTCTTTATTCTAAATTGATTGAGCTATTAACTCTTAATAACTAAATAATTTATTCTTCAGTCATTATAGGATTATGATTCATATGGTTTTCTATTTTTGAGCATAACTCATCAATTAAATCTTTGTTAAGGACACCATCTTTATACCAAATACCACCTGAAATACTTTCAGACAGTTCTAGATTGTTTAAAATAAATATATTTTTACCCTTTCCTGTACTATTTGCACCTTTAACTGATTTAATCCAATTTTTTTTCTTAAGTTAATTCAATATTTTAGTTAAAGTTCCCGTTGCAATACCAGTTTTATTGCCTATATCCTTTCTATCGATACCTTTATTTTTAGCTTGGAAAATAATCTATTTTATTTTAATTTAAAAAATAAAGTTTTAACAGTGTATCCAAACAAGAATTTATTATTTAAGTAATTTATTAAATAACAATTTCTTTTGCTATAAATAATAATTAATTTGAAGTTAGCCTAAAAATCATCTTTTTAAAGATAAACTATGATAGGATAAGATCTATTATGTAGAAAATCAAGTATAATTTTATATTATTAATACATTTACTATCTTTTTAAGGTAATCTTAGATATTTATTTTTATTCAATATACCATATTCACAAATTTCCTAAATTATTTGCTTCAGTTTTTTTAATGTGTCTATCAAAAAATATTTGAAATGTCAATAAAATTATTGTTATTTCATAAATTTGAAAGAGAATTTAGTATTAAATATCAGTTTTATTGCATTTTTAAACTTTATTATTACCTTATAAACTTAAAATTCTTGCTGAGGTAGATCGCTTGCTGCCACATTTAGTTATTTCTAATCTTGAGGATCATGGTACTCTACTATTTATTCATTACCTACATTAGTGCAAGTTAAATAGCCTTCTTTTAATAAATTCTATAATTCTGGCTTAATGGCATTTTAATCAACTTCTAATATCTTTAATAGTTCAGTTAAAGTTATACCCTCTTGGTATGATTTCACTATCCCAATTATCTTTTCTGAATATTCTTCTTCCATCTATATATTTTTTATTCCTACTTATTTATTTATATTATCAAACTTAAGATAGTTTTCTTATCTAATTTTATTTAAGGATATTACTCAGATTTTTTGCAAATTTACAATGCAGCTGCTTATCTATCCAAATAAATGATTGTCAAGATATTTTTCTACTTTTTTATGAGCTAGTTAATATAAATTCATCTATTTTATCAATAAAAAAATTAATGGGTAAACTCCTCCAAGCAAGGTCTCGCAACACGCTTATGCAAATAAGCAAAATCTACTAATGCAAAAATATTCTTACAACAAAATTTAAAATAATATTTTTATAGACTTCCATAATTGCATCTTAAAAAAGAAAAAAAATAATATAATTTTTTAAAAAATAATTATTTTTTATATACTTTAAATAGTTTTTATTATTGAAACTAAATTATATTTAAATCAGAAAAAAAAAAATTATAATAATTAGAAACAAAAAGCTATATTTTAAAATGTTTTTATTTATTTTTAATAAAATGTTCATTTTATTCTAGCTAGTCAAGTTAAAAGTGCTGATCTAAAATTTTTTATATTTTAAAATGAAAAAAATTTTTTCATACTTGAAATATTTAAACATAATTAAATATAAGAAGTTTCCATAACTGACTGTGAAATATAGTTTATTTATTTATTTGTATTTATTAAATCAGCATTAATTAAATCTTTTTATTAATTTATTTAAAAATTTCTGTTAAAAATATTTGAATAATTTATATTGATTTTTATAATATTTTATCTAAAAATATATTACTAATATAAATCATATTGATTGATTAATCAATTTCTTATTGATATAAAATCAAATTTTTTATAAACAAAAAAAAAGATTTTCTATTAATTTAAGATTTAATTATTTTATCAATTTGTTTAATTAATAAAATTCTCATAAATTTGTTATTTCTTCAATAACTTTAAGATAAAGTTTTTAATATTTAATTTAAGTATTAGATTAAAAATATTATTATTTTAACCTAAAACTTGTTTTTAAATTCATCTAAGAAATTATAATTTATTTATAAAATTAAATATATTTTCATTAATTTTAATATAGTCATTTGAATAATCAGTGTTTTTTTCTACTATAATTTATTCTATTTTGTATTTAGATATTTTTTTAAAATTTAGATTGTTATTTACAAATTTAAATCATTATAATAATAATAAATTAATTAGCTTAGTTAGTATTTGAATTTTAGATATTACCTATTTGCTTAGTTGATCAAAAAGAAATTTCAATTATTTATTTTAAAAATATTAAAATTAAATTATCAAAAAATTAGTAATAACTAAAAAATTTTACCATAACTTAATTAGATTTGATTACTTAAATTTATAAAGGGATTAATTAGATAGTGAAAAATGGCAAGTAAAATTACTTTTTTATGCAGAATACATTTTACAAATTTTCTATTTGAACCAAAATTATTTTAAATTCGAATATAGATAAAGAAGAGCAAAAAAATTTTGATTTAGTTGATGATCTTGACTAAGATGACGAAGAATTCGAAATAAATGATTATGGTATATTAAATAATAAATCATTAAAATAAATAATTGTCTATGGTTAAATTAGGTGAGTATAGTAAGGATGATGAGGAATTTGATATTATTGTAGGTGAATTATAAGAAATTGTCATAAGTGATGAATTTGAAAAGCTCTATAAAAAGTTTTTGATTGATAACTGCGAAGTATTTGAAGATGAAGAAGAAAATAAAATGGAATATATGATCATCTTTAAGAATTATGAAAAAGTTATAGATGGATTTATTCAATAAGTAAGAATAATATCAATTTAGTATTTAGTGAAACAAAAAGTGATAATATTAAAAAATATTTTAAAGGAATTGGAAAAAAAAATAGAGGGATTTTAAATGAACAGATTTTTAGAATTACTAAAGGAAAGACACAATTAAATTGATGAATAAATTTTGGATACCTTATTGAGTTTTACAGACTTCAATAATTTTAAGTAGCTCATGCTCGATTATAAAAAGCAATATTTGGAAGAATAAAGAATAGAAAAGCTTAAAACAATTAAGTCGTCAAGAAAAACCTTAGATAAGGCAAATAAAATATAACCTACAAATATTTTTTCTACTTCCAGCAATAAAAATGACCCTTTGGCAGGTAATTTCATATAATAATTAGAATATGATAAAATGATAATTAAAAATAAAGGATTGAAGAATTTTGCATAAAAAGAGCTTCCTAAAACTAAGAAATAGCCAACCTAAGATATAGATCCTGACCAAATAGTATATCATTATTTTTTTAGATATATAAAAATGTTAAAAATAAGAAAGATTCTACTTAAAAAATTAGCTATTTACTAACTTTAATTTTTATACTACAGAACGATGAAGATTTGAGACCAAGTTTCTTTATTGATTGCAAATAATTACAAACACCTAAAGTTAACAATAAAAAGAAGTGAACATTTATTTAAATTTTTTAGATTTGTTTTATATGTTGCTGAAATTAAAATGCATTAAAAATATCTTATAACTAATAAAAAAATTAAACAATTCTCAAGTTTTTTTTTCTTTCTAAAAATTAAAATCATTTTGACTTTGATTTAGATTTAAAAAGAATAAATGCATAAAATTTTAATTAGCTTCTTATCATAAAAATCTCAAAGTAAATTTATAAAAGCATAAATACTAACTGATCATTAAAAACATAAAGCTGCTGTTAATGAAATTTTAAAAAAATCCTTTTTCATAGGTTTCTCTAAAACTTCTGATTTTAATAATTTCGATTATTTTGGGAAAAGTTTCCAAGCTTAACTAAAAAATGCATAATAATAAATTCACTATTAAAATAACTATAATTTATAATTAAAATTAAAAAATTATAAAAATGAAGTCATAAATTTAAGAATTTATATAAATTGTGCAATTTAAAAATTTTTATTTTACTTAAAATAACAAATATTTATTAATGAAATAAGTAAGTTATAAAAAAATTAAAAATTTGGCAAAAGATAATCTAAAATGCTATTAAAAGATTGTTCAATTAAAAAATTTCTAAAATTTTCCATCTTAATATAGCGAATACTTATAATTTAAATAAATAAATTATTAAAATGAATCAAAAAATTTATAATTGATTTTGTAATTAAATAGTTTTTTTAGTCAAGTATTAATAATAATAATATAAATTAAATTTAATTAGTGCAATTTAAATTGATTTTATTTATCTGTTTTAGAATTATAATTAAATAAAGTAAGAAAGAGAAAGAAAATAGATGTGTATCTAATTGAATTTGATAAAAGTGAAATAAAGAATTTTCTAATAGAATTGAAAATATTTGAGTATTCCTACTTTTGGTTTGCTTTGAAAACTAAGATGCCTTAAACAAATATTATTAATATTATGCTCATCTTTTTTATAGAGAATTTTCAATTTATTTACTAAATTTGTATCTTAATTAAAAATTTTTAAAGCAAGCTGATTATTTATTTGGTTGTATTTTATATACATTTAATAAATTACAAAATATATAAATATTTTATACGAGTAGAAGTTTACAAATTTATTATTTATTATAAAGCTATTCAATACATTTTTGAAAGAATGATTAGGTTTTGCCTTAGAACTGGCATTTAGCAGTATTTGTATAATTAGAATTAGTTATTTAGGTTTGCAAGAAAACAAACTCCCCAACAGTAAAAGAGAAAGAATCTAATTGCTGATGATGTTGAATAAGATGGAAAAAATGATTAAGTTTTTAGTGAAAGTGATAACGAAGAAATAGAATACCAAGAATAAAGAGGAAATAATCAAACTTATAAATCTAAGAATAATGAATTAGTTATTCAGAAAAATGATCTGATGCTTCATATTCCAAAAACTGAATTTAATCCTCGTTTCAAGCCAACTCTTAATGAAGAAAGATATCATAATAAAATAGCTCAAAATTTATACTTATGGTAATAAGCTAACAAAAATAATCCTGAAAAACAGTATGTTATTCATGATTTACCATTCTTAACTTATGGCGAACCTCATTTAGGACATTTCTACAATAAAACTCAGTAAGATATTGCAGCAAGATTTGCAATGCTAAACGGATATAAAGTAACTCATCAAATAGGCTTTAATCTCCATGGTTAAACTATATAAAACTAAGCAGTTATTGCAGAGTAGCTGAAAACTAAAGAATTAAAGAGATTCAGCTCCTAAGAAATCAGAGATATATCAAACAATTTTGCCTATGAGAGCTTAAAAAATATTATCATAAAAATGTCTCGTTGGGGTTTAATGACTGATTTTTCTCAAGCTTATACTACTAACCGTAAAAATATATATTCAAATATTTTAAATAAGATTTACAATTTTTCATATATTGTTTTTATTCAATATGTTAAAATAGTTTTCAATCAATATTATTACAAAATAAATATTTTAATTATTATTCAAATTTTATTTATTTTTTTAGATCCTTTTTACGAAAGTGGTGTACTCAAAGCATTTTACGAGCTAGTTTAAGAAAGTAAAACTTTTTCAAGGTTGAAATTATATTTAGTGAGTTTTAATATTATCAGAAAGCATTTTCTTAGATGAAAAGCCAACTTTGTGGTCAGTCAAAAACAGAACTGCCTTAGACGATGATGAAGCTAACATGGAAATTATTCCTAAACCCGGAACATTTATTAAATTTGAAGTGAAAAACTTTGGAAACAATATTTTCCTGTAAAATTTAGCTTAAGAACATCAAGTTAAAGTTTATGTTATTGGTTTCACTACTGAATTGTGGACCTTAAATTCTTTAAGAGCGCTTTCAGTCAATGAAAATGTTTAATATGGTATATATAAATCAGGAGATGCACTTTATGTTATTTCTAGAAACAGATTTAAGCATCACCGTCTTTTTTTTAAGGAAGAAAATAAGGGAACACTTGTTTCTACATAAACAGGAAAATAAATATCATAACTTACAGTAATTTTAGTTTATTTAGATTATAAAAATATATTCATTCATTCATTCATTCATTCATTTTTTAAGGTATTTGATCAAGCTTTTGAAAGGGATATTCCAGTTTTAAGCTGTGATACTTATGCTAAAAATGAAAGATTTGGATTAGGTATTGCTTGTGTATGCCCTGGTCATTATTCTAAAGACTTTTAAGTTTCTGAGTAGTATGATTTGAGCAAAAAAGCGCATGTTAATAAATTTGGTAGATTAGATTAAACAGTTCCTAATGATTTATAAAATCTTAGTGTAGTTAATGGTGAAGCAGATGAGCATATACTATAAAAGTAAAAAGATTTATATTCTCTTTATTTTATTCAAATAGACTTTATTAAATTAGAATTAATAACTTTCAACAACATTAATAAATAAATGAGAATAAATAAGTTATTTTAAAACTCTGAAATTTATTTAATAAATTAATTAAATTCATAGATACTTAGATCAGAATTTGGTTCTAGACATTGATGAAAACTATGAAACAGAGTAGTATTTTGATAAAAAAACTAATGAAAAATTAATAGTAAGAACTTAAATGACTGTTTACTCGAGGTTACCAGATTTTGAAAGAGAATATTTTGTTGAGCAACTTAAAGAGAAAATTAAAATTAAGATTAGCGGATAGCTATCAAATAAAGAAAGTTAATCAGAAAGCTAAGAGGGTGCTTTTGGTTCTCTAGAAAAATAAATCTTAGAAAAGTCTGACAACTGGACTATTTCTTCAAATCAAGAATGGGGCATTCCAATTCCTATCTTCTTTTACATAAATACCAATCAGTAAAAGTATCTATTAGAACCTGCAGTTGTGAAACATATTATTGGGCTCTATGAATAATTTGGAAGCTAAATTTGGCATCAATATTCAATAGAAGAGCTTTTACCATAGAAATATAAGTAAAAAACAATTAAATTTTATCAATGATAAATATATTTTTATTAATTAAAGGAATTTAGCAGCTCAATTAGAGAAAGGGTAATTTACATTTGATTAATGGTTTGAAAGTGGATGCAGTTGGTATGTAATGCTTAAAAGTAAACCTAATGGTTAAGATATTAGACAAAAGTTTTTGATTTAATAAAATGATTTAATTAAATAAAAGCAGAAATAATTATCTATTGAGAATAAAGATTAAGATTAATCAAAATAAATTGTTTCTTCATCAAGCTAATCAAGTTAAGCAAGCTCTGGAGAATTTAACATAGTTCAAAAATATCCATGTGACTTAGCTATTTAGGGTAAAGATCAAATTGATAGTTGGTTATTGTCAACTTCTTTACTGTCAAGTAATATTAAATTTAAATATAATTATTTTATAGCTAAATTTTTAAATAGTTGGATTAAAAGAGCATGCCTTTTTTAATAATTTGAAGCTTCATAGAGTTATCCCTGCAACTAATGATGAAAAATTATCTAAATTATCATAATTTAAGAGCAGTATAGATGATTATATTGAAGGAACAGTTAAATTAAATGGGGAAAGATAGTACGGATACGGAGTTGATATCCTTAGAATGTGGGTTGCTCTTTCAGATAAAGTTAGAGAATAAGTTAATGATAAAAAAAAGAAAAAAGAAAAAAATGAAAATGCTATTTAAGTAGCTGAAAATATGGACTACATATTTATGAGACCAAACGAATTCGATGTACCAAATAATTATATTAACATTTTCAGAAAATGTATGTGGAATATGTTAGGTAGTTTGAAAGGATATAATTAAAATCTTGAATAAATAAAAATATTCAATAATGGAAAACTTTCATTCTTAAGCGATTACATGATGACATAATTAGTTCTTTATATGATAAACATGCATAGAGCTTATTAGCAACTCGATTACGCTACTAATGTAGATTTAACTATGGACTTCATTAAAAATTGGGTTTATGATTTCTTCTTGGATTCTACTAAAAACTTTATAATTTCTAATCCAGTTGATCCTAAAACTTAAGAATATCTTTTTGTTTACTCTAAGGTAAATTTTAATTAACTAATCGAAGCTCATTTTGTTTTATATATTCAAATAGATAGTAGAAAACCTTTTAATAGCAGTTTCCCCTATGATCCCTCATAACGCAGAAGATATTTTTAGTAATGTGCACTTTAAATTAAATAAAAAAGAATCAATTTTCCATTACGATTGGCCTGATATGGTAAATAATTATTTTAAAAATTAATTTATTATTGAATGATATATATTATTTAAAGAGTAAAGAAGATGTCCATTCATTGTAGAGCAAAATCCCAAAATAAAATTTGCTCTGGTAATTAAGAGAGTGTATTTGGGAATAATTGACATTTTAAATGGAAAGATATCAAAACATTCGTTCAAAAGAAAGATATGATATAGTGATTATAGTTGATGAATTATTTAGTAAAGAGTACTCTATTTTAGAAGAAACATGTATAGATGAATTAGATTCCTTTATTGGAGCAGGTTAAGTAAAAGTGCATACTTTGAAAGAAAATTAGGAATATCCTCACAACTCTATTAGTACATTTAAATTTAAAACAAATTATCTAAGTAATGAAAAGCTAAGCTACACTATAAAAATATATTTATCTGAAAACTTTAAGTGTATCAGATGCCATAAATATACAGCTATATATGAAAATACTATATGTCCTCACTGCATTACTTATTTATCTACCAACCATAAGAAGTAATGCAATCATCTACTTAATTAAATAAAAAGAAATCCATAATTACCTATTAAAGTTATAGATCCTAAACAAAAAATTCTAGAATGAAGATGTAATTTTTAAATAAAAGTTGTTAATATAATAAATACAAATTTTAATATTTTGTACAATAGATTTAAAAAGTTCATATAAAAATGTTGTGCTTTATTATATATTTTTAAGTAATTTAAAAATTAAAATTTTGCTATAAATATAAATTATCATTTAAATTTAGCTTTTTTTAATTTCATACAAATAATTTTTAATCAATTAAGGATTTTCTAAAAATTTTCTTTAATAAAAATTAGTTTAGTTATAATTTTTTATTACTACCTAAAAAATTATTTTTTTTATTTATTCAAATTTATTATTATGAAAAAAATTAAATTTTTAAAATATTTAAAAATATCATATTGTTTTTTTATAACTAAAACAATAATCATATATAGTTTAAAATATTAAATTAAAAAATTGAAAAGCTATATTTTAAGGTTTTTATAACGTGATTTGAAATATATTTAATAGTTTTTATTTTAAAAGTAATTTAATATAAAAATTTAGATAAATTTGTAATAATATTAGAATGGGATTCCAATCATAAAATTTTATTATTTTATTTTTTATTCATTAAATTTAAATATATTTAAAATATAAGTTTACTTAAAAAATAAAATATTTTATTGTTTTAATTCAGAATTTTATTAATTTTTATTCTGATACTTAAAAATAAACTCAATTCTCATTTCCATTTTAGATTTTTGGAATTAATATTAGCTGTTTTAATTCTTAACTTTTTTAGAAATCCCCAATTTATTCATAACAAGAAATTAACAAATTTAGTGAAAACTAAACTTCTTGTTTACTTACTTAAATCATTCTCTATTTCATTTGAAAGGCTTATTCTGCATAGAAAACAGCTTATTGTGTGTCCCCAAGTTTATTGTAGCATATGCAAATTCTAGTTAAAGTTTATGCCTTTTCATTAGAATCTTCTTCAAAAATATTTAGCTATTCTAACCAATATTTTATAGCTTCTCCAAAATTTCCTAATCTGTTGCTTGCTAGAGCTGAACTATTTAAAGAACTTGAAATTAATGGGTCATTTTCTAATAATAATTTTTTTCTAATCTCTAAAGCTTGCTAGTAATTTTCGAAAGACATTTAATTCTCTCCTATTTTTTAATAAAGAGCTCCAAGCATAGTTAAAGATTAAGCTGTCTCAAGGTTTTCAAGACCATATATATTTTTTCTTATGTCGAGTGCCTTTTAATTATAGATAATAGATTATTAGAAATCTCCTAATTTACTGTAGGAAATAGCTAAAGTGCTCATTGCGTTGGCAATATCTGGATGATCCTTTTGATAAAATTTTTCATAAGCACTCAGTGCTTACTGATCACATTACAAAGCTAATTCGAAATTTCCCTACTTATCGTATAATAATGCTAATTTAGAGTAAAGCTTAGCATATTCAAAGTCATCAACAATTTAAAGAATTTAATTAGATTCAATAACCTTTAATTGATAAGCAATAGCTTCATCTAATAAAGATAAACTTTCATAAGAGTAAGCTAATATTGTAAATGTTGATAAAAAATCATATTTTATTTCTTTGTATAATTTAAATTTCATTTCAAGAGTTTTAAGTCCATATAAAATAGCATTTTCATGATCATTTTGTTTTTAGTAAAATAAAGCTAAATTTTATAGAGATTCTGCAATATTCTGATGATTATTTTTATAAAATCGCTCTCTCGTTTCCAAAGCTTTTAATTCAAATTCAAGCTCTTTTTCAAAATTGTTTTATATACCATAAAGTTTTGCAATATTAACAAGTAATTAAGAAATATCAGGGTGGTCATCTGATAATAACTTAGTTTTTATTTCTAAACCTTTCAAGTTATATTCAATTGCTTTTTCAATATTACCATAACTCTGGTATTAAAATGCTAAACTAGTAATATTTACAAGTATTTCAGGGTGCTCCACTTTATAAATTCTTTCTTTCATTTCCAGAGATTTAATTTTGTTTTCTAATGACTTTTCTTTTTATTCTAAGCGTTCATAAGATGTTCCTAAAACGAACAAAGACTAAGCTAAATCTATATGGTCTCTTTTATATAATTTACATAGAATTTCATATGCTTTTAAGCCATTTTCAAGAGATTTTTCGAATTACTATGTTTAATCATAAAGTGAAGCTAAACTATTATACGATTATGCTATTTCATAGTGATCTCTTTTATAAATCCTTTATCTCATCTCTAAAGCTTAAATTCCTATCTCAATACCTTTTTAAGGCTCTTAGCGTCTACCATATGCAATAGAAACACTAATCAAAGACTAAGCAGTTTCAAGATGATCAGTATTATATAATTTTTATCTTATTTGAAGTGATTCATTAAATAAATCAAACGCTTTTTAATCTTATCCAATCCTCTCATATGTAATTCCTAAACTTCTCATTGCACTAGCAATCTCAGGTGTATTAATTTACAATAATCTTTTCCTCATTTCTAAAGACATTTCTTTATATTTCAAAGCATTTTAATCCTATCCTAATTTACCATATGAAATACCTAAATTTAATAAACAAAGCGCAAGCTCAGGACTATCTTTATCCTAATCAATTTACTATCTGATATTATATGCGCTCAAGCTATATTATAACTCTTTATCGAATTCGCCTAATTTATCATAAAATTACGAAAGGTTTGACATCCCAGAAGCAACTTGCTCGCTATTTTCAGGAAATAGAATTTATTTCATTTCAAGTGATTTTAATCCATATTATACAGATTTTTCATCTTCATCTATTTAACTGTAGAGGTATGCTAAATGAGCTAATGAGTTAGAAATTTCGACATGATTCTCTTCATACATTTACTGTTTAACTTCAAGAATTATCAATTAATATTCTATAGCTTTTTAGTATTCCTTAATCTTTTCATATAAATAAGCTAACTGATTAAGTATTCTAAGTCCTTAATCATCGTTTATTTAATTTTTATTGATATCTTTTTTAAGCTCCAAAGCTTGTAAACCGTAATTTATTGCATTTGTTTGCTCATCCATTTTTTCATACTATGTACTTATTTTTATTAGAAATTCCAAAATATTAGTTTTGTTTTCCTAGCCATTTTTAATTTTAATGTTGTGTATTTTAATGTTAGATTCTACAGCTTTTTGATAATTTTATAGCTTCTCATAAGCAAATGCTAAAATAGATAATATTTAATCGGCATCATTTGATTCTTCCTCATTTATATTTTTTAAAATGTTAAAAGCTTATTCTCCATATTAAACTATTTTTTCAAAATCTTCAAGCTTACCACAATAGGATATAACATTCTTAAGACATTAAATATTTTCTATCGAATCCACTTTTTGAATTTTTTATTTAATTTAAAGACCTGAAATGCTTTAATCTAGTGCTGATTTAATATCACCTTTCTATTCAAAAAGAAAAGATAAAAATGAAAAAGATTGAGCTAATTCAGCTAAATTTTCTGGAAAAAATGTCTAAATAATTTCTATTGATTTTTAGGAATATTCAATTGCTTAGTCGTATTACTCACTTTAAGAATATGAAAAAGCTAGAATATTTATAGCTTGAATAATTTAAATATCACTTTCTTCAAATAATCGCTTTTTCATATCAAGAGCCATCAATTAATATTATATTGCTTTTTATGTATCTTTAATTTTGCTATATATCGCACCAATGCTGCTCAAAAAATCTGCTATTAATGGAATATCTTGGTTTTTAAACAAATTTTAAGATATTTCAAGAGCTTTTAAATAGTATTAAAGAGAATTTTATATGTCTTATATTTTTTCATAAGTTTATGCAATACTACTTAGTGATTAAATTATATCAAAGTGATCTCCTTAAAATAATTATTGTCTCATTTGAAGGCAAAATAGATCATATTTTAGCGAGTTTTAATAGTCACATTATTTGTAAAATAGTAAGGCGATACTTTTCAACGATTAAGCTATTTCAGTGTGTTGGCATTTATACAACCTTTATCTCATTTCTAATGCTTTTTGACAGTAAATAAAAGCATTTTAAAAATCTTATAATTTATCATAAGATACTGACAAACTACTTAAAGATACAGCAACATCTGGGTGATCTTTGCTGAAGATTCTTTCTCTCATTTTGTAAGCCATAATGTCATATTCTAGAGCTTTTTAGTAATCTCCTAATCTTTCATAAATCATCGCTATACAGGTTAAAGATTATGCAATATCAACATCATCTTAATGAAAAGAGCAGCCAGCAAAAAAATCCAAACATTTAATTATATCTTGAGTTGTAGCATTTCTTGAGTTTAGTCGAGCCTCAACATATAAATATTTAAATAAAAATTAATCAGCCAATTTTATATCTTTTGTTTATTCTGATATCTAAATACTCTTCAAGAAAGTATCTAGATAACAAATACCCACCTACCCTGCTAAACAGTATGCATAAGCTAATTACTTTTTTGAAATTTAATCTTTAAATTTTCTTAAAAAGTAAGTAATTCTTTTCTTTTGTGTTTCAAATTCAGTAAATTTAGAGATCATATTAAAAAAATAAATATTTAACTAAATAGCTCTTTTTCTCAAACTAGCTAGCTAATCCAACATATAATATCTCACGAAATAATATAAATGCTAGTATTCTTCCTTAACTTATAAATTCTAAAAATCTCCATTTTTAATTTATTCTGCAATCTCATTTGAAATTTTTACACCAATTAAATTTAAAAAAATCAAACCTAAGCTAAATATATCTGATTTTTCATCGATTATTTAGTATTATTCTTATTTTGATTGTTCGAAAGATTTTAGTTGCTCTTAAGAAAAATATTTTTTATCTTCTTGAGATGGGTTTTTTTAAACTAAAAGCTAATTCAGCTGGGATATTTTGTAATCAGACAACTTCACTTGGCAATCACGAGTGAGAAAGATATTTGATGGTTTAAGGTTTAAGTGCTATATATCATGAATATGTAATTCAACCATTGCACAGATTAGTTAAGATATAATAAGATAAATTTATTTTGTTGATAAACTTTCCATTACTTTTTCTTCCAAAATAGAACTTAAGCTGTAAGGAAAGTAGTCCATTATTTAAATTATAAATTTGCCACACAAAAATTATTCATAAATTTTAACAATATGTTATGGTTATTAAATTTAATTTATAATCTGTTCGTTCTAAATTAATTTTTCAAAAATAAAATTATTATCATTTGAATTGACATCATTGTTAATCTAAATTATTTTTATAACAATTTATGAAGGAAATTTATTATTCTCAGCAATAAATATATAATTTTTAGTAGACTCATAATGCAATTAAAAATTTTTATAATTATTCTATTTTAAAAAATCTAGACATTCACTAAGTTACTTACTTTATAAAATAGAATTTTTTTATTATATTTATGAGAGTTTTTAGATTTTTTATTTTTAATTTTTAATTTTGCTTGATTATTTATCAATAATTTTAGTATCTAAATCTTGATTTGATTTTTTATTTTAGTTTTTCATAATTTACTTATTTTTAATGACAACATTTTCATTTTATTTTTTGGCTAACAGTTTTTAAATAACAGAATCTCTTTTTTTCTTTAACTTTTTTATAGCTTATTTTATTAAAATAAATTTATTATAAAAGTCATTGCTATATTAAGCAGAGCTACTTAATTTGTCTTCAGGACCGATACTTATGTTTATTTTCATATTAACTAATTTGGTTTAAGTATGTATATATGTGGGTCTATTTTTATTTTTAAAATTGAAGAGTGAAATTAGATAGGGTAAAATTTATGTTTAAGCTTATTTTAATTGTTATTAGTATCAATTTTAAAAATATTTCTAATATTTTAATCTGTTTATTAACAAATTTTTTGCTGGAATTATTTTTTTTTCTTTTTTTTGGTTTTTATGATATAAAAAAATCATAATTTTTATAAGAATTAAAAGAATAAATATTAAAATGAAAGTATTTATTTTTTTTAACTCTTTAAATGATTAAAATACTTTTTAATTTATGATTTAGTCATTGTTATAAAAATTTATAAATAAATTTACTAAAAATTTTAAGCAAATAAATCACGATCTTTTAATAAATAAAATGCTTAGTTTGAGTAAAAATTAAAAGTAATAGAAAATTTTTCTTAGACGAAATTATTATTTTGCATAAGATACACATACTTAATCAAAATTATATTTAATTTCTTTAAATTTACCAAGTAATTTTAGTAATCAAAAATTTAGTATTCTCTTAAATTTATCTTGGTTATATAAAATTTAGTATGAATTTGTTCTATGCTCAAAGAAATTTATAAATAAACAAACCTTAATTGATATTCAAAAAACGATATTAATAATATATATATGTATGTATGCATGTATAATTATGTTTACTGATTAATAATTCTTACAAGATGGTTTAATTTTAATTATTCAATTAAATTATTGGAATTTATATTAAGTTATAAGGTTAATTAAATGATCATTTCATTCAATTTATTAGAAATAATTTATAACTAAAAAATAGCAGCCTTCAAATAAAAAAATGGTTTTTTAAGCAAAATATTTATAAATTTTTAATTATTTTTATGAGCTTTTAGATTTTTTTTATGTAATTTTTTTTTATACTGAGATGAATAATGAAATAAAGTAGAAGATTAAATAACACGAGGCTTTCTGTGAGGTTATTATTTTATAAAAAATAATGATTTTCAAAAGTGTTAAATTTTTATGAAAAATAGAGAAAATTTATGTCATTAAAATAGGATTATTTTTTACTATTATTAATATTATCATGATTTTAATTACTATTAATAATAAGGAAATCAATACATTTCTTATTCTACTAAGAGTGAAATAAGAGAGGGAAGAGTTAGATGATAATTAAATATGCTTATGATTGAAAAGGGCAAGCTTATAAAAAACAAAAAGTTAATTTATTGCTATTTCATTAGCAACAATCTTATTAATTACCAGAGAAGGGGAGGTAAATGAGAGGTAATTATTAATTATTAAAATAAATTAAAATTTCAATAGAAATAATCAATCAGAAATAATTAAAAGAAGTAAAACAAAAAAGCAAGCTCGCAAACAAATAAAAAACAAAAAAAAAAGCAGCAAAAAAACAAGAAAGAAATAATTAAACAAAGAAAGTAAGAAAAAAAAGCGTCAAAATAAATTTAGTGTGATTAAATCTTCTTCTTAGCCATCGTAATTTTTTATAATAATCAATACTTTGTTTGTAATTAATTCAAAAGAAAACATTAAAAATATTAAATTAATCAATCAAATTACTTTAAAATCTTTGCTAAATTATTAATAAACAAATTAAACATAAATAGAAATCAATTATAAGTATTGAGCGAAACCTGTAACATAAAATGAGTTAAACTAATTTCGTTAGTATTAGCGGGACAGGATTAAATCCGATGAGCCCTCCTACCATAAAATAATAGGTAAAGGATTTTGATGCAAAATTCTCACTGGTAAAGTTATTAATTTATTTATAATAGAGTTAGGTAGATTAATTTGCAAAAACGATAAAAGGGGGAATTAAAACCTTAAGTTAACTTTTTTAGCTAAATTATTTTATTAATAAACAACTAGCAGTAGAGTTAAAGCGAAGATATTGAAGAGTTGAAGAAGCAGTTATAAAGTCTTCAGCTTGAAGTTAAGATAAAGAATGATCAGATCAAAAATTAGGACAGAAATTAGCTGGAATTGACTCAGTAGAATTAGAAACTCTACCAACACACTAAAGAGCTATAGTAAATGCTTTACTACAAGCAATAATAAATTGATAAATACAAGGTAAATCCACATTTATTTGGTTGAAATTTCATCAAATTAAAAAAAATAACCCTGAAATCATCGATTGATCAAAGCACTATGGTCCTCTAATTTGTTCTAAGTTAGCTTTTCTTACTATAAAATTAAAAATATAGTAAAAATAAGTCTATTTTTCATAAGAAAACTGAAATCAACTCAAAAAGAATAGCAATATTGAGCATCATTTGAGAAGTTATTCATAAAAATAAAATTTAATCTTTGAAAATATCAAAACGAATATTTTTTTAATACATGTTTATCCAACATGATACTTTAATTGCTTTAAAAGACTTTAGTCTTTTATAATTACTTCATATTTTTAGAGAGCTGCTCAATTTGTAACTAACGCAATAGAATTAAAGGAAATATAAAAATAATAAAGACATAGAATGACATCTTGATAAATAAGTGCTTTCATAATAGTTATTTTATTGAGAATAGAAAAGCAGCAGAATTAATTATGAAAGTTATAGATAAAAATATTACTTTTAAAGTTCGTATTACAATATATTTATCTATTAAATAATTTTAACAGTGCTAATTAGAGTTAGATAGAATAAGGGGAGTTTTCTATTCTAAATAAAAGAAAAGACTTTTTTAATTTAGAATATTATTTTTATTTATATTGATTACATTCCTTATTATCTATTTTATATTTCATAAAATTATAATAAAAAAACAAGACTCAGAATGGGATTTACAAAACAAATGTTGGATGCTTGGAAAAGACTTTATAAATTTTGTGTGAAGATATCTCCAAACAAGAAGGAAAGAAAAAAATTCTACTTGATTTGAATTAAATGAAATCTGAGCTGATTGAGTTGAGGGAAGCTCTCATGCGCGCTGAAGAAGCAAATAATTACACTTCTCCCTCTCTAACTAACTTAGATATTAAGATCCAAGAAAGCATTTAGGATTACTAGAATTCAATTTCTCCTATTAGATCTAATAAGGCCCTACAAAACAATTCAAATTAATAAATGGGCTCATAACAATAATAGTAGTTCATTCAATAATTGCAAAATTAATAGTAGACTAGTCTCCAAGTATTACCTGATATTAATGGAAACTTTACTAATAGTGCCAATCAAGTAACCAGTACTAATAATATGAATGGTCTTAATGGTCTTAGCAGCAATAACATTGGCAATAATTAAAATAATAACAATAGTAATACTTTGAATCCTAATAATAAAGATCAAAGAAAATATTATTAAATTCATTAATAAAATTCAACGAATAAATTCGAATATGAAGTAATGCCAGTAGGAAGCTAATAGTAAATCCCTGTGTCTCAGATGTAAATAGAAAGTGTAGATAATTTGGAAGAAAGAAAAGAAAATTCTGTTCATGCTAGTCCTAGCACATCAGAATAAACTGATGACAAGGATAATTCCTAGAAGCTTGTAAATATTATTTTAATGTTTATTATTTTATTTATTGAGGAAATATTTACTCAATTAAAAAAGTATTATTTAAAGAATTAATTAAGAATAATTTATTTTTGGAGAAAAAAATATTAAAAATATATTGTTTTGATTATAAACAAAAGATCTAAAAAATCCTAAGCGATGGAGATCCAGATTATTCGAAAAATTTCATTCTTCTCAAATGGTTATCTGATACAAGCTCAGAATTCAATAAGATCAAAATGGTTTATTATAACAACTATCGTGGAGTTCATGCAAGACAAAAAATAAAGGTAATTTGAAAAAAATAATATTTTGATAGTTAATTAACACAACATTATTAAGTAAATATCAAATAATCTTAATACTTTACTAAAAATATTCCATTAAATATTAAATGATAATAAACCAGTAAAATAATTCCAAAATAAAAATTGAATTTTTTTATCAAATAACTTTTAATAATTTTTTATAAATTAATAAACATTTATCAATATTTTTTATTTTTTCCAAAAAATTAATTCTCAATACTTTTTATTTCGATTTATTAAAACAATAAAATTAAAGTTAATGGAATGATATTATATTCGCTCATTTATTCAGATTATTTATTGATTTTAAGACACACAAACAAAACATTGATTTATGAGTTTTGTCTTTGTGAAATAACTAACTTCTTTTTTTTCAATATAAAAAGAAAGGAGAGTGTATTTTGTTTATACCTGTTGATAATATGATTACACTTGAGCTTTCTAAAGAGCTGCCTATTTGCTAATTAATAGAGTCTAAAAACATTCGCTTGCTTTCACCAAAGCACACATTCTTATCAATTTATATCATCATTGAAAAGAAGAACCATAAATCATTTTGGAAACCATTCTTAGATATTCTTCCAGTTGAGTATACTACATTCCCTATATTGTACACAGATGAAGAGCTCTTTTGGCTTAAAGGTTCTCCATTTCTAAATTAAGTTAAAGAGAGGAGGGAATGTATCACTTAAGATTACCAAGCTATTGTCTCAAAAATACCAGAATTCGCTAAGCTTTGCACTTTAGATGAATTTGCTTGGGCAAGAATGATGGCAGCTTCCAGAATTTATGGTTTGTTTATAAACAAAAAAAGAACTGATGCATTTGTTCCCTTAGCAGGTAAATAGAATATTTGAAATGGTCTTAAGATTTTACAATTTTTATTTATTATTGAAATTAAAGATATGTTTAACCATCGTCGTCCTGCATATACTAATTGGGGCTTTTGTGAAGATAAAGGAGGATTTATGTTGAAAGCTTCTGAAGATATTCGTAGAGGTGACTAAATATATTATTCATGTGGGCGTAAGTGCAACTCAAGATTCTTACTCAACTATGGCTTTGTTGTTAAGAATAATGAGGCAAATGAAATCTAAGTAAATTACTTATTTTTTAATTATGCATTAAAAAGGAATATTTTATATAAAAGCTAAGAGTTGATTTTGATAAAAAAGACGAAACTTTACCCATAAAATTATAAATGATTGGAAAGAGAAAACCTGAATCACTCATTTTCAGGATTCATATTAATTATGAAGAAAAAAGTGTTTTAGAATTCTTCGGTTTTCTGCGTTTTGTTCTGATTCGTGATTATATCGTTCTTGAAAAGTTCCATGAAATGTCAGAAGGAAAAGAGTTTGATCCTCTGAGAACTCCTCCTTTCAGTATAGAAAATGAGAAGTAAATGTGGACAGAAATTCATAAGATATGTGCAGAAATAATGATTTAGTATCCTACTACATTAGATGTAATTAAAACAATTTTGTTAAAAAATTCATTTTTTTTAACTTTATTTATTGTAAATTTAAAAAGGAGGATAAGAAAATTTTAGAAACTTCAAAATTAACTATTAATTAAAAGAACTGTGTCATCCTAAGAATGGGAGAAAAAGAAGTAATTAATTAATTTTAATATGATTAAACAAAATAAATATTTTATTCTTTTAAATTTTAAAGATTTTAATGTATTACATTACTATGGCTGATAGAATGAAGAAGCTCCTAACAATGACAAAAACAGTAAATATTTCGTTACTGAATGAATAGCTTTATTTATAATTTTATTTTTTTAACTAAAAAGGAAGTGAAAAAGCATATCTTATAGAATTAAGAGTACACTAAATACTCAAGTTACGTCAATGGTATTGTTCTTTCTCTTTTAACAAAGAGGGAAACTTACGATGAAGAGTGAGTTTATATAAAAAATAAGCTTGGATAGCTTAGTCATTTCAAATATAACATAAAAAACTTTCTATAAAATTACAACTCAATAAAATAAATATATTTATACCCCATAAAAACTAAATTGTTGGTTTTAAGAAAATTATTAACGAATTAAATAAAAGTTGTGCATTTGAAATTAAATTAATTGCTTGCTGATGAAAAAGGTCAAGAAATTTAGTTACTTAATTTTATCCTAAACAAAAATATACATACATACAAATGACAACATGCTTTAATTATATCTAACTCTATCAAAAAAAAGTAGAATTAAGATTTATAAAAAGCCACGCTAATCAAATACTTTATTAACTATAAAATAAATAACAGCAGTCTTTCTAAAAATGAACTCTTTTATAAAATATTAAACTAGAAAAAGTTTAATCAAATAAATGTTATTTGAAGTAACAACTAAAAAAATATTAGTAAACAAATATATCTATCCTTCTTTGAATCTTATTCCACTCACCATTGATTATATTATATTTAACTATCTATATCTATTAATTCTATAATATATATATCTATCTATATTTACCTACCTACTTTTATGTCTTATATTTATTATATTGAGATATTTCTGTACAAATATTATATTATTATCTACAAATTTTTTTTTTTGTTTGTTTGTTTAAAAAGTATTAATTGCAAAAATATTTGAACACTGGTCAACTTTAGATAAAAATAATACCATACCTAAAAAAATACTCTTATTTGATATTAATTTTTTAAAATAAAATTTTGAAATGTTTTTAAATGAAAATATAATTAATTTTCATTTATTTAAGTATTTATTTTTATTTATGAAAATAGGCTTGAATGTTTTAAATTATTAATTAGAGCCTAAAAATTTCTAAAAAATATTTGGTTATATTCCTTCAAAGGATAAATTTCAGTTTAAATTCATGACAAAGGTTAATCTAAATAGTTATATAGGATAACATTAATAAATTGATTACTGTTAACTAGAGGACTAAGTTAAATATACATATTTAGCTTGAAATATAAAGTTTGTTTATGCAATTTAAAAAAAATAAATTTTTGAATAAATGCAATAATAATTTTATTGAGTGCAAAAATAAAATTTAAGCTTTTATTTTTGAATAAAAATGACTTTAAAAATTATATGATTCAACGCATGTTATAAATTGATTAAGATTAATTAGTAAATTAATTTTATGATGATATCTATTTTAAGCTCTTAAGCTTTTCTCTAAGCTCATTAATCAAATCAACAATATGAGGACTTGTAATTTAGTAACTCATACTATCAAGTAAATCATCTTTCTCTTTTTAATAGGCTTATCTAATAATTCTTTCATATTGATGTTCTCTTGATTCTTAGTCTCTTATTTTTAATGCTATCCTAAAAGCAACTTGCTCTAAATTATTTTTTAGGAGTTGGTCAATTATAATTGAATAGGGAATAACTTCAGTTTTTCTATTTATTTCATCTACTTTTCTTTCTATTTCCTATTCTTTAGGTACAGGCTCATTGATGAGAAGTTTTAATTAGTTTACACTAACAGCTTTCGGATGCATTTTTATTTCACTTTGAAGTTTTTCTCTAGCTATGTCCTAGTTTTTAGCTAGGAGTTGCTTTAGTTGTTGGTAGATACTTATTTTGATATTTTTTTCATCCAAACTATTAAGATAATTCACAAATTTAATTTAATCATCGATAGCTAATGTATAAAATTTATCACTTAAATCTTTTTAGAATTCTATTTTAACTTGTTTAATTAATTCTGATTTTTTATTGATGTCATTTTATTTAATAGCAAATTCAAGGAGAGAGAACCCTGCCTTTATAAATTATTTCTACTTTAACAAAAACTTATAGAGTAAGACGTATTGTTGTTATAATTTTTATGTATCAAGCTAAGTTTTTAAAAATATTTAGAAATGAGCACTTAAAATTTCTTCCTTAGAAAAGTAATCGAAGCTCTTTTCGCCTAACTTATCCCAAATAGTTTTAATGACTAAGTATATAAGATTCGAGTCTTTACTTTGTAAAGCTTCAACAAGGGCCTTGTAAAAATATTCTTCATTTGAGTTTGGCTTTAATTTTAAAAAACAAAATAAAAAATTAAATAAATAAAATTAATTTTTTTACTTGAGTCTTTGCCATACAAAGGAGGACTGGTATTCTTTTCTGAATACTAGGTTCAAAATTGAGTAATTCAAGGACTATTTTAGATTTTCCTACTTAAAGAGCTTTGTGTATAATATCGCTGAATGGGATATCTGTTTAATCTTTAAATTAATTTTTTATATCGTTTATGATCTTCGAATCATCTTCGTTTTTTTCTATTTTACAACATGCCCAATGTATGTAAATTTCTTTTTTTATATCTAATCTAAGAAATTTGGATATCTCAATAGCAATATAGTGGTAATTGTATCTCAATAAAATTTTCAAAAATACTTCACTTGTTTCATAAAGATATTCCATTTACTTGTAAGTAATCGATCTTTTGTACTTTTGATACTAATTTAACTAATATGCCACTCTCAGTAATTTGCACACTTTTGTTAATTAATTCTCGCCATCTTCATCTTCATTATCAACATTATTTACTTTATTACCCAACAAGAACCCTTATAATAAAATTCTTCCATGAGAAGCTGCCTTCAAAAGTTTTTACTATCTATATATATTGAATTCGTATTACCCTGCAATAATACAATCATTTACAGCCTTCTCTAAATCTACCTAGTTATTTAATATATCATCTTATGAATTTACTTAAGTTTAATCATAGTTCTAGTTTTCAACATTAATCTACGATTTTTGATACAGTTAATATGCCTATTTAAATAAAATTATAAAATTTTAACTAATTTTTTTAATATTAATTTCAATAAAAAAAGAAACTTATTTTGAAGTTTAAACTTCCATTCATCCTTAAAAATAAATAAAATCATATAATTTGATCTTAATATTTAATCGTTAATGAATATTACTGGAGAATAAGACCCAGTAGTATCAAAAATATTAAGGTATTCTTAAGGAGTGTTTCTAAGCATGTAAATTCTATTTTCTGCTAGAATTTTTACCCCATCTAATTCCTAAACACATACAAAAGAAGGAATTTTAGATTCAAAATCATTGTTAAATTCAACTTTTGTTGAAGTTTCACTGCCAACTAAAAATAATGCATTTCTTATTTATATAACAACTGCCTTATTTTCTATCCAGTACATATTAATGTTCACCCTTGGAGTATTGTAAAGCTTTTATCTTTAAGAGTTGCTCATTTAATTACCTGAAAGCGGTGTTTAAGGATTAGTAATATTTGATTTATTATAATATTGGATTTAACTTTTAACTTTTTCTACTTCCTCTTAATAGTATATTCCTAAATCGCTAACAACAATTTGCTTATAATCATCTTCGCAGATTAAATGAACAATCCACGTTTCTTTATTTTAAGAAAATTCCTAAGTTAAATATGCTGTATGCAAACCTTTACAGTCTGAAGCTATTGCTTTTATATTTTTTAAGTTAATGACAGTGTCTTAATCAAGCCCAAGATGCTTTTCTTAACCATTATATAATTTAATTGGGTCTTTAAAACTTTCCGAAATGCACAAAACTCCACCTCCATTTCCAGCAGAATTAGCAACATATAAATTGAATTTAACATCATTCTCATCAAAAGAATCACCTTAAGGAATTAAATTCCAGCATGAAATTTCACTGCTAATACCAGGATTTCCAAAATCAATTAATTTTCCCTCAACTAGATTATTCATAATGTAAAATCTATTACTTTTAGTGAAAAATCCCAATCCATTCTTTAAAATCTTTGTGAAAAATTAAAATAGAGTTAAAATCTTATGTTTAAATTTATGAATTTACTTTGGCTTCTACAATTAAATCTTCATCTGGTTTGTTAAATCTTTTTTCTTCAATTCTTTTGCTTTCATATTAATCGAATTCAAATGGATTAATAAGATAATAAAATCCATTTTCTAAAACAACTACTAGAAGTTCTTCGTATATAAAATCAAATCCTACTATTCTCTAATTATAAGGGAACTTAATTTTATTTAAGATAAGTCCTTCATTTGAATAAAACCAGATATCTTCTTTAAACATGTCATTATTTTCAAAAAACTAAGTCTAAACAATATCTCTACAAATTGCTATAGGCCCACCAAATCTTGCTATGGCAACCTTCTTTTACTAAAGATCAAATTTCAATCTTTATACTAAATCGCAGTATATACTAAATTCATACTTTTCATCATCTAAGCTCTTAAATTCTTGTAAAATTAATGAATCTTCCATCCCTAAATGTAAGCTATAATAAAAATTTGATTCAATTAAAGTATTTTTTGAGTATTTTTTATGCAATTAACAACAATAAAAAAATTTATAGAACTTTTTAGTATGGAATTTCACAATATAATAAAATCCCTAGTACTGAATTTTAAAAATTAATAGATTTTAAAGCTTATATAGATTTAATATATTTCAAAGATTATCCAGATTTAATCTATTTTAATTCTAATATTGATTAAATATATTTTAAATTTTATCTTGATTAAATCTATTTTAAAGTAATCCTTTATTTATATTTATTTTTTTTTTAAAAAAAAAGCTTACTCAATATATTTAATTTATTATTTATATTTGAACTCTTTAATATACTTATATTAATTAATTCTACACTTTTAACTAATAATTGGAATTTAAATATTTTTATTTTAAATTTAAAATATTTTATTTGTTCAATAGATAGATGTAAATATTTTAAAGAAAATCTAATATGTTAATTTACTGGCTCAATTATTATAAAAAAAAGCAAAATTTCAAATTATAAATAAATATACAAAATGACTTAAAAGATTAAACTAAAATAAGAAGAATATTTTAATAATTCAGCAATAACTTTAATTGAAAGAATTATATTTTCTATTTTTATTTTTACTTTAAATATATCTAATATTCTGATCATTAATTTTTCATTTAAAAAACAGTGTTTATTTTAGAAAAATAAAAATTTTACATTACCAAAACTTTAATCATCAAATTGTTATAAATAGTTATTAAAAAATTTTAAACAATTTTCATTTTTTCATTAATCAAAGCTTAGAACGTAAAATCAAAACCCATAAGATTAAAATGTCATTTGAACCAAGTAGGATAGTGAATTATAAATAGGTAGAGTTTATCATTGACGAACTTAAATGTAAAGTCTGCGATTGCATTTTAGAATGCCCAGTGAATTGCAAAGAGTGTCAAAATCATTTTTGTTGGAAATGCATTAGAGAATGGTTAGAAACGCCTGGATCAAATAGGTATTTGGAAATAAATATTTAAAATATTATTTCAATTTAAAATTAAAAACTCTATGTTTATTTAAATTCTAATATTATTACCAATATACTAGCTTGAAAAATTTTTAATTCTTATTTAATTGATAATGAAGAAAATGTCCCAGTTGTAGAGCTATTTGGAAAGAGAGAGAAGGAAGTTTGTTAATGAAAACGTTGCTTAGAAAACTTAATTTTTATTGCTAATACAAAGAAAAGGGATGTGAAAAAATATTAAATTATGATGATTTAGCTCAACATGAAATGAGAACTTGTGATTATGCTGAAAGGTTTTGCCCTTTTGGATGTAAGAAAAAAATTATGTCTAAAGATCTTTAATAGCACAAAGATGAATGCTTATCGCATGAAAAATATGAGCTTAAAATGCGTAATAGACAGTCAAGTGGAGCTAGAGAAAAGAGCTTTTCAATATCATCTAATCCTGATTTTAACCCTTTTTCAAATTTAAAGTAGTTAAGATAGCTTGGGTTCAGTTGGGAAACTCATTTCAACATGGATAATTGCAAAAATGGTCTAGTAGAATTTACAGGAATGGGTTGGAAAAAATTAACGAATTTTGTCTAAGGCCTAAGTGGGTTAGCACCAGATGAGTAATTTAATAGATTAAAAGGTAAAGGAGATTTTGAATAATATGGTATTTTGGGATGGACGTAAAAATTGTTTATTTACTTAAATAATTTATGTAATAATATGCTTTATAAAAATTTTAGGTATGCATTAGAAGTTGAAACACTAAAATAGAAACTTGAAAAATGCTTTGTAATATTTTTTAACTTTACAAATCAAATCTATTTATTAATTTGGCATAATTATTATTCAAAATAACAAATATGCAAGTTTATTTAAAATAAAAAAAACAATTTACTTATTAAGCAACAAAATTGAATATGTGTAGTGAAATAGAACAATAACAATAATAATAATTATTATAAATAGTTATGCTCTAAGAAACTAAATGAAGTTGTGTAGCTATTTAAGTAAAGAATAGACTATTTGATATTATTTGAGTAAGAAGAGCTTGAAGAGTTTAGTGATGAAGAAGTAGAAAGTTAAGCTGATTACAATTATATGGTGTTAAATTAAATGATAGGTTCTCTAGTTACATAAAATAGCAGTAGCAAAAGAAACTAGAAGAAATTACATGATGATGAGTTTTTGTAGGATAATTTATCTATAATTAGAGAAACAGGTCATTTAATTTTTTCTAACATAGTTTTTTTATAATTAAATATATTCAAAATAGGTAGGTTTTGGGTTGATCATCTAATTAATTGTTAAAATAAGTAAGTTAGAATCGATATCACTGGATGGGAATTTTTAGAAGATTTTGCTCTTGGGTTAAAAGGTACTGCTAGTGAAAAATGGTTTTTGGATCTTACAAACGAAAATGATAATATGATTTGTTGGAGAGAAATTCTTCTCAGTGAAGATATAGAAGAAGAACTTAGCAAGTGCAAACTATGTATTTAAACAAGGGATAAAATTGTAATATTGTTCAAGACCAGGATAGATCGTCTTCTCTCACTTGAGCATTAAATGCCTAAATGCGATGAAATTATAGAAAAGTATTGAATAAAAAAAAATATTTCTTAAAAAGATTGATGCTATTTAAAAAGATTTTTAATATATTTAATCTATATGCATATTTAATTATAAAAGTTACTTAATTTTTGTAAACAAGTTTTTCTATTTAGTTTATCAGGTTAATTTTATTTATTTTAAAAATTAAACATTTGATCTATTTAATTAAACAGAAAACTATTTATTTAATTGTTAGATTATTAGCTTCAAAGAAAAATTTTTTATTTAATCAGTCTTTTTTACAAACATTTATTTATTTGATTTATATATTAGAAAATAAATGTTATTTAATTAATTAATTAATAATATAAACATTTTTTTGTTTTTGGAAAAACATAAATATTCGATTTATAAATAATAATAGAAAGATACATTTTATATTTTAATAATTAAGAAAATTGTTGTGATTAATTTCAAACTCTCTTTTATGTATTAAGATGAGTTAGCTTAGTAGAAGTAGATAAGTACTTAGATGCAAAATAAAGAATTACTACTCTTAAAAGGAAAGTAGCTATTTTTAGAATGTATACTTCTGGAAGCATTGAAGGAGGAGTACTTTCTTGGACAGTATATATGATATTCAAAAATAAGTCTATCAAGCTCATACTATTATATATTACATACATTTTGGCTATACCATAGGACTAGCTTGTAACCTATTTATGTTAATTAATTTTACTAAAAATTCTGTTAAATAAAATAAATAATATGTGATATTTAGTTGTAATAAGAGGCCATTTAATTTTTCAAAAAAAGTATTTTAATTACCAATAAAAGTCCTAGAATTGGAGAGATCCAAACTGCTAGTGGATATGGGAGGAATAAAAATATTAAGTCATTAATTAAATACTATTTTCCACTTTTAAGAGCTTATATAGCATAGATTATATTAAAAATAGTTGGTATAGTTAAAATCTATATTTTATTTATAATAATTATTTTTTTATCAAATATTTGATTTAAAAAATATTACTGAGTCTATAACTATTAAGGTAGTTAAAACAAAAATTAAAACATGCTTTCCTAAGTTTGTTGGACTATGAGTAAACAAGCAAAATCTTATAAAAACAGCAACTCTTTTAATGTGGTTATAAACTTTGGATCTAATTGCTTATTCTTCGATTTTCGTGCTTTGTATTTCATGATCATCTACAAATGAAAATCTGCTATGTATGCTTGACTCTCTTATTTGCTGAATTTCTTTTCTTTAAAACTTTTCCCTTTGTTTTAGAATATAAAAATCGTTTAGATTATCAAAAAATATTAATTTTCTAAATATTATTATGCAAAAGACTAAAAAATTTTTTAAAATTTGAGTCAGATATATTTTTTGTAAAAAAGTTACTTGATGGTTATAAAGTCTGAGCTTAGTACAGATTCTTTGACTGTTTAATGAAGGATATTACCTTCTGTGGCAATAGTTATTCTTTAATCATCCATAGTTTAGGCTACTTCTTCTAAAGGAGAGTCAAGGTTATAAATAAATAGCTTCATATTAACTTCATAGAAATTATTGTAATTCCTAATTGTATTTATTATTTTTGCTATGAACTCATTAAAGCTTTCTTTTTCTAGATTTTCTAAAACTGTTACTATTTGCTTAAAGCCTTCCTTTTTAGGGACTTCAAAGACCACGAGATCACAACCAACATTGTTTGGATTAAAGAAATATCTAAAATTTAGAGTAATTGTTATAATATTTATTAGCTAAATTTGAAATTTACTAGTTCCATTTTTTTAAGAGTTCCACAATCTATTGAAGAGACATTTAGATAGAACTTATAGGAGCCATAAAATCAATAGAACGAGTATATCTATTGAATTTTTTAATGAATTTATTGAGTTTTTTGCTATTATCAATTCTTAGTTTATGATTAACAAGATTTTCCATAACTCTTTAACGCTCATTGACTATCTCTTTTTTTCTGTTTCTATTAATCGAAAAGTAAAGGCACTTACAAAAAACATCGTTTTCGTTGACATTCAACGGCTTGATAAAACTACCATCACCACTCAAAGAGATGAAATAAGGAATATTTAAGAAGAAGTATTTGAAATTTGATTTTTTATAGTCAAAAATATCAAAATAACATAAAGTATAATCAATGCTCTTCGAAAATTTAATTTAAACCTTATCAAATTAGCCACTGATGTTCATGTTAATTATTTTCTATTTTTTTTAAATGATTAAATAAATAAAATTATTTGAAAATTAAGTATATATTGATTACCAGCTCGTTTTGCTAAAAGAACTTCCTGGCCTTTTTATAAATTCCTTTTCTCACTCTAGTAAGATAAGACCAATAAAGAGGATAATAAACAAAGCTAAGTATTACCAACAAAATTTTGTCAATCAATTTCCATTTCACTGTCTAATTAAATCTCTAAATTAATTCAAAAAATAAATTTTCTTAAACAACATGAATTAATTAATAATTACTTCTGCAAATTTTCTGTATTATTCCCTATTTATGATGTACTCTACTTCTGGTGGAGGGAATTTTGTAAGTTTCCAATAGTTATTTAAAGAGTTTGTTCCTAAAACATAAATTCTATGTGTGTGAAACAGTAGATCTGATAAAATAAAATCAGGACTACTAGATAAATCTGTAGTAATTATTTAATCATCAATTCTCATGAACTCAGTGGCTTCTTCAAAATCAAAAGGTAAATGATCTATTTTTCCCTAAAAATACAAAAATTAATTTTGATAAAATATCAATAGTAAAAAATGAATGTTAATAAAAATAATTATTTTAATTAATTTAGAAGCTTGATATCATTTGTTAAATTTAATCACTTCTCTTCAAAAATAAACCTCCTAGTTTATAGGTTAAATTGTTAAACTAAAAGAAATATTTTTACAAATCATTTTTTTTATTGAATTAAATAGTTTACCTTTTTTAAACGATAAATTCTTCTAATAACATATCCAGTGGTCAAAAGAGAAAGAGTCACCTAGATGAATATCATTCCATACGGTCCCACTATCTTTATATAGAATCCAAAAGGATCACAAACAATTTAATCACAATTTAACTAGCAATATTCTCCTTATCCAACTTCTGGATCATCAAAATCATCTATGCTGTTAATATCATATTTTGGACACATGGTACATTATCCATAAGGATTAGTTTTAAATTAATCTTTTCCACATTAAACGCATCTTATTACATTCTACTTATAAGTGTAACCTTGTGGGCAAAAAGGTGTAACCAAAGCTAATTTTTATATTATTTTCAATAAAATTGTATTAAATCAATAGATTTTACTTCCATTTTAAGCTAAAAATAATGAGGGATCTATGCTTTCTTCTCCTTAGAAAACTAAAAAATTCATATCTCTATTTCCTTTAGTAACGTCTATATTACCATTGAATACTTTATCAGTCAAAAGAGAATAATCGTTGAGGATATTAATATCAATTATGCCACCAGCACCCTCGCCTGAAAGACCATCAGGGGAATTTCCTCCTTTAGCTTTAATGGAGCCTGAACCTATAAAGTTGTTAGCAATTATTTTAATAGAACCACCAGAGCCACCACCACCGTAGTATATTTGGCTTTACTTACCTCCCTCTTTCCCATTACTCTCAACTTCACCATCTAATCGAAGGTTTTAGGCGGCACCTATAAAAATTAGACCACCACCAGCACCTGAAAGGTCAGTATAGTAATTAAAATAAGTAGGATCTAAATTATTACCTCCTCCAGAGCCCTTTATTATAAGGATTTAAATAAAAAAAAGGATTGAAAAATTTTTTAAATACTTCTGTTATATGGGTTGAATCATAAGGAAAAGATTCAGAGACAAATTAAGCAACTTGAGTGTTATTTAGGCATTACTAAGCAATTAATTTAGCCTTGATTAAATCTTACATTCCACTGAAGTCTGGTAATCCTATACCTCCATAGCTAACGTGATGGGCTCCACTAGGTCTGCATCCGAGGTTGGGATTTGAACCAAAAATAACACCTTTTCCAAGACCATAATCAGATGGACATCCTAAAAAACATTTAAAACATGAAATTTATATAAGGAAGAATATTTAATAAAATACCTAAGCCAGTAGAGCTAACAACTGATTTTGAATCTATTACTATATTATTAGCAAAATATCCTAGCTTTGATGTTAGTATGGATGAACTACTTAAAGTTGAATCAGTTTATGTGACTATTAGAGTGGTATAGTTGTTGTTTAGCACTTCTAGAAGATACTTGTATAATTGAATATTGTTATCAAAATTTGGTACTTCTATATAACTACTATTACTTGAGAAGTTTATTTAAAAAAAGCTTTAATATTACATCTTTTTTTTAGCTTCTTCTAATGAATTCAAACAATTGATATAGAGTGTATTAATTTGAACATTCTTAAGCAATAAAGGATTTGTTTATGGAGGAGTAGTTGCTTATCTATAAATACCAAATTAATTTGCATTTATAACTGTATTTTCGTAAATAAATATATCATAACCAATAATCAATACTTAACTATCACTCTAAACACTTGTATCAACATAAATCTAGTTAGATTAAATAACTAAGCTTGATTAAGGTTCAACCATAGTATAAACATATTCGAAATTAAGCTCATCTTAATTTAAGTAGCTATTTATATTTTATCTATTTATTTTCCTATTTTGCATATGATCTGTTTAATTTTTACTTTTATATGAATTCTTTGTAGCATCATTGTATAATACATCATTTGTTAAATTTTATTTTTTTGCACGTTATCTTTCTGTTTCTAAGAACTATTAATAAAGAACATTCTCAGTGTTAGAAAAGGAAACGATAATATTTTTTATGGTGGCTGCTTAATTTGTTTTGATAAGGATCTTTTGGCACTCAAAAAATTCTATTTATTGTAGTGCAATTGTATTATATGAGTTTTAAGTATTTGGTAAAAAAAATTAAAGTATATTATTTTGGCTTTAACTGCTGCAGTCTACAGTGAAGTTTATAAGGCTTAAATTATTTATAGCTTAGCAGTTATCAGATATTATTGTCATTAGTTCTTTATCTGTGCAGGTTCCTATTCCCCCTACAATCGTACAAACATTCTGTTAAGTTGAACTAGAAGAAATAGCGCAATTATTATCTTAGCTTGCTAGATTAATTTTATCTTTCTCAAAATTACTTGAATTGACATATTATATAAGCCTTATGCATGTATCAATTAATACTATTAATTTAAATAATTTCTGAGTTTATGTTTCTTAATACCTCATTATACTTACTTTAAAGTAAACTAAATTATTGTATTCTTCTTAAAAAAAACTCTTAATTTGAAGGATTTTTTAATGTGAGTAAATTTGATTAATCTAAATAAGATATTTACATGGTTGTATTAATAATAATTTCTTTTATAATTCTAGCATTCAACTAAACACTATAATTGATTTATATCTAAATAAGTAATTGCATTGATGCTAATTTAATAAATAAATATAAAACAATTTAATTTTTTAAAAGTAAAAGAAAGAAAGAATTTTAATTATAATCAAAACAGTTTTAAAATACAATTTATCTTAATTTATAATTTAAGAAGAAAAGATCAATTTTAAATTCTATAAACATTCCATCTAATTTGTAATATTAACTTTTAAATATGTAAATAAAATTAATCACCAGAAATAGAAAAAATCGTCTAATAATTCTTAATATTTGTATTAAAAATTTAAAATCTTTAAAAAATTCATATTTTTTTGAGTTTTTGAAAAATATTAAAAAAATATAATGAGTGTTTTGTCAGTTATATTTTAGATAGATTTATATTTATATTTAGATTTTCAAGCAAGAGATGAAGGAAGATATAGTTGATGATTTTTGTTTAAATTTTTTATTTTTAATTTGACATTATATAATTTTGATTATAAAGAAGAACTAATATTAATCAAATAAATTTATCAACTTCATAAGCTTCTTTTAAAGTGATCCATAACTATGAGGATTTTTTGTAAATAAAGAGCTTAATGTTAAAGTTTGAAAAAAACTTCTTAGTAGAGATTATGTGTTGGTATTTATTTTTAAATTCAGGATAATCAGATATCTAAATAAACTAATTATCATATGATACCCTTAACTCTAATAAAGATTAGTCACATTTCATTAAAATATTGTTACCCTAAATTATTTTAGATATCTTTCCTTCTTTCAGTATTATTTAATTATCTTTATAATCAAATAAAGAATATAAATCACAAATTAGTGCTTTATTTGAAATCTAATTTTCATAAACTAATCCGATTGCAAATTATGCTAAAGGTTCAGAACACTTAACATTAAATCTAAAAACATAATTTTTTGAATGCAATAAATTTATATTTGAATAACATTGAGTAAAATAGTTACTATTTGTAGTACTTATTGTAATTTCGTGATTAGAAAGCTTCTAAATGTACATTTTATTTAGTTTTTTATTCAATGTTGATTATATGAAATTTATTTCATTTAAAATACTTTTTTAAATACATTATTTTGCTTATTCAATCTAGTGACTTTTTTAAATTCCTTATATTTAATTAATGTTATTTAATGAGTCCAATTCAATTTTTTAACTCAAAACCTCAAGTCTCGGTTCTGATTTATCTATTTAATCTTCTTTTTAAGCTTTTTTAATTTCCAAAATATTTTTATCATTATCTGTTAAAAAGAAATTTATTTTTTCTAAATCTTTTAATATTTATTTTTTTGAAGCTTCTGGGCTTTCGTAATCGATTTTAGATATTTAAGTTGCTTTTTAGATCATTTTTTAAAGAAGTTAACTATTTTCATCTTTTTTTTAAATAATTGATTAGAGTAAGACTAAATACTTTTCCTTTTTTTATTAAATACTAAGGTCTTACCCTTATAATATAGATTTCAGTTGTTCTATTTTTGATATATCTATATAGGTTTTTAAGATATCTTATTTGTAGTTTTTAATTTTTTCAATTTAATTTAACATTTTTTCTTTTTGATCATCAATTTTTTCAATAACTTAAACTAAAAAATCTTTAAAGTAGGAATTAATGTGCTCAGCAATTTCATTAAAATTGTTTTATATAACAATCACGCCATTGATCTGATTTAACAATTTATTATCATTTAAAATAGGCCATTTCTAAAGTATTTAATTCTGATTTTATTACATTATTTTCTGAATTGTAATAAAGTTTGAACTTTTATAATCAGCATCTTCATCAGAACACTCACTGCAATAGAACAATTTATTATCTTAACCCTCAATTAGGTTTAATTAAAGATATATTAGATCTTAACCTTAGTGATAAGGACATTTTAAGTCTAGCTTAAAAAGCTAAGTACATATTTCTTGCATAGTAATTTAAAAAATTGGAATATATTTTTATAGATTAAGTTTTCTAAATTTTTACTATTATTTTTTAAAAGTATTTTTTTAATTTTCTTTTATTGTCATATATTTGAATGAATTAAGTAATTTTCAATTTTCAAAGTAACAAAATTTTTTTTTGAAAATTCAAAAAAAAAACATCAAAGAATTAAAATAATTTTTTTTCATGAAAAAGTAAGATTTTGATTTTTGCTTAAAAATAAACAAAGAAATTTCGCTAAATAATAAATAAAGTTTTCAAATCTTAATATCACTGAAATCAATAATTTACTGAATTATAAAAAATTAATAAGCATTAATTAAATTTGGCAACATGATAAAATGTATTTGCAAAATAAATTTTTCATACACAAGAATTCATTTTCAGTATTCATTAACAGCAAAAAATTCCTGTAATTAAATAGTAAAGGAAGGGCTATTCAGATAAATAAATAATCTCAATTATTTATCATTTATCTTATTTATAAATTATTCATGTAATGAAAATTTATTTTTGTAGTTAGGAAAGTCGGTAACTTCTAGTAGCTTGCTATTCAAGTGAACTCTAACTTCAAGCAAAGAGCTTTTGCAGTTCATTAATGTATTTTATTTTTTACGAGAATTAGAAATAGCTCCTCCAATAACAAACAATTCATTGTTATTATATGATAGTTAGCAATCTAATTCACAGATTAGAGCATTATTGCAAACCATTTTATCATAGACAAGACCCAAACTAAGATTTTTTAAGCCAGATGTGCATTCAATTTTAAATCTGAAAACAAGTTTAGCATTAGCAGACAATACATCTGAAAAACACTAAGTGTAATATTTATTTTGTGTTGCTTTAATTTGAATTACACCATTGGACAATTTTTTGATATTCAAAGGATTTAATTTTCTATTCATTGTAGCTTATTTGAATACTATTAAAGGCATGAGATTGTATTTCAATTAAGAAGTGTTCTATTTATAAGTATTTAGCAATTCCGAATCTAAGTTACTTACAAGAGAAGGAAATGTTTCAATCAAATAATTTTCTATTTAATTCTGACTAAAAATACTTGATAGTTTTTCCGATATAATATCATTTAATACTCTCACATGATTTGTTTTTTATACATTTTTTAAATATGATTCTTCATTTTATTAATTCTATAAATGAGTAGCAAAGTCAATTACTTTCAAAAGATCATTTTATTGGAGATTATTAAACTAAAACTTTTTGTCTTCTATTAAATTATTTTAAACTAAATAATTGAGTATTTTATTAAGACTTGAAATGCAAGAATCATAAGTAAAGCACATGCTTTTTTACTCTTCATTAGGCTATGGATTTTGAACAACTTTTTCTTCATCTTAGAATTTTAACCTATTTTATTAATTAAAAATTTTAATTTTATATTTTTTATAATTAAACTACTCTGCAAATTATTCAATTTATTGGGCTCTTATTTCATTTTCGTTTTTATACGTTGAGTCAACTACAAAGTTAATTTAAGAAGTTTAAATTAAATCATTTATTTTGTTTTATATATAAATGCTTTTTTATAAAAAATTTTTGCTATCACTGTTAGAATTAATAATAGAAAAATCTAAGATTTTATCAAGCTCTTCTAGAGATGAATCATAGGAAATAGATGGCTTAATTATTTATGAGTTATATTTATTATCTGCCATAATTGTAGACTCTAATTATTCATTTTCATCAATTATATTGCCAAAGCAATCTAAAGAATTAAGAATTTGATTTTGAGCATTTTGTAGATTTAAATTGTTGATTTATTTAATAACATTCATGCTTTCAACAAATTAGTTTAGAATTTAAGTATTTAAATTAATTTCATTGTTAACAACAGAAAGCAGTTCTTTTAATTATTTTTCTTTTGTAATTAAATCTACTTGTTAATTCTATAAGATATTTTTTAGAGCATCAACTTTTGAGATTTTAAAATATCTTTATGTCATTTCTTTTTTATCTTTGAATGCCTATTCTAATTTGCTTATGAAAAAAACTTTTTTAGAATTAATTTTTTCTTGAACTGAAATGAGAAATGAATTAAAAAATTAATTCAAATCTTCAATCAAATCTTTTTCATTTCCTAAACCATTTAAGATAGAACCTAAATCTTCTAAAATGCTATTATCATTTAAAGGAGGCCATTTTTGTAATATTTAATCTTAGCTACTTTAAATAATTCTCTATATTGATAAAAAGTTTTTACTTTCTTAATTTTTGAATTAGTCTAAACAAGTAGCGCAATAAAATATACTATGTTCATCAATTTCACTTAGATTCCTTATTTTAATGAATTAAAGCTCATAATTAGAGTGTAATGGGCAATTGGAATATATCATTTTATCTTAAATTTTTAATTTATCTTTAATTTCTTTTTTTAATTTATTATATTTTTTTAATTAAAAATAAGAATTTAAATTTATTTCTTATTGTGTCTTATAAAATATAGAGTTAGGCTAAATTTTAGAGTACAATATTTTTAAATTCTAAAATATTTAGATGAAAAGAAGTATTTCTAAGGAATTAATAATTAGTAGTAAAATAATTTTGAGATAAAATTATCAAAGATTTGAAATGTGAAAAAAAAAATTTCAATATAATATGCTTATTGAATTTAACTTTGAAAAAGTTAACAAAGGGGCTTTAAAAGTTTTACTTTTGCTCAAATTCTGTCAAAAATTAATTCAAATTTAGGCAATTATTTTGTTTAATTTTTTTGACCAAACTATAGCAAGTTTAAGTGAAAATATTAAAAATGAAAATTTTAATTGAATATTTTTATTATTATAATCTAAAATGAGCTTAATATATTTTGATAAAATTATTATTAATCTTAGTAAAAATGTTCAATAATGGTTTAAATCAAATTTAACTAAAAAAAAGTTGAGTAAATATTTTGAATATATAAATATGTTTTGAATAAAATTATTTATTTTTTTGAAGATTTTATTGACAAATGATTTGTTACTAAACAAAATTTATCAAAGCAAATTAGTAAAAAAATATTTTTAGTTTTATTTAAATAAAAAAAATAAATTATACAACTAGTATATAATTGCTTATAATTTGATTCAAAATAAATAAAATATATTTTTTCTTTTATTATATAAAATGAAGTTTTAAATTTAGATTTTATTTTCAATCAAAGATTTAAAAAAAATTCAATAATTGATTAATAATATTTAAAATAAATCTATTTAATTTTAAGCTACCTAATGTTTTTATTGATCATATTAATATACATAAGTTGAAAATTATTTGTTCCTAAATAAAATTGATAAAAAATTAGCAAAAACATTTTAATATGTTCATTTTAATCAGATAAAATAAAAATAAATTATACAACTATATATATTTGCTTGTAAAAAATTCAAAGTATATATTTTTTCTTTAAAGAGTGTTGCAAATTTAAAATTGATTTTCAATCAAAGGTTTAAAGAAAATTCAGTAAATTAATTAATCTTATTTAAAAAAAATTGATTTAATTTTTAGATGTCTTTTGTTTTACTTATAAAAACAATTAATTTTGAACATACAACTTGAGAATAATTTATTGTATTGGATTAGATAGTCAGTATATTTCTTTAAAGCAAAGATATTATTCTTACAATTATTGATTGAATGATATTTATCAAACCAAAAGAATCTTCATTTATTAATAAATGAGAGCATTTTGAAAATTTAAAGATGGTATTGAAAGTGAATGACTTAATGCTAAATAATAAATAATAAATTCAAATCTTGAGTCAAACTATAAAATTTTTAAATTATTCGATGCAAATTAAAAGTTGATATAACAAGATGAATAGCTCCTATTAATATTCTTTAAAAAATTAATAAATTTCGATAAGAATTGAATCTTTGAAAATATAATCAATCAAAAAAAACAAAGAAAGAAAGAAGCAAAAAATAAATAAAAATCCAAGCTAAGACATTAGAGGATACCTTAAAAACAGGAGCTCAAACAAATTTTAAGTGAAATAGAAACAATAATTAGTTATTAAAAATGAATAAAGAAAAAGCTGATTAAGCAGTCCCCTTCATTATCTACAAAGAAAAGGAAGGATTTAAGCTGAACCCTGAAGCAGAGGAATATTTAAAAACTTTAAATCCAAATAGAAAAATAGCAGTAATATCAATAGTAGGCAAATATCGTACTGGTAAATCTTTCTTTGTTAACCGTGTTTTACTGGATAGAGCAGGAAAGAAGGCAGGCTTTTCTGTTGGACCCACAATCAATCCATGCACAAAGGTATTTACAGAAGAATTTTTGTTTTTTTGATAGATTATTTTAAGAAAAGAAAGAAAAACACGATATTTACTTAGGAAAACATTATATGTTAAGCTGACTTTGAATATTAATTAATTACGTTGATACTTGCTTTTTTTTACTTTATTTATATTTTTGAAAAACCATCAAAAATTAAAAACTTAAATAATTAACTTAAAATTTTACATGCAATTTTAACACATTATGCAATAACTAAATTGAAATTAATCAAGTCGCAAATTTAAAAATCTAAGGATATTTTTTAATACTGTATAATTCTTTCCAATTTAAATAAGTTAAAAATGTTTTCTATAATAGGGTTTGTGGATTTGGAAGGAGACATTATATAGCGAAGAATTGTCAGAGGATGTTGATGTTATTCTTATAGATACAGAAGGGTTTGGAGGTATGGATGAAAATTAAAATCACGACTCGCGTATATTTTTATTCTCCTTACTCTTGTCTTCCTATTTCATTTATAACTCTCAGGGAAATATTGATGAAACAGCATTAAACAACATCTCATTAATTATCAATCTTTCCAAGGATATTAAAGTTTCTGATAATAATAGCTAAGATCAAGATCCTGCAGACTTCTTTCCCTCTTTCCTTTGGGTAGTGAGAGATTTCGCTTTACAAATGGTTGATACCCAAGGATAGAAAATAACCTCAAAAGATTACCTTGAAAGAGCTCTAGAAAACCAAAAAGGAGTGTCTGATGCTATTGAATAAAAAAATAGAATTAGAAGATAGCTCAAACATTTCTTTAAAGATAGAGACTGTGCTACACTAGTTCGTCCTATTGAAGCTGAAACAGATTTATAAAGGTATTTTTTTTAAAATTTAAAATATAAAAAAATAAGAGTTTCTTGTTGATTTAACTTAAAATGCTTTATTATAAAAATGTTGAATTTAATTTAAATAAAAAACCAAATGAATTTTAAGAATAAATCAATTCAAAAGAGAAAAAATTTATGATATAAAATTGGGAGACATTTTTTATTTAGTTCAGATTGAGTTCAATCAATACAATACATTAATTATTTATTTATTTATTCTCTGCCAATAGATTTTTAAATTAAGCTAAATAATATATTTGATATAATGTTAACTTAAACAATTTTTTGTTTTAGATTAAATGAAATGTAAAATGACTAACTTCGTCCAGAGTTCGTAACTTAAATTAACCAGCTCAGAAAAAAAATATTTAGGAAAATTAAGCCTAAAATTATCAATGGAAAAGCACTTAATGGTCAATAGTTAGTTGAAATTTGTAAAGCTTATATCCATGCAATTAACAAGGGTACTCTCCCTAATATTGAAAACGCATGGAATTACATGTGCAAGAATGAGTCTATCAAAGCTATGGATGAATGCTTATATGAAATGTAAAATAACTTAGAGTAAATGATGAACTAGGAAGGAGCTATTAGCTCTCAACAAATTCATGACTTAAAAGCAAAAGTATTTTTCAAAATAATTTTTATGTAAATTAATTTAAATGTATTGGTAAATTTAGGTTAGAGAAGAGTTAATCAAAAATTTCAAAAAAAAGAGTATTGCTTCTGAAGAAGAACTTAAAGAGTTTTATGAGTAATTAGATCGTCAATTTGCTGAGAAATTTAGAGATTTTAAGAAAAAAAACAAAGAAAGACTGCAAGTAAAGCCACATAAACTAACTAACTTCCTTAAATTTCCAAAAAATTATTAACATTTTTTTATGGAAATTTAAAATTACAAAGAACATAATTTTAATATTAAACACACTCTTTTTTATTTATTTAATAGGAAAGATTTTAAGATATGTGCAGCGACAGATTAAAAGAGTTTGAAAGCAAATTGAATAATGAAGAATATTCAAATTACTATGAATTTTAAAAGGATTTTCTTGAATTCAAAGACTAATTTGAAAGAAGTGTTGGCAAAAGCCCCGAAAGCGAAGAATACTTCAAAAAAATAAGTGAAAGTATTTACAGATAAGCTGCTGAAAAGGTGAATATTAAATAGTAGCGTGAATTAGAAAAGGAAAAGCGTATCTTAGAGTAAAAATTCTAATTATCTGAAAATGACTTGAAAAATAAGAGATAGTCTTGGGAAGATGAAAGAAGAGAGCTCTAGCGTAAAATATAAGAGCTTGAAAGAGAGAGGGCTTAATTGATGGCTAATGAATAATTTAACTAAGAGAAAATTTAACGTATCACTCAAGAAAGAGATAAATTAGAAAAACAATACGATTTGCTCCAAGAAAAATACAGAGAAAGCTAATCAAAGTTAACAAACATAAGCCAAGATTAACTCGTTTCAATTTAAAAAGAATTAGAAACTGTTAAAAGTGAAAACATGAAAGCTCAATCTAATCTTGAAAAAGAAAATGCTCTCCTCCAACAAGAAAATAAATTTTGCAACAAGGAAAATGAGAGGTTAACAAGCTAGCTTGAAAAAGTCCAAACTCAAATTTAAAAATACCAATAAGATTACTAATAATCTTAATCAATTATTAATTAACTCAAAAATTAAATGAATGCCTTAGAAGTATCCAAAAAAGCTGAGATCGAGCAAATAAAGGCTGAATTTTAAGGAAAGATCAAAGAAGCTCATTAAGAAAAAGAGCAAAGCAAAGATCTCATTAAGTAGCAATCTGAATCTCTTGTAGAAAAAGCATACTTAGAAAACTAAGTTCAATTCCTTTAGAGCTAGCTTGACGAAAACAAAAGACTTCACGATGCACTTCTTTTAGCTCTTTAATGTAAATGATATTTTAAAATTAAAATTTATTTTTAATTAATTAATTAATAAAGAGGGTATGTAAAAAGACGAGGGTGAAAACACAAACGAGTTAGTTGAAACTAACAAGAATCTTTCGGCTGCTATGGATAAATTAGAATAGAGATGCAGTATGCTAGATGATAAAGTAATCAAATTAAAAGAATTCAAAAGAATGGTTAAGAATTGCACCTCTCTGTAGTGCATTAACTGCTCTAAATTTATTGCTAACAGAATATTCTTACAACATCTTAATAACTGTTCTCTCTCAACTACCTAAGCTTCTTCATCTACTTAAAGTGGAATAAGTAAATTTAAATGTTTTTAAATAATAAAATACTAATTTAAATTATTTTAGGCCGCCATTAATATTCTCATTCAATAAGTTCAGTTTACCAGTCTCAAATTCTTCCTTAAGGATTAATGAGTGGTTACTAAGCCAGTTAAATGGGATCATAGCAAACAATTTCGAATAACAGCCTTGAGAATGGAGTACTTATTGTTAATGTGAGCAAAACTATAGTCCGTGAATCCTCTGATAATAAGCCTTACACTGATTATATCGTTTCTGTTAATTATCAAAACTAGCAAAAGTGGGAAATACCTAAAAAATACAAAGTAAATAAATATTCATAAAATAAATTAAAAATTTTACTAAACATAAAACTTAACTAATTTAGAATTTCTGCGAATTACATCACACACTAACTACTATGTTCCCAAGTATGAAATTCCCTGAATCTTCTCTTGCTATTATAAATGCAAACTCTGATTTAGGAAGTACTCAAAATTAAAAACGCCCATCCGTTATTGAAGAAAGAAGAAAGGCATTATCTCTTTATTTGAAAGATTTATGCAGAATCGAATAAATAAGAAATTCTAAGGTGCTAAGAAATTTCTTGGAATTAGATATGCATATCTAAAATACTTCATACACAAAGAGTTCAAGTAGTTTTATTGGAAGCTTAAATACAACTACAAATGGAAATAACAACAATAATGGTGGAATATTCTAAAATAGTATCACCAACAATAATAACATTAATTCTAATTCTTTTATAGGCTAAATCAATGAAAAGCCTCTTCTAAGTGCTAGAAACTCTGAACAAGAAAATGATTTCCAAGGACAAAATACTCCTAAGTACCATCAGTAATAACCATCTGGAACTTATTTCAATTAAACTTAAGGAGTAAACTACTAACAACAACAATAGCAATAATAGTAGTAGTAATACACAAAAAATGATAAAAAAATTTAATCTTCTCAATCTACAAGCTACATTTAAGCTTGGTAAAATAAAGAAAATAAGATTGTATAAAATTCTATGAACAGCAAAAACCCTTACAATATTTATCAATGAAAAACTTTATGGATTCCATAATGAAACACATTTTATGAAATTCATAAAGAAGCTTAGCAAAAATGTTTGCACCTATATCATCACATTCATTCATCATATCACACAATATGATCTAAATTGATTATTTATATTAGATTAAATTTAAATATACAAACTAATTAATTAATTAATAATTCATTCTATAATTATATAAAGCATATACAAACAAACAAACAAAAAATCTTGAAAATAAAAAAAATTATAATAGCTATAATAATATTAAAGAGCTACAAAATACAAGCATAAAAACATTAATATTTATTCATTTATTTATTGCAAGAACACATTCAATTAATATAGGCTAGAAAAATCACATAACAAAAGTTTAAATGAATGAGAAAATATATTATTATATATAGAAAAACTAGAAATATTTATTAATCATCTTGCAGTACTTCACCATATGAATACATTTAATTAATTATTTACTTTTACAAGTTTGCTTGCTTGTTGATTTGTAAAACTATTTATATATAACGTTAAAATATTTTGTAATATTATAATGATTTTAATTGAATTCTTTCCAATTTTATACATTCTAAAAACCTTTTTTTACTTAAAAACTAGAAATATTCCTTTTTAATCTATTAATATTTAACCATAATTACATACATAAATAAATTGTACTAGTTAATATTTTTGTAAAATTATTTATACTTAAAATTAATAGTTTATGAAATGTAATTATGCTTTTGATTGAAAGTTATAAAATTTTATAAATATTTTTTATTTAAAAACTAGAAATATTAATGTTTAATCTTGAATGTATTTACACTTCACTAATAAATTTAATTATTCATATTTGTAAGTTTTGTTCTATAAAATACATTTATTATTAAAATTAAAATTGTATGTAATATTATTTAGCTTTAATTGAAAACATTAAAATTTGTTTTTTCTAAACAATTTTTATTTTAAAGTTAGAGTTATTTATTGTTCATATTTTTTTACCTTATGAATAAATTTAATTAATTAATTACTTATACAAGTTTGGTTGATGATTTTTAAATATAAAGTTAATATATTTTTATAATATTATTATATTGTTTTTATTTAATTGAGTTTTTATATTTACTAAGCTCCTTAAACAATTTTAATTCAATTCATTTTTTAGGTTAGAATATTTTCAAATTTTTTGAGCTTACGATTAAAATCTTTAAAAAATTGCATTTTCTTTTTGATTAAAATTTTGTTTAAATAGATAAAATAAATTTTGGAAAAATTAAAAAAATAAATCATTAATTTTTGATTAAAATTGGTTTTATTTTTAAATGGTAGAAATGTTTAAAATTATTTTAGATTAAGAATGGAATAAATGAGTTTGGTATGCTCATAAAGAAAATTTAAATTGAAACTGCTATATTTGTTTCTTTAGTTGCTTTCGTTTAATATTGTTAATACTAAGATATAGAATATAAATTCATTATATTATGCATGAGAAATATTGAATAATATTAGTACACAATTTTTGATAAATTATAATAAGTAGGTCTATTAAAAACAAAAGAGAGATAGCTATTATCAAAAAATAATATTTAATAAAATATCACGAAATATTGTTTAACATTCTTTTAATTATTAGTTACTTATTTAATTAAATCAAGAAATAAACAGTTCTCCTCTATTGATATTTATTATTTTTTAAAAGCTTAAGCAAAGTTACAAAGAGACAGTCAAGAGGTTTTTATTTACTTAAAAAACCATTTTTGAAAGCAAGTGAAGAGATAAAAGCATTTCTAATTACTTAATTCTATAAAATATATTAGTGTGGAAACAATTAATAAGTACTCATTAAAGTCTATTATAAAAAAGAATGCAAATAGGTGAAGATATATATAACTTTCTACAGGTCTTCAATCTTATAAACCCGACCGAAGGAAAGAAAATAAGTGATGATAAATATTCAATTGGTAAAAATACAACTAACCAACTAGAAAATGGTTAGATTTTTGCTAAAATTATTAGACAAATAGCTAAAATTTAAGCTTAATCACAGAAAAGACCTGAACAACCGTTTCCCGATTTAGATTCTCTTAAGGAGATGAATTCCCCTGCAGCTAGATTATATAATTGGAATGTTTTGTAAGAATGCTTTAGAAAACTTTAGATAAACTTAGAGACTGAAACAAAAAGTCTTATAATTGCAGGAGATTAAGATTAATTATCTGATTTTATAAAAGACATCATAGCCAACGTGGCTATTTACATGCCAGAATTATTTGGTAAAAATAAAGGAAAATCAAAAGTGAAACAAAATGAGTGTAAATAATTTGATATTCATTTAGCTTGTATTATCAACGATAGCAACAAAAGTTTTAGGGAGTGTTTAATTAATTCTTTAAATAAATATTTTTAAGCATTGCTGTAACTTTTGTTTTATCGAAAATGATTTTAAATGGCACAAAAAATTTTAAATTAGCTTCTTGTCTCCTTAATAATTTAAAATATTAAAATTAAAGATAAAGATGAAATTGAGGTAACAAAAGTAGACATTAACAAAGATTTAACAAAATGTAAAAGCTGTTTAGAATTTTTTGTTGTCCTACTCTCTCGTCACCTTTCCCTTCCCCCTCAGCAAGTACATAATTTTAAAAAATTAATAATGACATTTTATAATTTTTGAATTAAAAAAGACTGCCAGTTTGTTTACACACAACAACAAATATTTAGCTCATTTATTTGCAAAAGGTGTTAAAGGATTGTTTGATCCTATTATATTCTTTTACTAAGAAGTATATCAGAGCATACCTCTATTGCTGTAACTGTTTCTAGAAGATCCTACAAAAAAAAGCATGCACTTCTCAATGAATGTATAATTAGTTTATTTACATTTATTATTGATAAGAATAGTATTTTATTCAAAAATAAAGACTAAGATTTTATTTTAAATGTGAAGAGTTAATAAATCATTCCTTCCTACAATAATTAATTAATTAATTATATGCCGTTTTTTTTTTTGTAAATAAATTTTTTTTAATCTTTATAAAAGTGTCTGAAGCCTGGCTTAGTAAGTAAAAGCTATGAAGTAGCAACCTGGGCTGCTAGATTATTTTCTAAATTAGCTTTAGAATTCAGTGAATCAAACCTACTAACTGTTTCTTGGGATTGGTTTGTTGGGGAAAATGGTGGTTTAAATACTACTCTGTTGGGTTTAAAAAGACACCCTGATATGAAAGATTTAGTTGTATAAATATTGCTACAGTTTGCAAGATATAATTTTGTTGAATTATTTACAATTCATATGAAGAAAGCACAACCTGATCCTAAAGATTTAGTTGGTACTTACCTTGTACTTCTGAAACCATTGACTGCAACTCCTTCTGCTTGTGATGAGGTAAAAACAAAAATAAAAAATTTTAATACTAATTTCGAAAAAATAATGATATCATAATAACTTAAAAAAGATTCTAAATGCAGGTATTTTAGATGAATGGATAGATTTTGCTTTAGATGGTTCCACTGATGAATATAAAAATACTATTGATATGAGGACAGTTTCTCTTACTTTGCTTGTTGAAGTTTGGATGCTTTTTCCTTTTAAAATAGAAGATAGCGAATATAAATCTAATGCAGTTTTGTAACAGTTAGGAAAAGTAAAATTTTTAATCTTAAAAATAAATATCATTAATTTATTTTATTTATTTTCAATAGGCTTGCAAAGATAAATCTTAATCGTTAATTGTTTGTAGTTTAACACTGCTCTTTTAATTGCTGATTTATTTTGGCACTCAAAAGAGTCAATTTGCTCCTAATGTTTATAGGTATAAAATATTAAAAAAATAAACCCTAATTTGAATTTTTTATTGTTTAATACAGGACGTTAACTTTAAGTATAATTGAAAATCACTAAAATGTTGTTGTAAGAGAGTTCATTATGAATAACTTTATTACTGTATATGAAACTCTTGAGAGTATACCATTAAATATTTTAATTGAGCCTCTAGTCAGATAAATATAAGTAACAGATAATGTTTCATATTTCTTCAATGTATTTGATTTTAACTTCTTTGCTTACATATCTAAGAATGAAAAACTTTAGTTAAAGAATGCTATCTAATTACTAGATTTATTTTTTAAAATTTACTTAAATAATACAATATTTGCTAATGTTTCAAGTGTTCCTATCCTTAATATCGTTAACAGATTTATTGATAGTGAGACACTTTAGGAATTCGTTATCAAATTTGTTAAAGTTGCACTTGCTATGTTTTATGCAAGTGAAAAAAAGAAAAGACCAAAAGAAAAAGTAATGCCTCTTTACAACAATAAAAGTGCGATTGGTCAACCTAATTTATCTCCCGGAGAAATTGAGTAGGAATTAATATAGGCTTAAAAAAGAGCTTTGATAGTGGAAATGATTAAAAGTATAGTTACCATTAATTGTTACGAATTAAACGAAAAAATAAAACCTTTAGTTGCTCACACAAATATTTAAATAAAGCAATTTACTAAGCAAAACAACAAAGGAATGTAGAGTATTCTAACATTATTTGGAAATCCAGATACAATATTAGAAAAGTATGAAAAGGAATATATAGAACACTAGCAACAACTTAAGCAAGAAGAAAAAGAGAGAAGAGAGTAAGAATAAAATGATTCCTTACTCTAAGATTTTGAAGGATCTCCTAAAAATTAAGGAGATGTTTTAAAAAGTATAGAAGATAATTTAAAGAAATATGGCATTGGACTAAAAGAAAGACAAACGAAACTAACCAAAGCAGAAGCTACTCGTTTAGGTAATTCAAAATAAATTAATATCAATAAACAATTTAATATTTTTATGAAAAATAAGCTTTGCTAAGAAATCCTAAAGCTGATCCTAAAATTCTGAAAAAGCTTCAAGAAATTAAAGTAAATTATGAGAATAGAGAAGAAAAAAAGAAATTAGAAGTAGTTAAGCAAGAGTAAGAAACTCAAAAAGAAAAGGAAGTATTGAGAAAATAACTTATGAGAAGAAGTTTAGAATAAGGTGTTTCTAATTTTAATTAAAGAGATGCTGAAGGTGTTTTACTTTTCTAATTTGGTAGTAGAGAAAAGCAAATTAAAAGAGAAAACAAAACAGGCTTACCAATGATTTAATATATTGATTTGGATAAGGAAGAGTAAAGAGACAAAGATACAATTAATATTTTGTTAAGAAGATATAACAAGATTTTGAAAAATGTATTTGTAAAGTATTCGAATACAGGTAAATAAATAGATTTCACTACATTATAGATTTATATTTGAATTCATTTTTAATCAACAAAAGGCTTTTCTGCTTAATTTAGCAATAAAAATGTAAACAGTTTTGATGCAATAAAAGAACATAACTCTTTAATCAGCATTCCTGAAATGTACAGATTTGTTAAAGACTATGAACTATCTGATAAATTGTCTAAGGAAGAGCATCAAGTATTTATTACTAATATTTAAAATAAAACAACATTATTTATCTATTGTTTTCAAATAGACTTTGGTAAGAATAGTGTCACAAGAATAGGCTAAAAAGAAGAATAAATAGGAGGTAAGTAGAGACTAGCCAGAGTAAAATAAATAAATTGATCAAAAAAAGAAATTGCCGCCTGCAACATAAAGCCAACAAAATATGTTTTTGAAAGGAAGTAACGAAAATAAATGGAATTTTAATTAAAATGAAGTAAAGGATGTTAAATCATTTGATTTCTAAGGCTTTTTAGACTATATAGTTTAATTTGCAGGATATATTTATTCAAAACCACCTGAAGATTTGAGACATTTGCCTCTAAGTGCTTCACTACAAAAGGTTTTTGATCACATGAGAGAAATAACAAGCAAGAAAGGCTAATCAACTGCTTTGTTTGATGATTATGACAATCTTTTCTTTGGAGAAACAGAAGTCATCAAGCAATTCAATAAGAAATTAGAAGAAAATCCTGACTACCCACTTCCATAAGTAAATTATTTAATTATTTATTTATTTATTTATTTTTTGAATACAATACTAGTTTAAATAAAAATAATATAAATACAATTTTAAATAATTTATTTAAAGGGATACAAAAAAGTTAAAGATAGAGAAATAAAATTTGAATATGCATTAGACCCAAAGGGTATTCTTCCTATGAAAGAATCATTTAAGTACGCCTACTTGGTATTAAACGACTTATTTTAAGAATAGCTTTAGTTTTCAATCATAGAACCTAAATCAGCTACAAAAGAGGTCGTTAAGGCATAACCTTTAATTGGAATTACTTCAGATGTAGAATCTCATTACTTTGATATGTATAAATCTCCTTAAGTTTTAGAATAAAAAAGAGTGAAAAAACCATAAATGGTCTAAAGTTAATCTGTTGATATTCTAGGTCCTTGGGGCAAGCCTGATAGTACAAAAACTCTTCCCAGTACCTTGAATGTAAAATCAAAGTATGGAAACTAAAGAGTTTTAGATATTGACAACTACCGTAAACTAGACCTTGGTTTGAAATTAGCTGTTTCTACAATTGGGTATAGAGATCGCTACACTGCAGAATAGGTATATATTTATTTTAACTTAAAATAAATTAATAATAATAATTTTATATATTTTTTAGTGCGCTTATTGCTTAGATGATATAATAAAATCTATTGAAACTGGAGATAGTAACCAAGCTTTTAGAAATAAAAAAGTAGAAAATAAAGTAATCAAAGAGAAAAAGAAAGAAGAGGAAGCTCAAGAAGAAGCTAAAAAGAAGTATGAGGAGAAACGTTTAAAGGATCATGATTTTGTGATGAGTAGAGCAAAGGAAATTATTGAATAAAATTCCGATAAAGACAAATAAAAAAAAGAGAAAGAGTTATAGTTGAAGAAATAAAAAGAAGAGGAGTAAAAAAAGAAGGCTGATGATATGTCCAGCTTTTGGAAGGAGAAAAAAGAAGTATTTGATCAACAAAAATAAAAATTAATAGAAGAGTAGAAAAAGATTCAAGAAGAGTAACTAAGAAGGATGTAAGAAGAAAAGGAAAAGAAAGAAAAAGAGTTCCAAGAATTTAATAAAAAGTAAATAGAAAAGCAATAAGAGGAATTCAAAAAGCAGAAAGAAAAAGAATAGCAGGTAAATAATTTTAAAAAAAAGACTAATCTAGATTTAAAAATATTTTAAATGTTTAAAGGAAGCAGAAAAGCAAAGAAATCTAGAAGAATACCAAAAGAAGTTAAAAGAAAAGCTGCATATGCATATTGTTAAAACAGACTAAGAAAGGATAGAGATAGAAAAAGTAAGTAATGTAAAAATAAAGGAGTTATTTTAAAAAGACGATGTATAAAGTGTTTACAAGACTAACGAGTTTAAGCTATCTTAATTATTCTTTTATCTTAAAAAATACACTTACCGTGAAATATCTAGACAAAATATTGCTGATAATGAAATTTCATACAAAACATTCAACTGGTTCTGCTACAGATTTAACATTTACCCAGAAATTATCTCAAACCCTAAAGATATTCTTCTTATTTATCGTTCTGTAACTAGAAATAAATAGGTCATTGACCATAAACCTATTGGTATTTTTTTTAATTTTATTTAATAATATTTTAAATTAACTAATTTGAAAAGGTCTAAGTGAAGAAGAATTTAAGGAGGCCATGTTACGTATTTCTATTAAGGGCAAAAAAATATTCAATAAATTCTCTGAATAATTGTAGAAAGGAATAAATCTTAATGAATCTGAAATGGCTAAAATTGCAGATGATGAAAACAAAGAATCAAATTAAGAAGAATTTTAGGAAAATAAATCTGTAAAGTCATCTAAGACAGAAGCTCTTGAAAGGATGAAAAACGTTATCGATTACTATGGTAATATAGATGAGGCTAACTCCCACACCTTGGAAGCTCTTATTTATTATCTAGGACTTCCTAACGATAAATTAGGAATTAATGAAGCCCTTAAGAATGTAATGGAATAAGGAGCTGTGCCAGATGGAAAGCTTAAAGAAGGTAAAAATTATTTAAAAAAAGAAAAACTTGAAAAAAGATTAACCTAAAACAATATTTTTAATTTTAGTTAAATAGAATTTTTATTTTAAAATTTAAAATAATAAGCATAAACTATTTTAAAATAAAATATAATAAATAAAATAAAATTGTATCATCAGGTTTTGATTTTATTTGAAAAAAAATTTTTTTTTTTTCAATACAGAATAATTTATTAAATTTAAATTTAAAAAAAGCTATGAAATAGAAGATAGTTAAAGATCCAAATGAAATTTTAAGATACAATCCTCCTTAGAATAAAGTAAAATTTGGTAGATCCTCTTAGGTTGGTCATAATTAATCATAGATGGCAAATAATTCTTAGGTTGGTTCTCAGAATGGTTTAGCAGAAAATCAAGAAAATCAGGATTAAGAAGGTAATTAATTAATTTTATTTTTTAAAATTTTTAAAGTAAAATATTTTTTAAAATAATTAGAAAATGAGCAAGAATAAAATTGATTAGACTTTTATAAAAATTTAATACAACATAGTCTAGTCTTAGATGCTAAAACTAACTTTCTTACTTACTAACTAAATAGAAAATTAGTTTTAAAATCAATTACCTTTGATTTATAAATAATTAAATATTATATATAAATATAATATATTAAGTATATTTTGCAAAGTTTAGATTGTTTATCATAGTTTTTACATAAAAAAATGTATTCATTTTAGTTTTAAAAACTGGAATTTTTTTAAAATTAAATCAATAAAAAAAAATGAGTTTGAATTTATTAAAAAAAATCAATAATTATTTATTTATTAAAAATATCTTAATCATATTTCACTTCATTTTAATTAAGAATATTGTTTTTGAATTTTATAAAATAAGAAAATAAATGCTATTTAGATGATTGATAATTTATTAATTAAAAAAAGTGTATTAAATTAATTCTTATATTAAATTTGATTAAAAAAATAAGAAAACTTTTGTTTAAAAATAAATTATTTTGCTTTTTTAAAATAGGTTTTAATTAATTAATTAGGGAAAATTAATACTTAATGAATTACTAATCAATACAAAACATATAATATTAAAAATAAGAATGGAGTAGATAAAAGAAAATATAAGTAAATGATAATAAATGAAATATCTAATTATTGTTTGTAGAAAGTTGAAATGAATTAATTAATTAAGTAATTAATAAACGAACTAACTAATTAACTTTTTTGTTGTGTAATTGAATAGAATAAACTCACTAATATTTATGTAATAATGCAATCCATTATTTTTGTTATTTAATTATTTATAGATAACTATAATTCCCTTTTTAGTTAGTTAACAAAGAAATGAAAGGATTTTACACTAATTAGCAGCTTAATATTTAAACAAAATCTTGAATGAAATACATTTTGTATGCATATAAACTAATAGACTCATTATTTATGATTTTAAATGTTTTATTGAGTTGATTCTGTAGTTTAGGTGTTTTGTTTTGAGATGTTTTATGATGGTATTTAATTTTCAAAAAGAAGCTTATGTATATATCCTATCACCCATTTATCTTCAAGCTTTTTATGCTATTAGGGTTCTGATTGGCTTTCTAAAGCTACTTTACACTTGTTCTTATAGATTCTTAAGCATATATCAATAGTTATGATTAAGAATAAAATCGAAAGATGAATATATGAAGAATTTTTTAAAGCTTTAGCGTTTTATATGTTTGGCTCTTAATAAAATTTATAAGCAGGTTTTGCAAATGAGAAAATATAAGTAGTAGCCATAGTAGCAGTATATACGCTAGTGAGGTATGGATAAACGGGATTTGTGCAAAATAGTGCGAAGTTGGCTGCTAAAGTCATTAAAAAGCTTGTGGACATATAAAACATTGCTTCTTATTTATTATCACACATTTTATATCCTGCCTTCTTATAGTCATTCTTATAAATCCAAGAAATTCCATAAAAATGTTGATATTACCAGAAAATCATATAAATAGAATAATAAGCTGGATATAAATCATAAATAGAACCACCTGCAGCAGTATATCCAATGTAAGGTGTCAATGCACCAACTATAGCTCCAATTGTAGTATTAAATGTTGAATATCTCTTCATTGGAGTGTACAAGTAGATATAACTGAAGAAAATAGAGTTAGCAACAAATAAGGTTTATAAGGGAAAGCAGGTGTAAAAGATTGCATTTGAAGCACAATAAAGAGATGCAGCTAATATTTTAGCCATTCTATTTGAAATGAGTTTATTAGGTAATGGTCTCCTTTGAGTTCTAGTCATAAGCTTATCAAATTCTTATTCTTTAATCTAGTTGGTAGTCTATGAACTCATAGCCATTAATTGAGTAGCAATGGCTAAAGGAATTAACTCAAATGTTACCGATTCGACAAGATATAAATAAGTTGGCAATGCTACCAAAGTATTTGTCACTGATAAACGAAATTTGGTTAGCTCACAAAAATCATTAAATGTAAATTTCTTTTATATTTCCTTACCCAATTCTGTTTATTCATTAGGTTATTAGCTCCCAAGCTACTATTATTATTGAGGATTTTAATTTGTTTCGTTCTTTATGCCTATTGTTTATGAAGAGTTTAAAATACTTTCATTATTATGTTAAATACCACAAGCTTATAGCTCCTCTTTTAACAATTTCTTATCTTAATTAGTAAAACTTTAATTCTCTATTTTGTTTTTTTCTGAGGAGGATTGCATTTTTTAAAGACTTTCTTATTGATAATTTTTGGAATCTTTCTAGAGTTTGCTAGATGTATTAGAATTTTATGAACTACCAGAATTATAACCAGAAGAATTCAAATTAGACACACTAAAACACTAAGTCTATCTTAAGACATCATCAGAGTAATTTGCTGCAATACCTTAATCTTCAAACTAATTAAAATTATGGCTAACATTAGAATTTTTGATCGAAAATTGATATTTTGGAATTTATTCTTATTTTGACCTCCAATTTGAGTGGCAGTAGCCATAAAAATATGAGCTTTTCATACTTAATTAATTAAAATTTCTTAAATTGGCTAAACCGCAGAGACTGTTTTTATTAAGAACTTTTAAACAATCATATAAACTTGCTTTATTGCTATAGGCTAATTTGTTCATTTTTCACTGAATATTTCTTTGCTTTTTTGCTTATCTAAAATATCAATAATTAAGTAAAAGTGAATCTTCCTTTAAATTTTAATTGCGATCAAATCTTCCAAATTAAATTCAATAATTTAATAAAATTGGATTTATTGTTAAACTATTTATACGCTTTATTTAAGATTTTTACAGAATAAAATATAAAACTCATCAATAGTTAAGTATGAAAGTTATCAATAACTTTTTTTTTATAAGTTAGTTTTAAATGAAAACATTTTTATAATTATTTAAAATTTTAATATTATAAAATTTTTAAAAATGCACAAAAAATATGAGTGTTCACTGTTATTTTTTCTATTATATTTTAAATTTATTTTGAATATCCTTATAAAAAATAATATCTAATTTAATTGAGTAAAAACATGAAATACTTAAAAAAAATATTAACTTATTTTGGTTTATATTAACTTTAATAAGGTAAAAAAAAATTGATAGTAAATAGTTAATATTAATTATTTTTTTAAGATTTTTAAAGAATTAAATATAAAAATCATCAATAATTAATTAAGTATGAATGCAATTAATAAAAATTTTTATTATAATTATTCCATAATTTTTTTATGAGGTCAAAAGATCCTTTTCTTTGTCAATATAAAATCTAATATCTAAAAAAAAAAATTGATATTAAATAATATTTAGAAATCTTTTAAAATCTTCAAGAAAAAAAAATAAAATTTCAAAAAATTCCTCTTAAATGTAATTTGAATATTCTCTTATTTTTAATAATTAAATGTATTAAGTTTATTTTGAATATTATTAACAAAGTAATAATATACAATTTACATGTAAATAATAATGAAATATAAAATTCTCAGTTAAAAAAATTAATTTTTTCTAACTCTCATTTTTCATCATCACCTCGGATTGAAGTAAAAACATTTGAATTTTAAATAGTTAATATTTATTATTTTTAATATTTCACACAAAAAAAAAAATAAAAAAGCAAATATTTCTTAAAAAAAAATATATTTTTTGTAAAATAATAAACTTAAGCTTTAAAAATTTATAAATAAATTATAATATTATCTACTTTTTAGTTATGATAATTTTTTTAATACCACTAGTTATATTATAAAAATTTAAAATTCATAAAAAATACTTAGTAAATCTTAGATTTTATAATATTTAATATTATCAATTATCAATAAAGATATAAAAATTACAAAATATATTTATTTGCACATTTAAAATAAATTATAATATAATTTGTGTTTTTATCTGAAATAAATCAAATAAAAATAAAATTAATATTTATTTATTACTAAATGAATAAAAAATTCAAAAAATAGTTTAATTCATAATTTTCATAAAGCATTTATTTATGAAATTCCTTTCTTATTGCTACTACTTATCGATTTCATTCTTTAATTATATATTATTTTTTATTAATGCTCATAGTAATTATATCCTTTAACTGAGTTTCCTACTAATCCTGATTTTGATTTTTTATGTGTTTTTAAGTTTATTTTCTCAAGCTCTTAGTTCATGTAATTTTACTTTTAAATATTGAATTGATTTATTTTAGGTTGAGATTCAGCTTTTGATAAAGAAGGTTTTCTGCTTTAATCTGCCGTTTTACTATTTCTAAATTTTTCAGCAGCCTACTAAAATAGATTCATTTCACTTAATTAATTTTATCCATTACTTACTGTATGTAGAGTAGAATACCCTCTTTGCATTCTGTTCATAATAAGTGGAGAACTAACTTCAGAAAAAAAATTTAAATTTGATTGCTGTAAAGAGTGGCCTCTAATAGAAGATTTTCTTGAAAAAGGAGTCATCAAAGGGGATTTTTCCTAAGTTTATATTGTAGAAAATTGTATTGTGTCTAGAGATTTTTCGTCATTTTATGGCTCATTAGAGGTTTTTTTATTATTAATACTTGAAAGCAGATGAGAGACAAACCCATCCTTAATTTTTTGCACCTTTTCTTATTTTATTTTATTTTTTAATTTATTTATGAAAGAGTTTGGGTCTTTCTAATTTTAAATGCTGATGGATTTCATCACAATTCTTTTAAAAAGCTTAACTTTATCATTCATTTCAGGTACAATAATTTATGGTTTCTATATTATTGATTCTGGCACATTTCTAAACTCTTCGTCTGGTATGATGTTTATTACTTTTTACTTGAGATGTTTTTTTATTTTCATCACATTTAGCTTAGATCCTTTGAATTTCTCTTACAAATTTCTCATCAAATTTTCTTAAAAGCTTTGAGTGTATGAATCTACCCAATCTTTCTTAGGTTATTATTTTTCTTACATATCTGTATTATTTTAGATATCTCTCCTAAAATCTTGATTAGTTGAAGACATTTTTTTCATCATCTAATTTTCTAATGATTTATCCTGATTATTTTGTTAATTGAATAAACTATCCTGCTCTTTTAATTTTTTAAGCGCATTCCAAATGCTGCTACTTTTTGTTTTTTCGTTTTTATTAAGTGGAGTGTCATGTTGTTAACTATTTTCAACTTTATTAGCTGGACTTTAATTGCTATCATTATCTAAAATACTTATTTTTCTAGGAGATGATAAACTTGGGCTAGCTGGTTAAGATTTTGTTTAGGATACATACTTTTTAAGCTAGCTTTCAATAAATAAGCTTTTTCTGAAAGCAGATGATTTATGATTAACAGATTCTTCTTCTTTGATCTTGTTAATTCTTTCATTCACCAATTCTTTTATATCTTGGTTCATAAGATCTGATGTGATTTAGAATTCATGTTAAACACTTACACTTATTCTCTCTGGAGTATAAATTCTTTTGGACTGATACATTTATTCTCCGTTTTCAGTTTTTGGTGTAAAGTCACCCTTATTTTATGGACTTGGAGGGAATAAGTTATTTAAATTAAGGCTATTATAACTTTAGTTCTAAGATTTTTGAGAAGTATTAAATCTACTCCCATCTAAATTTGATTAGTAGTTTTTGCTCTCATTTATTGAATCTTTTAGAAATAATTTATTGATATTTGAAGAGCTTGAATTTGAACTATTTTATTGGATATATGTTCCATTCATTAAGTCTTCGACATCAATCTCTTTTTTTGCTAATCTCTTATGAAAGTGGTTTTTTTTCACTTAATTTTCTGATATCTCCTGAACAAAGTCTATGCCAATTATGAAATCTTTAACTTCATTGAAATTCCTATTAGATTAAGTTTTATCAACTTATATTTTCGACAACTTATCCTATTTATTTTAAAAGCATTGAACAAACATAAATTCAAAAATATTTATTTATTTAGAAATAAATTACCCTATTTAATTCTAATTTTGAATCAAAGAAGAAGTTATTAAAGTTATGAATTTACATTCCTATCTTTTCAAGTTGAGATTTATAAAACTATTCTTTGTTTTATATCTAATAATAAAAAAATTTTCAGTGAATATCTTAAATTAAATTAAATTATTTCATACTTTATCCTTAATAAAATTTTTAGAAATTAAATCAGACAGTACTCTTAACTCGAAATCTCTCTTGGTTATTCTTATTAATTCGCCGTGAGAACTTGTACAAACAACAGTAAAAACTCTTTTTTTGCATTTTAGTGTAATTTCTTCTTCTCCAAAATATTCATACTACCCAAGTTCAGCAATCTTTACTGAAATGGGTTTTTAGTACTTAGCATCTTTTTATTTCACAACAAAGAGTTCATGTCTTTTAAATAAAATATCTTATTCATCCTCGTCATCGCTTGACTCAGGCTGCAATAATTCTTTTCTTTTAATTGCCAAATATTATTGTAATTATTTTTAAGTCAGATTTTAAAATTATTCTTCTTTTTAATTAGTAGGATTTTTTGTGTCTTTTTTGCTATTTTCAGAAGTACCTGGTTTATTTATTTTAATTTATGTTGGTTTATGAGATTAGAGCTAGTTTTTAATATCAATTTAATTTGTATTAGTTTCATCATTTTCGAAAATTTTCTCTTTTTAGATTTATTTTTTGATATAATCAGGATTTTCTTAAGCTTTTTTAATTTTTTTAGGGTTGTTTTGTTTTGTTTTCATAACCTGTTTCATATACATTTAATAATCCATTTAATTTCATTATTTATAAATTAATTCTTAATTTTACTGCAAAAGTTCCTGATTTAATTATGTAAAAAGAATCTGGTTTAGATCCTTCCTAGTAAATTACTTAATTTATTTTATAAAACTCGGCGTGGCTGTTCATGAATAATGTTATTTATCTTCTCTAATTCCATTTTGAAAATGGCTAAACTTAATCAAGAAACTCAGCTGCTTGAGTTAATTTCTGCTCTTCAAAGTTTTTAAGTATTTAATCAAAATCTTCTTTAACTAAAACTGCTACATGAAGGTCCTTTGTTAATGAATATAAATATTTATTACAAACAAACACAATTTAAAATTTTACAGTATGACATAAAATTGAAGCTGCTCTTGGTTTTTTTTCTAGTAAAGCAAGCTCTCCAAATGACATTCCAGCAGATAACTCTTTAAAATAAAATAGACCTCCAACAAGGTCATATTTAGGATCCCCTACTTCTATAGATGTTTATGATTTTTATTTCGATGAATAATCTATTATATTTCTAATATATACTCCAGCTTTCCCACCAATAATTATGTAAAACTTATTGCCTAAAGAACCTAAAATATTTGTTGTATATATTTTGAAGTTATTTTTAATAATAAAATTAAATTTAATCATTAAAAGTTGACCAATAAACATACAAAAAATTCATAACTAGATTTTAAATCAAACAAACAACACATTTTTTACCAATCTTAAAAATTAAATCGTTCGCAGAGTGAAATTCATATCTCATTCTTTGACAACATCTTCTATGAACATCTGATTTAGCTTAATTGTTTATATTCTTAAAGAATTCTATGTCCTATGTTTAAGAAATTACCCAGTCAATTTCATCTGTCTTTCTAAAACTTGGATCTTTGCTCAAAATCTCAATTAATTTCTATATTTACAAATAATAATTATATTCAAACAATAATATAAAACAAAAAGCGATTTATACTAATTATTGTCGGTGCTCATAATGGTGTATAGAATATGAATTTTTGGTATTTTAAAAATCTTAATCGATCAACTAATTATTTATTTATTTAATCAGCTTAATCTTCTACTTTTTGCTTGTATTTACTTATTATCCAGTTTTAATTAGCTTTTAGAATTACCTTTAGTCTTCCTAATCTTCAGCATTAAACTAAATTTATTCCTCCTCTAGATTTTCTTCATCTAGCAGATCAGCTATATGGCCTATTGATTGTATGGAAGTTGGTTAGTCTTCAATCATTTTACTTTTTAAAAAATTTAGTACAACTTTCAGTAATTCTACTTAATTATTTTACTTTGTTAAACTATTAATATAGATTTTTTTTAATTAAAATTTAGTTTTTTAAAAGATAATTTAAAGCTTCAAGTAGAACAAAATCTCTTTATTAGCTTAATAATAATCAAACTACACTATTTCTTTAAATTTTATTTATTCTAAAGGAATTAATTATTTTTCATTACAATTATCAAAAAAGTATTTTTTATTAAATTCTAAAAGGATTTCTTTATTTAAGAATTAATTTTCCTAATTTTTAAAATCTATGAGTATTTAATTGTAATTTTCTATCTATAATTAATTAATCCTTCTTAAAGCTTTTTATTTCTTAAAAAAAAAATCATTTTTTATATTTGTAGAATTTTATTAATTTTATATGAGAAGTTTGAAAAAAGCTCATGCAACATAAGTGTAAAGATACTTTAATAAGATGACAGTTTAAACTGAAGAATTAAATCAATTAGGATTTAATTAATTAAAAATATTTAATGTATATTCCAAATTCTCCTACATCTTGTTTTTTCAAACAGTTAAAATAAACATTATTATTATTTTAGGCGAAACTTAAAATAAATAAATAAATTATTATGGGTAAATCTAGTCAAAATGTACGGTAATTAATTTAAAGGTTTATAAAATAAAATTAATAATTAATTACAAAAACAAGTAAAGCGGGTTAATAAATGCATTAAAAGTTATTTTGCTTGATTCTAAAAAAAGATTAAGGTACAACATAAATAGATTTATTTTTGAAATAAATTTCTTGAAAAAAAAATTCATGTATTTGTTTAATTTTCTTTATCTGTGTTAAGCTCTATATATGCCTGAACTAATGAATCAACACGTTCTAATTCTGCTGAATATCTTCTCTTTTAGTATTTGCTATACACTTATGCAAAAATGCAACAAAGAACTAAAGATCCAAAAAGACTGCCTATAACTATCAAAATTACTTAGCCAGTGTTTAATCCTTTACCATTATTTTTTTTAGTTTGGTATAAGTTATTGCAAATATCTGAAGTTGTATCGTTATCAGCTTCACATAACTACTTAATAACATCATTATAATATTTCTAGCTTTTAAAAGGTATCTCTTTGTTATTAAGTACAACAAAAGGTAATTGGCTATGTTTCTCAATTAAATCAAATTAAGTGCGATGGTTTTTTAAAAAGTAGTTGTCTAGCTTGTAATTAGGTAGAGAGTTACCTTAAGCATCTTTGACATCAATAAATGAATTTTAGATACAACTGTTAATTTCATCAATATTAACTTAAAGCTTCTCCATTATCAATTGAGAGTAACTTGTAAAATTAAATGGCTAAACATCTAAATGCTTGTATGTATCACTAGCTTAAGCTCTTATATGATGGTAATACTATGATTCCAGAATATCAATATATTATACATAACTCTAATAAGATTTAGCATAAAGACATGTTTATCTAATTATTTCTAAAATCGAAGTAGGATTGTCTTTATCACAATATTTACCTTCTCCATAGCAATATAACTCTTACTCTTTTTAAATTTCTTTTCTTTATTATTTTGCTTCTTCAGTTGTGTCATCTTCTTCTATGTCATCTAAAATGCTCTCAGGAATATAGTGGTTTATTTAAATCGAATCTTATTATTTAAAAATAATTAAATATGTTAATATTTAAGAAAAATGTTATTATTATATGAAGAAAAAAGAAAAAACACTCATTTTTAGTCTTAAATATGAAGATAATTAAAAATTCTTACATTTAAATTTATGATCTTAGTTATACAAGGTGACTAGCTTCAAAAGTTTTATGGATTCTAATGAATTAACATCTACGTACATTTTTAAAAAATTAGATGTTGATTCTTATACAGGGAAACTAGCGACTAATTTAGGTCTTTTTTGAGGAGTGGAATCTTTTGTGAATAATGTCAAAGTTTACCCAATGTCGCTCCCTACTTATACGACAGGAATGCTTATCATTTAAAGTTTTTAGTAATTTTTCAATGTACTATATCCATCATTTTTATCTTTAGAAATTAATATTACTAATTGAGCCCCATGATTTTAAGCATTATATATTTTATCTTCGATGCTGCAGTTATTTTAGCTATCCATTTAAATTAACAGAAAAGGTCTTTAAAATTAGTTCTAATTTTAATCGTATTATAATTTTTAGCAAGCATCTGGAGGATTTGCAATCTATAATTATCCTTCAATCGCCTTTCCCCAAGGAATAATTCCATAAGGACTGAGAAAGTTAGGAATTTGGTCATTGTATTTTATAAAAATCTTTTTCAGCTCATCATTGTTGACTACCTTGAAGTCTACTTTCCTATCATATTGACTTTCTGCTGCATATGCAAAAGCAATAACAACTAAGATCAATATTATTTTTTAATTTACCTACATATTTTGATTTTAAATTAGTTTTTATCAAAAATTCTCAAAAATATATATGAATAATTAAATTAATTAATTAATTATATTCTTTTGTCAACATTCATTATAAAAATAATTAGATTTTACTTGTTAATACAATGATGATATTTATGTCATATCTTTCTATTTATTTTATGGTGGTCTTAAAAAATTCATTAATAATAATAATCATCATTTTAATCAAATTCTTTTACACAAACAAACAGTTTACTATAATAAAATTTGATTTTTAATATAATTTATCTCATAACAGGAATAACTTTTAATATTTGTGCTGATGATAAAAATACTTCATAATACAACACTAAATAAAATACAGTGCTTACACAGAATATTACTATTACAAATATTAATTTTTAATAATCACATATTGTAGCTTAATCTTTAAGTTTTTAGAGGAGGAAGGTAGCTAGGTTATTTTATATGATTGTTATTGTATTAAGATAATATTTAAGGTTGATAAAGATAATCTATTTTGTTACTAGAATAATTTTATGATGAATTTAAAACTTCTTTTATTTACTGTGAAGAATTATTTAATTTAGAAGGTAAAGGGGAAACATTTGATCTATGTTTTATGTTTGAGTAATTTCTATGTTCAAACATTATTATTTTACTTTTATCATTATTATTTTTTATTTATGAATTATATTTTTATTGTTTCTTTCTTTCAAGTATAAGCTAACTTAATTCTTTTCTCATTACTTTTTGCTATTTGTAGATATTTTCTAAATTCTATTTTATAATTGAAGAATCATTCATTTCTATTTACTCATCATTTTCTTACTCATTCATTATTGAATTCAATCCTACTTAGTTTGATTCAATTGAATTATTGTGGTACTAATTTTATTGTGTTTACAAACTATGTTAAATTTCATTATTATGCTGATGGTCAAAAGACTGATCTATATAATACTTTTTTTAAAATTAATTATCAAAATCATATATTATAGGAGATTTATTTTAAAAAGAAGGGATTTCGTTTCTTTCTAAACTTCTAATCTGAGTGCTTTTTAAATTTCTAGTCTAGCTGTATTCATTATAGCTTAAACTTTTATCATTCTATTTGATATTTGACAAAGTTCTTTTTACTTTATTTTATTGATTCATAGGTGAAATACTGTATAAGCTTGACTATTAGTTATTAAATTTACTATAAACTTGCTATCTATATTGCTATGGAATGTGGTAACTCTCTTATTTTACATTTATTTATTTCATACTTGATAGATTATTATTGTTGTTATTAATATTATTGTTTATTTCATCTTCTTTTTTTTGAATCTAATTTAAATTAGATACTTAAATAGAAATATGTGGCTGAGATGAAGTTATCTGAGTTGTAGGTAGTGTTAATTGGCTGTTTTCATACTTCATTATATTTTATTAAAACAAAGATTAGTAGGTAGGAACATGCAGCAAAGTTTCTAGATGCGCTTCTGTTTTTTAATTTGGAAGCTTTATTTTAGAATAATCAAGCTAAGAAATATCTAAACTTATTTTTCTTGTGTCTATATTTAGGTTTTCAATTTTAACTTCATTTTCTAGTTACTCAATAATGTCTTGAGGATAACATCTTTAAAAGGCTACATTTTTAGGCAATTGTAGCTCCTTAGGTAAAACTCTCAAAGGACTAATTTGTTAATCAATTTTCAATGGACCTAGTGAATGTCCTTTTACATATTTGTTAAACAAGTTTGTAGCCTTCTTATCTAATCCATCTTTTCCATAATAAGTTATAGAGTTATTCAAAACATCTTGATAAGAAATATTCTTCAATTTCTCTTTTGCAATTAAACTTCTAACATATGACCTATCCTATTTTAAATCAAATTTTCATATTAAAAATTTATAAGATGATAATAACATTGAAATAAATCAATTTTATTGAATATTACTTTAATTGGAGTTAAAAATAATCCTGCTCCTTGCTTATTATTCATGATATTTAATATTTGTTGAGCACTTAAAATTTAAGAAGAATCATTATTATCACTGATTTGTTATGAATTCTAAGATAGATCTTCTTAATTTTAAGATAAAATTCTTTTTCTCTTAGCAATACTAAAGCATTGCATATTATCATTCTTCATGCTTTACTAAATTATATTTAAAAATAAAAAATGTTTCTGTTATCTTTAAGTAGCAAAAGTAAATATTTAACATTATTATCAAATAATAATAAATAGACCATATTAATATTAATTTTAATACTGGTTCTTCATCTTCATTTTCTATTCTATAAGGGCCGTCTTCGATGTCATGGTAAAACAGTCTGATATTAACTAAATACTCGCATTCCTTGAGTATATAATGTATAGAGTTGTCTTAAATTTATTTCCTTTCTTTTCGTTATATCCTTAAATTATTTGCAATATCTAAAATATACTCTAAAGCTTCATAAACATTAATAGCATTTATTCCTGTATCATCTGTTAAGAAGTCCATTAATCAAATAAAAAGCCAAAATTGTAGTTTTTTGTTTAATAAATAACCAAGCGAATTGTACAGAAATTATTTTAATTCCTAAAAAAAACCTTTTATGTATCAAATATCAGTGAAAGTTAGTTAGTTGTATTTGTAAAAATATTAATTTACAAATGATGGATAAATAAGAATAAAAATAATAATTTAATTTTAATTTTAATGGTAAATATTTCATTCTTTGATAAATATTAATTACATTCAATTATTCAAGTAAATTTTAACCTAAAACTATCTTAATTATTTAAAATATATTTATTTCAATATAAATCCATTTCATACTGAACTCAAAACAAAATTATTTTTTTTAATAAAAAAATAAATAAGTGATAATAAATAATTTTTCAATTAAAAATTTGATTTATGCTGAATAGATATTAATGTTAAGCTTGAGATATAGACTTAGTTATTTAATAATTCAGATAAAAAATTTCAATAAAAAATTAGTTATTTTTAATTTATGAGTAACATTATTAAATTTTTATTATTAAAATGAATTTTATTTTCATGTTAATATAAATTGTATTTAATCAATAAATTTTATTGAGTATTTTTTATTATTATCAATATATTAAACTATAATCAATAGTATTTTACATTAAATTATTATTTTATTTATATTCATTTTTACAATTTTTAAAATTAATTCACTTAAATTTCAAATATTTAATAAAAATTATTTTACTAAAGCTATAAAAAAAAGTAAAATGCTTATTTTTAAAATCTAAACTTTTTTTATTTAACATAAAAAAGAACTTGCTTTTTAATTTATCAAAAATTAAAAAAGATTGGTTAAATATTTCATTCATTAAAATTTGCTATTTAAATCCCTTAAAAAAAATAAATTTCTAATATTTGAGTTAAAAATAAAAGCATTTTAAAAGAAAAATAAATTAATTTGTAAAATCCATTAATTACTCTTCTTTTTAAAACCAAAAGTATGTGTTAAAAAAAATTTAATAACAATTTAATTTAAGTTTAGTTATATTTAAAGCCTTTTAATAAAAAATTTAATTTATTAAACTCAATTAATATTTTATTTTAATAGTAAATAATTGATGTTGATTAAAATGTAATTTAAAATTTATGCTCGGTACTTATTAATCAATTAATTTTTGTAAACTAATAAGTTAATAATGAAGTCAAATTAGATATATTTACGATTCTGTAAAGTAAATAAGGATTAATAAGTGTTTATATAGATTTGTTTATATGTATTTTCTTATCTACAGTAAGGAGTAGTTTTAATAATCAATATCCTACTTAATTAAGTAATATTAAAAACAATTCTAAAAGTACAAGGAATAATTTACTTTTTATAAAGAAAGGCTTCTTAGTTTTTTTAGAACATCATAATAAATACCAAACAAACTAAAATCAAAAAGTATAAATAAATGAAATTTAAATTAAATAAGCTTAAATACATTGATTTATTTGGAAGGAGGACGGAATTAAGTATGAATGGTTAAAAGAGTCATAAAACATGGTGCGGAACATTTTGTACAATAATGATATTTACAATATGCGCTGTTTCAGCAATCTATTATATAACATAATTTTTTAGAAGAGCTAACCCACAATATATTTACAGTGAAGTTTATGATTCAATCTATGATGTAAAGTAAGATAAAAACACTATTAGTCCATTTTCAAATTTAAAAATTGGATCAAATGGTTTTTTTGCTATGATGGGATTTGAAAATAAAGACTATAATATTAATGAATACAAAGTATAGTTTACAGTGCTATCTTAAGGTAAAATAGTATCTGAATATAAAGGAATTAATTGTTCTGAAATAGACTACTTTTAAGACTTAATGGAAGATTCGAGCATTTCTGAAATGTAGAATTTTTAGTTTGTCAAAGAAAATCCTTAAAATTTTATATGTTTAGGAAATTCTGAAGTAGATAGCTTGTTATTTGTCTATGAGGCATAAAGTGCCATATTTATTTAATTAAGCTGCCCTGATTCTTAAAGTTGCAAAAGTTTAAATGGTTAAAGGGTTTTTATCTTATCATCTGATTATTTAGTAGTCATGTAAGATTTCTCTAATCCTTTAGATTTATATATTATGAGTAACTATGTAGATTTAGATTTAAATTACAGTACCATAGTTGATGTTCAACTACAAAAGGTTCTCATTTAAACAGATATTGGATATTTAACTACAGAATACGAGTATTAGTAGTAGGTTACTTTCAAAGATTTCAAAAGATACAATTAAATAAGAAATCCAACATCTTTCTCCTCTCCACTTTTGATAATTGAGATTTAGCCTTTCTCAAAAAGGTAGATTTATCGGGTAATAAAATTAGTTACACTGATAGCTTATGAAAATTAGAAAAGGCCATTCTTGAATTTTATTAGAATATATTTGTTTAAGCATAAATACCATTTGAAAAATGAATATCTTTTGGTTAAATTATCAGAATTAGCAATTTAATTTGGAAATGTGTTTTTTAAGCAAAATATTTTTTAATTATTTTGCTAGAATTTGTTCAATTTATAAAAATAATTCATAAATAAATTGGTCATTTTTTTTGTTTATTTTTTTTATTAAGAGAAACTATTTAACCAAATATTTTGATTGAGAACTATGATTTTATTACAATTAATTTGAATTTGTTTAATCTTAATTGGTTAATATTTATTTAAGTTTTATTGTATTTATCATATGAGAATAATTTTTTATTTTTTTAAAAATAAAAAGAGATCTTATCCTAAATTCCTTAGCGTATTGAGTATAATTGGTGGTCTTATGAAAACGCTATTGGTAATTGGGTATTTTTGCACAAAACCATTTTCTAAAATTTCTATGAGATCAGAATTAGTTAACTAGTTATTTACTTTTGAAAAAATAAGCAGTAAAAAGTTGAAAAAGATTCATGAAATGTAAAATAGTTTTTTTGTTGATGAGCATTTATTAGATATTTATAAACAGTTAGGGTTTGAGCGAAGAAAACTTTAATATGGATGATAATAATAATTAAAAGCTTCCCAGATCAAAAACAATGACACTTACTAATCGAAATTAATAAAAAAAAGATTAAATAGCAAGAAGTTTTGAAAAGTTAAAGGATGATCATATAAAATTATAAATATATAATAGTGAGTAATTAACCTCTTTAAGAAATACTCCTTATTCAAATTATAATCTAGAATCTAATTTAAATACTGAAATACCCCACAGTAATTTAATAACAGCAAGATAGTTTAATGGTAATAGTGGATAATAAAAACAATTTTTTGTGTATCCTGTAAGTCATTATGAAACTTAATCCATAGAAAATTATGAAAATTTATAAACTGATTTTAAGTAAAATTTAAAGACTCAACACAATGATGATGGGATAAGGTATTCTCCTATATAAAAATAATATTCTAATAACAGTGAAATACTTTCTGATGATTAATTTAACAGCGCAAACTAAAATCATGCTAATTTTCCATAAATTTTAAACTCGATAGATATTGGTTAGAAATATTAACCTAAATTATTTAATAAAAATAATAGTTTTTAAAAAGAGTCATAATTTATAGCTTTAAATGATAATTTTATTGAGAAAACTAATAATTATTTTAAAGAACAAAAGATATAAAACTAAAATGATTTAGATAATGGAAACCTTAAAACATTTTAAACTTAATATTCTTAAGATTTAATAACATAAGGACCTCTAACAACATAACACAATAACCAATTTATGAATCACTTAGACTTTGAAACCATCAAAGATAAAAATAATGTAACTTAATCCACAAAATCAAGTTTAAAGAGACTTAATCAAAGCAGGTAATTAAAACATTCTCTTTCACAATATGATGATAATAAAGGAAATTAAGTAGATTTGCAAAAGTAATTGGAGTAAAAGAATTTAATGTAAAGAAGAAATGCAAACTTCGATAGAGACAAAAAGGCTTTTATTAAAAAAGAAACAAATAGAGGGTCATTATTTTCAATTTAAGATTAGACATAAAATTAAGATTAAGAAAAGGATTAGAAAAAATAAACAAGTATTAAGCTAACAAAGAATGCTTCCTTGCAAAAAAAAGATTCCATAAAACCTCCTAATGGATAATAAAGCTAGGCTGAAGGTGAACAACAATAAAATGGGAGCACATCTAGAAGAATAAAATCTTTTTTTTCATCTAAGACTAAAGAAATTACTGACTTAATTCGTTTTAATATAAATTAGAGATAATAACATAATAAAGAAGATGAAACCTAGAAAAACAATGAAAATTTAAGTAATAATTAACAATCTTAAAGCTAAAGTGTAGAAGAAAAGAAAAAGAAACACTCAAACTTGATAAAATAAAAAACAAACAAAAAATTTGAAGGAATATTAAATGAGAAATAGGAAAAGTCAATGATTTTAAATATTATAGATTATGTAAAATACTTTTTTGCTTGCTTTAAAGATACAACAAAAGTAAAATAAATGAAATACACAAATAAAAAAGTGAAAAAGCGCCTTGATATTATTTACATTTTAGAGAAATTAATTGAAATTGATAAGCTGAAAGTACTTCTCTTAAACCCTGATTAAATTAACTTATTTGACTATATGCCAAAAGAATTTGTGTAGTTTAATAGCATGGAAAACACAGAGATTTATGATAAAGATAACAAATTCGCTACATGGTCTTTGCTATGTGCTGAAAAATCAGCCTTAGATAAATATTCTAATGCATGCATAGCTTATCATCATATTTAATAAAATAGTAACAAAACAAAAATTGATAAAAAGCTCATACAAATGCTGGATCCATAAGTGAAAAGATACTTTAATAAGATGTTAATTTAACCTGAAGAATTAAATTAATATAGAACTTTATTGGCCGATTATTCCCTTAGTCAAGATGAAAAGAACCCAGATGCTAATCAAAATATGAATCAACTTTACTTGAACTAGTAAAATGAGCTATACAATACTGACAGTCACTAATAAAATATTTTCAATTCCCAAATTTAGCACAATCTAATTAATTCTAATTAGCCATATTTAAATTAATTGCATATGGCACAATCATAAAATATTAATTATATGAGCAGCAACTTTTAATAATAAGGAATAAACTAATTCTAATTACTTGAAAAAAGTAGAAATCCTTATTTAAATAATGATATATTCAATAGCTAGAGAATAGTGGATAAATTAAACTATTCATTTTATATACCTCATGAATAATAATCTACCTTTAGTATTCAAGAAAAGCCAATAAAAGGAGAAAAAAATTAAATAAATTTACATTAAAGTAATAAATCCTTATCTCCTAAGTCAACTAAGCATGATCCATCAAAACTTTCTCCTGATTTGTATAAATATAATAAGTAAAGTAGTCCAGATTTTTTTGCTATGAATAATCTCAAAAATAATAAAAAACTAACTTTAAAATATTAATGGCAAGCTCCAATTATTGAAGAAAGCAATATATTTATTTCCTCTGAGTAATTTGGTGGGTCATAGAAACAACCAAAAGATCCAAACAGTCCTACTTAATTTCCCAAACAACTTGAAGAAAAAAAATCTAATTTATGGATTAAAAGAACCCAATCGATTGCAATAGCAAATCAAGAAAAGTAAAGTGAAGAGAGAAATAATAGTGATTTTGATGAATAAAAAAGCTAAATTTAAATGAATTAATTGAGTATCCCTAAAGTATAGCAACCTGCTGAAACGACAAATGGAGAAAATAACGAAGAAGTTATTAAATTTGAAAATACTGAAAATACATCTTTGAATTAGTCAGAAAAGCTAACTACACCTCCTAGTTCATAAATGAAAAATAAAAATTTTAAAACTAATTCCAACTCACAATGAAAATGAAAATAAATTAAAAAAATAATAAATTTTAAATATTTTTTGTTTAATTTTTATATATTTATTCAAAATCCTTAAAATTTTTAAAGATTTCTTCTTAATAAAATTTTATTTTTATTGTTGTCAGTTTTTAGTAAATTTAATTTTAATTTGTATTTTAACAAAAAAAAATGATAAATAAAACTGTAAATAAGTGTAAAAATTACGTCAAATTTTTTTTTGTTATCTTTATTTGCTTCTTTTTTTTATTATTTTAATTTTTTATTGCTGATTGATAAAGTTTCATTTTTTGGTAAATAAAACAAATAAATATTTTATTATATTTTCTGAAATAAGCTAATTATAAGCTAGATGGAGTGAGTGAGTTATAAAAGAAAAGTAACATAAATCAAATTATACGATATAAGAAATTAGATTATATTTTATTGAAGTAACTTTATAAAAATCAAAGTCTTGGAGCATGCACTTTACCCACAATAGGAGCAATAGTTTCATGCAAAGCTGATTAAACTTCTGGTTTATTAACTGGATTTTTGTTTTGTACCCAATCTAATAGAGTTTCATATACGTCACCTTTTGAACTACCTATAGCACTACGGAGAGTATTATCATGGAAGCTCCAGGCCTCAGCAAGGCCAATGGCTTCAGGACGTAATTCAACGAGTAATTATTCACGAGCTTCACGCATAAGTTTAAGCTATTCACCATTAATATGACCACCTTCGTATAAGGCATCAGGTCTCTCTACAATCTTAGTGAGGGCATATAAAGCACACAATCTTGAAAGAACTTCTCTAATAGACTCATCGTTAACTTAGATAATCTTTTCAAAGAAAGAGTTGAAAATATAGTAGTGAGTGTGAGATGTGGCAGCATCACATAATAATGATCCAGCAGCAGTGTCAAAAGCTTCCTTAGGATGCATCTTTTTGATCTTAACTGAGTCTTCAAGTTAATTAGCTGCTTTAACAACACGGAAACAAGCAGTGAAACGCATCATCTTTCTAAGAGGCTCAAGTAACAAGAATTCTCTCATGTGTTCAGCTGTGCATTTGGTTGAGAGCAACAAAGTATGATCTCTTAAGTATTCGCATTGAGGAGGAAGAATGTTACGGCTTTCTGGGCGAACAGACTTGCGGAACTTCTTTATTAAGTAACGAGCAGTTTGTAATAACATAATAGTGTTTTCACCTTCGAAGGTGCTGTAAGGGTACCAGAGTTTAAGACGACCGACTAAACCACTGTATGAAGAAAAGCCGTGACCACCACAAGATTAACGAATCTTTTCCATACCAACGAGAGTAGTATGGGTGCTGACAGATTTATGAGCACTAAGTAAACCATGAAGATCTTGCAAGAGAGAGAAATCATTTTTGCTACATCTTTCTAAATTTTCTTAAAACATATTGATGGTTTTCTTAAAGCTGAAAGCCATTGCATAAGCGTCAGCCATATAGGGAAGAAGTTTATCTTGTTATGTTTGATAATCTAAAATAGTACGTTCAATACCGTTTTCGTCTTTAAACTACTTGCGAATTAATGAGTAACGAGTAGCAATAGTAAGCTAAGCAGCTAAGAAGTAATAGGATTCGTATAATATTCCCAATCTAACCTTCATCATTGTAGCATAAACAATCTTTGGATTACCAGCAGGAATAAATTCTCCCTTATCTGTTACCTTTACATATCTGCTTAACATATTAGTTCTTGGTATTCTAATCTGTTTATAATATTAATATTTTAATTAGATTAACTCTTTGCAAATAGAATTTATTTATTTAAATTTAAATTTGTTTAATTTTCTTTTTCAGTCATAGCAAACATTAATCAATATGCATGCAGGCTTGGTTGCTTCTGAATTTTTTATGAAATTTTTTAATTTAAAATTCTTTTTACGTTATTTAAAATGAGGAATCCATTATCTTTACTATTGTATCCATACTTAGGTCCAATATCACCAACGTCAATACCTTTTAATAAGTAAAAGAAAATAAGTTAGATATATTAAAGAGGAGATTAAACTTTTTATCATTCAATAATTAAATCTATTTATATAGTTATTTATTAAATAAAATATCTATTTGGTAGAAACAATTTTTATGTTTTTAAATATTTTTTAAGAGATAAATTTTTTTTCTGATTTAAATTACCTGGAAGGGGCTTGTGGGTTTTAAGATCACGTAATTGAACCACAAAAGGTTAAGGTCCATATCTTTGTCCATTTATGATGAGTTGAGCATAAACAATAGCATGGTTAGCAACTAGACCTAATTCTCCTACCCACCATTTAGCTGCTCCAACTTCAGGGGTATTAAGAATGAAACTGTCAGTAGCTTAGTCATAAGTAGATGTGGTTTAAAGATTTTAAACATCTGATCCATGAGCAAGCTCAGTTTAAGCATAGCAACCAATAATTTTCATCTAAAGAGCATCTTAAAGCCATCTTTTCTAATTTTAAAATGAAAATAAGTTTAAATTTAAGAATTTTTTAATTCTAATTTAAAAATTGTTAAAACAAAAGTGTAGCTTAAGATTCAAACAATCTATATAAGCTTCTAATTCTGAATTATAATTGATATTATTCAATACTTATGTTTTGAGTAGGAAACTCGAGCTAGAAGGAATAAATTAGATTTAAATATTTTAATTTATAATAAAGAATTACTTATTGTTCATCATCAGCTAAGAGTTAAAGACTAGGAACAAACATGGAGTGGTGAACAGCTCCAATGAGAGGCTCATCAAACATAAGGCCACAATATTTGTTAATTGGGTTTGATGATTAATTGAACAATTCGTGATATCTATAGGTCTTTTTGCAATATTCAGCAAAGAGCTCCTTACGAGAAATATCAATTTTGGAAGGATCGAATTTTAAAATAGGATCATCAGCAAATACTTGTTAGTACTTTCTAAATTTTTACAATTCTTCTGGCCCGTCATATAAGAGTTCAGCCATGGCTTCTTAACTGAAAGAAACTTTTTCTCTTTCTTACTTGAATGGATTAGTTGACATCTTACTTTTTTTAAATGCTTTTTATTACTCTTTTTACTTTTATTTTATTGTTTTTTGATGAAAATTGTTGGGTTTATTGAATTGTTTTTTCTGACAATATGTTTTGTTTTAAATTGCAGATTCTATCTTAAAGTAAGTAATAATCTTGTCCTATTTTTAATTTCCTTTCTTATAGATTTTGCAATGGCCTTTATTATTTTTAATGAATTTCTTTTGTATGAAATATTTTTCATTCACTTTTAAATGTAAAAAACAAAGATTAAACCTAAAAACATAGCTATTTATTTAATTTATTTATGATTCGTTGTTTTTATTTCTTGACAAGACGCCTATGACGTCGCTTATACTTTTAAGCTGATGCGCAATACTGGCATTACTCAATTAGAAGAGGACCAGAATCGAAAAAATAAAAATAAATACATTTCTTCATATCAAAATTTATCAAGACACAAAACATTATTGATATATTTTTTGTTCTGTCCTGAATTTAGAATGACTCAACTTGGATATCTCTACTTCAATTTTTTAAAAAATTTATATTTTTTTGCTTAAAGTATTCCTGGAAATTTGCTTAACTACCAAAATTTTAACTGAATTTCCTAAAAGTAAAGAATGTTTTGCTACGATTGTTCTAGAATGAAAACGTTTAATAATATTATCACAACAAATAAACATTCCAATATTTTTTGATGAGGAATAGTACATATTAAATTAAAAATTTATTTGAATGTAATTCACAATTAGAAAGATTAACTATCAAAGCTCATTTGATTATTTATTTTATTATTATTAATATGAAATTGCTTTCCACAATTAAAAGGTAGAAGCAAAAAAACTTTATTAAATCTGCTTACTTTTATCGATACATTATTATTAAAATTTAAATATTATACTTCTAAAATAAATCTTTTTGTGGTGATATAAACATACAAAATATATAAAATCGGCGTCACTCAACTCAAATTTTTGTAGAATTTTTTGCTTTGTTTTACAGATATCTCATTAGTATTTTAAATTACTTTGTAACAAAATCATTGACATTTTATTATAATTAAATTAATTAACTAAGTTGGTATGTGTCATATTTATTATTTTTTGTCTTAATTACTTCTTAGATTTTGTTTAAATCTAGAAAAGTTTGCTTAATAAAAATACAATTTAACAAAATAATTTTAAACTTATATAGATTCTAATATAAATATTTCAACTTTTAGTTTTGTTGCAATAATAATTTTTTCTTGACAAACTCTTTATCTTTTTGTAGTATATTTACATTTCCTTTTATCTTAGCCTTAAAAGGAAAAGCAAAGCACTCAATATAACTATATCTAATATTTGGGGAGAAAAAATTAATATTAGCAAAGAGTTATTTAATTTATAAATTGATATCATATTTAGAGTCATTCATTTTGCTGCGTCAACAAAGATGTGATTCTTTTTTAGTTTTAACATGTCTGCTTCTAGTTGTTTCAGCTATTCCTCACACTTCTCTTTCCTATTTTTTGTTTAAATATACGAATTCATAAATCGAATTAAACAGTAAATATTTTTCAGCGCAAAAATTCTTTATACAACTTTTAAAAAAAGGATAACATTTATTTTCCTCTAATATTCTAATAAGGTTAAAAATAAATGAATTATTTTCATTCATATTTTTATTTTTTAATTAATAAATAAGCATTAATATCTATGTAAAAAATAGAAACATTTTTTATAATTTATAAATTTTCAAAATTATTTTATTTATTTATTTATTCTTTTGAATGTATTTGATTTTAAAACCTATTTAAAGAAATTTTATATTAATTAAATTTTAAAAGCGCTAAGAATCAATTCTTTTTAATTTATCAAATATAAAAATGTTTGATTTTTGCATATTGAGCTATTCATTTATATATAATTTAAATCAAAATAAAATATCTAGATATTTATAAAATTTATTAAACTTAGTATCAAATAGTAAAATGAAGAAAAAAATAATTTAAAAAAATTTTTAAAAAAAAAATCTTCATTAAAATATGATAGCTAACTCAAATAATGACCCTCCCTCCAACCCAATATTATATTTAATAAGTCACTAGCGTAATAATATTTTTTAAATTGAAATAGGAAATTACTTTCTTAATTTATGGATAGTATCTATTTTTGTGATATGAGTAAGCTGCTGATATTCTCTATAAACTTACTCCCATTTACTCTTTAGTCCATCTCTTAAATTTTGCAGTTCTTATTATGAAAGCTCATATCTGTTGATAACAAATTAATAAAATAACTAATTAAAAAGTTATTGATAATTTTGTAATTATAAATAAAAATCCGTTATTATTTTTTTTAATAAATTTTTGAATACTAATTTCAAACTAGCATAATTAATTTATTAATTTATATATGATTTAGTTAATTAAAATTACAGTTTCTTTTATTCTTCCTATTCCTAAGCTCTTACAATATCTTTCATTATAATGCTTTCTTATAGTGTTCTTTCTTTTATTCTTTGAAGATATCTAGGAGTTTATCCGTATTCTTTCTTTTTTAACCAATCTGGTTAGGATTGAGATACTGCAGGTACTATTTTGATATAAAAAACAAGTCTTTAAAAATTATTAACTCATTTAGAACTAATTCTATAACTAATAAAGCAAATACTTCAGAAATTAAATAAATAAAAAAATAAATAGATTTTAGTTTCTTTTTTTCTATGTAACAAATTATAATTGTAATTACCAGATAAAATATTGCTAACTATATTATCAAGTATGAAATTCTTTTTAGTTCCCTTCAATAATAATGGCGATTCGCTTAGTTTGGGTACAGGAGGTTTAATTTTTTCTTAGCTATGAGATTGTCTTATAGAAGAATTATTTTCTAAGTATTTTTAATTTTTTGTAATAATTAGCATTATAATAAGTTAATTAACGACATACATATTTTTGGTAAGTGAAAGATGGATTGAGAGCCTTCTCCTTTTTTAAGATATCTATCAGGAGACTATTTATAAGAACCTTATTTTTAAATAAAAATTAAGATCTTAGTAATTATTTAATTTTGCTGTTTGACATGAATTTATTTATTCCGCGAAATAAAACATCAAAAATTAGCATAAGATAAATGTCTTATTTTATAAATAAAAAATAACCTTTTGGTTTTCCTAAAGTAGAATATTTGCATGAGATTGGGTGATCTTCAATTATTTCTTCAAAATGACCCCCACAATTTCTAACCTATTATTTAAAAGGAGAGGTTTTCAATCATTAAAATTAATATAATTAATTTTTAGTTTAGCTTCAATTAATAGCAAAAATAATGTGGCAAATTTACATTTGGTTTTTAACTATTTCTAAGTGCAAGAGTAGATCCTGTGGGAACGATGTCAGGAGGGTACCTAGATTTATATTTTCCTTATTTTGGAGGGATATAAACCTCTTTTGGGATTATATTATATATACTTTCTTCTTCCTAATACATTTATAATTTATCGATCAGTGATTTATAGTTATTTTTTAATTTATTATTGATAATAATAATTACTTTTTAAACTAAATCCTTTTTATATATCTATTTATATTATTTACTTTTAATAAAATGATTGATAACTAACTAATCCTTAATTAAATAACAATACTACAATTCTTTAAAGTACTTGTATTTCAAATAAATAGATAGCCTAACAAAAATAAAACTCGTTAGATTTCATATAAATATAACAAAATAAATTAAATTATTTTATGAAATTATAAAGTTGATGTTGAATTAATTATGAATAAAAAATATCTTAAATTTCATTTGTATTTTTTATATAAAATGTTTTGAATTAAAAATTATTTTAAAATTATTTTTGTTAAGGTTTTTATGAATATTAATAAACACTAAAATAACAATAAAAAATATTATTTTATGTAAGAAATAAAATTAAAGATAGTAAACAACAGTTTTTAGTCAAAATTATTTTCTAAAAGTAGATTTGAGATTTTTATTATATCATAAATAAAGTGTAATTATCTCTAGATTTTATAAAATCACTCTCCTTCTTCTTTAACAGGCTCTTATTCAGGTACTTCTGTTGACTATCTATCTGGAATGAAACCAATTTATTTCTATTCTATACACTTTTTGACATATTTTTCAATATAATTGCATTCAGTTTCATCCTTTTTGGTTATGTAAATGAGATAGAAGACTAAGTGATATGCGTTGTGATGTAAATAGATATGAGAATACCAACCTTCTTCGCTACGACTGTCAATATAACCCCTTGACATACTCTATATAAAGAAATAAAGAAAAACAATTAAATATAAAGATTATTAATTTTGTAAAAATAAATATTTACGCAGACAAAGCATTTCTAATCAACTTCTTCTCTGATTTTGTCCTATGCAGCTCTTAATTCTCCGAAGGTATCAAGGATAATACCAAATATAATTTAAATGAAGAGCATATTAATTAGAATAAAGAAGAATAAATCATAAAAATATCTTCCCCAAAAGTAATTTTCACTCACTACTTCAAGCTTGTCATCGCCATTACTATCTTAAACAACATTATTCATTGACTCAGAAATACCTCCACCATTCCTGAGACCTACGTTAATAACTGAAGCTACTGTAGAGATAAAGGTATTATTGTAGGCCTTATTATCTTAACTAAAATCTGCTCTAAAATATACAAATCCACCAATACCAAAAATGTACATAACTATAACTCCCAAGTAAGTGAATATAAAAATATTGTATAAATTTTGAGTGATTGATTTGATAATTTATTGTAGCTAGTGACTTCTCTTAATGATATCCAATAGAAGTATACCATATATGAGTGGGCCTTTCAAGAAGAAACCTGCTATAGTTATTGCCAAATAGCATGCATGGTAGAAATTTTCAAAGTCAGAGCATATTAAGAATGTATAAATAAATAATCTATAAACGAAGCTTTTTCTCTTATAGTTGCTTGGATTGAGATCATCTTAAAGGTAAAATAGAGTTCTATAAATTTATTAATAATATTTAATGTTTTTTTGGTTAAAATAAATTTCAACTGCTTTTATTTATTTATTTTTTAAAGGAATATTAATTACTTTTAAAATTTAGTTATAAGAGTTTCTCTAGTCAAGCCTGCATTTTCTTTTAAATATTAAATCTTCCTCCATGAATCAGCATTTGTAAAACGATTAATTGAAATTTTCCATCTCTCAATACCACAAAAGAGAAGAACAAAAATTGTTAGAATGAGCTAAATTATGGCAAATACCTATGTTAAATCATCTAATTTTGTATTACCTCCAGTTTCATCACCAATAGATCCTTCAAGGAAGAAAAGTTCTACAAGTTTTTAAAATTATAATTTGTTTTAAAATATTTTGGCTTTTACAAATTAATTAATTACACAAGAATACAATCAAAAGTAAGAAGATAAATTGAATATCCTTGATTGTTCTCCAGTTCTCCATAATTAAATGAATCTAAAATTTTAAGTTAAAATTTGTAAATACGATCATACAAAATAAAAATTTTGATATATTTATTCATGTCTTTACCTTAAACTAATACCAGTACTGTTTGTAAATCATTTGTTTGTAGTAAAAGCTAAAGTTTTCCAATAAGAATAACAGTCTGTCTTCATCAGATTCTCTGTTTGATTCATAAATCTTTTATCGATATGAAAAAATTTGATTAACTGATACATGCAATATTTGTATTTACCAAGTGGTTTTTAATGTAAGGAGTTAAGAAATTAGAGCAGAAAGGCTTTTAGAAGTATATGAGCTAGATGTTATCATTAATATTTATTTCTGTAATACCAACTTAATTCTTGAAAAAGAAGAAATATCTTGGAACATGTTCCATCATTTCTACATCGTATATGCATTCTAATAATATTTTAAGAAGACTTTTTGGCTTTTCTTTGCCAATATAATCTTCATCATCGCCAAGTGTTTATTCTCTGTACATTTATTTACGGATGTCTTGTACTGCTCTCTTATTTTAATTATCTTGATCTAAATTTAATTAATTTTTATTTTTTTAAAAAATTTCTAATTTCTATTTAGAAGCAAATAATAATTGATATTTCAAAAGAATTCTTATAAAAGAAGATAATATTAAGTATTTATGTTAAGTTAAAAAACCAAAATAAATTTATAGAATTAGAAAAAAAATTAAGAGAATGTTTGTTTTTAAAATATTAAATTGAAAAAAATAAGATACTTATTATTCTATTGAAATTCACATCAAATTTAAAAGTTTCATCTAATTTTTCTACTCTGTCTTTGTCTTATTTTGTGAAAATTCTAACTATAATGCTTTTCACTTTTTCTTATTTCAAGCTACTTGGATCTTTCTGGTTTGAATCTAGAGCTTGGAAAGATCCTATCTATTATCTGCTACCATTTTCGATTAAGGGCTCAACTGAAGATGATTTTTTGTTTTGTAAAGAATTACCTTATTATTAGTCCAATTGATTACCTTGAGGAGGAACTATAGCGGGTAGTTTCTCTTTCTTTCTTTCAAATAGTCTTAATTTTTTAGCTTTTTATTTTCTTAAGTTTGTTTGGAATCTGGAAACTATATTATCTCTTCTCCAGTCTTCGGTCATGAAATCAAAGATATTAAAATCGTATTTAGAATCTAAGAGCTTAGTGAATGGATCTAGAGCGTGTTCTTCTGGGAAAACTTCCATTAAGTAGCAAAATATTGTAAATATCTGGAAGCCAACTTCATATAAATAATTATCAAAATCTGTAACATATCCTTTATAACAAATGCTATCATTGCATTTCTCATGTTTTCTATTTGCTTTGCTTGGGCATTATATTTCAAGGATTAGATTCTTTTAGATTGGTTTCAATCTTTCTTTATAAATCCTGTACATTAAGTATAATAGCTTATCACATTCTATATGATTTAATATGTGGACTAAATTTTCTGGTGAGCGATTACCTTAAACCATTGTCGTTAAGAATTTTATACTGCTAATCAGCATATTTATTTTATTCTCTTGTTTTGCTACCACTTTTTCATCTTCGTAAAAATTAGGTTTAGAAAAATCTACTTTCATATCAAGTATTTTGTCTTGTAAAAAGCTAAATAATCTTTTATTTTAACCTATTTATTGAATAAAACCATTTAAAAAATCAAAAATCAAAAAAAAATGCTAAATACATATAATTGTTTAGTTTTCACCAGCACCAGTTGAGAAATCAACAAGAGTTTCCAGACACTACCTTATCATTTTACTTTTACATTCTATAGATGTGAATGGATCCTCAAGTAAGAATGATAAGAAATTTGATGTTTCTAACACAACGTTTGTATTTGCAGAGTAAATACCCATATTTTCATTTTACTATCTCAAGAAATTTTAGAAGCGTATGTTAACATTTTCACAGAAAAGCTAAAGCACTCTTAGAATTAAATAAGAATGTACTTCAAAATATACTGTCTCCTTTGGTACTTTTCTTCTAGACTCCTTAATTTAAATTAAGTCATCAGTAGATTTATTTTAAAAGAAATCTCTTAAATAAGAAAAGAAATCCAAACAAATTTCTTTTTCTTGTTTTAAATAGTTGAGCACAATAGTTTAGTTATCCTATTTATTTATAAACAAACAAAGAGATTTTATAAATTTGTGAATATATAATTAGCTTTTGATATCAATTTATTTACGCTATTTCCATAATTAAGCATTTGCATAAGCAAGACTAAGCTTTCTATAGTTTCATTTTGGTAGTTAGATCTTATTATGATATCAATAACAGGCTCATGAATTTTTGTTTTGCCAACCTTAGATTGATTAAAAATAATTTAATTATTTTATTTAAAATCGTAAGATAATTTACAATAGTTTGCAATATTTTATACTCCTTAACAGCTTTAAATGCTCTATCCTATACATTCTTATCTTTATGAGTCTTATCCTCAATAGTATCTTAATTGATTTACTTGATTTCAAGTATCACCCTCAAAAATTTGATTAAATATATCTAATTTTTTATGTTTAATTTAAAATATTCTTATTTAATAAAAAAAATTTGTACAGTTTTTTTTTAAAAGATTTTTTTTGTGGCTTCAATGAAATTTTATATGTTTTCTGTCAAATTTTTCACATAAATAGCATCCATATCACTTTATGCTCCAAATTCATATAAACAAAAAAGATCGATATCCGGTTTTTTAATCATTTCCAGTAATATTTAAGTAATAAAAACTTCTTCCATCACTCTATCTTGAGCATCAAAGTTTGTGAAAGGGGTTTCTTCCATATCAACGCTATTGAGAGCTTCGCCCATCATTTATAAATTATTTTATGCAAGCTTAAGCAGTTTCATTTTTAAGTTATCCTGATAAAAGATAATTTGATTAGAAAAATGCAAAAATTTAAAAGTTGTTTATCAAATAAATATTGAAAATATTTATGTATATTTTTATTTTATATTATTTATGAGTTCAATAGATAAGTTTTATTTTTTCTTACTTTAAGACCAGATATATCTAAATCTGTAACTAATTTATCTGGAGGAATCATGTCGTCCTTGTTGTGGTCTTCTTCATCATCTTTTTCTAATTGGGATATGTCCTAAGATCCTTTCTTTTTACCTAATACTTTTATTAGCTATTTAACAATGATAGAAATGTTTTGATCATCAAAATCAGTGTCTAATTCTTCGTCTTCTTCATTAGCAGAGGAGGTGTAAGGACGCTTTTTCATAACTTTCTTTATTAAGCATTCTCCTTTCAAGAATTCAATTATTTAGCTATCAGTTACATATTGTTTATCTCTATTTATAATCATGCTAATAGCTTCTTTTAGTAGAGGCTTAGTGCTTTCAGCTTTTAGATTCTTTTTTAAATTAACCAAATTTTCACAAAAGTTTTATATTGTAAGTCTATTTCTTATTAAGAATAACCTCATAAATTTATAAAACTCGACATCGTTTTTGTTGTCATCTTCTACATCTTAAAAGCCACCACCCTCAAGATCTTCTTTTCTGGTGTTATAAGTTTAAACTAAAACTTTACCAGTAGAAGTTGCTCCTATTTATTAGATAAAATAAAAAAATTAATAATTTTATTAATATTAATATATGTATTCAAGTTACCAATCTTAAAGGTTTCTCCTCCCTTTTAGCTCTTATATTTAGGAATAATATCATTAACACGAAGCATAAATATCTTCTGTTCTTATAAATTTGTTATAAATTCTTTTTTAGTCCTGTAAGATGTTTCAAGTTAGTTTATTAATCCAATTATATTAGCGAACATCTTTTTAATTTTAGAGTATTATTCTTTCAAAGAGCTACTTTTTTATGATTAACCTAATTCCTAAATTCTTTCATCAAATGTATCAGTCAAAAAATGGATTACACCTTCATTTAACAAAAACTTCCAATATTCAGTTGGATCTTTCAAAATTCCATCATACTCACCGTTAACTCTAATTTATCAAAAATATATTTTTATAAAAGAAAAAAAATATTTGAGTAAAATACGCTGCACTCTTGTTAATTTTATTATCCCTTAATAATCTCTTAGCTTGCTGAATAACTTAGCTGAATTCTGCTCTGTTCTAATTAATTTTTTCTTATAAAATATGAGTTCTTAACTCCCAGCAATCACTTTGATTTTTAGGATCAATTTTGACTAAACCTTCAAGATAAGTGTAGTTGTTTTTATCATCAACTATTTTGTATATTTACTCTATTACTTCAGCAATTTCGTCTGAAAGCATAACATCAGAATCTGTTGATTTTCCAGAGTCATCCCTTTAAATATAAGTCTCAAAAAGTAGCTTCAAGTATGCTCTTTTAAGCATAAAAGGAGTTGCAGGGAGAATAAAGTTATTCTTGAGAGAATCTGATGAAACCATTCTGTGAATTTCTTAGATTAATAATTTATTATTTTTGCAGCACTTAGCTAATACAGTCAGGCCTGTTTTAAAAATATTTGTTAAGGAAGAAAATAAAGAATTTAACAATTAATTACATAATTCGTGCATTTTGAACTAATAATAAGTTTATGTGAACTTCTTACTATTTTTCTTTCTTTAATGACTCAACTTTTCTATTTCTTAGGTTGTAAATGGTTTAGACAAGGATTTTAAAGATTAACTGTTTAAAATGTTATCCATTATTTTTTATTAGTTAGCCTTTATACAAACATTGTAATCGGCAGTAGTCAGTTAAATTAAAATTTTTAGGTACTAGCAAATAGACTATTTTTTCATGATAGACAATATTTAATCTTCAGCTTTATCAGACTTGCTATTAGAAGTATCTGGGTTATACTTTTCGATTTATTCGAAAATAATCATAATGTAGTGTTTTATTTAATCAATTTCTTATTTCTTATCTTAAAGAAGTTCAATACACAGTTTGCTAATCTATTTGTTTAATCATATTTTTTGCAATTTTAGAATAAATATAATTGAATGAATTTACTTTGAGAGGACGGTTCTTTATTTTTTCAGAACTGTAATCATGAGTCCTTAAAGCATCGTATTAAAAGAGAGTTAACTCTAAAATTTTATTGAAATAAGGTAGAACTTCTAATCTATTTTAAGGATTATTCTTGACAAATTAGTATAAGAAATCAATAATATTGCTATAGAGAGTTTTATAAGTGCCATTTTCGTCATCTTTTACATCAATTTTTTCTTTTTACAAGAAAATTGAGGCGTATTATAGCAGATGAAGCATGCTCTAATTTTATTAAAGTATTTTATTAAGTGCGTTTTTTTGCAAAATTTAAATAATAAATAAGTAAGTTAATAAAAAATGATTACTTTGTGGAAGTTTGTGTTACGCAGAAGATTTTAAAGTTAAGTAAAGTAGTCTTCTTTTGATTTAGCTAATTTCATTGTTCTTTTACATTCTTCATAGTTATCTAGTCTAAATAAGCTTAATATATTATCAAGGCCGTCTTAAAATAACTGCATGTAGGTTTAATGCTTTTGGCTAGATTAATTTAGGTTGCTCATACTTTACATTGATTAATTTACCATAGTATTTATAGCTGAATTTAAAGCTGGTAAAAATTATTAAGTTTAATCTGCAACATCAATTTTATTTTTAGCCATATTTTAAAGTAAATTTGTAAGCTTATTAGCATACACAAGCATATCCTTAGCTGAAATTTAATCTGAGGTATCACCACATATGTCACGCAAAAGCTATAATTCATATTTATCGTCTATAATTTCTATCTAATCAAATAATTCTATCAATATTTTATTTTGCTAAATGTAATTTGTAAGCTATTAAGAAAGAGCTTATTGTAAAGTGGGGTTATCGAGAGAGCATTTAAGGGTCTCAAACAACAAAGTACCTATGCTTAAGTCTTATAAATTTTCCAAATTATGTTTATTTCTCTTGATTTTGGTCATATTTGATTATCTAAATAGATCAAATTCTAATTCTCCTACTTGAATTTTTTTAAATTTCTCTTCATAACTCTCTTTGTTCCTAATTTTATCCTGCTTCTTATCCCTTTCTTCTTATTTTAGATTTTCTTTTTCTAATTTATGAAAATACTCGCTTTCTTCTCTTTACATCTGGAGATCCTCTTCTATATTTTCAGTTGTAAGAACAATAACTTATTAGTTATTTTCTTGATTAAGTAGATTAACCATTTCTATTTCTTTCTCGCCTTCTCTGCCTAATTCTAAACCTGCTCCCTTTAACTATTTATTTGTAGGTTAAAATTTTATAGTTAGCTTTTTACCCATATTTTATTGTATTTGAGAAACAATGATTAGATTTCTTTGTAGAGAATCCAGTACTTAAATAATTTTTGAAGCTTCAAGCACGACCTATGTAAATAAAATAGCACAATTATTAATTTTAATAAAAGATTAAATCAAATTACTCTAGTGATTAGGAATTAATCTTTGCACTCTTTGAAATTAGCTAATAATAAATCAAATACCCAAGTTTTTTTTTCATACTTAAATTATGACTTGAAGCAAATAAAGGCATAAAATATTTACTATATGTTTTTAATTATATGAGAATTAGTGTACAAATCATTGTATCCTAAATCTATACGAGAATGAACTATTTTAAGCATCTACAATAATGTTTTTAATTAAACATCTGGTTCGTGCTCTTTAAAAACGCTTAAACAATTGCTTAACTCTTTAGAGGTGTAACCTTTAAACATGAAATTCATTATTTAGTAAGTAATTTTGTTTTCTCGTTCTTCTGTTTATACAATTTCATCTGCAAATTTTCTAATTTCTTGGTACTCTTGCTCATCTTCATTTTCTTTATCCAAAATTCTTGTTTATGTCTTGACCTTCAAACGTGCATTTATATACTAAAATAAAAAATGAAATTTTATTTTATTTATTTTTCTATTAATGTAAGTATTTTGTTTTAAATATACAATTTTCCTAAAAGTTACTTTTAAGTTAAAATTTTTTTAATGAAATAAGTCATTTTAATTTAAAAAGTATGTAACCAAATGGAAGAAAGGATATGCATTATATATTATTTAGGATAAATAAATGCAAAAATAAATAATTACTTAATGCCTATCTTCTGTTAAAACAAAGTCATGGAAAAGCTTATAAGATTTATCAGAGATTTAGAAATTTTGAATATCCTAACGGATCATACTATTAACTTTACTTTCAGAAATACGTAACAAAGGATCAGCATCAAGGATTGTCTCTTAATAAAGTGCCAAGAAACATCTAAAATACTCTAAGTTTTTTAGCTTTCTTATTCTATCATCTTTTTAGATATTTTCAAAAGGATTAAATAATTTCAAGCAAGTGATAATGAATTCATCAGTCAAACCAATTTCTGGAGATTTTAAGATACGAATGACTTTGATATTTCTTCCCTTACACATCTATGCATAGAAATGCAGAACAGCTATAACATACTAATCATATTTTTTTAATCTTTATGCTTTACTTTAGATTCCATCTTCATAATCAGATTACTAAAAGAATGGGAATGGGAAAGCATTACTTTGATTTTATGCTGTTACATTTTTGTGCTAAGGAATCCATTTAAGCTTTTGATTATCTTTTTCAAAATCAATTTTAGTTGCATTTTTTCCTATTAATTTATAAATTATATTATATAAATTTTATAAGTATTTTTTAATTATTGATCTGTTTACCTATCATATTGAAAATGACACATGGAACTTAGTTACCATTATCATCTATTAGTAAAAAGGAAATTAACTTTTTTTACTCTAGCTTAACATTAAAATATTAATTTGAACTTTAAGCTATTTTAACTTTATTGAGTTAAACTTAGGTATTATTTAAAGATTAAGACTCTTTTGTAGGTTTGAATAATAATTTTTTGCAGAATTTTTGATTTTCTTCAATTGCTTCTTCCATAGGATTTACCATTGACAAAGACAAAACTTCCATAATAAAAATTTAGATTCCTAATTTAGATGAAGATATATTATTTATTTTGTCACACCAATCTTTAATGTTTTGCTTCTCCTTTTCATCTGATTCTTCCATCCATTTAATAGCTTCTCTGATTAAGTGCTTTACATCCTATTATATTATATAAAATAATTTAATGAAGAGTTAGCTTTATCTATTAAATGAATTTACACTTGAGTATTTATTTAGTTAAAGCAAAAAGAAGCTTAGGTACTATTTGCTACTGATTAAGAACGAACAAGACTTAGAGTTACTTTTAATACATGATATCAATATTTTATAAATAATGGATATGCATTTTTTAAGCTTTTATTGAGCAATCTTTTATGCAGATCTCTCAGATATTATTTGATTTTTCTCTTATTAACTTTTGTCTCTGTATAGCTTACCAAATATCTTAAAATCGATTTGCTGAAGAATTAAAATAAGGAGAGTGAGTAATCCACTTTCACGGATAACATCTTATCTCATCATTAATAATTGCCCCTCTACACTTAAAAACTAAGACAAATTATCAATACTCTAGCACAGATCTATTACTTTATTATTTAGCTGCTTTTAACTATCGAAGGCTTGTTTATAGGTATACTTGACGTCTTTTGAGTCTTACAATATTTAATGACCCCAGTCTTGTAAAAATATGTAAAAATCTAGCAAGAATGGGAAAAGACTTGAAACCCTATCAGTTGTTTATCTGTATTTTTAAAATAATTTTTAAAAAAATAAATTTTATAATTTAATATTTTTACCTTAAATCTTTGTTGACACTCAGAATTTCATAAATATATTTTTCCTTCGATTGCTTGTCTAGCTTATCAACACATTCGATAACAATATTTTATCTTTCACCATCTTTTTTCTCTTGTAGAACTAAGGTTTTAAAAATCTCTTGAGGTATTTATGACTTGCTCTTTAATTTTGGATCAGATATACCTTAAATAAGAATACTATTATTGTATTAGATGTATTCATCTTTTGCTGACCTTTTAGAGCTTTTAGAAGAAGCTAGTTTAAAGAGGTTATTAGAATTTGTATCAAAAGTTAAACTGAACACATATTTTTAGTTTTGAGAATATATTGGATTTCTTGATACAGCAAGATAAAGACTTGATGCAAGGTTTTTAAGGTAAAAGAATCCTTTGTAAGTAGGTATCTGAGAGGAAAATGATTCTTCTTTCTAAATTTCCCATAAAGTTTATATGTCTACATTGACTTGCTTCTCAGCTGAAATATCATCAATTTCAATATCTTCTAATTCATTACCCTGTTTCTTGCTTGAACCTTTTATGACTTAATTAGTTACTTTTTATTCAATTTGCTCCTCCTTTTGCTAAATATAAAGCGCGAAATTCTTCTCAAGAGTTTCTATAGATTTTTTTTTGTCAAAATAGTCTTACTCCATTTTTATTTCAGTATTATCTTGCACGAAGCTAACCGCTCTTTTTTTTAATATTCTAACAAAATTTTTACTTCTTCTCACTCCAACATACCCATTTAAGCTCCTAATTTAAAAAAATAAAAAGTAAATTAAATAAATACTAATTGAAAATATGAAAACTATACCTATTGAAAAGTCTTATTACTTCACCAGCCTAAAGTATTTTACCTTTGAACTAGCTTCCTTCTCTCTCCTTTTTACAAAAAAATTATTAATTTCATTTTTTCAATTTAAAAAAAAACAAAATTGATTATTTATTACTTCGACTGTTTTAAAGTCTAAATAGTTGCAAAGCTTCAGAGGAATGTTAAATTCAGATGCATTAACTTCGAGAGGAGAGACTAATTCTTCATCTCCTACATTATCTATATTTAGCCAATAACTTTTATCCATTACACTCTAAAGAAGTATTTAATCGCCATAAAGAACAGGCTCTCCAAACTTTTTAGTGTTTTTTTATGAAACTAAAATAAAATTTGACCATTAATTATCTATTTCTTCTAAGCTCATCTATTTATTTATTACATTTTAAGTTAACAATTTCTTATCATATAAATATTGATAAAAATTATTTTTTCAGTGTTTGATTCATCCTGAAATACTAAGTAAAACTCCAAATGAATTTTTTACAAAACCAACATTCATAATTAATAATTTTGTGAAAAATACTCTCAAACTACTTTAAATAAATCAAAAATAAGATTTTTACTTCTCTGCAACAATTTTGCTAAGCTAAAATATTAGGATTTATAGTTAGTGTGCAATCACTATACAAATGGACTAATTAAATAATCTAACCATAACAAATGTTAGAACCTTTTAATCTTTCATAATTTTGCTAATTTTCCTTTTTTTCCTCCTCAACTTTGGGACTTAAGTGTAAGATATCTTCTTAATTGATTTATTTTGATTTGTTGAATTTTTCTTGATAAAAATATTTCTTTTCATTAACAACTCTGAATAAGCATTTTCTAAACTATTGCTGTGCACTTTTCCTAAAAATCGAAGTATCTTGCTTTTCTTATTGTTACATCATTTTTGCCACAGAGTCAAGGTAATCTTTTTACTATCCAAAACTTTTTTAAGATTCTTAATCTTCATTATCAGATTTTGACTTCTGTTTTTTGGATTCTTAATTGAATTTTTAAGGAAGGCATTCTACCTTATTACTTGCAATACCATCACCTATTAAATATAAAAAATTATATGAAAATTTTAGATATTTAAAGAATACAACAAAGTTAATTTTTGTTTTGAAAATTTAAAAAATTTTGTTAACTATTTTGCTAAATAAATAAAAATTACTAGGTAAGAGATATTTTTAAAATCATTAATAAATTTATATTTATTTATTTAGTATTTTTTAATCTATAAATTACCTGATATAATTCCTTTTTTACCACTATCTGTATAAAACTTCAAATAGCAAACATCACCAAATTTCAAATTAAGAATTGGTTTATTTTTATCTCTATATCCCTATGATTTTTCTTCAATCATATCCTCTTCTGGATCATTTCCAAAGTCTGATATTTCTATAGTTATATAAATTATAATATTTATTTTTAATTTCTTAAACAAACTCCACTTTTATCTAAATTTTTTGCTAAGTACATGAATAAATATTTTTAAAAATGAGTTAAATGAGTTAATAGCTTAGTGAATTAAAATAGGTAAGCTTATAATTTGCTTAATTTAAATATAAAAAATTTTACAATAAACTGCATCTGAATTTTTTTAGGACTATTAGTCATGATTTTGATCTTTAAATGTTATTTAGGGTTTAATTTGTGGGGTTGGGCCACCTATTGCTTTTACTATTTTAGCCCATTTCTTAAATGCGACTTATTTCAAAACTCTTTGTATAAGGATTTATTGAAACTATTTAGCTTATTCTTCAGCCTCAAAATACTAATACATCGTGCTTCAAAAATAAAAACTATTTTCCTCCTATAATATATTTTCAGTTTTGTAGAAACAGCAGATTTTATTTTTCTTCTTATTCTATTTGATTCGTTCTTGTATTCACTACCTACCTATTTTTTTTTTCGTTATCTTTATTTTTGTTGTTAGATTTTGAATAATGATAAGATTGATCTACAAATAATTATTAATTAATTAAGTTATTAATTAAGAGTTATTTTTGATTGCGGTGAAGTATCTTAAAAGTTCACCAATTTGAAGAGTCTAAAACAAAATATGATCTTTTTTTGTATACATCTGCACATTATAAATTTAAACGTTTTAAAAATTAAGTAAATCTATTTAGATCACATGAAATAGGCTTTAATAAGTTGCTATTATGTTATTTTAAATTTATACACAAATTTAACACAAAATCTACAAGGTAACTTTTATTTAAATATTTGTGAAACATTAATTCATTATAAACTTTTCTTACTTACTTAATTGATTGACTTATTATTACTTTTAACTAATTCTTCTCATTAATTTGGAATACTTAAAAACAATAAATATTTTAAGCAGAAATTTTCTTTAATATGTTAGAATTTCTTTAATTACACATTTTTCTCTTAAAGTAAAATATAAAAAGGTTTGTTTGTTTGTTTGTTTGTTTGTTTGTTTTTAAATGCATATACTCTTAGTTTCTAAAGATTGATTTATCTATACTTTGTTTTTACATTATAAATTAAAATTCAAAAAAGCTTTTATTTTTATAAATAATATTATATATAAATAAATAGTGGTTTATGTTCCAACATTCTATCTAGATTCCAAAATAGTTAGTTAATTATGTACAAAATTTCAAAATTGTTTCAATTGTAAAGGAGCCTTTTTGTATTTTAACAGTTAATAAAATAATTTGTGAATATATTCAAATGAAAAAAAATTAAATAAACCTGTCAAAAAGAGAATACAAGTCACCCAATTCTGATATACTTGTTTTCTTTTTAAATTAGTGGATAAAATTATGATACGTTCTGTATTTTTGCATTTTTTATATTATTATTTGGCCTATTTAAGAATCTGGAACCATCTATTAAATTGAATAATGCTATCTAGCATGCTGATATTTTAATAAATATTTTGTTTATATACATGTGACATTGAAAATTATTTACTTTTATAATATCTAAGTACTCTTAATTTTATTTTACTATTTATTTCAGCATTTCATGCAATGGTATATTGAGATGACCAAATGCTTTTGTAAACTCGCTTTTGAGCTTTTAGTTTGAAATTTTAGATATTTATTTTGGACTTTATATTATAATTTATTACTTGCATAGATTCCTGATATTACTGTTTAATTACATATTATTAACTAATGACCCTGCTCCAATTCTCTAAAGTTGGAATAATCATCTATTTATTTATTAATTTAAAACTGAACGATAAAACAAACATTGATTTTTTAGCTTTTATGATACCTGCATTTTTTAATATTTGTCTTTATCTTCGTTGGTAGTTGGAAAGACAATTTCAAATATATTATCTATAAATTTTTCTAATTTTGGGAGCTTTTATTAATTTATTGATTTAAAATAAATTTTTCAAAACAACGATTAATTCAGTTATTAAAACTTTATATTACAATTTTTATACATTGCATATATTTAGAAGCAACTTCAATCAGCTGATTTTCGCTCTAAACGCACAATATTTGACAGAGCTATATTATTTTTAATGACATTATTAAAAGCTTTTAAAAATTAAATTCTAGCAAATTACAGTAGATACTATATTTTGAGAGTTATAAGAGGAACTAAACACATTACTTGCTGCAGGATTAGATCCAGATGTAGCTGGAGATTGAGCTGATTAATTCATTTATTAATTTTATTGAATTTAGTTAGGCTACAACTCTTGAATAGCAGAAGTTTAACCTTCGTATTTGTTAGATTGAGGACTTTAATTCTGATACAGTTACTATGAGCTTTTTTCTGTTTAATTTTGAATTTATTTCTTTGTAGATTTTTTAGAAGCACTATTTTTTTAAGGAGTATTTAAAAGTTACTGTGTCGTTTATTGAAGAGCAAGCGTTTACTAATAAATGACTGACTAAAGACTGAGAGCATTTTCTTCAAGAGTTTTTATTCTCTATAAATACTATAAATTTCTTTGACGGAGCACCTACAATTCACTTTGTAATCTCTAATTTTCTAATTCTAAATTATAACATTTCCACTGATCATTTTGGTTAAGAATTTATGAACTAAACAACCCAGAATTACTATGATTAAATAGGCCTGAGTTGTACATATTATTAACTTAATTTAGCGATTTTTGACTTGATTAGTTTTTTAAATATTCCCTATACTGCTCTTAAAAAAAAGAGACCTTACTCTTTTAATCAGACCCAAAAGACATTTTCTTATCTACTATTCTATAATAAAAAGTAATTTGTAGAAAATTTATTCAAATTTTGCTGCCTAATTAATAATTATATTTTCATAATTTTCAAAGTTAGTAATCAAAAGATATCTTAGATATTGATAATTATTAATAAATAAATAAATAAAAATTATCATCATTCATAAATTGATTGAAAGAATGAACGAACAAAATCAAGCATTGAAACATAGATTTTTTGTAATAATTTCTAAAATTCTTCTATTTTAATTCATATAAAATTCATAAAAGATTAAATTATAATATACTATTATAATCATTTTACATTCTTTTAGCAACGCTTAAGCTACAAAGTTATAAAATATATTGATAAATAATCTATTTTTGTGATTTGAGTGAAATCTTTATCTTTTAATATACTTAAAATATTTATTGCCTCATTTTTATTAACAATTTATTTCGTTTAAATTAAATTCAATCTTATTCAAAATATAATTTGTAAGAACTCATAAAATAATTTAATAACTTGATAAAAACTTTTGTTTTAGGAAATTTTAATTGAGAAAAAAATTTTAATTTTTAGCTTTTTGATAAACATTAATCCTTACTTTTTGTTTTTTTAATTGAATTTTGCAAAAAAAATATCTATTTATTTATTGATTTTAGAAGAGCTTTATAATAAATAATCTTCTTAAATTAAAAATAATTTTAAATAAAAAAGAATATTTAATTATTAATATCTATCTATCTATCTGTAAATATGTAAACACATTTAAATCATTTATGTCATATTTTGATAAATTCAAATTTTTGATATTATTTAATTAAGCTTAAATATAAATTATAATTATAAAGAGGATTAATCATAAGATCAGTAGTCTTTTTTTATTAAGCTATTTAAAAAAATAGTAACTATCAATATTAATTTTTTAAATATGAAGCAAAGTAGATTTAAGCCAAATAAATAATGTGAGTTTTTAAGTATGAGCTAATAAATACAGAGTACCCTATTATATTTTATGAGAAAAATTATATTCTAATTACAGCTAATTTATTTAGTTTCTATGGCTCTTTTTTGCAATATAGCTTAATGCCAATAAAATAAGTAACTAAATTCAATGGATTTGATAAATAATTCTTAGTTTATAGAGTTAGATCCTGGTTATTCGCTCGTAATGAATATAGATTTTACTTTCTACCTTAAAATAGGTGATACTTATAAATACGGAACTGATTGGTCTTTAAGCCTTTGCTCATTTTCTTCAAGCGCTCCAAGTATTCCTGCATCAAGTACATATTGTAATTTGAGTGTATGCAGCAATGGAACAAGCTTACCTTTACCTAAAGTGTATTTTGATTAAGGGGTATTTATTTATTAAGAATATAAATTGAGATTATACAATCAATCTCCTAACTAAACATATATATTCCCATATATTGCATGTACTAATGAGTAGTTTATTTAGTAATTCCCGCTTTAAGGAAACTAAAGGCTTCCAATTACTTATACTAAAGTAACTTCTTCTAGAGCTTAATACGGAACCTCTAAGTTATTTTTCTTTGTTTTAAACTAAAATAAATTACTGAATTATCTTCTACCATTCAACATGCCAACAGATGGCCCATTTTTCGACTAAGTTAATCCTGAAATATCTTTTCCAGGTCCTCCTACCTACTCTTCTTAACCTTTTGATACTACTTATTGGCAAAATATAAATACCGTTCTAATACCTTATATCCCCTTTTTTTCTTTTTGCAATGGTAAATAGAGTGTTCTTTTTTTAAATTGAACTGTTATTTAGTGAATTTAAAATATTTTATTTACTAATTCTAATTATTTCTTTCTAATTCACATCACTACTTTTTTTCTAAGAATTTATTAAATGTGCTTTATAAAAAATTAAAAGGATTTGGTAGACATATTCTATTAAATGAAGTATTTGAATCAGTCTAATATTGTAACTTAATTCCTCCTGAAAATACTAAAACTGTGAATTATATTCCTACAATTGGGTTTGATCCTGTATCTGATAGTTGCCATGCAGAAATATAATGCGAGTATGAAGAAGATTTTACATAACAGTATAAAGGAACACAGTGGTATTTTCCAACATCAGACACTGCAATTTATTTGTCAACTGATCGTAAATTTTAATTAATTATGAAGATAACTTTTATTGATTTATTTACTAATATTTATAACAGCTATAACAATCGATTCTTTTATACAAAACGAAAGTGATCCTTCAGGAATATATTAATAATATATAATTAATAATGATATCTCACTTATAGGAGTGCCTATAACAGCTAATAATATGGGAGTTTAAGGACAACAGCATCCATCAAAAGTTACATTCAATATTAACTACAACTAAGTAAAAATTAATACATTAACTTCAATCATTATTCTTTTAAGTTAATGAAAAGATATTTTTTATTTATGAATTTATTTTCTTATGTTAATAAATAATTTATATTTAGGTTGATAGATACACAAAAAGAATTATTTCAGCTAGCATTGTTGTGTCAGACTATGTGAATAATACTTCTGCTAGTGGTAATAGTCCAGCACCTCCAAATACTTATACTTTAATCATAAATTTCAATCCTTTGAGTTATGTTGATTTGGTTAACTACTTTTAATTTGGTTAGCTTGTTTATGCAATTTTGTTTATTATTTTATCGCTTATTCCTGTTCTTTGTGTCTTTTTAGTTTGGATTTTTAATAATTTCATCTCTCCAAATAAGTACAAGCCACCTCTTAAAGTATGGAAAACTATTAAAATTGCATTTTGGCCAGCTTTTGAAGGAAACTTATATGGCATTATTCCTTCTATATTAGTTACAGCCTTTGTTTATATTCTATAAAACAATGGTAATTTTTATTCTTAAAAATTTATCTTACTATTATTTATTAATTCAGGTACACTATTTAGCAATTCAAGTATTTACTATTAGTATGATTTTGGCACAGTGAGTATCGAATAAGCAATATAAATAAAGAGAGGAAGAACTGGTCTTATCCTCGGCATAGTTGGTCTCTTTTTTATTTATTATGGGTCTTGTCTTTTGATTCCAACTCCAACAAAGGAATAAGAAGAAACTATTAAAATATTCTTAAAGAAATAAATTTAAGATAAAAATAATAGGGAATTAAAAGATTTTAATGAATTTCATACAATGAAAAACTCTCGGTAAAACTCTCAAGAAGATGAAGAAAATGATAATAGTGAAAAAAATAGTTAAAATAGTTAAGATGATAAAGAAGATAATGAGGGAGATAGTATTCTTAACAAAAAAAAATCAAATTACAATGATGATAAAAGCTCACACCATAAAAAGTAAAAATGAATAAAATAATTTCATATTCCAAATCTTGTTGATAAAATATTTTATTAAATATTTATTTTTATTAATGATTTTTTTGCAAGAAATAGAATTATTTTAAAATAATATTTTATTTATTTACAGAAAATCGTAAAATGAAAGTCGCAATCCTCTTAATCATAAAGATGAAGACTAAGATAATTTATTAGATGGAGATAATGATAAATAAGAATAATAAGAGTCTCAAAAAAATCTCAGTGGAGAGCATGGACATGAAGATGAGGAAGAAAAAGAAAAGGAAGGAGAGGAGAGCGATGAAGAGGAAGAAGAAGACTTTGAAATCACTTAAGTATAATGAAAAAAAAACAAAAATTTAATTAATCATATCTTTTTTTAATTTAAATAAGGTTTTTATTTTTAAGAGATATCATTTCTTTGTAGTTTGCTTAATTTCTTCAGTTGTATTTTTGGCTTTATTAGAATTTTCATACACTAGCTCATTTACTCAATATATAGATGGTTATATATTCCTCCTGTTCTTGATTGAAGCCATCTTTATTACTATATTGCAAGAATTTATTTTAAAAGAAAGTTTGTTAGTTTACCCTATAAGTGCATCTCTAGAAACAATTTAATTCATCATGACTATAGCAGCTTCCAACTTCATAGAATTTATTAAGCTTTATTTAATTAGAATGCTTGCTGTAATAATTTATCGCTCCTACTTAGATCCTGTAATAGCAAACAAATAAATTTACAAGATCAAGTTTATTGAGAAAATCCTTTCTTTTCAGATTACTCACAGAGTACTTCCTCATTCCTACATATAAATTCTCTAAAAGTAAACTTTAAAATATTTTATTTATTTTCAAAAAATTTTATTTGCCGACTAAGCTAAATTATTTTTTATTTATTTATTTATTTTAAAAAATCACATTAAAAAAAAACAAAAGTTCAAAATATTTAAATTTTGTTTTAATGATTAATTTTATTTTTTTATTTGTAAATAAATAGGCATGTAAAACCAAATGCATTTGAATAAAATTTAAAAAATTACATGGGTATAGCAGATTAAAATTAGAATTTATTATCTGGATCAAAAACACTTGAATAAGTTTTAAATTAATTGCTTACTTATGCTTCCAAGATGCACTCAATTTTTACCAAACCTTGTGCATTATTTTTGATCTTAATTTTCTCATAAGAAAATATGATTCCAGATTAGTACTCTATCAGATAGCAAGATTTTGTAAACTATTTAATTTTTGCCTCTATAATTATATTTCCATAAATTATGATTGATGTGCTAGTCTTAAATAGTTTGGAAGTACTTTACGGTATCAAGCTTTACGATTATTTTTCATATTGTAAATATAAATACGATAATAGAGGAGTAGCTTGGATAGGTTAAAATTATGTTAAAGATAAAACAATTGATATAAATTTTCGCTCTTTAGATAACATGTGCTTTTCTGTATAATTCTATTTTGTTGGATGCATAACTATTGCTGGAATAATCTTTCTAGTCATGGGTATATCAGTAATGATAAGGTAGAATTATATATTCTTTTCTGATCCTGCTATTTATGCTATATTCCCTTTCCTTTATTTTGTGATCATGCCTTCATAAAGGCTGCTCACTTGGATTTGGCTAAAGGTAAATTAATAAATTTATTTAAATTCATGCTTACATTTTAAAAAATTACATAAAAGATTGATATATGGAAACTGAAAGTTTAAGATAAGATAACTTAACCTTTGAGTAGCATCGAAGATGTCTTAAATCAAGAGAGAGATAGTATTGAATAGATTATGGAAGAAGATGAAATAAGAGAACATTTCCTCAAGTGCAACAAAGAATGGCTCATTAAGAATATGAAAGATTTTTTAACACCCGAGAGTTTCCTTGAAAATAATGAATACTTGTTGAATGAAGTGTATAGACAATTACTTGATGACTAGAAAAAAGAAGAAAAAGAGATTAGAAGATAATAGATGCAGTAAATTAAAGTAAATTAATTTTTTAGTTTTAAAAATATTAGATTATCTAAAAATATTTTAATTTCAACAGAAAGATTAAGAAGAAAAGAAAACCACAGATATTTCTATAAAAAGAAATGATAGTAATAATGTAAATGGAACTATAGTTGCTAATGATAAAGATGACAATACAATTTATTTATATCCTGGAACTAAAGAGCACTCAGTTTTAGTCAAAATAATCTAAATATGGTACTACAGAGCTAAGTAGGTTTGCTTCTTAAAAAATCTTGTTAAAAGCACTAAAGAGAGCAAACTGCAAAATAAGTGTTAAATTTGCGACATTGACATAGAGTTAAATGTCATCGAACTAGAAAACTTCAATTAACTAATATATTAGTTCAAAGTTAGAAATGCAGCAAGACCTTTTAATAAATATTAGTGGATAAATTTTTATGAGAAAAACTAAAGGTTTTAAACTATGTGCATAGATTGTGAATACAAAAGAAAAAAAGCTTTTAGAAAAAATAATAACTTTAAAGTTGATAACCACAACAATAACAACAATATTTAAAAATAATATAATAGTGTTGAGAAAAATAATTTACAGAGAATAAATGATTTAACTGAAGAAGATATTAAAGTAATAAGAAAGATTTTACTATTTTGGTATTAATAAGCAAGAACTAACTTAATCATTAAATAATTAAAAGAATGACCAACTAATTAATAATTTACTTTTATTTTCTGTTTGTTTTTGTATTTATTGAAAAAAACATTTTTGTTTTTATATAGCTAATCCTGTAATTAAAATATCATGAACTGAGTAGGTACAAATCATGATATTTCATTTAATTTTTATAATTTTTTTGTATCACAGATAAATTGATAATTAAATTTTAGAAAATTTTTCTAAGTTATATATTATTAAGCATATTTATGATTATTTATTTAGAAAAAATAAAACAAATAACTTAAATTATTTCATAAAAAAAAATAAATTATAAAAGAAATATTTTTAGAAAAAAAAATAGATGAAATAATATTAAAAAGTATTTAAATTAAACTAAATAATATAGTTGTATTTAAATTGATTATACATATATATATTACTTTAATAGAAAATAACACATACGAAATGTAGTAGAAGTTGGATACAACATAAACAATCGAAGTATTGGAATCGAATGAATGATTAAAAAAACCTAAATCAAATTTTGATTTTTAATATTAAATATTAATTGTTTTCAAACTAAAATTACAAATTAAAAAGAAAGTTTTTGACAATTAAATGGAATTATTAATGTAAAATTAGGTTAATTTGAAATGTTAAAAGCACAATAAAAATGAAATTATTTACATTTAAGTCAATGAATTGGAAGAAAATAAATGTATTTTTTACTGTGAAGCTTGTGTAAGTATAGATTATTATTTCAAACCCTCGAATTACGTTAGAATTAAATAAGTTTTGGATTTTAATGATTAATCAATTGTTTTTAGCTGGCCTCCTCTTAATGATAATAACCTTTAATAATAACTAATTTAGCTATCCACAAAAGAGTAGGTATATTAAAATATTTTAAGCAAGGATGTTGTAACTTTCTTTGAGGAATTAAAGATGCAGCTGCTTCATAAAATTAATGTATGTCAAACAAAAGCTATCAACTTAGTTTAGGAATTTCCAAATATTGAGAAACACATAATTTAAGAATATTAGAAAATTTCAAAGATTAATACATTTAAAGACCTATTTTTAGACTAGAAAACAAATTTACAGCAAAAAGAAGCTTTGTGCAAAAGTTTTATTAATGAATTTATTCGATAAAAAGACAAAAATACTCAGTTTTTTTAGTAAATTTTTAATGAGTAAGATAAACTGAAATAAGCTATTAATTTGGATGCTTTAGATTAAATAAGAAAATAAATGCTTTAAATAATAGATTAATATTTTGATTCAAATGCTTTTTCTTTATAATAATTTAGTAATAATTTAAGGAGCTTGAAGTAAATTTAAAAAAATGAACCTTAGCAAAACCAAAACCATGAAATATAGATAATAAATTAGTAAATTAGTTATTATAATTAATAGATAAATTAACCAATAAAAATTTAGGAAGATTTGCTATCAAAAATCTAATTTATTCAATCAATTTATTGTGAAGATAAATATGATAGATTAAAGATTGCAGTAAATTAAGATAATAACTAAATAGAGCTGGCAACTCAAAATGTAAAAATAGGATGGAGTGGATGCTATTACACTAATTTAATTTTTGACAGAAATTAAGATTATATTATACGATTCAGAGTTAGGCAAAAATATAATTACAAGAAAGCAGAAATGCAGTTAGGATTAGCTAGCAACGCTCAGTATGATAAATTTTTCCCATATGATAACCTTTCTTGCCTAATGTAATTTTTTGAGAATAAAATCTCAATATCTGATATAAACTAGGGAATAGCAAAAGTAATTAAAGGTGATTTAAAAAATATATCTAGTAATGAGGATTTGTAGTTAAAAGTAAGCATAAATTAAGGAATTCTTGAGTTATCTGATATAAATCAAAATAATGTAATTGGATTGTTAGATAAATATAAATAAAAGCTATCTCTCTAAAACTTAAGATTTTTTGTTTAATTAAATTGTTATTCAATTTTAAGTATTTTATAATTTATAAATATTTAAGGATGATGTATTTGGAGTATTGATTTAATTATTAGGTTTTCATCAAATTTAATTTAGAGATTTTTTAATTTAATTTTTTCAAAATATTCAAAATATAAGAAAATAATTAAATAAATTTATGTTTAAAACAAAAAAAATTTAAGATTTATTCAACAAAAAGAAAATATATTCAATTTTTTGGAAAAAAAATAAATTAAAGCTTATATCAATCAATAAACTTTATCAATTTAATTCTGATAAAAAATAAATTTTTAATTTAAATTTTTTGATAATTTAAAGTTTCTCAATCTTCTTAAAAGTTTCCTCTCTAACTAACTTGAATAACAAATATTAGTGTAATTATGCATCTTTCTTTTCTATTTTATTTGAATATATTTAAATAATAACTATTAAAAATAAAATTAACTTAAATAAACAATTTTATTATAAGACACCTTTCCTTTAATGTTATCTCTTTGATCTATAATTGAATAATACATATCTTGGATTAAAATTAAATATCTTTTCTTCAGATTTGTCATTTAAAAAATATTTGGAGTTTAGGTTATAATAAATAATTTATTTAAGTATTGATTAAAAGTATAATAAGAACAAATATGAATTTTTATCATTCAAATGTTAAGCAAGCATACTAATTTTATTTTTTTAATTGAGAAATAATTTTATTCTCATTCTGAAATTAAATAATATCAAGTACTCAAGAAATTTCAAACACTCATAATAAATAATTGCTAAGATATATACCCAATTAATTAGTATTATAGCAAAATGCCATTCAAAAATTTGGTGAATTGAGATCACTAAAAATTAAAATATTTTCAACAAGTTTTTAAATTAAAAAATTCTTTGCAAAATGAAAGCTTACAATGTTTAATTGCATATATTACTTACTAATTTTTATGTGATATTTAATTTAAAATAATTAGCAAATTCAAGATAAAAAGAAATTGAAATTAATCTAATTTTATATAATATTATTTAAAAGATATTTTAATTATTTATTTTAAATATTATAAAGAAATATCTATCTTGTGTATTTAAATTTTACAAAGAGTTTTAAATCAGATAAAATTAAAAAAATCAGAAAAATTATTACACTTTTTTATCTTATTATTCTGAAACATTGATATATTATCATGGTTTTAAAAATTAATTATGGAAATTATTAAATTTTTATTAATGCTATCTGTAAGTTTTTAATAAAATTACACATAGATATTGCACATCATAAAAATATAATCCAAACATTTAAAATATTGACATTAAATTTGGATTTTATTTTTATAAACACACGAATTAAATTATTATCAAACAAAATATATGTTAGAATACTTCTATAAAAATAATAACAAAAGATATTACGTAATTTCAACAATACTAGAAATGTAGAGGGATTTAAACATATCAAAAATTTTATAATGACTTAAAAATAATAGCTTTGTGGATTCTTCTAATCTTCTTAATTCTGGACTAGAGAGATATTTAGTCATTCTTTGGCATATTTATATAAATAGACTTAATTAATTAGTATCATTTACCTCATTATTCATAATATTAATGTATATTATTAGATTTAGCAGGTGATATCATTTAAAGACATATTTGATCAGAACTGTCTTTTATTAAATATCTGTCAATCCTTCGTAAGATTTCTCAACTAAAATTTATAAAAATTATATAAAAAAAATAAATAAATTAAAAAATAGTAAAACAATATTATTATTTTTCATTCATTCTTTAATTCAGCATAAATAAAGACAATTAATTTACTATGGAGCTTGTTCTAACCTAAAAGCAAATCAGAAAATCATTTGAAAACATTAAAATGAACCCAAATTTAGAAGAGGAGCGCAAAAAGTGTTCAATTAATGTTTTCGAGCTAGCTAGTTTCCTTCACTCTAACACAGACTCTTTAGACTAATTCTTGCTTATATAAAAGATGTTTGAGGAAGACCCTCTCTTAAAATTCAAACCTGAGGACATTGGAGCTTCTACTGAAAGAACTCATATTTTAATTGCTTAGAGAAATGCATGTATCAGCAAAATTGTAATTTATTGATCTTTGTTTATTTTTTTATGATAACTTTATAAAATTTCTTAGCTTAAAGCTGAAAAAAACATTTGGATTGAAAATTACATTAATTGTATGGTTGATTTGCCAGTTTCAAGTAGTGTTCATAGCAGTGTCTGCATTCCATACTTAAAGCTTCTTGCAAGTGATGAGTAATTAGCAACAATATTACCTAAGGCTGAAGCATTCTAGATATAAATTTGTTACTGTTCTGCTGAATTAGCTCATGGATCAGACTTAAACAGTGTTTAAACAGAAGCTCATTATGATGAATAAACTGATGAATTTATCATCAATACTCCTCATCACGGAGCAACAAAGTGGTGGATAGGCGATTATGGAAAGCTAGCAACACATGGAATTGTGTTCTCTCAATTATTTGTAAACAAAGTAAAACAAGGAGTTGCTGCTTTCCTTATACCTATTAGAAATACTTCCTAATAAGCATAACTTCTACCAGGTAATATTTTTGAATATATTTTTAATAAAAAATACTAAAAGCAAATTAAATTATGTAAAATAATTTGTTATTTACAAGATATTCTTATTAAATCTAATAGCAAACCATTAAAAAAAATTGATTTCCTTATTTTAAAAGAGCAAATTCAAATATTAAAAATATTTAAATTATTAATAATTTAAAAATAAAATATATGAACAATAAACAGTAAATGGTTTTTTATAATTAATTTGCATTAGATTTAATAAATGTGTTTTGTTGTTACGTTACTATTGATACAAAATTGAGAATATTTATTTTTCGATAAATTTTAATATTTTTTAAATATTAAATTTTAGGTATTGTAGTAGGAGATGTTGAAACTAAGCATGCAGGTGCATAAAATGATAACGGTTTCGTTAGATTTAATTAGCTGAGAGTCACTAAAGAAAGTTTACTCTAAAGGTATATTACTCTAAACAAAAAAGGATAGGTTTAACTATAAGGTAACTAACTAATTAATACTAATATTATTCATTATATTTGCTTTGAGATAATGTATTCAAATTAATTATTTTTAAAGAAAACAAAAAGATTTTGCTTTCCAACATGATATAGAAAAGAATAGGACATGTATTAGAATTAGGTCTACTATTGGCTCAAGCTTCTACTATTGCAGTTAGATTTAGTTTAGTTTAAGATAGATATTATAACGACTAATTTGGAACAAAGTATATCAAGAATTTAGATTATTAGGTTATTTAATAGAAAGTTCTTCCTTAGCTTTCTCAATCTTATTTAATTCTTTTGACTTGGTTTGAAATGAAAAATCTCTCATAAAGAAATATTGAATTATGCTAAAAAGGAGACTTTTCTATTTCCAGTGAAGTAAAAGCTATTTCAAATGGCTTAAAGGCTCTTACATCTAGATTGTCCTATATTGGTGTAGAAAATTTAAGATAGGCATGTGGTAACGTTGGACTTTCCTAATACTCAGGATTCAATCAAATTTTATCTAAGATTTCATCTTTCCCTCTTTATGAGGCTGATTCCGTCAGCTTATAAGAATATACAGCCAAGTAAATTTTTTTAAAAAATTATAAGTGTAAAATTTAAATTCAAATTAATTAGGTTCCTTTAAAAGAAATTGAAAGATAAAAACGACGAATCTCCCTTTACTAAATTTTTAAATCATTAAAGAGTTTAATCTAAGTGCAATTTACTGAGTGAGCATGAATATGAAGATCTTACAAATCTTTTGTTTATTTTGGAGCAAAGAGCTCAATTTTTGGCTTTAACCCTTTAGAAAAAGATTGAATAATAAGAAATTGCCAACAAAACAAAATAAACCAGTCTTGAATCAACTGAAAGCTTGACAGCTGAATTGTCTGATGCTTTCACAGATACAGTCTTATTAAGATCATTCAAGAAAAGAATTACCAAGATAAACTAAGGCTAATTCGATATAATTGAATCATTCAAGTCTATGGGTATCATTTATGCCTTAGGAAGAATAATAAATACCGTTTCTGATTATATTTAATATGAATACATCTCTGTTAAATAGCTCAAATTAATTAATTAAGTGTATAAGAAGCACTTACTAAAGCTAAGAGCTAATGCAATTGGTTTAGTAGACTCATTCTCTCTTTCAGATAACTCTATTAAATCAGCTATCGGAGTTTTTTCAGGATAAGCCTATGAAACACTTAACGATTGGGTTTAAAATAAGAATCCTAATAACTCAGAAGATGAAAAGAGAATAGTTAATAGTGCTATTGTGCAAGCAAGATCTTAATTAATTTAATAATAACCAAAGTTTTGAACAAAATAAACTTGATATTTCCTTCTATATTAATAAATAATATAAATTTAATTAGTTTCTGTATATTTATTTGCTTTAAGTTAAAAATTTTAATTTTAATTTAAAAAAAATTACATTTTGTAAAAAAATTAATTATGAAGATTATTTTAGTTTATAATAAAATAATTTTATTCAAAAAAATTTATTTAATTAAATAATAATTTTTCCAAAAAAATTTATTTAATTAAATAATAATTTTTCTTTTTGTGAATAATAAAATTTTGATAAAAGAGACATTCATAGTAATATAAACATACAATATTTTTAAATTATTAAATAATTTAACAGTAAATTTCATTTATATTTAGATAAAATATTCGTTAATAATTGATTTTACTAGATTCAATTAATTATTTAAAATTATAAAAAACTAAACGATTGATAATTTGAATTTGCTTTCTTTATTTATTTAATTTATCAAAAAAGATAGATAGATAGATAGATTAAAAGATTAATAACAAGCAAACATATAAAAAATAAAAAGCGATCACATTATTTAAGATAAATCTGATAATAATTATTATTTATTAAAATCTCAATAAAATAATTGATATAGGTTACTTGAACAAATAGCATATTAAAATACTAAATAGATAGATAGACTAATATGAGAAATAATAACTCAAGAAGTTCATTTGGTATGAATGATTACTATGATAGCAGTAATATAAATCATAATACCAATGTTCAAAAAACACCCCCAAAAAGTTTAGTTAATCTTAGAGGAGGCAATGTCAAACTAAATCCTGCACAAACAAGTTAATCAAGCGGAGCTCTGAAGCCTCCTAAAATGATTGTTGAGAGTGACAAAGAAAATTACTAAAGATATGGCCCTCCTCTTTCTCCTAATCGTGCTAAGTTTGATGTAGATTAATTTTCTTAGCTTAATTCAAATTTTTTAGACTTGAATAGTATGAATCTTGAATAAATAAATGATGAGTTAGATAATAATAGTAAAAATTTAATTTATTTATTTATTATGAGTGGTTTTATAGTTAATCATTTATTTTTAAATAGTGAATAGCATGATAATTTTAATGAATAGAAGAAAATCGTTAATATAAGTGAAAAGAAAGAGAATGCTTTTAGAGTTTGATGAAAAGAAAGAATTTATGAAAAGAATGAATGTACCTCAACTTCATTAGGAATTAGTTAATTTAAATAGCGAAACTGATAATTAATATCTTTAAAATCTATTAAATAATACCAATACTGCTCCTAAAATGCAAAGGATCATCTAAAATATTGCTAATGACATTAATCCTGAAGCTTAGGACCGTAAAAAGCTAGAGCTATCAAGAAGCTCTGATTTTTGGAATACCAATAAGTCTTTTGAAAATGAAATTGATTCTCTTCTCACTAAGCTGAGATTTTTCGATTCAGAGGTAATGAATAAATGAAATATGATTAAATATTACAAAATTTTAACTTATTTGAAATTCATTTTTTACAAGCAAATAATATGATTAGTTTATTGCATGATATATTAAAAAATAGATTTATAAAATTGAAATTATTTATAGTGTTTCTTTCAATAATGTTTTCATTTTAATTTAATAAATTAGTTGGAAAAGAGCAACATAGAAATTCAAGAAGTTTGCAAAAAATTAGATACAATTGAAGATAATATCAGAGATTTATTACTGCAGAAATCAGAAGATCATGTTAAGAGGGCAGAACCTTTGTTTTAGCATAAATAAAATCAGCATAATTTACTAAAGTAGCTTTTAGTGTAAAGAAACAAAATAAAAGATGAAAAAATTTAAGTTATTTATGCAATAATTAAATTGTTAAGCGAACTTAAAGCTTTGAGGTATAGATTTTATTTTTCTCATTAATATCAGTAAACTAAATTATTTTTAAAGATCTGAAAGATTAGGAGATCTAAATGGAGTATTTGGTATAGAAGATGTTGATGACTCATCTACAAAAATAAACTATTACATTGATTTTGTTGATTAGCTAGAAAATGTAATTTTTTATATTTAAAAATACCTTTTTAATTTTTAAACTTAAATAAATAGCTTGCTAAGATTAAAGAAGCTATGGTAGATCTAGAAAATGTAGAAGACGAACTAATTAAAGATATTGATACTTGCTCAAGAGAAGTAAACAAGCATATTTTGTATTTTTTTAATAAAACTCTAAAAATTATATTAAAAATTTTAAACAATTAAAAATAAAAACTAAAAAATTATATTTAGTTATTTATTTAAAAGTTAATATTATATATTGATATTTATTTTTTCTATTTTTCTAAATAGTCAGAAGCAATGTTCTCTGAATTTGTAAAAAAATCAAGCGATGAAGCTAAATTTTTTGCAGATTTTGGTGATAACTTAGCTAAAAGAATAGGGATGAATGCTGCCATTGAATACTTTTTGGCTTATTCTAATTTGACAGGAATCGACAATTTAGACATAAAAGATATACTCAAAAAATTCAAAGATAATATTGTATTTTTAAAACCATTAATTGAAGAAGATTAAGCAATTAGATAAGGACTTAAAAAAACTAGTGATACTATTGATACTTTTGCTAACATTTTAAGGTATAAATAAACTTCTTTAAATTATTAAATAAAAGTTAATTTGACGATTTCTGATAAATTTTGTTAAATTAAAAGAGCCATCGAAAATGAAAAAGAAAGAAGGAAAGAATTATTGAGGATGCTAGAAAACTGCCAAAAATTAAAAGATGAAGAGGAACAGTAATAAAAATTTTAGCTATTCCATTTAAAAGCTCCTTTAAAAAGCTTTATCCAAAATCATATTTTTTTGAAAATATTTTTATAAAAAAATACTAAGTAAAAATGAGCTAATAAGAGAAATCGAGCTAGAGATCACTAAAAAGAAGCAATAAAAGAGTCACCTCGAGGAGGATTTAGAAAATATATTAGGTGATGCAGATTTAGAATAATATAAGAAGCTAGGCAATTTACTAAAGTAACACGAGCACGGACTTCAATAGCTATACAATTCTCAAAATAATATAATTGGAGAGACAAACACTATACAAAAAGAAGTAAATTTTTTTATTTTTTAGTTTAATCAATCGAAATTGCGAAATTTGTTTTCTTTTAAAATGCAAATCAACAAATTTTTTAATTTTTGGAGAAAATCAGCATATATTTTTTTTTACCTTCTCTACAAATTAATTAACTTTTAATATAGTTTTTGAGGTAAATGGATCAAATAAAGAACGACTATGATGATATTATAAAGGAAATTCTACCAAATAACATAATGAGCACTCTAGATTTCAAAAACGGAAAGGATATTAGATAGGTCAAAAACTATTTAAAGAAAACTTTTAAAAGACTAGGAATAACTTTTGAAGATCAAAGCGTTTGATTATTTTGAAATTCCTCCTTTGTTGTTCTTGTCGATATTTAGTTTTAATTAATAGAAAATACTTATACATATATTACAAAATTTTAATTCATTCTATACTGATAAAATCTTATTCAATTAATAAAGCAACTTAAAACTATTTTTCTAATAAAAATGGTAGAGAGTATTCTATTTATTAATTCTTGTTAGTTTATAATTCTTTTATCTGTAAAATAATGAACAAATAATAGTGTTTGGCAAAATTGTTAGAATAAAATTATTTAATTTTTGTGAAAATAAATAAATTTTGTTTGAAATAACTTCTAGGTACTTTAATTAAATTGGTGCATGAGATTTAAAGCTTTTTATTTGTTATTAAATTTTTTATTTTGAATTTTATTATTTTTTGAATTATTTCGAATTTATTTTGGCAAAAAATTAAATTTTATTTTTCTAAAAAAGTTGATCAAATTAGAAAAAGAGAAGAAAGAATAAATTCGCAAATTTATGCTTTATTGAAATACCATTTTACATTTAAAGCATAAAGTTTTTTTTTATAAATTATTTATATTAGCAACAAAAATAAATATTTTTGAAATTTCTCTTCTTTTTTATTTATTGTCCATAATTTTTTAGAAAAATTGAGGAAATTGTTGAAAATGGTAAAAAAGAGAGTTTATTGATCTATAAAATAAAATACATATCATAAACAAAATTCAGATTAATTAAGTGGTGAATAGAAAAAGCTAATGCAAATTAATTAGTTGATGAAAATAAAATTAAAGTTAATTTGTGAAATTAAAATATGGAATGCATAAAATAAATGAATAGTTAAATAAAAAAAGAATTAGATTTAATGCAATAATTAATTTTAAAATGATCATTTATGTGGTTGCTTTTAGAGAGAATAATAGTGATGCCATATAAAATTAAATTTACAACACAAAACATACTCTTATACTAAAATATAGAGATAATTGTTGCGCTTAATATTCATCCTTTCTTTTCATAATCAACAGGATTTAATTTTGTTAATATGTTTGTTTTCTTTTGTTATGTTTATTTATGCGAACAAAGCAAATTAAAATCACACACAAAAATCTAGTAAATAATAAAACAAATAAATTATTCATTTATTTATTTTGCAGCAATATAAATCAATAAAGAAAAAATAGAGATTAATAAATTGCAAATAATCATAAAAATTCTTAATAAAACTGAGCCAAAAACAAATAGTAAAACAAATGAGAACTTCTACTTGTGAAAACACTGAACCTCAAGGAACTTAGACAGGTCTTTATCAATCACAATAGCAGCTAAGCGAAGTGTTTGCTTAGAATTTAGCTTTACCAGTCCTCTAGTAACTTTAATTAGCTTATGATAGCACCTCTTAACAGAGTTACTCATCTTAGTTTTAAGCTTCTACCGAAAATTATCTTAATTAATTTAATCTACTTCTTCTATCCAACTAAATCTCTCCTTTTTAAAATGACTTAATAATTAACTAGCTACAATAGCAGACTCTCTCTAATTTAAACTCATCAAACACTTAAAATAGAGAAACCTAAAGTGTTTAAAAATGCTAGCTGATTTAAAAACAAGAAAAAACAAAAGATGTTGATGACTCTTTTTTAAGTAATTATGTAGAATAATAAGTCAAAAATTCTTTTTCACATAAACAAGATAATACTCAATTTTTTGCAAATAGCGATTAAAATGACACTTCTGTTGAGTAAAGTGAGTCGAATAAAGAAGTTGATCGCTTCACCTTAGACACAGGAAAGAAAGATAATACTTATTAAAACCTTAAAATCAATAATAATGACTCTTTTGTCAATTAAAAATAATAAGAAGAAGGGAATTAAGTAACCCGTCAACAATTACTTATAGGTTTGATGGGCTTAGAGTAGCAACTAAAAAAACTTTAGTAATAATCCTAGTAAAGAAATTCTGCTAATTGTGGTAGCTCTACTGCTTCCAATTAGCGCTACGAGGACGAAGAGAATCTGTCTCCTGTTTTTAATAAAGACAAAAATAAATTTTCCTTATTTGATGCTGACCCAACCCCTGTTAATCGCAAAAGATCTGGCAGAATAGATACTAAGCTACCATTGACTCAATTATGTAGATAGCAATCTACTAATAATACCTAATCAGGTATCTGCTCAAGTTCTGACGTTTTGACTCCTTGTAAAAATGTTAATATTGTAAATTAAGGAGGTAGTATATTTGATAGCAGTGCAAATACAAAGATTATAAAGAATAATTTGTCTTCCTTTGGTAATAGCATGAGCTTATACAATTACTAAAGTCAGTTCACAGACATTAATGAGTTTTGTTTAGAAGACGATGAAGATAATCCTAAGATTGAAACATCAACTATGAGTGAAGCCAAGTCCAGAGATTTCAACAAAATAAAAGAAATAGTTTATTTTATAGTTGATAATTTAGATAAAAATTAAGAAGAGCTTGCAGCAAAAAGAAGTTTTATACAATAAGATGAACATTTCTCAGACAACAAATCTGCATATTTGATCATATTTGATTAACTAGTAAAAAAATTTAAGCACCTTAAAAAAACAAAAGAAGAAAAAACAAAATTCTGTATGAGAAAGGCATTTAGATATCTCTTTGCCTAACTCAAAACAAATTGCAACTCTAAGATGAACCTTAAAGAAGCCAATGAAATTTGCATGAAGCACTATTTCTCTTAGCATGTTAATGATTCTCAATTTGTACTTCCCTTCAGGTAAATAAATAAAATTAAAAATTCTATTTAACTAAATGAGTTTTTAATACAAAAAGAAATATATTTCACTTAAAATTAGTTTTAAAAATTAAATTAATTTAGAATTTGAGTTCATTGAAATTTACAAATAAATTATAAGATTAAATTTATATTTTCAATAAGATTGATTAAAATTAATAATAAATCAATCTCTAATAAGAATATTTATATTTTCTACATTCATTTTTAATCAATCAAGATAGATGATAAGAAAATTTAATAAATAAAATATATTTAGTTGAAATTTTATTTCAACAATGAATAATAAAACATAAATGTATTAATTTTTAATTATTATAAATTAGACGCAATTCTTCAATTAAGACTATGAATGCTGCTTTCTTAAAAAAAGTCTTTTCTTCTACAAAGTTTGTTTAAGATTATAGAAATTTTTTGAGTAAGTTTTATTAATTATTATGAAATTTATCATGTAATTAATATAAATTAAAATAGATTATTTTGACAGACTTGCCTTAGATGATAATTCTAAAAAGGTAGATTAGCTGGCTTACTACATACTTCCTATGCTTGAAGATAATAAATTTGATGTAAAATTTAAATAAATTTTTTCAAACTAAAATGAAAATATTTTTTTAATAAAGAAAATAGATGGCCTTAGAAGACTACCTTGGACAATGAATCTTCTTGACTCAACCAGAAACTTAGCATTTCAATTATTAGAATTTGAAGAAAACTCTGGAACAAACAACTGCTCAGTTTTTTCATAGAATTAATAGAATGAATTCATAATCGAAAATACATAATCATTGAACAATAATCCAGTATTTTTAAATAACATATGCTGCTAAAATGAAGATTATTTATCCAATGTTGATACTCTTTCAATTTAAACACAGAATAGAAAGGTAAATACAAAGCATAAATAAATATATTTAATTTTTGATTAATTTTTATATTAAGAAATTTTAATGATTTTTAATCAAATAAAATTTATCAATAAATAATAAATTTAAATAATTTCTATAATTAACAAAATAGATAAGTGAGTCTTGCATCAACATGGAACTTTTATCTAGAAAATAAAGCATGTGCTCCAGCGACTCATAGCAAAACAGTTTGAATAATAATGATATAGAGTTCAAATAAGATGGCTGCTTTTCAGATCAACACATGGTTTACCTCAAATAGATAAATACAGCTCTTCAACAATTTTAATAGAATTGGAAAATATAGTAGAACCTTATGTAAAAATAAATGAACAAATAAATTAAAAGAGAAGTTATCATTTTAAGTCCTCCTTTGTATGACTTAAATGAAAATCCATATAAAAAGTAATAAATAAGTTATACAAACTGACAACTATTGAATAAATTCCAAACACTTATGCAACTCATCAAAAACGTTTTTAATAGCTAATATTGAAGCTCCAAATACTAAATTATAATTTATTAACAAAATAGTAACAACTCTTCAAATTCTATTAATATTTAGGATTACTATATTTAAAAAAAATCTTCTAATATCGAAATACTTACTTACTACTTCAATCTTCTAATCAATTTTCATAGTAAAAATCTGTGATACTTTTATATACTTTATATAATAACAAATACTATTTATTACTGTTAATTTAAAGATATTTTCATGTTGAGAATTGTCATAATCAAATAATGCTATTTATTTTCAAATTATATTATTTATTTTGAAACATTCATTTTTAATTTGAGATCTATTGTTTAACATGATATTAAGTTTTTATAAAAAAGATTATAAATTAAATTTAAAATACAAAAAAGGACTTCAGGTATATTTTATTTATTTGTTTCTTGGTCAAATTATATAATAATTTTTATTTTAAAACAAAGACATAGTTTTTAACAATGGAGAATCTGTTCATAAATATCACAAGAGAGTTATTTTAAAAGAATACTTTTAATTAAATATAATAAAATTAGTTGATTCATTTTTCTATGTTATAGATTATTAGATTCTAAAAGAAATAAGTATATAGAAGAGAGCTGTTGAATATTATGGATTTTAATAAAATTATTAGTGGCTTTTTAAGTTTCTTTCAATTTGCTTAGTTTAAAGAATTTAAAAATTAATCAATTTAAAATATTAAAAATTAAACTTTTAGATTCCTTCAATAATTAATTTAGTGAAAATAATATGTCAGCAAAAGAAATTTAAAATAGTGTTTTATAATGTCCAGTTGAAAAATGTGGGAGGAAATTTGAAGATAAAGAAAAAATGATGACACATATATAAAGAAGGCATCCTGAGCTAGAAGCTGCAAAGAAAGAAATCACACATGAACAAGAATAGAATTCTAATTAAGTGTAAAATATAAATCCTATGAGAAAAAGAAGTTTAAGCAAAGATATTTAAAGCTAAGTTTAATAGCAGCAATAAGTATTAATTAAAAAAGAAAATAATGTTTCATAATCTAAAGATAGGAATGAGTCATTATCTTTGTAATCTTCGAATACTCCCCAAATTCCAATTGAAAGAGCTTAAAGTAAAGATGTTTTATTATCTAAAATGTAATAAAGGCCTCCAACACCAAAATAAGGTTTGTAAATTAACAAATCTATATCTACTTAATCCGAAAGTTTGAGAAAATCATAAGACCTTTTTAGAAAAACTTAAGAAAATAACTAATTAATAGAAAAAACTGCTTTATCTTCATCTAAAGAACCTGCTTCAAGAACTTTATCAGCTTCTTCTAGTTCAAAATAAATTTAATAACCTATTGCATTTAAGCAATCAAAGTTGAAAACCAGTGGTTCTAACACCAAAAATGAGTCTTCACCAGTAAACAATAAAGATAAGTAAGGGGTATAAAATGAAAGTAAATAAAAATAGCAATCGAATGTAGATTAAGAATTAATTAAATCAATTTTAATGACTATTAGTAGGGCAGAAAATAAAGAATAATCTAAAAATTTAATTACTGAGTCTTCTTTACCAAAAGAGGAAGTCTAATCCGAAGATGAAGAAGTTGATAAATAATCATAGTAAAGTAGCTCTAAAGCTGCAAGCAGACCTTCAACAGCTAATAACTAAGCAAATTAAAGCGAGTTATCTAAAAAAAGCTAGCAGAGTGACTCAAATCTGATAAATAATAGTGGAAGTTAATTGAGTCTGAATGATGTTAAAAAATAAAGATAAGTTACAATTTAAGAAATCCTTAACTGCAAAAAGAAAATAAGCTGTGAATATTTGCTTGAGCATTCGCCAAATTAAACAAATGATATAGCCTTTATTGAAACCCTTGTTTTAAAAGAAGAGGACCTTATTGTATTTGAAGATGGTTTGACAGATGCAAAATTTGATTTGATGGTTAGTCTTCAGTATCTTTCTCTTTCCCATAATCAATTAATAAATATCGTTTCTTTAAGTAAATTTTCTGCTTCTCTGCTTGAGTTAAACATTAACTTTAACTAGATTTAAGATATAAATCCTCTTTATGAATGTTTCTAATTATAAAAATTATGGGCAAGCCATAATTTAATATCGAGTATTACTTGCCTTAAATAGTTAAAAAACCTATAAATCTTATCATTATATAATAATTAAATTACTTCATTCTCTGATACTTTGAGAGAATTACATAATTTAGAAGAGCTGGATTTAGCTGATAATCCTTGCAGTAAAGATTAATTCTATAAATAAGAAGTTTTGAGCTCGATAAAATCAAACAAATTTTCTAAATTGGATTCTGCAGCTATAACAAGCTAAGAAATATAGGCTTCAAAAACATATTCTAACAATAAAAATAATAATAACTAAAAAAATAATACATAAGTTAGACCAGGTTCAGCTCCTTTGAAGGTGAATCCTAGAACAGGTCTATCAGCTTCTATGATAGTAAATAATCAGATAAAAGAAAAACATTAAATTTAGTAATAAGAGTCTCTAAAAGAAAAGCTAAGAGAAAACAATCACAAAGACAAAGAAAAAATCACCATAAGCAATGAAGAATATTAAAAGACTTAAAAAATAAAAGAATTAGAAAAGCAATTAAGTGAAATATAGAATAGATCAATAGAATTAAGAGATTAAATTAGATAAACAAAAAAGATAAATAAGTCAATTGTTAATGAGATAGAAGAAAAGGAGAAAGAAAATATCCTTTTAAGAGAATAAAGTGGTTAAATTGAACAAATAAAATAAACTAACAAAACACTTCTTAGAAAAATTAGTGCATATGAATCTACAATTATTTTACATTCAGAAACCCCAGAAGAGCTCAAAAAGTATTTGTAAACACTTTCAAGCCAAGTAAAAGAGTTAGAAGAAAAAAATCAGCAGCTTAATCAAGACAATTAGTAATTAGAGGAAGAATTTATGAATTAAGAAGAGTTAGATGACCAAGAGGATGATTCATATGATAGCGATTATAATCCAGAAAAAATAAATGAGCTACTAAGAAGATCTACAGCAGCATTTTCACAAATAAAATAAGATCTAAAAATGCTAAATTAAATTAAAAAATGAGTTATTTAATAAATATATTTCAGAAAAAATTTTAATTTATTTTATAAAATAATTAATTAATTAACAAGATTAGCACACAAATATAATTAATTATTTTTTAATCAATATTTGCAAAATAAAAAGCTTAATAACTTTCAACAAAAAAATTAACATATTTTCACATTTTAAATCTTTTTACCTTACATTTAATATATAAAATTAATTATTTAAATTATTTAAAATAATTTCAAATTCATCAAGTTTTATTTATTTTTTATATTTTCAAACAAATTAATTAAAATTTTTGATTGAAATTTATTAAAATTTTTAATAAAAAAATAAATAATTGTTTAATTTTACCAATAAATTTAGAAATTGAGGTAAATCTCAAGAGAAAAAATACAAATAAAAGCAAGAAAACTTTTAAAATGCTATTTCATACAATTATAAATATAGTTATTATATATATGTAACAAGTAAAATAAATATTATAAACATCAATCAATTTAATTCAAATCAAATCATTTCCTCATTTTATAAGTCAAATGATTATTCTTTTTAATTATTATCTCCAAGATTTTCTCTTCCTTAGTTTATGTAGTGTAGTCTTTAATTTTCAGTTGATAGTAAAACAATCTATTTATTTATTTGTAAAATTAAAAATAAATTTAAATTAAATTATAAATAAAAATTACTTTATTTTCTTATTCTTTAATTAGGCTTTATAAATAATTTGTATTATCATTTGCCTAGTTTAAATCTTATTACAATACATTAATTTGTTGGCAATACTATTGTTATTAGTATTCTATTTTTTAATAAATTTCTTTTAATTCTGATTCTAGTTTTTCACTACAGTTTTTTTCAACTTCCATTTTGTAAGCTGTAAATTCTTCCTAAAATTGACCTTCTCTCTGTTGTAATGTCATATTATCTTCCCATAACTTTTCATTTTGATCTTTAATTTTTTCAAGTTCAGCAGTTATCAAAACTATATTTATCAAACACTCCTGGTACTTAGAGAATAGTTTGTTGAATTCTTTTTACAAAATTTCATATTTTTCATTAAAATCTTTTTTAAAGTCGATTTCAAATTGTTCCTATTATAAAAAATAAATTTGATTAGATTGAAGTTTATTTTGAATATTTATTATTACCATTTCTACTCTTTTTTGCTCTTCGAATTTCTAACTTAACTAAATTTACATTTCTAAAGACTATCTTTGACATTCTTGATAGTCATTCATTAATTTTTAATTTTATAATTGCAAAATTTCAATTTTATGCTACAAGGTAAGTTCTGCTTGTTTCAATTGAGAAATTTAGTTCGACTTTCCTCTGATATTGTTTAATTCTGTTTCTAAATCTCTGATTCTATTTTCTCTATCTTCCACAATACTTAGAAGCTTGTTACTCTCTTATGTAATTATAGTTACCTTGTAAAAAATAATAATTTATTTAGCTATATCTTTAAAATAAAAATGTAAAAATTACTCTCTTTTCGTATTCTTCAACATTACTTTCTAAGTTTCTGGTTTATTCTAAAGCATACTTTAGTTCTTATTATTTTCTATTTATTTCTTGATTGTATTGCTATTATTAAGCTTCTAATTTTTCTTAAATTTATTTTCTTTCAGAATCTACTTTTTGTTACTTTTCTCTCTCTGCAGTTTGCTTATATACTGTAAATTCTTACTCAAATTTAATTTCCATTTCATTTTAGTTTGTTAACAAATCAGATATATCTTGCTACAATTTATTATTTAACTCATTCATTCTTTCAAGTTCAGCAGTTTTAAGTACAACATCAACTAAAGTATTTTAGTATTTATCTTCAAGATCTGTAAATGTATCATTTAATGCTGATAACTACTATTCAAATTATCCCTTCAATCTTCTTTCGAGTTGTTCCTATATAAGTTTAAGAAATAAATATAATTTAAAAATAGATATTAATTAAACTGTAAACATACTAATTCACTTTGTCTTTGGAACTCATGTTATCTGTGAAGTTCTTCTTAATCAATGAAAAATTGGTTTTAAATTTCTTGAATTTATCTATTAAGTTGGTCTATTTAGCTGTTAAGTTTTTCTATATGTTAGACATACTCTTCTATAGCACATTACTATTAAACTTAAATCTACTTTAAACTTTCATTTTCTTTTATCTTCATTTCAAGTTATATAGCTTTTTCTCTTAAGTTATTGATTTCAACTTCTTATTAACTTAATTTTTTATCTTTTTCTTAAATAATAAAAGCAAGTCTATTGTTTTCAGTTGAAAGCATTACAATCTAATTTTTTAAATTTTAATGTTTATTATTGAATAAAATATTTTTTTTACTTTATTTTCAAGTTCTTGAATATTATCCTGCAACTCTTTTCTTTATAATAAGGCAGCATTTAATTCGTTTTGTTAAGTATTATCTGTTTCTCTTAAGTGGTTAATTTCAACTTCTTGTTAACTAATTTTTTTATCTTTTTCTTAAATCATAAAAACGAGTCTGTTATTTTCAGTCGATAGCATTACAATCTAATTTTTAAAATTGAAATATTTTGTAAAAAAAAATTTTTTATTTTTATTCTTTTTACTTTATTTTCAAGTTCTTGTATATTATCCTGCAACTCCTTTCTTTATAATAAGGCAGCATTTAATTCACTTTGTTGTGTATTATCTGTTTCTCTTAAGTGGTTGATTTCGACTTCTAATTAACTCATTTTTTTATCTTTTTCTTATATCATAAAAACGAGTCTGTTATTTTCAGTCGAAAGCATTACAATCTAATTTTTAAAATTGAAATATTTAGAATTTAATAAAATATTTGATTTTTATTCTTTTTACTTTATTTTCAAGTTCATCTTTGTTGTCATGCAACTCTTTTATTTATTCTAAGGCTGCATTTAACTCATTTTAATATCTATTTATTTCATTTTATTGATTATGTAGTTCAGTTTATTATTTATTCAGCTCGTTGTTGTATTATTGCTATTAAAATTCTATTTTTTCATAGATTTCTTTTAATTCAATTTCAAGCTTTTCTCTATTTGCTCTTTCTATTTCAACTTTGTATAAAGTAAATTCTTCCTAGAATTCAATCTTTATTTATTCCTCTTTTTATTAAAGAACACAATTATCTTCCCAGAGTTTTTCATTTTGATCTTTAATTCTCTCAAATTCAGTCGATTGTAACACATAAGCAACTAAACTTTCTTCATACTTCAAAGACATATCTTGAAGTTTATAATTTAACTGCCCATATTATTCTGAAAAGTCTCTTCTCAATTCTCTTTCAAATTATTCCTTATAATTTTATAAATTTTTTAAATTTAATCTTTTTTAATATATTGAAAATAAAATTTTACAAGCTCAATTTATTTTTATCTTTCAAATTATCTTTGCATCTCCTCTTAAAGGACTACCAATTAATTTTTAGAGTCTTATAAATCACTATTCAGCTTTTGTATTTAAATGATGTATGTTTCCATTTTATTTTGCTACAATAGCTCAGTTTGCTTTAATTCTTCTATTTCTTTTGTTTTTGTTTCACAAAGTTGACGAAGTCTATCAGTCTCGGCTGTTATTATTTACAAATTATTCTCTAATTCTCTGTTATTTTAGAATTAATTAGAGATTTAGGTCTCAAACTATTTTCTCTCACTGTTGAATTTGATGGTTAATTCTTAAACCTCTCTGGTAATATGAGATTACCTCATCATCTCATAATGAGATTTCATTTCTGAAACTCTTTATTCTCCTTCTTTTTCTAAAACACGGATTCTCTCATGAAGAGTTTCAATCTCTCTTTATCTGCTGTTGTTAATGCATTATAGATTTTCGATTTCTCTATTCAAGGCTAATTCAGCACTTTAAGACTTGTCTCTTTCCATTTATGCATCATTTATTCTTTCTTATAGTCTCTAAATTTCCATCTGAGCAAATTTTTTTTCATTTTCTAATTCAATAATGCGGTGGTTTTATTTTGTATTTATTAATTCAAAGTTAGCCCTCTCTTAATCCAAGACGTCTTTGTGAGTGTGCTTTGATCTTTTTACAGTTTCTTCATTCTCAGCAACTTAGCCCTCAAGCTGACAAATTACTTAATTTAAACGAGAAATTTCTTAAGTCATTTAACCAATCTTATCTTCATGCTTATTCTTATAATCGTTCATTAAATTTTACTTTTCTATGATTAAAATATTTTTTGATTCATTTAAATGAGTGATTTCAGTGGTTAGTTATACAATTTTTTCTTCGAAGTGTGTTGTCCTTTGCTAAATAAGAGCATTTAATCTCTCTATTTCTACAGTCAGGTTAGTCACTCTTTCTTCATATTGGTTTTACCTTGATTAAAGCATCATGTTTAATCTATCTATTTCAGTACTAAAACCAGCAACTTTTTCTTCTAACTTGCTATTTATTTCATTGAGTCTTTAACTCTCTTCAGCCAGTTTATGTACATCCTAAATGATTGTAAGCTTTTCCTACTCTAAGATATAAACTCTTTCTTCGTATTTTTGAAGTTCTTATGATGAAGCTTCTTATACTTGCTTTTGGTTACTCTAGATAATCATCTAAAGTCTATTAATTTCTTGAGTAAAGATAGCACATTTCTCTTCTAATTTTAAGTTTACTTGGTTTTTTTCATTCTGCATCAATTTTAATCTTTCTATTTCCTGAGTAAACATTGCTGTCTTTTCTTCAAGCTTAGAAATCATAGAGTTTTTTTCGTTAATTATTTATTAAAGTCTTTCTAGCTCAGTTGTTAAAAGAGCAACTCTTTCCTCAAATCTATTTGTTTCATTTTCGTTCTTTTTAGCAGAAAGATCCTAAAGACTATTTATTTGTTATTCTTACTTCAAAATAGTTTCTTTGAATATCTAAATTTCTTAGTCATAGGATCTTTTAATTTCAGATCTTTATTGCTCAATGAATTGATTCATTTAACTCTCTTTATTTTTAATTTCTACTTAAGCCTAATTTTAATTATATAAAAATATATATTTGAATTCAAATAAATTACATTGCAACTGAAATGTTTTATATTTCAAAAATCTAATTTTTTTTCATTGATTTGAATTTAATTTGTTAATTATTTAAACAGTTTGCAAACCAAAAAAAAAAAGCATGATTCAAAATAGTATTATTATAGTAATTGTTTAAAATACTGAAATCATTTTACCTTTTGTAGAGCTTCATACATCTGCTTAGAAGTCTCTCTTTCTTAGTTGAGTTGATTTCTTAGTTCTTTATTAGAAGCCATTAATTCTTCATATTGATGAGCTAGTACTCCTTAATTAGGAGCATTGAATATAATTCCTCTTTAAGAATTTTCTGAAAGGATAGTGCTATTATTGCATGATGTGTGTCTTTAATGATTCAAGGTTCCGCTTTAAAGTAAAGGATTTGCTAAGTTACCAGAAGATTATTGAGTTTATAAAAATGGTACCTTATGCTGAATTGGTTAATTCTAATTTTAATAAATTTAAGAAGAACCAGTATTAAGACTGCTATTAAAGCTTAAAGTACGAGATGTCCTGGTTATAGTAGTTACTGTATTTGTTTAGATATTGTTATTAGCTTATATTTGCTTTTACTCATGCATCTAAGCATTTGAATGAAGATTCGCAATTGAAACTTGGGGCTTTGGAATCATCAACAAGTTTATTGGCTATATAGCATCTGGCTAACATTTTCTAGGCAATTCTTAAGAAGGAATGTTTTTAGATTTTTTATATTGACTTTCAGTCAAATGTCTTATGTTGATCTTTTGGTTTTACTATTTTTATGGGTTCATTTTTTAATGTATAATAGCTATTTAGAATGAATGTATGAATGAGTTAACAATTAAGCGTCCTAACTATTTTAAATTAAATTTTGCTTTGATTTACTTAATTTATTAATATTTATATATATCTACGTTTTGTCTTTGTTTGAAATTAATTTTTGATTTTTATGATATATTCAAGTGTCAAGTAAAGTCGCTCATTTCAATTTTATTAAATTCAAATTTTATGCATCAACCTTTTTTTTTAAAGTTCTGTTTAAACCATAATTGACTGTATTTAGTTAGTCCTTTTCATTTTTTTTTTTCAATGATTGAATTTTGAATTTAAACATTAACTAATAATTAGCCATCTAATAAAAATTGCTTCTTTTTTAAAATCTCTTCAAAAAATTATATTATTTTTATATGAATTAATATTGATAAAAATATTTTATTTGAAGATATTTCAGCTCTAAATACTCAAATAACTTATTTATAGACATTCTGAATTATTTTTTTAAATAATATTTTTTTTTTTGCAAAATAATTTTATTATTAAAAAAAATTATTTAAATTCGTCAATCAAATTAAACTTTTAAAATCAAAATTTTTAAGCTAACCAAATGTACAAGAAAAAACATTTTTTTATTTATTTTATCTATAAATTACTTGTAAAGTATACTTTTTTTACTTTAAAATTTTTGATTAACTTTTTTCTATTAACAAAAACATTGATAAATTTTAAGTATTTTGGTGTCAATTAATAAAGTCTAATTTGATTCTATTACATAATTTTATTTGATTTTTTGAAGATAAATTTAAATAAAGCTAAAGCTGAATGTATTATGAAAAGATTGATAACACTAATTTTAAATGAAATATATTTAAAAATTTTTTAAATTAAGCTAATTTTTAATGAATTTATTACTAAAATAGATCAATAATTAATTTTTGCGTTTTATAAAATTATTAACTAATAATCAAATAATTTTATTTTAATAAAACACTTTATAATTTCTAAAATTGGGTATACTTTTAAAAGTAAAACATTTATTTATAATTTTAATGGTCTAAACAATTTTTTAAGATAGAGTAAAAATAATAACAATTTATCTCTTTTTAGAAGATAAATATTTTAAAATATAAATAAATTTTTTTTATTCATTTTATTCATTTTCTTCTTTTTTCAAATGATTAAATAAATTTAGTTTATTTGTGTTAAAAATATTTATTTTACATTTATAAATGAAAAATTAATTAGCATTGGCTAAACTTGTCAGACCCAAAAAAATAAAATATTTTTTACTATCTAGAGCCAAAAATATTAATTTTTAATAAAAGCCATAACTGTATTTCTATTTGAACCTATTTCTTATTAAACTATATTTTATACTTAGAAATTAAGCTTTTCAAAATTAAATATATCATCTTTCATCAGAAGTTAATTTAGAGACTTTAAATTTATATTAAATGAGGATATGATAATTAGAAAAATGAATAGTGATTATTTAGTACTACTATTAAATTTGGATAGAAATGTAAAATTTTAATTATCAAAATAAAGACTATATTTTAAATATTGTTTTTTGTGAAGTTTGAAACCAAAGCATGATTGATAGATAATAATGTCTTTATTCTTATATGTAATCTACTATATGATTGGCAACACATTCTTTTATTTATAATTTAATTTTATAGACTTTGATATGTCTATTGTTTTAATAAAATTTAAAAATATATCTGTATTATCTAATATTGATATTAGCAATTTATTTTGATGGAGTTCTTTACATTATAAAAAAGTCTTAAAACTAAAACTTATTTACACTTCAAATTTTAAAAACTCTAAATCAGACAAATTTTTAAATAAGAATTTATTAGCTATCTAGTTTGTCAAATTATTGTTTTTTACTTATCTTTTTTTCTAATTAGTTAAACAAAGGCTTCATCTATTTCAATAATATTAAATGAAGTGATAGATTAGTATTTTGTTATTATAGACTTATTGATTAATTAAATTAAATGATTTGGTGGTTCATTGATAATTTTTTATAAATAAATAAATAACTAATTAATTAAAAATTAAATAAATATAATGAACAAATTAATCTTAATAGTTTTAATCTCTCTTTCAGTATTATCTTTCGTAGCTTCTGAGTCTAGTACTGCTGACTGTAAATCTCACCCTGTGTTTGCTAAAGCTAAAAATCTGCTTAATGTAATTTTTACTTAAGATAAAAGGGCTAAGCATGTCAACAAAGTACTTCAAAAAAGATTTAAAGAAAACTCACCTAAAAGCCTTTCTAACGATGACTTAGGTTCTTGCTCTGCTTTTTCTGGCTAAAAAACTTGCTGTGATAAAAATATGGTTAAATTAATAGATCAAGCTGCCTTGCTTAAAGTCAAGCCTATTTTATAAACCAAAAGTGCTTTCTCAAAGTTTATAAATGTTTATATAGCTTAATTGAATAAAAGTTGCTCACCTACAGTTATACCATCTCCTCCTTTAATCCCTAAAGCAATATACGCTGATAAAACTTTGAAAGTTCTATCTGCATACAAGCAAGCTTAAGGAAATTGTAAAATTAAATTTGCTTAAGCATTGTCAGCTTTTACTAGAGGTTCGTTATGTTCAATTTGTATGGGAGTTGATAAGTTGAGTGACTATATCAATTCTTAAGGTTAACTTAAAATAACCTAGCAATCAGTAAACATTTTCTAGTAGGCTGCTGATGAAGCTATAACTTGTTTTGCCAATATATTCGCACCTTCTAATCTTGATTCTATTTTAAATGAACTAAATGCTGCCTATATTAAAAACAATGACTCCTGTGCAGCTAATGTTTCTAAAAACGTCAAATCAATTTTCTCAAATCCAAAAATCTCTAATGATGATGGATAAGGTGGTAAAATTTGTAAAGGTACATCTATGTTTAGTGATAATTCTTAATGCGAACAAAGTTTGCTTGGAGATAGTGCACTTGAATATACTAATCCGAGAATTCTTAACTTCAAAAAATAAGTTTTAAGACTACTTGCTGTAAATCCAGATGCCGTAGTTGATCAAAATGGTGTTAATGTTTTCGTAAGTAGCCCAAGGGATTAAGTTATTGATGAAAGCGGCAGAAATATAACATTTTCATTTATTTTGAAAAATAGCCAAATGTAATTAGCATATGCAACTTTTTTCGCTTTAATTTCTTTCATTTTTTGAATGATTTTAAAAAAGATTGAATAAATGCACCTTTTTATATTTTAATTATACTTTACTGTAAACTACTTCAAACATTTATTAACTAAATTAGTATAACATTTTGATCTATAAATTAAACTAAATTTTTTTCTTCTCATCAACAATAAATTGTAATATTTTTTTTTGATAAGTATGAACGAGTTTAATATGTTTTTTAATATTTAAACATAAATTAATTTGTTGAAAAGTCTAGTCATTTTCAAAATATTTTAAATTTATAATTGAAAGAATTAAGCTCAATTAAAAGATTTCCACATTTTTTCAAAATACTTGAAGCATTAGCAAAAGATTCACAATTAAAATCATCAAAAGTTCTTTCGAAATACACTTGATTTTTTTTTATATAAAAATGTATGTAAAATCTAGTAATTAAATATTCAAGCAGCACAAATAAGTGTGGTTATCTGAAACTTATAGGATATATGATTTTATAATATCAAATATGATGAAAATTATTTTTTCATTGAAAATAAATTTTTTTCTAAAATTTAAAATAGAAACAAAATAAATAATTAAATCATCATCAAATAATATTTTTAAAAAATCTGCATTAGAAATTATTATCCAGGTAATATTCAAGTTATTTTTTATATTAATATCAAATATAAAAATGACAAATATAACTCAATTAAACAAATAACTTAAAAAAAGTTTTGACATTTTCAATATAAAAAAAATCAATTTTAAAATATTTTATGAAAAACTCTATATAAAAAATTCAACATAAACATAAAAAATAAATTATTTTTCTATGCATTCATTTCAAGTATATAATTAAAATATTTTTGTTTTCAGTAATCTATTTCTTAGTTTACTAATTTTTACATCGAATCTAGTATTTCTTTTAATTCATACTTAACTGGATCTGTAATGTTATTATTTCTATAAATATAAATAAATTATATTTACTATTTTACAAACTTAAAAAAAATTTTTTCAGTGAACAATAATTGAATTACCTTAAGTCAAGTCTTAAAGTGTTAAGATTCACTAAATTCACTATTGCATTGCTTAAATCAATAATTCCTTATGTACTGGTTTTGCTGTTGCTATTTAGAAGATTAAAAATATATTTAATTTTTAATTTTTTATAAATAAAATTATTAATTTGAATAATTTTTATGTGGGTTTGATTGATGATTTTATTTATTAAGTTTATTAAATTGTTAATATTTTTGTTTCATTAAAAAACATAAAGTTTTGTTTTAAAGGCTAACATTTTTTGAAAATCAAAGTTATATCTTACTACAAATAGACTGCAAGATTCTCAATAGTAGTACAGTTTTTTAAATAATCCAGATACTCCTTCACTACCTATTTAACTGATTCTTTTAAAAATAAATTAATTAAATATTAATATTTATTAAAGAAAAATATTTTTTACAATTTTCAAATTAATTTAGATTAAAATATTAGAAAAATAATTATTTAATTCAAACATTAATCTCCTTTGAATAAATTTTTGATTTTAAATAGAAAAAAAGTAAAATATTTATTTTTACTCCTATTTTGTCCATGAACATAAATGCAGTGTTAATTTTTTTAGGTTAGTACAATTTTCTAATCCATCTCCTAATATACAAGCTCCTTCACTACCAAATACATTATCACTATAATTTATTAATTAAATGATATTAATTTAACATTATAAAAGCTTAATCATGTTTATTTTGCTGTTTAATTTTATTTAAGCTATTTAACTTTTAGATTTAAACTAAATTTATTTTAGCAAATACTTAGATATATAATTCAAAAAACTTGTGCTTTTATTAATCTAAAATACTTTCAAAATTTAGATAATAAATCTATATTTTAAAAATTTTTACGATATCTAAAGACATAAATCTGAGAGTTTGTGACATTAGCTTAATGCTTTACTCAAAGCAGAAATACCTTTTTATCCAACTTTGTTGTAGCTTTATAAAAAAAATAAAAAAATGTTCTTTATTTTTAAGATAAAATTAAGTGAAAAAATTTACATAAGTTCTATGAAAAAGCTTTCAAGGCTTGTGCATTTTGGTAATCCTTCAGATAATGAACAAATTTCTTCATCAGATATTTAGTTGTATCTATTTTTTATATATAAAAATATGTTATTATCGCACATAAGCTTGAATATTTCAAAATAAATTTTAATCTATCTTAAAAAATTAATTAGAAAATATTGGAGATTATTTGATATTAAGATATTAAGTCCTTATATAATATCCATAAATAATAAGTGCTAATGGATAATTGAAAATAATGATTCTATGTTTAGAAAATGAATTTATTCATTTTATACGTTTATGTATGAATAAAGAAACCATTTATTCTTCCAGATTAATATATAAAACTTTATTTCTCAAATTTGCTGCAAATGATAATATTATAAATTTAAATTTTTCATCTTTTAAACTCTTCTTAAAAATATTTATTCAAATTAAAAGTTAAGAAGAAATTAGGAGGCGCTTTTTAAATTGATTTAGATTTCCTAAGACAAAATTTTGAAATAAATTCTTTCATAATACAAATAAAATAGATAAAAATTTTAAGTATTTTTACTTTAAAAATTCCTCTAAATTTTATGAAATTTTTTAAAATTCTTCTTATCTCAACAACATTATTCAAAAATATTTTTAATCAAAAACCAAATTTAGGGGAGGTTAAAAAAATCAATACATAATTTTTTTTCTTCTAAATTTACTCATATTTTATTTTTTTTAAATGTACACTAGAAATTATTTTTCAGGTAATAACCAAGTTATTTTTTATATAAATATCAAATTCATAAAAATCACAAATATAACTCAGTTAAACAAATAATTTAAAATTTAATTTTAAATTTTGAAAATAAAAATAAAAAATTTAATTTTAAAATATTTTATGATTCACTCAATATAAAAAATTCAACATAGACATAGAAAATAAATTATCTTCCTATGAAATTATTTGAAGCAAAATTAGAATATTTTTATTTTCAGCTGTATTCTATTTCTTTATTTACTAATTTTTACATCGAATCTAGTTTTTCTTATAATGCTTTCTTAACTGGATCTGTAATGTAATTATTTCTATAAATAAAAATAAATTATATTTACTATTTTACAAACTTTAAAAAAGTATTTTTCAGCTAGAAATAATTTAATTACCTTAAGTCAAGTTTTAAAGTGTTAAGATTCACTAAATTCACTATTGCATTGCTTAAATCAATAATACCTTCGTCTTTAGTATCACAATAGCTATTTATGATTAAAAATATTTTTATTTAATTTGAATGATTAAATTATTAATTTGAATTATTTTCATGTGAATTTTACGGATGATTTTATTTATTAAGTTTATTAAATTGTAATATTTTTTTATTTCATTAAAAAACATAAAATTTTGTTTTAAAAAGCTAACTTTTTTTGAAAAACTAAATTATATCTTACCGCAAATAGACTGTAAGATTCTCAATAGTAGTACAGTTTTTTAAGCCGTTAAATAATCCAGATACTCCTTAACTACCTATTTAATTGATTCTTAAATAAAATAATTAAATATTGATATTCTTTAAAGAAAAATATTTTTTTCAATTTTCAAATTAATCAATTATATATTATGAGAAAAATAATTTTTTAATTCAAGCATTAATCTACTTTTAATAAATATTTAATTTAAGGATAAAAAAAAGAAGTTATTTATTTTTTACTCTTATTATGACCAAGAAGGTAAATAAACTATTAATTTTTTGAGATTAGAACAATTTCCTAATCCATCTCCTAATATACAAGCTCCTTCACTACCAAATACATTTTCCCTATAATTTATTAATTAAATGATATTAATTTAACATTATAAAAGCTTAATCATGTTTTTTGCTGTTTAATTTTATTTAAGCTATCTAACTTTTTAGATTTAAACTAAATTTCTTTTATCAAATACTTAGATATATAATTCAAAAAATGTGTGCTTTTTATAATCTAAAATATGCTCAGATTGAGCTAATAAATCTATTTTTAAAAATTTTTACGATATCTAAATATTTAAATCTGAGAGATTGTGGCATTAGATTAATGCTTTACTCAAAGCAGAAATTCCTTTTTACCCAACTTTATTGTAGCTTTACAAAATACAAAAAAATTAATATATGTAGATACTTTTTAAGATTAAATTAAGTGAAAAAAATTTACCTAAGCTGTATGTAAAGGCTTTCAAGGTTTGTGCATTTAGGTAATCCTTCAGATAATGAACAAATCTCTTCATCAGATATTAAGTTGTATCTATTTTTAATAAATAAAAATATATTGCTATTTTATATAAGTTTGAATATTTTAAAATAAATTTAAATCTTACGAGAAATCAATAGATAAAGATTTTAGATTTACTAAATTTTCTAAAAAAGCCTTTAAGCTACTAGGTTCTACTTAGCCGATTTAATTACTTCTATTAAAATTTAAATTATGACTTTAATGTATTATATCAATTAATAAGAATCATATAAAAATCTTTAAAAAATTAATTCAATGATATCATTTGAAATCTATTTTTTAAACTAATAAATATTTTTCTATTTTTTTAGGTTTTTTGATTAAATTTATTTTTTATAAAAATATAGGCTACTCATAGTATTTATATTTGATTTATAAAAATTACGCTAATTGCAATTCAAGAGATGTAAGATTTGTCATGCGTCCACATCCAAAAAATAATTAAGCTACGTTTTTTTGATTTAACTTACTAAGACTTTTAAATATATAATAGATAAAAATTCTAGAATCTATTAGATAAACACAAGCTTTACCCATAATCTATAAATAGAGTTTAAAGTTTTTTGCAGTTTGCTATTCCCTCAACTAAGTCTTGAATTGCTTCAATTTAGCTTCCATTATTAAATAAATAAATAATTTTTAATTTAAAACTAAAGTAAAATATTTTGACAATAAAATTTTTAATGTTATTTTATTAAATTCTACTTCATTTTTAATTAAGAAAATAATAAATTTTACTCATTTTACTCTTCAGATAAACCTTACTATGACAAATTAAGTGTTAAATTATTTAAATTTTCACATCTTCCTATTCCCTTTCCCAATCCAGAAATTCCTTTGTCTTTGAAATCATTATTTACCCTATTTAGCAATAATAATTTTTAACAAATAATGCAAATTTTATTTTATAAAATATTAGTTACCCTAAGTTAAGCTTCAAAACTTCTAGGCTTTTTAAATCTCCTAAGACACTAGTTAGACACAATAATCCTTCATCAGTGATGTCATTTCCACTATATATTATTAATTATTAATATAATATTTATTATGAAAATCAAAGCTAGTAAAGAGAATTCTTCAAATAAAATGAAAATTATTTACTTAATAATTATAATTAATTTTTAATATGGAATATTTAAGCAAATTAGTTTTAATAAAAAATAAGATTTTATTTAAAAAATAATATAAATTACGATAATATTAAATCTAAAGTGTTGAGATTTTAGCATTTTATTAACCCTGCTGCAAAACCAGATAGTCCGTCACTAGTTATTCTAATTAAGTTTAGATAAAAATTAATTCTTAAGTTTTTTAAAAATTATTTTATAAAATAAAATAAGTATAAAATAAGATATAAATTCTATCTTTTATAAATCTATTTTTGTAATTAATTATAATATAATTAGAAATTAGCTCGTTAATTAATTAGCTACCTTTCATTAAATTGCTCAGTGTTAAAATTAATTGTTAAATTTGTAAGATTTTAACAGCCTCCTAGATGTGTACCAAAATCAACAAAACCATAACTCGTCATATCATTTGAACTTTTTTAATAAATACAGTGTTAAAGAGAAAAATATTATGATAAAATAAAGAAATCTTATTTTAAAAATATTAATAATTTATTAATATAATTATAATTGGACAAGTATTAATATTTTTTTAATATAATATTTTGGTTTTTATAAGATTAATTTTACCTTAAATTTAAATTTAGCATCTTAAGATTCTAACAGTTTTTCAATCCTTCCATTATCCCACTTGATCCTTCATCTCCAATAGTATTATCTCTTTATATTAGAATTTAGATGATCAATATGGTACACACAAAAATTATAAAAGTATAAATATAATTGTTAGTTTAAAAAAGTTTGTCCCAATCTTATACATATAATTTATTTAGTAATATCATTTTTATTTTTTAGATATTAATTTAAATGATGAAAGAAACCATAAAATAATTTTACAAAATATTTACTCAAAATTAATTTCTAAATCTGTGAGGTTTGCAAAATTTTAGAGTACTTTACCAATACCAATTCCTCCTTGATAACCAATTTTGCAGCTCCTTTTAAATATATATTTAAAAATAATGATATTTGAATAAATCTAAATAACTAAATAAATTTTAAATTATTTATTATTTTCAAATATTGTACATTTTGATAATTTAGAATTAAAAAAAGGTAAATAAATAATTTACTCTAGATTCAGTTTCAAAGTATTAATTTTGATGCAATCTTTAAATCCTGTAATCAGTTCAACAATAGGTTGACTCTCTATATGATATCCGCTTTTAAGTTATATTATTTGCATTAAAAATTGAGCTAAGAGATAAAAATTTTAATTTATTAGAAGAATTGAGATGAAAATTTATTTTTAGCTTTTTCTTAATTTATGTAAAGCATACATTATTAATAATCGTAAGGTATAAAAGTGCTGATAAAATTTAATAATAAATTTAAATGAATTAAGTTAGCGCTAATAACAATATAAAATACTTTAAATCAAGCTCTAATTTTGTTAAGTTGACACATTTCCCTATTGCTTAGCCTAAACATTAAGCTTGTTAAACTGTAATTTTGCTATTAAAAAGTAGAAATTAATTTTTATTTAAAAATGAATAAAGAATTGTATGGTTATAATTGAAAGTTGTAATTAAATAAATGAGACCAATAATTTGCCTACAAATTTGCTGTTAAAAAAACTAAAATTTTCAGAAAAATAAAAGATTAACAATTTATTTTGTTAAATTTTTATAAATTTAGTTAATCTATCAAAATTAATGCTTACTTTTTTTTTAAAAATTAATCTGATATGATCAATTCTAAAATCTTCACATTAACACATTTTTCTAAACCACTTGCTAAGACTGGTGTATCCTAATCATTTATAACCCTCTTACTTTTTATAATAGTTAATATATAAATTAAATTTGTCAGCATATAATATCTAAAATAAGAATAATAAGTGATATCTTTAAAATAAATTATTTGATAAGTTTTTTAAATTTTCTATTTGTGAATTTGATCAAAAAAATGAGATAAAAGTTAATTTTATTTTTTAAATTATCTAATCATAATTTACTTTGGTAGATTTATCAACAAATTAGTGTGCTCTTCGTGCTTGGATGACAAAAACTATCCAAAATTAAATAATAATGTTGATAAAAATCAGAGCCTTTATTATAATATTACATCTTGTAGAGTATCAAACTCGGAAACTTATTCCATTTGTAGTTTTTCTTTATTTTTTCAATTTTCTTTACTATTATTATTTATGTTATTAAAAATTATTATATGATATTTCAATAATCCACACAGTTTTCAAATCAGCTTTTAAAGTTGAAAAGTATAAGGATAATTTTTAGATTAAAACTTGGCACTTTTAATCAAATTAAAAATAAATTTTATCTATAGTTGAAAAAAATCCTATCTAATCAGCTGTTAGTAAAGAAAAATAAAGTTAACTAATATAGAAAGATATCTAATTATATAAACTAAAAAAAACTAAATTACACTTTTTTGTGAATTTATTTCTTCTAAAATCACACAAAAAATAACTAATTACAAAATATTGATTAAAAAGAAATCAGGTAAAAATTAATCTTTATTGGTTAAAAGAATGATACATTTCAATCGCTTTTATACCACAAATTATCAAATAAAATTCATAAGTGTAATTTAAGCATTTTACATGAGAAAACATATCTTTGTGATAAAATATAAAATGCACATTTTATATAAAAATGATTCTTTTGAAGTATTCGTTTAAATTATTACATATTTCATGCAACTTTGTATATCAAAATAAAATAAATTATTAATCAAATATAATTTAGTTAAAATTATTAAATTTATCATTTTTAATAAAGTTATATTTTAATTACTTTAAATTATAAATTATTTTTAATAACAAATATAGCTAAATGCCTTTCTAAAATATATATAATAGATATTGAGTTAAAATATTATTAATTTTAAATCAATTTTAAGACATTCAATTTTTTATTACTTCACAAAATTTAGCAAAATTTAAAATTTTTGATGTAAAAAATTATTTATTTTGGAAATTATAATAAATTAAATTATTAATTTTCATTCTATTATAAAATATAAAAATCTATTTCATAATAAGTCACATCCAAACGACGGAATTTTTGAATGGCATCTTGCTATACTGTGTTTTAATAAAATAACTTTTTTTAACAAAAGAAAATTTGTTTATGAAGAACCAAATTCCAAGTATCTTTGAAATAGAAATTACTAATAAAAGCGATAATTAATTTGATATCGTTGTTTTAATTTATAAAAGTCATCTCATCTCTCTCTTTTGTAATTTTTGGTGTTTCTTTAATTTATAGTACAAATTAATATTTCTTTTAAAATAAGCAGCAAAATTATAACTTTATTTTTTCTAGTGAACAATAATTATTTACTTTAGTTGGATTTTTTCTGTAAATAACTTTAATAACTAAAATTTAATTATTAAAAAATCTTTTTCATAAAGTATTTAAATGGTTTATTTTTAAATTTAAGGGGTTGGGGTTGGGGTTGGGGGGTTTTGGGGTTGGGGTTTGCGGTTGGGGGTTGGGGTTGGGGTTGGGGTTGGGGTTGGGGTTGGGGTTGGTG